TGGTTTTTCTCGAGTTGCGGCGGGGACCTGGGGTATGTTCTCGACTTACGGCGGGGATGGCCCTTCAAAACACGAGTTTCTTCAGTGACGTCAGGACTCCTGTCTAGTAACGAGGGACACCTCAGGAATCTCTTCGAGGCTTGGCAGGGCCAAAGGGACGCTTCTCGAGGTGAGGCAGGGCACCCAAGGACCCTTTCCAGTAGCCACAGGGATTTTGGGATTCCTATCAGTATTCAAGAGGAGTCAGGCATCGTCACCTTTTGAAGCAATGAACTCCGCGTGCCTCTCGAGGTGTCAGCGGGATGTGAGGCATTCCGTCAAAATGAGGCAGGGACCTAGGGCTTTCTCTAAGGTCTCCACAGGGGATTCAGACATCCCTTCATGTTGTGAGATGAAAGACGAGCCTGTATTCAAGCCACTGCAAGGAAATCCGGCCTCCTTTCTAGTTAGGGCTTCTCGCTGTATATTCCCCTTGAGGCAGCAAACTCGGGGTCCCTCCCACATACCTATTGCTGAGAGAAGCCTCCTCCTGAGGTGCTTCTGGGAAGTTGGCATACGTCTTGAGCCTAAGCCAGGGAATCAGCTCGCATCTCGAGACGATTTGGGGTACACGGAGCATTCCTCGAGTTGCTGTGCTGAAGTTGGTGTTCCTCTAGACTTGGGACAGTGTTCTCGGGGCATCTCTGGAGTTGCCTGAAGGAAGTCGAGCCACCGGTCGTGTTGAATGGGGAACGGGGAATGGCTCTGGAGTCAATGCAGGGGAATCGGGCCTCATCTCGAGTTGATTTGGGGCACATGGAGCTGCTTTGCGTTGCTGGGGTGACCTCAGGGTCCGTCTAGACTGGTGACAGTGTTCTTGGGGACTGTCTCGAGATCCATTAAGCAAGTCGAAGCTCCTGACTTGTTTGAATGGGGTCACGGAATAGCTCTGCATGCACTGCAGGGGAATGGGGCCTCATCTCGCCTCTAGGGGGAAGTCTCATGGTTTTTCTCGAGTTGCGGCGGGGACCTGGGGTATGTTCTCGACTTACGGCGGGGATGGCCCTTCAAAACACGAGTTTCTTCAGTGACGTCAGGACTCCTGTCTAGTAACGAGGGACACCTCAGGAATCTCTTCGAGGCTTGGCAGGGCCAAAGGGACGCTTCTCGAGGTGAGGCAGGGCACCCAAGGACCCTTTCCAGTAGCCACAGTGATTTTGGAATTCCTATCAGTATTCAAGAGGAGTCAGGCATCGTCACCTTTTGAAGCAATGAACTCCGCGTGCCTCTCGAGGTGTCAGCGGGATGTGAGGCATTCCGTCAAAATGAGGCAGGGACCTAGGGCTTTCTCTAAGGTCTCCACAGGGGATTCAGACATCCCTTCATGTTGTGAGATGAAAGACGAGCCTGTATTCAAGCCACTGCAAGGAAATTCGGCCTCCTTTCAAGTTAGGGCTTCTCGCTGTATATTCCCCTTGAGGCAGCAAACTCGGGGTCCCTCCCACATACCTATTGCTGAGAGAAGCCCCCTCCTGAGGTGCTTCTGGGAAGTTGGCATACGTCTTGAGCCTAAGCCAGGGAATCAGCTCGCATCTCGAGACGATTTGGGGTACACGGAGCATTCCTCGAGTTGCTGTGCTGAAGTTGGTGTTCCTCTAGACTTGGGACAGTGTTCTCGGGGCATCTCTGGAGTTGCCTGAAGGAAGTCGAGCCACCGGTCGTGTTGAATGGGGAACGGGGAATGGCTCTGGAGTCAATGCAGGGGAATCGGGCCTCATCTCGAGTTGATTTGGGGCACATGGAGCTGCTTTGCGTTGCTGGGGTGACCTCAGGGTCCGTCTAGACTGGTGACAGTGTTCTTGGGGACTGTCTCGAGATCCATTAAGCAAGTCGAAGCTCCTGACTTGTTTGAATGGGGTCACGGAATAGCTCTGCATGCACTGCAGGGGAATGGGGCCTCATCTCGCCTCTAGGGGGAAGTCTCATGGTTTTTCTCGAGTTGCGGCGGGGACCTGGGGTATGTTCTCGACTTACGGCGGGGATGGCCCTTCAAAACACGAGTTTCTTCAGTGACGTCAGGACTCCTGTCTAGTAACGAGGGACACCTCAGGAATCTCTTCGAGGCTTGGCAGGGCCAAAGGGACGCTTCTCGAGGTGAGGCAGGGCACCCAAGGACCCTTTCCAGTAGCCACAGGGATTTTGGGATTCCTATCAGTATTCAAGAGGAGTCAGGCATCGTCACCTTTTGAAGCAATGAACTCCGCGTGCCTCTCGAGGTGTCAGCGGGATGTGAGGCATTCCGTCAAAATGAGGCAGGGACCTAGGGCTTTCTCTAAGGTCTCCACAGGGGATTCAGACATCCCTTCATGTTGTGAGATGAAAGACGAGCCTGTATTCAAGCCACTGCAAGGAAATCCGGCCTCCTTTCAAGTTAGGGCTTCTCGCTGTATATTCCCCTTGAGGCAGCAAACTCGGTGTCCCTCCCACATACCTATTGCTGAGAGAAGCCCCCTCCTGAGGTGCTTCTGGGAAGTTGGCATACGTCTTGAGCCTAAGCCAGGGAATCAGCTCGCATCTCGAGACGATTTGGGGTACACGGAGCATTCCTCGAGTTGCTGTGCTGAAGTTGGTGTTCCTCTAGACTTGGGACAGTGTTCTCGGGGCATCTCTGGAGTTGCCTGAAGGAAGTCGAGCCACCGGTCGTGTTGAATGGGGAACGGGGAATGGCTCTGGAGTCAATGCAGGGGAATCGGGCCTCATCTCGAGTTGATTTGGGGCACATGAAGCTGCTTTGCGTTGCTGGGGTGACCTCAGGGTCCGTCTAGACTGGTGACAGTGTTCTTGGGGACTGTCTCGAGATCCATTAAGCAAGTCGAAGCTCCTGACTTGTTTGAATGGGGTCACGGAATAGCTCTGCATGCACTGCAGGGGAATGGGGCCTCATCTCGCCTCTAGGGGGAAGTCTCATGGTTTTTCTCGAGTTGCGGCGGGGACCTGGGGTATGTTCTCGACTTACGGCGGGGATGGCCCTTCAAAACACGAGTTTCTTCAGTGACGTCAGGACTCCTGTCTAGTAACGAGGGACACCTCAGGAATCTCTTCGAGGCTTGGCAGGGCCAAAGGGACGCTTCTCGAGGTGAGGCAGGGCACCCAAGGACCCTTTCCAGTAGCCACAGGGATTTTGGGATTCCTATCAGTATTCAAGAGGAGTCAGGCATCGTCACCTTTTGAAGCAATGAACTCCGCGTGCCTCTCGAGGTGTCAGCGGGATGTGAGGCATTCCGTCAAAATGAGGCAGGGACCTAGGGCTTTCTCTAAGGTCTCCACAGGGGATTCAGACATCCCTTCATGTTGTGAGATGAAAGACGAGCCTGTATTCAAGCCACTGCAAGGAAATCCGGCCTCCTTTCTAGTTAGGGCTTCTCGCTGTATATTCCCCTTGAGGCAGCAAACTCGGGGTCCCTCCCACATACCTATTGCTGAGAGAAGCCTCCTCCTGAGGTGCTTCTGGGAAGTTGGCATACGTCTTGAGCCTAAGCCAGGGAATCAGCTCGCATCTCGAGACGATTTGGGGTACACGGAGCATTCCTCGAGTTGCTGTGCTGAAGTTGGTGTTCCTCTAGACTTGGGACAGTGTTCTCGGGGCATCTCTGGAGTTGCCTGAAGGAAGTCGAGCCACCGGTCGTGTTGAATGGGGAACGGGGAATGGCTCTGGAGTCAATGCAGGGGAATCGGGCCTCATCTCGAGTTGATTTGGGGCACATGGAGCTGCTTTGCGTTGCTGGGGTGACCTCAGGGTCCGTCTAGACTGGTGACAGTGTTCTTGGGGACTGTCTCGAGATCCATTAAGCAAGTCGAAGCTCCTGACTTGTTTGAATGGGGTCACGGAATAGCTCTGCATGCACTGCAGGGGAATGGGGCCTCATCTCGCCTCTAGGGGGAAGTCTCATGGTTTTTCTCGAGTTGCGGCGGGGACCTGGGGTATGTTCTCGACTTACGGCGGGGATGGCCCTTCAAAACACGAGTTTCTTCAGTGACGTCAGGACTCCTGTCTAGTAACGAGGGACACCTCAGGAATCTCTTCGAGGCTTGGCAGGGCCAAAGGGACGCTTCTCGAGGTGAGGCAGGGCACCCAAGGACCCTTTCCAGTAGCCACAGTGATTTTGGAATTCCTATCAGTATTCAAGAGGAGTCAGGCATCGTCACCTTTTGAAGCAATGAACTCCGCGTGCCTCTCGAGGTGTCAGCGGGATGTGAGGCATTCCGTCAAAATGAGGCAGGGACCTAGGGCTTTCTCTAAGGTCTCCACAGGGGATTCAGACATCCCTTCATGTTGTGAGATGAAAGACGAGCCTGTATTCAAGCCACTGCAAGGAAATTCGGCCTCCTTTCAAGTTAGGGCTTCTCGCTGTATATTCCCCTTGAGGCAGCAAACTCGGGGTCCCTCCCACATACCTATTGCTGAGAGAAGCCCCCTCCTGAGGTGCTTCTGGGAAGTTGGCATACGTCTTGAGCCTAAGCCAGGGAATCAGCTCGCATCTCGAGACGATTTGGGGTACACGGAGCATTCCTCGAGTTGCTGTGCTGAAGTTGGTGTTCCTCTAGACTTGGGACAGTGTTCTCGGGGCATCTCTGGAGTTGCCTGAAGGAAGTCGAGCCACCGGTCGTGTTGAATGGGGAACGGGGAATGGCTCTGGAGTCAATGCAGGGGAATCGGGCCTCATCTCGAGTTGATTTGGGGCACATGGAGCTGCTTTGCGTTGCTGGGGTGACCTCAGGGTCCGTCTAGACTGGTGACAGTGTTCTTGGGGACTGTCTCGAGATCCATTAAGCAAGTCGAAGCTCCTGACTTGTTTGAATGGGGTCACGGAATAGCTCTGCATGCACTGCAGGGGAATGGGGCCTCATCTCGCCTCTAGGGGGAAGTCTCATGGTTTTTCTCGAGTTGCGGCGGGGACCTGGGGTATGTTCTCGACTTACGGCGGGGATGGCCCTTCAAAACACGAGTTTCTTCAGTGACGTCAGGACTCCTGTCTAGTAACGAGGGACACCTCAGGAATCTCTTCGAGGCTTGGCAGGGCCAAAGGGACGCTTCTCGAGGTGAGGCAGGGCACCCAAGGACCCTTTCCAGTAGCCACAGGGATTTTGGGATTCCTATCAGTATTCAAGAGGAGTCAGGCATCGTCACCTTTTGAAGCAATGAACTCCGCGTGCCTCTCGAGGTGTCAGCGGGATGTGAGGCATTCCGTCAAAATGAGGCAGGGACCTAGGGCTTTCTCTAAGGTCTCCACAGGGGATTCAGACATCCCTTCATGTTGTGAGATGAAAGACGAGCCTGTATTCAAGCCACTGCAAGGAAATCCGGCCTCCTTTCAAGTTAGGGCTTCTCGCTGTATATTCCCCTTGAGGCAGCAAACTCGGGGTCCCTCCCACATACCTATTGCTGAGAGAAGCCTCCTCCTGAGGTGCTTCTGGGAAGTTGGCATACGTCTTGAGCCTAAGCCAGGGAATGAGCTCGCATCTCGAGACGATTTGGGGTACACGGAGCATTCCTCGAGTTGCTGTGCTGAAGTTGGTGTTCCTCTAGACTTGGGACAGTGTTCTCGGGGCATCTCTGGAGTTGCCTGAAGGAAGTCGAGCCACCGGTCGTGTTGAATGGGGAACGGGGAATGGCTCTGGAGTCAATGCAGGGGAATCGGGCCTCATCTCGAGTTGATTTGGGGCACATGGAGCTGCTTTGCGTTGCTGGGGTGACCTCAGGGTCCGTCTAGACTGGTGACAGTGTTCTTGGGGACTGTCTCGAGATCCATTAAGCAAGTCGAAGCTCCTGACTTGTTTGAATGGGATCACGGAATAGCTCTGCATGCACTGCAGGGGAATGGGGCCTCATCTCGCCTCTAGGGGGAAGTCTCACGGTTTTTCTCGAGTTGCGGCGGGGACCTGGGGTATGTTCTCGACTTACGGCGGGGATGGCCCTTCAAAACACGAGTTTCTTCAGTGACGTCAGGACTCCTGTCTAGTAACGAGGGACACCTCAGGAATCTCTTCGAGGCTTGGCAGGGCCAAAGGGACGCTTCTCGAGGTGAGGCAGGGCACCCAAGGACCCTTTCCAGTAGCCACAGGGATTTTGGGATTCCTATCAGTATTCAAGAGGAGTCAGGCATCGTCACCTTTTGAAGCAATGAACTCCGCGTGCCTCTCGAGGTGTCAGCGGGATGTGAGGCATTCCATCAAAATGAGGCAGGGACCTAGGGCTTTCTCTAAGGTCTCCACAGGGGATTCAGACATCCCTTCATGTTGTGAGATGAAAGACGAGCCTGTATTCAAGCCACTGCAAGGAAATCCGGCCTCCTTTCACGTTAGGGCTTCTCGCTGTATATTCCCCTTGAGGCAGCAAACTCGGGGTCCCTCCCACATACCTATTGCTGAGAGAAGCCTCCTCCTGAGGTGCTTCTGGGAAGTTGGCATACGTTTTGAGCCTAAGCCAGGGAATCAGCTCGCATCTCGAGACGATTTGGGGTACACGGAGCATTCCTCGAGTTGCTGGGCTGAAGTTGGTGTTCCTCTAGACTTGGGACAGTGTTCTCGGGGCATCTCTGGAGTTGCCTGAAGGAAGTCGAGCCACCGGTCGTGTTGAATGGGGAACGGGGAATGGCTCTGGAGTCAATGCAGGGGAATCGGGCCTCATCTCGAGTTGATTTGGGGCACATGGAGCTGCTTTGCGTTGCTGGGGTGACCTCAGGGTCCGTCTAGACTGGTGACAGTGTTCTTGGGGACTGTCTCGAGATCCATTAAGCAAGTCGAAGCTCCTGACTTGTTTGAATGGGATCACGGAATAGCTCTGCATGCACTGCAGGGGAATGGGGCCTCATCTCGCCTCTAGGGGGAAGTCTCATGGTTTTTCTCGAGTTGCGGCGGGGACCTGGGGTATGTTCTCGACTTACGGCGGGGATGGCCCTTCAAAACACGAGTTTCTTCAGTGACGTCAGGACTCCTGTCTAGTAACGAGGGACACCTCAGGAATCTCTTCGAGGCTTGGCAGGGCCAAAGGGACGCTTCTCGAGGTGAGGCAGGGCACCCAAGGACCCTTTCCAGTAGCCACAGGGATTTTGGGATTCCTATCAGTATTCAAGAGGAGTCAGGCATCGTCACCTTTTGAAGCAATGAACTCCGCGTGCCTCTCGAGGTGTCAGCGGGATGTGAGGCATTCCGTCAAAATGAGGCAGGGACCTAGGGCTTTCTCTAAGGTCTCCACAGGGGATTCAGACATCCCTTCATGTTGTGAGATGAAAGACGAGCCTGTATTCAAGCCACTGGAAGGAAATCCGGCCTCCTTTCAAGTTAGGGCTTCTCGCTGTATATTCCCCTTGAGGCAGCAAACTCGGGGTCCCTCCCACATACCTATTGCTGAGAGAAGTCTCCTCCTGAGGTGCTTCTGGGAAGTTGGCCTATGTCTTGAGCCTAAGCCAGGGAATCAGCTCGCATCTCGAGACGATTTGGGGTACACGGAGCATTCCTCGAGTTGCTGTGCTGAAGTTGGTGTTCCTCTAGACTTGGGACAGTGTTCTCGGGGCATCTCTGGAGTTGCCTGAAGGAAGTCGAGCCACCGGTCGTGTTGAATGGGGAACGGGGAATGGCTCTGGAGTCAATGCAGGGGAATCGGGCCTCATCTCGAGTTGATTTGGGGCACATGGAGCTGCTTTGCGTTGCTGGGGTGACCTCAGGGTCCGTCTAGACTGGTGACAGTGTTCTTGGGGACTGTCTCGAGATCCATTAAGCAAGTCGAAGCTCCTGACTTGTTTGAATGGGATCACGGAATAGCTCTGCATGCACTGCAGGGGAATGGGGCCTCATCTCGCCTCTAGGGGGAAGTCTCATGGTTTTTCTCGAGTTGCGGCGGGGACCTGGGGTATGTTCTCGACTTACGGCGGGGATGGCCCTTCAAAACACGAGTTTCTTCAGTGACGTCAGGACTCCTGTCTAGTAACGAGGGACACCTCAGGAATCTCTTCGAGGCTTGGCAGGGCCAAAGGGACGCTTCTCGAGGTGAGGCAGGGCACCCAAGGACCCTTTCCAGTAGCCACAGGGATTTTGGGATTCCTATCAGTATTCAAGAGGAGTCAGGCATCGTCACCTTTTGAAGCAATGAACTCCGCGTGCCTCTCGAGGTGTCAGCGGGATGTGAGGCATTCCGTCAAAATGAGGCAGGGACCTAGGGCTTTCTCTAAGGTCTCCACAGGGGATTCAGACATCCCTTCATGTTGTGAGATGAAAGACGAGCCTGTATTCAAGCCACTGCAAGGAAATCCGGCCTCCTTTCAAGTTAGGGCTTCTCGCTGTATATTCCCCTTGAGGCAGCAAACTCGGGGTCCCTCCCTCATACCTATTGCTGAGAGAAGCCCCCTCCTGAGGTGCTTCTGGGAAGTTGGCATACGTCTTGAGCCTAAGCCAGGGAATCAGCTCGCATCTCGAGACGATTTGGGGTACACGGAGCATTCCTCGAGTTGCTGTGCTGAAGTTGGTGTTCCTCTAGACTTGGGACAGTGTTCTCGGGGCATCTCTGGAGTTGCCTGAAGGAAGTCGAGCCACCGGTCGTGTTGAATGGGGAACGGGGAATGGCTCTGGAGTCAATGCAGGGGAATCGGGCCTCATCTCGAGTTGATTTGGGGCACATGGAGCTGCTTTGCGTTGCTGGGGTGACGTCAGGGTCCGTCTAGACTGGTGACAGTGTTCTTGGGGACTGTCTCGAGATCCATTAAGCAAGTCGAAGCTCCTGACTTGTTTGAATGGGGTCACGGAATAGCTCTGCATGCACTGCAGGGGAATGGGGCCTCATCTCGCCTCTAGGGGGAAGTCTCATGGTTTTTCTCGAGTTGCGGCGGGGACCTGGGGTATGTTCTCGACTTACGGCGGGGATGGCCCTTCAAAACACGAGTTTCTTCAGTGACGTCAGGACTCCTGTCTAGTAACGAGGGACACCTCAGGAATCTCTTCGAGGCTTGGCAGGGCCAAAGGGACGCTTCTCGAGGTGAGGCAGGGCACCCAAGGACCCTTTCCAGTAGCCACAGGGATTTTGGGATTCCTATCAGTATTCAAGAGGAGTCAGGCATCGTCACCTTTTGAAGCAATGAACTCCGCGTGCCTCTCGAGGTGTCAGCGGGATGTGAGGCATTCCGTCAAAATGAGGCAGGGACCTAGGGCTTTCTCTAAGGTCTCCACAGGGGATTCAGACATCCCTTCATGTTGTGAGATGAAAGACGAGCCTGTATTCAAGCCACTGCAAGGAAATCCGGCCTCCTTTCAAGTTAGGGCTTCTCGCTGTATATTCCCCTTGAGGCAGCAAACTCGGGGTCCCTCCCACATACCTATTGCTGAGAGAAGCCTCCTCCTGAGGTGCTTCTGGGAAGTTGGCATACGTCTTGAGCCTAAGCCAGGGAATCAGCTCGCATCTCGAGACGATTTGGGGTACACGGAGCATTCCTCGAGTTGCTGTGCTGAAGTTGGTGTTCCTCTAGACTTGGGACAGTGTTCTCGGGGCATCTCTGGAGTTGCCTGAAGGAAGTCGAGCCACCGGTCGTGTTGAATGGGGAACGGGGAATGGCTCTGGAGTCAATGCAGGGGAATCGGGCCTCATCTCGAGTTGATTTGGGGCACATGGAGCTGCTTTGCGTTGCTGGGGTGACCTCAGGGTCCGTCTAGACTGGTGACAGTGTTCTTGGGGACTGTCTCGAGATCCATTAAGCAAGTCGAAGCTCCTGACTTGTTTGAATGGGATCACGGAATAGCTCTGCATGCACTGCAGGGGAATGGGGCCTCATCTCGCCTCTAGGGAGAAGTCTCATGGTTTTTCTCGAGTTGCGGCGGGGACCTGGGGTATGTTCTCGACTTACGGCGGGGATGGCCCTTCAAAACACGAGTTTCTTCAGTGACGTCAGGACTCCTGTCTAGTAACGAGGGACACCTCAGGAATCTCTTCGAGGCTTGGCAGGGCCAAAGGGACGCTTCTCGAGGTGAGGCAGGGCACCCAAGGACCCTTTCCAGTAGCCACAGGGATTTTGGGATTCCTATCAGTATTCAAGAGGAGTCAGGCATCGTCACCTTTTGAAGCAATGAACTCCGCGTGCCTCTCGAGGTGTCAGCGGGATGTGAGGCATTCCGTCAAAATGAGGCAGGGACCTAGGGCTTTCTCTAAGGTCTCCACAGGGTATTCAGACATCCCTTCATGTTGTGAGATGAAAGACGAGCCTGTATTCAAGCCACTGCAAGGAAATCCGGCCTCCTTTCACGTTAGGGCTTCTCGCTGTATATTCCCCTTGAGGCAGCAAACTCGGGGTCCCTCCCACATACCTATTGCTGAGAGAAGCCTCCTCCTGAGGTGCTTCTGGGAAGTTGGCATACGTTTTGAGCCTAAGCCAGGGAATCAGCTCGCATCTCGAGACGATATGGGGTACACGGAGCATTCCTCGAGTTGCTGGGCTGAAGTTGGTGTTCCTCTAGACTTGGGACAGTGTTCTCGGGGCATCTCTGGAGTTGCCTGAAGGAAGTCGAGCCACCGGTCGTGTTGAATGGGGAACGGGGAATGGCTCTGGAGTCAATGCAGGGGAATCGGGCCTCATCTCAAGTTGATTTGGGGCACATGGAGCTGCTTTGCGTTGCTGGGGTGACCTCAGGGTCCGTCTAGACTGGTGACAGTGTTCTTGGGGACTGTCTCGAGATCCATTAAGCAAGTCGAAGCTCCTGACTTGTTTGAATGGGATCACGGAATAGCTCTGCATGCACTGCAGGGGAATGGGGCCTCATCTCGCCTCTAGGGGGAAGTCTCATGGTTTTTCTCGAGTTGCGGCGGGGACCTGGGGTATGTTCTCGACTTACGGCGGGGATGGCCCTTCAAAACACGAGTTTCTTCAGTGACGTCAGGACTCCTGTCTAGTAACGAGGGACACCTCAGGAATCTCTTCGAGGCTTGGCAGGGCCAAAGGACGCTTCTCGAGGTGAGGCAGGGCACCCAAGGACCCTTTCCAGTAGCCACAGGGATTTTGGGATTCCTATCAGTATTCAAGAGGAGTCAGGCATCGTCACCTTTTGAAGCAATGAACTCCGCGTGCCTCTCGAGGTGTCAGCGGGATGTGAGGCATTCCGTCAAAATGAGGCAGGGACCTAGGGCTTTCTCTAAGGTCTCCACAGGGGATTCAGACATCCCTTCATGTTGTGAGATGAAAGACGAGCCTGTATTCAAGCCACTGCAAGGAAATCCGGCCTCCTTTCAAGTTAGGGCTCGCTGTATATTCCCCTTGAGGCAGCAAACTCGGGGTCCCTCCCACATACCTATTGCTGAGAGAAGCCTCCTCCTGAGGTGCTTCTGGGAAGTTGGCATACGTCTTGAGCCTAAGCCAGGGAATCAGCTCGCATCTCGAGACGATTTGGGGTACACGGAGCATTCCTCGAGTTGCTGTGCTGAAGTTGGTGTTCCTCTAGACTTGGGACAGTGTTCTCGGGGCATCTCTGGAGTTGCCTGAAGGAAGTCGAGCCACCGGTCGTGTTGAATGGGGAACGGGGAATGGCTCTGGAGTCAATGCAGGGGAATCGGGCCTCATCTCGAGTTGATTTGGGGCACATGGAGCTGCTTTGCGTTGCTGGGGTGACCTCAGGGTCCGTCTAGACTGGTGACAGTGTTCTTGGGGACTGTCTCGAGATCCATTAAGCAAGTCGAAGCTCCTGACTTGTTTGAATGGGATCACGGAATAGCTCTGCATGCACTGCAGGGGAATGGGGCCTCATCTCGCCTCTAGGGGGAAGTCTCATGGTTTTTCTCGAGTTGCGGCGGGGACCTGGGGTATGTTCTCGACTTACGGCGGGGATGGCCCTTCAAAACACGAGTTTCTTCAGTGACGTCAGGACTCCTGTCTAGTAACGAGGGACACCTCAGGAATCTCTTCGAGGCTTGGCAGGGCCAAAGGGACGCTTCTCGAGGTGAGGCAGGGCACCCAAGGACCCTTTCCAGTAGCCACAGGGATTTTGGGATTCCTATCAGTATTCAAGAGGAGTCAGGCATCGTCACCTTTTGAAGCAATGAACTCCGCGTGCCTCTCGAGGTGTCAGCGGGATGTGAGGCATTCCGTCAAAATGAGGCAGGGACCTAGGGCTTTCTCTAAGGTCTCCACAGGGGATTCAGACATCCCTTCATGTTGTGAGATGAAAGACGAGCCTGTATTCAAGCCACTGCAAGGAAATCCGGCCTCCTTTCAAGTTAGGGCTTCTCGCTGTATATTCCCCTTGAGGCAGCAAACTCGGGGTCCCTCCCACATACCTATTGCTGAGAGAAGCCTCCTCCTGAGGTGCTTCTGGGAAGTTGGCATACGTTTTGAGCCTAAGCCAGGGAATCAGCTCGCATCTCGAGACGATTTGGGGTACACGGAGCATTCCTCGAGTTGCTGGGCTGAAGTTGGTGTTCCTCTAGACTTGGGACAGTGTTCTCGGGGCATCTCTGGAGTTGCCTGAAGGAAGTCGAGCCACCGGTCGTGTTGAATGGGGAACGGGGAATGGCTCTGGAGTCAATGCAGGGGAATCGGGCCTCATCTCGAGTTGATTTGGGGCACATGGAGCTGCTTTGCGTTGCTGGGGTGACCTCAGGGTCCGTCTAGACTGGTGACAGTGTTCTTGGGGACTGTCTCGAGATCCATTAAGCAAGTCGAAGCTCCTGACTTGTTTGAATGGGATCATGGAATAGCTCTGCATGCACTGCAGGGGAATGGGGCCTCATCTCGCCTCTAGGGCGAAGTCTCATGGTTTTTCTCGAGTTGCGGCGGGGACCTGGGGTATGTTCTCGACTTACGGCGGGGATGGCCCTTCAAAACACGAGTTTCTTCAGTGACGTCAGGACTCCTGTCTAGTAACGAGGGACACCTCAGGAATCTCTTCGAGGCTTGGCAGGGCCAAAGGGACGCTTCTCGAGGTGAGGCAGGGCACCCAAGGACCCTTTCCAGTAGCCACAGGGATTTTGGGATTCCTATCAGTATTCAAGAGGAGTCAGGCATCGTCACCTTTTGAAGCAATGAACTCCGCGTGCCTCTCGAGGTGTCAGCGGGATGTGAGGCATTCCGTCAAAATGAGGCAGGGACCTAGGGCTTTCTCTAAGGTCTCCACAGGGGATTCAGACATCCCTTCATGTTGTGAGATGAAAGACGAGCCTGTATTCAAGCCACTGCAAGGAAATCCGGCCTCCTTTCAAGTTAGGGCTTCTCGCTGTATATTCCCCTTGAGGCAGCAAACTCGGGGTCCCTCCCACATACCTATTGCTGAGAGAAGCCCCCTCCTGAGGTGCTTCTGGGAAGTTGGCATACGTCTTGAGCCTAAGCCAGGGAATCAGCTCGCATCTCGAGACGATTTGGGGTACACGGAGCATTCCTCGAGTTGCTGTGCTGAAGTTGGTGTTCCTCTAGACTTGGGACAGTGTTCTCGGGGCATCTCTGGAGTTGCCTGAAGGAAGTCGAGCCACCGGTCGTGTTGAATGGGGAACGGGGAATGGCTCTGGAGTCAATGCAGGGGAATCGGGCCTCATCTCGAGTTGATTTGGGGCACATGGAGCTGCTTTGCATTGCTGGGGTGACCTCAGGGTCCGTCTAGACTGGTGACAGTGTTCTTGGGGACTGTCTCGAGATCCATTAAGCAAGTCGAAGCTCCTGACTTGTTTGAATGGGGTCACGGAATAGCTCTGCATGCACTGCAGGGGAATGGGGCCTCATCTCGCCTCTAGGGGGAAGTCTCATGGTTTTTCTCGAGTTGCGGCGGGGACCTGGGGTATGTTCTCGACTTACGGCGGGGATGGCCCTTCAAAACACGAGTTTCTTCAGTGACGTCAGGACTCCTGTCTAGTAACGAGGGACACCTCAGGAATCTCTTCGAGGCTTGGCAGGGCCAAAGGGACGCTTCTCGAGGTGAGGCAGGGCACCCAAGGACCCTTTCCAGTAGCCACAGGGATTTTGGGATTCCTATCAGTATTCAAGAGGAGTCAGGCATCGTCACCTTTTGAAGCAATGAACTCCGCGTGCCTCTCGAGGTGTCAGCGGGATGTGAGGCATTCCGTCAAAATGAGGCAGGGACCTAGGGCTTTCTCTAAGGTCTCCACAGGGGATTCAGACATCCCTTCATGTTGTGAGATGAAAGACGAGCCTGTATTCAAGCCACTGCAAGGAAATCCGGCCTCCTTTCTAGTTAGGGCTTCTCGCTGTATATTCCCCTTGAGGCAGCAAACTCGGGGTCCCTCCCACATACCTATTGCTGAGAGAAGCCTCCTCCTGAGGTGCTTCTGGGAAGTTGGCATACGTCTTGAGCCTAAGCCAGGGAATCAGCTCGCATCTCGAGACGATTTGGGGTACACGGAGCATTCCTCGTGTTGCTGTGCTGAAGTTGGTGTTCCTCTAGACTTGGGACAGTGTTCTCGGGGCATCTCTGGAGTTGCCTGAAGGAAGTCGAGCCACCGGTCGTGTTGAATGGGGAACGGGGAATGGCTCTGGAGTCAATGCAGGGGAATCGGGCCTCATCTCGAGTTGATTTGGGGCACATGGAGCTGCTTTGCGTTGCTGGGGTGACCTCAGGGTCCGTCTAGACTGGTGACAGTGTTCTTGGGGACTGTCTCGAGATCCATTAAGCAAGTCGAAGCTCCTGACTTGTTTGAATGGGGTCACGGAATAGCTCTGCATGCACTGCAGGGGAATGGGGCCTCATCTCGCCTCTAGGGGGAAGTCTCATGGTTTTTCTCGAGTTGCGGCGGGGACCTGGGGTATGTTCTCGACTTACGGCGGGGATGGCCCTTCAAAACACGAGTTTCTTCAGTGACGTCAGGACTCCTGTCTAGTAACGAGGGACACCTCAGGAATCTCTTCGAGGCTTGGCAGGGCCAAAGGGACGCTTCTCGAGGTGAGGCAGGGCACCCAAGGACCCTTTCCAGTAGCCACAGGGATTTTGGGATTCCTATCAGTATTCAAGAGGAGTCAGGCATCGTCACCTTTTGAAGCAATGAACTCCGCGTGCCTCTCGAGGTGTCAGCGGGATGTGAGGCATTCCGTCAAAATGAGGCAGGGACCTAGGGCTTTCTCTAAGGTCTCCACAGGGGATTCAGACATCCCTTCATGTTGTGAGATGAAAGACGAGCCTGTATTCAAGCCACTGGAAGGAAATCCGGCCTCCTTTCAAGTTAGGGCTTCTCGCTGTATATTCCCTTTGAGGCAGCAAACTCGGGGTCCCTCCCACATACCTATTGCTGAGAGAAGTCTCCTCCTGAGGTGCTTCTGGGAAGTTGGCCTATGTCTTGAGCCTAAGCCAGGGAATCAGCTCGCATCTCGAGACGATTTGGGGTACACGGAGCATTCCTCGAGTTGCTGTGCTGAAGTTGGTGTTCCTCTAGACTTGGGACAGTGTTCTCGGGGCATCTCTGGAGTTGCCTGAAGGAAGTCGAGCCACCGGTCGTGTTGAATGGGGAACGGGGAATGGCTCTGGAGTCAATGCAGGGGAATCGGGCCTCATCTCGAGTTGATTTGGGGCACATGGAGCTGCTTTGCGTTGCTGGGGTGACCTCAGGGTCCGTCTAGACTGGTGACAGTGTTCTTGGGGACTGTCTCGAGATCCATTAAGCAAGTCGAAGCTCCTGACTTGTTTGAATGGGATCACGGAATAGCTCTGCATGCACTGCAGGGGAATGGGGCCTCATCTCGCCTCTAGGGGGAAGTCTCATGGTTTTTCTCGAGTTGCGGCGGGGACCTGGGGTATGTTCTCGACTTACGGCGGGGATGGCCCTTCAAAACACGAGTTTCTTCAGTGACGTCAGGACTCCTGTCTAGTAACGAGGGACACCTCAGGAATCTCTTCGAGGCTTGGCAGGGCCAAAGGGACGCTTCTCGAGGTGAGGCAGGGCACCCAAGGACCCTTTCCAGTAGCCACAGGGATTTTGGGATTCCTATCAGTATTCAAGAGGAGTCAGGCATCGTCACCTTTTGAAGCAATGAACTCCGCGTGCCTCTCGAGGTGTCAGCGGGATGTGAGGCATTCCGTCAAAATGAGGCAGGGACCTAGGGCTTTCTCTAAGGTCTCCACAGGGGATTCAGACATCCCTTCATGTTGTGAGATGAAAGACGAGCCTGTATTCAAGCCACTGGAAGGAAATCCGGCCTCCTTTCAAGTTAGGGCTTCTCGCTGTATATTCCCTTTGAGGCAGCAAACTCGGGGTCCCTCCCACATACCTATTGCTGAGAGAAGTCTCCTCCTGAGGTGCTTCTGGGAAGTTGGCCTATGTCTTGAGCCTAAGCCAGGGAATCAGCTCGCATCTCGAGACGATTTGGGGTACACGGAGCATTCCTCGAGTTGCTGTGCTGAAGTTGGTGTTCCTCTAGACTTGGGACAGTGTTCTCGGGGCATCTCTGGAGTTGCCTGAAGGAAGTCGAGCCACCGGTCGTGTTGAATGGGGAACGGGGAATGGCTCTGGAGTCAATGCAGGGGAATCGGGCCTCATCTCGAGTTGATTTGGGGCACATGGAGCTGCTTTGCGTTGCTGGGGTGACCTCAGGGTCCGTCTAGACTGGTGACAGTGTTCTTGGGGACTGTCTCGAGATCCATTAAGCAAGTCGAAGCTCCTGACTTGTTTGAATGAGATCACGGAATAGCTCTGCATGCACTGCAGGGGAATGGGGCCTCATCTCGCCTCTAGGGGGAAGTCTCATGGTTTTTCTCGAGTTGCGGCGGGGACCTGGGGTATGTTCTCGACTTACGGCGGGGATGGCCCTTCAAAACACGAGTTTCTTCAGTGACGTCAGGACTTCTGTCTAGTAACGAGGGACACCTCAGGAATCTCTTCGAGGCTTGGCAGGGCCAAAGGGACGCTTCTCGAGGTGAGGCAGGGCACCCAAGGACCCTTTCCAGTAGCCACAGGGATTTTGGGATTCCTATCAGTATTCAAGAGGAGTCAGGCATCGTCACCTTTTGAAGCAATGAACTCCGCGTGCCTCTCGAGGTGTCAGCGGGATGTGAGGCATTCCGTCAAAATGAGGCAGGGACCTAGGGCTTTCTCTAAGGTCTCCACAGGGGATTCAGACATCCCTTCATGTTGTGAGATGAAAGACGAGCCTGTATTCAAGCCACTGGAAGGAAATCCGGCCTCCTTTCAAGTTAGGGCTTCTCGCTGTATGTTCCCTTTGAGGCAGCAAACTCGGGGTCCCTCCCACATACCTATTGCTGAGAGAAGTCTCCTCCTGAGTTGCTTCTGGGAAGTTGGCCTATGTCTTGAGCCTAAGCCAGGGAATCAGCTCGCATCTCGAGACGATTTGGGGTACACGGAGCATTCCTCGAGTTGCTGTGCTGAAGTTGGTGTTCCTCTAGACTTGGGACAGTGTTCTCGGGGCATCTCTGGAGTTGCCTGAAGGAAGTCGAGCCACCGGTCGTGTTGAATGGGGAACGGGGAATGGCTCTGGAGTCAATGCAGGGGAATCGGGCCTCATCTCGAGTTGATTTGGGGCACATGGAGCTGCTTTGCGTTGCTGGGGTGACCTCAGGGTCCGTCTAGACTGGTGACAGTGTTCTTGGGGACTGTCTCGAGATCCATTAAGCAAGTCGAAGCTCCTGACTTGTTTGAATGGGATCACGGAATAGCTCTGCATGCACTGCAGGGGAATGGGGCCTCATCTCGCCTCTAGGGGGAAGTCTCATGGTTTTTCTCGAGTTGCGGCGGGGACCTGGGGTATGTTCTCGACTTATGGCGGGGATGGCCCTTCAAAACACGAGTTTCTTCAGTGACGTCAGGACTCCTGTCTAGTAACGAGGGACACCTCAGGAATCTCTTCGAGGCTTGGCAGGGCCAAAGGGACGCTTCTCGAGGTGAGGCAGGGCACCCAAGGACCCTTTCCAGTAGCCACAGGGATTTTGGGATTCCTATCAGTATTCAAGAGGAGTCAGGCATCGTCACCTTTTGAAGCAATGAACTCCGCGTGCCTCTCGAGGTGTCAGCGGGATGTGAGGCATTCCGTCAAAATGAGGCAGGGACCTAGGGCTTTCTCTAAGGTCTCCACAGGGGATTCAGACATCCCTTCATGTTGTGAGATGAAAGACGAGCCTGTATTCAAGCCACTGCAAGGAAATCCGGCCTCCTTTCAAGTTAGGGCTTCTCGCTGTGTATTCCCCTTGAGGCAGCAAACTCGGGGTCCCTCCCACATACCTATTGCTGAGAGAAGCCCCCTCCTGAGGTGCTTCTGGGAAGTTGGCATACGTCTTGAGCCTAAGCCAGGGAATCAGCTCGCATCTCGAGACGATTTGGGGTACACGGAGCATTCCTCGAGTTGCTGTGCTGAAGTTGGTGTTCCTCTAGACTTGGGACAGTGTTCTCGGGGCATCTCTGGAGTTGCCTGAAGGAAGTCGAGCCACCGGTCGTGTTGAATGGGGAACGGGGAATGGCTCTGGAGTCAATGCAGGGGAATCGGGCCTCATCTCGAGTTGATTTGGGGCACATGGAGCTGCTTTGCGTTGCTGGGGTGACCTCAGGGTCCGTCTAGACTGGTGACAGTGTTCTTGGGGAGTGTCTCGAGATCCATTAAGCAAGTCGAAGCTCCTGACTTGTTTGAATGGGGTCACGGAATAGCTCTGCATGCACTGCAGGGGAATGGGGCCTCATCTCGCCTCTAGGGGGAAGTCTCATGGTTTTTCTCGAGTTGCGGCGGGGACCTGGGGTATGTTCTCGACTTACGGCGGGGATGGCCCTTCAAAACACGAGTTTCTTCAGTGACGTCAGGACTCCTGTCTAGTAACGAGGGACACCTCAGGAATCTCTTCGAGGCTTGGCAGGGCCAAAGGGACGCTTCTCGAGGTGAGGCAGGGCACCCAAGGACCCTTTCCAGTAGCCACAGGGATTTTGGGATTCCTATCAGTATTCAAGAGGAGTCAGGCATCGTCACCTTTTGAAGCAATGAACTCCGCGTGCCTCTCGAGGTGTCAGCGGGATGTGAGGCATTCCGTCAAAATGAGGCAGGGACCTAGGGCTTTCTCTAAGGTCTCCACAGGGGATTCAGACATCCCTTCATGTTGTGAGATGAAAGACGAGCCTATATTCAAGCCACTGCAAGGAAATCCGGCCTCCTTTCAAGTTAGGGCTTCTCGCTGTATATTCCCCTTGAGGCAGCAAACTCGGGGTCCCTCCCACATACCTATTGCTGAGAGAAGCCCCCTCCTGAGGTGCTTCTGGGAAGTTGGCATACGTCTTGAGCCTAAGCCAGGGAATCAGCTCGCATCTCGAGACGATTTGGGGTACACGGAGCATTCCTCGAGTTGCTGTGCTGAAGTTGGTGTTCCTCTAGACTTGGGACAGTGTTCTCGGGGCATCTCTGGAGTTGCCTGAAGGAAGTCGATCCACCGGTCGTGTTGAATGGGGAACGGGGAATGGCTCTGGAGTCAATGCAGGGGAATCGGGCCTCATCTCGAGTTGATTTGGGGCACATGGAGCTGCTTTGCGTTGCTGGGGTGACCTCAGGGTCCGTCTAGACTGGTGACAGTGTTCTTGGGGACTGTCTCGAGATCCATTAAGCAAGTCGAAGCTCCTGACTTGTTTGAATGGGGTCACGGAATAGCTCTGCATGCACTGCAGGGGAATGGGGCCTCATCTCGCCTCTAGGGGGAAGTCTCATGGTTTTTCTCGAGTTGCGGCGGGGACCTGGGGTATGTTCTCGACTTACGGCGGGGATGGCCCTTCAAAACACGAGTTTCTTCAGTGACGTCAGGACTCCTGTCTAGTAACGAGGGACACCTCAGGAATCTCTTCGAGGCTTGGCAGGGCCAAAGGGACGCTTCTCGAGGTGAGGCAGGGCACCCAAGGACCCTTTCCAGTAGCCACAGGGATTTTGGGATTCCTATCAGTATTCAAGAGGAGTCAGGCATCGTCACCTTTTGAAGCAATGAACTCCGCGTGCCTCTCGAGGTGTCAGCGGGATGTGAGGCATTCCGTCAAAATGAGGCAGGGACCTAGGGCTTTCTCTAAGGTCTCCACAGGGGATTCAGACATCCCTTCATGTTGTGAGATGAAAGACGAGCCTGTATTCAAGCCACTGCAAGGAAATCCGGCCTCCTTTCACGTTAGGGCTTCTCGCTGTATATTCCCCTTGAGGCAGCAAACTCGGGGTCCCTCCCACATACCTATTGCTGAGAGAAGCCTCCTCCTGAGGTGCTTCTGGGAAGTTGGCATACGTCTTGAGCCTAAGCCAGGGAATCAGCTCGCATCTCGAGACGATTTGGGGTACACGGAGCATTCCTCGAGTTGCTGTGCTGAAGTTGGTGTTCCTCTAGCCTTGGGACAGTGTTCTCGGGGCATCTCTGGAGTTGCCTGAAGGAAGTCGAGCCACCGGTCGTGTTGAATGGGGAACGGGGAATGGCTCTGGAGTCAATGCAGGGGAATCGGGCCTCATCTCGAGTTGATTTGGGGCACATGGAGCTGCTTTGCGTTGCTGGGGTGACCTTAGGGTCCGTCTAGACTGGTGACAGTGTTCTTGGGGACTGTCTCGAGATCCATTAAGCAAGTCGAAGCTCCTGACTTGTTTGAATGGGGTCACGGAATAGCTCTGCATGCACTGCAGGGGAATGGGGCCTCATCTCGCCTCTAGGGGGAAGTCTCATGGTTTTTCTCGAGTTGCGGCGGGGACCTGGGGTATGTTCTCGACTTACGGCGGGGATGGCCCTTCAAAACACGAGTTTCTTCAGTGACGTCAGGACTCCTGTCTAGTAACGAGGGACACCTCAGGAATCTCTTCGAGGCTTGGCAGGGCCAAAGGGACGCTTCTCGAGGTGAGGCAGGGCACCCAAGGACCCTTTCCAGTAGCCACAGGGATTTTGGGATTCCTATCAGTATTCAAGAGGAGTCAGGCATCGTCACCTTTTGAAGCAATGAACTCCGCGTGCCTCTCGAGGTGTCAGCGGGATGTGAGGCATTCCGTCAAAATGAGGCAGGGACCTAGGGCTTTCTCTAAGGTCTCCACAGGGGATTCAGACATCCCTTCATGTTGTGAGATGAAAGACGAGCCTGTATTCAAGCCACTGCAAGGAAATCCGGCCTCCTTTCACGTTAGGGCTTCTCGCTGTATATTCCCCTTGAGGCAGCAAACTCGGGGTCCCTCCCACATACCTATTGCTGAGAGAAGCCTCCTCCTGAGGTGCTTCTGGGAAGTTGGCATACGTTTTGAGCCTAAGCCAGGGAATCAGCTCGCATCTCGAGACGATTTGGGGTACACGGAGCATTCCTCGAGTTGCTGGGCTGAAGTTGGTGTTCCTCTAGACTTGGGACAGTGTTCTCGGGGCATCTCTGGAGTTGCCTGAAGGAAGTCGAGCCACCGGTCGTGTTGAATGGGGAACGGGGAATGGCTCTGGAGTCAATGCAGGGGAATCGGGCCTCATCTCGAGTTGATTTGGGGCACATGGAGCTGCTTTGCGTTGCTGGGGTGACCTCAGGGTCCGTCTAGACTGGTGACAGTGTTCTTGGGGACTGTCTCGAGATCCATTAAGCAAGTCGAAGCTCCTGACTTGTTTGAATGGGATCACGGAATAGCTCTGCATGCACTGCAGGGGAATGGGGCCTCATCTCGCCTCTAGGGGGAAGTCTCATGGTTTTTCTCGAGTTGCGGCGGGGACCTGGGGTATGTTCTCGACTTACGGCGGGGATGGCCCTTCAAAACACGAGTTTCTTCAGTGACGTCAGGACTCCTGTCTAGTAACGAGGGACACCTCAGGAATCTCTTCGAGGCTTGGCAGGGCCAAAGGGACGCTTCTCGAGGTGAGGCAGGGCACCCAAGGACCCTTTCCAGTAGCCACAGGGATTTTGGGATTCCTATCAGTATTCAAGAGGAGTCAGGCATCGTCACCTTTTGAAGCAATGAACTCCGCGTGCCTCTCGAGGTGTCAGCGGGATGTGAGGCATTCCGTCAAAATGAGGCAGGGACCTAGGGCTTTCTCTAAGGTCTCCACAGGGGATTCAGACATCCCTTCATGTTGTGAGATGAAAGACGAGCCTGTATTCAAGCCACTGGAAGGAAATCCGGCCTCCTTTCAAGTTAGGGCTTCTCGCTGTATATTCCCTTTGAGGCAGCAAACTCGGGGTCCCTCCCACATACCTATTGCTGAGAGAAGTCTCCTCCTGAGGTGCTTCTGGGAAGTTGGCATACGTCTTGAGCCTAAGCCAGGGAATCAGCTCGCATCTCGAGACGATTTGGGGTACACGGAGCATTCCTCGAGTTGCTGTGCTGAAGTTGGTGTTCCTCTAGACTTGGGACAGTGTTCTCGGGGCATCTCTGGAGTTGCCTGAAGGAAGTCGAGCCACCGGTCGTGTTGAATGGGGAACGGGGAATGGCTCTGGAGTCAATGCAGGGGAATCGGGCCTCATCTCGAGTTGATTTGGGGCACATGGAGCTGCTTTGCGTTGCTGGGGTGACCTCAGGGTCCGTCTAGACTGGTGACAGTGTTCTTGGGGACTGTCTCGAGATCCATTAAGCAAGTCGAAGCTCCTGACTTGTTTGAATGGGATCATGGAATAGCTCTGCATGCACTGCAGGGGAATGGGGCCTCATCTCGCCTCTAGGGCGAAGTCTCATGGTTTTTCTCGAGTTGCGGCGGGGACCTGGGGTATGTTCTCGACTTACGGCGGGGATGGCCCTTCAAAACACGAGTTTCTTCAGTGACGTCAGGACTCCTGTCTAGTAACGAGGGACACCTCAGGAATCTCTTCGAGGCTTGGCAGGGCCAAAGGGACGCTTCTCGAGGTGAGGCAGGGCACCCAAGGACCCTTTCCAGTAGCCACAGGGATTTTGGGATTCCTATCAGTATTCAAGAGGAGTCAGGCATCGTCACCTTTTGAAGCAATGAACTCCGCGTGCCTCTCGAGGTGTCAGCGGGATGTGAGGCATTCCGTCAAAATGAGGCAGGGACCTAGGGCTTTCTCTAAGGTCTCCACAGGGGATTCAGACATCCCTTCATGTTGTGAGATGAAAGACGAGCCTGTATTCAAGCCACTGCAAGGAAATCCGGCCTCCTTTCAAGTTAGGGCTTCTCGCTGTATATTCCCCTTGAGGCAGCAAACTCGGGGTCCCTCCCACATACCTATTGCTGAGAGAAGCCCCCTCCTGAGGTGCTTCTGGGAAGTTGGCATACGTCTTGAGCCTAAGCCAGGGAATCAGCTCGCATCTCGAGACGATTTGGGGTACACGGAGCATTCCTCGAGTTGCTGTGCTGAAGTTGGTGTTCCTCTAGACTTGGGACAGTGTTCTCGGGGCATCTCTGGAGTTGCCTGAAGGAAGTCGAGCCACCGGTCGTGTTGAATGGGGAACGGGGAATGGCTCTGGAGTCAATGCAGGGGAATCGGGCCTCATCTCGAGTTGATTTGGGGCACATGGAGCTGCTTTGCGTTGCTGGGGTGACCTCAGGGTCCGTCTAGACTGGTGACAGTGTTCTTGGGGACTGTCTCGAGATCCATTAAGCAAGTCGAAGCTCCTGACTTGTTTGAATGGGGTCACGGAATAGCTCTGCATGCACTGCAGGGGAATGGGGCCTCATCTCGCCTCTAGGGGGAAGTCTCATGGTTTTTCTCGAGTTGCGGCGGGGACCTGGGGTATGTTCTCGACTTACGGCGGGGATGGCCCTTCAAAACACGAGTTTCTTCAGTGACGTCAGGACTCCTGTCTAGTAACGAGGGACACCTCAGGAATCTCTTCGAGGCTTGGCAGGGCCAAAGGGACGCTTCTCGAGGTGAGGCAGGGCACCCAAGGACCCTTTCCAGTAGCCACAGGGATTTTGGGATTCCTATCAGTATTCAAGAGGAGTCAGGCATCGTCACCTTTTGAAGCAATGAACTCCGCGTGCCTCTCGAGGTGTCAGCGGGATGTGAGGCATTCCGTCAAAATGAGGCAGGGACCTAGGGCTTTCTCTAAGGTCTCCACAGGGGATTCAGACATCCCTTCATGTTGTGAGATGAAAGACGAGCCTGTATTCAAGCCACTGCAAGGAAATCCGGCCTCCTTTCAAGTTAGGGCTTCTCGCTGTATATTCCCCTTGAGGCAGCAAACTCGGGGTCCCTCCCACATACCTATTGCTGAGAGAAGCCCCCTCCTGAGGTGCTTCTGGGAAGTTGGCATACGTCTTGAGCCTAAGCCAGGGAATCAGCTCGCATCTCGAGACGATTTGGGGTACACGGAGCATTCCTCGAGTTGCTGTGCTGAAGTTGGTGTTCCTCTAGACTTGGGACAGTGTTCTCGGGGCATCTCTGGAGTTGCCTGAAGGAAGTCGAGCCACCGGTCGTGTTGAATGGGGAACGGGGAATGGCTCTGGAGTCAATGCAGGGGAATCGGGCCTCATCTCGAGTTGATTTGGGGCACATGGAGCTGCTTTGCGTTGCTGGGGTGACCTCAGGGTCCGTCTAGACTGGTGACAGTGTTCTTGGGGACTGTCTCGAGATCCATTAAGCAAGTCGAAGCTCCTGACTTGTTTGAATGGGGTCACGGAATAGCTCTGCATGCACTGCAGGGGAATGGGGCCTCATCTCGCCTCTAGGGGGAAGTCTCATGGTTTTTCTCGAGTTGCGGCGGGGACCTGGGGTATGTTCTCGACTTACGGCGGGGATGGCCCTTCAAAACACGAGTTTCTTCAGTGACGTCAGGACTCCTGTCTAGTAACGAGGGACACCTCAGGAATCTCTTCGAGGCTTGGCAGGGCCAAAGGGACGCTTCTCGAGGTGAGGCAGGGCACCCAAGGACCCTTTCCAGTAGCCACAGGGATTTTGGGATTCCTATCAGTATTCAAGAGGAGTCAGGCATCGTCACCTTTTGAAGCAATGAACTCCGCGTGCCTCTCGAGGTGTCAGCGGGATGTGAGGCATTCCGTCAAAATGAGGCAGGGACCTAGGGCTTTCTCTAAGGTCTCCACAGGGGATTCAGACATCCCTTCATGTTGTGAGATGAAAGACGAGCCTGTATTCAAGCCACTGCAAGGAAATCCGGCCTCCTTTCTAGTTAGGGCTTCTCGCTGTATATTCCCCTTGAGGCAGCAAACTCGGGGTCCCTCCCACATACCTATTGCTGAGAGAAGCCTCCTCCTGAGGTGCTTCTGGGAAGTTGGCATACGTCTTGAGCCTAAGCCAGGGAATCAGCTCGCATCTCGAGACGATTTGGGGTACACGGAGCATTCCTCGAGTTGCTGTGCTGAAGTTGGTGTTCCTCTAGACTTGGGACAGTGTTCTCGGGGCATCTCTGGAGTTGCCTGAAGGAAGTCGAGCCACCGGTCGTGTTGAATGGGGAACGGGGAATGGCTCTGGAGTCAATGCAGGGGAATCGGGCCTCATCTCGAGTTGATTTGGGGCACATGGAGCTGCTTTGCGTTGCTGGGGTGACCTCAGGGTCCGTCTAGACTGGTGACAGTGTTCTTGGGGACTGTCTCGAGATCCATTAAGCAAGTCGAAGCTCCTGACTTGTTTGAATGGGGTCACGGAATAGCTCTGCATGCACTGCAGGGGAATGGGGCCTCATCTCGCCTCTAGGGGGAAGTCTCATGGTTTTTCTCGAGTTGCGGCGGGGACCTGGGGTATGTTCTCGACTTACGGCGGGGATGGCCCTTCAAAACACGAGTTTCTTCAGTGACGTCAGGACTCCTGTCTAGTAACGAGGGACACCTCAGGAATCTCTTCGAGGCTTGGCAGGGCCAAAGGGACGCTTCTCGAGGTGAGGCAGGGCACCCAAGGACCCTTTCCAGTAGCCACAGGGATTTTGGGATTCCTATCAGTATTCAAGAGGAGTCAGGCATCGTCACCTTTTGAAGCAATGAACTCCGCGTGCCTCTCGAGGTGTCAGCGGGATGTGAGGCATTCCGTCAAAATGAGGCAGGGACCTAGGGCTTTCTCTAAGGTCTCCACAGGGGATTCAGACATCCCTTCATGTTGTGAGATGAAAGACGAGCCTGTATTCAAGCCACTGGAAGGAAATCCGGCCTCCTTTCAAGTTAGGGCTTCTCGCTGTATATTCCCTTTGAGGCAGCAAACTCGGGGTCCCTCCCACATACCTATTGCTGAGAGAAGTCTCCTCCTGAGGTGCTTCTGGGAAGTTGGCCTATGTCTTGAGCCTAAGCCAGGGAATCAGCTCGCATCTCGAGACGATTTGGGGTACACGGAGCATTCCTCGAGTTGCTGTGCTGAAGTTGGTGTTCCTCTAGACTTGGGACAGTGTTCTCGGGGCATCTCTGGAGTTGCCTGAAGGAAGTCGAGCCACCGGTCGTGTTGAATGGGGAACGGGGAATGGCTCTGGAGTCAATGCAGGGGAATCGGGCCTCATCTCGAGTTGATTTGGGGCACATGGAGCTGCTTTGCGTTGCTGGGGTGACCTCAGGGTCCGTCTAGACTGGTGACAGTGTTCTTGGGGACTGTCTCGAGATCCATTAAGCAAGTCGAAGCTCCTGACTTGTTTGAATGGGATCACGGAATAGCTCTGCATGCACTGCAGGGGAATGGGGCCTCATCTCGCCTCTAGGGGGAAGTCTCATGGTTTTTCTCGAGTTGCGGCGGGGACCTGGGGTATGTTCTCGACTTACGGCGGGGATGGCCCTTCAAAACACGAGTTTCTTCAGTGACGTCAGGACTCCTGTCTAGTAACGAGGGACACCTCAGGAATCTCTTCGAGGCTTGGCAGGGCCAAAGGGACGCTTCTCGAGGTGAGGCAGGGCACCCAAGGACCCTTTCCAGTAGCCACAGGGATTTTGGGATTCCTATCAGTATTCAAGAGGAGTCAGGCATCGTCACCTTTTGAAGCAATGAACTCCGCGTGCCTCTCGAGGTGTCAGCGGGATGTGAGGCATTCCGTCAAAATGAGGCAGGGACCTAGGGCTTTCTCTAAGGTCTCCACAGGGGATTCAGACATCCCTTCATGTTGTGAGATGAAAGACGAGCCTGTATTCAAGCCACTGGAAGGAAATCCGGCCTCCTTTCAAGTTAGGGCTTCTCGCTGTATATTCCCTTTGAGGCAGCAAACTCGGGGTCCCTCCCACATACCTATTGCTGAGAGAAGTCTCCTCCTGAGGTGCTTCTGGGAAGTTGGCCTATGTCTTGAGCCTAAGCCAGGGAATCAGCTCGCATCTCGAGACGATTTGGGGTACACGGAGCATTCCTCGAGTTGCTGTGCTGAAGTTGGTGTTCCTCTAGACTTGGGACAGTGTTCTCGGGGCATCTCTGGAGTTGCCTGAAGGAAGTCGAGCCACCGGTCGTGTTGAATGGGGAACGGGGAATGGCTCTGGAGTCAATGCAGGGGAATCGGGCCTCATCTCGAGTTGATTTGGGGCACATGGAGCTGCTTTGCGTTGCTGGGGTGACCTCAGGGTCCGTCTAGACTGGTGACAGTGTTCTTGGGGACTGTCTCGAGATCCATTAAGCAAGTCGAAGCTCCTGACTTGTTTGAATGAGATCACGGAATAGCTCTGCATGCACTGCAGGGGAATGGGGCCTCATCTCGCCTCTAGGGGGAAGTCTCATGGTTTTTCTCGAGTTGCGGCGGGGACCTGGGGTATGTTCTCGACTTACGGCGGGGATGGCCCTTCAAAACACGAGTTTCTTCAGTGACGTCAGGACTCCTGTCTAGTAACGAGGGACACCTCAGGAATCTCTTCGAGGCTTGGCAGGGCCAAAGGGACGCTTCTCGAGGTGAGGCAGGGCACCCAAGGACCCTTTCCAGTAGCCACAGGGATTTTGGGATTCCTATCAGTATTCAAGAGGAGTCAGGCATCGTCACCTTTTGAAGCAATGAACTCCGCGTGCCTCTCGAGGTGTCAGCGGGATGTGAGGCATTCCGTCAAAATGAGGCAGGGACCTAGGGCTTTCTCTAAGGTCTCCACAGGGGATTCAGACATCCCTTCATGTTGTGAGATGAAAGACGAGCCTGTATTCAAGCCACTGGAAGGAAATCCGGCCTCCTTTCAAGTTAGGGCTTCTCGCTGTATGTTCCCTTTGAGGCAGCAAACTCGGGGTCCCTCCCACATACCTATTGCTGAGAGAAGTCTCCTCCTGAGTTGCTTCTGGGAAGTTGGCCTATGTCTTGAGCCTAAGCCAGGGAATCAGCTCGCATCTCGAGACGATTTGGGGTACACGGAGCATTCCTCGAGTTGCTGTGCTGAAGTTGGTGTTCCTCTAGACTTGGGACAGTGTTCTCGGGGCATCTCTGGAGTTGCCTGAAGGAAGTCGAGCCACCGGTCGTGTTGAATGGGGAACGGGGAATGGCTCTGGAGTCAATGCAGGGGAATCGGGCCTCATCTCGAGTTGATTTGGGGCACATGGAGCTGCTTTGCGTTGCTGGGGTGACCTCAGGGTCCGTCTAGACTGGTGACAGTGTTCTTGGGGACTGTCTCGAGATCCATTAAGCAAGTCGAAGCTCCTGACTTGTTTGAATGGGATCACGGAATAGCTCTGCATGCACTGCAGGGGAATGGGGCCTCATCTCGCCTCTAGGGGGAAGTCTCATGGTTTTTCTCGAGTTGCGGCGGGGACCTGGGGTATGTTCTCGACTTATGGCGGGGATGGCCCTTCAAAACACGAGTTTCTTCAGTGACGTCAGGACTCCTGTCTAGTAACGAGGGACACCTCAGGAATCTCTTCGAGGCTTGGCAGGGCCAAAGGGACGCTTCTCGAGGTGAGGCAGGGCACCCAAGGACCCTTTCCAGTAGCCACAGGGATTTTGGGATTCCTATCAGTATTCAAGAGGAGTCAGGCATCGTCACCTTTTGAAGCAATGAACTCCGCGTGCCTCTCGAGGTGTCAGCGGGATGTGAGGCATTCCGTCAAAATGAGGCAGGGACCTAGGGCTTTCTCTAAGGTCTCCACAGGGGATTCAGACATCCCTTCATGTTGTGAGATGAAAGACGAGCCTGTATTCAAGCCACTGCAAGGAAATCCGGCCTCCTTTCAAGTTAGGGCTTCTCGCTGTGTATTCCCCTTGAGGCAGCAAACTCGGGGTCCCTCCCACATACCTATTGCTGAGAGAAGCCCCCTCCTGAGGTGCTTCTGGGAAGTTGGCATACGTCTTGAGCCTAAGCCAGGGAATCAGCTCGCATCTCGAGACGATTTGGGGTACACGGAGCATTCCTCGAGTTGCTGTGCTGAAGTTGGTGTTCCTCTAGACTTGGGACAGTGTTCTCGGGGCATCTCTGGAGTTGCCTGAAGGAAGTCGAGCCACCGGTCGTGTTGAATGGGGAACGGGGAATGGCTCTGGAGTCAATGCAGGGGAATCGGGCCTCATCTCGAGTTGATTTGGGGCACATGGAGCTGCTTTGCGTTGCTGGGGTGACCTCAGGGTCCGTCTAGACTGGTGACAGTGTTCTTGGGGACTGTCTCGAGATCCATTAAGCAAGTCGAAGCTCCTGACTTGTTTGAATGGGGTCACGGAATAGCTCTGCATGCACTGCAGGGGAATGGGGCCTCATCTCGCCTCTAGGGGGAAGTCTCATGGTTTTTCTCGAGTTGCGGCGGGGACCTGGGGTATGTTCTCGACTTACGGCGGGGATGGCCCTTCAAAACACGAGTTTCTTCAGTGACGTCAGGACTCCTGTCTAGTAACGAGGGACACCTCAGGAATCTCTTCGAGGCTTGGCAGGGCCAAAGGGACGCTTCTCGAGGTGAGGCAGGGCACCCAAGGACCCTTTCCAGTAGCCACAGGGATTTTGGGATTCCTATCAGTATTCAAGAGGAGTCAGGCATCGTCACCTTTTGAAGCAATGAACTCCGCGTGCCTCTCGAGGTGTCAGCGGGATGTGAGGCATTCCGTCAAAATGAGGCAGGGACCTAGGGCTTTCTCTAAGGTCTCCACAGGGGATTCAGACATCCCTTCATGTTGTGAGATGAAAGACGAGCCTATATTCAAGCCACTGCAAGGAAATCCGGCCTCCTTTCAAGTTAGGGCTTCTCGCTGTATATTCCCCTTGAGGCAGCAAACTCGGGGTCCCTCCCACATACCTATTGCTGAGAGAAGCCCCCTCCTGAGGTGCTTCTGGGAAGTTGGCATACGTCTTGAGCCTAAGCCAGGGAATCAGCTCGCATCTCGAGACGATTTGGGGTACACGGAGCATTCCTCGAGTTGCTGTGCTGAAGTTGGTGTTCCTCTAGACTTGGGACAGTGTTCTCGGGGCATCTCTGGAGTTGCCTGAAGGAAGTCGATCCACCGGTCGTGTTGAATGGGGAACGGGGAATGGCTCTGGAGTCAATGCAGGGGAATCGGGCCTCATCTCGAGTTGATTTGGGGCACATGGAGCTGCTTTGCGTTGCTGGGGTGACCTCAGGGTCCGTCTAGACTGGTGACAGTGTTCTTGGGGACTGTCTCGAGATCCATTAAGCAAGTCGAAGCTCCTGACTTGTTTGAATGGGGTCACGGAATAGCTCTGCATGCACTGCAGGGGAATGGGGCCTCATCTCGCCTCTAGGGGGAAGTCTCATGGTTTTTCTCGAGTTGCGGCGGGGACCTGGGGTATGTTCTCGACTTACGGCGGGGATGGCCCTTCAAAACACGAGTTTCTTCAGTGACGTCAGGACTCCTGTCTAGTAACGAGGGACACCTCAGGAATCTCTTCGAGGCTTGGCAGGGCCAAAGGGACGCTTCTCGAGGTGAGGCAGGGCACCCAAGGACCCTTTCCAGTAGCCACAGGGATTTTGGGATTCCTATCAGTATTCAAGAGGAGTCAGGCATCGTCACCTTTTGAAGCAATGAACTCCGCGTGCCTCTCGAGGTGTCAGCGGGATGTGAGGCATTCCGTCAAAATGAGGCAGGGACCTAGGGCTTTCTCTAAGGTCTCCACAGGGGATTCAGACATCCCTTCATGTTGTGAGATGAAAGACGAGCCTGTATTCAAGCCACTGCAAGGAAATCCGGCCTCCTTTCTAGTTAGGGCTTCTCGCTGTATATTCCCCTTGAGGCAGCAAACTCGGGGTCCCTCCCACATACCTATTGCTGAGAGAAGCCTCCTCCTGAGGTGCTTCTGGGAAGTTGGCATACGTCTTGAGCCTAAGCCAGGGAATCAGCTCGCATCTCGAGACGATTTGGGGTACACGGAGCATTCCTCGAGTTGCTGTGCTGAAGTTGGTGTTCCTCTAGACTTGGGACAGTGTTCTCGGGGCATCTCTGGAGTTGCCTGAAGGAAGTCGAGCCACCGGTCGTGTTGAATGGGGAACGGGGAATGGCTCTGGAGTCAATGCAGGGGAATCGGGCCTCATCTCGAGTTGATTTGGGGCACATGGAGCTGCTTTGCGTTGCTGGGGTGACCTCAGGGTCCGTCTAGACTGGTGACAGTGTTCTTGGGGACTGTCTCGAGATCCATTAAGCAAGTCGAAGCTCCTGACTTGTTTGAATGGGGTCACGGAATAGCTCTGCATGCACTGCAGGGGAATGGGGCCTCATCTCGCCTCTAGGGGGAAGTCTCATGGTTTTTCTCGAGTTGCGGCGGGGACCTGGGGTATGTTCTCGACTTACGGCGGGGATGGCCCTTCAAAACACGAGTTTCTTCAGTGACGTCAGGACTCCTGTCTAGTAACGAGGGACACCTCAGGAATCTCTTCGAGGCTTGGCAGGGCCAAAGGGACGCTTCTCGAGGTGAGGCAGGGCACCCAAGGACCCTTTCCAGTAGCCACAGGGATTTTGGGATTCCTATCAGTATTCAAGAGGAGTCAGGCATCGTCACCTTTTGAAGCAATGAACTCCGCGTGCCTCTCGAGGTGTCAGCGGGATGTGAGGCATTCCGTCAAAATGAGGCAGGGACCTAGGGCTTTCTCTAAGGTCTCCACAGGGGATTCAGACATCCCTTCATGTTGTGAGATGAAAGACGAGCCTGTATTCAAGCCACTGCAAGGAAATCCGGCCTCCTTTCTAGTTAGGGCTTCTCGCTGTATATTCCCCTTGAGGCAGCAAACTCGGGGTCCCTCCCACATACCTATTGCTGAAAGAAGCCTCCTCCTGAGGTGCTTCTGGGAAGTTGGCATACGTTTTGAGCCTAAGCCAGGGAATCAGCTCGCATCTCGAGACGATTTGGGGTACACGGAGCATTCCTCGAGTTGCTGTGCTGAAGTTGGTGTTCCTCTAGACTTGGGACAGTGTTCTCGGGGCATCTCTGGAGTTGCCTGAAGGAAGTCGAGCCACCGGTCGTGTTGAATGGGGAACGGGGAATGGCTCTGGAGTCAATGCAGGGGAATCGGGCCTCATCTCGAGTTGATTTGGGGCACATGGAGCTGCTTTGCGTTGCTGGGGTGACCTCAGGGTCCGTCTAGACTGGTGACAGTGTTCTTGGGGACTGTCTCGAGATCCATTAAGCAAGTCGAAGCTCCTGACTTGTTTGAATGGGATCACGGAATAGCTCTGCATGCACTGCAGGGGAATGGGGCCTCATCTCGCCTCTAGGGGGAAGTCTCATGGTTTTTCTCGAGTTGCGGCGGGGACCTGGGGTATGTTCTCGACTTACGGCGGGGATGGCCCTTCAAAACACGAGTTTCTTCAGTGACGTCAGGACTCCTGTCTAGTAACGAGGGACACCTCAGGAATCTCTTCGAGGCTTGGCAGGGCCAAAGGGACGCTTCTCGAGGTGAGGCAGGGCACCCAAGGACCCTTTCCAGTAGCCACAGGGATTTTGGGATTCCTATCAGTATTCAAGAGGAGTCAGGCATCGTCACCTTTTGAAGCAATGAACTCCGCGTGCCTCTCGAGGTGTCAGCGGGATGTGAGGCATTCCGTCAAAATGAGGCAGGGACCTAGGGCTTTCTCTAAGGTCTCCACAGGGGATTCAGACATCCCTTCATGTTGTGAGATGAAAGACGAGCCTGTATTCAAGCCACTGCAAGGAAATCCGGCCTCCTTTCTAGTTAGGGCTTCTCGCTGTATATTCCCCTTGAGGCAGCAAACTCGGGGTCCCTCCCACATACCTATTGCTGAGAGAAGCCTCCTCCTGAGGTGCTTCTGGGAAGTTGGCATACGTCTTGAGCCTAAGCCAGGGAATCAGCTCGCATCTCGAGACGATTTGGGGTACACGGAGCATTCCTCGAGTTGCTGTGCTGAAGTTGGTGTTCCTCTAGACTTGGGACAGTGTTCTCGGGGCATCTCTGGAGTTGCCTGAAGGAAGTCGAGCCACCGGTCGTGTTGAATGGGGAACGGGGAATGGCTCTGGAGTCAATGCAGGGGAATCGGGCCTCATCTCGAGTTGATTTGGGGCACATGGAGCTGCTTTGCGTTGCTGGGGTGACCTCAGGGTCCGTCTAGACTGGTGACAGTGTTCTTGGGGACTGTCTCGAGATCCATTAAGCAAGTCGAAGCTCCTGACTTGTTTGAATGGGGTCACGGAATAGCTCTGCATGCACTGCAGGGGAATGGGGCCTCATCTCGCCTCTAGGGGGAAGTCTCATGGTTTTTCTCGAGTTGCGGCGGGGACCTGGGGTATGTTCTCGACTTACGGCGGGGATGGCCCTTCAAAACACGAGTTTCTTCAGTGACGTCAGGACTCCTGTCTAGTAACGAGGGACACCTCAGGAATCTCTTCGAGGCTTGGCAGGGCCAAAGGGACGCTTCTCGAGGTGAGGCAGGGCACCCAAGGACCCTTTCCAGTAGCCACAGGGATTTTGGGATTCCTATCAGTATTCAAGAGGAGTCAGGCATCGTCACCTTTTGAAGCAATGAACTCCGCGTGCCTCTCGAGGTGTCAGCGGGATGTGAGGCATTCCGTCAAAATGAGGCAGGGACCTAGGGCTTTCTCTAAGGTCTCCACAGGGGATTCAGACATCCCTTCATGTTGTGAGATGAAAGACGAGCCTGTATTCAAGCCACTGCAAGGAAATCCGGCCTCCTTTCTAGTTAGGGCTTCTCGCTGTATATTCCCCTTGAGGCAGCAAACTCGGGGTCCCTCCCACATACCTATTGCTGAAAGAAGCCTCCTCCTGAGGTGCTTCTGGGAAGTTGGCATACGTTTTGAGCCTAAGCCAGGGAATCAGCTCGCATCTCGAGACGATTTGGGGTACACGGAGCATTCCTCGAGTTGCTGTGCTGAAGTTGGTGTTCCTCTAGACTTGGGACAGTGTTCTCGGGGCATCTCTGGAGTTGCCTGAAGGAAGTCGAGCCACCGGTCGTGTTGAATGGGGAACGGGGAATGGCTCTGGAGTCAATGCAGGGGAATCGGGCCTCATCTCGAGTTGATTTGGGGCACATGGAGCTGCTTTGCGTTGCTGGGGTGACCTCAGGGTCCGTCTAGACTGGTGACAGTGTTCTTGGGGACTGTCTCGAGATCCATTAAGCAAGTCGAAGCTCCTGACTTGTTTGAATGGGATCACGGAATAGCTCTGCATGCACTGCAGGGGAATGGGGCCTCATCTCGCCTCTAGGGGGAAGTCTCATGGTTTTTCTCGAGTTGCGGCGGGGACCTGGGGTATGTTCTCGACTTACGGCGGGGATGGCCCTTCAAAACACGAGTTTCTTCAGTGACGTCAGGACTCCTGTCTAGTAACGAGGGACACCTCAGGAATCTCTTCGAGGCTTGGCAGGGCCAAAGAGACGCTTCTCGAGGTGAGGCAGGGCACCCAAGGACCCTTTCCAGTAGCCACAGGGATTTTGGGATTCCTATCAGTATTCAAGAGGAGTCAGGCATCGTCACCTTTTGAAGCAATGAACTCCGCGTGCCTCTCGAGGTGTCAGCGGGATGTGAGGCATTCCGTCAAAATGAGGCAGGGACCTAGGGCTTTCTCTAAGGTCTCCACAGGGGATTCAGACATCCCTTCATGTTGTGAGATGAAAGACGAGCCTGTATTCAAGCCACTGGAAGGAAATCCGGCCTCCTTTCAAGTTAGGGCTTCTCGCTGTATATTCCCTTTGAGGCAGCAAACTCGGGGTCCCTCCCACATACCTATTGCTGAGAGAAGTCTCCTCCTGAGGTGCTTCTGGGAAGTTGGCCTATGTCTTGAGCCTAAGCCAGGGAATCAGCTCGCATCTCGAGACGATTTGGGGTACACGGAGCATTCCTCGAGTTGCTGTGCTGAAGTTGGTGTTCCTCTAGACTTGGGACAGTGTTCTCGGGGCATCTCTGGAGTTGCCTGAAGGAAGTCGAGCCACCGGTCGTGTTGAATGGGGAACGGGGAATGGCTCTGGAGTCAATGCAGGGGAATCGGGCCTCATCTCGAGTTGATTTGGGGCACATGGAGCTGCTTTGCGTTGCTGGGGTGACCTCAGGGTCCGTCTAGACTGGTGACAGTGTTCTTGGGGACTGTCTCGAGATCCATTAAGCAAGTCGAAGCTCCTGACTTGTTTGAATGGGATCACGGAATAGCTCTGCATGCACTGCAGGGGAATGGGGCCTCATCTCGCCTCTAGGGGGAAGTCTCATGGTTTTTCTCGAGTTGCGGCGGGGACCTGGGGTATGTTCTCGACTTACGGCGGGGATGGCCCTTCAAAACACGAGTTTCTTCAGTGACGTCAGGACTCCTGTCTAGTAACGAGGGACACCTCAGGAATCTCTTCGAGGCTTGGCAGGGCCAAAGGGACGCTTCTCGAGGTGAGGCAGGGCACCCAAGGACCCTTTCCAGTAGCCACAGGGATTTTGGGATTCCTATCAGTATTCAAGAGGAGTCAGGCATCGTCACCTTTTGAAGCAATGAACTCCGCGTGCCTCTCGAGGTGTCAGCGGGATGTGAGGCATTCCGTCAAAATGAGGCAGGGACCTAGGGCTTTCTCTAAGGTCTCCACAGGGGATTCAGACATCCCTTCATGTTGTGAGATGAAAGACGAGCCTGTATTCAAGCCACTGGAAGGAAATCCGGCCTCCTTTCAAGTTAGGGCTTCTCCCTGTATATTCCCCTTGAGGCAGCAAACTCGGGGTCCCTCCCACATACCTATTGCTGAGAGAAGCCCCCTCCTGAGGTGCTTCTGGGAAGTTGGCATACGTCTTGAGCCTAAGCCAGGGAATCAGCTCGCATCTCGAGACGATTTGGGGTACACGGAGCATTCCTCGAGTTGCTGTGCTGAAGTTGGTGTTCCTCTAGACTTGGGACAGTGTTCTCGGGGCATCTCTGGAGTTGCCTGAAGGAAGTCGAGCCACCGGTCGTGTTGAATGGGGAACGGGGAATGGCTCTGGAGTCAATGCAGGGGAATCGGGCCTCATCTCGAGTTGATTTGGGGCACATGGAGCTGCTTTGCGTTGCTGGGGTGACCTCAGGGTCCGTCTAGACTGGTGACAGTGTTCTTGGGGACTGTCTCGAGATCCATTAAGCAAGTCGAAGCTCCTGACTTGTTTGAATGGGATCACGGAATAGCTCTGCATGCACTGCAGGGGAATGGGGCCTCATCTCGCCTCTAGGGGGAAGTCTCATGGTTTTTCTCGAGTTGCGGCGGGGACCTGGGGTATGTTCTCGACTTACGGCGGGGATGGCCCTTCAAAACACGAGTTTCTTCAGTGACGTCAGGACTCCTGTCTAGTAACGAGGGACACCTCAGGAATCTCTTCGAGGCTTGGCAGGGCCAAAGGGACGCTTCTCGAGGTGAGGCAGGGCACCCAAGGACCCTTTCCAGTAGCCACAGGGATTTTGGGATTCCTATCAGTATTCAAGAGGAGTCAGGCATCGTCACCTTTTGAAGCAATGAACTCCGCGTGCCTCTCGAGGTGTCAGCGGGATGTAAGGCATTCCGTCAAAATGAGGCAGGGACCTAGGGCTTTCTCTAAGGTCTCCACAGGGGATTCAGACATCCCTTCATGTTGTGAGATGAAAGACGAGCCTGTATTCAAGCCACTGCAAGGAAATCCGGCCTCCTTTCTAGTTAGGGCTTCTCGCTGTATATTCCCCTTGAGGCAGCAAACTCGGGGTCCCTCCCACATACCTATTGCTGAGAGAAGCCTCCTCCTGAGGTGCTTCTGGGAAGTTGGCATACGTCTTGAGCCTAAGCCAGGGAATCAGCTCGCATCTCGAGACGATTTGGGGTACACGGAGCATTCCTCGAGTTGCTGTGCTGAAGTTGGTGTTCCTCTAGACTTGGGACAGTGTTCTCGGGGCATCTCTGGAGTTGCCTGAAGGAAGTCGAGCCACCGGTCGTGTTGAATGGGGAACGGGGAATGGCTCTGGAGTCAATGCAGGGGAATCGGGCCTCATCTCGAGTTGATTTGGGGCACATGGAGCTGCTTTGCGTTGCTGGGGTGACCTCAGGGTCCGTCTAGACTGGTGACAGTGTTCTTGGGGACTGTCTCGAGATCCATTAAGCAAGTCGAAGCTCCTGACTTGTTTGAATGGGGTCACGGAATAGCTCTGCATGCACTGCAGGGGAATGGGGCCTCATCTCGCCTCTAGGGGGAAGTCTCATGGTTTTTCTCGAGTTGCGGCGGGGACCTGGGGTATGTTCTCGACTTACGGCGGGGATGGCCCTTCAAAACACGAGTTTCTTCAGTGACGTCAGGACTCCTGTCTAGTAACGAGGGACACCTCAGGAATCTCTTCGAGGCTTGGCAGGGCCAAAGGGACGCTTCTCGAGGTGAGGCAGGGCACCCAAGGACCCTTTCCAGTAGCCACAGGGATTTTGGGATTCCTATCAGTATTCAAGAGGAGTCAGGCATCGTCACCTTTTGAAGCAATGAACTCCGCGTGCCTCTCGAGGTGTCAGCGGGATGTGAGGCATTCCGTCAAAATGAGGCAGGGACCTAGGGCTTTCTCTAAGGTCTCCACAGGGGATTCAGACATCCCTTCATGTTGTGAGATGAAAGACGAGCCTGTATTCAAGCCACTGCAAGGAAATCCGGCCTCCTTTCAAGTTAGGGCTTCTCGCTGTATATTCCCCTTGAGGCAGCAAACTCGGGGTCCCTCCCACATACCTATTGCTGAGAGAAGCCTCCTCCTGAGGTGCTTCTGGGAAGTTGGCATACGTCTTGAGCCTAAGCCAGGGAATCAGCTCGCATCTCGAGACGATTTGGGGTACACGGAGCATTCCTCGAGTTGCTGTGCTGAAGTTGGTGTTCCTCTAGACTTGGGACAGTGTTCTCGGGGCATCTCTGGAGTTGCCTGAAGGAAGTCGAGCCACCGGTCGTGTTGAATGGGGAACGGGGAATGGCTCTGGAGTCAATGCAGGGGAATCGGGCCTCATCTCGAGTTGATTTGGGGCACATGGAGCTGCTTTGCGTTGCTGGGGTGAGCTCAGGGTCCGTCTAGACTGGTGACAGTGTTCTTGGGGACTGTCTCGAGATCCATTAAGCAAGTCGAAGCTCCTGACTTGTTTGAATGGGATCACGGAATAGCTCTGCATGCACTGCAGGGGAATGGGGCCTCATCTCGCCTCTAGGGGGAAGTCTCATGGTTTTTCTCGAGTTGCGGCGGGGACCTGGGGTATGTTCTCGACTTACGGCGGGGATGGCCCTTCAAAACACGAGTTTCTTCAGTGACGTCAGGACTCCTGTCTAGTAACGAGGGACACCTCAGGAATCTCTTCGAGGCTTGGCAGGGCCAAAGGGACGCTTCTCGAGGTGAGGCAGGGCACCCAAGGACCCTTTCCAGTAGCCACAGGGATTTTGGGATTCCTATCAGTATTCAAGAGGAGTCAGGCATCGTCACCTTTTGAAGCAATGAACTCCGCGTGCCTCTCGAGGTGTCAGCGGGATGTGAGGCATTCCGTCAAAATGAGGCAGGGACCTAGGGCTTTCTCTAAGGTCTCCACAGGGGATTCAGACATCCCTTCATGTTGTGAGATGAAAGACGAGCCTGTATTCAAGCCACTGCAAGGAAATCCGGCCTCCTTTCAAGTTAGGGCTTCTCGCTGTATATTCCCTTTGAGGCAGCAAACTCGGGGTCCCTCCCACATACCTATTGCTGAGAGAAGTCTCCTCCTGAGGTGCTTCTGGGAAGTTGGCCTATGTCTTAAGCCTAAGCCAGGGAATCAGCTCGCATCTCGAGACGATTTGGGGTACACGGAGCATTCCTCGAGTTGCTGTGCTGAAGTTGGTGTTCCTCTAGACTTGGGACAGTGTTCTCGGGGCATCTCTGGAGTTGCCTGAAGGAAGTCGAGCCACCGGTCGTCTTGAATGGGGAACGGGGAATGGCTCTGGAGTCAATGCAGGGGAATCGGGCCTCATCTCGAGTTGATTTGGGGCACATGGAGCTGCTTTGCGTTGCTGGGGTGACCTCAGGGTCCGTCTAGACTGGTGACAGTGTTCTTGGGGACTGTCTCGAGATCCATTAAGCAAGTCGAAGCTCCTGACTTGTTTGAATGGGATCACGGAATAGCTCTGCATGCACTGCAGGGGAATGGGGCCTCATCTCGCCTCTAGGGGGAAGTCTCATGGTTTTTCTCGAGTTGCGGCGGGGACCTGGGGTATGTTCTCGACTTACGGCGGGGATGGCCCTTCAAAACACGAGTTTCTTCAGTGACGTCAGGACTCCTGTCTAGTAACGAGGGACACCTCAGGAATCTCTTCGAGGCTTGGCAGGGCCAAAGGGACGCTTCTCGAGGTGAGGCAGGGCACCCAAGGACCCTTTCCAGTAGCCACAGGGATTTTGGGATTCCTATCAGTATTCAAGAGGAGTCAGGCATCGTCACCTTTTGAAGCAATGAACTCCGCGTGCCTCTCGAGGTGTCAGCGGGATGTGAGGCATTCCGTCAAAATGAGGCAGGGACCTAGGGCTTTCTCTAAGGTCTCCACAGGGGATTCAGACATCCCTTCATGTTGTGAGATGAAAGACGAGCCTGTATTCAAGCCACTGCAAGGAAATCCGGCCTCCTTTCAAGTTAGGGCTTCTCGCTGTATATTCCCCTTGAGGCAGCAAACTCGGGGTCCCTCCCACATACCTATTGCTGAGAGAAGCCTCCTCCTGAGGTGCTTCTGGGAAGTTGGCATACGTCTTGAGCCTAAGCCAGGGAATCAGCTCGCATCTCGAGACGATTTGGGGTACACGGAGCATTCCTCGAGTTGCTGTGCTGAAGTTGGTGTTCCTCTAGACTTGGGACAGTGTTCTCGGGGCATCTCTGGAGTTGCCTGAAGGAAGTCGAGCCACCGGTCGTGTTGAATGGGGAACGGGGAATGGCTCTGGAGTCAATGCAGGGGAATCGGGCCTCATCTCGAGTTGATTTGGGGCACATGGAGCTGCTTTGCGTTGCTGGGGTGACCTCAGGGTCCGTCTAGACTGGTGACAGTGTTCTTGGGGACTGTCTCGAGATCCATTAAGCAAGTCGAAGCTCCTGACTAGTTTGAATGGGATCACGGAATAGCTCTGCATGCACTGCAGGGGAATGGGGCCTCATCTCGCCTCTAGGGGGAAGTCTCATGGTTTTTCTCGAGTTGCGGCGGGGACCTGGGGTATGTTCTCGACTTACGGCGGGGATGGCCCTTCAAAACACGAGTTTCTTCAGTGACGTCAGGACTCCTGTCTAGTAACGAGGGACACCTCAGGAATCTCTTCGAGGCTTGGCAGGGCCAAAGGGACGCTTATCGAGGTGAGGCAGGGCACCCAAGGACCCTTTCCAGTAGCCACAGGGATTTTGGGATTCCTATCAGTATTCAAGAGGAGTCAGGCATCGTCACCTTTTGAATCAATGAACTCCGCGTGCCTCTCGAGGTGTCAGCGGGATGTGAGGCATTCCGTCAAAATGAGGCAGGGACCTAGGGCTTTCTCTAAGGTCTCCACAGGGGATTCAGACATCCCTTCATGTTGTGAGATGAAAGACGAGCCTGTATTCAAGCCACTGCAAGGAAATCCGGCCTCCTTTCACGTTAGGGCTTCTCGCTGTATATTCCCCTTGAGGCAGCAAACTCGGGGTCCCTCCCACATACCTATTGCTGAGAGAAGCCTCCTCCTGAGGTGCTTCTGGGAAGTTGGCATACGTTTTGAGCCTAAGCCAGGGAATCAGCTCGCATCTCGAGACGATTTGGGGTACACGGAGCATTCCTCGAGTTGCTGGGCTGAAGTTGGTGTTCCTCTAGACTTGGGACAGTGTTCTCGGGGCATCTCTGGAGTTGCCTGAAGGAAGTCGAGCCACCGGTCGTGTTGAATGGGGAACGGGGAATGGCTCTGGAGTCAATGCAGGGGAATCGGGCCTCATCTCGAGTTGATTTGGGGCACATGGAGCTGCTTTGCGTTGCTGGGGTGACCTCAGGGTCCGTCTAGACTGGTGACAGTGTTCTTGGGGACTGTCTCGAGATCCATTAAGCAAGTCGAAGCTCCTGACTTGTTTGAATGGGATCACGGAATAGCTCTGCATGCACTGCAGGGGAATGGGGCCTCATCTCGCCTCTAGGGGGAAGTCTCATGGTTTTTCTCGAGTTGCGGCGGGGACCTGGGGTATGTTCTCGACTTACGGCGGGGATGGCCCTTCAAAACACGAGTTTCTTCAGTGACGTCAGGACTCCTGTCTAGTAACGAGGGACACCTCAGGAATCTCTTCGAGGCTTGGCAGGGCCAAAGGGACGCTTCTCGAGGTGAGGCAGGGCACCCAAGGACCCTTTCCAGTAGCCACAGGGATTTTGGGATTCCTATCAGTATACAAGAGGAGTCAGGCATCGTCACCTTTTGAAGCAATGAACTCCGCGTGCCTCTCGAGGTGTCAGCGGGATGTGAGGCATTCCGTCAAAATGAGGCAGGGACCTAGGGCTTTCTCTAAGGTCTCCACAGGGGATTCAGACATCCCTTCATGTTGTGAGATGAAAGACGAGCCTGTATTCAAGCCACTGGAAGGAAATCCGGCCTCCTTTCAAGTTAGGGCTTCTCGCTGTATATTCCCTTTGAGGCAGCAAACTCGGGGTCCCTCCCACATACCTATTGCTGAGAGAAGTCTCCTCCTGAGGTGCTTCTGGGAAGTTGGCATACGTCTTGAGCCTAAGCCAGGGAATCAGCTCGCATCTCGAGACGATTTGGGGTACACGGAGCATTCCTCGAGTTGCTGTGCTGAAGTTGGTGTTCCTCTAGACTTGGGACAGTGTTCTCGGGGCATCTCTGGAGTTGCCTGAAGGAAGTCGAGCCACCGGTCGTGTTGAATGGGGAACGGGGAATGGCTCTGGAGTCAATGCAGGGGAATCGGGCCTCATCTCGAGTTGATTTGGGGCACATGGAGCTGCTTTGCGTTGCTGGGGTGACCTCAGGGTCCGTCTAGACTGGTGACAGTGTTCTTGGGGACTGTCTCGAGATCCATTAAGCAAGTCGAAGCTCCTGACTTGTTTGAATGGGATCACGGAATAGCTCTGCATGCACTGCAGGGGAATGGGGCCTCATCTCGCCTCTAGGGGGAAGTCTCATGGTTTTTCTCGAGTTGCGGCGGGGACCTGGGGTATGTTCTCGACTTACGGCGGGGATGGCCCTTCAAAACACGAGTTTCTTCAGTGACGTCAGGACTCCTGTCTAGTAACGAGGGACACCTCAGGAATCTCTTCGAGGCTTGGCAGGGCCAAAGGGACGCTTCTCGAGGTGAGGCAGGGCACCCAAGGACCCTTTCCAGTAGCCACAGGGATTTTGGGATTCCTATCAGTATTCAAGAGGAGTCAGGCATCGTCACCTTTTGAAGCAATGAACTCCGCGTGCCTCTCGAGGTGTCAGCGGGATGTGAGGCATTCCGTCAAAATGAGGCAGGGACCTAGGGCTTTCTCTAAGGTCTCCACAGGGGATTCAGACATCCCTTCATGTTGTGAGATGAAAGACGAGCCTGTATTCAAGCCACTGCAAGGAAATCCGGCCTCCTTTCAAGTTAGGGCTTCTCGCTGTATATTCCCTTTGAGGCAGCAAACTCGGGGTCCCTCCCACATACCTATTGCTGAGAGAAGTCTCCTCCTGAGGTGCTTCTGGGAAGTTGGCCTATGTCTTGAGCCTAAGCCAGGGAATCAGCTCGCATCTCGAGACGATTTGGGGTACACGGAGCATTCCTCGAGTTGCTGTGCTGAAGTTGGTGTTCCTCTAGACTTGGGACAGTGTTCTCGGGGCATCTCTGGAGTTGCCTGAAGGAAGTCGAGCCACCGGTCGTGTTGAATGGGGAACGGGGAATGGCTCTGGAGTCAATGCAGGGGAATCGGGCCTCATCTCGAGTTGATTTGGGGCACATGGAGCTGCTTTGCGTTGCTGGGGTGACCTCAGGGTCCGTCTAGACTGGTGACAGTGTTCTTGGGGACTGTCTCGAGATCCATTAAGCAAGTCGAAGCTCCTGACTTGTTTGAATGGGATCACGGAATAGCTCTGCATGCACTGCAGGGGAATGGGGCCTCATCTCGCCTCTAGGGGGAAGTCTCATGGTTTTTCTCGAGTTGCGGCGGGGACCTGGGGTATGTTCTCGACTTACGGCGGGGATGGCCCTTCAAAACACGAGTTTCTTCAGTGACGTCAGGACTCCTGTCTAGTAACGAGGGACACCTCAGGAATCTCTTCGAGGCTTGGCAGGGCCAAAGGGACGCTTCTCGAGGTGAGGCAGGGCACCCAAGGACCCTTTCCAGTAGCCACAGGGATTTTGGGATTCCTATCAGTATTCAAGAGGAGTCAGGCATCGTCACCTTTTGAAGCAATGAACTCCGCGTGCCTCTCGAGGTGTCAGCGGGATGTGAGGCATTCCGTCAAAATGAGGCAGGGACCTAGGGCTTTCTCTAAGGTCTCCACAGGGGATTCAGACATCCCTTCATGTTGTGAGATGAAAGACGAGCCTGTATTCAAGCCACTGGAAGGAAATCCGGCCTCCTTTCAAGTTAGGGCTTCTCGCTGTATATTCCCTTTGAGGCAGCAAACTCGGGGTCCCTCCCACATACCTATTGCTGAGAGAAGTCTCCTCCTGAGGTGCTTCTGGGAAGTTGGCCTATGTCTTGAGCCTAAGCCAGGGAATCAGCTCGCATCTCGAGACGATTTGGGGTACACGGAGCATTCCTCGAGTTGCTGTGCTGAAGTTGGTGTTCCTCTAGACTTGGGACAGTGTTCTCGGGGCATCTCTGGAGTTGCCTGAAGGAAGTCGAGCCACCGGTCGTGTTGAATGGGGAACGGGGAATGGCTCTGGAGTCAATGCAGGGGAATCGGGCCTCATCTCGAGTTGATTTGGGGCACATGGAGCTGCTTTGCGTTGCTGGGGTGACCTCAGGGTCCGTCTAGACTGGTGACAGTGTTCTTGGGGACTGTCTCGAGATCCATTAAGCAAGTCGAAGCTCCTGACTTGTTTGAATGGGATCACGGAATAGCTCTGCATGCACTGCAGGGGAATGGGGCCTCATCTCGCCTCTAGGGGGAAGTCTCATGGTTTTTCTCGAGTTGCGGCGGGGACCTGGGGTATGTTCTCGACTTACGGCGGGGATGGCCCTTCAAAACACGAGTTTCTTCAGTGACGTCAGGACTCCTGTCTAGTAACGAGGGACACCTCAGGAATCTCTTCGAGGCTTGGCAGGGCCAAAGGGACGCTTCTCGAGGTGAGGCAGGGCACCCAAGGACCCTTTCCAGTAGCCACAGGGATTTTGGGATTCCTATCAGTATTCAAGAGGAGTCAGGCATCGTCACCTTTTGAAGCAATGAACTCCGCGTGCCTCTCGAGGTGTCAGCGGGATGTGAGGCATTCCGTCAAAATGAGGCAGGGACCTAGGGCTTTCTCTAAGGTCTCCACAGGGGATTCAGACATCCCTTCATGTTGTGAGATGAAAGACGAGCCTGTATTCAAGCCACTGCAAGGAAATCCGGCCTCCGTTCACGTTAGGGCTTCTCGCTGTATATTCCCCTTGAGGCAGCAAACTCGGGGTCCCTCCCACATACCTATTGCTGAGAGAAGCCTCCTCCTGAGGTGCTTCTGGGAAGTTGGCATACGTTTTGAGCCTAAGCCAGGGAATCAGCTCGCATCTCGAGACGATTTGGGGTACACGGAGCATTCCTCGAGTTGCTGTGCTGAAGTTGGTGTTCCTCTAGACTTGGGACAGTGTTCTCGGGGCATCTCTGGAGTTGCCTGAAGGAAGTCGAGCCACCGGTCGTGTTGAATGGGGAACGGGGAATGGCTCTGGAGTCAATGCAGGGGAATCGGGCCTCATCTCGAGTTGATTTGGGGCACATGGAGCTGCTTTGCGTTGCTGGGGTGACCTCAGGGTCCGTCTAGACTGGTGACAGTGTTCTTGGGGACTGTCTCGAGATCCATTAAGCAAGTCGAAGCTCCTGACTTGTTTGAATGGGATCACGGAATAGCTCTGCATGCACTGCAGGGGAATGGGGCCTCATCTCGCCTCTAGGGGGAAGTCTCATGGTTTTTCTCGAGTTGCGGCGGGGACCTGGGGTATGTTCTCGACTTACGGCGGGGATGGCCCTTCAAAACACGAGTTTCTTCAGTGACGTCAGGACTCCTGTCTAGTAACGAGGGACACCTCAGGAATCTCTTCGAGGCTTGGCAGGGCCAAAGGGACGCTTCTCGAGGTGAGGCAGGGCACCCAAGGACCCTTTCCAGTAGCCACAGGGATTTTGGGATTCCTATCAGTATTCAAGAGGAGTCAGGCATCGTCACCTTTTGAAGCAATGAACTCCGCGTGCCTCTCGAGGTGTCAGCGGGATGTGAGGCATTCCGTCAAAATGAGGCAGGGACCTAGGGCTTTCTCTAAGGTCTCCACAGGGGATTCAGACATCCCTTCATGTTGTGAGATGAAAGACGAGCCTGTATTCAAGCCACTGCAAGGAAATCCGGCCTCCTTTCACGTTAGGGCTTCTCGCTGTATATTCCCCTTGAGGCAGCAAACTCGGGGTCCCTCCCACATACCTATTGCTGAGAGAAGCCTCCTCCTGAGGTGCTTCTGGGAAGTTGGCATACGTTTTGAGCCTAAGCCAGGGAATCAGCTCGCATCTCGAGACGATTTGGGGTACACGGAGCATTCCTCGAGTTGCTGTGCTGAAGTTGGTGTTCCTCTAGACTTGGGACAGTGTTCTCGGGGCATCTCTGGAGTTGCCTGAAGGAAGTCGAGCCACCGGTCGTGTTGAATGGGGAACGGGGAATGGCTCTGGAGTCAATGCAGGGGAATCGGGCCTCATCTCGAGTTGATTTGGGGCACATGGAGCTGCTTTGCGTTGCTGGGGTGACCTCAGGGTCCGTCTAGACTGGTGACAGTGTTCTTGGGGACTGTCTCGAGATCCATTAAGCAAGTCGAAGCTCCTGACTTGTTTGAATGGGATCACGGAATAGCTCTGCATGCACTGCAGGGGAATGGGGCCTCATCTCGCCTCTAGGGGGAAGTCTCATGGTTTTTCTCGAGTTGCGGCGGGGACCTGGGGTATGTTCTCAACTTACGGCGGGGATGGCCCTTCAAAACACGAGTTTCTTCAGTGACGTCAGGACTCCTGTCTAGTAACGAGGGACACCTCAGGAATCTCTTCGAGGCTTGGCAGGGCCAAAGGGACGCTTCTCGAGGTGAGGCAGGGCACCCAAGGACCCTTTCCAGTAGCCACAGGGATTTTGGGATTCCTATCAGTATTCAAGAGGAGTCAGGCATCGTCACCTTTTGAAGCAATGAACTCCGCGTGCCTCTCGAGGTGTCAGCGGGATGTGAGGCATTCCGTCAAAATGAGGCAGGGACCTAGGGCTTTCTCTAAGGTCTCCACAGGGGATTCAGACATCCCTTCATGTTGTGAGATGAAAGACGAGCCTGTATTCAAGCCACTGCAAGGAAATCCGGCCTCCTTTCTAGTTAGGGCTTCTCGCTGTATATTCCCCTTGAGGCAGCAAACTCGGGGTCCCTCCCACATACCTATTGCTGAGAGAAGCCTCCTCCTGAGGTGCTTCTGGGAAGTTGGCATACGTCTTGAGCCTAAGCCAGGGAATCAGCTCGCATCTCGAGACGATTTGGGGTACACGGAGCATTCCTCGAGTTGCTGTGCTGAAGTTGGTGTTCCTCTAGACTTGGGACAGTGTTCTCGGGGCATCTCTGGAGTTGCCTGAAGGAAGTCGAGCCACCGGTCGTGTTGAATGGGGAACGGGGAATGGCTCTGGAGTCAATGCAGGGGAATCGGGCCTCATCTCGAGTTGATTTGGGGCACATGGAGCTGCTTTGCGTTGCTGGGGTGACCTCAGGGTCCGTCTAGACTGGTGACAGTGTTCTTGGGGACTGTCTCGAGATCCATTAAGCAAGTCGAAGCTCCTGACTTGTTTGAATGGGGTCACGGAATAGCTCTGCATGCACTGCAGGGGAATGGGGCCTCATCTCGCCTCTAGGGGGAAGTCTCATGGTTTTTCTCGAGTTGCGGCGGGGACCTGGGGTATGTTCTCGACTTACGGCGGGGATGGCCCTTCAAAACACGAGTTTCTTCAGTGACGTCAGGACTCCTGTCTAGTAACGAGGGACACCTCAGGAATCTCTTCGAGGCTTGGCAGGGCCAAAGGGACGCTTCTCGAGGTGAGGCAGGGCACCCAAGGACCCTTTCCAGTAGCCACAGGGATTTTGGGATTCCTATCAGTATTCAAGAGGAGTCAGGCATCGTCACCTTTTGAAGCAATGAACTCCGCGTGCCTCTCGAGGTGTCAGCGGGATGTGAGGCATTCCGTCAAAATGAGGCAGGGACCTAGGGCTTTCTCTAAGGTCTCCACAGGGGATTCAGACATCCCTTCATGTTGTGAGATGAAAGACGAGCCTGTATTCAAGCCACTGCAAGGAAATCCGGCCTCCTTTCAAGTTAGGGCTTCTCGCTGTATATTCCCCTTGAGGCAGCAAACTCGGGGTCCCTCCCACATACCTATTGCTGAGAGAAGCCTCCTCCTGAGGTGCTTCTGGGAAGTTGGCATACGTCTTGAGCCTAAGCCAGGGAATCAGCTCGCATCTCGAGACGATTTGGGGTACACGGAGCATTCCTCGAGTTGCTGTGCTGAAGTTGGTGTTCCTCTAGACTTGGGACAGTGTTCTCGGGGCATCTCTGGAGTTGCCTGAAGGAAGTCGAGCCACCGGTCGTGTTGAATGGGGAACGGGGAATGGCTCTGGAGTCAATGCAGGGGAATCGGGCCTCATCTCGAGTTGATTTGGGGCACATGGAGCTGCTTTGCGTTGCTGGGGTGACCTCAGGGTCCGTCTAGACTGGTGACAGTGTTCTTGGGGACTGTCTCGAGATCCATTAAGCAAGTCGAAGCTCCTGACTTGTTTGAATGGGATCACGGAATAGCTCTGCATGCACTGCAGGGGAATGGGGCCTCATCTCGCCTCTAGGGGGAAGTCTCATGGTTTTTCTCGAGTTGCGGCGGGGACCTGGGGTATGTTCTCGACTTACGGCGGGGATGGCCCTTCAAAACACGAGTTTCTTCAGTGACGTCAGGACTCCTGTCTAGTAACGAGGGACACCTCAGGAATCTCTTCGAGGCTTGGCAGGGCCAAAGGGACGCTTCTCGAGGTGAGGCAGGGCACCCAAGGACCCTTTCCAGTAGCCACAGGGATTTTGGGATTCCTATCAGTATTCAAGAGGAGTCAGGCATCGTCACCTTTTGAAGCAATGAACTCCGCGTGCCTCTCGAGGTGTCAGCGGGATGTGAGGCATTCCGTCAAAATGAGGCAGGGACCTAGGGCTTTCTCTAAGGTCTCCACAGGGGATTCAGACATCCCTTCATGTTGTGAGATGAAAGACGAGCCTGTATTCAAGCCACTGCAAGGAAATCCGGCCTCCTTTCACGTTAGGGCTTCTCGCTGTATATTCCCCTTGAGGCAGCAAACTCGGGGTCCCTCCCACATACCTATTGCTGAGAGAAGCCTCCTCCTGAGGTGCTTCTGGGAAGTTGGCATACGTCTTGAGCCTAAGCCAGGGAATCAGCTCGCATCTCGAGACGATTTGGGGTACACGGAGCATTCCTCGAGTTGCTGTGCTGAAGTTGGTGTTCCTCTAGACTTGGGACAGTGTTCTCGGGGCATCTCTGGAGTTGCCTGAAGGAAGTCGAGCCACCGGTCGTGTTGAATGGGGAACGGGGAATGGCTCTGGAGTCAATGCAGGGGAATCGGGCCTCATCTCGAGTTGATTTGGGGCACATGGAGCTGCTTTGCGTTGCTGGGGTGACCTCAGGGTCCGTCTAGACTGGTGACAGTGTTCTTGGGGACTGTCTCGAGATCCATTAAGCAAGTCGAAGCTCCTGACTTGTTTGAATGGGATCACGGAATAGCTCTGCATGCACTGCAGGGGAATGGGGCCTCATCTCGCCTCTAGGGGGAAGTCTCATGGTTTTTCTCGAGTTGCGGCGGGGACCTGGGGTATGTTCTCGACTTACGGCGGGGATGGCCCTTCAAAACACGAGTTTCTTCAGTGACGTCAGGACTCCTGTCTAGTAACGAGGGACACCTCAGGAATCTCTTCGAGGCTTGGCAGGGCCAAAGGGACGCTTCTCGAGGTGAGGCAGGGCACCCAAGGACCCTTTCCAGTAGCCACAGGGATTTTGGGATTCCTATCAGTATTCAAGAGGAGTCAGGCATCGTCACCTTTTGAAGCAATGAACTCCGCGTGCCTCTCGAGGTGTCAGCGGGATGTGAGGCATTCCGTCAAAATGAGGCAGGGACCTAGGGCTTTCTCTAAGGTCTCCACAGGGGATTCAGACATCCCTTCATGTTGTGAGATGAAAGACGAGCCTGTATTCAAGCCACTGCAAGGAAATCCGGCCTCCTTTCACGTTAGGGCTTCTCGCTGTATATTCCCCTTGAGGCAGCAAACTCGGGGTCCCTCCCACATACCTATTGCTGAGAGAAGCCTCCTCCTGAGGTGCTTCTGGGAAGTTGGCATACGTTTTGAGCCTAAGCCAGGGAATCAGCTCGCATCTCGAGACGATTTGGGGTACACGGAGCATTCCTCGAGTTGCTGTGCTGAAGTTGGTGTTCCTCTAGACTTGGGACAGTGTTCTCGGGGCATCTCTGGAGTTGCCTGAAGGAAGTCGAGCCACCGGTCGTGTTGAATGGGGAACGGGGAATGGCTCTGGAGTCAATGCAGGGGAATCGGGCCTCATCTCGAGTTGATTTGGGGCACATGGAGCTGCTTTGCGTTGCTGGGGTGACCTCAGGGTCCGTCTAGACTGGTGACAGTGTTCTTGGGGACTGTCTCGAGATCCATTAAGCAAGTCGAAGCTCCTGACTTGTTTGAATGGGATCACGGAATAGCTCTGCATGCACTGCAGGGGAATGGGGCCTCATCTCGCCTCTAGGGGGAAGTCTCATGGTTTTTCTCGAGTTGCGGCGGGGACCTGGGGTATGTTCTCGACTTACGGCGGGGATGGCCCTTCAAAACACGAGTTTCTTCAGTGACGTCAGGACTCCTGTCTAGTAACGAGGGACACCTCAGGAATCTCTTCGAGGCTTGGCAGGGCCAAAGGGACGCTTCTCGAGGTGAGGCAGGGCACCCAAGGACCCTTTCCAGTAGCCACAGGGATTTTGGGATTCCTATCAGTATTCAAGAGGAGTCAGGCATCGTCACCTTTTGAAGCAATGAACTCCGCGTGCCTCTCGAGGTGTCAGCGGGATGTGAGGCATTCCGTCAAAATGAGGCAGGGACCTAGGGCTTTCTCTAAGGTCTCCACAGGGGATTCAGACATCCCTTCATGTTGTGAGATGAAAGACGAGCCTGTATTCAAGCCACTGGAAGGAAATCCGGCCTCCTTTCAAGTTAGGGCTTCTCGCTGTATATTCCCTTTGAGGCAGCAAACTCGGGGTCCCTCCCACATACCTATTGCTGAGAGAAGTCTCCTCCTGAGGTGCTTCTGGGAAGTTGGCCTATGTCTTGAGCCTAAGCCAGGGAATCAGCTCGCATCTCGAGACGATTTGGGGTACACGGAGCATTCCTCGAGTTGCTGTGCTGAAGTTGGTGTTCCTCTAGACTTGGGACAGTGTTCTCGGGGCATCTCTGGAGTTGCCTGAAGGAAGTCGAGCCACCGGTCGTGTTGAATGGGGAACGGGGAATGGCTCTGGAGTCAATGCAGGGGAATCGGGCCTCATCTCGAGTTGATTTGGGGCACATGGAGCTGCTTTGCGTTGCTGGGGTGACCTCAGGGTCCGTCTAGACTGGTGACAGTGTTCTTGGGGACTGTCTCGAGATCCATTAAGCAAGTCGAAGCTCCTGACTTGTTTGAATGGGATCACGGAATAGCTCTGCATGCACTGCAGGGGAATGGGGCCTCATCTCGCCTCTAGGGGGAAGTCTCATGGTTTTTCTCGAGTTGCGGCGGGGACCTGGGGTATGTTCTCGACTTACGGCGGGGATGGCCCTTCAAAACACGAGTTTCTTCAGTGACGTCAGGACTCCTGTCTAGTAACGAGGGACACCTCAGGAATCTCTTCGAGGCTTGGCAGGGCCAAAGGGACGCTTCTCGAGGTGAGGCAGGGCACCCAAGGACCCTTTCCAGTAGCCACAGGGATTTTGGGATTCCTATCAGTATTCAAGAGGAGTCAGGCATCGTCACCTTTTGAAGCAATGAACTCCGCGTGCCTCTCGAGGTGTCAGCGGGATGTGAGGCATTCCGTCAAAATGAGGCAGGGACCTAGGGCTTTCTCTAAGGTCTCCACAGGGGATTCAGACATCCCTTCATGTTGTGAGATGAAAGACGAGCCTGTATTCAAGCCACTGCAAGGAAATCCGGCCTCCTTTCTAGTTAGGGCTTCTCGCTGTATATTCCCCTTGAGGCAGCAAACTCGGGGTCCCTCCCACATACCTATTGCTGAGAGAAGCCTCCTCCTGAGGTGCTTCTGGGAAGTTGGCATACGTCTTGAGCCTAAGCCAGGGAATCAGCTCGCATCTCGAGACGATTTGGGGTACACGGAGCATTCCTCGAGTTGCTGTGCTGAAGTTGGTGTTCCTCTAGACTTGGGACAGTGTTCTCGGGGCATCTCTGGAGTTGCCTGAAGGAAGTCGAGCCACCGGTCGTGTTGAATGGGGAACGGGGAATGGCTCTGGAGTCAATGCAGGGGAATCGGGCCTCATCTCGAGTTGATTTGGGGCACATGGAGCTGCTTTGCGTTGCTGGGGTGACCTCAGGGTCCGTCTAGACTGGTGACAGTGTTCTTGGGGACTGTCTCGAGATCCATTAAGCAAGTCGAAGCTCCTGACTTGTTTGAATGGGGTCACGGAATAGCTCTGCATGCACTGCAGGGGAATGGGGCCTCATCTCGCCTCTAGGGGGAAGTCTCATGGTTTTTCTCGAGTTGCGGCGGGGACCTGGGGTATGTTCTCGACTTACGGCGGGGATGGCCCTTCAAAACACGAGTTTCTTCAGTGACGTCAGGACTCCTGTCTAGTAACGAGGGACACCTCAGGAATCTCTTCGAGGCTTGGCAGGGCCAAAGGGACGCTTCTCGAGGTGAGGCAGGGCACCCAAGGACCCTTTCCAGTAGCCACAGGGATTTTGGGATTCCTATCAGTATTCAAGAGGAGTCAGGCATCGTCACCTTTTGAAGCAATGAACTCCGCGTGCCTCTCGAGGTGTCAGCGGGATGTGAGGCATTCCGTCAAAATGAGGCAGGGACCTAGGGCTTTCTCTAAGGTCTCCACAGGGGATTCAGACATCCCTTCATGTTGTGAGATGAAAGACGAGCCTGTATTCAAGCCACTGCAAGGAAATCCGGCCTCCTTTCAAGTTAGGGCTTCTCGCTGTATATTCCCCTTGAGGCAGCAAACTCGGGGTCCCTCCCACATACCTATTGCTGAGAGAAGCCTCCTCCTGAGGTGCTTCTGGGAAGTTGGCATACGTCTTGAGCCTAAGCCAGGGAATCAGCTCGCATCTCGAGACGATTTGGGGTACACGGAGCATTCCTCGAGTTGCTGTGCTGAAGTTGGTGTTCCTCTAGACTTGGGACAGTGTTCTCGGGGCATCTCTGGAGTTGCCTGAAGGAAGTCGAGCCACCGGTCGTGTTGAATGGGGAACGGGGAATGGCTCTGGAGTCAATGCAGGGGAATCGGGCCTCATCTCGAGTTGATTTGGGGCACATGGAGCTGCTTTGCGTTGCTGGGGTGACCTCAGGGTCCGTCTAGACTGGTGACAGTGTTCTTGGGGACTGTCTCGAGATCCATTAAGCAAGTCGAAGCTCCTGACTTGTTTGAATGGGATCACGGAATAGCTCTGCATGCACTGCAGGGGAATGGGGCCTCATCTCGCCTCTAGGGGGAAGTCTCATGGTTTTTCTCGAGTTGCGGCGGGGACCTGGGGTATGTTATCGACTTACGGCGGGGATGGCCCTTCAAAACACGAGTTTCTTCAGTGACGTCAGGACTCCTGTCTAGTAACGAGGGACACCTCAGGAATCTCTTCGAGGCTTGGCAGGGCCAAAGGGACGCTTCTCGAGGTGAGGCAGGGCACCCAAGGACCCTTTCCAGTAGCCACAGGGATTTTGGGATTCCTATCAGTATTCAAGAGGAGTCAGGCATCGTCACCTTTTGAAGCAATGAACTCCGCGTGCCTCTCGAGGTGTCAGCGGGATGTGAGGCATTCCGTCAAAATGAGGCAGGGACCTAGGGCTTTCTCTAAGGTCTCCACAGGGGATTCAGACATCCCTTCATGTTGTGAGATGAAAGACGAGCCTGTATTCAAGCCACTGCAAGGAAATCCGGCCTCCTTTCACGTTAGGGCTTCTCGCTGTATATTCCCCTTGAGGCAGCAAACTCGGGGTCCCTCCCACATACCTATTGCTGAGAGAAGCCTCCTCCTGAGGTGCTTCTGGGAAGTTGGCATACGTTTTGAGCCTAAGCCAGGGAATCAGCTCGCATCTCGAGACGATTTGGGGTACACGGAGCATTCCTCGAGTTGCTGTGCTGAAGTTGGTGTTCCTCTAGACTTGGGACAGTGTTCTCGGGGCATCTCTGGAGTTGCCTGAAGGAAGTCGAGCCACCGGTCGTGTTGAATGGGGAACGGGGAATGGCTCTGGAGTCAATGCAGGGGAATCGGGCCTCATCTCGAGTTGATTTGGGGCACATGGAGCTGCTTTGCGTTGCTGGGGTGACCTCAGGGTCCGTCTAGACTGGTGACAGTGTTCTTGGGGACTGTCTCGAGATCCATTAAGCAAGTCGAAGCTCCTGACTTGTTTGAATGGGATCACGGAATAGCTCTGCATGCACTGCAGGGGAATGGGGCCTCATCTCGCCTCTAGGGGGAAGTCTCATGGTTTTTCTCGAGTTGCGGCGGGGACCTGGGGTATGTTCTCGACTTACGGCGGGGATGGCCCTTCAAAACACGAGTTTCTTCAGTGACGTCAGGACTCCTGTCTAGTAACGAGGGACACCTCAGGAATCTCTTCGAGGCTTGGCAGGGCCAAAGGGACGCTTCTCGAGGTGAGGCAGGGCACCCAAGGACCCTTTCCAGTAGCCACAGGGATTTTGGGATTCCTATCAGTATTCAAGAGGAGTCAGGCATCGTCACCTTTTGAAGCAATGAACTCCGCGTGCCTCTCGAGGTGTCAGCGGGATGTGAGGCATTCCGTCAAAATGAGGCAGGGACCTAGGGCTTTCTCTAAGGTCTCCACAGGGGATTCAGACATCCCTTCATGTTGTGAGATGAAAGACGAGCCTGTATTCAAGCCACTGCAAGGAAATCCGGCCTCCTTTCTAGTTAGGGCTTCTCGCTGTATATTCCCCTTGAGGCAGCAAACTCGGGGTCCCTCCCACATACCTATTGCTGAGAGAAGCCTCCTCCTGAGGTGCTTCTGGGAAGTTGGCATACGTCTTGAGCCTAAGCCAGGGAATCAGCTCGCATCTCGAGACGATTTGGGGTACACGGAGCATTCCTCGAGTTGCTGTGCTGAAGTTGGTGTTCCTCTAGACTTGGGACAGTGTTCTCGGGGCATCTCTGGAGTTGCCTGAAGGAAGTCGAGCCACCGGTCGTGTTGAATGGGGAACGGGGAATGGCTCTGGAGTCAATGCAGGGGAATCGGGCCTCATCTCGAGTTGATTTGGGGCACATGGAGCTGCTTTGCGTTGCTGGGGTGACCTCAGGGTCCGTCTAGACTGGTGACAGTGTTCTTGGGGACTGTCTCGAGATCCATTAAGCAAGTCGAAGCTCCTGACTTGTTTGAATGGGGTCACGGAATAGCTCTGCATGCACTGCAGGGGAATGGGGCCTCATCTCGCCTCTAGGGGGAAGTCTCATGGTTTTTCTCGAGTTGCGGCGGGGACCTGGGGTATGTTCTCGACTTACGGCGGGGATGGCCCTTCAAAACACGAGTTTCTTCAGTGACGTCAGGACTCCTGTCTAGTAACGAGGGACACCTCAGGAATCTCTTCGAGGCTTGGCAGGGCCAAAGGGACGCTTCTCGAGGTGAGGCAGGGCACCCAAGGACCCTTTCCAGTAGCCACAGGGATTTTGGGATTCCTATCAGTATTCAAGAGGAGTCAGGCATCGTCACCTTTTGAAGCAATGAACTCCGCGTGCCTCTCGAGGTGTCAGCGGGATGTGAGGCATTCCGTCAAAATGAGGCAGGGACCTAGGGCTTTCTCTAAGGTCTCCACAGGGGATTCAGACATCCCTTCATGTTGTGAGATGAAAGACGAGCCTGTATTCAAGCCACTGCAAGGAAATCCGGCCTCCTTTCAAGTTAGGGCTTCTCGCTGTATATTCCCCTTGAGGCAGCAAACTCGGGGTCCCTCCCACATACCTATTGCTGAGAGAAGCCTCCTCCTGAGGTGCTTCTGGGAAGTTGGCATACGTCTTGAGCCTAAGCCAGGGAATCAGCTCGCATCTCGAGACGATTTGGGGTACACGGAGCATTCCTCGAGTTGCTGTGCTGAAGTTGGTGTTCCTCTAGACTTGGGACAGTGTTCTCGGGGCATCTCTGGAGTTGCCTGAAGGAAGTCGAGCCACCGGTCGTGTTGAATGGGGAACGGGGAATGGCTCTGGAGTCAATGCAGGGGAATCGGGCCTCATCTCGAGTTGATTTGGGGCACATGGAGCTGCTTTGCGTTGCTGGGGTGACCTCAGGGTCCGTCTAGACTGGTGACAGTGTTCTTGGGGACTGTCTCGAGATCCATTAAGCAAGTCGAAGCTCCTGACTTGTTTGAATGGGATCACGGAATAGCTCTGCATGCACTGCAGGGGAATGGGGCCTCATCTCGCCTCTAGGGGGAAGTCTCATGGTTTTTCTCGAGTTGCGGCGGGGACCTGGGGTATGTTATCGACTTACGGCGGGGATGGCCCTTCAAAACACGAGTTTCTTCAGTGACGTCAGGACTCCTGTCTAGTAACGAGGGACACCTCAGGAATCTCTTCGAGGCTTGGCAGGGCCAAAGGGACGCTTCTCGAGGTGAGGCAGGGCACCCAAGGACCCTTTCCAGTAGCCACAGGGATTTTGGGATTCCTATCAGTATTCAAGAGGAGTCAGGCATCGTCACCTTTTGAAGCAATGAACTCCGCGTGCCTCTCGAGGTGTCAGCGGGATGTGAGGCATTCCGTCAAAATGAGGCAGGGACCTAGGGCTTTCTCTAAGGTCTCCACAGGGGATTCAGACATCCCTTCATGTTGTGAGATGAAAGACGAGCCTGTATTCAAGCCACTGCAAGGAAATCCGGCCTCCTTTCACGTTAGGGCTTCTCGCTGTATATTCCCCTTGAGGCAGCAAACTCGGGGTCCCTCCCACATACCTATTGCTGAGAGAAGCCTCCTCCTGAGGTGCTTCTGGGAAGTTGGCATACGTTTTGAGCCTAAGCCAGGGAATCAGCTCGCATCTCGAGACGATTTGGGGTACACGGAGCATTCCTCGAGTTGCTGTGCTGAAGTTGGTGTTCCTCTAGACTTGGGACAGTGTTCTCGGGGCATCTCTGGAGTTGCCTGAAGGAAGTCGAGCCACCGGTCGTGTTGAATGGGGAACGGGGAATGGCTCTGGAGTCAATGCAGGGGAATCGGGCCTCATCTCGAGTTGATTTGGGGCACATGGAGCTGCTTTGCGTTGCTGGGGTGACCTCAGGGTCCGTCTAGACTGGTGACAGTGTTCTTGGGGACTGTCTCGAGATCCATTAAGCAAGTCGAAGCTCCTGACTTGTTTGAATGGGATCACGGAATAGCTCTGCATGCACTGCAGGGGAATGGGGCCTCATCTCGCCTCTAGGGGGAAGTCTCATGGTTTTTCTCGAGTTGCGGCGGGGACCTGGGGTATGTTCTCGACTTACGGCGGGGATGGCCCTTCAAAACACGAGTTTCTTCAGTGACGTCAGGACTCCTGTCTAGTAACGAGGGACACCTCAGGAATCTCTTCGAGGCTTGGCAGGGCCAAAGGGACGCTTCTCGAGGTGAGGCAGGGCACCCAAGGACCCTTTCCAGTAGCCACAGGGATTTTGGGATTCCTATCAGTATTCAAGAGGAGTCAGGCATCGTCACCTTTTGAAGCAATGAACTCCGCGTGCCTCTCGAGGTGTCAGCGGGATGTGAGGCATTCCGTCAAAATGAGGCAGGGACCTAGGGCTTTCTCTAAGGTCTCCACAGGGGATTCAGACATCCCTTCATGTTGTGAGATGAAAGACGAGCCTGTATTCAAGCCACTGCAAGGAAATCCGGCCTCCTTTCTAGTTAGGGCTTCTCGCTGTATATTCCCCTTGAGGCAGCAAACTCGGGGTCCCTCCCACATACCTATTGCTGAGAGAAGCCTCCTCCTGAGGTGCTTCTGGGAAGTTGGCATACGTCTTGAGCCTAAGCCAGGGAATCAGCTCGCATCTCGAGACGATTTGGGGTACACGGAGCATTCCTCGAGTTGCTGTGCTGAAGTTGGTGTTCCTCTAGACTTGGGACAGTGTTCTCGGGGCATCTCTGGAGTTGCCTGAAGGAAGTCGAGCCACCGGTCGTGTTGAATGGGGAACGGGGAATGGCTCTGGAGTCAATGCAGGGGAATCGGGCCTCATCTCGAGTTGATTTGGGGCACATGGAGCTGCTTTGCGTTGCTGGGGTGACCTCAGGGTCCGTCTAGACTGGTGACAGTGTTCTTGGGGACTGTCTCGAGATCCATTAAGCAAGTCGAAGCTCCTGACTTGTTTGAATGGGGTCACGGAATAGCTCTGCATGCACTGCAGGGGAATGGGGCCTCATCTCGCCTCTAGGGGGAAGTCTCATGGTTTTTCTCGAGTTGCGGCGGGGACCTGGGGTATGTTCTCGACTTACGGCGGGGATGGCCCTTCAAAACACGAGTTTCTTCAGTGACGTCAGGACTCCTGTCTAGTAACGAGGGACACCTCAGGAATCTCTTCGAAGCTTGGCAGGGCCAAAGGGACGCTTCTCGAGGTGAGGCAGGGCACCCAAGGACCCTTTCCAGTAGCCACAGGGATTTTGGGATTCCTATCAGTATTCAAGAGGAGTCAGGCATCGTCACCTTTTGAAGCAATGAACTCCGCGTGCCTCTCGAGGTGTCAGCGGGATGTGAGGCATTCCGTCAAAATGAGGCAGGGACCTAGGGCTTTCTCTAAGGTCTCCACAGGGGATTCAGACATCCCTTCATGTTGTGAGATGAAAGACGAGCCTGTATTCAAGCCACTGCAAGGAAATCCGGCCTCCTTTCACGTTAGGGCTTCTCGCTGTATATTCCCCTTGAGGCAGCAAACTCGGGGTCCCTCCCACATACCTATTGCTGAGAGAAGCCTCCTCCTGAGGTGCTTCTGGGAAGTTGGCATACGTTTTGAGCCTAAGCCAGGGAATCAGCTCGCATCTCGAGACGATTTGGGGTACACGGAGCATTCCTCGAGTTGCTGTGCTGAAGTTGGTGTTCCTCTAGACTTGGGACAGTGTTCTCGGGGCATCTCTGGAGTTGCCTGAAGGAAGTCGAGCCACCGGTCGTGTTGAATGGGGAACGGGGAATGGCTCTGGAGTCAATGCAGGGGAATCGGGCCTCATCTCGAGTTGATTTGGGGCACATGGAGCTGCTTTGCGTTGCTGGGGTGACCTCAGGGTCCGTCTAGACTGGTGACAGTGTTCTTGGGGACTGTCTCGAGATCCATTAAGCAAGTCGAAGCTCCTGACTTGTTTGAATGGGATCACGGAATAGCTCTGCATGCACTGCAGGGGAATGGGGCCTCATCTCGCCTCTAGGGGGAAGTCTCATGGTTTTTCTCGAGTTGCGGCGGGGACCTGGGGTATGTTCTCGACTTACGGCGGGGATGGCCCTTCAAAACACGAGTTTCTTCAGTGACGTCAGGACTCCTGTCTAGTAACGAGGGACACCTCAGGAATCTCTTCGAGGCTTGGCAGGGCCAAAGGGACGCTTCTCGAGGTGAGGCAGGGCACCCAAGGACCCTTTCCAGTAGCCACAGGGATTTTGGGATTCCTATCAGTATTCAAGAGGAGTCAGGCATCGTCACCTTTTGAAGCAATGAACTCCGCGTGCCTCTCGAGGTGTCAGCGGGATGTGAGGCATTCCGTCAAAATGAGGCAGGGACCTAGGGCTTTCTCTAAGGTCTCCACAGGGGATTCAGACATCCCTTCATGTTGTGAGATGAAAGACGAGCCTGTATTCAAGCCACTGCAAGGAAATCCGGCCTCCTTTCTAGTTAGGGCTTCTCGCTGTATATTCCCCTTGAGGCAGCAAACTCGGGGTCCCTCCCACATACCTATTGCTGAGAGAAGCCTCCTCCTGAGGTGCTTCTGGGAAGTTGGCATACGTCTTGAGCCTAAGCCAGGGAATCAGCTCGCATCTCGAGACGATTTGGGGTACACGGAGCATTCCTCGAGTTGCTGTGCTGAAGTTGGTGTTCCTCTAGACTTGGGACAGTGTTCTCGGGGCATCTCTGGAGTTGCCTGAAGGAAGTCGAGCCACCGGTCGTGTTGAATGGGGAACGGGGAATGGCTCTGGAGTCAATGCAGGGGAATCGGGCCTCATCTCGAGTTGATTTGGGGCACATGGAGCTGCTTTGCGTTGCTGGGGTGACCTCAGGGTCCGTCTAGACTGGTGACAGTGTTCTTGGGGACTGTCTCGAGATCCATTAAGCAAGTCGAAGCTCCTGACTTGTTTGAATGGGGTCACGGAATAGCTCTGCATGCACTGCAGGGGAATGGGGCCTCATCTCGCCTCTAGGGGGAAGTCTCATGGTTTTTCTCGAGTTGCGGCGGGGACCTGGGGTATGTTCTCGACTTACGGCGGGGATGGCCCTTCAAAACACGAGTTTCTTCAGTGACGTCAGGACTCCTGTCTAGTAACGAGGGACACCTCAGGAATCTCTTCGAGGCTTGGCAGGGCCAAAGGGACGCTTCTCGAGGTGAGGCAGGGCACCCAAGGACCCTTTCCAGTAGCCACAGGGATTTTGGGATTCCTATCAGTATTCAAGAGGAGTCAGGCATCGTCACCTTTTGAAGCAATGAACTCCGCGTGCCTCTCGAGGTGTCAGCGGGATGTGAGGCATTCCGTCAAAATGAGGCAGGGACCTAGGGCTTTCTCTAAGGTCTCCACAGGGGATTCAGACATCCCTTCATGTTGTGAGATGAAAGACGAGCCTGTATTCAAGCCACTGCAAGGAAATCCGGCCTCCTTTCACGTTAGGGCTTCTCGCTGTATATTCCCCTTGAGGCAGCAAACTCGGGGTCCCTCCCACATACCTATTGCTGAGAGAAGCCTCCTCCTGAGGTGCTTCTGGGAAGTTGGCATACGTCTTGAGCCTAAGCCAGGGAATCAGCTCGCATCTCGAGACGATTTGGGGTACACGGAGCATTCCTCGAGTTGCTGTGCTGAAGTTGGTGTTCCTCTAGACTTGGGACAGTGTTCTCGGGGCATCTCTGGAGTTGCCTGAAGGAAGTCGAGCCACCGGTCGTGTTGAATGGGGAACGGGGAATGGCTCTGGAGTCAATGCAGGGGAATCGGGCCTCATCTCGAGTTGATTTGGGGCACATGGAGCTGCTTTGCGTTGCTGGGGTGACCTCAGGGTCCGTCTAGACTGGTGACAGTGTTCTTGGGGACTGTCTCGAGATCCATTAAGCAAGTCGAAGCTCCTGACTTGTTTGAATGGGATCACGGAATAGCTCTGCATGCACTGCAGGGGAATGGGGCCTCATCTCGCCTCTAGGGGGAAGTCTCATGGTTTTTCTCGAGTTGCGGCGGGGACCTGGGGTATGTTCTCGACTTACGGCGGGGATGGCCCTTCAAAACACGAGTTTCTTCAGTGACGTCAGGACTCCTGTCTAGTAACGAGGGACACCTCAGGAATCTCTTCGAGGCTTGGCAGGGCCAAAGGGACGCTTCTCGAGGTGAGGCAGGGCACCCAAGGACCCTTTCCAGTAGCCACAGGGATTTTGGGATTCCTATCAGTATTCAAGAGGAGTCAGGCATCGTCACCTTTTGAAGCAATGAACTCCGCGTGCCTCTCGAGGTGTCAGCGGGATGTGAGGCATTCCGTCAAAATGAGGCAGGGACCTAGGGCTTTCTCTAAGGTCTCCACAGGGGATTCAGACATCCCTTCATGTTGTGAGATGAAAGAGGAGCCTGTATTCAAGCCACTGCAAGGAAATCCGGCCTCCTTTCTTGTTAGGGCTTCTCGCTGTATATTCCCCTTGAGGCAGCAAACTCGGGGTCCCTCCCACATACCTATTGCTGAGAGAAGCCTCCTCCTGAGGTGCTTCTGGGAAGTTGGCATACGTCTTGAGCCTAAGCCAGGGAATCAGCTCGCATCTCGAGACGATTTGGGGTACACGGAGCATTCCTCGAGTTGCTGTGCTGAAGTTGGTGTTCCTCTAGACTTGGGACAGTGTTCTCGGGGCATCTCTGGAGTTGCCTGAAGGAAGTCGAGCCACCGGTCGTGTTGAATGGGGAACGGGGAATGGCTCTGGAGTCAATGCAGGGGAATCGGGCCTCATCTCGAGTTGATTTGGGGCACATGGAGCTGCTTTGCGTTGCTGGGGTGACCTCAGGGTCCGTCTAGACTGGTGACAGTGTTCTTGGGGACTGTCTCGAGATCCATTAAGCAAGTCGAAGCTCCTGACTTGTTTGAATGGGGTCACGGAATAGCTCTGCATGCACTGCAGGGGAATGGGGCCTCATCTCGCCTCTAGGGGGAAGTCTCATGGTTTTTCTCGAGTTGCGGCGGGGACCTGGGGTATGTTCTCGACTTACGGCGGGGATGGCCCTTCAAAACACGAGTTTCTTCAGTGACGTCAGGACTCCTGTCTAGTAACGAGGGACACCTCAGGAATCTCTTCGAGGCTTGGCAGGGCCAAAGGGACGCTTCTCGAGGTGAGGCAGGGCACCCAAGGACCCTTTCCAGTAGCCACAGGGATTTTGGGATTCCTATCAGTATTCAAGAGGAGTCAGGCATCGTCACCTTTTGAAGCAATGAACTCCGCGTGCCTCTCGAGGTGTCAGCGGGATGTGAGGCATTCCGTCAAAATGAGGCAGGGACCTAGGGCTTTCTCTAAGGTCTCCACAGGGGATTCAGACATCCCTTCATGTTGTGAGATGAAAGACGAGCCTGTATTCAAGCCACTGCAAGGAAATCCGGCCTCCTTTCACGTTAGGGCTTCTCGCTGTATATTCCCCTTGAGGCAGCAAACTCGGGGTCCCTCCCACATACCTATTGCTGAGAGAAGCCTCCTCCTGAGGTGCTTCTGGGAAGTTGGCATACGTTTTGAGCCTAAGCCAGGGAATCAGCTCGCATCTCGAGACGATTTGGGGTACACGGAGCATTCCTCGAGTTGCTGTGCTGAAGTTGGTGTTCCTCTAGACTTGGGACAGTGTTCTCGGGGCATCTCTGGAGTTGCCTGAAGGAAGTCGAGCCACCGGTCGTGTTGAATGGGGAACGGGGAATGGCTCTGGAGTCAATGCAGGGGAATCGGGCCTCATCTCGAGTTGATTTGGGGCACATGGAGCTGCTTTGCGTTGCTGGGGTGACCTCAGGGTCCGTCTAGACTGGTGACAGTGTTCTTGGGGACTGTCTCGAGATCCATTAAGCAAGTCGAAGCTCCTGACTTGTTTGAATGGGATCACGGAATAGCTCTGCATGCACTGCAGGGGAATGGGGCCTCATCTCGCCTCTAGGGGGAAGTCTCATGGTTTTTCTCGAGTTGCGGCGGGGACCTGGGGTATGTTCTCGACTTACGGCGGGGATGGCCCTTCAAAACACGAGTTTCTTCAGTGACGTCAGGACTCCTGTCTAGTAACGAGGGACACCTCAGGAATCTCTTCGAGGCTTGGCAGGGCCAAAGGGACGCTTCTCGAGGTGAGGCAGGGCACCCAAGGACCCTTTCCAGTAGCCACAGGGATTTTGGGATTCCTATCAGTATTCAAGAGGAGTCAGGCATCGTCACCTTTTGAAGCAATGAACTCCGCGTGCCTCTCGAGGTGTCAGCGGGATGTGAGGCATTCCGTCAAAATGAGGCAGGGACCTAGGGCTTTCTCTAAGGTCTCCACAGGGGATTCAGACATCCCTTCATGTTGTGAGATGAAAGACGAGCCTGTATTCAAGCCACTGGAAGGAAATCCGGCCTCCTTTCAAGTTAGGGCTTCTCGCTGTATATTCCCTTTGAGGCAGCAAACTCGGGGTCCCTCCCACATACCTATTGCTGAGAGAAGTCTCCTCCTGAGGTGCTTCTGGGAAGTTGGCCTATGTCTTGAGCCTAAGCCAGGGAATCAGCTCGCATCTCGAGACGATTTGGGGTACACGGAGCATTCCTCGAGTTGCTGTGCTGAAGTTGGTGTTCCTCTAGACTTGGGACAGTGTTCTCGGGGCATCTCTGGAGTTGCCTGAAGGAAGTCGAGCCACCGGTCGTGTTGAATGGGGAACGGGGAATGGCTCTGGAGTCAATGCAGGGGAATCGGGCCTCATCTCGAGTTGATTTGGGGCACATGGAGCTGCTTTGCGTTGCTGGGGTGACCTCAGGGTCCGTCTAGACTGGTGACAGTGTTCTTGGGGACTGTCTCGAGATCCATTAAGCAAGTCGAAGCTCCTGACTTGTTTGAATGGGATCACGGAATAGCTCTGCATGCACTGCAGGGGAATGGGGCCTCATCTCGCCTCTAGGGGGAAGTCTCATGGTTTTTCTCGAGTTGCGGCGGGGACCTGGGGTATGTTCTCGACTTACGGCGGGGATGGCCCTTCAAAACACGAGTTTCTTCAGTGACGTCAGGACTCCTGTCTAGTAACGAGGGACACCTCAGGAATCTCTTCGAGGCTTGGCAGGGCCAAAGGGACGCTTCTCGAGGTGAGGCAGGGCACCCAAGGACCCTTTCCAGTAGCCACAGGGATTTTGGGATTCCTATCAGTATTCAAGAGGAGTCAGGCATCGTCACCTTTTGAAGCAATGAACTCCGTGTGCCTCTCGAGGTGTCAGCGGGATGTGAGGCATTCCGTCAAAATGAGGCAGGGACCTAGGGCTTTCTCTAAGGTCTCCACAGGGGATTCAGACATCCCTTCATGTTGTGAGATGAAAGAGGAGCCTGTATTCAAGCCACTGCAAGGAAATCCGGCCTCCTTTCTAGTTAGGGCTTCTCGCTGTATATTCCCCTTGAGGCAGCAAACTCGGGGTCCCTCCCACATACCTATTGCTGAGAGAAGCCTCCTCCTGAGGTGCTTCTGGGAAGTTGGCATACGTCTTGAGCCTAAGCCAGGGAATCAGCTCGCATCTCGAGACGATTTGGGGTACACGGAGCATTCCTCGAGTTGCTGTGCTGAAGTTGGTGTTCCTCTAGACTTGGGACAGTGTTCTCGGGGCATCTCTGGAGTTGCCTGAAGGAAGTCGAGCCACCGGTCGTGTTGAATGGGGAACGGGGAATGGCTCTGGAGTCAATGCAGGGGAATCGGGCCTCATCTCGAGTTGATTTGGGGCACATGGAGCTGCTTTGCGTTGCTGGGGTGACCTCAGGGTCCGTCTAGACTGGTGACAGTGTTCTTGGGGACTGTCTCGAGATCCATTAAGCAAGTCGAAGCTCCTGACTTGTTTGAATGGGGTCACGGAATAGCTCTGCATGCACTGCAGGGGAATGGGGCCTCATCTCGCCTCTAGGGGGAAGTCTCATGGTTTTTCTCGAGTTGCGGCGGGGACCTGGGGTATGTTCTCGACTTACGGCGGGGATGGCCCTTCAAAACACGAGTTTCTTCAGTGACGTCAGGACTCCTGTCTAGTAACGAGGGACACCTCAGGAATCTCTTCGAGGCTTGGCAGGGCCAAAGGGACGCTTCTCGAGGTGAGGCAGGGCACCCAAGGACCCTTTCCAGTAGCCACAGGGATTTTGGGATTCCTATCAGTATTCAAGAGGAGTCAGGCATCGTCACCTTTTGAAGCAATGAACTCCGCGTGCCTCTCGAGGTGTCAGCGGGATGTGAGGCATTCCGTCAAAATGAGGCAGGGACCTAGGGCTTTCTCTAAGGTCTCCACAGGGGATTCAGACATCCCTTCATGTTGTGAGATGAAAGACGAGCCTGTATTCAAGCCACTGCAAGGAAATCCGGCCTCCTTTCACGTTAGGGCTTCTCGCTGTATATTCCCCTTGAGGCAGCAAACTCGGGGTCCCTCCCACATACCTATTGCTGAGAGAAGCCTCCTCCTGAGGTGCTTCTGGGAAGTTGGCATACGTTTTGAGCCTAAGCCAGGGAATCAGCTCGCATCTCGAGACGATTTGGGGTACACGGAGCATTCCTCGAGTTGCTGTGCTGAAGTTGGTGTTCCTCTAGACTTGGGACAGTGTTCTCGGGGCATCTCTGGAGTTGCCTGAAGGAAGTCGAGCCACCGGTCGTGTTGAATGGGGAACGGGGAATGGCTCTGGAGTCAATGCAGGGGAATCGGGCCTCATCTCGAGTTGATTTGGGGCACATGGAGCTGCTTTGCGTTGCTGGGGTGACCTCAGGGTCCGTCTAGACTGGTGACAGTGTTCTTGGGGACTGTCTCGAGATCCATTAAGCAAGTCGAAGCTCCTGACTTGTTTGAATGGGATCACGGAATAGCTCTGCATGCACTGCAGGGGAATGGGGCCTCATCTCGCCTCTAGGGGGAAGTCTCATGGTTTTTCTCGAGTTGCGGCGGGGACCTGGGGTATGTTCTCGACTTACGGCGGGGATGGCCCTTCAAAACACGAGTTTCTTCAGTGACGTCAGGACTCCTGTCTAGTAACGAGGGACACCTCAGGAATCTCTTCGAGGCTTGGCAGGGCCAAAGGGACGCTTCTCGAGGTGAGGCAGGGCACCCAAGGACCCTTTCCAGTAGCCACAGGGATTTTGGGATTCCTATCAGTATTCAAGAGGAGTCAGGCATCGTCACCTTTTGAAGCAATGAACTCCGCGTGCCTCTCGAGGTGTCAGCGGGATGTGAGGCATTCCGTCAAAATGAGGCAGGGACCTAGGGCTTTCTCTAAGGTCTCCACAGGGGATTCAGACATCCCTTCATGTTGTGAGATGAAAGACGAGCCTGTATTCAAGCCACTGCAAGGAAATCCGGCCTCCTTTCTAGTTAGGGCTTCTCGCTGTATATTCCCCTTGAGGCAGCAAACTCGGGGTCCCTCCCACATACCTATTGCTGAGAGAAGCCTCCTCCTGAGGTGCTTCTGGGAAGTTGGCATACGTCTTGAGCCTAAGCCAGGGAATCAGCTCGCATCTCGAGACGATTTGGGGTACACGAAGCATTCCTCGAGTTGCTGTGCTGAAGTTGGTGTTCCTCTAGACTTGGGACAGTGTTCTCGGGGCATCTCTGGAGTTGCCTGAAGGAAGTCGAGCCACCGGTCGTGTTGAATGGGGAACGGGGAATGGCTCTGGAGTCAATGCAGGGGAATCGGGCCTCATCTCGAGTTGATTTGGGGCACATGGAGCTGCTTTGCGTTGCTGGGGTGACCTCAGGGTCCGTCTAGACTGGTGACAGTGTTCTTGGGGACTGTCTCGAGATCCATTAAGCAAGTCGAAGCTCCTGACTTGTTTGAATGGGGTCACGGAATAGCTCTGCATGCACTGCAGGGGAATGGGGCCTCATCTCGCCTCTAGGGGGAAGTCTCATGGTTTTTCTCGAGTTGCGGCGGGGACCTGGGGTATGTTCTCGACTTACGGCGGGGATGGCCCTTCAAAACACGAGTTTCTTCAGTGACGTCAGGACTCCTGTCTAGTAACGAGGGACACCTCAGGAATCTCTTCGAGGCTTGGCAGGGCCAAAGGGACGCTTCTCGAGGTGAGGCAGTGCACCCAAGGACCCTTTCCAGTAGCCACAGGGATTTTGGGATTCCTATCAGTATTCAAGAGGAGTCAGGCATCGTCACCTTTTGAAGCAATGAACTCCGCGTGCCTCTCGAGGTGTCAGCGGGATGTGAGGCATTCCGTCAAAATGAGGCAGGGACCTAGGGCTTTCTCTAAGGTCTCCACAGGGGATTCAGACATCCCTTCATGTTGTGAGATGAAAGACGAGCCTGTATTCAAGCCACTGCAAGGAAATCCGGCCTCCTTTCAAGTTAGGGCTTCTCGCTGTATATTCCCCTTGAGGCAGCAAACTCGGGGTCCCTCCCACATACCTATTGCTGAGAGAAGCCTCCTCCTGAGGTGCTTCTGGGAAGTTGGCATACGTCTTGAGCCTAAGCCAGGGAATCAGCTCGCATCTCGAGACGATTTGGGGTACACGGAGCATTCCTCGAGTTGCTGTGCTGAAGTTGGTGTTCCTCTAGACTTGGGACAGTGTTCTCGGGGCATCTCTGGAGTTGCCTGAAGGAAGTCGAGCCACCGGTCGTGTTGAATGGGGAACGGGGAATGGCTCTGGAGTCAATGCAGGGGAATCGGGCCTCATCTCGAGTTGATTTGGGGCACATGGAGCTGCTTTGCGTTGCTGGGGTGAGCTCAGGGTCCGTCTAGACTGGTGACAGTGTTCTTGGGGACTGTCTCGAGATCCATTAAGCAAGTCGAAGCTCCTGACTTGTTTGAATGGGATCACGGAATAGCTCTGCATGCACTGCAGGGGAATGGGGCCTCATCTCGCCTCTAGGGGGAAGTCTCATGGTTTTTCTCGAGTTGCGGCGGGGACCTGGGGTATGTTCTCGACTTACGGCGGGGATGGCCCTTCAAAACACGAGTTTCTTCAGTGACGTCAGGACTCCTGTCTAGTAACGAGGGACACCTCAGGAATCTCTTCGAGGCTTGGCAGGGCCAAAGGGACGCTTCTCGAGGTGAGGCAGGGCACCCAAGGACCCTTTCCAGTAGCCACAGGGATTTTGGGATTCCTATCAGTATTCAAGAGGAGTCAGGCATCGTCACCTTTTGAAGCAATGAACTCCGCGTGCCTCTCGAGGTGTCAGCGGGATGTGAGGCATTCCGTCAAAATGAGGCAGGGACCTAGGGCTTTCTCTAAGGTCTCCACAGGGGATTCAGACATCCCTTCATGTTGTGAGATGAAAGACGAGCCTGTATTCAAGCCACTGCAAGGAAATCCGGCCTCCTTTCAAGTTAGGGCTTCTCGCTGTATATTCCCCTTGAGGCAGCAAACTCGGGGTCCCTCCCACATACCTATTGCTGAGAGAAGCCTCCTCCTGAGGTGCTTCTGGGAAGTTGGCATACGTCTTGAGCCTAAGCCAGGGAATCAGCTCGCATCTCGAGACGATTTGGGGTACACGGAGCATTCCTCGAGTTGCTGTGCTGAAGTTGGTGTTCCTCTAGACTTGGGACAGTGTTCTCGGGGCATCTCTGGAGTTGCCTGAAGGAAGTCGAGCCACCGGTCGTGTTGAATGGGGAACGGGGAATGGCTCTGGAGTCAATGCAGGGGAATCGGGCCTCATCTCGAGTTGATTTGGGGCACATGGAGCTGCTTTGCGTTGCTGGGGTGACCTCAGGGTCCGTCTAGACTGGTGACAGTGTTCTTGGGGACTGTCTCGAGATCCATTAAGCAAGTCGAAGCTCCTGACTAGTTTGAATGGGATCACGGAATAGCTCTGCATGCACTGCAGGGGAATGGGGCCTCATCTCGCCTCTAGGGGGAAGTCTCATGGTTTTTCTCGAGTTGCGGCGGGGACCTGGGGTATGTTCTCGACTTACGGCGGGGATGGCCCTTCAAAACACGAGTTTCTTCAGTGACGTCAGGACTCCTGTCTAGTAACGAGGGACACCTCAGGAATCTCTTCGAGGCTTGGCAGGGCCAAAGGGACGCTTCTCGAGGTGAGGCAGGGCACCCAAGGACCCTTTCCAGTAGCCACAGGGATTTTGGGATTCCTATCAGTATTCAAGAGGAGTCAGGCATCGTCACCTTTTGAAGCAATGAACTCCGCGTGCCTCTCGAGGTGTCAGCGGGATGTGAGGCATTACGTCAAAATGAGGCAGGGACCTAGGGCTTTCTCTAAGGTCTCCACAGGGGATTCAGACATCCCTTCATGTTGTGAGATGAAAGACGAGCCTGTATTCAAGCCACTGCAAGGAAATCCGGCCTCCTTTCACGTTAGGGCTTCTCGCTGTATATTCCCCTTGAGGCAGCAAACTCGGGGTCCCTCCCACATACCTATTGCTGAGAGAAGCCTCCTCCTGAGGTGCTTCTGGGAAGTTGGCATACGTTTTGAGCCTAAGCCAGGGAATCAGCTCGCATCTCGAGACGATTTGGGGTACACGGAGCATTCCTCGAGTTGCTGGGCTGAAGTTGGTGTTCCTCTAGACTTGGGACAGTGTTCTCGGGGCATCTCTGGAGTTGCCTGAAGGAAGTCGAGCCACCGGTCGTGTTGAATGGGGAACGGGGAATGGCTCTGGAGTCAATGCAGGGGAATCGGGCCTCATCTCGAGTTGATTTGGGGCACATGGAGCTGCTTTGCGTTGCTGGGGTGACCTCAGGGTCCGTCTAGACTGGTGACAGTGTTCTTGGGGACTGTCTCGAGATCCATTAAGCAAGTCGAAGCTCCTGACTTGTTTGAATGGGATCACGGAATAGCTCTGCATGCACTGCAGGGGAATGGGGCCTCATCTCGCCTCTAGGGGGAAGTCTCATGGTTTTTCTCGAGTTGCGGCGGGGACCTGGGGTATGTTCTCGACTTACGGCGGGGATGGCCCTTCAAAACACGAGTTTCTTCAGTGACGTCAGGACTCCTGTCTAGTAACGAGGGACACCTCAGGAATCTCTTCGAGGCTTGGCAGGGCCAAAGGGACGCTTCTCGAGGTGAGGCAGGGCACCCAAGGACCCTTTCCAGTAGCCACAGGGATTTTGGGATTCCTATCAGTATTCAAGAGGAGTCAGGCATCGTCACCTTTTGAAGCAATGAACTCCGCGTGCCTCTCGAGGTGTCAGCGGGATGTGAGGCATTCCGTCAAAATGAGGCAGGGACCTAGGGCTTTCTCTAAGGTCTCCACAGGGGATTCAGACATCCCTTCATGTTGTGAGATGAAAGACGAGCCTGTATTCAAGCCACTGCAAGGAAATCCGGCCTCCTTTCACGTTAGGGCTTCTCGCTGTATATTCCCCTTGAGGCAGCAAACTCGGGGTCCCTCCCACATACCTATTGCTGAGAGAAGCCTCCTCCTGAGGTGCTTCTGGGAAGTTGGCATACGTTTTGAGCCTAAGCCAGGGAATCAGCTCGCATCTCGAGACGATTTGGGGTACACGGAGCATTCCTCGAGTTGCTGTGCTGAAGTTGGTGTTCCTCTAGACTTGGGACAGTGTTCTCGGGGCATCTCTGGAGTTGCCTGAAGGAAGTCGAGCCACCGGTCGTGTTGAATGGGGAACGGGGAATGGCTCTGGAGTCAATGCAGGGGAATCGGGCCTCATCTCGAGTTGATTTGGGGCACATGGAGCTGCTTTGCGTTGCTGGGGTGACCTCAGGGTCCGTCTAGACTGGTGACAGTGTTCTTGGGGACTGTCTCGAGATCCATTAAGCAAGTCGAAGCTCCTGACTTGTTTGAATGGGGTCACGGAATAGCTCTGCATGCACTGCAGGGGAATGGGGCCTCATCTCGCCTCTAGGGGGAAGTCTCATGGTTTTTCTCGAGTTGCGGCGGGGACCTGGGGTATGTTCTCGACTTACGGCGGGGATGGCCCTTCAAAACACGAGTTTCTTCAGTGACGTCAGGACTCCTGTCTAGTAACGAGGGACACCTCAGGAATCTCTTCGAGGCTTGGCAGGGCCAAAGGGACGCTTCTCGAGGTGAGGCAGTGCACCCAAGGACCCTTTCCAGTAGCCACAGGGATTTTGGGATTCCTATCAGTATTCAAGAGGAGTCAGGCATCGTCACCTTTTGAAGCAATGAACTCCGCGTGCCTCTCGAGGTGTCAGCGGGATGTGAGGCATTCCGTCAAAATGAGGCAGGGACCTAGGGCTTTCTCTAAGGTCTCCACAGGGGATTCAGACATCCCTTCATGTTGTGAGATGAAAGACGAGCCTGTATTCAAGCCACTGCAAGGAAATCCGGCCTCCTTTCAAGTTAGGGCTTCTCGCTGTATATTCCCCTTGAGGCAGCAAACTCGGGGTCCCTCCCACATACCTATTGCTGAGAGAAGCCTCCTCCTGAGGTGCTTCTGGGAAGTTGGCATACGTCTTGAGCCTAAGCCAGGGAATCAGCTCGCATCTCGAGACGATTTGGGGTACACGGAGCATTCCTCGAGTTGCTGTGCTGAAGTTGGTGTTCCTCTAGACTTGGGACAGTGTTCTCGGGGCATCTCTGGAGTTGCCTGAAGGAAGTCGAGCCACCGGTCGTGTTGAATGGGGAACGGGGAATGGCTCTGGAGTCAATGCAGGGGAATCGGGCCTCATCTCGAGTTGATTTGGGGCACATGGAGCTGCTTTGCGTTGCTGGGGTGACCTCAGGGTCCGTCTAGACTGGTGACAGTGTTCTTGGGGACTGTCTCGAGATCCATTAAGCAAGTCGAAGCTCCTGACTTGTTTGAATGGGATCACGGAATAGCTCTGCATGCACTGCAGGGGAATGGGGCCTCATCTCGCCTCTAGGGGGAAGTCTCATGGTTTTTCTCGAGTTGCGGCGGGGACCTGGGGTATGTTCTCGACTTACGGCGGGGATGGCCCTTCAAAACACGAGTTTCTTCAGTGACGTCAGGACTCCTGTCTAGTAACGAGGGACACCTCAGGAATCTCTTCGAGGCTTGGCAGGGCCAAAGGGACGCTTCTCGAGGTGAGGCAGGGCACCCAAGGACCCTTTCCAGTAGCCACAGGGATTTTGGGATTCCTATCAGTATTCAAGAGGAGTCAGGCATCGTCACCTTTTGAAGCAATGAACTCCGCGTGCCTCTCGAGGTGTCAGCGGGATGTGAGGCATTCCGTCAAAATGAGGCAGGGACCTAGGGCTTTCTCTAAGGTCTCCACAGGGGATTCAGACATCCCTTCATGTTGTGAGATGAAAGACGAGCCTGTATTCAAGCCACTGCAAGGAAATCCGGCCTCCTTTCAAGTTAGGGCTTCTCGCTGTATATTCCCTTTGAGGCAGCAAACTCGGGGTCCCTCCCACATACCTATTGCTGAGAGAAGTCTCCTCCTGAGGTGCTTCTGGGAAGTTGGCCTATGTCTTAAGCCTAAGCCAGGGAATCAGCTCGCATCTCGAGACGATTTGGGGTACACGGAGCATTCCTCGAGTTGCTGTGCTGAAGTTGGTGTTCCTCTAGACTTGGGACAGTGTTCTCGGGGCATCTCTGGAGTTGCCTGAAGGAAGTCGAGCCACCGGTCGTGTTGAATGGGGAACGGGGAATGGCTCTGGAGTCAATGCAGGGGAATCGGGCCTCATCTCGAGTTGATTTGGGGCACATGGAGCTGCTTTGCGTTGCTGGGGTGACCTCAGGGTCCGTCTAGACTGGTGACAGTGTTCTTGGGGACTGTCTCGAGATCCATTAAGCAAGTCGAAGCTCCTGACTTGTTTGAATGGGATCACGGAATAGCTCTGCATGCACTGCAGGGGAATGGGGCCTCATCTCGCCTCTAGGGGGAAGTCTCATGGTTTTTCTCGAGTTGCGGCGGGGACCTGGGGTATGTTCTCGACTTACGGCGGGGATGGCCCTTCAAAACACGAGTTTCTTCAGTGACGTCAGGACTCCTGTCTAGTAACGAGGGACACCTCAGGAATCTCTTCGAGGCTTGGCAGGGCCAAAGGGACGCTTCTCGAGGTGAGGCAGGGCACCCAAGGACCCTTTCCAGTAGCCACAGGGATTTTGGGATTCCTATCAGTATTCAAGAGGAGTCAGGCATCGTCACCTTTTGAAGCAATGAACTCCGCGTGCCTCTCGAGGTGTCAGCGGGATGTGAGGCATTCCGTCAAAATGAGGCAGGGACCTAGGGCTTTCTCTAAGGTCTCCACAGGGGATTCAGACATCCCTTCATGTTGTGAGATGAAAGACGAGCCTGTATTCAAGCCACTGCAAGGAAATCCGGCCTCCTTTCAAGTTAGGGCTTCTCGCTGTATATTCCCCTTGAGGCAGCAAACTCGGGGTCCCTCCCACATACCTATTGCTGAGAGAAGCCTCCTCCTGAGGTGCTTCTGGGAAGTTGGCATACGTCTTGAGCCTAAGCCAGGGAATCAGCTCGCATCTCGAGACGATTTGGGGTACACGGAGCATTCCTCGAGTTGCTGTGCTGAAGTTGGTGTTCCTCTAGACTTGAGACAGTGTTCTCGGGGCATCTCTGGAGTTGCCTGAAGGAAGTCGAGCCACCGGTCGTGTTGAATGGGGAACGGGGAATGGCTCTGGAGTCAATGCAGGGGAATCGGGCCTCATCTCGAGTTGATTTGGGGCACATGGAGCTGCTTTGCGTTGCTGGGGTGACCTCAGGGTCCGTCTAGACTGGTGACAGTGTTCTTGGGGACTGTCTCGAGATCCATTAAGCAAGTCGAAGCTCCTGACTAGTTTGAATGGGATCACGGAATAGCTCTGCATGCACTGCAGGGGAATGGGGCCTCATCTCGCCTCTAGGGGGAAGTCTCATGGTTTTTCTCGAGTTGCGGCGGGGACCTGGGGTATGTTCTCGACTTACGGCGGGGATGGCCCTTCAAAACACGAGTTTCTTCAGTGACGTCAGGACTCCTGTCTAGTAACGAGGGACACCTCAGGAATCTCTTCGAGGCTTGGCAGGGCCAAAGGGACGCTTCTCGAGGTGAGGCAGGGCACCCAAGGACCCTTTCCAGTAGCCACAGGGATTTTGGGATTCCTATCAGTATTCAAGAGGAGTCAGGCATCGTCACCTTTTGAAGCAATGAACTCCGCGTGCCTCTCGAGGTGTCAGCGGGATGTGAGGCATTCCGTCAAAATGAGGCAGGGACCTAGGGCTTTCTCTAAGGTCTCCACAGGGGATTCAGACATCCCTTCATGTTGTGAGATGAAAGACGAGCCTGTATTCAAGCCACTGCAAGGAAATCCGGCCTCCTTTCACGTTAGGGCTTCTCGCTGTATATTCCCCTTGAGGCAGCAAACTCGGGGTCCCTCCCACATACCTATTGCTGAGAGAAGCCTCCTCCTGAGGTGCTTCTGGGAAGTTGGCATACGTTTTGAGCCTAAGCCAGGGAATCAGCTCGCATCTCGAGACGATTTGGGGTACACGGAGCATTCCTCGAGTTGCTGGGCTGAAGTTGGTGTTCCTCTAGACTTGGGACAGTGTTCTCGGGGCATCTCTGGAGTTGCCTGAAGGAAGTCGAGCCACCGGTCGTGTTGAATGGGGAACGGGGAATGGCTCTGGAGTCAATGCAGGGGAATCGGGCCTCATCTCGAGTTGATTTGGGGCACATGGAGCTGCTTTGCGTTGCTGGGGTGACCTCAGGGTCCGTCTAGACTGGTGACAGTGTTCTTGGGGACTGTCTCGAGATCCATTAAGCAAGTCGAAGCTCCTGACTTGTTTGAATGGGATCACGGAATAGCTCTGCATGCACTGCAGGGGAATGGGGCCTCATCTCGCCTCTAGGGGGAAGTCTCATGGTTTTTCTCGAGTTGCGGCGGGGACCTGGGGTATGTTCTCGACTTACGGCGGGGATGGCCCTTCAAAACACGAGTTTCTTCAGTGACGTCAGGACTCCTGTCTAGTAACGAGGGACACCTCAGGAATCTCTTCGAGGCTTGGCAGGGCCAAAGGGACGCTTCTCGAGGTGAGGCAGGGCACCCAAGGACCCTTTCCAGTAGCCACAGGGATTTTGGGATTCCTATCAGTATTCAAGAGGAGTCAGGCATCGTCACCTTTTGAAGCAATGAACTCCGCGTGCCTCTCGAGGTGTCAGCGGGATGTGAGGCATTCCGTCAAAATGAGGCAGGGACCTAGGGCTTTCTCTAAGGTCTCCACAGGGGATTCAGACATCCCTTCATGTTGTGAGATGAAAGACGAGCCTGTATTCAAGCCACTGCAAGGAAATCCGGCCTCCTTTCAAGTTAGGGCTTCTCGCTGTATATTCCCTTTGAGGCAGCAAACTCGGGGTCCCTCCCACATACCTATTGCTGAGAGAAGTCTCCTCCTGAGGTGCTTCTGGGAAGTTGGCATACGTCTTGAGCCTAAGCCAGGGAATCAGCTCGCATCTCGAGACGATTTGGGGTACACGGAGCATTCCTCGAGTTGCTGTGCTGAAGTTGGTGTTCCTCTAGACTTGGGACAGTGTTCTCGGGGCATCTCTGGAGTTGCCTGAAGGAAGTCGAGCCACCGGTCGTGTTGAATGGGGAACGGGGAATGGCTCTGGAGTCAATGCAGGGGAATCGGGCCTCATCTCGAGTTGATTTGGGGCACATGGAGCTGCTTTGCGTTGCTGGGGTGACCTCAGGGTCCGTCTAGACTGGTGACAGTGTTCTTGGGGACTGTCTCGAGATCCATTAAGCAAGTCGAAGCTCCTGACTTGTTTGAATGGGATCACGGAATAGCTCTGCATGCACTGCAGGGGAATGGGGCCTCATCTCGCCTCTAGGGGGAAGTCTCATGGTTTTTCTCGAGTTGCGGCGGGGACCTGGGGTATGTTCTCGACTTACGGCGGGGATGGCCCTTCAAAACACGAGTTTCTTCAGTGACGTCAGGACTCCTGTCTAGTAACGAGGGACACCTCAGGAATCTCTTCGAGGCTTGGCAGGGCCAAAGGGACGCTTCTCGAGGTGAGGCAGGGCACCCAAGGACCCTTTCCAGTAGCCACAGGGATTTTGGGATTCCTATCAGTATTCAAGAGGAGTCAGGCATCGTCACCTTTTGAAGCAATGAACTCCGCGTGCCTCTCGAGGTGTCAGCGGGATGTGAGGCATTCCGTCAAAATGAGGCAGGGACCTAGGGCTTTCTCTAAGGGCTCCACAGGGGATTCAGACATCCCTTCATGTTGTGAGATGAAAGACGAGCCTGTATTCAAGCCACTGCAAGGAAATCCGGCCTCCTTTCAAGTTAGGGCTTCTCGCTGTATATTCCCTTTGAGGCAGCAAACTCGGGGTCCCTCCCACATACCTATTGCTGAGAGAAGTCTCCTCCTGAGGTGCTTCTGGGAAGTTGGCCTATGTCTTGAGCCTAAGCCAGGGAATCAGCTCGCATCTCGAGACGATTTGGGGTACACGGAGCATTCCTCGAGTTGCTGTGCTGAAGTTGGTGTTCCTCTAGACTTGGGACAGTGTTCTCGGGGCATCTCTGGAGTTGCCTGAAGGAAGTCGAGCCACCGGTCGTGTTGAATGGGGAACGGGGAATGGCTCTGGAGTCAATGCAGGGGAATCGGGCCTCATCTCGAGTTGATTTGGGGCACATGGAGCTGCTTTGCGTTGCTGGGGTGACCTCAGGGTCCGTCTAGACTGGTGACAGTGTTCTTGGGGACTGTCTCGAGATCCATTAAGCAAGTCGAAGCTCCTGACTTGTTTGAATGGGATCACGGAATAGCTCTGCATGCACTGCAGGGGAATGGGGCCTCATCTCGCCTCTAGGGGGAAGTCTCATGGTTTTTCTCGAGTTGCGGCGGGGACCTGGGGTATGTTCTCGACTTACGGCGGGGATGGCCCTTCAAAACACGAGTTTCTTCAGTGACGTCAGGACTCCTGTCTAGTAACGAGGGACACCTCAGGAATCTCTTCGAGGCTTGGCAGGGCCAAAGGGACGCTTCTCGAGGTGAGGCAGGGCACCCAAGGACCCTTTCCAGTAGCCACAGGGATTTTGGGATTCCTATCAGTATTCAAGAGGAGTCAGGCATCGTCACCTTTTGAAGCAATGAACTCCGCGTGCCTCTCGAGGTGTCAGCGGGATGTGAGGCATTCCGTCAAAATGAGGCAGGGACCTAGGGCTTTCTCTAAGGTCTCCACAGGGGATTCAGACATCCCTTCATGTTGTGAGATGAAAGACGAGCCTGTATTCAAGCCACTGCAAGGAAATCCGGCCTCCTTTCACGTTAGGGCTTCTCGCTGTATATTCCCCTTGAGGCAGCAAACTCGGGGTCCCTCCCACATACCTATTGCTGAGAGAAGCCTCCTCCTGAGGTGCTTCTGGGAAGTTGGCATACGTTTTGAGCCTAAGCCAGGGAATCAGCTCGCATCTCGAGACGATTTGGGGTACACGGAGCATTCCTCGAGTTGCTGTGCTGAAGTTGGTGTTCCTCTAGACTTGGGACAGTGTTCTCGGGGCATCTCTGGAGTTGCCTGAAGGAAGTCGAGCCACCGGTCGTGTTGAATGGGGAACGGGGAATGGCTCTGGAGTCAATGCAGGGGAATCGGGCCTCATCTCGAGTTGATTTGGGGCACATGGAGCTGCTTTGCGTTGCTGGGGTGACCTCAGGGTCCGTCTAGACTGGTGACAGTGTTCTTGGGGACTGTCTCGAGATCCATTAAGCAAGTCGAAGCTCCTGACTTGTTTGAATGGGATCACGGAATAGCTCTGCATGCACTGCAGGGGAATGGGGCCTCATCTCGCCTCTAGGGGGAAGTCTCATGGTTTTTCTCGAGTTGCGGCGGGGACCTGGGGTATGTTCTCGACTTACGGCGGGGATGGCCCTTCAAAACACGAGTTTCTTCAGTGACGTCAGGACTCCTGTCTAGTAACGAGGGACACCTCAGGAATCTCTTCGAGGCTTGGCAGGGCCAAAGGGACGCTTCTCGAGGTGAGGCAGGGCACCCAAGGACCCTTTCCAGTAGCCACAGGGATTTTGGGATTCCTATCAGTATTCAAGAGGAGTCAGGCATCGTCACCTTTTGAAGCAATGAACTCCGCGTGCCTCTCGAGGTGTCAGCGGGATGTGAGGCATTCCGTCAAAATGAGGCAGGGACCTAGGGCTTTCTCTAAGGTCTCCACAGGGGATTCAGACATCCCTTCATGTTGTGAGATGAAAGACGAGCCTGTATTCAAGCCACTGCAAGGAAATCCGGCCTCCTTTCTAGTTAGGGCTTCTCGCTGTATATTCCCCTTGAGGCAGCAAACTCGGGGTCCCTCCCACATACCTATTGCTGAGAGAAGCCTCCTCCTGAGGTGCTTCTGGGAAGTTGGCATACGTCTTGAGCCTAAGCCAGGGAATCAGCTCGCATCTCGAGACGATTTGGGGTACACGGAGCATTCCTCGAGTTGCTGTGCTGAAGTTGGTGTTCCTCTAGACTTGGGACAGTGTTCTCGGGGCATCTCTGGAGTTGCCTGAAGGAAGTCGAGCCACCGGTCGTGTTGAATGGGGAACGGGGAATGGCTCTGGAGTCAATGCAGGGGAATCGGGCCTCATCTCGAGTTGATTTGGGGCACATGGAGCTGCTTTGCGTTGCTGGGGTGACCTCAGGGTCCGTCTAGACTGGTGACAGTGTTCTTGGGGACTGTCTCGAGATCCATTAAGCAAGTCGAAGCTCCTGACTTGTTTGAATGGGATCACGGAATAGCTCTGCATGCACTGCAGGGGAATGGGGCCTCATCTCGCCTCTAGGGGGAAGTCTCATGGTTTTTCTCGAGTTGCGGCGGGGACCTGGGGTATGTTCTCGACTTACGGCGGGGATGGCCCTTCAAGACACGAGTTTCTTCAGTGACGTCAGGACTCCTGTCTAGTAACGAGGGACACCTCAGGAATCTCTTCGAGGCTTGGCAGGGCAAAAGGGACGCTTCTCGAGGTGAGGCAGGGCACCCAAGGAACCTTTCCAGTAGCCACAGGGATTTTGGGATTCCTATCAGTATTCAAGAGGAGTCAGGCATCGTCACCTTTTGAAGCAATGAACTCCGCGTGCCTCTCGAGGTGTCAGCGGGATGTGAGGCATTCCGTCAAAATGAGGCAGGGACCTAGGGCTTTCTCTAAGGTCTCCACAGGGGATTCAGACATCCCTTCATGTTGTGAGATGAAAGACGAGCCTGTATTCAAGCCACTGCAAGGAAATCCGGCCTCCTTTCAAGTTAGGGCTTCTCGCTGTATATTCCCCTTGAGGCAGCAAACTCGGGGTCCCTCCCACATACCTATTGGTGAGAGAAGCCTCCTCCTGAGGTGCTTCTGGGAAGTTGGCATACGTCTTGAGCCTAAGCCAGGGAATCAGCTCTCATCTCGAGACGATTTGGGGTACACGGAGCATTCCTCGAGTTGCTGTGCTGAAGTTGGTGTTCCTCTAGACTTGGGACAGTGTTCTCGGGGAATCTCTGGAGTTGCCTGAAAGAAGTCGAGCCACCGGTCGTGTTGAATGGGGAACGGGGAATGGCTCTGGAGTCAATGCAGGGGAATCGGGCCTCATCTCGAGTTGATTTGGGGCACATGGAGCTGCTTTGCGTTGCTGGGGTGACCTCAGGGTCCGTCTAGACTGGTGACAGTGTTCTTGGGGACTGTCTCGAGATCCATTAAGCAAGTCGAAGCTCCTGACTTGTTTGAATGGGATCACGGAATAGCTCTGCATGCACTGCAGGGGAATGGGGCCTCATCTCGCCTCTAGGGGGAAGTCTCATGGTTTTTCTCGAGTTGCGGCGGGAACCTGGGGTATGTTCTCGACTTACGGCGGGGATGGCCTTCAAGACACGAGTTTCTTCAGTGACGTCAGGACTCCTGTCTAGTAACGAGGGACACCTCAGGAATCTCTTCGAGGCTTGGCAGGGCAAAAGGGACGCTTCTCGAGGTGAGGCAGGGCACCCAAGGACCCTTTCCAGTAGCCACAGGGATTTTGGGATTCCTATCAGTATTCAAGAGGAGTCAGGCATCGTCACCTTTTGAAGCAAAGAACTCCGCGTGCCTCTCCAGGTGTCAGCGGGATGTGAGGCATTCCGTCAAAATGAGGCAGGGACCTAGGGCTTTCTCTAAGGTCTCCACAGGGGATTCAGACATCCCTTCATGTTGTGAGATGAAAGAGGAGCCTGTATTCAAGCCACTGCAAGGAAATCCGGCCTCCTTTCAAGTTAGGGCTTCTCGCTGTATATTCCCCTTGAGGCAGCAAACTCGGGGTCCCTCCCACATACCTATTGGTGAGAGAAGCCTCCTCCTGAGGTGCTTCTGGGAAGTTGGCATACGTCTTGAGCCTAAGCCAGGGAATCGGCTCTCATCTGGAGACGATTTGGGGTACACGGAGCATTCCTCGAGTTGCTGTGCTGAAGTTGGTGTTCCTCTAGACTTGGGACAGTGTTCTCGGGGCATCTCTGGAGTTGCCTGAAGGAAGTCGAGCCACCGGTCGTGTTGAATGGGGAACAGGGAATGGCTCTGGAGTCAATGCAGGGGAATCGGGCCTCATCTCGAGTTGATTTGGGGCACATGGAGCTGCTTTGCGTTGCTGGGGTGACCTCAGGGTCCGTCTAGACTGGTGACAGTTTTCTTGGGGACTGTCTCGAGATCCATTAAGCAAGTCGAAGCTCCTGACTTGTTTGAATGGCATCACGGAATAGCTCTGCATGCACTGCAGGGGAATGGGGCCTCATCTCGCCTCTAGGGGGAAGTCTCATCGTTTTTCTCGAGTTGCGGCGGGGACCTGGGGTATGTTCTCGACTTACGGCGGGGATGGCCCTTCAAGACACGAGTTTCTTCAGTGACGTCAGGACTCCTGTCTAGTAACGAGGGACACCTCAGGAATCTCTTCGAGGCTTGGCAGGGCAAAAGGGACGCTTCTCGAGGTGAGGCAGGGCACCCAAGGACCCTTTCCAGTAGCCACAGGGATTTTGGGATTCCTATCAGTATTCAAGAGGAGTCAGGCATCGTCACCTTTTGAAGCAATGAACTCCGCGTGCCTCTCGAGGTGTCAGCGGGATGTGAGGCATTCCGTCAAAATGAGGCAGGGACCTAGGGCTTTCTCTAAGGTCTCCACAGGGGATTCAGACATCCCTTCATGTTGTCAGATGAAAGACGAGGCTGTATTCAAGCCACTGCAAGGAAATCCGGCCTCCTTTCAAGTTAGGGCTTCTCGCTGTATATTCCCCTTGAGGCAGCAAACTCGGGGTCCCTCCCACATACCTATTGCTGAGAGAAGCCTCATCCTGAGGTGCTTCTGGGAAGTTGGCATACGTCTTGAGCCTAAGCCAGGGAATCGGCTCTCATCTGGAGACGATTTGGGGTACACGGAGCATTCCTCGAGTTGCTGTGCTGAAGTTGGTGTTCCTCTAGACTTGGGACAGTGTTCTCGGGGCATCTCTGGAGTTGCCTGAAGGAAGTCGAGCCACCGGTCGTGTTGAATGGGGAACGGGGAATGGCTCTGGAGTCAATGCAGGGGAATCGGGCCTCATCTCGAGTTGATTTGGGGCACATGGAGCTGCTTTGCGTTGCTGGGGTGACCTCAGGGTCCGTCAAGACTGGTGACAGTGTTCTTGGGGACTGTCTCGAGATCCATTAAGCAAGTCGAAGCTCCTGACTTGTTTGAAAGGGATCACGGAATAGCTCTGCATGCACTGCAGGGGAATGGGGCCTCATCTCGCCTCTAGGGGGAAGTCTCATGGTTTTTCTCGAGTTGCGGCGGGGACCTGGGGTATGTTCTCGACTTACGGCGGGGATGGCCCTTCAAAACACGAGTTTCTTCAGTGACGTCAGGACTCCTGTCTAGTAACGAGGGACACCTCAGGAATCTCTTCGAGGCTTGGCAGGGCAAAAAGGACGCTTCTCGAGGTGAGGCAGGGCACCCAAGGACCCTTTCCAGTAGCCACAGGGATTTTGGGATTGCTATCAGTATTCAAGAGGAGTCAGGCATCGTCACCTTTTGAAGCAATGAACTCCGCGTGCCTCTCGAGGTGTCAGCGCGATGTGAGGCATTCCGTCAAAATGAGACAGGGACCTAGGGCTTTCTCTAAGGTCTCCACAGGGGATTCAGACATCCCTTCATGTTGTGAGATGAAAGACGAGCCTGCATTCAAGCCACTGCAAGGAAATCCGGCCTCCTTTCAAGTTAGGGCTTCTCGCTGTATATTCCCCTTGAGGCAGCAAACTCGGGGTCCCTCCCACATACCTATTGCTGAGAGAAGCCTCCTCCTGAGCTGCTTCTGGGAAGTTGGCATACGTCTTGAGCCTAAGCCAGGGAATCAGCTCGCACCTCGAGACGATTTGGGGTACACGGAGCATTCCTCGAGTTGCTGTGCTGAAGTTGGTGTTCCTCTAGACTTGGGAGAGTGTTCTCGGGGCATCTCTGCAGTTGCCTGAAGGAAGTCGAGCCACCGGTCGTGTTGAATGGGGAACGGGGAATGGCTCTGGAGTCAATGCAGGGGAATCGGGCCTCATCTCGAGTTGATTTGGGGCACATGGAGCTGCTTTGCGTTGCTGGGGTGACCTCAGGGTCCGTCTAGACTGGTGACAGTATTCTTGGGGACTGTCTCGAGATCCATTAAGCAAGTCGAAGCTCCTGACTTGTTTGAATGGGATCACGGAATAGCTCTGCATGCACTGCAGGGGAATGGGGCCTCATCTCGCCTCTAGGGGGAAGTCTCATGGTTTTTCTCGAGTTGCGGCGGGGACCTGGGGTATGTTCTCGACTTACGGCGGGGATGGCCCTTCAAAACACGAGTTTCTTCAGTGACGTCAGGACTCCTGTCTAGTAACGAGGGACACCTCAGGAATCTCTTCGAGGCTTGGCAGGGCAAAAGGGACGCTTCTCGAGGTGAGGCAGGGCACCCAAGGACACTTTCCAGTAGCCACAGGGATTTTGGGATTCCTATCAGTATTCAAGAGGAGTCATGCTTCGTCACCTTTTGAAGCAATGAACTCCGCGTGCCTCTCGAGGTGTCAGCGGGATGTGAGGCATTCCGTCAAAATGAGGCAGGGACCTAGGGCTTTCTCTAAGGTCTCCACAGGGGATTCAGACATCCCTTCATGTTGTGAGATGAAAGACAAGCCTGTATTCAAGCCACTGCAAGGAAATCCGGCCTCCTTTCAAGTTAGGGCTTCTCGCTGTATATTCCCCTTGAGGCAGCAAACTCGGGGTCCCTCCCACATACCTATTGCTGAGAGAAGCCTCCTCCTGAGGTGCTTCTGGGAAGTTGGCATACGTCTTGAGCCTAAGCCAGGGAATCAGCTCTCATCTCGAGACGATTTGGGGTACACGGAGCATTCCTCGAGTTGCTGTGCTGAAGTTGGTGTTCCTCTAGACTTGGGACAGTGTTCTCGGGGCATCTCTGGAGTTGCCTGAAGGAAGTCGAGCCACCGGTCGTGTTGAATGGGGAACGGGGAATGGCTCTGGAGTCAATGCAGGGGAATCGGGCCTCATCTCGAGTTGATTTGGGGCACATGGAGCTGCTTTGTGTTGCTGGGGTGACCTCAGGGTCCGTCTAGACTGTTGACAGTGTTCTTGGGGACTGTCTCGAGATCCATTAAGCAAGTCGAAGCTCCTGACTTGTTTGAATGGGATCACGGAATAGCTCTGCATGTACTGCAGGGGAATGGGGCCTCATCTCGCCTCTAGGGGGAAGTCTCATGGTTTTCCTCGAGTTGCGGCGGGAACCTGGGGTATGTTCTCGACTTACGGCGGGGATGGCCCTTCAAGACACGAGTTTCTTCAGTGACGTCAGGACTCCTGTCTAGTAACGACAGACACCTCAGGAATCTCTTCGAGGCTTTGCAGGGCAAAAGGGACGCTTCGCGAGGTGAGGCAGGGCACCCAAGGACCCTTTCCAGTAGCCACAGGGATTTTGGGATTCCTATCAGTATTCAAGAGGAGTCAGGCATCGTCACCTTTTGAAGCAAAGAACTCAGCGTGCCTCTCGAGGTGTCAGCGGGATGTGAGGCATTCCGTCAAAATGAGGCAGGGACCTAGGGCTTTCTCTAAGGTCTCCACAGGGGATTCAGACATCCCTTCATGTTGTGAGATGAAAGAGGAGCCTGTATTCAAGCCACTGCAAGGAAATCCGGCCTCCTTTCAAGTTAGGGCTTCTCGCTGTATATTCCCCTTGAGGCAGCAAACTCGGGGTCCCTCCCACATACCTATTGCTGAGAGAAGCCTCCTCCTGAGGTGCTTCTGGGAAGTTGGCATACGTCTTGAGCCTAAGCCAGGGAATCGGCTCTCATCTGGAGACGATTTGGGGTACACGGAGCATTCCTCGAGTTGCTGTGCTGAAGTTGGTGTTCCTCTAGACTTGGGACAGTGTTCTCGGGGCATCTCTGGAGTTGCCTGAAGGAAGTCGAGCCACCGGTCGTGTTGAATGGGGAACGGGGAATGGCTCTGGAGTCAATGCAGGGGAATCGGGCCTCATCTCGAGTTGATTTGGGGCACATGGAGCTGCTTTGCGTTGCTGGGGTGACCTCAGGGTCCGTCTAGACTGGTGACAGTGTTCTTGGGGACTGTCTCGAGATCCATTAAGAAGTCGAAGCTCCTGACTTGTTTGAATGGGATCACGGAATATCTCTGCATGCACTGCAGGGGAATGGGGCCTCATCTCGCCTCTAGGGGGAAGTCTCATGGTTTTTCTCGAGTTGCGGCGGGGACCTGGGGTATGTTCTCGACTTACGGCGGGGATGGCCCTTCAAAACACGAGTTTCTTCAGTGACGTCAGGACTCCTGTCTAGTAACGAGGGACACCTCAGGAATCTCTTCGAGGCTTGGCAGGGCAAAAGGGACGCTTCTCGAGGTGAGGCAGGGCACCCAAGGACCCTTTCCAGTAGCCACAGGGATTTTGGGATTCCTATCAGTATTCAAGAGGAGTCAGGCATCGTCACCTTTTGAAGCAAAGAACTCCGCGTGCCTCTCGAGGTGTCAGCGGGATGTGAGGCATTCCGTCAAAATGAGGCAGGGACCTAGGTCTTTCTCTAATGTCTCCACAGGGGATTCAGACATCAGTTCATGTTGTGAGATGAAAGAGGAGCCTGTATTCAAGCCACTGCAAGGAAATCCGGCCTCCTTTCAAGTTAGGGCTTCTCGCTGTATATTCCCCTTGAGGCAGCAAACTCGGGGTCCCTCCCACATACCTATTGCTGAGAGAAGCCTCCTCCTGAGGTGCTTCTGGGAAGTTGGCATACGTCTTGAGCCTAAGCCAGGGAATCGGCTCTCATCTGGAGACGATTTGGGGTACACGGAGCATTCCTCGAGTTGCTGTGCTGAAGTTGGTGTTCCTCTAGACTTGGGACAGTGTTCTCTGGGCATCTCTGGAGTTGCCTGAAGGAAGTCGAGCCACCGGTCGTGTTGAATGGGGAACGGGGAATGGCTCTGGAGTCAATGCAGGGGAATCGGGCCTCATCTCGAGTTGATTTGGGGCACATGGAGCTGCTTTGCGTTGCTGGGGTGACCTCAGGGTCCGTCTAGACTGGTGACAGTGTTCTTGGGGACTGTCTCGAGATCCATTAAGAAGTCGAAGCTCCTGACTTGTTTGAATGGGATCACGGAATAGCTCTGCATGCACTGCAGGGGAATGGGGCCTCATCTCGCCTCTAGGGGGAAGTCTCATGGTTTTTCTCGAGTTGCGGCGGGGACCTGGGGTATGTTCTCGACTTACGGCGGGGATGGCCCTTCAAAACACGAGTTTCTTCAGTGACGTCAGGACTCCTGTCTAGTAACGAGGGACACCTCAGGAATCTCTTCGAGGCTTGGCAGGGCAAAAGGGACGCTTCTCGAGGTGAGGCAGGGCACCCAAGGACCCTTTCCAGTAGCCACAGGGATTTTGGGATTCCTATCAGTATTCAAGAGGAGTCAGGCATCGTCACCTTTTGAAGCAATGAACTCCGCGTGCCTCTCGAGGTGTCAGCGCGATGTGAGGCATTCCGTCAAAATGAGGCAGGCACCTAGGGCTTTCTCTAAGGTCTCCACAGGGGATTCAGACATCCCTTCATGTTGTGAGATGAAAGACGAGCCTGTATTCAAGCCACTGCAAGGAAATCCGGCCTCCTTTCAAGTTAGGGCTTCTCGCTGTATATTCCCCTTGAGGCAGCAAACTCGGGGTCCCTCCCACATACCTATTGCTGAGAGAAGCCTCCTCCTGAGGTGCTTCTGGGAAGTTGGCATACGTCTTGAGCCTAAGCCAGGAAATCGGCTCTCATCTGGAGACGATTTGGGGTACACGGAGCATTCCTCGAGTTGCTGTGCTGAAGTTGGTGTTCCTCTAGACTTGGGACAGTGTTCTCGGGGCATCTCTGGAGTTGCCTGAAGGAAGTCGAGCCACCGGTCGTGTTGAATGGGGAACGGGGAATGGCTCTGGAGTCAATGCAGGGGAATCGGGCCTCATCTCGAGTTGATTTGGGGCACATGGAGCTGCTTTGCGTTGCTGGGGTGACCTCAGGGTCCGTCTAGACTGGTGACAGTGTTCTTGGGGACTGTCTCGAGATCCATTAAGAAGTCGAAGCTCCTGACTTGTTTGAATGGGATCAAGGAATAGCTCTGCATGCACTGCAGGGGAATGGGGCCTCATCTCGACTCTAGGGGGAAGTCTCATGGTTTTTCTCGAGTTGCGGCAGGGATCTGGGGTATGTTCTCGACTTACGGCGGGGATGGCCCTTCAAAACACGAGTTTCTTCAGTGACGTCAGGACTCCTGTCTAGTAACGAGGGACACCTCAGGAATCTCTTCGAGGCTTGGCAGGGCAAAAGGGACGCTTCTCGAGGTGAGGCAGGGCACCCAAGGACCCTTTCCAGTAGCCACAGGGATTTTGGGATTCCTATCAGTATTCAAGTGGAGTCAGGCATCGTCACCTTTTGAAGCAATGAACTCCGCGTGCCTCTCGAGGTGTAGCGGGATGTGAGGCATTCCGTCAAAATGAGGCAGGGACCTAGGGCTTTCTCTAAGGTCTCCACAGGGGATTCAGACATCCCTTCATGTTGTGAGATGAAAGAGGAGCCTGTATTCAAGCCACTGCAAGGAAATCCGGCCTCCTTTCAAGTTAGGGCTTCTCGCTGTATATTCCCCTTGAGGCAGCAAACTCGGGGTCCCTCCCACATACCTATTGCTGAGAGAAGCCTCCTCCTGAGGTGCTTCTGGGAAGTTGGCATACGTCTTGAGCCTAAGCCAGGGAATCGGCTCTCATCTGGAGACGATTTGGGGTACACGGAGCATTCCTCGAGTTGCTGTGCTGAAGTTGGTGTTCCTCTAGACTTGGGACAGTGTTCTCTGGGCATCTCTGGAGTTGCCTGAAGGAAGTCGAGCCACCGGTCGTGTTGAATGGGGAACGGGGAATGGCTCTGGAGTCAATGCAGGGGAATCGGGCCTCATCTCGAGTTGATTTGGGGCACATGGAGCTGCTTTGCGTTGCTGGGGTGACCTCAGGGTCCGTCTAGACTGGTGACAGTGTTCTTGGGGACTGTCTCGAGATCCATTAAGAAGTCGAAGCTCCTGACTTGTTTGAATGGGATCACGGAATAGCTCTGCATGCACTGCAGGGGAATGGGGCCTCATCTCGCCTCTAGGGGGAAGTCTCATGGTTTTTCTCGAGTTGTGGCGGGGACCTGGGGTATGTTCTCGACTTACGGCGGGGATGGCCCTTCAAAACACGAGTTTCTTCAGTGACGTCAGGACTCCTGTCTAGTAACGAGGGACACCTCAGGAATCTCTTCGAGGCTTGGCAGGGCAAAAGGGACGCTTCTCGAGGTGAGGCAGGGCACCCAAGGACCCTTTCCAGTAGCCACAGGGATTTTGGGATTCCTATCAGTATTCAAGAGGAGTCAGGCATCGTCACCTTTTGAAGCAATGAACTCCGCGTGCCTCTCGAGGTGTCAGCGCGATGTGAGGCATTCCGTCAAAATGAGGCAGGCACCTACGGCTTTCTCTAAGGTCTCCACAGGGGATTCAGACATCCCTTCATGTTGTGAGATGAAAGACGAGCCTGTATTCAAGCCACTGCAAGGAAATCCGGCCTCCTTTCAAGTTAGGGCTTCTCGCTGTATATTCCCCTTGAGGCAGCAAACTCGGGGTCCCTCCCACATACCTATTGCTGAGAGAAGCCTCCTCCTGAGGTGCTTCTGGGAAGTTGGCATACGTCTTGAGCCTAAGCCAGGGAATCGGCTCTCATCTGGAGACGATTTGGGGTACACGGAGCATTCCTCGAGTTGCTGTGCTGAAGTTGGTGTTCCTCTAGACTTGGGACAGTGTTCTCGGGGCATCTCTGGAGTTGCCTGAAGGAAGTCGAGCCACCGGTCGTGTTGAATGGGGAACGGGGAATGGCTCTGGAGTCAATGCAGGGGAATCGGGCCTCATCTCGAGTTGATTTGGGGCACATGGAGCTGCTTTGCGTTGCTGGGGTGACCTCAGGGTCCGTCTAGACTGGTGACAGTGTTCTTGGGGACTGTCTCAAGATCCATTAAGAAGTCGAAGCTCCTGACTTGTTTGAATGGGATCACGGAATAGCTCTGCATGCACTGCAGGGGAATGGGGCCTCATCTCGCCTCTAGGGGGAAGTCTCATCGTTTTTCTCGAGTTGCGGCGGGGACCTGGGGTATGTTCTCGACTTATGGCGGGGATGGCCCTTCAAGACACGAGTTTCTTCAGTGACGTCAGGACTCCTGTCTAGTAACGAGGGACACCTCAGGAATCTCTTCGAGGCTTGGCAGGGCAAAAGGGACGCTTCTCGAGGTGAGGCAGGGCACCCAAGGACCCTTTCCAGTAGCCACAGGGATTTTGGGATTCCTATCAGTATTCAAGAGGAGTCAGGCATCGTCACCTTTTGAAGCAATGAACTCCGCGTGCCTCTCGAGGTGTCAGCGGGATGTGAGGCATTCCGTCAAAATGAGGCAGGGACCTAGGGCTTTCTCTAAGGTCTCCACAGGGGATTCAGACATCCCTTCATGTTATCAGATGAAAGACGAGGCTGTATTCAAGCCACTGCAAGGAAATCCGGCCTCCTTTCAAGTTAGGGCTTCTCGCTGTATATTCCCCTTGAGGCAGCAAACTCGGGGTCCCTCCCACATACCTATTGCTGAGAGAAGCCTCCTCCTGAGGTGCTTCTGGGAAGTTGGCATACGTCTTGAGCCTAAGCCAGGGAATCGGCTCTCATCTGGAGACGATTTGGGGTACACGGAGCATTCCTCGAGTTGCTGTGCTGAAGTTGGTGTTCCTCTAGACTTGGGACAGTGTTCTCGGGGCATCTCTGGAGTTGCCTGAAGGAAGTCGAGCCACCGGTCGTGTTGAATGGGGAACGGGGAATGGCTCTGGAGTCAATGCAGGGGAATCGGGCCTCATCTCGAGTTGATTTGGGGCACATGGAGCTGCTTTGCGTTGCTGGGGTGACCTCAGGGTCCGTCTAGACTGGTGACAGTGTTCTTGGGGACTGTCTCGAGATCCATTAAGCAAGTCGAAGCTCCTGACTTGTTTGAAAGGGATCACGGAATAGCTCTGCATGCACTGCAGGGGAATGGGGCCTCATCTCGCCTCTAGGGGGAAGTCTCATGGTTTTTCTCGAGTTGCGGCGGGGACCTGGGGTATGTTATCGACTTACGGCGGGGATGGCCCTTCAAAACACGAGTTTCTTCAGTGACGTCAGGACTCCTGTCTAGTAACGAGGGACACCTCAGGAATCTCTTCGAGGCTTGGCAGGGCAAAAAGGACGCTTCTCGAGGTGAGGCAGGGCACCCAAGGACCCTTTCCAGTAGCCACAGGGATTTTGGGATTGCTATCAGTATTCAAGAGGAGTCAGGCATCGTCACCTTTTGAAGCAATGAACTCCGCGTGCCTCTCGAGGTGTCAGCGCGATGTGAGGCATTCCGTCAAAATGAGACAGGGACCTAGGGCTTTCTCTAAGGTCTCCACAGGGGATTCAGACATCCCTTCATGTTGTGAGATGAAAGACGAGCCTGCATTCAAGCCACTGCAAGGAAATCCGGCCTCCTTTCAAGTTAGGGCTTCTCGCTGTATATTCCCCTTGAGGCAGCAAACTCGGGGTCCCTCCCACATACCTATTGCTGAGAGAAGCCTCCTCCTGAGCTGCTTCTGGGAAGTTGGCATACGTCTTGAGCCTAAGCCAGGGAATCAGCTCGCACCTCGAGACGATTTGGGGTACACGGAGCATTCCTCGAGTTGCTGTGCTGAAGTTGGTGTTCCTCTAGACTTGGGACAGTGTTCTCGGGGCATCTCTGGAGTTGCCTGAAGGAAGTCGAGCCACCGGTCGTGTTGAATGGGGAACGGGGAATGGCTCTGGAGTCAATGCAGGGGAATCGGGCCTCATCTCGAGTTGATTTGGGGCACATGGAGCTGCTTTGCGTTGCTGGGGTGACCTCAGGGTCCGTCTAGACTGGTGACAGTATTCTTGGGGACTGTCTCGAGATCCATTAAGCAAGTCGAAGCTCCTGACTTGTTTGAATGGGATCACGGAATAGCTCTGCATGCACTGCAGGGGAATGGGGCCTCATCTCGCCTCTAGGGGGAAGTCTCATGGTTTTTCTCGAGTTGCGGCGGGGACCTGGGGTATGTTCTCGACTTACGGCGAGGATGGCCCTTCAAAACACGACTTTCTTCAGTGACGTCAGGACTCCTGTCTAGTAACGAGGGACACCTCAGGAATCTCTTCGAGGCTTGGCAGGGCAAAAAGGACGCTTCTCGAGGTGAGGCAGGGCACCCAAGGACCCTTTCCAGTAGCCACAGGGATTTTGGGATTCCTATCAGTATTCAAGAGGAGTCAGGCATCGTCACCTTTTGAAGCAATGAACTCCGCGTGCCTCTCGAGGTGTCAGCGCGATGTGAGGCATTCCGTCAAAATGTGGCAGGGACCTAGGGCTTTCTCTAAGGTCTCCACAGGGGATTCAGACATCCCTTCATGTTGTGAGATGAAAGACGAGCCTGTATTCAAGTCACTGCAAGGAAATCCGGCCTCCTTTCAAGTTAGGGCTTCTCGCTGTATATTCCCCTTGAGGCAGCAAACTCGGGGTCCCTCCCACATACCTATTGCTGAGAGAAGCCTCCTCCTGAGGTGCTTCTGGGAAGTTGGCATACGTCTTGAGCCTAAGCCAGGGAATCAGCTCTCACCTCGAGACGATTTGGGGTACACGGAGCATTCCTCGAGTTGCTGTGCTGAAGTTGGTGTTCCTCTAGACTTGGGACAGTATTCTCGGGGCATCTCTGGAGTTGCCTGAAGGAAGTCGAGCCACCGGTCGTGTTGAATGGGGAATGGGGAATGGCTCTGGAGTCAATGCAGGGGAATCGGGCCTCATCTCGAGTTGATTTGGGGCACATGGATCTGCTTTGCGTTGCTGGGGTGACCTCAGGGTCCGTCTAGACTGGTGACAGTATTCTTGGGGACTGTCTCGAGATCCATTAAGCAAGTCGAAGCTCCTGACTTGTTTGAATGGGATCACGGAATAGCTCTGCATGCACTGCAGGGGAATGGGGCCTCATCTCGCCTCTAGGGGGAAGTCTCATGGTTTTTCTCGAGTTGCGGCGGGGACCTGGGGTATGTTCTCGACTTACGGCGGGGATGGCCCTTCAAAACACGAGTTTCTTCAGTGACGTCAGGACTCCTGTCTAGTAACGAGGGACACCTCAGGAATCTCTTCGAGGCTTGGCAGGGCAAAAGGGACGCTTCTCGAGGTGAGGCAGGGCACCCAAGGACCCTTTCCAGTAGCCACAGGGATTTTGGGATTCCTATCAGTATTCAAGAGGAGTCAGGCATCGTCACCTTTTGAAGCAATGAACTCCGCGTGCCTCTCGAGGTGTCAGCGGGATGTGAGGCATTCCGTCAAAATGAGGCAGGGACCTAGGGATTTCTCTAAGGTCTCCACAGGGGATTCAGACATCCCTTCATGTTGTGAGATGAAAGACGAGCCTGTATTCAAGCCACTGCAAGGAAATCCGGCCTCCTTTCAAGTTAGGGCTTCTCGCTGTATATTCCCCTTGAGGCAGCAAACTCGGGGTCCCTCCCACATACCTATTGCTGAGAGAAGCCTCCTCCTGAGGTGCTTCTGGGAAGTTGGCATACGTCTTGAGCCTAAGCCAGGGAATCAGCTCGCATCTCGAGACGATTTGGGGTACACGGAGCATTCCTCGAGTTGCTGTGCTGAAGTTGGTGTTCCTCTAGACTTGGGACAGTGTTCTCGGGGCATCTCTGGAGTTGCCTGAAGGAAGTCGAGCCACCGGTCGTGTTGAATGGGGAACGGGGAATGGCTCTGGAGTCAATGCAGGGGAATCGGGCCTCATCTCGAGTTGATTTGGGGCACATGGAGCTGCTTTGCGTTGCTGGGGTGACCTCAGGGTCCGTCTAGACTGGTGACAGTGTTCTTGGGGACTGTCTCGAGATCCATTAAGCAAGTCGAAGCTCCTGACTTGTTTGAAAGGGATCACGGAATAGCTCTGCATGCACTGCAGGGGAATGGGGCCTCATCTCGCCTCTAGGGGGAAGTCTCATGGTTTTTCTCGAGTTGCGGCGGGGACCTGGGGTATGTTCTCGACTTACGGCGGGGATGGCCCTTCAAAACACGAGTTTCTTCAGTGACGTCAGGACTCCTGTCTAGTAACGAGGGACACCTCAGGAATCTCTTCGAGGCTTGGCAGGGCAAAAAGGACGCTTCTCGAGGTGAGGCAGGGCACCCAAGGACCCTTTCCAGTAGCCACAGGGATTTTGGGATTGCTATCAGTATTCAAGAGGAGTCAGGCATCGTCACCTTTTGAAGCAATGAACTCCGCGTGCCTCTCGAGGTGTCAGCGCGATGTGAGGCATTCCGTCAAAATGAGACAGGGACCTAGGGCTTTCTCTAAAGTCTCCACAGGGGATTCAGACATCCCTTCATGTTGTGAGATGAAAGACGAGCCTGTATTCAAGCCACTGCAAGGAAATCCGGCCTCCTTTCAAGTTAGGGCTTCTCGCTGTATATTCCCCTTGAGGCAGCAAACTCGGGGTCCCTCCCACATACCTATTGCTGAGAGAAGCCTCCTCCTGAGGTGCTTCTGGGAAGTTGGCATACGTCTTGAGCCTAAGCCAGGGAATCAGCTCTCACCTCGAGACGATTTGGGGTACACGGAGCATTCCTCGAGTTGCTGTGCTGAAGTTGGTGTTCCTCTAGACTTGGGACAGTATTCTCGGGGCATCTCTGGAGTTGCCTGAAGGAAGTCGAGCCACCGGTCGTGTTGAATGGGGAATGGGGAATGGCTCTGGAGTCAATGCAGGGGAATCGGGCCTCATCTCGAGTTGATTTGGGGCACATGGAGCTGCTTTGCGTTGCTGGGGTGACCTCAGGGTCCGTCTAGACTGGTGACAGTATTCTTGGGGACTGTCTCGAGATCCATTAAGCAAGTCGAAGCTCCTGACTTGTTTGAATGGGATCACGGAATAGCTCTGCATGCACTGCAGGGGAATGGGGCCTCATCTCGCCTCTAGGGGGAAGTCTCATGGTTTTTCTCGAGTTGCGGCGGGGACCTGGGGTATGTTCTCGACTTACGGCGGGGATGGCCCTTCAAAACACGAGTTTCTTCAGTGACGTCAGGACTCCTGTCTAGTAACGAGGGACACCTCAGGAATCTCTTCGAGGCTTGGCAGGGCAAAAGGGACGCTTCTCGAGGTGAGGCAGGGCACCCAAGGACCCTTTCCAGTAGCCACAGGGATTTTGGGATTCCTATCAGTATTCAAGAGGAGTCAGGCATCGTCACCTTTTGAAGCAATGAACTCCGCGTGCCTCTCGAGGTGTCAGCGCGATGTGAGGCATTCCGTCAAAATGAGGCAGGGACCTAGGGCTTTCTCTAAGGTCTCCACAGGGGATTCAGACATCCCTTCATGTTGTGAGATGAAAGACAAGCCTATATTCAAGCCACTGCAAGGAAATCCGGCCTCCTTTCAAGTTAGGGCTTCTCGCTGTATATTCCCCTTGAGGCAGCAAACTCGGGGTCCCTCCCACATACCTATTGCTGAGAGAAGCCTCCTCCTGAGGTGCTTCTGGGAAGTTGGCATACGTCTTGAGCCTAAGCCAGGGAATCAGCTCTCATCTCGAGACGATTTGGGGTACACGGAGCATTCCTCGAGTTGCTGTGCTGAAGTTGGTGTTCCTCTAGACTTGGGACAGTGTTCTCGGGGCATCTCTGGAGTTGCCTGAAGGAAGTCGAGCCACCGGTCGTGTTGAATGGGGAACGGGGAATGGCTCTGGAGTCAATGCAGGGGAATCGGGCCTCATCTCGAGTTGATTTGGGGCACATGGAGCTGCTTTGCGTTGCTGGGGTGACCTCAGGGTCCGTCTAGACTGTTGACAGTGTTCTTGGGGACTGTCTCGAGATCCATTAAGCAAGTCGAAGCTCCTGACTTGTTTGAATGGGATCACGGAATAGCTCTGCATGCACTGCAGGGGAATGGGGCCTCATCTCGCCTCTAGGGGGAAGTCTCATGGTTTTCCTCGAGTTGCGGCGGGAACCTGGGGTATGTTCTCGACTTACGGCGGGGATGGCCCTTCAAGACACGAGTTTCTTCAGTGACGTCAGGACTCCTGTCTAGTAACGACAGACACCTCAGGAATCTCTTCGAGGCTTTGCAGGGCAAAAGGGACGCTTCGCGAGTTGAGGCAGGGCACCCAAGGACCCTTTCCAGTAGCCACAGGGATTTTGGGATTCCTATCAGTATTCAAGAGGAGTCAGGCATCGTCACCTTTTGAAGCAATGAACTCCGCGTGCCTCTCGAGGTGTCAGCGCGATGTGAGGCATTCCGTCAAAATGAGGCAGGGACCTAGGGCTTTCTCTAAGGTCTCCACAGGGGATTCAGACATCCCTTCATGTTGTGAGATGAAAGACGAGCCTGTATTCAAGCCACTGCAAGGAAATCCGGCCTCCTTTCAAGTTAGGGCTTCTCGCTGTATATTCCCCTTGAGGCAGCAAACTCGGGGTCCCTCCCACATACCTATTGCTGAGAGAAGCCTCCTCCTGAGGTGCTTCTGGGAAGTTGGCATACGTCTTGAGCCTAAGCCAGGGAATCAGCTCGCATCTCGAGACGATTTGGGGTACACGGAGCATTCCTCGAGTTGCTGTGCTGAAGTTGGTGTTCCTCTAGACTTGGGACAGTGTTCTCGGGGCATCTCTGGAGTTGCCTGAAGGAAGTCGAGCCACCGGTCGTGTTGAATGGGGAACGGGGAATGGCTCTGGAGTCAATGCAGGGGAATCGGGCCTCATCTCGAGTTGATTTGGGGCACATGGAGCTGCTTTGCGTTGCTGGGGTGACCTCAGGGTCCGTCTAGACTGGTGACAGTGTTCTTGGGGACTGTCTCGAGATCCATTAAGCAAGTCGAAGCTCCTGACTTGTTTGAATGGGATCACGGAATAGCTCTGCATGCACTGCAGGGGAATGGGGCCTCATCTCGCCTCTAGGGGGAAGTCTCATGGTTTTTCTCGAGTTGCGGCGGGGACCTGGGGTATGTTCTCGACTTACGGCGGGGATGGCCCTTCAAGACACGAGTTTCTTCAGTGACGTCAGGACTCCTGTCTAGTAACGAGGGACACCTCAGGAATCTCTTCGAGGCTTGGCAGGGCAAAAGGGACGCTTCTCGAGGTGAGGCAGGGCACCCAAGGAACCTTTCCAGTAGCCACAGGGATTTTGGGATTCCTATCAGTATTCAAGAGGAGTCAGGCATCGTCACCTTTTGAAGCAATGAACTCCGCGTGCCTCTCGAGGTGTCAGCGGGATGTGAGGCATTCCGTCAAAATGAGGCAGGGACCTAGGGCTTTCTCTAAGGTCTCCACAGGGGATTCAGACATCCCTTCATGTTGTGAGATGAAAGACGAGCCTGTATTCAAGCCACTGCAAGGAAATCCGGCCTCCTTTCAAGTTAGGGCTTCTCGCTGTATATTCCCCTTGAGGCAGCAAACTCGGGGTCCCTCCCACATACCTATTGGTGAGAGAAGCCTCCTCCTGAGGTGCTTCTGGGAAGTTGGCATACGTCTTGAGCCTAAGCCAGGGAATCAGCTCTCATCTCGAGACGATTTGGGGTACACGGAGCATTCCTCGAGTTGCTGTGCTGAAGTTGGTGTTCCTCTAGACTTGGGACAGTGTTCTCGGGGCATCTCTGGAGTTGCCTGAAAGAAGTCGAGCCACCGGTCGTGTTGAATGGGGAACGGGGAATGGCTCTGGAGTCAATGCAGGGGAATCGGGCCTCATCTCGAGTTGATTTGGGGCACATGGAGCTGCTTTGCGTTGCTGGGGTGACCTCAGGGTCCGTCTAGACTGGTGACAGTGTTCTTGGGGACTGTCTCGAGATCCATTAAGCAAGTCGAAGCTCCTGACTTGTTTGAATGGGATCACGGAATAGCTCTGCATGCACTGCAGGGGAATGGGGCCTCATCTCGCCTCTAGGGGGAAGTCTCATGGTTTTTCTCGAGTTGCGGCGGGGACCTGGGGTATGTTCTCGACTTACGGCGGGGATGGCCCTTCAAAACACGAGTTTCTTCAGTGACGTCAGGACTCCTGTCTAGTAACGAGGGACACCTCAGGAATCTCTTCGAGGTTTGGCAGGGCAAAAGGGACGCTTCTCGAGGTGAGGCAGGGCACCCAAGGACCCTTTCCAGTAGCCACAGGGATTTTGGGATTCCTATCAGTATTCAAGAGGAGTCAGGCATCATCACCTTTTGAAGCAATGAACTCCGCGTGCCTCTCGAGGTGTCAGCGGGATGTGAGGCATTCCGTCAAAATGAGGCAGGGACCTAGGGCTTTCTCTAAGGTCTCCACAGGGGATTCAGACATCCCTTCATGTTGTGAGATGAAAGACGAGCCTGTATTCAAGCCACTGCAAGGAAATCCGGCCTCCTTTCAAGTTAGGGCTTCTCGCTGTATATTCCCCTTGAGGCAGCAAACTCGGGGTCCCTCCCACATACCTATTGCTGAGAGAAGCCTCCTCCTGAGGTGCTTCTGGGAAGTTGGCATACGTCTTGAGCCTAAGCCAGGGAATCAGCTCTCATCTCGAGACGATTTGGGGTACACGGAGCATTCCTCGAGTTGCTGTGCTGAAGTTGGTGTTCCTCTAGACTTGGGAGAGTGTTCTCGGGGCATCTCTGGAGTTGCCTGAAGGAAGTCGAGCCACCGGTCGTGTTGAATGGGGAACGGGGAATGGCTCTGGAGTCAATGCAGGGGAATCGGGCCTCATCTCGAGTTGATTTGGGGCACATGGAGCTGCTTTGCATTGCTGGGGTGACCTCAGGGTCCGTCTAGACTGGTGACAGTGTTCTTGGGGACTGTCTCGAGATCCATTAAGCAAGTCGAAGCTCCTGACTTGTTTGAATGGGATCACGGAATAGCTCTGCATGCACTGCAGGGGAATGGGGCCTCATCTCGCCTCTAGGGGGAAGTCTCATGGTTTTTCTCGAGTTGCGGCGGGAACCTGGGGTATGTTCTCGACTTACGGCGGGGATGGCCTTCAAGACACGAGTTTCTTCAGTGACGTCAGGACTCCTGTCTAGTAACGAGGGACACCTCAGGAATCTCTTCGAGGCTTGGCAGGGCAAAAGGGACGCTTCTCGAGGTGAGGCAGGGCACCCAAGGACCCTTTCCAGTAGCCACAGGGATTTTGGGATTCCTATCAGTATTCAAGAGGAGTCAGGCATCGTCACCTTTTGAAGCAAAGAACTCCGCGTGCCTCTCCAGGTGTCAGCGGGATGTGAGGCATTCCGTCAAAATGAGGCAGGGACCTAGGGCTTTCTCTAAGGTCTCCACAGGGGATTCAGACATCCCTTCATGTTGTGAGATGAAAGAGGAGCCTGTATTCAAGCCACTGCAAGGAAATCCGGCCTCCTTTCAAGTTAGGGCTTCTCGCTGTATATTCCCCTTGAGGCAGCAAACTCGGGGTCCCTCCCACATACCTATTGGTGAGAGAAGCCTCCTCCTGAGGTGCTTCTGGGAAGTTGGCATACGTCTTGAGCCTAAGCCAGGGAATCGGCTCTCATCTGGAGACGATTTGGGGTACACGGAGCATTCCTCGAGTTGCTGTGCTGAAGTTGGTGTTCCTCTAGACTTGGGACAGTGTTCTCGGGGCATCTCTGGAGTTGCCTGAAGGAAGTCGAGCCACCGGTCGTGTTGAATGGGGAACAGGGAATGGCTCTGGAGTCAATGCAGGGGAATCGGGCCTCATCTCGAGTTGATTTGGGGCACATGGAGCTGCTTTGCGTTGCTGGGGTGACCTCAGGGTCCGTCTAGACTGGTGACAGTGTTCTTGGGGACTGTCTCGAGATCCATTAAGCAAGTCGAAGCTCCTGACTTGTTTGAATGGCATCACGGAATAGCTCTGCATGCACTGCAGGGGAATGGGGCCTCATCTCGCCTCTAGGGGGAAGTCTCATCGTTTTTCTCGAGTTGCGGCGGGGACCTGGGGTATGTTCTCGACTTACGGCGGGGATGGCCCTTCAAGACACGAGTTTCTTCAGTGACGTCAGGACTCCTGTCTAGTAACGAGGGACACCTCAGGAATCTCTTCGAGGCTTGGCAGGGCAAAAGGGACGCTTCTCGAGGTGAGGCAGGGCACCCAAGGACCCTTTCCAGTAGCCACAGGGATTTTGGGATTCCTATCAGTATTCAAGAGGAGTCAGGCATCGTCACCTTTTGAAGCAATGAACTCCGCGTGCCTCTCGAGGTGTCAGCGGGATGTGAGGCATTCCGTCAAAATGAGGCAGGGACCTAGGGCTTTCTCTAAGGTCTCCACAGGGGATTCAGACATCCCTTCATGTTGTCAGATGAAAGACGAGGCTGTATTCAAGCCACTGCAAGGAAATCCGGCCTCCTTTCAAGTTAGGGCTTCTCGCTGTATATTCCCCTTGAGGCAGCAAACTCGGGGTCCCTCCCACATACCTATTGCTGAGAGAAGCCTCATCCTGAGGTGCTTCTGGGAAGTTGGCATACGTCTTGAGCCTAAGCCAGGGAATCGGCTCTCATCTGGAGACGATTTGGGGTACACGGAGCATTCCTCGAGTTGCTGTGCTGAAGTTGGTGTTCCTCTAGACTTGGGACAGTGTTCTCGGGGCATCTCTGGAGTTGCCTGAAGGAAGTCGAGCCACCGGTCGTGTTGAATGGGGAACGGGGAATGGCTCTGGAGTCAATGCAGGGGAATCGGGCCTCATCTCGAGTTGATTTGGGGCACATGGAGCTGCTTTGCGTTGCTGGGGTGACCTCAGGGTCCGTCAAGACTGGTGACAGTGTTCTTGGGGACTGTCTCGAGATCCATTAAGCAAGTCGAAGCTCCTGACTTGTTTGAAAGGGATCACGGAATAGCTCTGCATGCACTGCAGGGGAATGGGGCCTCATCTCGCCTCTAGGGGGAAGTCTCATGGTTTTTCTCGAGTTGCGGCGGGGACCTGGGGTATGTTCTCGACTTACGGCGGGGATGGCCCTTCAAAACACGAGTTTCTTCAGTGACGTCAGGACTCCTGTCTAGTAACGAGGGACACCTCAGGAATCTCTTCGAGGCTTGGCAGGGCAAAAAGGACGCTTCTCGAGGTGAGGCAGGGCACCCAAGGACCCTTTCCAGTAGCCACAGGGATTTTGGGATTGCTATCAGTATTCAAGAGGAGTCAGGCATCGTCACCTTTTGAAGCAATGAACTCCGCGTGCCTCTCGAGGTGTCAGCGCGATGTGAGGCATTCCGTCAAAATGAGACAGGGACCTAGGGCTTTCTCTAAGGTCTCCACAGGGGATTCAGACATCCCTTCATGTTGTGAGATGAAAGACGAGCCTGCATTCAAGCCACTGCAAGGAAATCCGGCCTCCTTTCAAGTTAGGGCTTCTCGCTGTATATTCCCCTTGAGGCAGCAAACTCGGGGTCCCTCCCACATACCTATTGCTGAGAGAAGCCTCCTCCTGAGCTGCTTCTGGGAAGTTGGCATACGTCTTGAGCCTAAGCCAGGGAATCAGCTCGCACCTCGAGACGATTTGGGGTACACGGAGCATTCCTCGAGTTGCTGTGCTGAAGTTGGTGTTCCTCTAGACTTGGGAGAGTGTTCTCGGGGCATCTCTGCAGTTGCCTGAAGGAAGTCGAGCCACCGGTCGTGTTGAATGGGGAACGGGGAATGGCTCTGGAGTCAATGCAGGGGAATCGGGCCTCATCTCGAGTTGATTTGGGGCACATGGAGCTGCTTTGCGTTGCTGGGGTGACCTCAGGGTCCGTCTAGACTGGTGACAGTATTCTTGGGGACTGTCTCGAGATCCATTAAGCAAGTCGAAGCTCCTGACTTGTTTGAATGGGATCACGGAATAGCTCTGCATGCACTGCAGGGGAATGGGGCCTCATCTCGCCTCTAGGGGGAAGTCTCATGGTTTTTCTCGAGTTGCGGCGGGGACCTGGGGTATGTTCTCGACTTACGGCGGGGATGGCCCTTCAAAACACGAGTTTATTCAGTGACGTCAGGACTCCTGTCTAGTAACGAGGGACACCTCAGGAATCTCTTCGAGGCTTGGCAGGGCAAAAGGGACGCTTCTCGAGGTGAGGCAGGGCACCCAAGGACACTTTCCAGTAGCCACAGGGATTTTGGGATTCCTATCAGTATTCAAGAGGAGTCATGCTTCGTCACCTTTTGAAGCAATGAACTCCGCGTGCCTCTCGAGGTGTCAGCGGGATGTGAGGCATTCCGTCAAAATGAGGCAGGGACCTAGGGCTTTCTCTAAGGTCTCCACAGGGGATTCAGACATCCCTTCATGTTGTGAGATGAAAGACAAGCCTGTATTCAAGCCACTGCAAGGAAATCCGGCCTCCTTTCAAGTTAGGGCTTCTCGCTGTATATTCCCCTTGAGGCAGCAAACTCGGGGTCCCTCCCACATACCTATTGCTGAGAGAAGCCTCCTCCTGAGGTGCTTCTGGGAAGTTGGCATACGTCTTGAGCCTAAGCCAGGGAATCAGCTCTCATCTCGAGACGATTTGGGGTACACGGAGCATTCCTCGAGTTGCTGTGCTGAAGTTGGTGTTCCTCTAGACTTGGGACAGTGTTCTCGGGGCATCTCTGGAGTTGCCTGAAGGAAGTCGAGCCACCGGTCGTGTTGAATGGGGAACGGGGAATGGCTCTGGAGTCAATGCAGGGGAATCGGGCCTCATCTCGAGTTGATTTGGGGCACATGGAGCTGCTTTGTGTTGCTGGGGTGACCTCAGGGTCCGTCTAGACTGTTGACAGTGTTCTTGGGGACTGTCTCGAGATCCATTAAGCAAGTCGAAGCTCCTGACTTGTTTGAATGGGATCACGGAATAGCTCTGCATGCACTGCAGGGGAATGGGGCCTCATCTCGCCTCTAGGGGGAAGTCTCATGGTTTTCCTCGAGTTGCGGCGGGAACCTGGGGTATGTTCTCGACTTACGGCGGGGATGGCCCTTCAAGACACGAGTTTCTTCAGTGACGTCAGGACTCCTGTCTAGTAACGACAGACACCTCAGGAATCTCTTCGAGGCTTTGCAGGGCAAAAGGGACGCTTCGCGAGGTGAGGCAGGGCACCCAAGGACCCTTTCCAGTAGCCACAGGGATTTTGGGATTCCTATCAGTATTCAAGAGGAGTCAGGCATCGTCACCTTTTGAAGCAATGAACTCCGCGTGCCTCTCGAGGTGTCAGCGCGATGTGAGGCATTCCGTCAAAATGAGGCAGGGACCTAGGGCTTTCTCTAAGGTCTCCACAGGGGATTCAGACATCCCTTCATGTTGTGAGATGAAAGACGAGCCTGTATTCAAGCCACTGCAAGGAAATCCGGCCTCCTTTCAAGTTAGGGCTTCTCGCTGTATATTCCCCTTGAGGCAGCAAACTCGGGGTCCCTCCCACATACCTATTGCTGAGAGAAGCCTCCTCCTGAGGTGCTTCTGGGAAGTTGGCATACGTCTTGAGCCTAAGCCAGGGAATCAGCTCGCATCTCGAGACGATTTGGGGTACACGGAGCATTCCTCGAGTTGCTGTGCTGAAGTTGGTGTTCCTCTAGACTTGGGACAGTGTTCTCGGGGCATCTCTGGAGTTGCCTGAAGGAAGTCGAGCCACCGGTCGTGTTGAATGGGGAACGGGGAATGGCTCTGGAGTCAATGCAGGGGAATCGGGCCTCATCTCGAGTTGATTTGGGGCACATGGAGCTGCTTTGCGTTGCTGGGGTGACCTCAGGGTCCGTCTAGACTGGTGACAGTGTTCTTGGGGACTGTCTCGAGATCCATTAAGCAAGTCGAAGCTCCTGACTTGTTTGAATGGGATCACGGAATAGCTCTGCATGCACTGCAGGGGAATGGGGCCTCATCTCGCCTCTAGGGGGAAGTCTCATGGTTTTTCTCGAGTTGCGGCGGGGACCTGGGGTATGTTCTCGACTTACGGCAGGGATGGCCCTTCAAGACACGAGTTTCTTCAGTGACGTCAGGACTCCTGTCTAGTAACGAGGGACACCTCAGGAATCTCTTCGAGGCTTGGCAGGGCAAAAGGGACGCTTCTCGAGGTGAGGCAGGGCACCCAAGGAACCTTTCCAGTAGCCACAGGGATTTTGGGATTCCTATCAGTATTCAAGAGGAGTCAGGCATCGTCACCTTTTGAAGCAATGAACTCCGCGTGCCTCTCGAGGTGTCAGCGGGATGTGAGGCATTCCGTCAAAATGAGGCAGGGACCTAGGGCTTTCTCTAAGGTCTCCACAGGGGATTCAGACATCCCTTCATGTTGTGAGATGAAAGACGAGCCTGTATTCAAGCCACTGCAAGGAAATCCGGCCTCCTTTCAAGTTAGGGCTTCTCGCTGTATATTCCCCTTGAGTCAGCAAACTCGGGGTCCCTCCCACATACCTATTGCTGAGAGAAGCCTCCTCCTGAGGTGCTTCTGGGAAGTTGGCATACGTCTTGAGCCTAAGCCAGGGAATCAGCTCTCATCTCGAGACGATTTGGGGTACACGGAGCATTCCTCGAGTTGCTGTGCTGAAGTTGGTGTTCCTCTAGACTTGGGAGAGTGTTCTCGGGGCATCTCTGGAGTTGCCTGAAGGAAGTCGAGCCACCGGTCGTGTTGAATGGCGAACGGGGAATGGCTCTGGAGTCAATGCAGGGGAATCGGGCCTCATCTCGAGTTGATTTGGGACACATGGAGCTGCTTTGCATTGCTGGGGTGACCTCAGGGTCCGTCTAGACTGGTGACAGTGTTCTTGGGGACTGTCTCGAGATCCATTAAGCAAGTCGAAGCTCCTGACTTGTTTGAATGGGATCACGGAATAGCTCTGCATGCACTGCAGGGGAATGGGGCCTCATCTCGCCTCTAGGGGGAAGTCTCATGGTTTTTCTCGAGTTGCGGCGGGAACCTGGGGTATGTTCTCGACTTACGGCGGGGATGGCCTTCAAGACACGAGTTTCTTCAGTGACGTCAGGACTCCTGTCTAGTAACGAGGGACACCTCAGGAATCTCTTCGAGGCTTGGCAGGGCAAAAGGGACGCTTCTCGAGGTGAGGCAGGGCACCCAAGGACCCTTTCCAGTAGCCACAGGGATTTTGGGATTCCTATCAGTATTCAAGAGGAGTCAGGCATCGTCACCTTTTGAAGCAATGAACTCCGCGTGCCTCTCGAGGTGTCAGCGCGATGTGAGGCATTCCGTCAAAATGAGGCAGGGACCTAGGGCTTTCTCTAAGGTCTCCACAGGGGATTCAGACATCCCTTCATGTTGTCAGATGAAAGACGAGGCTGTATTCAAGCCACTGCAAGGAAATCCGGCCTCCTTTCAAGTTAGGGCTTCTCGCTGTATATTCCCCTTGAGGTAGCAAACTCGGGGTCCCTCCCACATACCTATTGCTGAGAGAAGCCTCCTCCTGAGGTGCTTCTGGGAAGTTGGCATACGTCTTGAGCCTAAGCCAGGGAATCAGCTCGCATCTCGAGACGATTTGGGGTACACGGAGCATTCCTCGAGTTGCTGTGCTGAAGTTGGTGTTCCTCTAGACTTGGGACAGTGTTCTCGGGGCATCTCTGGAGTTGCCTGAAGGAAGTCGAGCCACCGGTCGTGTTGAATGGGGAACGGGGAATGGCTCTGGAGTCAATGCAGGGGAATCGGGCCTCATCTCGAGTTGATTTGGGGCACATGGAGCTGCTTTGTGTTGCTGGGGTGACCTCAGGGTCCGTCTAGACTGGTGACAGTGTTCTTGGGGACTGTCTCGAGATCCATTAAGCAAGTCGAAGCTCCTGACTTGTTTGAATGGGATCACGGAATAGCTCTGCATGCACTGCAGGGGAATGGGGCCTCATCTCGCCTCTAGGGGGAAGTCTCATGGTTTTTCTCGAGTTGCGGCGGGGACCTGGGGTATGTTCTCGACTTACGGCGGGGATGGCCCTTCAAGACACGAGTTTCTTCAGTGACGTCAGGACTCCTGTCTAGTAACGAGGGACACCTCAGGAATCTCTTCGAGGCTTGGCAGGGCAAAAGGGACGCTTCTCGAGGTGAGGCAGGGCACCCAAGGACCCTTTCCAGTAGCCTCAGGGATTTTGGGATTCCTATCAGTATTCAAGAGGAGTCAGGCATCGTCACCTTTTGAAGCAATGAACTCCGCGTGCCTCTCGAGGTGTCAGCGGGATGTGAGGCATTCCGTCAAAATGAGGCAGGGACCTAGGGCTTTCTCTAAGGTCTCCACAGGGGATTCAGACATCCCTTCATGTTGTGAGATGAAAGACGACCCTGTATTCAAGCCACTGCAAGGAAATCCGGCCTCCTTTCAAGTTAGGGCTTCTCGCTGTATATTCCCCTTGAGGCAGCAAACTCGGGGTCCCTCCCACATACCTATTGCTGAGAGAAGCCTCCTCCTGAGGTGCTTCTGGGAAGTTGGCATACGTCTTGAGCCTAAGCCAGGGAATCGGCTCTCATCTGGAGACGATTTGGGGTACACGGAGCATTCCTCGAGTTGCTGTGCTGAAGTTGGTGTTCCTCTAGACTTGGGACAGTGTTCTCGGGGCATCTCTGGAGTTGCCTGAAGGAAGTCGAGCCACCGGTCGTGTTGAATGGGGAACGGGGAATGGCTCTGGAGTCAATGCAGGGGAATCGGGCCTCATCTCGAGTTGATTTGGCGCACATGGAGCTGCTTTGTGTTGCTGCGGTGACCTCAGGGTCCGTCTAGACTGGTGACAGTGTTCTTGGGGACTGTCTCGAGATCCATTAAGCAAGTCGAAGCTCCTGACTTGTTTGAATGGGATCACGGAATAGCTCTGCATGCACTGCAGGGGAATGGGGCCTCATCTCGCCTCTAGGGGGAAGTCTCATCGTTTTTCTCGAGTTGCGGTGGGGACCTGGGGTATGTTCTCGACTTACGGCGGGGATGGCCCTTCAAGACACGAGTTTCTTCAGTGACGTCAGGACTCCTGTCTAGTAACGAGGGACACCTCAGGAATCTCTTCGAGGCTTGGCAGGGCAAAAGGGACGCTTCTCGAGGTGAGGCAGGGCACCCAAGGACCCTTTCCAGTAGCCACAGGGATTTTGGGATTCCTATCAGTATTCAAGAGGAGTCAGGCATCGTCACCTTTTGAAGCAAAGAACTCCGCGTGCCTCTCGAGGTGTCAGCGGGATGTGAGGCATTCCGTCAAAATGAGGCAGGGACCTAGGTCTTTCTCTAAGGTCTCCACAGGGGATTCAGACATCAGTTCATGTTGTGAGATGAAAGAGGAGCCTGTATTCAAGCCACTGCAAGGAAATCCGGCCTCCTTTCAAGTTAGGGCTTCTCGCTGTATATTCCCCTTGAGGCAGCAAACTCGGGGTCCCTCCCACATACCTATTGCTGAGAGAAGCCTCCTCCTGAGGTGCTTCGGGGAAGTTGGCATACGTCTTGAGCCTAAGCCAGGGAATCGGCTCTCATCTGGAGACGATTTGGGGTACACGGAGCATTCCTCGAGTTGCTGTGCTGAAGTTGGTGTTCCTCTAGACTTGGGACAGTGTTCTCTGGGCATCTCTGGAGTTGCCTGAAGGAAGTCGAGCCACCGGTCGTGTTGAATGGGGAACGGGGAATGGCTCTGGAGTCAATGCAGGGGAATCGGGCCTCATCTCGAGTTGATTTGGGGCACATGGAGCTGCTTTGCGTTGCTGGGGTGACCTCAGGGTCCGTCTAGACTGGTGACAGTGTTCTTGGGGACTGTCTCGAGATCCATTAAGAAGTCGAAGCTCCTGACTTGTTTGAATGGGATCACGGAATAGCTCTGCATGCACTGCAGGGGAATGGGGCCTCATCTCGCCTCTAGGGGGAAGTCTCATGGTTTTTCTCGAGTTGCGGCGGGGACCTGGGGTATGTTCTCGACTTACGGCGGGGATGGCCCTTCAAAACACGAGTTTCTTCAGTGACGTCAGGACTCCTGTCTAGTAACGAGGGACACCTCAGGAATCTCTTCGAGGCTTGGCAGGGCAAAAGGGACGCTTCTCGAGGTGAGGCAGGGCACCCAAGGACCCTTTCCAGTAGCCACAGGGATTTTGGGATTCCTATCAGTATTCAAGAGGAGTCAGGCATCGTCACCTTTTGAAGCAATGAACTCCGCGTGCCTCTCGAGGTGTCAGCGCGATGTGAGGCATTCCGTCAAAATGAGGCAGGCACCTAGGGCTTTCTCTAAGGTCTCCACAGGGGATTCAGACATCCCTTCATGTTGTGAGATGAAAGACGAGCCTGTATTCAAGCCACTGCAAGGAAATCCGGCCTCCTTTCAAGTTAGGGCTTCTCGCTGTATATTCCCCTTGAGGCAGCAAACTCGGGGTCCCTCCCACATACCTATTGCTGAGAGAAGCCTCCTCCTGAGGTGCTTCTGGGAAGTTGGCATACGTCTTGAGCCTAAGCCAGGAAATCGGCTCTCATCTGGAGACGATTTGGGGTACACGGAGCATTCCTCGAGTTGCTGTGCTGAAGTTGGTGTTCCTCTAGACTTGGGACAGTGTTCTCGGGGCATCTCTGGAGTTGCCTGAAGGAAGTCGAGCCACCGGTCGTGTTGAATGGGGAACGGGGAATGGCTCTGGAGTCAATGCAGGGGAATCGGGCCTCATCTCGAGTTGATTTGGGGCACATGGAGCTGCTTTGCGTTGCTGGGGTGACCTCAGGGTCCGTCTAGACTGGTGACAGTGTTCTTGGGGACTGTCTCGAGATCCATTAAGAAGTCGAAGCTCCTGACTTGTTTGAATGGGATCACGGAATAGCTCTGCATGCACTGCAGGGGAATGGGGCCTCATCTCGACTCTAGGGGGAAGTCTCATGGTTTTTCTCGAGTTGCGGCAGGGATCTGGGGTATGTTCTCGACTTACGGCGGGGATGGCCCTTCAAAACACGAGTTTCTTCAGTGACGTCAGGACTCCTGTCTAGTAACGAGGGACACCTCAGGAATCTCTTCGAGGCTTGGCAGGGCAAAAGGGACGCTTCTCGAGGTGAGGCAGGGCACCCAAGGACCCTTTCCAGTAGCCACAGGGATTTTGGGATTCCTATCAGTATTCAAGTGGAGTCAGGCATCGTCACCTTTTGAAGCAATGAACTCCGCGTGCCTCTCGAGGTGTAGCGGGATGTGAGGCATTCCGTCAAAATGAGGCAGGGACCTAGGGCTTTCTCTAAGGTCTCCACAGGGGATTCAGACATCCCTTCATGTTGTGAGATGAAAGACGAGCCTCTATTCAAGCCACTGCAAGGAAATCCAGCCTCCTTTCAAGTTAGGGCTTCTCGCTGTATATTCCCCTTGAGGCAGCAAACTCGGGGTCCCTCCCACATACCTATTGCTGAGAGAAGCCTCCTCCTGAGGTGCTTCTGGGAAGTTAGCATACGTCTTGAGCCTAAGCGAGGGAATCAGCTCTCATCTCGAGACGATTTGGGGTACACGGAGCATTCCTCGAGTTGCTGTGCTGAAGTTGGTGTTCCTCTAGACTTGGGACAGTGTTCTCGGGGCATCTCTGGAGTTGCCTAAAGGAAGTCGAGCCACCGGTCGTGTTGAATGGGGAACGGGGAATGGCTCTGGAGTCAATGCAGGGGAATCGGGCCTCATCTCGAGTTGATTTGGGGCACATGGAGCTGCTTTGCGTTGCTGGGGTGACCTCAGGGTCCGTCTAGACTGGTGACAGTGTTCTTGGGGACTGTCTCGAGATCCATTAAGCAAGTCGAAGCTCCTGACTTGTTTGAATGGGATCACGGAATAGCTCTGCATGCACTGCAGGGGAATGGGGCCTCATCTCGCCTCTAGGGGGAAGTCTCATGGTTTTTCTCGAGTTGCAGCGGGGACCTGGGGTATGTTTTCGACTTACGGCGGGGATGGCCCTTCAAAACACGAGTTTCTTCAGTGACGTCAGGACTCCTGTCTAGTAACGAGGGACACCTCAGGAATCTCTTCGAGGCTTGGCAGGGCAAAAGGGACGCTTCTCGAGGTGAGGCAGGGCACCCAAGGACCCTTTCCAGTAGCCACAGGGATTTTGGGATTCCTATCAGTATTCAAGAGGAGTCAGGCATCGTCACCTTTTGAAGCAATGAACTCCGCGTGCCTCTCGAGGTGTCAGCGCGATGTGAGGCATTCCGTCAAAATGAGGCAGGGACCTAGGGCTTTCTCTAAGGTCTCCACAGGGGATTCAGACATCCCTTCATGTTGTGAGATGAAAGACGAGCCTGTATTCAAGCCACTGCAAGGAAATCCGGCCTCCTTTCAAGTTAGGGCTTCTCGCTGTATATTCCCCTTGAGGTAGCAAACTCGGGGTCCCTCCCACATACCTATTGCTGAGAGAAGCCTCCTCCTGAGGTGCTTCTGGGAAGTTGGCATACGTCTTGAGCCTAAGCCAGGGAATCAGCTCGCATCTCGAGACGATTTGGGGTACACGGAGCATTCCTCGAGTTGCTGTGCTGAAGTTGGTGTTCCTCTAGACTTGGGACAGTGTTCTCGGGGCATCTCTGGAGTTGCCTGAAGGAAGTCGAGCCACCGGTCGTGTTGAATGGGGAACGGGGAATGGCTCTGGAGTCAATGCAGGGGAATCGGGCCTCATCTCGAGTTGATTTGGGGCACATGGAGCTGCTTTGTGTTGCTGGGGTGACCTCAGGGTCCGTTTAGACTGGTGACAGTGTTCTTGGGGACTGTCTCGAGATCCATTAAGCAAGTCGAAGCTCCTGACTTGTTTGAATGGGATCACGGAATAGCTCTGCATGGACTGCAGGGAAATGGGGCCTCATCTCGCCTCTAGGGGGAAGTCTCATGGTTTTTCTCGAGTTGCGGCGGGGACCTGGGGTATGTTCTCGACTTACGGCGGGGATGGCCCTTCAAGACACGAGTTTCTTCAGTGACGTCAGGACTCCTGTCTAGTAACGAGGGACACCTCAGGAATCTCTTCGAGGCTTGGCAGGGCAAAAGGGACGCATCTCGAGGTGAGGCAGGGCACCCAAGGACCCTTTCCAGTAGCCACAGGGATTTTGGGATTCCTATCAGTATTCAAGAGGAGTCAGGCATCGTCACCTTTTGAAGCAAAGAACTCCGCGTGCCTCTCGAGGTGTCAGCGGGATGTGAGGCATTCCGTCAAAATGAGGCAGGGACCTAGGGCTTTCTCTAAGGTCTCCACAGGGGATTCAGACATCCCTTCATGTTGTGAGATGAAAGAGGAGCCTGTATTCAAGCCACTGCAAGGAAATCCGGCCTCCTTTCAAGTTAGGGCTTCTCGCTGTATATTCCCCTTGAGGCAGCAAACTCGGGGTCCCTCCCACATACCTATTGCTGAGAGAAGCCTCCTCCTGAGGTGCTTCTGGGAAGTTGGCATACGTCTTGAGCCTAAGCCAGGGAATCGGCTCTCATCTGGAGACGATTTGGGGTACACGGAGCATTCCTCGAGTTGCTGTGCTGAAGTTGGTGTTCCTCTAGACTTGGGACAGTGTTCTCGGGGCATCTCTGGAGTTGCCTGAAGGAAGTCGAGCCACCGGTCGTGTTGAATGGGGAACGGGGAATGGCTCTGGAGTCAATGCAGGGGAATCGGGCCTCATCTCGAGTTGATTTGGGGCACATGGAGCTGCTTTGCGTTGCTGGGGTGACCTCAGGGTCCGTCTAGACTGGTGACAGTGTTCTTGGGGACTGTCTCGAGATCCATTAAGAAGTCGAAGCTCCTGACTTGTTTGAATGGGATCACGGAATAGCTCTGCATGCACTGCAGGGGAATGGGGCCTCATCTCGCCTCTAGGGGGAAGTCTCATGGTTTTTCTCGAGTTGCGGCGGGGACCTGGGGTATGTTCTCGACTTACGGCGGGGATGGCCCTTCAAAACACGAGTTTCTTCAGTGACGTCAGGACTCCTGTCTAGTAACGAGGGACACCTCAGGAATCTCTTCGAGGCTTGGCAGGGCAAAAGGGACGCTTCTCGAGGTGAGGCAGGGCACCCAAGGACCCTTTCCAGTAGCCACAGGGATTTTGGGATTCCTATCAGTATTCAAGAGGAGTCAGGCATCGTCACCTTTTGAAGCAAAGAACTCCGCGTGCCTCTCGAGGTGTCAGCGGGATGTGAGGCATTCCGTCAAAATGAGGCAGGGACCTAGGGCTTTCTCTAAGGTCTCCACAGGGGATTCAGACATCAGTTCATGTTGTGAGATGAAAGAGGAGCCTGTATTCAAGCCACTGCAAGGAAATCCGGCCTCCTTTCAAGTTAGGGCTTCTCGCTGTATATTCCCCTTGAGGCAGCAAACTCGGGGTCCCTCCCACATACCTATTGCTGAGAGAAGCCTCCTCCTGAGGTGCTTCTGGGAAGTTGGCATACGTCTTGAGCCTAAGCCAGGGAATCGGCTCTCATCTGGAGACGATTTGGGGTACACGGAGCATTCCTCGAGTTGCTGTGCTGAAGTTGGTGTTCCTCTAGACTTGGGACAGTGTTCTCTGGGCATCTCTGGAGTTGCCTGAAGGAAGTCGAGCCACCGGTCGTGTTGAATGGGGAACGGGGAATGGCTCTGGAGTCAATGCAGGGGAATCGGGCCTCATCTCGAGTTGATTTGGGGCACATGGAGCTGCTTTGCGTTGCTGGGGTGACCTCAGGGTCCGTCTAGACTGGTGACAGTGTTCTTGGGGACTGTCTCGAGATCCATTAAGAAGTCGAAGCTCCTGACTTGTTTGAATGGGATCACGGAATAGCTCTGCATGCACTGCAGGGGAATGGGGCCTCATCTCGCCTCTAGGGGGAAGTCTCATGGTTTTTCTCGAGTTGTGGCGGGGACCTGGGGTATGTTCTCGACTTACGGCGGGGATGGCCCTTCAAAACACGAGTTTCTTCAGTGACGTCAGGACTCCTGTCTAGTAACGAGGGACACCTCAGGAATCTCTTCGAGGCTTGGCAGGGCAAAAGGGACGCTTCTCGAGGTGAGGCAGGGCACCCAAGGACCCTTTCCAGTAGCCACAGGGATTTTGGGATTCCTATCAGTATTCAAGAGGAGTCAGGCATCGTCACCTTTTGAAGCAATGAACTCCGCGTGCCTCTCGAGGTGTCAGCGCGATGTGAGGCATTCCGTCAAAATGAGGCAGGCACCTACGGCTTTCTCTAAGGTCTCCACAGGGGATTCAGACATCCCTTCATGTTGTGAGATGAAAGACGAGCCTGTATTCAAGCCACTGCAAGGAAATCCGGCCTCCTTTCAAGTTAGGGCTTCTCGCTGTATATTCCCCTTGAGGCAGCAAACTCGGGGTCCCTCCCACATACCTATTGCTGAGAGAAGCCTCCTCCTGAGGTGCTTCTGGGAAGTTGGCATACGTCTTGAGCCTAAGCCAGGGAATCGGCTCTCATCTGGAGACGATTTGGGGTACACGGAGCATTCCTCGAGTTGCTGTGCTGAAGTTGGTGTTCCTCTAGACTTGGGACAGTGTTCTCGGGGCATCTCTGGAGTTGCCTGAAGGAAGTCGAGCCACCGGTCGTGTTGAATGGGGAACGGGGAATGGCTCTGGAGTCAATGCAGGGGAATCGGGCCTCATCTCGAGTTGATTTGGGGCACATGGAGCTGCTTTGCGTTGCTGGGGTGACCTCAGGGTCCGTCTAGACTGGTGACAGTGTTCTTGGGGACTGTCTCGAGATCCATTAAGAAGTCGAAGCTCCTGACTTGTTTGAATGGGATCACGGAATAGCTCTGCATGCACTGCAGGGGAATGGGGCCTCATCTCGCCTCTAGGGGGAAGTCTCATCGTTTTTCTCGAGTTGCGGCGGGGACCTGGGGTATGTTCTCGACTTACGGCGGGGATGGCCCTTCAAGACACGAGTTTCTTCAGTGACGTCAGGACTCCTGTCTAGTAACGAGGGACACCTCAGGAATCTCTTCGAGGCTTGGCAGGGGAAAAGGGACGCTTCTCGAGGTGAGGCAGGGCACCCAAGGACCCTTTCCAGTAGCCACAGGGATTTTGGGATTCCTATCAGTATTCAAGAGGAGTCAGGCATCGTCACCTTTTGAAGCAATGAACTCCGCGTGCCTCTCGAGGTGTCAGCGGGATGTGAGGCATTCCGTCAAAATGAGGCAGGGACCTAGGGCTTTCTCTCAGGTCTCCACAGGGGATTCAGACATCCCTTCATGTTGTCAGATGAAAGACGAGGCTGTATTCAAGCCACTGCAAGGAAATCCGGCCTCCTTTCAAGTTAGGGCTTCTCGCTGTATATTCCCCTTGAGGCAGCAAACTCGGGGTCCCTCCCACATACCTATTGCTGAGAGAAGCCTCATCCTGAGGTGCTTCTGGGAAGTTGGCATACGTCTTGAGCCTAAGCCAGGGAATCGGCTCTCATCTGGAGACGATTTGGGGTACACGGAGCATTCCTCGAGTTGCTGTGCTGAAGTTGGTGTTCCTCTAGACTTGGGACAGTGTTCTCGGGGCATCTCTGGAGTTGCCTGAAGGAAGTCGAGCCACCGGTCGTGTTGAATGGGGAACGGGGAATGGCTCTGGAGTCAATGCAGGGGAATCGGGCCTCATCTCGAGTTGATTTGGGGCACATGGAGCTGCTTTGCGTTGCTGGGGTGACCTCAGGGTCCGTCTAGACTGGTGACAGTGTTCTTGGGGACTGTCTCGAGATCCATTAAGCAAGTCGAAGCTCCTGACTTGTTTGAAAGGGATCACGGAATAGCTCTGCATGCACTGCAGGGGAATGGGGCCTCATCTCGCCTCTAGGGGGAAGTCTCATGGTTTTTCTCGAGTTGCGGCGGGGACCTGGGGTATGTTCTCGACTTACGGCGGGGATGGCCCTTCAAAACACGAGTTTCTTCAGTGACGTCAGGACTCCTGTCTAGTAACGAGGGACACCTCAGGAATCTCTTCGAGGCTTGGCAGGGCAAAAAGGACGCTTCTCGAGGTGAGGCAGGGCACCCAAGGACCCTTTCCAGTAGCCACAGGGATTTTGGGATTGCTATCAGTATTCAAGAGGAGTCAGGCATCGTCACCTTTTGAAGCAATGAACTCCGCGTGCCTCTCGAGGTGTCAGCGCGATGTGAGGCATTCCGTCAAAATGAGACAGGGACCTAGGGCTTTCTCTAAGGTCTCCACAGGGGATTCAGACATCCCTTCATGTTGTGAGATGAAAGACGAGCCTGCATTCAAGCCACTGCAAGGAAATCCGGCCTCCTTTCAAGTTAGGGCTTCTCGCTGTATATTCCCCTTGAGGCAGCAAACTCGGGGTCCCTCCCACATACCTATTGCTGAGAGAAGCCTCCTCCTGAGCTGCTTCTGGGAAGTTGGCATACGTCTTGAGCCTAAGCCAGGGAATCAGCTCGCACCTCGAGACGATTTGGGGTACACGGAGCATTCCTCGAGTTGCTGTGCTGAAGTTGGTGTTCCTCTAGACTTGGGACAGTGTTCTCGGGGCATCTCTGGAGTTGCCTGAAGGAAGTCGAGCCACCGGTCGTGTTGAATGGGGAACGGGGAATGGCTCTGGAGTCAATGCAGGGGAATCGGGCCTCATCTCGAGTTGATTTGGGGCACATGGAGCTGCTTTGCGTTGCTGGGGTGACCTCAGGGTCCGTCTAGACTGGTGACAGTATTCTTGGGGACTGTCTCGAGATCCATTAAGCAAGTCGAAGCTCCTGACTTGTTTGAATGGGATCACGGAATAGCTCTGCATGCACTGCAGGGGAATGGGGCCTCATCTCGCCTCTAGGGGGAAGTCTCATGGTTTTTCTCGAGTTGCGGCGGGGACCTGGGGTATGTTCTCGACTTACGGCGGGGATGGCCCTTCAAAACACGAGTTTATTCAGTGACGTCAGGACTCCTGTCTAGTAACGAGGGACACCTCAGGAATCTCTTCGAGGCTTGGCAGGGCAAAAGGGACGCTTCTCGAGGTGAGGCAGGGCACCCAAGGACACTTTCCAGTAGCCACAGGGATTTTGGGATTCCTATCAGTATTCAAGAGGAGTCATGCTTCGTCACCTTTTGAAGCAATGAACTCCGCGTGCCTCTCGAGGTGTCAGCGGGATGTGAGGCATTCCGTCAAAATGAGGCAGGGACCTAGGGCTTTCTCTAAGGTCTCCACAGGGGATTCAGACATCCCTTCATGTTGTGAGATGAAAGACAAGCCTGTATTCAAGCCACTGCAAGGAAATCCGGCCTCCTTTCAAGTTAGGGCTTCTCGCTGTATATTCCCCTTGAGGCAGCAAACTCGGGGTCCCTCCCACATACCTATTGCTGAGAGAAGCCTCCTCCTGAGGTGCTTCTGGGAAGTTGGCATACGTCTTGAGCCTAAGCCAGGGAATCAGCTCTCATCTCGAGACGATTTGGGGTACACGGAGCATTCCTCGAGTTGCTGTGCTGAAGTTGGTGTTCCTCTAGACTTGGGACAGTGTTCTCGGGGCATCTCTGGAGTTGCCTGAAGGAAGTCGAGCCACCGGTCGTGTTGAATGGGGAACGGGGAATGGCTCTGGAGTCAATGCAGGGGAATCGGGCCTCATCTCGAGTTGATTTGGGGCACATGGAGCTGCTTTGCGTTGCTGGGGTGACCTCAGGGTCCGTCTAGACTGGTGACAGTGTTCTTGGGGACTGTCTCGAGATCCATTAAGCAAGTCGAAGCTCCTGACTTGTTTGAATGGGATCACGGAATAGCTCTGCATGCACTGCAGGGGAATGGGGCCTCATCTCGCCTCTAGGGGGAAGTCTCATGGTTTTTCTCGAGTTGCGGCGGGGACCTGGGGTATGTTCTCGACTTACGGCGGGGATGGCCCTTCAAGACACGAGTTTCTTCAGTGACGTCAGGACTCCTGTCTAGTAACGAGGGACACCTCAGGAATCTCTTCGAGGCTTGGCAGGGCAAAAGGGACGCTTCTCGAGGTGAGGCAGGGCACCCAAGGAACCTTTCCAGTAGCCACAGGGATTTTGGGATTCCTATCAGTATTCAAGAGGAGTCAGGCATCGTCACCTTTTGAAGCAATGAACTCCGCGTGCCTCTCGAGGTGTCAGCGGGATGTGAGGCATTCCGTCAAAATGAGGCAGGGACCTAGGGCTTTCTCTAAGGTCTCCACAGGGGATTCAGACATCCCTTCATGTTGTGAGATGAAAGACGAGCCTGTATTCAAGCCACTGCAAGGAAATCCGGCCTCCTTTCAAGTTAGGGCTTCTCGCTGTATATTCCCCTTGAGGCAGCAAACTCGGGGTCCCTCCCACATACCTATTGGTGAGAGAAGCCTCCTCCTGAGGTGCTTCTGGGAAGTTGGCATACGTCTTGAGCCTAAGCCAGGGAATCAGCTCTCATCTCGAGACGATTTGGGGTACACGGAGCATTCCTCGAGTTGCTGTGCTGAAGTTGGTGTTCCTCTAGACTTGGGACAGTGTTCTCGGGGCATCTCTGGAGTTGCCTGAAAGAAGTCGAGCCACCGGTCGTGTTGAATGGGGAACGGGGAATGGCTCTGGAGTCAATGCAGGGGAATCGGGCCACATCTCGAGTTGATTTGGGGCACATGGAGCTGCTTTGCGTTGCTGGGGTGACCTCAGGGTCCGTCTAGACTGGTGACAGTGTTCTTGGGGACTGTCTCGAGATCCATTAAGCAAGTCGAAGCTCCTGACTTGTTTGAATGGGATCACGGAATAGCTCTGCATGCACTGCAGGGGAATGGGGCCTCATCTCGCCTCTAGGGGGAAGTCTCATGGTTTTTCTCGAGTTGCGGCGGGGACCTGGGGTATGTTCTCGACTTACGGCGGGGATGGCCCTTCAAAACACGAGTTTCTTCAGTGACGTCAGGACTCCTGTCTAGTAACGAGGGACACCTCAGGAATCTCTTCGAGGTTTGGCAGGGCAAAAGGGACGCTTCTCGAGGTGAGGCAGGGCACCCAAGGACCCTTTCCAGTAGCCACAGGGATTTTGGGATTCCTATCAGTATTCAAGAGGAGTCAGGCATCGTCACCTTTTGAAGCAATGAACTCCGCGTTCCTCTCGAGGTGTCAGCGGGATGTGAGGCATTCCGTCAAAATGAGGCAGGGACCTAGGGCTTTCTCTAAGGTCTCCACAGGGGATTCAGACATCCCTTCATGTTGTGAGATGAAAGACGAGCCTGTATTCAAGCCACTGCAAGGAAATCCGGCCTCCTTTCAAGTTAGGGCTTCTCGCTGTATATTCCCCTTGAGGCAGCAAACTCGGGGTCCCTCCCACATACCTATTGCTGAGAGAAGCCTCCTCCTGAGGTGCTTCTGGGAAGTTGGCATACGTCTTGAGCCTAAGCCAGGGAATCAGCTCTCATCTCGAGACGATTTGGGGTACACGGAGCATTCCTCGAGTTGCTGTGCTGAAGTTGGTGTTCCTCTAGACTTGGGAGAGTGTTCTCGGGGCATCTCTGGAGTTGCCTGAAGGAAGTCGAGCCACCGGTCGTGTTGAATGGCGAACGGGGAATGGCTCTGGAGTCAATGCAGGGGAATCGGGCCTCATCTCGAGTTGATTTGGGGCACATGGAGCTGCTTTGCATTGCTGGGGTGACCTCAGGGTCCGTCTAGACTGGTGACAGTGTTCTTGGGGACTGTCTCGAGATCCATTAAGCAAGTCGAAGCTCCTGACTTGTTTGAATGGGATCACGGAATAGCTCTGCATGCACTGCAGGGGAATGGGGCCTCATCTCGCCTCTAGGGGGAAGTCTCATGGTTTTTCTCGAGTTGCGGCGGGAACCTGGGGTATGTTCTCGACTTACGGCGGGGATGGCCTTCAAGACACGAGTTTCTTCAGTGACGTCAGGACTCCTGTCTAGTAACGAGGGACACCTCAGGAATCTCTTCGAGGCTTGGCAGGGCAAAAGGGACGCTTCTCGAGGTGAGGCAGGGCACCCAAGGACCCTTTCCAGTAGCCACAGGGATTTTGGGATTCCTATCAGTATTCAAGAGGAGTCAGGCATCGTCACCTTTTGAAGCAATGAACTCCGCGTGCCTCTCGAGGTGTCAGCGCGATGTGAGGCATTCCGTCAAAATGAGGCAGGGACCTAGGGCTTTCTCTAAGGTCTCCACAGGGGATTCAGACATCCCTTCATGTTGTCAGATGAAAGACGAGGCTGTATTCAAGCCACTGCAAGGAAATCCGGCCTCCTTTCAAGTTAGGGCTTCTCGCTGTATATTCCCCTTGAGGTAGCAAACTCGGGGTCCCTCCCACATACCTATTGCTGAGAGAAGCCTCCTCCTGAGGTGCTTCTGGGAAGTTGGCATACGTCTTGAGCCTAAGCCAGGGAATCAGCTCGCATCTCGAGACGATTTGGGGTACACGGAGCATTCCTCGAGTTGCTGTGCTGAAGTTGGTGTTCCTCTAGACTTGGGACAGTGTTCTCGGGGCATCTCTGGAGTTGCCTGAAGGAAGTCGAGCCACCGGTCGTGTTGAATGGGGAACGGGGAATGGCTCTGGAGTCAATGCAGGGGAATCGGGCCTCATCTTGAGTTGATTTGGGGCACATGGAGCTGCTTTGTGTTGCTGGGGTGACCTCAGGGTCCGTCTAGACTGGTGACAGTGTTCTTGGGGACTGTCTCGAGATCCATTAAGCAAGTCGAAGCTCCTGACTTGTTTGAATGGGATCACGGAATAGCTCTGCATGCACTGCAGGGGAATGGGGCCTCATCTCGCCTCTAGGGGGAAGTCTCATGGTTTTTCTCGAGTTGCGGCGGGGACCTGGGGTATGTTCTCGACTTACGGCGGGGATGGCCCTTCAAGACACGAGTTTCTTCAGTGACGTCAGGACTCCTGTCTAGTAACGAGGGACACCTCAGGAATCTCTTCGAGGCTTGGCAGGGCAAAAGGGACGCTTCTCGAGGTGAGGCAGGGCACCCAAGGACCCTTTCCAGTAGCCTCAGGGATTTTGGGATTCCTATCAGTATTCAAGAGGAGTCAGGCATCGTCACCTTTTGAAGCAATGAACTCCGCGTGCCTCTCGAGGTGTCAGCGGGATGTGAGGCATTCCGTCAAAATGAGGCAGGGACCTAGGGCTTTCTCTAAGGTCTCCACAGGGGATTCAGACATCCCTTCATGTTGTGAGATGAAAGACGACCCTGTATTCAAGCCACTGCAAGGAAATCCGGCCTCCTTTCAAGTTAGGGCTTCTCGCTGTATATTCCCCTTGAGGCAGCAAACTCGGGGTCCCTCCCACATACCTATTGCTGAGAGAAGCCTCCTCCTGAGGTGCTTCTGGGAAGTTGGCATACGTCTTGAGCCTAAGCCAGGGAATCGGCTCTCATCTGGAGACGATTTGGGGTACACGGAGCATTCCTCGAGTTGCTGTGCTGAAGTTGGTGTTCCTCTAGACTTGGGACAGTGTTCTCGGGGCATCTCTGGAGTTGCCTGAAGGAAGTCGAGCCACCGGTCGTGTTGAATGGGGAACGGGGAATGGCTCTGGAGTCAATGCAGGGGAATCGGGCCTCATCTCGAGTTGATTTGGCGCACATGGAGCTGCTTTGTGTTGCTGCGGTGACCTCAGGGTCCGTCTAGACTGGTGACAGTGTTCTTGGGGACTGTCTCGAGATCCATTAAGCAAGTCGAAGCTCCTGACTTGTTTGAATGGGATCACGGAATAGCTCTGCATGCACTGCAGGGGAATGGGGCCTCATCTCGCCTCTAGGGGGAAGTCTCATCGTTTTTCTCGAGTTGCGGTGGGGACCTGGGGTATGTTCTCGACTTACGGCGGGGATGGCCCTTCAAGACACGAGTTTCTTCAGTGACGTCAGGACTCCTGTCTAGTAACGAGGGACACCTCAGGAATCTCTTCGAGGCTTGGCAGGGCAAAAGGGACGCTTCTCGAGGTGAGGCAGGGCACCCAAGGACCCTTTCCAGTAGCCACAGGGATTTTGGGATTCCTATCAGTATTCAAGAGGAGTCAGGCATCGTCACCTTTTGAAGCAAAGAACTCAGCGTGCCTCTCCAGGTGTCAGCGGGATGTGAGGCATTCCGTCAAAATGAGGCAGGGACCTAGGGCTTTCTCTAAGGTCTCCACAGGGGATTCAGACATCCCTTCATGTTGTGAGATGAAAGAGGAGCCTGTATTCAAGCCACTGCAAGGAAATCCGGCCTCCTTTCAAGTTAGGGCTTCTCGCTGTATATTCCCCTTGAGGCAGCAAACTCGGGGTCCCTCCCACATACCTATTGCTGAGAGAAGCCTCCTCCTGAGGTGCTTCTGGGAAGTTGGCATACGTCTTGAGCCTAAGCCAGGGAATCGGCTCTCATCTGGAGACGATTTGGGGTACACGGAGCATTCCTCGAGTTGCTGTGCTGAAGTTGGTGTTCCTCTAGACTTGGGACAGTGTTCTCGGGGCATCTCTGGAGTTGCCTGAAGGAAGTCGAGCCACCGGTCGTGTTGAATGGGGAACGGGGAATGGCTCTGGAGTCAATGCAGGGGAATCGGGCCTCATCTCGAGTTGATTTGGGGCACATGGAGCTGCTTTGCGTTGCTGGGGTGACCTCAGGGTCCGTCTAGACTGGTGACAGTGTTCTTGGGGACTGTCTCGAGATCCATTAAGAAGTCGAAGCTCCTGACTTGTTTGAATGGGATCACGGAATAGCTCTGCATGCACTGCAGGGGAATGGGGCCTCATCTCGCCTCTAGGGGGAAGTCTCATGGATTTTCTCGAGTTGCGGCGGGGACCTGGGGTATGTTCTCGACTTACGGCGGGGATGGCCCTTCAAAACACGAGTTTCTTCAGTGACGTCAGGACTCCTGTCTAGTAACGAGGGACACCTCAGGAATCTCTTCGAGGCTTGGCAGGGCAAAAGGGACGCTTCTCGAGGTGAGGCAGGGCACCCAAGGACCCTTTCCAGTAGCCACAGGGATTTTGGGATTCCTATCAGTATTCAAGAGGAGTCAGGCATCGTCACCTTTTGAAGCAAAGAACTCCGCGTGCCTCTCGAGGTGTCAGCGGGATGTGAGGCATTCCGTCAAAATGAGGCAGGGACCTAGGTCTTTCTCTAAGGTCTCCACAGGGGATTCAGACATCAGTTCATGTTGTGAGATGAAAGAGGAGCCTGTATTCAAGCCACTGCAAGGAAATCCGGCCTCCTTTCAAGTTAGGGCTTCTCGCTGTATATTCCCCTTGAGGCAGCAAACTCGGGGTCCCTCCCACATACCTATTGCTGAGAGAAGCCTCCTCCTGAGGTGCTTCTGGGAAGTTGGCATACGTCTTGAGCCTAAGCCAGGGAATCGGCTCTCATCTGGAGACGATTTGGGGTACACGGAGCATTCCTCGAGTTGCTGTGCTGAAGTTGGTGTTCCTCTAGACTTGGGACAGTGTTGTCGGGGCATCTCTGGAGTTGCCTGAAGGAAGTCGAGCCACCGGTCGTGTTGAATGGGGAACGGGGAATGGCTCTGGAGTCAATGCAGGGGAATCGGGCCTCATCTCGAGTTGATTTGGGGCACATGGAGCTGCTTTGCGTTGCTGGGGTGACCTCAGGGTCCGTCTAGACTGGTGACAGTGTTCTTGGGGACTGTCTCGAGATCCATTAAGAAGTCGAAGCTCCTGACTTGTTTGAATGGGATCACGGAATAGCTCTGCATGCACTGCAGGGGAATGGGGCCTCATCTCGCCTCTAGGGGGAAGTCTCATGGTTTTTCTCGAGTTGCGGCGGGGACCTGGGGTATGTTCTCGACTTACGGCGGGGATGGCCCTTCAAAACACGAGTTTCTTCAGTGACGTCAGGACTCCTGTCTAGTAACGAGGGACACCTCAGGAATCTCTTCGAGGCTTGGCAGGGCAAAAGGGACGCTTCTCGAGGTGAGGCAGGGCACCCAAGGACCCTTTCCAGTAGCCACAGGGATTTTGGGATTCCTATCAGTATTCAAGAGGAGTCAGGCATCGTCACCTTTTGAAGCAATGAACTCCGCGTGCCTCTCGAGGTGTCAGCGCGATGTGAGGCATTCCGTCAAAATGAGGCAGGCACCTAGGGCTTTCTCTAAGGTCTCCACAGGGGATTCAGACATCCCTTCATGTTGTGAGATGAAAGACGAGCCTGTATTCAAGCCACTGCAAGGAAATCCGGCCTCCTTTCAAGTTAGGGCTTCTCGCTGTATATTCCCCTTGAGGCAGCAAACTCGGGGTCCCTCCCACATACCTATTGCTGAGAGAAGCCTCCTCCTGAGGTGCTTCTGGGAAGTTGGCATACGTCTTGAGCCTAAGCCAGGAAATCGGCTCTCATCTGGAGACGATTTGGGGTACACGGAGCATTCCTCGAGTTGCTGTGCTGAAGTTGGTGTTCCTCTAGACTTGGGACAGTGTTCTCGGGGCATCTCTGGAGTTGCCTGAAGGAAGTCGAGCCACCGGTCGTGTTGAATGGGGAACGGGGAATGGCTCTGGAGTCAATGCAGGGGAATCGGGCCTCATCTCGAGTTGATTTGGGGCACATGGAGCTGCTTTGCGTTGCTGGGGTGACCTCAGGGTCCGTCTAGACTGGTGACAGTGTTCTTGGGGACTGTCTCGAGATCCATTAAGAAGTCGAAGCTCCTGACTTGTTTGAATGGGATCACGGAATAGCTCTGCATGCACTGCAGGGGAATGGGGCCTCATCTCGCCTCTAGGGGGAAGTCTCATGGTTTTTCTCGAGTTGCGGCAGGGATCTGGGGTATGTTCTCGACTTACGGCGGGGATGGCCCTTCAAAACACGAGTTTCTTCAGTGACGTCAGGACTCCTGTCTAGTAACGAGGGACACCTCAGGAATCTCTTCGAGGCTTGGCAGGGCAAAAGGGACGCTTCTCGAGGTGAGGCAGGGCACCCAAGGACCCTTTCCAGTAGCCACAGGGATTTTGGGATTCCTATCAGTATTCAAGTGGAGTCAGGCATCGTCACCTTTTGAAGCAATGAACTCCGCGTGCCTCTCGAGGTGTAGCGGGATGTGAGGCATTCCGTCAAAATGAGGCAGGGACCTAGGGCTTTCTCTAAGGTCTCCACAGGGGATTCAGACATCCCTTCATGTTGTGAGATGAAAGACGAGCCTGTATTCAAGCCACTGCAAGGAAATCCGGCCTCCTTTCAAGTTAGGGCTTCTCGCTGTATATTCCCCTTGAGGTAGCAAACTCGGGGTCCCTCCCACATACCTATTGCTGAGAGAAGCCTCCTCCTGAGGTGCTTCTGGGAAGTTGGCATACGTCTTGAGCCTAAGCCAGGGAATCAGCTCGCATCTCGAGACGATTTGGGGTACACGGAGCATTCCTCGAGTTGCTGTGCTGAAGTTGGTGTTCCTCTAGACTTGGGACAGTGTTCTCGGGGCATCTCTGGAGTTGCCTGAAGGAAGTCGAGCCACCGGTCGTGTTGAATGGGGAACGGGGAATGGCTCTGGAGTCAATGCAGGGGAATCGGGCCTCATCTCGAGTTGATTTGGGGCACATGGAGCTGCTTTGTGTTGCTGGGGTGACCTCAGGGTCCGTCTAGACTGGTGACAGTGTTCTTGGGGACTGTCTCGAGATCCATTAAGCAAGTCGAAGCTCCTGACTTGTTTGAATGGGATCACGGAATAGCTCTGCATGGACTGCAGGGAAATGGGGCCTCATCTCGCCTCTAGGGGGAAGTCTCATGGTTTTTCTCGAGTTGCGGCGGGGACCTGGGGTATGTTCTCGACTTACGGCGGGGATGGCCCTTCAAGACACGAGTTTCTTCAGTGACGTCAGGACTCCTGTCTAGTAACGAGGGACACCTCAGGAATCTCTTCGAGGCTTGGCAGGGCAAAAGGGACGCATCTCGAGGTGAGGCAGGGCACCCAAGGACCCTTTCCAGTAGCCACAGGGATTTTGGGATTCCTATCAGTATTCAAGAGGAGTCAGGCATCGTCACCTTTTGAAGCAAAGAACTCCGCGTGCCTCTCGAGGTGTCAGCGGGATGTGAGGCATTCCGTCAAAATGAGGCAGGGACCTAGGGCTTTCTCTAAGGTCTCCACAGGGGATTCAGACATCCCTTCATGTTGTGAGATGAAAGAGGAGCCTGTATTCAAGCCACTGCAAGGAAATCCGGCCTCCTTTCAAGTTAGGGCTTCTCGCTGTATATTCCCCTTGAGGCAGCAAACTCGGGGTCCCTCCCACATACCTATTGCTGAGAGAAGCCTCCTCCTGAGGTGCTTCTGGGAAGTTGGCATACGTCTTGAGCCTAAGCCAGGGAATCGGCTCTCATCTGGAGACGATTTGGGGTACACGGAGCATTCCTCGAGTTGCTGTGCTGAAGTTGGTGTTCCTCTAGACTTGGGACAGTGTTCTCGGGGCATCTCTGGAGTTGCCTGAAGGAAGTCGAGCCACCGGTCGTGTTGAATGGGGAACGGGGAATGGCTCTGGAGTCAATGCAGGGGAATCGGGCCTCATCTCGAGTTGATTTGGGGCACATGGAGCTGCTTTGCGTTGCTGGGGTGACCTCAGGGTCCGTCTAGACTGGTGACAGTGTTCTTGGGGACTGTCTCGAGATCCATTAAGAAGTCGAAGCTCCTGACTTGTTTGAATGGGATCACGGAATAGCTCTGCATGCACTGCAGGGGAATGGGGCCTCATCTCGCCTCTAGGGGGAAGTCTCATGGTTTTTCTCGAGTTGCGGCGGGGACCTGGGGTATGTTCTCGACTTACGGCGGGGATGGCCCTTCAAAACACGAGTTTCTTCAGTGACGTCAGGACTCCTGTCTAGTAACGAGGGACACCTCAGGAATCTCTTCGAGGCTTGGCAGGGCAAAAGGGACGCTTCTCGAGGTGAGGCAGGGCACCCAAGGACCCTTTCCAGTAGCCACAGGGATTTTGGGATTCCTATCAGTATTCAAGAGGAGTCAGGCATCGTCACCTTTTGAAGCAAAGAACTCCGCGTGCCTCTCGAGGTGTCAGCGGGATGTGAGGCATTCCGTCAAAATGAGGCAGGGACCTAGGGCTTTCTCTAAGGTCTCCACAGGGGATTCAGACATCAGTTCATGTTGTGAGATGAAAGAGGAGCCTGTATTCAAGCCACTGCAAGGAAATCCGGCCTCCTTTCAAGTTAGGGCTTCTCGCTGTATATTCCCCTTGAGGCAGCAAACTCGGGGTCCCTCCCACATACCTATTGCTGAGAGAAGCCTCCTCCTGAGGTGCTTCTGGGAAGTTGGCATACGTCTTGAGCCTAAGCCAGGGAATCGGCTCTCATCTGGAGACGATTTGGGGTACACGGAGCATTCCTCGAGTTGCTGTGCTGAAGTTGGTGTTCCTCTAGACTTGGGACAGTGTTCTCTGGGCATCTCTGGAGTTGCCTGAAGGAAGTCGAGCCACCGGTCGTGTTGAATGGGGAACGGGGAATGGCTCTGGAGTCAATGCAGGGGAATCGGGCCTCATCTCGAGTTGATTTGGGGCACATGGAGCTGCTTTGCGTTGCTGGGGTGACCTCAGGGTCCGTCTAGACTGGTGACAGTGTTCTTGGGGACTGTCTCGAGATCCATTAAGAAGTCGAAGCTCCTGACTTGTTTGAATGGGATCACGGAATAGCTCTGCATGCACTGCAGGGGAATGGGGCCTCATCTCGCCTCTAGGGGGAAGTCTCATGGTTTTTCTCGAGTTGTGGCGGGGACCTGGGGTATGTTCTCGACTTACGGCGGGGATGGCCCTTCAAAACACGAGTTTCTTCAGTGACGTCAGGACTCCTGTCTAGTAACGAGGGACACCTCAGGAATCTCTTCGAGGCTTGGCAGGGCAAAAGGGACGCTTCTCGAGGTGAGGCAGGGCACCCAAGGACCCTTTCCAGTAGCCACAGGGATTTTGGGATTCCTATCAGTATTCAAGAGGAGTCAGGCATCGTCACCTTTTGAAGCAATGAACTCCGCGTGCCTCTCGAGGTGTCAGCGCGATGTGAGGCATTCCGTCAAAATGAGGCAGGCACCTACGGCTTTCTCTAAGGTCTCCACAGGGGATTCAGACATCCCTTCATGTTGTGAGATGAAAGACGAGCCTGTATTCAAGCCACTGCAAGGAAATCCGGCCTCCTTTCAAGTTAGGGCTTCTCGCTGTATATTCCCCTTGAGGCAGCAAACTCGGGGTCCCTCCCACATACCTATTGCTGAGAGAAGCCTCCTCCTGAGGTGCTTCTGGGAAGTTGGCATACGTCTTGAGCCTAAGCCAGGGAATCGGCTCTCATCTGGAGACGATTTGGGGTACACGGAGCATTCCTCGAGTTGCTGTGCTGAAGTTGGTGTTCCTCTAGACTTGGGACAGTGTTCTCGGGGCATCTCTGGAGTTGCCTGAAGGAAGTCGAGCCACCGGTCGTGTTGAATGGGGAACGGGGAATGGCTCTGGAGTCAATGCAGGGGAATCGGGCCTCATCTCGAGTTGATTTGGGGCACATGGAGCTGCTTTGCGTTGCTGGGGTGACCTCAGGGTCCGTCTAGACTGGTGACAGTGTTCTTGGGGACTGTCTCGAGATCCATTAAGAAGTCGAAGCTCCTGACTTGTTTGAATGGGATCACGGAATAGCTCTGCATGCACTGCAGGGGAATGGGGCCTCATCTCGCCTCTAGGGGGAAGTCTCATGGTTTTTCTCGAGTTGCGGCAGGGATCTGGGGTATGTTCTCGAGTTACGGCGGGGATGGCCCTTCAAAACACGAGTTTCTTCAGTGACGTCAGGACTCCTGTCTAGTAACGAGGGACACCTCAGGAATCTCTTCGAGGCTTGGCAGGGCAAAAGGGACGCTTCTCGAGGTGAGGCAGGGCACCCAAGGACCCTTTCCAGTAGCCACAGGGATTTTGGGATTCCTATCAGTATTCAAGTGGAGTCAGGCATCGTCACCTTTTGAAGCAATGAACTCCGTGTGCCTCTCGAGGTGTAGCGGGATGTGAGGCATTCCGTCAAAATGAGGCAGGGACCTAGGGCTTTCTCTAAGGTCTCCACAGGGGATTCAGACATCCCTTCATGTTGTGAGATGAAAGACGAGCCTGTATTCAAGCCACTGCAAGGAAATCCAGCCTCCTTTCAAGTTAGGGCTTCTCGCTGTATATTCCCCTTGAGGCAGCAAACTCGGGGTCCCTCCCACATACCTATTGCTGAGAGAAGCCTCCTCCTGAGATGCTTCTGGGAAGTTAGCATACGTCTTGAGCCTAAGCGAGGGAATCAGCTCTCATCTCGAGACGATTTGGGGTACACGGAGCATTCCTCGAGTTGCTGTGCTGAAGTTGGTGTTCCTCTAGACTTGGGACAGTGTTCTCGGGGCATCTCTGCAGTTGCCTGAAGGAAGTCGAGCCACCGGTCGTGTTGAATGGGGATCGGGGAATGGCTCTGGAGTCAATGCAGGGGAATCGGGCCTCATCTCGAGTTGATTTGGGGCACATGGAGCTGCTTTGCGTTGCTGGGTGACCTCAGGGTCCGTCTAGACTGGTGACAGTGTTCTTGGGGACTGTCTCGAGATCCATTAAGCAAGTCGAAGCTCCTGACTTGTTTGAATGGGATCACGGAATAGCTCTGCATGCACTGCAGGGGAATGGGGCCTCATCTCGCCTCTAGGGGGAAGTCTCATGGTTTTTCTCGAGTTGCGGCAGGGATCTGGGGTATGTTCTCGACTTACGGCGGGGATGGCCCTTCAAAACACGAGTTTCTTCAGTGACGTCAGGACTCCTGTCTAGTAACGAGGGACACCTCAGGAATCTCTTCGAGGCTTGGCAGGGCAAAAGGGACGCTTCTCGAGGTGAGGCAGGGCACCCAAGGACCCTTTCCAGTAGCCACAGGGATTTTGGGATTCCTATCAGTATTCAAGTGGAGTCAGGCATCGTCACCTTTTGAAGCAATGAACTCCGTGTGCCTCTCGAGGTGTAGCGGGATGTGAGGCATTCCGTCAAAATGAGGCAGGGACCTAGGGCTTTCTCTAAGGTCTCCACAGGGGATTCAGACATCCCTTCATGTTGTGAGATGAAAGACGAGCCTGTATTCAAGCCACTGCAAGGAAATCCAGCCTCCTTTCAAGTTAGGGCTTCTCGCTGTATATTCCCCTTGAGGCAGCAAACTCGGGGTCCCTCCCACATACCTATTGCTGAGAGAAGCCTCCTCCTGAGGTGCTTCTGGGAAGTTAGCATACGTCTTGAGCCTAAGCGAGGGAATCAGCTCTCATCTCGAGACGATTTGGGGTACACGGAGCATTCCTCGAGTTGCTGTGCTGAAGTTGGTGTTCCTCTAGACTTGGGACAGTGTTCTCGGGGCATCTCTGCAGTTGCCTGAAGGAAGTCGAGCCACCGGTCGTGTTGAATGGGGATCGGGGAATGGCTCTGGAGTCAATGCAGGGGAATCGGGCCTCATCTCGAGTTGATTTGGGGCACATGGAGCTGCTTTGCGTTGCTGGGTGACCTCAGGGTCCGTCTAGACTGGTGACAGTGTTCTTGGGGACTGTCTCGAGATCCATTAAGCAAGTCGAAGCTCCTGACTTGTTTGAATGGGATCACGGAATAGCTCTGCATGCACTGCAGGGGAATGGGGCCTCATCTCGCCTCTAGGGGGAAGTCTCATGATTTTTCTCAAGTTGCGGCGGGGACCTGGGGTATGTTCTCGACTTACGGCGGGGATGGCCCTTCAAGACACGAGTTTCTTCAGTGACGTCAGGACTCCTGTCTAGTAACGAGGGACACCTCAGGAGTCTCTTCGAGGCTTGGCAGGGCAAAAGGGACGCTTCTCGAGGTGAGGCAGGGCACCCAAGGACCCTTTCCAGTAGCCACAGGGATTTTGGGATTCCTATCAGTATTCAAGAGGAGTCAGGCATCGTCACCTTTTGAAGCAAAGAACTCCGCGTGCCTCTCGAGGTGTCAGCGGGATGTGAGGCATTCCGTCAAAATGAGGCAGGGACCTAGGGCTTTCTCTAAGGTCTCCACAGGGGATTCAGACATCCCTTCATGTTGTGAGATGAAAGACGAGCCTGTATTCAAGCCACTGCAAGGAAATCCGGCCTCCTTTCAAGTTAGGGCTTCTTGCTGTATATTCCCCTTGAGGCAGCAAACTCGGGGTCCCTCCCACATACCTACTGCTGAGAGAAGCCTCCTCCTGAGGTGCTTCTGGGAAGTTGGCATACGTCTTGAGCCTAAGCCTGGGAATCAGCTCTCATCTGGAGACGATTTGGGGTACACGGAGCATTCCTCGAGTTGCTGTGCTGAAGTTGGTGTTCCTCTAGACTTGGGACAGTGTTCTCGGGGCATCTCTGGAGTTGCCTGAAGGAAGTCGAGCCACCGGTCGTGTTGAATGGGGAACGGGGAATGGCTCTGGAGTCAATGCAGGGGAATCGGGCCTCATCTCGAGTTGATTTGGGGCACATGGAGCTGCTTTGCGTTGCTGGGGTGACCTCAGGGTCCGTCTAGACTGGTGACAGTGTTCTTGGGGACTGTCTCGAGATCCATTAAGAAGTCGAAGCTCCTGACTTGTTTGAATGGGATCACGGAATAGCTCTGCATGCACTGCAGGGGAATGGGGCCTCATCTCGCCTCTAGGGGGAAGTCTCATGGTTTTTCTCGAGTTGCGGCAGGGACCTGGGGTATGTTCTCGACTTACGGCGGGGATGGCCCTTCAAAACACGAGTTTCTTCAGTGACGTCAGGACTCCTGTCTAGTAACGAGGGACACCTCAGGAATCTCTTCGAGGCTTGGCAGGGCAAAAGGGATGCTTCTCGAGGTGAGGCAGGGCACCCAAGGACCCTTTCCAGTAGCCACAGGGATTTTGGGATTCCTATCAGTATTCAAGAGGAGTCAGGCATCGTCACCTTTTGAAGCAATGAACTCCGCGTGCCTCTCGAGGTGTAGCGGGATGTGAGGCATTCCGTCAAAATGAGGCAGGGACCTAGGGCTTTCTCTAAGGTCTCCACAGGGGATTCAGACATCCCTTCATGTTGTGAGATGAAAGACGAGCCTGTATTCAAGCCACTGCAAGGAAATCCGGCCTCCTTTCAAGTTAGGGCTTCTCGCTGTATATTCCCCTTGAGGCAGCAAACTCGGGGTCCCTCCCACATACCTATTGCTGAGAGAAGCCTCCTCCTGAGGTGCTTCTGGGAAGTTGGCATACGTCTTGAGCCTAAGCCAGGGAATCAGCTCGCATCTCGATACGATTTGGGGTACACGGAGCATTCCTCAGGTTGCTGTGCTGAAGTTGGTGTTCCTCTAGACTTGGGACAGTGTTCTCGGGGCATCTCTGGAGTTGCCTGAAGGAAGTCGAGCCACCGGTCGTGTTGAATGGGGAACGGGGAGTGGCTCTGGAGTCAATGCAGGGGAATCGGGCCTCATCTCGAGTTGATTTGGGGCACATGGAGCTGCTTTGCGTTGCTGGGTGACCTCAGGGTCCGTCTAGACTGGTGACAGTGTTCTTGGGGACTGTCTCGAGATCCATTAAGCAAGTCGAAGCTCCTGACTTGTTTGAATGGGATCACGGAATAGCTCTGCATGCACTGCAGGGGAATGGGGCCTCATCTCGCCTCTAGGGGGAAGTCTCATGGTTTTTCTCGAGTTGCGGCGGGGACCTGGGGTATGTTCTCGACTTACGGCGGGGATGGCCCTTCAAGACACGAGTTTCTTCAGTGACGTCAGGACTCCTGTCTAGTAACGAGGGACACCTCAGGAATCTCTTCGAGGATTGGCAGGGCAAACGGGACGCTTCTCGAGGTGAGGCAGGGCACCCAAGGACCCTTTCCAGTAGCCACAGGGATTTTGGGATTCCTATCATTATTCAAGAGGAGTCAGGCATCGTCACCTTTGAAGCAATGAACTCCGCGTGCCTCTCGAGGTGTCAGCGGGATGTGAGGCATTCCGTCAAAATGAGGCAGGGACCTAGGGCTTTCTCTAAGGTCTCCACAGGGGATTCAGACATCCCTTCATGTTTTTAGATGAAAGACGAGCCTGTATTCAAGCCACTGCAAGGAAATCCGGCCTCCTTTCAAGTTAGGGCTTCTCGCTGTATATTCCCCTTGAGGCAGCAAACACGGGGTCCCTCCCACATACCTATTGCTGAGAGAAGCCTCCTCCTGAGGTGCTTCTGGGAAGTTGGCATACGTCTTGAGCCTAAGCCAGGGAATCAGCTCTCATCTCGAGACGATTTGGGGTACACGGAGCATTCCTCGAGTTGCTGTGCTGAAGTTGGTGTTCCTCTAGACTTGGGACAGTGTTCTCGGGGCATCTCTGGAGTTGCCTGAAGGAAGTCGAGCCACCGGTCGTGTTGAATGGGGAACGGGGAATGGCTCTGGAGTCAATGCAGGGGAATCGGGCCTCATCTCGAGTTGATTTGGGGCACAAGGAGCTGCTTTGCGTTGCTGGGGTGACCTCAGGGTCCGTCTAGACTGGTGACAGTGTTCTTGGGGACTGTCTCGAGATCCATTAAGCAAGTCGAAGCTCCTGACTTGTTTGAATGGGATCACGGAATAGCTCTGCATGCACTGCAGGGGAATGGGGCCTCATCTCGCCTCTAGGGGGAAGTCTCATGGTTTTTCTCGAGTTGCGGCGGGGACCTGGGGTATGTTCTCGACTTACGGCGGGGATGGCCCTTCAAAACACGAGTTTCTTCAGTGACGTCAGGACTCCTGTCTAGTAACAAGGGACACCTCAGGAATCTCTTCGAGGCTTGGCAGGGCAAAAGGGACGCTTCTCGAGGTGAGGCAGGGCACCCAAGGACCCTTTCCAGTAGCCACAGAGATTTTGGGATTCCTATCAGTATTCAAGAGGAGTCAGGCATCGTCACCTTTTGAAGCAATGAACTCCGCGTGCCTCTCGAGGTGTCAGCGCGATGTGAGGCATTCCGTCAAAATGAGGCAGGGACCTAGGGCTTTCTCTAAGGTCTCCACAGGGGATTCAGACATCCCTTCATGTTGTGAGATGAAAGACGAGCCTGTATTCAAGCCACTGCAAGGAAATCCGGCCTCCTTTCAAGTTAGGGCTTCTCGCTGTATATTCCCCTTGAGGCAGCAAACTCGGGGTCCCTCCCACAAACCTATTGCTGAGAGAAGCCTCCCCCTGAGGTGCTTCTGGGAAGTTGGCATACGTCTTGAGCCTAAGCCAGGGAATCAGCTCTCATCTCGAGACGATTTGGGGTACACGGAGCATTCCTCGAGTTGCTGTGCTGAAGTTGGTGTTCCTCTAGACTTGGGACAGTGTTCTCGGGGCATCTCTGGAGTTGCCTGAAGGAAGTCGAGCCACCGGTCGTGTTGAATGGGGAACGGGGAATGGCTCTGGAGTCAATGCAGGGGAATCGGGCCTCATCTCGAGTTGATTTGGGGCACATGGAGCTGCTTTGCGTTGCTGGGGTGACCTCAGGGTCCGTCTAGACTGGTGACAGTGTTCTTGGGGACTGTCTCGAGATCCATTAAGCAAGTCGAAGCTCCTGACTTGTTTGAATGGGATCACGGAATAGCTCTGCATGCACTGCAGGGGAATGGGGCCTCATCTCGCCTCTAGGGGGAAGTCTCATGGTTTTTCTCGAGTTGCGGCGGGGACCTGGGGTATGTTCTCGACTTACGGCGGGGATGGCCCTTCAAAACACGAGTTTCTTCAGTGACGTCAGGACTCCTGTCTAGTAACGAGGGACACCTCAGGAATCTCTTCGAGGCTTGGCAGGGCAAAAGGGACGCTTCTCGAGGTGAGGCAGGGCACCCAAGGACCCTTTCCAGTAGCCACAGGGATTTTGGGATTCCTATCAGTATTCAAGAGGAGTCAGGCATCGTCACCTTTTGAAGCAATGAACTCCGCGTGCCTCTCGAGGTGTCAGCGCGATGTGAGGCATTCCGTCAAAATGAGGCAGGGACCTAGGCCTTTCTCTAAGGTCTCCACAGGGGATTCAGACATCCCTTCATGTTGTGAGATGAAAGACGAGCCTGTATTCAAGCCACTGCAAGGAAATCCGGCCTCCTTTCAAGTTAGGGCTTCTCGCTGTGTATTCCCCTTGAGGCAGCAAACTCGGGGTCCCTCGCACATACCTATTGCTGAGAGAAGCCTCCTCCTGAGGTGCTTCTGGGAAGTTGGCATACGTCTTGAGCCTAAGCCAGGGAATCAGCTCTCATCTCGAGACGATTTGGGGTACACGGAGCATTCCTCGAGTTGCTGTGCTGAAGTTGGTGTTCCTCTAGACTTGGGACAGTGTTCTCGGGGCATCTCTGGAGTTGCCTGAAGGAAGTCGAGCCACCGGTCGTGTTGAATGGGGAACGGGGAATGGCTCTGGAGTCAATGCAGGGGAATCGGGCCTCATCTCGAGTTGATTTGGGGCACATGGAGCTGCTTTGCGTTGCTGGGGTGACCTCAGGGTCGGTCTAGACTGGTGACAGTGTTCTTGGGGACTGTCTCGAGATCCATTAAGCAAGTCGAAGCTCCTGACTTGTTTGAATGGGATCACGGAATAGCTCTGCATGCACTGCAGGGGAATGGGGCCTCATCTCGCCTCTAGTGGGAAGTCTCATGGTTTTTCTCGAGTTGCGGCGGGGACCTGGGGTATGTTCTCGACTTACGGCGGGGATGGCCCTTCAAAACACGAGTTTCTTCAGTGACGTCAGGACTCCTGTCTAGTAACGAGGGACACCTCAGGAATCTCTTCGAGGCTTGGCAGGGCAAAAGGGACGCTTCTCGAGGTGAGGCAGGGCACCCAAGGACCCTTTCCAGTAGCCACAGGGATTTTGGGATTCCTATCAGTATTCAAGAGGAGTCAGGCATCGTCACCTTTTGAAGCAATGAACTCCGCGTGCCTCTCGAGGTGTCAGCGGGATGTGAGGCATTCCGTCAAAATGAGGCAGGGACCTAGGGCTTTCTCTAAGGTCTCCACAGGGGATTCAGACATCCCTTCATGTTGTGAGATGAAAGACGAGCCTGTATTCAAGCCACTGCAAGGAAATCCGGCCTCCTTTCAAGTTAGGGCTTCTCGCTGTATATTCCCCTTGAGGCAGCAAACTCGGGGTCCCTCCCACATACCTATTGCTGAGAGAAGCCTCCTCCTGAGGTGCTTCTGGGAAGTTGGCATACGTCTTGAGCCTAAGCCAGGGAATCAGCTCTCATCTCGAGACGATTTGGGGTACACGGAGCATTCCTCGAGTTGCTGTGCTGAAGTTGGTGTTCCTCTAGACTTGGGACAGTGTTCTCGGGTCATCTCTGGAGTTGCCTGAAGGAAGTCGAGCCACCGGTCGTGTTGAATGGGGAACGGGGAATGGCTCTGGAGTCAATGCAGGGGAATCGGGCCTCATCTCGAGTTGATTTGGGGCACATGGAGCTGCTTTGCGTTGCTGGGGTGACCTCAGGGTCCGTCTAGACTGGTGACAGTGTTCTTGGGGACTGTCTCGAGATCCATTAAGCAAGTCGAAGCTCCTGACTTGTTTGAATGGGATCACGGAATAGCTCTGCATGCACTGCAGGGGAATGGGGCCTCATCTCGCCTCTAGGGGGAAGTCTCATGGTTTTTCTCGAGTTGCGGCGGGGACCTGGGGTATGTTCTCGACTTACGGCGGGGATGGCCCTTCAAAACACGAGTTTCTTCAGTGACGTCAGGACTCCTGTCTAGTAACGAGGGACACCTCAGGAATCTCTTCGAGGCTTGGCAGGGCAAAAGGGACGCTTCTCGAGGTGAGGCAGGGCACCCAAGGACCCTTTCCAGTAGCCACAGGGATTTTGGGATTCCTATCAGTATTCAAGAGGAGTCAGGCATCGTCACCTTTTGAAGCAATGAACTCCGCGTGCCTCTCGAGGTTTCAGCGCGATGTGAGGCATTCCGTCAAAATGAGGCAGGGACCTAGGGCTTTCTCTAAGGTCTCCACAGGGGATTCAGACATCCCTTCATGTTGTGAGATGAAAGACGAGCCTGTATTCAAGCCACTGCAAGGAAATCCGGCCTCCTTTCAAGTTAGGGCTTCTCGCTGTATATTCCCCTTGAGGCAGCAAACTCGGGGTCCCTCCCACATACATATTGCTGAGAGAAGCCTCCTCCTGAGGTGCTTCTGGGAAGTTGGCATATGTCTTGAGCCTAAACCAGGGAATCAGCTCTCATCTCGAGACGATTTGGGGTACACGGAGCATTCCTCGAGTTGCTGTGCTGAAGTTGGTGTTCCTCTAGACTTGGGACAGTGTTCTCGGGGCATCTCTGGAGTTGCCTGAAGGAAGTCGAGCCACCGGTCGTGTTGAATGCGGAACGGGGAATGGCTCTGGAGTCAATGCAGGGGAATCGGGCCTCATCTCGAGTTGATTTGGGGCACATGGAGCTGCTTTGCGTTGCTGGGGTGACCTCAGGGTCCGTCTAGACTGGTGACAGTGTTCTTGGGGACTGTCTCGAGATCCATTAAGCAAGTCGAAGCTCCTGACTTGTTTCAATGGGATCACGGAATAGCTCTGCATGCACTGCAGGGGAATGGGGCCTCATCTCGCCTCTAGGGGGAAGTCTCATGGTTTTTCTCGAGTTGCGGCGGGGACCTGGGGTATGTTCTCGACTTACGGCGGGGATGGCCCTTCAAAACACGAGTTTCTTCAGTGACGTCAGGACTCCTGTCTAGTAACGAGGGACACCTCAGGAATCTCTTCGAGGCTTGGCAGGGCAAAAGGGACGCTTCTCGAGGTGAGGCAGGGCACCCAAGGACCCTTTCCAGTAGCCACAGGGATTTTGGGATTCCTATCAGTATTCAAGAGGAGTCAGGCATCGTCACCTTTTGAAGCAATGAACTCCGCGTGCCTCTCGAGGTGTCAGCGCGATGTGAGGCATTCCGTCAAAATGAGGCAGGGACCTAGGGCTTTCTCTAAGGTCTCCACAGGGGATTCAGACATCCCTTCATGTTGTGAGATGAAAGACGAGCCTGTATTCAAGCCACTGCAAGGAAATCCGGCCTCCTTTCAAGTTAGGGCTGCTCGCTGTATATTCCCCTTGAGGCAGCAAACTCGGGGTCCCTCCCACAAACCTATTGCTGAGAGAAGCCTCCTCCTGAGGTGCTTCTGGGAAGTTGGCATACGTCTTGAGCCTAAGCCAGGGAATCAGCTCTCATCTCGAGATGATTTGGGGTACACGGAGCATTCCTCGCGTTGCTGTGCTGAAGTTGGTGTTCCTCTAGACTTGGGACAGTGTTCTCGGGGCATCTCTGGAGTTGCCTGAAGGAAGTCGAGCCACCGGTCGTGTTGAATGGGGAACGGGGAATGGCTCTGGAGTCAATGCAGGGGAATCGGGCCTCATCTCGAGTTGATTTGGGGCACATGGAGCTGCTTTGCGTTGCTGGGGTGACCTCAGGGTCCGTCTAGACTGGTGACAGTGTTCTTGGGGACTGTCTCGAGATCCATTAAGCAAGTCGAAGCTCCTGACTTGTTTGAATGGGATCACGGAATAGCTCTGCATGCACTGCAGGGGAATGGGGCCTCATCTCGCCTCTAGGGGGAAGTCTCATGGTTTTTCTCGAGTTGCGGCGGGGACCTGGGGTATGTTCTCGACTTACGGCGGGGATGGCCCTTCAAAACACGAGTTTCTTCAGTGACGTCAGGACTCCTGTCTAGTAACGAGGGACACCTCAGGAATCTCTTCGAGGCTTGGCAGGCAAAAGGGACGCTTCTCGAGGTGAGGCAGGGCACCCAAGGACCCTTTCCAGTAGCCACAGGGATTTTGGGATTCCTATCAGTATTCAAGAGGAGTCAGGCATCGTCACCTTTTGAAGCAATGAACTCCGCGTGCCTCTCGAGGTGTCAGCAGGATGTGAGGCATTCCGTCAAAATGAGGCAGGGACCTAGGGCTTTCTCTAAGGTCTCCACTGGGGATTCACACATCCCTTCATGTTGTGAGATGAAAGACGAGCCTGTATTCAAGCCACTGCAAGGAAATCCGGCCTCCTTTCAAGTTAGGGCTTCTCGCTGTATATTCCCCTTGAGGCAGCAAACTCGGGGTCCCTCCCACATACCTATTGCTGAGAGAAGCCTCCTCCTGAGGTGCCTCTGGGAAGTTGGCATACGTCTTGAGCCTAAGCCAGGGAATCAGCTCTCATCTCGAGACGATTTGGGGTACACGGAGCATTCCTCGAGTTGCTGTGCTGAAGTTGGTGTTCCTCTAGACTTGGGACAGTGTTCTCGGGGCATCTATGGAGTTGCCTGAAGGAAGTCGAGCCACCGGTCGTGTTGAATGGGGAACGGGGAATGGCTCTGGAGTCAATGCAGGGGAATCGGGCCTCATCTCGAGTTGATTTGGGGCACATGGAGCTGCTTTGCGTTGCTGGGGTGACCTCAGGGTCCGTCTAGACTGGTGACAGTGTTCTTGGGGACTGTCTCGAGATCCATTAAGCAAGTCGAAGCTCCTGACTTGTTTGAATGGGATCACGGAATAGCTCTGCATGCACTGCAGGGGAATGGGGCCTCATCTCGCCTCTAGGGGGAAGTCTCATGGTTTTTCTCGAGTTGCGGCGGGGACCTGGGGTATGTTCTCGACTTACGGCGGGGATGGCCCTTCAAAACACGAGTTTCTTCAGTGACGTCAGGACTCCTGTCTAGTAACGAGGGACACCTCAGGAATCTCTTCGAGGCTTGGCAGGGCAAAAGGGACGCTTCTCGAGGTGAGGCAGGGCACCCAAGGACCCTTTCCAGTAGCCACAGGGATTTTGGGATTCCTATCAGTATTCAAGAGGAGTCAGGCATCGTCACCTTTTGAAGCAATGAACTCCGCGTGCCTCTCGAGGTTTCAGCGCGATGTGAGGCATTCCGCCAAAATGAGGCAGGGACCTAGGGCTTTCTCTAAGGTCTCCACAGGGGATTCAGACATCCCTTCATGTTGTGAGATGAAAGACGAGCCTGTATTCAAGCCACTGCAAGGAAATCCGGCCTCCTTTCAAGTTAGGGCTTCTCGCTGTATATTCCCCTTGAGGCAGCAAACTCGGGGTCTCTCCCACATACATATTGCTGAGAGAAGCCTCCTCCTGAGGTGCTTCTGGGAAGTTGGCATACGTCTTGAGCCTAAACCAGGGAATCAGCTCGCATCTCGAGACGATTTGGGGTACACGGAGCATTCCTCGAGTTGCTGTGCTGAAGTTGGTGTTCCTCTAGACTTGGGACAGTGTTCTCGGGGCATCTCTGGAGTTGCCTGAAGGAAGTCGAGCCACCGGTCGTGTTGAATGTGGAACGGGGAATGGCTCTGGAGTCAATGCAGGGGAATCGGGCCTCATCTCGAGTTGATTTGGGGCACATGGAGCTGCTTTGCGTTGCTGGGGTGACCTCAGGGTCCGTCTAGACTGGTGACAGTGTTCTTGGGGACTGTCTCGAGATCCATTAAGCAAGTCGAAGCTCCTGACTTGTTTGAATGGGATCACGGAATAGCTCTGCATGCACTGCAGGGGAATGGGGCCTCATCTCGCCTCTAGGGGGAAGTCTCATGGTTTTTCTCGAGTTGCGGCGGGGACCTGGGGTATGTTCTCGACTTACGGCGGGGATGGCCCTTCAAAACACGAGTTTCTTCAGTGACGTCAGGACTCCTGTCTAGTAACGAGGGACACCTCAGGAATCTCTTCGAGGCTTGGCAGGGCAAAAGGGACGCTTCTCGAGGTGAGGCAGGGCACCCAAGGACCCTTTCCAGTAGCCACAGGGATTTTGGGATTCCTATCAGTATTCAAGAGGAGTCAGGCATCGTCACCTTTTGAAGCAATGAACTCCGCGTGCCTCTCGAGGTGTCAGCGCGATGTGAGGCATTCCGTCAAAATGAGGCAGGGACCTAGGGCTTTCTCTAAGGTCTCCACAGGGGATTCAGACATCCCTTCATGTTGTGAGATGAAAGACGAGCCTGTATTCAAGCCACTGCAAGGAAATCCGGCCTCCTTTCAAGTTAGGGCTGCTCGCTGTATATTCCCCTTGAGGCAGCAAACTCGGGGTCCCTCCCACAAACCTATTGCTGAGAGAAGCCTCCTCCTGAGGTGCTTCTGGGAAGTTGGCATACGTCTTGAGCCTAAGCCAGGGAATCAGCTCTCATCTCGAGATGATTTGGGGTACACGGAGCATTCCTCGCGTTGCTGTGCTGAAGTTGGTGTTCCTCTAGACTTGGGACAGTGTTCTCGGGGCATCTCTGGAGTTGCCTGAAGGAAGTCGAGCCACCGGTCGTGTTGAATGGGGAACGGGGAATGGCTCTGGAGTCAATGCAGGGGAATCGGGCCTCATCTCGAGTTGATTTGGGGCACATGGAGCTGCTTTGCGTTGCTGGGGTGACCTCAGGGTCCGTCTAGACTGGTGACAGTGTTCTTGGGGACTGTCTCGAGATCCATTAAGCAAGTCGAAGCTCCTGACTTGTTTGAATGGGATCACGGAATAGCTCTGCATGCACTGCAGGGGAATGGGGCCTCATCTCGCCTCTAGGGGGAAGTCTCATGGTTTTTCTCGAGTTGCGGCGGGGACCTGGGGTATGTTCTCGACTTACGGCGGGGATGGCCCTTCAAAACACGAGTTTCTTCAGTGACGTCAGGACTCCTGTCTAGTAACGAGGGACACCTCAGGAATCTCTTCGAGGCTTGGCAGGCAAAAGGGACGCTTCTCGAGGTGAGGCAGGGCACCCAAGGACCCTTTCCAGTAGCCACAGGGATTTTGGGATTCCTATCAGTATTCAAGAGGAGTCAGGCATCGTCACCTTTTGAAGCAATGAACTCCGCGTGCCTCTCGAGGTGTCAGCAGGATGTGAGGCATTCCGTCAAAATGAGGCAGGGACCTAGGGCTTTCTCTAAGGTCTCCACTGGGGATTCACACATCCCTTCATGTTGTGAGATGAAAGACGAGCCTGTATTCAAGCCACTGCAAGGAAATCCGGCCTCCTTTCAAGTTAGGGCTTCTCGCTGTATATTCCCCTTGAGGCAGCAAACTCGGGGTCCCTCCCACATACCTATTGCTGAGAGAAGCCTCCTCCTGAGGTGCCTCTGGGAAGTTGGCATACGTCTTGAGCCTAAGCCAGGGAATCAGCTCTCATCTCGAGACGATTTGGGGTACACGGAGCATTCCTCGAGTTGCTGTGCTGAAGTTGGTGTTCCTCTAGACTTGGGACAGTGTTCTCGGGGCATCTATGGAGTTGCCTGAAGGAAGTCGAGCCACCGGTCGTGTTGAATGGGGAACGGGGAATGGCTCTGGAGTCAATGCAGGGGAATCGGGCCTCATCTCGAGTTGATTTGGGGCACATGGAGCTGCTTTGCGTTGCTGGGGTGACCTCAGGGTCCGTCTAGACTGGTGACAGTGTTCTTGGGGACTGTCTCGAGATCCATTAAGCAAGTCGAAGCTCCTGACTTGTTTGAATGGGATCACGGAATAGCTCTGCATGCACTGCAGGGGAATGGGGCCTCATCTCGCCTCTAGGGGGAAGTCTCATGGTTTTTCTCGAGTTGCGGCGGGGACCTGGGGTATGTTCTCGACTTACGGCGGGGATGGCCCTTCAAAACACGAGTTTCTTCAGTGACGTCAGGACTCCTGTCTAGTAACGAGGGACACCTCAGGAATCTCTTCGAGGCTTGGCAGGGCAAAAGGGACGCTTCTCGAGGTGAGGCAGGGCACCCAAGGACCCTTTCCAGTAGCCACAGGGATTTTGGGATTCCTATCAGTATTCAAGAGGAGTCAGGCATCGTCACCTTTTGAAGCAATGAACTCCGCGTGCCTCTCGAGGTTTCAGCGCGATGTGAGGCATTCCGCCAAAATGAGGCAGGGACCTAGGGCTTTCTCTAAGGTCTCCACAGGGGATTCAGACATCCCTTCATGTTGTGAGATGAAAGACGAGCCTGTATTCAAGCCACTGCAAGGAAATCCGGCCTCCTTTCAAGTTAGGGCTTCTCGCTGTATATTCCCCTTGAGGCAGCAAACTCGGGGTCTCTCCCACATACATATTGCTGAGAGAAGCCTCCTCCTGAGGTGCTTCTGGGAAGTTGGCATACGTCTTGAGCCTAAACCAGGGAATCAGCTCGCATCTCGAGACGATTTGGGGTACACGGAGCATTCCTCGAGTTGCTGTGCTGAAGTTGGTGTTCCTCTAGACTTGGGACAGTGTTCTCGGGGCATCTCTGGAGTTGCCTGAAGGAAGTCGAGCCACCGGTCGTGTTGAATGTGGAACGGGGAATGGCTCTGGAGTCAATGCAGGGGAATCGGGCCTCATCTCGAGTTGATTTGGGGCACATGGAGCTGCTTTGCGTTGCTGGGGTGACCTCAGGGTCCGTCTAGACTGGTGACAGTGTTCTTGGGGACTGTCTCGAGATCCATTAAGCAAGTCGAAGCTCCTGACTTGTTTGAATGGGATCACGGAATAGCTCTGCATGCACTGCAGGGGAATGGGGCCTCATCTCGCCTCTAGGGGGAAGTCTCATGGTTTTTCTCGAGTTGCGGCGGGGACCTGGGGTATGTTCTCGACTTACGGCGGGGATGGCCCTTCAAAACACGAGTTTCTTCAGTGACGTCAGGACTCCTGTCTAGTAACGAGGGACACCTCAGGAATCTCTTCGAGGCTTGGCAGGGCAAAAGGGACGCTTCTCGAGGTGAGGCAGGGCACCCAAGGACCCTTTCCAGTAGCCACAGGGATTTTGGGATTCCTATCAGTATTCAAGAGGAGTCAGGCATCGTCACCTTTTGAAGCAATGAACTCCGCGTGCCTCTCGAGGTGTCAGCGCGATGTGAGGCATTCCGTCAAAATGAGGCAGGGACCTAGGGCTTTCTCTAAGGTCTCCACAGGGGATTCAGACATCCCTTCATGTTGTGAGATGAAAGACGAGCCTGTATTCAAGCCACTGCAAGGAAATCCGGCCTCCTTTCAAGTTGGGGCTTCTCGCTGTATATTCCCCTTGAGGCAGCAAACTCGGGGTCCCTCCCACAAACCTATTGCTGAGAGAAGCCTCCTCCTGAGGTGCTTCTGGGAAGTTGGCATACGTCTTGAGCCTAAGCCAGGGAATCAGCTCTCATCTCGAGATGATTTGGGGTACACGGAGCATTCCTCGCGTTGCTGTGCTGAAGTTGGTGTTCCTCTAGACTTGGGACAGTGTTCTCGGGGCATCTCTGGAGTTGCCTGAAGGAAGTCGAGCCACCGGTCGTGTTGAATGGGGAACGGGGAATGGCTCTGGAGTCAATGCAGGGGAATCGGGCCTCATCTCGAGTTGATTTGGGGCACATGGAGCTGCTTTGCGTTGCTGGGGTGACCTCAGGGTCCGTCTAGACTGGTGACAGTGTTCTTGGGGACTGTCTCGAGATCCATTAAGCAAGTCGAAGCTCCTGACTTGTTTGAATGGGATCACGGAATAGCTCTGCATGCACTGCAGGGGAATGGGGCCTCATCTCGCCTCTAGGGGGAAGTCTCATGGTTTTTCTCGAGTTGCGGCGGGGACCTGGGGTATGTTCTCGACTTACGGCGGGGATGGCCCTTCAAAACACGAGTTTCTTCAGTGACGTCAGGACTCCTGTCTAGTAACGAGGGACACCTCAGGAATCTCTTTGAGGCTTGGCAGGCAAAAGGGACGCTTCTCGAGGTGAGGCAGGGCACCCAAGGACCCTTTCCAGTAGCCACAGGGATTTTGGGATTCCTATCAGTATTCAAGAGGAGTCAGGCATCGTCACCTTTTGAAGCAATGAACTCCGCGTGCCTCTCGAGGTGTCAGCAGGATGTGAGGCATTCCGTCAAAATGAGGCAGGGACCTAGGGCTTTCTCTAAGGTCTCCACTGGGGATTCACACATCCCTTCATGTTGTGAGATGAAAGACGAGCCTGTATTCAAGCCACTGCAAGGAAATCCGGCCTCCTTTCAAGTTAGGGCTTCTCGCTGTATATTCCCCTTGAGGCAGCAAACTCGGGGTCCCTCCCACATACCTATTGCTGAGAGAAGCCTCCTCCTGAGGTGCCTCTGGGAAGTTGGCATACGTCTTGAGCCTAAGCCAGGGAATCAGCTCTCATCTCGAGACGATTTGGGGTACACGGAGCATTCCTCGAGTTGCTGTGCTGAAGTTGCTGTTCCTCTAGACTTGGGACAGTGTTCTCGGGGCATCTCTGGAGTTGCCTGAAGGAAGTCGAGCCACCGGTCGTGTTGAATGGGGAACGGGGAATGGCTCTGGAGTCAATGCAGGGGAATCGGGCCTCATCTCGAGTTGATTTGGGGCACATGGAGCTGCTTTGCGTTGCTGGGGTGACCTCAGGGTCCGTCTAGACTGGTGACAGTGTTCTTGGGGACCGTCTCGAGATCCATTAAGCAAGTCGAAGCTCCTGACTTGTTTGAATGGGATCACGGAATAGCTCTGCATGCACTGCAGGGGAATGGGGCCTCATCTCGCCTCTAGGGGGAAGTCTCATGGTTTTTCTCGAGTTGCGGCGGGGACCTGGGGTATGTTCTCGACTTACGGCGGGGATGGCCCTTCAAAACACGAGTTTCTTCAGTGACGTCAGGACTCCTGTCTAGTAACGAGGGACACCTCAGGAATCTCTTCGAGGCTTGGCAGGGCAAAAGGGACGCTTCTCGAGGTGAGGCAGGGCACCCAAGGACCCTTTCCAGTAGCCACAGGGATTTTGGGATTCCTATCAGTATTCAAGAGGAGTCAGGCATCGTCACCTTTTGAAGCAATGAACTCCGCGTGCCTCTCGAGGTGTCAGCGCGATGTGAGGCATTCCGTCAAAATGAGGCAGGGACCTAGGGCTTTCTCTAAGGTCTCCACAGGGGATTCAGACATCCCTTCATGTTGTGAGATGAAAGACGAGCCTGTATTCAAGCCACTGCAAGGAAATCCGGCCTCCTTTCAAGTTAGGGCTTCTCGCTGTATATTCCCCTTGAGGCAGCAAACTCGGGGTCCCTCCCACAAACCTATTGCTGAGAGAAGCCTCCTCCTGAGGTGCTTCTGGGAAGTTGGCATACGTCTTGAGCCTAAGCCAGGGAATCAGCTCGCATCTCGAGACGATTTGGGGTACACGGAGCATTCCTCGAGTTGCTGTGCTGAAGTTGGTGTTCCTCTAGACTTGGGACAGTGTTCTCGGGGCATCTCTGGAGTTGCCTGAAGGAAGTCGAGCCACCGGTCGTGTTGAATGGGGAACGGGGAATGGCTCTGGAGTCAATGCAGGGGAATCGGGCCTCATCTCGAGTTGATTTGGGGCACATGGAGCTGCTTTGCGTTGCTGGGGTGACCTCAGGGTCCGTCTAGACTGGTGACAGTGTTCTTGGGGACTGTCTCGAGATCCATTAAGCAAGTCGAAGCTCCTGACTTGTTTGAATGGGATCACGGAATAGCTCTGCATGCACTGCAGGGGAATGGGGCCTCATCTCGCCTCTAGGGGGAAGTCTCATGGTTTTTCTCGAGTTGCGGCGGGGACCTGGGGTATGTTCTCGACTTACGGCGGGGATGGCCCTTCAAAACACGAGTTTCTTCAGTGACGTCAGGACTCCTGTCTAGTAACGAGGGACACCTCAGGAATCTCTTCGAGGCTTGGCAGGGCAAAAGGGACGCTTCTCGAGGTGAGGCAGGGCACCCAAGGACCCTTTCCAGTAGCCACAGGGATTTTGGGATTCCTATCAGTATTCAAGAGGAGTCAGGCATCGTCACCTTTTGAAGCAATGAACTCCGCGTGCCTCTCGAGGTGTCAGCGGGATGTGAGGCATTCCGTCAAAATGAGGCAGGGACCTAGGGCTTTCTCTAAGGTCTCCACAGGGGATTCAGACATCCCTTCATGTTGTGAGATGAAAGACGAGCCTGTATTCAAGCCACTGCAAGGAAATCCGGCCTCCTTTCAAGTTAGGGCTTCTCGCTGTATATTCCCCTTGAGGCAGCAAACTCGGGGTCCCTCCCACAAACCTATTGCTGAGAGAAGCCTCCTCCTGAGGTGCTTCTGGGAAGTTGGCATACGTCTTGAGCCTAAGCCAGGGAATCAGCTCTCATCTCGAGACGATTTGGGGTACACGGAGCATTCCTCGAGTTGCTGTGCTGAAGTTGGTGTTCCTCTAGACTTGGGACAGTGTTCTCGGGGCATCTCTGGAGTTGCCTGAAGGAAGTCGAGCCACCGGTCGTGTTGAATGGGGAACGGGGAATGGCTCTGGAGTCAATGCAGGGGAATCGGGCCTCATCTCGAGTTGATTTGGGGCACATGGGGCTGCTTTGCGTTGCTGGGGTGACCTCAGGGTCCGTCTAGACTGGTGACAGTGTTCTTGGGGACTGTCTCGAGATCCATTAAGCAAGTCGAAGCTCCTGACTTGTTTGAATGGGATCACGGAATAGCTCTGCATGCACTGCAGGGGAATGGGGCCTCATCTCGCCTCTAGGGGGAAGTCTCATGGTTTTTCTCGTGTTGCGGCGGGGACCTGGGGTATGTTCTCGACTTACGGCGGGGATGGCCCTTCAAAACACGAGTTTCTTCAGTGACGTCAGGACTCCTGTCTAGTAACGAGGGACACCTCAGGAATCTCTTCGAGGCTTGGCAGGGAAAAAGGGACGCTTCTCGAGGTGAGGCAGGGCACCCAAGGACCCTTTCCAGTAGCCACAGGGATTTTGGGATTTCTATCAGTATTCAAGAGGAGTCAGGCATCGTCACCTTTTGAAGCAATGAACTCCGCGTGCCTCTCGAGGTGTCAGCGGGATGTGAGGCATTCCGTCAAAATGAGGCAGGGACCTAGGGCTTTCTCTAAGGTCTCCACAGGGGATTCAGACATCCCTTCATGTTGTGAGATGAAAGACGAGCCTGTATTCAAGCCACTGCAAGGAAATCCGGCCTCCTTTCAAGTTAGGGCTTCTCGCTGTATATTCCCCTTGAGGCAGCAAACTCGGGGTCCCTCCCACATACCTATTGCTGAGAGAAGCCTCCTCCTGAGGTGCTTCTGGGAAGTTGGCATACGTCTTGAGCCTAAGCCAGGGAATCAGCTCTCATCTCGAGACGATTTGGGGTACACGGAGCATTCCTCGAGTTGCTGTGCTGAAGTTGGTGTTCCTCTAGACTTGGGACAGTGTTCTCGGGGCATCTCTGGAGTTGCCTGAAGGAAGTCGAGCCACCGGTCGTGTTGAATGGGGAACGGGGAATGGCTCTGGAGTCAATGCAGGGGAATCGGGCCTCATCTCGAGTTGATTTGGGGCACATGGAGCTGCTTTGCGTTGCTGGGGTGACCTCAGGGTCCGTCTAGACTGGTGACAGTGTTCTTGGGGACTGTCTCGAGATCCATTAAGCAAGTCGAAGCTCCTGACTTGTTTGAATGGGATCACGGAATAGCTCTGCATGCACTGCAGGGGAATGGGGCCTCATCTCGCCTCTAGGGGGAAGTCTCATGGTTTTTCTCGAGTTGCGGCGGGGACCTGGGGTATGTTCTCGACTTACGGCGGGGATGGCCCTTCAAAACACGAGTTTCTTCAGTGACGTCAGGACTCCTGTCTAGTAACGAGGGACACCTCAGGAATCTCTTCGAGGCTTGGCAGGGCAAAAGGGACGCTTCTCAAGGTGAGGCAGGGCACCCAAGGACCCTTTCCAGTAGCCACAGGGATTTTGGGATTCCTATCAGTATTCAAGGGGAGTCAGGCATCGTCACCTTTTGAAGCAATGAACTCCGCGTGCCTCTCGAGGTGTCAGCGGGATGTGAGGCATTCCGTCAAAATGAGGCAGGGACCTAGGGCTTTCTCTAAGGTCTCCACAGGGGATTCAGACATCCCTTCATGTTGTGAGATGAAAGACGAGCCTGTATTCAAGCCACTGCAAGGAAATCCGGCCTCCTTTCAAGTTAGGGCTTCTCGCTGTATATTCCCCTTGAGGCAGCAAACTCGGGGTCCCTCCCACATACTTATTGCTGAGAGAAGCCTCCTCCTGAGGTGCTTCTGGGAAGTTGGCATACGTCTTGAGCCTAAGCCAGGGAATCAGCTCTCATCTCGAGACGATTTGGGGTACACGGAGCATTCCTCGAGTTGCTGTGCTGAAGTTGGTGTTCCTCTAGACTTGGGACAGTGTTCTCGGGGCATCTCTGGAGTTGCCTGAAGGAAGTCGAGCCACCGGTCGTGTGGAATGGGGAACGGGGAATGGCTCTGGAGTCAATGCAGGGGAATCGGGCCTCATCTCGAGTTGATGTGGGGCACATGGACCTGCTTTGCGTTGCTGGGGTGACCTCAGGGTCCGTCTAGACTGGTGACAGTGTTCTTGGGGACTGTCTCGAGATCCATTAAGCAAGTCGAAGCTCCTGACTTGTTTGAATGGGATCACGGAATAGCTCTGCATGCACTGCAGGGGAATGGGGCCTCATCTCGCCTCTAGGGGGAAGTCTCATGGTTTTTCTCGAGTTGCGGCGGGGACCTGGGGTATGTTCTCGACTTACGGCGAGGATGGCCCTTCAAGACACGAGTTTCTTCAGTGACGTCAGGACTCCTGTCTAGTAACGAGGGACACCTCAGGAATCTCTTCGAGGCTTGGCAGGGCAAAAGGGACGCTTCTCGAGGTGAGGCAGGGCACCCAAGGACCCTTTCCAGTAGCCACAGGGATTTTGGGATTCCTATCAGTATTCAAGAGGAGTCAGGCATCGTCACCTTTTGAAGCAATGAACTCCGCGTGCCTCTCGAGGTGTCAGCGCGATGTGAGGCATTCCGTCAAAATGAGGCAGGGACCTAGGGCTCTCTCTAAGGTCTCAACAGGGGATTCAGACATCCCTTCATGTTGTGAGATGAAAGACGAGCCTGTATTCAAGCCACTGCAAGGAAATCCGGCCTCCTTTCAAGTTAGGGCTTCTCGCTGTATATTCCCCTTGAGGCAGCAAACTCGGGGTCCCTCCCACATACCTATTGCTGAGAGAAGCCTCCTCCTGAGGTGCTTCTGGGAAGTTGGCATACGTCTTGAGCCTAAGCCAGGGAATCAGCTCTCATCTCGAGACGATTTGGGGTACACGGAGCATTCCTCGAGTTGCTGTGCTGAAGTTGCTGTTCCTCTAGACTTGGGACAGTGTTCTCGGGGCATCTCTGGAGTTGCCTGAAGGAAGTCGAGCCACCGGTCGTGTTGAATGGGGAACGGGGAATGGCTCTGGAGTCAATGCAGGGGAATCGGGCCTCATCTCGAGTTGATTTGGGGCACATGGGGCTGCTTTGCGTTGCTGGGGTGACCTCAGGGTCCGTCTAGACTGGTGACAGTGTTCTTGGGGACTGTCTCGAGATCCATTAAGCAAGTCGAAGCTCCTGACTTGTTTGAATGGGATCACGGAATAGCTCTGCATGCACTGCAGGGGAATGGGGCCTCATCTCGCCTCTAGGGGGAAGTCTCATGGTTTTTCTCGAGTTGCGGCGGGGACCTGGGGTATGTTCTCGACTTACGGCGGGGATGGCCCTTCAAAACACGAGTTTCTTCAGTGACGTCAGGACTCCTGTCTAGTAACGAGGGACACCTCAGGAATCTCTTCGAGGCTTGGCAGGGCAAAAGGGACGCTTCTCGAGGTGAGGCAGGGCACCCAAGGACCCTTTCCAGTAGCCACAGGGATTTTGGGATTCCTATCAGTATTCAAGAGGAGTCAGGCATCGTCACCTTTTGAAGCAATGAACTCCGCGTGCCTCTCGAGGTGTCAGCGCGATGTGAGGCATTCCGTCAAAATGAGGCAGGGACCTAGGTCTTTCTCTAAGGTCTCCACAGGGGATTCAGACATCCCTTCATGTTGTGAGATGAAAGACGAGCCTGTATTCAAGCCACTGCAAGGAAATCCGGCCTCCTTTCAAGTTAGGGCTTCTCGCTGTATATTCCCCTTGAGGCAGCAAACTCGGGGTCCCTCCCACAAACCTATTGCTGAGAGAAGCCTCCTCCTGAGGTGCTTCTGGGAAGTTGGCATACGTCTTGAGCCTAAGCCAGGGAATCAGCTCTCATCTCGAGATGATTTCGGGTACACGGAGCATTCCTCGAGTTGCTGTGCTGAAGTTGGTGTTCCTCTAGACTTGGGACAGTGTTCTCGGGGCATCTCTGGAGTTGCCTGAAGGAAGTCGAGCCACCGGTCGTGTTGAATGGGGAACGGGGAATGGCTCTGGAGTCAATGCAGGGGAATCGGGCCTCATCTCGAGTTGATTTGGGGCACATGGAGCTGCTTTGCGTTGCTGCGGTGACCTCAGGGTCCGTCTAGACTGGTGACAGTGTTCTTGGGGACTGTCTCGAGATCCATTAAGCAAGTCGAAGCTCCTGACTTGTTTGAATGGGATCACGGAATAGCTCTGCATGCACTGCAGGGGAATGGGGCCTCATCTCGCCTCTAGGGGGAAGTCTCATGGTTTTTCTCGAGTTGCGGCGGGGACCTGGGGTATGTTCTCGACTTACGGCGGGGATGGCCCTTCAAAACACGAGTTTCTTCAGTGACGTCAGGACTCCTGTCTAGTAACGAGGGACACCTCAGGAATCTCTTCGAGGCTTGGCAGGGCAAAAGGGACGCTTCTCGAGGTGAGGCAGGGCACCCAAGGACCCTTTCCAGTAGCCACAGGGATTTTGGGATTCCTATCAGTATTCAAGGGGAGTCAGGCATCGTCACCTTTTGAAGCAATGAACTCCGCGTGCCTCTCGAGGTGTCAGCGGGATGTGAGGCATTCCGTCAAAATGAGGCAGGGACCTAGGGCTTTCTCTAAGGTCTCCACAGGGGATTCAGACATCCCTTCATGTTGTGAGATGAAAGACGAGCCTGTATTCAAGCCACTGCAAGGAAATCCGGCCTCCTTTCAAGTTAGGGCTTCTCGCTGTATATTCCCCTTGAGGCAGCAAACTCGGGGTCCCTCCCACATACCTATTGCTGAGAGAAGCCTCCTCCTGAGGTGCTTCTGGGAAGTTGGCATACGTCTTGAGCCTAAGCCAGGGAATCAGCTCTCATCTCGAGACGATTTGGGGTACACGGAGCATTCCTCGAGTTGCTGTGCTGAAGTTGGTGTTCCTCTAGACTTGGGACAGTGTTCTCGGGGCATCTCTGGAGTTGCCTGAAGGAAGTCGAGCCACCGGTCGTGTGGAATGGGGAACGGGGAATGGCTCTGGAGTCAATGCAGGGGAATCGGGCCTCATCTCGAGTTGATGTGGGGCACATGGACCTGCTTTGCGTTGCTGGGGTGACCTCAGGGTCCGTCTAGACTGGTGACAGTGTTCTTGGGGACTGTCTCGAGATCCATTAAGCAAGTCGAAGCTCCTGACTTGTTTGAATGGGATCACGGAATAGCTCTGCATGCACTGCAGGGGAATGGGGCCTCATCTCGCCTCTAGGGGGAAGTCTCATGGTTTTTCTCGAGTTGCGGCGGGGACCTGGGGTATGTTCTCGACTTACGGCGGGGATGGCCCTTCAAAACACGAGTTTCTTCAGTGACGTCAGGACTCCTGTCTAGTAACGAGGGACACCTCAGGAATCTCTTCGAGGCTTGGCAGGGCAAAAGGGACGCTTCTCGAGGTGAGGCAGGGCACCCAAGGACCCTTTCCAGTAGCCACAGGGATTTTGGGATTCCTATCAGTATTCAAGAGGAGTCAGGCATCGTCACCTTTTGAAGCAATGAACTCCGCGTGCCTCTCGAGGTGTCAGCGCGATGTGAGGCATTCCGTCAAAATGAGGCAGGGACCTAGGGCTCTCTCTAAGGTCTCAACAGGGGATTCAGACATCCCTTCATGTTGTGAGATGAAAGACGAGCCTGTATTCAAGCCACTGCAAGGAAATCCGGCCTCCTTTCAAGTTAGGGCTTCTCGCTGTATATTCCCCTTGAGGCAGCAAACTCGGGGTCCCTCCCACATACCTATTGCTGAGAGAAGCCTCCTCCTGAGGTGCTTCTGGGAAGTTGGCATACGTCTTGAGCCTAAGCCAGGGAATCAGCTCTCATCTCGAGATGATTTCGGGTACACGGAGCATTCCTCGAGTTGCTGTGCTGAAGTTGGTGTTCCTCTAGACTTGGGACAGTGTTCTCGGGGCATCTCTGGAGTTGCCTGAAGGAAGTCGAGCCACCGGTCGTGTTGAATGGGGAACGGGGAATGGCTCTGGAGTCAATGCAGGGGAATCGGGCCTCATCTCGAGTTGATTTGGGGCACATGGAGCTGCTTTGCGTTGCTGGGGTGACCTCAGGGTCCGTCTAGACTGGTGACAGTGTTCTTGGGGACTGTCTCGAGATCCATTAAGCAAGTCGAAGCTCCTGACTTGTTTGAATGGGATCACGGAATAGCTCTGCATGCACTGCAGGGGAATGGGGCCTCATCTCGCCTCTAGGGGGAAGTCTCATGGTTTTTCTCGAGTTGCGGCGGGGACCTGGGGTATGTTCTCGACTTACGGCGGGGATCCCCCTTCAAAACACGAGTTTCTTCAGTGACGTCAGGACTCCTGTCTAGTAACGAGGGACACCTCAGGAATCTCTTCGAGGCTTGGCAGGGCAAAAGGGACGCTTCTCGAGGTGAGGCAGGGCACCCAAGGACCCTTTCCAGTAGCCACAGGGATTTTGGGATTCCTATCAGTATTCAAGAGGAGTCAGGCATCGTCACCTTTTGAAGCAATGAACTCCGCGTGCCTCTCGAGGTGTCAGCGCGATGTGAGGCATTCCGTCAAAATGAGGCAGGGACCTAGGGCTTTCTCTAAGGTCTCCACAGGGGATTCAGACATCCCTTCATGTTGTGAGATGAAAGACGAGCCTGTATTCAAGCCACTGCAAGGAAATCCGGCCTCCTTTCAAGTTAGGGCTTCTCGCTCTATATTGCCCTTGAGGCAGCAAACTCGGGGTCCCTCCCACATACCTATTGCTGAGAGAAGCCTCCTCCTGAGGTGCTTCTGGGAAGTTGGCATACGTCTTGAGCCTAAGCCAGGGAATCAGCTCTCATCTCGAGACGATTTGGGGTACACGGAGCATTCCTCGAGTTGCTGTGCTGAAGTTGGTGTTCCTCTAGACTTGGGACAGTGTTCTCGGGGCATCTCTGGAGTTGCCTGAAGGAAGTCGAGCCACCGGTCGTGTTGAATGGGGAACGGGGAATGGCTCTGGAGTCAATGCAGGGGAATCGGGCCTCATCTCGAGTTGATTTGGGGCACATGGAGCTGCTTTGCGTTGCTGGGGTGACCTCAGGGTCCGTCTAGACTGGTGACAGTGTTCTTGGGGACTGTCTCGAGATCCATTAAGCAAGTCGAAGCTCCTGACTTGTTTGAATGGGATCACGGAATAGCTCTGCATGCACTGCAGGGGAATGGGGCCTCATCTCGCCTCTAGGGGGAAGTCTCATGGTTTTTCTCGAGTTGCGGCGGGGACCTGGGGTATGTTCTCGACTTACGGCGGGGATGGCCCTTCAAAACACGAGTTTCTTCAATGACGTCAGGACTCCTGTCAAGTAAAGAGGGACACCTCAGGAATCTCTTCGAGGCTTGGCAGGGCAAAAGGGACGCTTCTCGAGGTGAGGCAGGGCACCCAAGGACCCTTTCCAGTAGCCACAGGGATTTTGGGATTCCTATCAGTATTCAAGAGGAGTCAGGCATCGTCACCTTTTGAAGCAATGAACTCCGCGTGCCTCTCGAGGTGTCAGCGGGATGTGAGGCATTCCGTCAAAATGAGGCAGGGACCTAGGGCTTTCTCTAAGGTCTCCACAGGGGATTCAGACATCCCTTCATGTTGTCAGATGAAAGACGAGCCTGTATTCAAGCCACTGCAAGGAAATCCGGCCTCCTTTCAAGTTAGGGCTTCTCGCTGTATATTCCCCTTGAGGCAGCAAACTCGGGGTCCCTCCCACATACCTATTGCTGAGAGAAGCCTCCTCCTGAGGTGCTTCTGGGAAGTTGGCATACGTCTTGAGCCTAAGCCAGGGATTCAGCTCTCATCTCGAGACGATTTGGGGTACACGGAGCATTCCTCGAGTTGCTGTGCTGAAGTTGGTGTTCCTCTAGACTTGGGAAAGTGTTCTCGGGGCATCTCTGGAGTTGCCTGAAGGAAGTCGAGCCACCGGTCGTGTTGAATGGGGAACGGGGAATGGCTCTGGAGTCAATGCAGGGGAATCGGGCCTCATCTCGAGTTGATTTGGGGCACATGGAGCTGCTTTGCATTGCTGGGGTGACCTCAGGGTCCGTCTAGACTGGTGACAGTGTTCTTGGGGACTGTCTCGAGATCCATTAAGCAAGTCGAAGCTCCTGACTTGTTTGAATGGGATCACGGAATAGCTCTGCATGCACTGCAGGGGAATGGGGCCTCATCTCGCCTCTAGGGGGAAGTCTCATGGTTTTTCTCGAGTTGCGGCGGGGACCTGGGGTATGTTCTCGACTTACGGCGGGGATGGCCCTTCAAAACACGAGTTTCTTCAGTGACGTCAGGACTCCTGTCTAGTAACGAGGGACACCTCAGGAATCTCTTCGAGGCTTGGCAGGGCCAAAGGGACGCTTCTCGAGGTGAGGCAGGGCACCCAAGGACCCTTTCCAGTAGCCACAGGGATTTTGGGATTCCTATCAGTATTCAAGAGGAGTCAGGCATCGTCACCTTTTGAAGCAATGAACTCCGCGTGCCTCTCGAGGTGTCAGCGCGATGTGAGGCATTCCGTCAAAATGAGGCAGGGACCTAGGGCTTTCTCTAAGGTCTCCACAGGGGATTCAGACATCCCTTCATGTTGTGAGATGAAAGACGAGCCTGTATTCAAGCCACTGCAAGGAAATCCGGCCTCCTTTCAAGTTAGGGCTTCTCGCTGTATATTCCCCTTGAGGCAGCAAACTCGGGGTCCCTCCCACATACCTATTGCTGAGAGAAGCCTCCTCCTGAGGTGCTTCTGGGAAGTTGGCATACGTCTTGAGCCTAAGCCAGGGATTCAGCTCTCATCTCGAGGCGATTTGGGGTACACGGAGCATTCCTCGAGTTGCTGTGCTGAAGTTGGTGTTCCTCTAGACTTGGGACAGTGTTCTCGGGGCATCTCTGGAGTTGCCTGAAGGAAGTCGAGCCACCGGTCGTGTTGAATGGGGAACGGGGAATGGCTCTGGAGTCAATGCAGGGGAATCGGGCCTCATCTCGAGTTGATTTGGGGCACATGGAGCTGCTTTGCGTTGCTGGGGTGACCTCAGGGTCCGTCTAGACTGGTGACAGTGTTCTTGGGGACTGTCTCGAGATCCATTAAGCAAGTCGAAGCTCCTGACTTGTTTGAATGGGATCACGGAATAGCTCTGCATGCACTGCAGGGGAATGGGGCCTCATCTCGCCTCTAGGGGGAAGTCTCATGGTTTTTCTCGAGTTGCGGCGGGGACCTGGGGTATGTTCTCGACTTACGGCGGGGATGGCCCTTCAAAACACGAGTTTCTTCAGTGACGTCAGGACTCCTGTCTAGTAACGAGGGACACCTCAGGAATCTCTTCGAGGCTTGGCAGGGCAAAAGGGACGCTTCTCGAGGTGAGGCAGGGCACCCAAGGACCCTTTCCAGTAGCCACAGGGATTTTGGGATTCCTATCAGTATTCAAGAGGAGTCAGGAATCGTCACCTTTTGAAGCAATGAACTCCGCGTGCCTCTCGAGGTGACAGCGGGATGTGAGGCATTCCGTCAAAATGAGGCAGGGACCTAGGGCTTTCTCTAAGGTCTCCACAGGGGATTCAGACATCCCTTCATGTTGTGAGATGAAAGACGAGCCTGTATTCAAGCCACTGCAAGGAAATCCGGCCTCCTTTCAAGTTAGGGCTTCTCGCTGTATATTCCCCTTGAGGCAGCAAACTCGGGGTCCCTCCCACATACCTATTGCTGAGAGAAGCCTCCTCCTGAGGTGCTTCTGGGAAGTTGGCATACGTCTTGAGCCTAAGCCAGGGAATCAGCTCGCACCTCGAGACGATTTGGGGTACACGGAGCATTCCTCGAGTTGCTGTGCTGAAGTTGGTGTTCCTCTAGACTTGGGACAGTGTTCTCGGGGCATCTCTGGAGTTGCCTGAAGGAAGTCGAGCCACCGGTCGTGTTGAATGGGGAACGGGGAATGGCTCTGGAGTCAATGCAGGGGAATCGGGCCTCATCTCGAGTTGATTTGGGGCACATGGAGCTGCTTTGCGTTGCTGGGGTGACCTCAGGGTCCGTCTAGACTGGTGACAGTGTTCTTGGGGACTGTCTCGAGATCCATTAAGCAAGTCGAAGCTCCTGACTTGTTTGAATGGGATCACGGAATAGCTCTGCATGCACTGCAGGGGAATGGGGCCTCATCTCGCCTCTAGGGGGAAGTCTCATGGTTTTTCTCGAGTTGCGGCGGGGACCTGGGGTATGTTCTCGACTTACGGCGGGGATGGCCCTTCAAGACACGAGTTTCTTCAGTGACGTCAGGACTCCTGTCTAGTAACGAGGGACACCTCAGGAATCTCTTCGAGGCTTGGCAGGGCAAAAGGGACGCTTCTCGAGGTGAGGCAGGGCACCCAAGGACCCTTTCCAGTAGCCACAGGGATTTTGGGATTCCTATCAGTATTCAAGAGGAGTCAGGCATCGTCACCTTTTGAAGCAATGAACTCCGCGTGCCTCTCGAGGTGTCAGCGGGATGTGAGGCATTCCGTCAAAATGAGGCAGGGACCTAGGGCTTTCTCTAAGGTCTCCACAGGGGATTCAGACATCCCTTCATGTTGTGAGATGAAAGACGAGCCTGTATTCAAGCCACTGCAAGGAAATCCGGCCTCCTTTCAAGTTAGGGCTTCTCGCTGTATATTCCCCTTGAGGCAGCAAACTCGGGGTCCCTCCCACATACCTATTGCTGAGAGAAGCCTCCTCCTGAGGTGCTTCTGGGAAGTTGGCATACGTCTTGAGCCTAAGCCAGGGAATCAGCTCGCATCTGGAGACGATTTGGGGTACACGGAGCATTCCTCGAGTTGCTGTGCTGAAGTTGGTGTTCCTCTAGACTTGGGACAGTGTTCTCGGGGCATCTCTGGAGTTGCCTGAAGGAAGTCGAGCCACCGGTCTTGTTGAATGGGGAACGGGGAATGGCTCTGGAGTCAATGCAGGGGAATCGGGCCTCATCTCGAGTTGATTTGGGGCACATGGAGCTGCTTTGCGTTGCTGGGGTGACCTCAGGGTCCGTCTAGACTGGTGACAGTGTTCTTGGGGACTGTCTCGAGATCCATTAAGCAAGTCGAAGCTCCTGACTTGTTTGAATGGGATCACGGAATAGCTCTGCATGCACTGCAGGGGAATGGGGCCTCATCTCGCCTCTAGGGGGAAGTCTCATGGTTTTTCTCGAGTTGCGGCGGGGACCTGGGGTATGTTCTCGACTTACGGCGGGGATGGCCCTTCAAAACACGAGTTTCTTCAGTGACGTCAGGACTCCTGTCTAGTAACGAGGGACACCTCAGGAATCTCTTCGAGGCTTGGCAGGGCAAAAGGGACGCTTCTCGAGGTGAGGCAGGGCACCCAAGGACCCTTTCCAGTAGCCACAGGGATTTTGGGATTCCTATCAGTATTCAAGAGGAGTCAGGCATCGTCACCTTTTGAAGCAATGAACTCCGCGTGCCTCTCGAGGTGTCAGCGGGATGTGAGGCATTCCGTCAAAATGAGGCAGGGACCTAGGGCTTTCTCTAAGGTCTCCACAGGGGATTCAGACATCCCTTCATGTTGTGAGATGAAAGACGAGCCTGTATTCAAGCCACTGCAAGGAAATCCGGCCTCCTTTCAAGTTAGGGCTTCTCGCTGTATATTCCCCTTGAGGCAGCAAACTCGGGGTCCCTCCCACATACCTATTGCTGAGAGAAGCCTCCTCCTGAGGTGCTTCTGGGAAGTTGGCATACGTCTTGAGCCTAAGCCAGGGAATCAGCTCGCATCTCGAGACGATTTGGGGTACACGGAGCATTCCTCGAGTTGCTGTGCTGAAGTTGGTGTTCCTCTAGACTTGGGACAGTGTTCTCGGGGCATCTCTGGAGTTGCCTGAAGGAAGTCGAGCCACCGGTCGTGTTGAATGGGGAACGGGGAATGGCTCTGGAGTCAATGCAGGGGAATCGGGCCTCATCTCGAGTTGATTTGGGGCACATGGAGCTGCTTTGCGTTGCTGGGGTGACCTCAGGGTCCGTCTAGACTGGTGACAGTGTTCTTGGGGACTGTCTCGAGATCCATTAAGCAAGTCGAAGCTCCTGACTTGTTTGAATGGGATCACGGAATAGCTCTGCATGCACTGCAGGGGAATGGGGCCTCATCTCGCCTCTAGGGGGAAGTCTCATGGTTTTTCTCGAGTTGCGGCGGGGACCTGGGGTATGTTCTCGACTTACGGCGGGGATGGCCCTTCAAGACACGAGTTTCTTCAGTGACGTCAGGACTCCTGTCTAGTAACGAGGGACACCTCAGGAATCTCTTCGAGGCTTGGCAGGGCAAAAGGGACGCTTCTCGAGGTGAGGCAGGGCACCCAAGGACCCTTTCCAGTAGCCACAGGGATTTTGGGATTCCTATCAGTATTCAAGAGGAGTCAGGCATCGTCACCTTTTGAAGCAATGAACTCCGCGTGCCTCTCGAGGTGTCAGCGGGATGTGAGGCATTCCGTCAAAATGAGGCAGGGACCTAGGGCTTTCTCTAAGGTCTCCACAGGGGATTCAGACATCCCTTCATGTTGTGAGATGAAAGACGAGCCTGTATTCAAGCCACTGCAAGGAAATCCGGCCTCCTTTCAAGTTAGGGCTTCTCGCTGTATATTCCCCTTGAGGCAGCAAACTCGGGGTCCCTCCCACATACCTATTGCTGAGAGAAGCCTCCTCCTGAGGTGCTTCTGGGAAGTTGGCATACGTCTTGAGCCTAAGCCAGGGAATCAGCTCGCATCTCGAGACGATTTGGGGTACACGGAGCATTCCTCGAGTTGCTGTGCTGAAGTTGGTGTTCCTCTAGACTTGGGACAGTGTTCTCGGGGCATCTCTGGAGTTGCCTGAAGGAAGTCGAGCCACCGGTCGTGTTGAATGGGGAACGGGGAATGGCTCTGGAGTCAATGCAGGGGAATCGGGCCTCATCTCGAGTTGATTTGGGGCACATGGAGCTGCTTTGCGTTGCTGGGGTGACCTCAGGGTCCGTCTAGACTGGTGACAGTGTTCTTGGGGACTGTCTCGACATCCATTAAGCAAGTCGAAGCTCCTGACTTGTTTGAATGGGATCACGGAATAGCTCTGCATGCACTGCAGGGGAATGGGGCCTCATCTCGCCTCTAGGGGGAAGTCTCATGGTTTTTCTCGAGTTGCGGCGGGGACCTGGGGTATGTTCTCGACTTACGGCGGGGATGGCCCTTCAAGACACGAGTTTCTTCAGTGACGTCAGGACTCCTGTCTAGTAACGAGGGACACCTCAGGAATCTCTTCGAGGCTTGGCAGGGCAAAAGGGACGCTTCTCGAGGTGAGGCAGGGCACCCAAGGACCCTTTCCAGTAGCCACAGGGATTTTGGGATTCCTATCAGTATTCAAGAGGAGTCAGGCATCGTCACCTTTTGAAGCAATGAACTCCGCGTGCCTCTCGAGGTGTCAGCGGGATGTGAGGCATTCCGTCAAAATGAGGCAGGGACCTAGGGCTTTCTCTAAGGTCTCCACAGGGGATTCAGACATCCCTTCATGTTGTGAGATGAAAGACGAGCCTGTATTCAAGCCACTGCAAGGAAATCCGGCCTCCTTTCAAGTTAGGGCTTCTCGCTGTATATTCCCCTTGAGGCAGCAAACTCGGGGTCCCTCCCACATACCTATTGCTGAGAGAAGCCTCCTCCTGAGGTGCTTCTGGGAAGTTGGCATACGTCTTGAGCCTAAGCCAGGGAATCAGCTCTCATCTCGAGACGATTTGGGGTACACGGAGCATTCCTCGAGTTGCTGTGCTGAAGTTGGTGTTCCTCTAGACATGGGACAGTGTTCTCGGGTCATCTCTGGAGTTGCCTGAAGGAAGTCGAGCGACCGGTCGTGTTGAATGGGGAACGGGGAATGGCTCTGGAGTCAATGCAGGGGAATCGGGCCTCATCTCGAGTTGATTTGGGGCACATGGAGCTGCTTTGCGTTGCTGGGGTGACCTCAGGGTCCGTCTAGACTGGTGACAGTGTTCTTGGGGACTGTCTCGAGATCCATTAAGCAAGTCGAAGCTCCTGACTTGTTTGAATGGGATCACGGAATAGCTCTGCATGCACTGCAGGGGAATGGGGCCTCATCTCGCCTCTAGGGGGAAGTCTCATGGTTTTTCTCGAGTTGCGGCGGGGACCTGGGGTATGTTCTCGACTTACGGCGGGGATGGCCCTTCAAGACACGAGTTTCTTCAGTGACGTCAGGACTCCTGTCTAGTAACGAGGGACACCTCAGGAATCTCTTCGAGGCTTGGCAGGGCAAAAGGGACGCTTCTCGAGGTGAGGCAGGGCACCCAAGGACCCTTTCCAGTAGCCACAGGGATTTTGGGATTCCTATCAGTATTCAAGAGGAGTCAGGCATCGTCACCTTTTGAAGCAATGAACTCCGCGTGCCTCTCGAGGTGTCAGCGGGATGTGAGGCATTCCGTCAAAATGAGGCAGGGACCTAGGGCTTTCTCTAAGGTCTCCACAGGGGATTCAGACATCCCTTCATGTTGTGAGATGAAAGACGAGCCTGTATTCAAGCCACTGCAAGGAAATCCGGCCTCCTTTCAAGTTAGGGCTTCTCGCTGTATATTCCCCTTGAGGCAGCAAACTCGGGGTCCCTCCCACATACCTATTGGTGAGAGAAGCCTCCTCCTGAGGTGCTTCTGGGAAGTTGGCATACGTCTTCAGCCTAAGCCAGGGAATCAGCTCTCATCTCGAGACGATTTGGGGTACACGGAGCATTCCTTGAGTTGCTGTGCTGAAGTTGGTGTTCCTCTAGACTTGGGACAGTGTTCTCAGGGCATCTCTGGAGTTGCCTGAAGGAAGTCGAGCCACCGGTCGTGTTGAATGGGGAACGGGGAATGGCTCTGGAGTCAATGCAGGGCAATCGGGCCGCATCTCGAGTTGATTTGGGGCACATGGAGCTGCTTTGCGTTGCTGGGGTGACCTCAGGGTCCGTCTAGACTGGTGACAGTGTTCTTGGGGACTGTCTCGAGATCCATTAAGCAAGTCGAAGCTCCTGACTTGTTTGAATGGGATCACGGAATAGCTCTGCATGCACTGCAGGGGAATGGGGCCTCATCTCGCCTCTAGGGGGAAGTCTCATGGTTTTTCTCGAGTTGCGGCGGGGACCTGGGGTATGTTCTCGACTTACGGCGGGGATGGCCCTTCAAAACACGAGTTTTTTCAGTGACGTCAGGACTCCTGTCTAGTAACGAGGGACACCTCAGGAATCTCTTCGAGGCTTCGCAGGGCAAAAGGGACGCTTCTCGAGGTGAGGCAGGGTACCCAAGGACCCTTTCCAGTAGCCACACGGATTTTGGGATTCCTATCTGTATTCAAGAGGAGTCAGGCATCGTCACCTTTTGAAGCAATGAACTCCGCGTGCCTCTCGAGGTGTCAGCGGGATGTGAGGCATTCCTTAAAAATGAGGCAGGGACCTAGGGCTTTCTCTAAGGTCTCCACAGGGGATTCAGACATCCCTTCATGTTGTGAGATGAAAGACGAGCCTGTATTCAAGCCACTGCAAGGAAATCCGGCCTCCTTTCAAGTTAGGGCTTCTCGCTGTATATTCCCCTTGAGGCAGCAAACTCGGGGTCCCTCCCACATACCTATTGCTGAGAGAAGCCTCCTCCTGAGGTGCTTCTGGGAAGTTGGCATACATCTTGAGCCTAAGCCAGGGAATCAGCTCTCATCTCGAGACGATTTGGGGTACACGGAGCATTCCTCGAGTTGCTGTGCTGAAGTTGGTGTTCCTCTAGACTTGGGACAGTGTTCTCGGGGCATCTCTGGAGTTGCCTGAAGGAAGTCGAGCCACCGGTCGTGTTGAATGGGGAACGGGGAATGGCTCTGGAGTCAATGCATGGGAATCGTTCCTCATCTCGAGTTGATTTGGGGCACATGGAGCTGCTTTGCGTTGCTGGGGTGACTTCAGGGTCCGTCTAGACTGGTGACAGTGTTCTTGGGGACTGTCTCGAGATCCATTAAGCAAGTCGGAGCTCCTGACTTGTTTGAATGGGATCACGGAATAGCTCTGCATGCACTGCAGGGGAATGGGGCCTCATCTCGCCTCTAGGGGGAAGTCTCATGGTTTTTCTCGAGTTGCGGCGGGGACCTGGGGTATGTTCTCGACTTACGGCAGGGATGGCCCTTCAAAACACGAGTTTCTTCAGTGACGTCAGGACTCCTGTCTAGTAACGAGGGACACCTCAGGAATCTCTTCGAGGCTTGGCAGGGCAAAAGGGACGCTTCTCGAGGTGAGGCAGGGCACCCAAGGACCCTTTCCAGTAGCCACAGGGATTTTGGGATTCCTATCAGTATTCAAGAGGAGTCAGGCATCGTCACCTTTTGAAGCAATGAACTCCGCGTGCCTCTCGAGGTGTCAGCGGGATGTGAGGCATTCCGTCAAAATGAGGCAGGGACCTAGGGCTTTCTCTAAGGTCTCCACAGGGGATTCAGACATCCCTTCATGTTGTGAGATGAAAGACGAGCCTGTATTCAAGCCACTGCAAGGAAATCCGGCCTCCTTTCAAGTTAGGGCTTCTCGCTGTATATTCCCCTTGAGGCAGCAAACTCGGGGTCCCTCCCACATACCTATTGCTGAGAGAAGCCTCCTCCTGAGGTGCTTCTGGGAAGTTGGCATACGTCTTGAGCCTAAGCCAGGGAATCAGCTCTCATCTCGAGACGATTTGGGGTACACGGAGCATTCCTCGAGTTGCTGTGCTGAAGTTGGTGTTCCTCTAGACTTGGGACAGTGTTCTCGGGGCATCTCTGGAGTTGCCTGAAGGAAGTCGAGCCACCGGTCGTGTTGAATGGGGAACGGGAATGGCTCTGGAGTCAATGCAGGGGAATCGGGCCTCATCTCGAGTTGATTTGGGGCACATGGAGCTGCTTTGCGTTGCTGGGGTGACCTCAGGGTCCGTCTAGACTGGTGACAGTGTTCTTGGGGACTGTCTCGAGATCCATTAAGCAAGTCGAAGCTCCTGACTTGTTTGAATGGGATCACGGAATAGCTCTGCATGCACTGCAGGGGAATGGGGCCTCATCTCGCCTCTAGGGGGAAGTCTCATTGTTTTTCTCGAGTTGCGGCGGGGACCTGGGGTATGTTCTCGACTTACGGCGGGGATGGCCCTTCAAAACACGAGTTTCTTCAGTGACGTCAGGACTCCTGTCTAGTAACGAGGGACACCTCAGGAATCTCTTCGAGGCTTGGCAGGGCAAAAGGGACGCTTCTCGAGGTGAGGCAGGGCACCCAAGGACCCTTTCCAGTAGCCACAGGGATTTTGGGATTCCTATCAGTATTCAAGAGGAGTCAGGCATCGTCACCTTTTGAAGCAATGAACTCCGCGTGCCTCTCGAGGTGTCAGCGCGATGTGAGGCATTCCGTCAAAATGAGGCAGGGACCTAGGGCTTTCTCTAAGGTCTCAACAGGGGATTCAGACATCCCTTCATGTTGTGAGATGAAAGACGAGCCTGTATTCAAGCCACTGCAAGGAAATCCGGCCTCCTTTCAAGTTAGGGCTTCTCGCTGTATATTCCCCTTGAGGCAGCACACTCGGGGTCCCTCCCACATACCTATTGCTGAGAGAAGCCTCCTCCTGAGGTGCTTCTGGGAAGTTGGCATACGTCTTGAGCCTAAGCCAGGGAATCAGCTCGCATCTCGAGACGATTTGGGGTACACGGAGCATTCCTCGAGTTGCTGTGCTGAAGTTGGTGTTCCTCTAGACTTGGGACAGTGTTCTCGGGGCATCTCTGGAGTTGCCTGAAGGAAGTCGAGCCACCGGTCGTGTTGAATGGGGAACGGGGAATGGCTCTGGAGTCAATGCAGGGGAATCGGGCCTCATCTCGAGTTGATTTGGGGCACATGGAGCTGCTTTGCGTTGCTGGGGTGACCTCAGGGTCCGTCTAGACTGGTGACAGTGTTCTTGGGGACTGTCTCGAGATCCATTAAGCAAGTCGAAGCTCCTGACTTGTTTGAATGGGATCACGGAATAGCTCTGCATGCACTGCAGGGGAATGGGGCCTCATCTCGCCTCTAGGGGGAAGTCTCATGGTTTTTCTCGAGTTGCGGCGGGGACCTGGGGTATGTTCTCGACTTACGGCGGGGATGGCCCTTCAAAACACGAGTTTCTTCAGTGACGTCAGGACTCCTGTCTAGTAACGAGGGACACCTCAGGAATCTCTTCGAGGCTTGGCAGGGCAAAAGGGACGCTTCTCGAGGTGAGGCAGGGCACCCAAGGACCCTTTCCAGTAGCCACAGGGATTTGGGGATTCCTATCAGTATTCAAGAGGAGTCAGGCATCGTCACCTTTTGAAGCAATGAACTCCGCGTGCCTCTCGAGGTGTCAGCGCGATGTGAGGCATTCCGTCAAAATGAGGCAGGGACCTAGGGCTTTCTCTAAGGTCTCCACAGGGGATTCAGACATCCCTTCATGTTGTGAGATGAAAGACGAGCCTGTATTCAAGCCACTGCAAGGAAATCCGGCCTCCTTTCAAGTTAGGGCTTCTCGCTGTATATTCCCCTTGAGGCAGCAAACTCGGGGTCCCTCCCACAAACCTATTGCTGAGAGAAGCCTCCTCCTGAGGTGCTTCTGGGAAGTTGGCATACGTCTTGAGCCTAAGCCAGGGAATCAGCTCGCATCTCGAGACGATTTGCGGTACACGGAGCATTCCTCGAGTTGCTGTGCTGAAGTTGGTGTTCCTCTAGACTTGGGACAGTGTTCTCGGGGCATCTCTGGAGTTGCCTGAAGGAAGTCGAGCCACCGGTCGTGTTGAATGGGGAACGGGGAATGGCTCTGGAGTCAATACAGGGGAATCGGGCCTCATCTCGAGTTGATTTGGGGCACATGGGGCTGCTTTGCGTTGCTGGGGTGACCTCAGGGTCCGTCTAGACTGGTGACAGTGTTCTTGGGGACTGTCTCGAGATCCATTAAGCAAGTCGAAGCTCCTGACTTGTTTGAATGGGATCACGGAATAGCTCTGCATGCACTGCAGGGGAATGGGGCCTCATCTCGCCTCTAGGGGGAAGTCTCATGGTTTTTCTCGAGTTGCGGCGGGGACCTGGGGTATGTTCTCGACTTACGGCGGGGATGGCCCTTCAAAACACGAGTTTCTTCAGTGACGTCAGGACTCCTGTCTAGTAACGAGGGACACCTCAGGAATCTCTTCGAGGCTTGGCAGGGCAAAAGGGACGCTTCTCGAGGTGAGGCAGGGCACCCAAGGACCCTTTCCAGTAGCCACAGGGATTTTGGGATTTCTATCAGTATTCAAGAGGAGTCAGGCATCGTCACCTTTTGAAGCAATGAACTCCGCGTGCCTCTCGAGGTGTCAGCGGGATGTGAGGCATTCCGTCAAAATGAGGCAGGGACCTAGGGCTTTCTCTAAGGTCTCCACAGGGGATTCAGACATCCCTTCATGTTGTGAGATGAAAGACGAGCCTGTATTCAAGCCACTGCAAGGAAATCCGGCCTCCTTTCAAGTTAGGGCTTCTCGCTGTATATTCCCCTTGAGGCAGCAAACTCGGGGTCCCTCCCACATACCTATTGGTGAGAGAAGCCTCCTCCTGAGGTGCTTCTGGGAAGTTGGCATACGTCTTGAGCCTAAGCCAGGGAATCAGCTCGCATCTCGAGACGATTTGGGGTACACGGAGCATTCCTCGAGTTGCTGTGCTGAAGTTGGTGTTCCTCTAGACTTGGGACAGTGTTCTCGGGGCATCTCTGGAGTTGCCTGAAGGAAGTCGAGCCACCGGTCGTGTTGAATGGGGAACGGGGAATGGCTCTGGAGTCAATGCAGGGGAATCGGGCCTCATCTCGAGTTGATGTGGGGCACATGGACCTGCTTTGCGTTGCTGGGGTGACCTCAGGGTCCGTCTAGACTGGTGACAGTGTTCTTGGGGACTGTCTCGAGATCCATTAAGCAAGTCGAAGCTCCTGACTTGTTTGAATGGGATCACGGAATAGCTCTGCATGCACTGCAGGGGAATGGGGCCTCATCTCGCCTCTAGGGGGAAGTCTCATGGTTTTTCTCGAGTTGCGGCGGGGACCTGGGGTATGTTCTCGACTTACGGCGGGGATGGCCCTTCAAAACACGAGTTTCTTCAGTGACGTCAGGACTCCTGTCTAGTAACGAGGGACACCTCAGGAATCTCTTCGAGGCTTGGCAGGGCAAAAGGGACGCTTCTCGAGGTGAGGCAGGGCACCCAAGGACCCTTTCCAGTAGCCACAGGGATTTTGGGATTCCTATCAGTATTCAAGAGGAGTCAGGCATCGTCACCTTTTGAAGCAATGAACTCCGCGTGCCTCTCGAGGTGTCAGCGGGATGTGAGGCATTCCGTCAAAATGAGGCAGGGACCTAGGGCTTTCTCTAAGGTCTCCACAGGGGATTCAGACATCCCTTCATGTTGTGAGATGAAAGACGAGCCTGTATTCAAGCCACTGCAAGGAAATCCGGCCTCCTTTCAAGTTAGGGCTTCTCGCTGTATATTCCCCTTGAGGCAGCAAACTCGGGGTCCCTCCCACATACCTATTGCTGAGAGAAGCCTCCTCCTGAGGTGCTTCTGGGAAGTTGGCATACGTCTTTAGCCTAAGCCAGGGAATCAGCTCTCATCTCGAGACGATTTGGGGTACACGGAGCATTCCTCGAGTTGCTGTGCTGAAGTTGGTGTTCCTCTAGACTTGGGACAGTGTTCTCGGCGCATCTCTAGAGTTGCCTGAAGGAAGTCGAGCCACCGGTCGTGTTGAATGGGGAACGGGGAATGGCTCTGGAGTCAATGCAGGGGATTCGGGCCTCATCTCGAGTTGATTTGGGGCACATGGAGCTGCTTTGCATTGCTGGGGTGACCTCAGGGTCCGTCTAGACTGGTGACAGTGTTCTTGGGGACTGTCTCGAGATCCATTAAGCAAGTCGAAGCTCCTGACTTGTTTGAATGGGATCACGGAATAGCTCTGCATGCACTGCAGGGGAATGGGGCCTCATCTCGCCTCTAGGGGGAAGTCTCATGGTTTTTCTCGAGTTGCGGCGGGGACCTGGGGTATGTTCTCGACTCACGGCGGGGATGGCCCTTCAAAACACGAGTTTCTTCAGTGATGTCAGGACTCCTGTCTAGTAACGAGGGACACCTCAGGAATCTCTTCGAGGCTTGGCAGGGCAAAAGGGACGCTTCTCGAGGTGAGGAAGGGCACCCAAGGACCCTTTCCAGTAGCCACAGGGATTTTGGGATTCCTATCAGTATTCAAGAGGAGTCAGGCATCGTCACCTTTTGAAGCAATGAACTCCGCGTGCCTCTCGAGGTGTCAGCGGGATGTGAGGCATTCCGTCAAAATGAGGCAGGGACCTAGGGCTTTCTCTAAGGTCTCCACAGGGGATTCAGACATCCCTTCATGTTGTGAGATGAAAGACGAGCCTGTATTCAAGCCACTGCAAGGAAATCCGGCCTCCTTTCAAGTTAGGGCTTCTCGCTGTATATTCCCCTTGAGGCAGCAAACTCGGGGTCCCTCCCACAAACCTATTGCTGAGAGAAGCCTCCTCCTGAGGTGCTTCTGGGAAGTTGGCATACGTCTTGAGCCTAAGCCAGGGAATCAGCTCTCATCTCGAGACGATTTGGGGTACACGGAGCATTCCTCGAGTTGCTGTGCTGAAGTTGGTGTTCCTCTAGACTTGGGACAGTGTTCTCGGGGCATCTCTGGAGTTGCCTGAAGGAAGTCGAGCCACCGGTCGTGTTGAATGGGGAACGGGGAATGGCTCTGGAGTCAATGCAGGGGAATCGGGCCTCATCTCGAGTTGATTTGGGGCACATGGAGCTGCTTTGCGTTGCTGGGGTGACCTCAGGGTCCGTCTAGACTGGTGACAGTGTTCTTGGGGACTGTCTCGAGATCCATTAAGCAAGTCGAAGCTCCTGACTTGTTTGAATGGGATCACGGAATAGCTCTGCATGCACTGCAGGGGAATGGGGCCTCATCTCGCCTCTAGGGGGAAGTCTCATGGTTTTTCTCGAGTTGCGGCGGGGACCTGGGGTATGTTCTCGACTTACGGCGGGGATGGCCCTTCAAAACACGAGTTTCTTCAGTGACGTCAGGACTCCTGTCTAGTAACGAGGGACACCTCAGGAATCTCTTCGAGGCTTGGCAGGGCAAAAGGGACGCTTCTCGAGGTGAGGCAGGGCACCCAAGGACCCTTTCCAGTAGCCACAGGGATTTTGGGATTCCTATCAGTATTCAAGGGGAGTCAGGCATCGTCACCTTTTGAAGCAATGAACTCCGCGTGCCTCTCGAGGTGTCAGCGGGATGTGAGGCATTCCGTCAAAATGAGGCAGGGACCTAGGGCTTTCTCTAAGGTCTCCACAGGGGATTCAGACATCCCTTCATGTTGTGAGATGAAAGACGAGCCTGTATTCAAGCCACTGCAAGGAAATCCGGCCTCCTTTCAAGTTAGGGCTTCTCGCTGTATATTCCCCTTGAGGCAGCAAACTCGGGGTCCCTCCCACATACCTATTGCTGAGAGAAGCCTCCTCCTGAGGTGCTTCTGGGAAGTTGGCATACGTCTTGAGCCTAAGCCAGGGAATCAGCTCGCATCTCGAGACGATTTGGGGTACACGGAGCATTCCTCGAGTTGCTGTGCTGAAGTTGGTGTTCCTCTAGACTTGGGACAGTGTTCTCGGGGCATCTCTGGAGTTGCCTGAAGGAAGTCGAGCCACCGGTCGTGTTGAATGGGGAACGGGGAATGGCTCTGGAGTCAATGCAGGGGAATCGGGCCTCATCTCGAGTTGATTTGGGGCACATGGAGCTGCTTTGCGTTGCTGGGGTGACCTCAGGGTCCGTCTAGACTGGTGACAGTGTTCTTGGGGACTGTCTCGAGATCCATTAAGCAAGTCGAAGCTCCTGACTTGTTTGAATGGGATCACGGAATAGCTCTGCATGCACTGCAGGGGAATGGGGCCTCATCTCGCCTCTAGGGGGAAGTCTCATGGTTTTTCTCGAGTTGCGGCGGGGACCTGGGGTATGTTCTCGACTTACGGCGGGGATGGCCCTTCAAAACACGAGTTTCTTCAGTGACGTCAGGACTCCTGTCTAGTAACGAGGGACACCTCAGGAATCTCTTCGAGGCTTGGCAGGGCAAAAGGGACGCTTCTCGAGGTGAGGCAGGGCACCCAAGGACCCTTTCCAGTAGCCACAGGGATTTTGGGATTCCTATCAGTATTCAAGAGGAGTCAGGCATCGTCACCTTTTGAAGCAATGAACTCCGCGTGCCTCTCGAGGTGTCAGCGCGATGTGAGGCATTCCGTCAAAATGAGGCAGGGACCTAGGGCTTTCTCTAAGGTCTCCACAGGGGATTCAGACATCCCTTCATGTTGTGAGATGAAAGACGAGCCTGTATTCAAGCCACTGCAAGGAAATCCGGCCTCCTTTCAAGTTAGGGCTTCTCGCTGTATATTCCCCTTGAGGCAGCAAACTCGGGGTCCCTCCCACAAACCTATTGCTGAGAGAAGCCTCCTCCTGAGGTGCTTCTGGGAAGTTGGCATACGTCTTGAGCCTAAGCCAGGGAATCAGCTCTCATCTCGAGATGATTTCGGGTACACGGAGCATTCCTCGAGTTGCTGTGCTGAAGTTGGTGTTCCTCTAGACTTGGGACAGTGTTCTCGGGGCATCTCTGGAGTTGCCTGAAGGAAGTCGAGCCACCGGTCGTGTTGAATGGGGAACGGGGAATGGCTCTGGAGTCAATGCAGGGGAATCGGGCCTCATCTCGAGTTGATTTGGGGCACATGGAGCTGCTTTGCGTTGCTGGGGTGACCTCAGGGTCCGTCTAGACTGGTGACAGTGTTCTTGGGGACTGTCTCGAGATCCATTAAGCAAGTCGAAGCTCCTGACTTGTTTGAATGGGATCACGGAATAGCTCTGCATGCACTGCAGGGGAATGGGGCCTCATCTCGCCTCTAGGGGGAAGTCTCATGGTTTTTCTCGAGTTGCGGCGGGGACCTGGGGTATGTTCTCGACTTACGGCGGGGATGGCCCTTCAAAACACGAGTTTCTTCAGTGACGTCAGGACTCCTGTCTAGTAACGAGGGACACCTCAGGAATCTCTTCGAGGCTTGGCAGGGCAAAAGGGACGCTTCTCGAGGTGAGGCAGGGCACCCAAGGACCCTTTCCAGTAGCCACAGGGATTTTGGGATTCCTATCAGTATTCAAGAGGAGTCAGGCATCGTCACCTTTTGAAGCAATGAACTCCGCGTGCCTCTCGAGGTGTCAGCGCGATGTGAGGCATTCCGTCAAAATGAGGCAGGGACCTAGGGCTTTCTCTAAGGTCTCCACAGGGGATTCAGACATCCCTTCATGTTGTGAGATGAAAGACGAGCCTGTATTCAAGCCACTGCAAGGAAATCCGGCCTCCTTTCAAGTTAGGGCTTCTCGCTGTATATTCCCCTTGAGGCAGCAAACTCGGGGTCCCTCCCACAAACCTATTGCTGAGAGAAGCCTCCTCCTGAGGTGCTTCTGGGAAGTTGGCATACGTCTTGAGCCTAAGCCAGGGAATCAGCTCTCATCTCGAGATGATTTCGGGTACACGGAGCATTCCTCGAGTTGCTGTGCTGAAGTTGGTGTTCCTCTAGACTTGGGACAGTGTTCTCGGGGCATCTCTGGAGTTGCCTGAAGGAAGTCGAGCCACCGGTCGTGTTGAATGGGGAACGGGGAATGGCTCTGGAGTCAATGCAGGGGAATCGGGCCTCATCTCGAGTTGATTTGGGGCACATGGAGCTGCTTTGCGTTGCTGGGGTGACCTCAGGGTCCGTCTAGACTGGTGACAGTGTTCTTGGGGACTGTCTCGAGATCCATTAAGCAAGTCGAAGCTCCTGACTTGTTTGAATGGGATCACGGAATAGCTCTGCATGCACTGCAGGGGAATGGGGCCTCATCTCGCCTCTAGGGGGAAGTCTCATGGTTTTTCTCGAGTTGCGGCGGGGACCTGGGGTATGTTCTCGACTTACGGCGGGGATCCCCCTTCAAAACACGAGTTTCTTCAGTGACGTCAGGACTCCTGTCTAGTAACGAGGGACACCTCAGGAATCTCTTCGAGGCTTGGCAGGGCAAAAGGGACGCTTCTCGAGGTGAGGCAGGGCACCCAAGGACCCTTTCCAGTAGCCACAGGGATTTTGGGATTCCTATCAGTATTCAAGAGGAGTCAGGCATCGTCACCTTTTGAAGCAATGAACTCCGCGTGCCTCTCGAGGTGTCAGCGGGATGTGAGGCATTCCGTCAAAATGAGGCAGGGACCTAGGGCTTTCTCTAAGGTCTCCACAGGGGATTCAGACATCCCTTCATGTTGTGAGATGAAAGACGAGCCTGTATTCAAGCCACTGCAAGGAAATCCGGCCTCCTTTCAAGTTAGGGCTTCTCGCTGTATATTCCCTTTGAGGCAGCAAACTCGGGGTCCCTCCCACATACCTATTGCTGAGAGAAGCCTCCTCCTGAGGTGCCTCTGGGAAGTTGGCATACGTCTTGAGCCTAAGCCAGGGAATCAGCTCTCATCTCGAGACGATTTGGGGTACACGGAGCATTCCTCGAGTTGCTGTGCTGAAGTTGGTGTTCCTCTAGACTTGGGACAGTGTTCTCGGGGCATCTCTGGAGTTGCCTGAAGGAAGTCGAGCCACCGGTCGTGTTGAATGGGGAACGGGGAATGGCTCTGGAGTCAATGCAGGGGAATCGGGCCTCATCTCGAGTTGATTTGGGGCACATGGAGCTGCTTTGCGTTGCTGGGGTGACCTCAGGGTCCGTCTAGACTGGTGACAGTGTTCTTGGGGACTGTCTCGAGATCCATTAAGCAAGTCGAAGCTCCTGACTTGTTTGAATGGGATCACGGAATAGCTCTGCATGCACTGCAGGGGAATGGGGCCTCATCTCGCCTCTAGGGGGAAGTCTCATGGTTTTTCTCGAGTTGCGGCGGGGACCTGGGGTATGTTCTCCACTTACGGCGGGGATGGCCCTTCAAAACACGAGTTTCTTCAGTGACGTCAGGACTCCTGTCTAGTAACGAGGGACACCTCAGGAATCTCTTCGAGGCTTGGCAGGGCAAAAGGGACACTTCTCGAGGTGAGGCAGGGCACCCAAGGACCCTTTCCAGTAGCCACAGGGATTTTGGGATTCCTATCAGTATTCAAGAGGAGTCAGGCATCGTCACCTTTTGAAGCAGTGAACTCCGCGTGCCTCTCGAGGTGTCAGCGGGATGTGAGGCATTCCGTCAAAATGAGGCAGGGACCTAGGGCTTTCTCTAAGGTCTCCACAGGGGATTCAGACATCCCTTCATGTTGTGAGATGAAAGACGAGCCTGTATTCAAGCCACTGCAAGGAAATCCGGCCTCCTTTCAAGTTAGGGCTTCTCGCTGTATATTCCCATTGAGGCAGCAAACTCGGGGTCCCTCCCACATACCTATTGCTGAGAGAAGCCTCCTCCTGAGGTGCTTCTGGGAAGTTGGCATACGTCTTGAGCCTAAGCCAGGGAATCAGCTCTCATCTCGAGACGATTTGGGGTACACGGAGCATTCCTCGAGTTGCTGTGCTGAAGTTGGTGTTCTTCTAGACTTGGGACAGTGTTCTCGGAGCATCTCTGGAGTTGCCTGAAGGAAGTCGAGCCACCGGTCGTGTTGAATGGGGAACGGGGAATGGCTCTGGAGTCAATGCAGGGGAATCGTTCCTCATCTCGAGTTGATTTGGGGCACATGGAGCTGCTTTGCGTTGCTGGGGTGACCTCAGGGTCCGTCTAGACTGGTGACAGTGTTCTTGGGGACTGTCTCGAGATCCATTAAGCAAGTCGAAGCTCCTGACTTGTTTGAATGGGATCACGGAATAGCTCTGCATGCACTGCAGGGGAATGGGGCCTCATCTCGCCTCTAGGGGGAAGTCTCATGGTTTTTCTCGAGTTGCGGCGGGGACCTGGGGTATGTTCTCGACTTACGGCGGGGATGGCCCTTCAAAACACGAGTTTCTTCAGTGACGTCGGGACTCCTGTCTAGTAACGAGGCACACCTCAGGAATCTCTTCGAGGCTTGGCAGGGCAAAAGGGACGCTTCTCGAGGTGAGGCAGGGCACCCAAGGACCCTTTCCAGTAGCCACAGGGATTTGGGGATTCCTATCAGTATTCAAGAGGAGTCAGGCATCGTCACCTTTTGAAGCAATGAACTCCGCATGCCTCTCGAGGTGTCAGCGGGATGTGAGGCATTCCGTCAAAATGAGGCAGGGACCTAGGTCTTTCTCTAAGGTCTCCACAGGGGATTCAGACATCCCTTCATATTGTGAGATGAAAGACGAGCCTGTATTCAAGCCACTGCAAGGAAATCCGGCCCCCTTTCAAGTTAGGGCTTCTCGCTGTATATTCCCCTTGAGGCAGCAAACTCGGGGTCCCTCCCACATACCTATTGCTGAGAGAAGCCTCCTCCTGAGGTGCTTCTGGGAAGTTGGCATACGTCTTGAGCCTAAGCCAGGGAATCAGCTCGCATCTCGAGACGATTTGGGGTACACGGAGCATTCCTCGAGTTGCTGTGCTGAAGTTGGTGTTCCTCTAGACTTGGGACAGTGTTCTCGGGGCATCTCTGGAGTTGCCTGAAGGAAGTCGAGCCACCGGTCGTGTTGAATGGGGAACGGGGAATGGCTCTGGAGTCAATGCAGGGGAATCGGGCCTCATCTCGAGTTGATTTGGGGCACATGGAGCTGCTTTGCGTTGCTGGGGTGACCTCAGGGTCCGTCTAGACTGGTGACAGTGTTCTTGGGGACTGTCTCGAGATCCATTAAGCAAGTCGAAGCTCCTGACTTGTTTGAATGGGATCACGGAATAGCTCTGCATGCACTGCAGGGGAATGGGGCCTCATCTCGCCTCTAGGGGGAAGTCTCATGGTTTTTCTCGAGTTGCGGCGGGGACCTGGGGTATGTTCTCGACTTACGGCGGGGATGGCCCTTCAAAACACGAGTTTCTTCAGTGACGTCAGGACTCCTGTCTAGTAACGAGGGACACCTCAGGAATCTCTTCGAGGCTTGGCAGGGCAAAAGGGACGCTTCTCGAGGTGAGGCAGGGGACCCAAGGACCCTTTCCAGTAGCCACAGGGATTTTGGGATTCCTATCAGTATTCAAGAGGAGTCAGGCATCGTCACCTTTTGAAGCAATGAACTCCGCGTGCCTCTCGAGGTGTCAGCGGGATGTGAGGCATTCCGTCAAAATGAGGCAGGGACCTAGGGCTTTCTCTAAGGTCTCCACAGGGGATTCAGACATCCCTTCATGTTGTGAGATGAAAGACGAGCCTGTATTCAAGCCACTGCAAGGAAATCCGGCCTCCTTTCAAGTTAGGGCTTCTCGCTCTATATTCCCCTTGAGGCAGCAAACTCGGGGTCCCTCCCACATATCTATTGCTGAGAGAAGCCTCCTCCTGAGGTGCTTCTGGGAAGTTGGCATACGTCTTGAGCCTAAGCCAGGGAATCAGCTCTCATCTCGAGACGATTTGGGGTACACGGAGCATTCCTCGAGTTGCTGTGCTGAAGTTGGTGTTCCTCTAGACTTGGGACAGTGTTCTCGGGGCATCTCTGGAGTTGCCTGAAGGAAGTCGAGCCACCGGTCGTGTTGAATGGGGAACGGGGAATGGCTCTGGAGTCAATGCAGGGGAATCGGGCCTCATCTCGAGTTGATTTGGGGCACATGGAGCTGCTTTGCGTTGCTGGGGTGACCTCAGGGTCCGTCTAGACTGGTGACAGTGTTCTTGGGGACTGTCTCGACATCCATTAAGCAAGTCGAAGCTCCTGACTTGTTTGAATGGGATCACGGAATAGCTCTGCATGCACTGCAGGGGAATGGGGCCTCATCTCGCCTCTAGGGGGAAGTCTCATGGTTTTTCTCGAGTTGCGGCCGGGACCTGGGGTATGTTCTCGACTTACGGCGGGGATGGCCCTTCAAAACACGAGTTTCTTCAGTGACGTCAGGACTCCTGTCTAGTAACGAGGGACACCTCAGGAATCTCTTCGAGGCTTGGCAGGGCAAAAGGGACGCTTCTCGAGGTGAGGCAGGGCACCCAAGGACCCTTTCCAGTAGCCACAGGGATTTTGGGATTCCTATCAGTATTCAAGAGGAGTCAGGCATCGTCACCTTTTGAAGCAATGAACTCCGCGTGCCTCTCGAGGTGTCAGCGGGATGTGAGGCATTCCGTCAAAATGAGGCAGGGACCTAGGGCTTTCTCTAAGGTCTCCACAGGGGATTCAGACATCCCTTCATGTTGTCAGATGAAAGACGAGCCTGTATTCAAGCCACTGCAAGGAAATCCGGCCTCCTTTCAAGTTAGGGCTTCTCGCTGTATATTCCCCTTGAGGCAGCAAACTCGGGGTCCCTCCCACATACCTATTGCTGAGAGAAGCCTCCTCCTGAGGTGCTTCTGGGAAGTTGGCATACGTCTTGAGCCTAAGCCAGGGATTCAGCTCTCATCTCGAGACGATTTGGGGTACACGGAGCATTCCTCGAGTTGCTGTGCTGAAGTTGGTGTTCCTCTAGACTTGGGACAGTGTTCTCGGGGCATCTCTGGAGTTGCCTGAAGGAAGTCGAGCCACCGGTCGTGTTGAATGGGGAACGGGGAATGGCTCTGGAGTCAATGCAGGGGAATCGGGCCTCATCTCGAGTTGATTTGGGGCACATGGAGCTGCTTTGCGTTGCTGGGGTGACCTCAGGGTCCGTCTAGACTGGTGACAGTGTTCTTGGGCACTGTCTCGAGATCCATTAAGCAAGTCGAAGCTCCTGACTTGTTTGAATGGGATCACGGAATAGCTCTGCATGCACTGCAGGGGAATGGGGCCTCATCTCGCCTCTAGGGGGAAGTCTCATGGTTTTTCTCGAGTTGCGGCGGGGACCTGGGGTATGTTCTCGACTTACGGCGGGGATGGCCCTTCAAAACACGAGTTTCTTCAGTGACGTCAGGACTCCTGTCTAGTAACGAGGGACACCTCAGGAATCTCTTCAAGGCTTGGCAGGGCAAAAGGGACGCTTCTCGAGGTGAGGCAGGGCACCCAAGGACCCTTTCCAGTAGCCACAGGGATTTTGGGATTCCTATCAGTATTCAAGAGGAGTCAGGCATCGTCACCTTTTGAAGCAATGAACTCCGCGTGCCTCTCGAGGTGTCAGCGGGATGTGAGGCATTCCGTCAAAATGAGGCAGGGACCTAGGGCTTTCTCTAAGGTCTCCACAGGGGATTCAGACATCCCTTCATGTTGTGAGATGAAAGACGAGCCTGTATTCAAGCCACTGCAAGGAAATCCGGCCTCCTTTCAAGTTAGGGCTTCTCGCTGTATATTCCCCTTGAGGCAGCAAACTCGGGGTCCCTCCCACATACCTATTGCTGAGAGAAGCCTCCTCCTGAGGTGCTTCTGGGAAGTTGGCATACGTCTTCAGCCTAAGCCAGGGAATCAGCTCGCACCTCGAGACGATTTGGGGTACACGGAGCATTCCTCGAGTTGCTGTGCTGAAGTTGGTGTTCCTCTAGACTTGGGACAGTGTTCTCGGGGCATCTCTGGAGTTGCCTGAAGGAAGTCGAGCCACCGGTCGTGTTGAATGGGGAACGGGGAATGGCTCTGGAGTCAATGCAGGGGAATCGGGCCTCATCTCGAGTTGATTTGGGGCACATGGAGCTGCTTTGCGTTGCTGGGGTGACCTCAGGGTCCGTCTAGACTGGTGACAGTGTTCTTGGGGACTGTCTCGAGATCCATTAAGCAAGTCGAAGCTCCTGACTTGTTTGAATGGGATCACGGAATAGCTCTGCATGCACTGCAGGGGAATGGGGCCTCATCTCGCCTCTAGGGGGAAGTCTCATGGTTTTTCTCGAGTTGCGGCGGGGACCTGGGGTATGTTCTCGACTTACGGCGGGGATGGCCCTTCAAGACACGAGTTTCTTCAGTGACGTCAGGACTCCTGTCTAGTAACGAGGGACACCTCAGGAATCTCTTCGAGGCTTGGCAGGGCAAAAGGGACGCTTCTCGAGGTGAGGCAGGGCACCCAAGGACCCTTTCCAGTAGCCACAGGGATTTTGGGATTCCTATCAGTATTCAAGAGGAGTCAGGTATCGTCACCTTTTGAAGCAATGAACTCCGCATGCCTCTCGAGGTGTCAGCGGGATGTGAGGCATTCCGTCAAAATGAGGCAGGGACCTAGGGCTTTCTCTAAGGTCTCCACAGGGGATTCAGACATCCCTTCATGTTGTGAGATGAAAGACGAGCCTGTATTCAAGCCACTGCAAGGAAATCCGGCCTCCTTTCAAGTTAGGGCTTCTCGCTGTATATTCCCCTTGAGGCAGCAAACTCGGGGTCCCTCCCACATACCTATTGGTGAGAGAAGCCTCCTCCTGAGGTGCTTCTGGGAAGTTGGCATACGTCTTGAGCCTAAGCCAGGGAATCAGCTCGCATCTCGAGACGATTTGGGGTACACGGAGCATTCCTCGAGTTGCTGTGCTGAAGTTGGTGTTCCTCTAGACTTGGGACAGTGTTCTCGGGGCATCTCTGGAGTTGCCTGAAGGAAGTCGAGCCACCGGTCGTGTTGAATGGGGAACGGGGAATGGCTCTGCAGTCAATGCAGGGGAATCGGGCCTCATCTCGAGTTGATTTGGGGCACATGGAGCTGCTTTGCGTTGCTGGGGTGACCTCAGGGTCCGTCTAGACTGGTGACAGTGTTCTTGGGGACTGTCTCGAGATCCATTAAGCAAGTCGAAGCTCCTGACTTGTTTGAATGGGATCACGGAATAGCTCTGCATGCACTGCAGGGGAATGGGGCCTCATCTCGCCTCTAGGGGGAAGTCTCATGGTTTTTCTCGAGTTGCGGCGGGGACCTGGGGTATGTTCTCGACTTACGGCGGGGATGGCCCTTCAAAACACGAGTTTCTTCAGTGACGTCAGGACTCCTGTCTAGTAACGAGGGACACCTCAGGAATCTCTTCGAGGCTTGGCAGGGCAAAAGGGACGCTTCTCGAGGTGAGGCAGGGCACCCAAGGACCCTTTCCAGTAGCCACAGGGATTTTGGGATTCCTATCAGTATTCAAGAGGAGTCAGGCATCGTCACCTTTTGAAGCAATGAACTCCGCGTGCCTCTCGAGGTGTCAGCGCGATGTGAGGCATTCCGTCAAAATGAGGCAGGGACCTAGGGCTTTCTCTAAGGTCTCCACAGGGGATTCAGACATCCCTTCATGTTGTGAGATGAAAGACGAGCCTGTATTCAAGCCACTGCAAGGAAATCCGGCCTCCTTTCAAGTTAGGGCTTCTCACTGTATATTCCCCTTGAGGCAGCAAACTCGGGGTCCCTCCCACATACCTATTGCTGAGAGAAGCCTCCTCCTGAGGTGCTTCTGGGAAGTTGGCATACGTCTTGAGCCTAAGCCAGGGATTCAGCTCTCATCTCGAGACGATTTGGGGTACACGGAGCATTCCTCGAGTTGCTGTGCTGAAGTTGGTGTTCCTCTAGACTTGGGACAGTGTTCTCGGGGCATCTCTGGAGTTGCCTGAAGGAAGTCGAGCCACCGGTCGTGTTGAATGGGGAACGGGGAATGGCTCTGGAGTCAATGCAGGGGAATCGGGCCTCATCTCGAGTTGATTTGGGGCACATGGAGCTGCTTTGCGTTGCTGGGGTGACCTCAGGGTCCGTCTAGACTGGTGACAGTGTTCTTGGGGACTGTCTCGAGATCCATTAAGCAAGTCGAAGCTCCTGACTTGTTTGAATGGGATCACGGAATAGCTCTGCATGCACTGCAGGGGAATGGGGCCTCATCTCGCCTCTAGGAGGAAGTCTCATGGTTTTTCTCGAGTTGCGGCGGGGACCTGGGGTATGTTCTCGACTTACGGCGGGGATGGCCCTTCAAGACACGAGTTTCTTCAGTGACGTCAGGACTCCTGTCTAGTAACGAGGGACACCTCAGGAATCTCTTCGAGGCTTGGCAGGGCAAAAGGGACGCTTCTCGAGGTGAGGCAGGGCACCCAAGGACCCTTTCCAGTAGCCACAGGGATTTTGGGATTCCTATCAGTATTCAAGAGGAGTCAGGCATCGTCACCTTTTGAAGCAATGAACTCCGCGTGCCTCTCGAGGTGTCAGCGGGATGTGAGGCATTCCGTCAAAATGAGGCAGGGACCTAGGGCTTTCTCTAAGGTCTCCACAGGGGATTCAGACATCCCTTCATGTTGTGAGATGAAAGACGAGCCTGTATTCAAGCCACTGCAAGGAAATCCGGCCTCCTTTCAAGTTAGGGCTTCTCGCTGTATATTCCCCTTGAGGCAGCAAACTCGGGGTCCCTCCCACATACCTATTGCTGAGAGAAGCCTCCTCCTGAGGTGCTTCTGGGAAGTTGGCATACGTCTTCAGCCTAAGCCAGGGAATCAGCTCGCACCTCGAGACGATTTGGGGTACACGGAGCATTCCTCGAGTTGCTGTGCTGAAGTTGGTGTTCCTCTAGACTTGGGACAGTGTTCTCGGGGCATCTCTGGAGTTGCCTGAAGGAAGTCGAGCCACCGGTCGTGTTGAATGGGGAACGGGGAATGGCTCTGGAGTCAATGCAGGGGAATCGGGCCTCATCTCGAGTTGATTTGGGGCACATGGAGCTGCTTTGCGTTGCTGGGGTGACCTCAGGGTCCGTCTAGACTGGTGACAGTGTTCTTGGGGACTGTCTCGAGATCCATTAAGCAAGTCGAAGCTCCTGACTTGTTTGAATGGGATCACGGAATAGCTCTGCATGCACTGCAGGGGAATGGGGCCTCATCTCGCCTCTAGGGGGAAGTCTCATGGTTTTTCTCGAGTTGCGGCGGGGACCTGGGGTATGTTCTCGACTTACGGCGGGGATGGCCCTTCAAGACACGAGTTTCTTCAGTGACGTCAGGACTCCTGTCTAGTAACGAGGGACACCTCAGGAATCTCTTCGAGGCTTGGCAGGGCAAAAGGGACGCTTCTCGAGGTGAGGCAGGGCACCCAAGGACCCTTTCCAGTAGCCACAGGGATTTTGGGATTCCTATCAGTATTCAAGAGGAGTCAGGCATCGTCACCTTTTGAAGCAATGAACTCCGCGTGCCTCTCGAGGTGTCAGCGGGATGTGAGGCATTCCGTCAAAATGAGGCAGGGACCTAGGGCTTTCTCTAAGGTCTCCACAGGGGATTCAGACATCCCTTCATGTTGTGAGATGAAAGACGAGCCTGTATTCAAGCCACTGCAAGGAAATCCGGCCTCCTTTCAAGTTAGGGCTTCTCGCTGTATATTCCCCTTGAGGCAGCAAACTCGGGGTCCCTCCCACATACCTATTGGTGAGAGAAGCCTCCTCCTGAGGTGCTTCTGGGAAGTTGGCATACGTCTTGAGCCTAAGCCAGGGAATCAGCTCGCATCTCGAGACGATTTGGGGTACACGGAGCATTCCTCGAGTTGCTGTGCTGAAGTTGGTGTTCCTCTAGACTTGGGACATTGTTCTCGGGGCATCTCTGGAGTTGCCTGAAGGAAGTCGAGCCACCGGTCGTGTTGAATGGGGAACGGGGAATGGCTCTGGAGTCAATGCAGGGGAATCGGGCCTCATCTCGAGTTGATTTGGGGCACATGGAGCTGCTTTGCGTTGCTGGGGTGACCTCAGGGTCCGTCTAGACTGGTGACAGTGTTCTTGGGGACTGTCTCGAGATCCATTAAGCAAGTCGAAGCTCCTGACTTGTTTGAATGGGATCACGGAATAGCTCTGCATGCACTGCAGGGGAATGGGGCCTCATCTCGCCTCTAGGGGGAAGTCTCATGGTTTTTCTCGAGTTGCGGCGGGGACCTGGGGTATGTTCTCGACTTACGGCGGGGATGGCCCTTCAAAACACGAGTTTCTTCAGTGACGTCAGGACTCCTGTCTAGTAACGAGGGACACCTCAGGAATCTCTTCGAGGCTTGGCAGGGCAAAAGGGACGCTTCTCGAGGTGAGGCAGGGCACCCAAGGACCCTTTCCAGTAGCCACAGGGATTTTGGGATTCCTATCAGTATTCAAGAGGAGTCAGGCATCGTCACCTTTTGAAGCAATGAACTCCGCGTGCCTCTCGAGGTGTCAGCGCGATGTGAGGCATTCCGTCAAAATGAGGCAGGGACCTAGGGCTTTCTCTAAGGTCTCCACAGGGGATTCAGACATCCCTTCATGTTGTGAGATGAAAGACGAGCCTGTATTCAAGCCACTGCAAGGAAATCCGGCCTCCTTTCAAGTTAGGGCTTCTCGCTGTATATTCCCCTTGAGGCAGCAAACTCGGGGTCCCTCCCACATACCTATTGCTGAGAGAAGCCTCCTCCTGAGGTGCTTCTGGGAAGTTGGCATACGTCTTGAGCCTAAGCCAGGGAATCAGCTCGCATCTCGAGACGATTTGGGGTACACGGAGCATTCCTCGAGTTGCTGTGCTGAAGTTGGTGTTCCTCTAGACTTGGGACAGTGTTCTCGGGGCATCTCTGGAGTTGCCTGAAGGAAGTCGAGCCACCGGTCGTGTTGAATGGGGAACGGGGAATGGCTCTGGAGTCAATGCAGGGGAATCGGGCCTCATCTCGAGTTGATTTGGGGCACATGGAGCTGCTTTGCGTTGCTGGGGTGACCTCAGGGTCCGTCTAGACTGGTGACAGTGTTCTTGGGGACTGTCTCGAGATCCATTAAGCAAGTCGAAGCTCCTGACTTGTTTGAATGGGATCACGGAATAGCTCTGCATGCACTGCAGGGGAATGGGGCCTCATCTCGCCTCTAGGGGGAAGTCTCATGGTTTTTCTCGAGTTGCGGCGGGGACCTGGGGTATGTTCTCGACTTACGGCGGGGATGGCCCTTCAAGACACGAGTTTCTTCAGTGACGTCAGGACTCCTGTCTAGTAACGAGGGACACCTCAGGAATCTCTTCGAGGCTTGGCAGGGCAAAAGGGACGCTTCTCGAGGTGAGGCAGGGCACCCAAGGACCCTTTCCAGTAGCCACAGGGATTTTGGGATTCCTATCAGTATTCAAGAGGAGTCAGGCATCGTCACCTTTTGAAGCAATGAACTCCGCGTGCCTCTCGAGGTGTCAGCGCGATGTGAGGCATTCCGTCAAAATGAGGCAGGGACCTAGGGCTTTCTCTAAGGTCTCCACAGGGGATTCAGACATCCCTTCATGTTGTGAGATGAAAGACGAGCCTGTATTCAAGCCACTGCAAGGAAATCCGGCCTCCTTTCAAGTTAGGGCTTCTCGCTGTATATTCCCCTTGAGGCAGCAAACTCGGGGTCCCTCCCACATACCTATTGCTGAGAGAAGCCTCCTCCTGAGGTGCTTCTGGGAAGTTGGCATACGTCTTGAGCCTAAGCCAGGGAATCAGCTCGCACCTCGAGACGATTTGGGGTACACGGAGCATTCCTCGAGTTGCTGTGCTGAAGTTGGTGTTCCTCTAGACTTGGGACAGTGTTCTCGGGGCCTCTCTGGAGTTGCCTGAAGGAAGTCGAGCCACCGGTCGTGTTGAATGGGGAACGGGGAATGGCTCTGCAGTCAATGCAGGGGAATCGGGCCTCATCTCGAGTTGATTTGGGGCACATGGAGCTGCTTTGCGTTGCTGGGGTGACCTCAGGGTCCGTCTAGACTGGTGACAGTGTTCTTGGGGACTGTCTCGACATCCATTAAGCAAGTCGAAGCTCCTGACTTGTTTGAATGGGATCACGGAATAGCTCTGCATGCACTGCAGGGGAATGGGGCCTCATCTCGCCTCTAGGGGGAAGTCTCATGGTTTTTCTCGAGTTGCGGCGGGGACCTGGGGTATGTTCTCGACTTACGGCGGGGATGGCCCTTCAAGACACGAGTTTCTTCAGTGACGTCAGGACTCCTGTCTAGTAACGAGGGACACCTCAGGAATCTCTTCGAGGCTTGGCAGGGCAAAAGGGACGCTTCTCGAGGTGAGGCAGGGCACCCAAGGACCCTTTCCAGTAGCCACAGGGATTTTGGGATTCCTATCAGTATTCAAGAGGAGTCAGGCATCGTCACCTTTTGAAGCAATGAACTCCGCGTGCCTCTCGAGGTGTCAGCGGGATGTGAGGCATTCCGTCAAAATGAGGCAGGGACCTAGGGCTTTCTCTAAGGTCTCCACAGGGGATTGAGACATCCCTTCATGTTGTGAGATGAAAGACGAGCCTGTATTCAAGCCACTGCAAGGAAATCCGGCCTCCTTTCAAGTTAGGGCTTCTCGCTGTATATTCCCCTTGAGGCAGCAAACTCGGGGTCCCTCCCACATACCTATTGGTGAGAGAAGCCTCCTCCTGAGGTGCTTCTGGGAAGTTGGCATACGTCTTGAGCCTAAGCCAGGGAATCAGCTCGCACCTCGAGACGATTTGGGGTACACGGAGCATTCCTCGAGTTGCTGTGCTGAAGTTGGTGTTCCTCTAGACTTGGGACAGTGTTCTCGGGGCATCTCTGGAGTTGCCTGAAGGAAGTCGAGCCACCGGTCGTGTTGAATGGGGAACGGGGAATGGCTCTGGAGTCAATGCAGGGGAATCGGGCCTCATCTCGAGTTGATTTGGGGCACATGGAGCTGCTTTGCGTTGCTGGGGTGACCTCAGGGTCCGTCTAGACTGGTGACAGTGTTCTTGGGGACTGTCTCGAGATCCATTAAGCAAGTCGAAGCTCCTGACTTGTTTGAATGGGATCACGGAATAGCTCTGCATGCACTGCAGGGGAATGGGGCCTCATCTCGCCTCTAGGGGGAAGTCTCATGGTTTTTCTCGAGTTGCGGCGGGGACCTGGGGTATGTTCTCGACTTACGGCGGGGATGGCCCTTCAAAACACGAGTTTCTTCAGTGACGTCAGGACTCCTGTCTAGTAACGAGGGACACCTCAGGAATCTCTTCGAGGCTTGGCAGGGCAAAAGGGACGCTTCTCGAGGTGAGGCAGGGCACCCAAGGACCCTTTCAAGTAGCCACAGGGATTTTGGGATTCCTATCAGTATTCAAGAGGAGTCAGGCATCGTCACCTTTTGAAGCAATGAACTCCGCGTGCCTCTCGAGGTGTCAGCGCGATGTGAGGCATTCCGTCAAAATGAGGCAGGGACCTAGGGCTTTCTCTAAGGTCTCCACAGGGGATTCAGACATCCCTTCATGTTGTGAGATGAAAGACGAGCCTGTATTCAAGCCACTGCAAGGAAATCCGGCCTCCTTTCAAGTTAGGGCTTCTCGCTGTATATTCCCCTTGAGGCAGCAAACTCGGGGTCCCTCCCACATACCTATTGCTGAGAGAAGCCTCCTCCTGAGGTGCTTCTGGGAAGTTGGCATACGTCTTGAGCCTAAGCCAGGGATTCAGCTCTCATCTCGAGACGATTTGGGGTACACGGAGCATTCCTCGAGTTGCTGTGCTGAAGTTGGTGTTCCTCTAGACTTGGGACAGTGTTCTCGGGGCATCTCTGGAGTTGCCTGAAGGAAGTCGAGCCACCGGTCGTGTTGAATGGGGAACGGGGAATGGCTCTGGAGTCAATGCAGGGGAATCGGGCCTCATCTCGAGTTGATTTGGGGCACATGGAGCTGCTTTGCGTTGCTGGGGTGACCTCAGGGTCCGTCTAGACTGGTGACAGTGTTCTTGGGGACTGTCTCGAGATCCATTAAGCAAGTCGAAGCTCCTGACTTGTTTGAATGGGATCACGGAATAGCTCTGCATGCACTGCAGGGGAATGGGGCCTCATCTCGCCTCTAGGGGGAAGTCTCATGGTTTTTCTCGAGTTGCGGCGGGGACCTGGGGTATGTTCTCGACTTACGGCGGGGATGGCCCTTCAAAACACGAGTTTCTTCAGTGACGTCAGGACTCCTGTCTAGTAACGAGGGACACCTCAGGAATCTCTTCGAGGCTTGGCAGGGCAAAAGGGACGCTTCTCGAGGTGAGGCAGGGCACCCAAGGACCCTTTCCAGTAGCCACAGGGATTTTGGGATTCCTATCAGTATTCAAGAGGAGTCAGGCATCGTCACCTTTTGAAGCAATGAACTCCGCGTGCCTCTCGATTTGTCAGCGGGATGTGAGGCATTCCGTCAAAATGAGGCAGGGACCTAGGGCTTTCTCTAAGGTCTCTACAGGGGATTCAGACATCCCTTCATGTTGTGAGATGAAAGACGAGCCTGTATTCAAGCCACTGCAAGGAAATCCGGCCTCCTTTCAAGTTAGGGCTTCTCGCTGTATATTCCCCTTGAGGCAGCAAACTCGGGGTCCCTCCCACATACCTATTGGTGAGAGAAGCCTCCTCCTGAGGTGCTTCTGGGAAGTTGGCATACGTCTTGAGCCTAAGCCAGGGAATCAGCTCGCATCTCGAGACGATTTGGGGTACACGGAGCATTCCTCGAGTTGCTGTGCTGAAGTTGGTGTTCCTCTAGACTTGGGACAGTGTTCTCGGGGCATCTCTGGAGTTGCCTGAAGGAAGTCGAGCCACCGGTCGTGTTGAATGGGGAACGGGGAATGGCTCTGGAGTCAATGCAGGGGAATCGGGCCTCATCTCGAGTTGATTTGGGGCACATGGAGCTGCTTTGCGTTGCTGGGGTGACCTCAGGGTCCGTCTAGACTGGTGACAGTGTTCTTGGGGACTGTCTCGAGATCCATTAAGCAAGTCGAAGCTCCTGACTTGTTTGAATGGGATCACGGAATAGCTCTGCATGCACTGCAGGGGAATGGGGCCTCATCTCGCCTCTAGGGGGAAGTCTCATGGTTTTTCTCGAGTTGCGGCGGGGACCTGGGGTATGTTCTCGACTTACGGCGGGGATGGCCCTTCAAAACACGAGTTTCTTCAGTGACGTCAGGACTCCTGTCTAGTAACGAGGGACACCTCAGGAATCTCTTCGAGGCTTGGCAGGGCAAAAGGGATGCTTCTCGAGGTGAGGCAGGGCACCCAAGGACCCTTTCCAGTAGCCACAGGGATTTTGGGATTCCTATCAGTATTCAAGAGGAGTCAGGCATCGTCACCTTTTGAAGCAATGAACTCCGCGTGCCTCTCGAGGTGTCAGCGCGATGTGAGGCATTCCGTCAAAATGAGGCAGGGACCTAGGGCTTTCTCTAAGGTCTCCACAGGGGATTCAGACATCCCTTCATGTTGTGAGATGAAAGACGAGCCTGTATTCAAGCCACTGCAAGGAAATCCGGCCTCCTTTCAAGTTAGGGCTTCTCGCTGTATATTCCCCTTGAGGCAGCAAACTCGGGGTCCCTCCCACATACCTATTGGTGAGAGAAGCCTCCTCCTGAGGTGCTTCTGGGAAGTTGGCATACGTCTTGAGCCTAAGCCAGGGAATCAGCTCGCATCTCGAGACGATTTGGGGTACACGGAGCATTCCTCGAGTTGCTGTGCTGAAGTTGGTGTTCCTCTAGACTTGGGACAGTGTTCTCGGGGCATCTCTGGAGTTGCCTGAAGGAAGTCGAGCCACCGGTCGTGTTGAATGGGGAACGGGGAATGGCTCTGGAGTCAATGCAGGGGAATCGGGCCTCATCTCGAGTTGATTTGGGGCACATGGAGCTGCTTTGCGTTGCTGGGGTGACCTCAGGGTCCGTCTAGACTGGTGACAGTGTTCTTGGGGACTGTCTCGAGATCCATTAAGCAAGTCGAAGCTCCTGACTTGTTTGAATGGGATCACGGAATAGCTCTGCATGCACTGCAGGGGAATGGGGCCTCATCTCGCCTCTAGGGGGAAGTCTCATGGTTTTTCTCGAGTTGCGGCGGGGACCTGGGGTATGTTCTCGACTTACGGCCGGGATGGCCCTTCAAAACACGAGTTTCTTCAGTGACGTCAGGACTCCTGTCTAGTAACGAGGGACACCTCAGGAATCTCTTCGAGGCTTGGCAGGGCAAAAGGGACGCTTCTCGAGGTGAGGCAGGGCACCCAAGGACCCTTTCCAGTAGCCACAGGGATTTTGGGATTCCTATCAGTATTCAAGAGGAGTCAGGCATCGTCACCTTTTGAAGCAATGAACTCCGCGTGCCTCTCGAGGTGTCAGCGCGATGTGAGGCATTCCGTCAAAATGAGGCAGGGACCTAGGGCTTTCTCTAAGGTCTCCACAGGGGATTCAGACATCCCTTCATGTTGTGAGATGAAAGACGAGCCTGTATTCAAGCCACTGCAAGGAAATCCGGCCTCCTTTCAAGTTAGGGCTTCTCGCTGTATATTCCCCTTGAGGCAGCAAACTCGGGGTCCCTCCCACATACCTATTGCTGAGAGAAGCCTCCTCCTGAGGTGCTTCTGGGAAGTTGGCATACGTCTTGAGCCTAAGCCAGGGAATCAGCTCGCACCTCGAGACGATTTGGGGTACACGGAGCATTCCTCGAGTTGCTGTGCTGAAGTTGGTGTTCCTCTAGACTTGGGACAGTGTTCTCGGGGCATCTCTGGAGTTGCCTGAAGGAAGTCGAGCCACCGGTCGTGTTGAATGGGGAACGGGGAATGGCTCTGCAGTCAATGCAGGGGAATCGGGCCTCATCTCGAGTTGATTTGGGGCACATGGAGCTGCTTTGCGTTGCTGGGGTGACCTCAGGGTCCGTCTAGACTGGTGACAGTGTTCTTGGGGACTGTCTCGACATCCATTAAGCAAGTCGAAGCTCCTGACTTGTTTGAATGGGATCACGGAATAGCTCTGCATGCACTGCAGGGGAATGGGGCCTCATCTCGCCTCTAGGGGGAAGTCTCATGGTTTTTCTCGAGTTGCGGCGGGGACCTGGGGTATGTTCTCGACTTACGGCGGGGATGGCCCTTCAAGACACGAGTTTCTTCAGTGACGTCAGGACTCCTGTCTAGTAACGAGGGACACCTCAGGAATCTCTTCGAGGCTTGGCAGGGCAAAAGGGACGCTTCTCGAGGTGAGGCAGGGCACCCAAGGACCCTTTCCAGTAGCCACAGGGATTTTGGGATTCCTATCAGTATTCAAGAGGAGTCAGGTATCGTCACCTTTTGAAGCAATGAACTCCGCATGCCTCTCGAGGTGTCAGCGGGATGTGAGGCATTCCGTCAAAATGAGGCAGGGACCTAGGGCTTTCTCTAAGGTCTCCACAGGGGATTCAGACATCCCTTCATGTTGTGAGATGAAAGACGAGCCTGTATTCAAGCCACTGCAAGGAAATCCGGCCTCCTTTCAAGTTAGGGCTTCTCGCTGTATATTCCCCTTGAGGCAGCAAACTCGGGGTCCCTCCCACATACCTATTGGTGAGAGAAGCCTCCTCCTGAGGTGCTTCTGGGAAGTTGGCATACGTCTTGAGCCTAAGCCAGGGAATCAGCTCGCATCTCGAGACGATTTGGGGTACACGGAGCATTCCTCGAGTTGCTGTGCTGAAGTTGGTGTTCCTCTAGACTTGGGACAGTGTTCTCGGGGCATCTCTGGAGTTGCCTGAAGGAAGTCGAGCCACCGGTCGTGTTGAATGGGGAACGGGGAATGGCTCTGGAGTCAATGCAGGGGAATCGGGCCTCATCTCGAGTTGATTTGGGGCACATGGAGCTGCTTTGCGTTGCTGGGGTGACCTCAGGGTCCGTCTAGACTGGTGACAGTGTTCTTGGGGACTGTCTCGAGATCCATTAAGCAAGTCGAAGCTCCTGACTTGTTTGAATGGGATCACGGAATAGCTCTGCATGCACTGCAGGGGAATGGGGCCTCATCTCGCCTCTAGGGGGAAGTCTCATGGTTTTTCTCGAGTTGCGGCGGGGACCTGGGGTATGTTCTCGACTTACGGCGGGGATGGCCCTTCAAAACACGAGTTTCTTCAGTGACGTCAGGACTCCTGTCTAGTAACGAGGGACACCTCAGGAATCTCTTCGAGGCTTGGCAGGGCAAAAGGGACGCTTCTCGAGGTGAGGCAGGGCACCCAAGGACCCTTTCCAGTAGCCACAGGGATTTTGGGATTCCTATCAGTATTCAAGAGGAGTCAGGCATCGTCACCTTTTGAAGCAATGAACTCCGCGTGCCTCTCGAGGTGTCAGCGCGATGTGAGGCATTCCGTCAAAATGAGGCAGGGACCTAGGGCTTTCTCTAAGGTCTCCACAGGGGATTCAGACATCCCTTCATGTTGTGAGATGAAAGACGAGCCTGTATTCAAGCCACTGCAAGGAAATCCGGCCTCCTTTCAAGTTAGGGCTTCTCGCTGTATATTCCCCTTGAGGCAGCAAACTCGGGGTCCCTCCCACATACCTATTGCTGAGAGAAGCCTCCTCCTGAGGTGCTTCTGGGAAGTTGGCATACGTCTTGAGCCTAAGCCAGGGAATCAGCTCGCATCTCGAGACGATTTGGGGTACACGGAGCATTCCTCGAGTTGCTGTGCTGAAGTTGGTGTTCCTCTAGACTTGGGACAGTGTTCTCGGGGCATCTCTGGAGTTGCCTGAAGGAAGTCGAGCCACCGGTCGTGTTGAATGGGGAACGGGGAATGGCTCTGGAGTCAATGCAGGGGAATCGGGCCTCATCTCGAGTTGATTTGGGGCACATGGAGCTGCTTTGCGTTGCTGGGGTGACCTCAGGGTCCGTCTAGACTGGTGACAGTGTTCTTGGGGACTGTCTCGAGATCCATTAAGCAAGTCGAAGCTCCTGACTTGTTTGAATGGGATCACGGAATAGCTCTGCATGCACTGCAGGGGAATGGGGCCTCATCTCGCCTCTAGGGGGAAGTCTCATGGTTTTTCTCGAGTTGCGGCGGGGACCTGGGGTATGTTCTCGACTTACGGCGGGGATGGCCCTTCAAAACACGAGTTTCTTCAGTGACGTCAGGACTCCTGTCTAGTAACGAGGGACACCTCAGGAATCTCTTCGAGGCTTGGCAGGGCAAAAGGGACGCTTCTCGAGGTGAGGCAGGGCACCCAAGGACCCTTTCCAGTAGCCACAGGGATTTTGGGATTCCTATCAGTATTCAAGAGGAGTCAGGCATCGTCACCTTTTGAAGCAATGAACTCCGCGTGCCTCTCGAGGTGTCAGCGCGATGTGAGGCATTCCGTCAAAATGAGGCAGGGACCTAGGGCTTTCTCTAAGGTCTCCACAGGGGATTCAGACATCCCTTCATGTTGTGAGATGAAAGACGAGCCTGTATTCAAGCCACTGCAAGGAAATCCGGCCTCCTTTCAAGTTAGGGCTTCTCGCTGTATATTCCCCTTGAGGCAGCAAACTCGGGGTCCCTCCCACATACCTATTGCTGAGAGAAGCCTCCTCCTGAGGTGCTACTGGGAAGTTGGCATACGTCTTGAGCCTAAGCCAGGGATTCAGCTCTCATCTCGAGACGATTTGGGGTACACGGAGCATTCCTCGAGTTGCTGTGCTGAAGTTGGTGTTCCTCTAGACTTGGGACAGTGTTCTCGGGGCATCTCTGGAGTTGCCTGAAGGAAGTCGAGCCACCGGTCGTGTTGAATGGGGAACGGGGAATGGCTCTGGAGTCAATGCAGGGGAATCGGGGCTCATCTCGAGTTGATTTGGGGCACATGGAGCTGCTTTGCGTTGCTGGGGTGACCTCAGGGTCCGTCTAGACTGGTGACAGTGTTCTTGGGGACTGTCTCGAGATCCATTAAGCAAGTCGAAGCTCCTGACTTGTTTGAATGGGATCACGGAATAGCTCTGCATGCACTGCAGGGGAATGGGGCCTCATCTCGCCTCTAGGGGGAAGTCTCATGGTTTTTCTCGAGTTGCGGCGGGGACCTGGGGTATGTTCTCGACTTACGGCGGGGATGGCCCTTCAAAACACGAGTTTCTTCAGTGACGTCAGGACTCCTGTCTAGTAACGAGGGACACCTCAGGAATCTCTTCGAGGCTTGGCAGGGCAAAAGGGACGCTTCTCGAGGTGAGGCAGGGCACCCAAGGACCCTTTCCAGTAGCCACAGGGATTTTGGGATTCCTATCAGTATTCAAGAGGAGTCAGGCATCGTCACCTTTTGAAGCAATGAACTCCGCGTGCCTCTCGAGGTGTCAGCGCGATGTGAGGCATTCCGTCAAAATGAGGCAGGGACCTAGGGCTTTCTCTAAGGTCTCCACAGGGGATTCAGACATCCCTTCATGTTGTGAGATGAAAGACGAGCCTGTATTCAAGCCACTGCAAGGAAATCCGGCCTCCTTTCAAGTTAGGGCTTCTCACTGTATATTCCCCTTGAGGCAGCAAACTCGGGGTCCCTCCCACATACCTATTGCTGAGAGAAGCCTCCTCCTGAGGTGCTTCTGGGAAGTTGGCATACGTCTTGAGCCTAAGCCAGGGATTCAGCTCTCATCTCGAGACGATTTGGGGTACACGGAGCATTCCTCGAGTTGCTGTGCTGAAGTTGGTGTTCCTCTAGACTTGGGACAGTGTTCTCGGGGCATCTCTGGAGTTGCCTGAAGGAAGTCGAGCCACCGGTCGTGTTGAATGGGGAACGGGGAATGGCTCTGGAGTCAATGCAGGGGAATCGGGCCTCATCTCGAGTTGATTTGGGGCACATGGAGCTGCTTTGCGTTGCTGGGGTGACCTCAGGGTCCGTCTAGACTGGTGACAGTGTTCTTGGGGACTGTCTCGAGATCCATTAAGCAAGTCGAAGCTCCTGACTTGTTTGAATGGGATCACGGAATAGCTCTGCATGCACTGCAGGGGAATGGGGCCTCATCTCGCCTCTAGGGGGAAGTCTCATGGTTTTTCTCGAGTTGCGGCGGGGACCTGGGGTATGTTCTCGACTTACGGCGGGGATGGCCCTTCAAGACACGAGTTTCTTCAGTGACGTCAGGACTCCTGTCTAGTAACGAGGGACACCTCAGGAATCTCTTCGAGGCTTGGCAGGGCAAAAGGGACGCTTCTCGAGGTGAGGCAGGGCACCCAAGGACCCTTTCCAGTAGCCACAGGGATTTTGGGATTCCTATCAGTATTCAAGAGGAGTCAGGCATCGTCACCTTTTGAAGCAATGAACTCCGCGTGCCTCTCGAGGTGTCAGCGGGATGTGAGGCATTCCGTCAAAATGAGGCAGGGACCTAGGGCTTTCTCTAAGGTCTCCACAGGGGATTCAGACATCCCTTCATGTTGTGAGATGAAAGACGAGCCTGTATTCAAGCCACTGCAAGGAAATCCGGCCTCCTTTCAAGTTAGGGCTTCTCGCTGTATATTCCCCTTGAGGCAGCAAACTCGGGGTCCCTCCCACATACCTATTGGTGAGAGAAGCCTCCTCCTGAGGTGCTTCTGGGAAGTTGGCATACGTCTTCAGCCTAAGCCAGGGAATCAGCTCGCACCTCGAGACGATTTGGGGTACACGGAGCATTCCTCGAGTTGCTGTGCTGAAGTTGGTGTTCCTCTAGACTTGGGACAGTGTTCTCGGGGCATCTCTGGAGTTGCCTGAAGGAAGTCGAGCCACCGGTCGTGTTGAATGGGGAACGGGGAATGGCTCTGGAGTCAATGCAGGGGAATCGGGCCTCATCTCGAGTTGATTTGGGGCACATGGAGCTGCTTTGCGTTGCTGGGGTGACCTCAGGGTCCGTCTAGACTGGTGACAGTGTTCTTGGGGACTGTCTCGAGATCCATTAAGCAAGTCGAAGCTCCTGACTTGTTTGAATGGGATCACGGAATAGCTCTGCATGCACTGCAGGGGAATGGGGCCTCATCTCGCCTCTAGGGGGAAGTCTCATGGTTTTTCTCGAGTTGCGGCGGGGACCTGGGGTATGTTCTCGACTTACGGCGGGGATGGCCCTTCAAAACACGAGTTTCTTCAGTGACGTCAGGACTCCTGTCTAGTAACGAGGGACACCTCAGGAATCTCTTCGAGGCTTGGCAGGGCAAAAGGGACGCTTCTCGAGGTGAGGCAGGGCACCCAAGGACCCTTTCCAGTAGCCACAGGGATTTTGGGATTCCTATCAGTATTCAAGAGGAGTCAGGCATCGTCACCTTTTGAAGCAATGAACTCCGCGTGCCTCTCGAGGTGTCAGCGGGATGTGAGGCATTCCGTCAAAATGAGGCAGGGACCTAGGGCTTTCTCTAAGGTCTCCACAGGGGATTCAGACATCCCTTCATGTTGTGAGATGAAAGACGAGCCTGTATTCAAGCCACTGCAAGGAAATCCGGCCTCCTTTCAAGTTAGGGCTTCTCGCTGTATATTCCCCTTGAGGCAGCAAACTCGGGGTCCCTCCCACATACCTATTGGTGAGAGAAGCCTCCTCCTGAGGTGCTTCTGGGAAGTTGGCATACGTCTTGAGCCTAAGCCAGGGAATCAGCTCGCATCTCAAGACGATTTGGGGTACACGGAGCATTCCTCGAGTTGCTGTGCTGAAGTTGGTGTTCCTCTAGACTTGGGACAGTGTTCTCGGGGCATCTCTGGAGTTGCCTGAAGGAAGTCGAGCCACCGGTCGTGTTGAATGGGGAACGGGGAATGGCTCTGGAGTCAATGCAGGGGAATCGGGCCTCATCTCGAGTTGATTTGGGGCACATGGAGCTGCTTTGCGTTGCTGGGGTGACCTCAGGGTCCGTCTAGACTGGTGACAGTGTTCTTGGGGACTGTCTCGATATCCATTAAGCAAGTCGAAGCTCCTGACTTGTTTGAATGGGATCACGGAATAGCTCTGCATGCACTGCACGGGAATGGGGCCTCATCTCGCCTCTAGGGGGAAGTCTCATGGTTTTTCTCGAGTTGCGGCGGGGACCTGGGGTATGTTCTCGACTTACGGCGGGGATGGCCCTTCAAAACACGAGTTTCTTCAGTGACGTCAGGACTCCTGTCTAGTAACGAGGGACACCTCAGGAATCTCTTCGAGGCTTGGCAGGGCAAAAGGGACGCTTCTCGAGGTGAGGCAGGGCACCCAAGGACCCTTTCCAGTAGCCACAGGGATTTTGGGATTCCTATCAGTATTCAAGAGGAGTCAGGCATCGTCACCTTTTGAAGCAATGAACTCCGCGTGCCTCTCGAGGTGTCAGCGCGATGTGAGGCATTCCGTCAAAATGAGGCAGGGACCTAGGGCTTTCTCTAAGGTCTCCACAGGGGATTCAGACATCCCTTCATGTTGTGAGATGAAAGACGAGCCTGTATTCAAGCCACTGCAAGGAAATCCGGCCTCCTTTCAAGTTAGGGCTTCTCGCTGTATATTCCCCTTGAGGCAGCAAACTCGGGGTCCCTCCCACATACCTATTGCTGAGAGAAGCCTCCTCCTGAGGTGCTTCTGGGAAGTTGGCATACGTCTTGAGCCTAAGCCAGGGAATCAGCTCGCACCTCGAGACGATTTGGGGTACACGGAGCATTCCTCGAGTTGCTGTGCTGAAGTTGGTGTTCCTCTAGACTTGGGACAGTGTTCTCGGGGCATCTCTGGAGTTGCCTGAAGGAAGTCGAGCCACCGGTCGTGTTGAATGGGGAACGGGGAATGGCTCTGGAGTCAATGCAGGGGAATCGGGCCTCATCTCGAGTTGATTTGGGGCACATGGAGCTCCTTTGCGTTGCTGGGGTGACCTCAGGGTCCGTCTAGACTGGTGACAGTGTTCTTGGGGACTGTCTCGAGATCCATTAAGCAAGTCGAAGCTCCTGACTTGTTTGAATGGGATCACGGAATAGCTCTGCATGCACTGCAGGGGAATGGGGCCTCATCTCGCCTCTAGGGGGAAGTCTCATGGTTTTTCTCGAGTTGCGGCGGGGACCTGGGGTATGTTCTCGACTTACGGCGGGGATGGCCCTTCAAAACACGAGTTTCTTCAGTGACGTCAGGACTCCTGTCTAGTAACGAGGGACACCTCAGGAATCTCTTCGAGGCTTGGCAGGGCAAAAGGGACGCTTCTCGAGGTGAGGCAGGGCACCCAAGGACCCTTTCCAGTAGCCACAGGGATTTTGGGATTCCTATCAGTATTCAAGAGGAGTCAGGCATCGTCACCTTTTGAAGCAATGAACTCCGCGTGCCTCTCGAGGTGTCAGCGCGATGTGAGGCATTCCGTCAAAATGAGGCAGGGACCTAGGGCTTTCTCTAAGGTCTCCACAGGGGATTCAGACATCCCTTCATGTTGTGAGATGAAAGACGAGCCTGTATTCAAGCCACTGCAAGGAAATCCGGCCTCCTTTCAAGTTAGGGCTTCTCGCTGTATATTCCCCTTGAGGCAGCAAACTCGGGGTCCCTCCCACATACCTATTGGTGAGAGAAGCCTCCTCCTGAGGTGCTTCTGGGAAGTTGGCATACGTCTTGAGCCTAAGCCAGGGAATCAGCTCGCATCTCGAGACGATTTGGGGTACACGGAGCATTCCTCGAGTTGCTGTGCTGAAGTTGGTGTTCCTCTAGACTTGGGACAGTGTTCTCGGGGCATCTCTGGAGTTGCCTGAAGGAAGTCGAGCCACCGGTCATGTTGAATGGGGAACGGGGAATGGCTCTGGAGTCAATGCAGGGGAATCGGGCCTCATCTCGAGTTGATTTGGGGCACATGGAGCTGCTTTGCGTTGCTGGGGTGACCTCAGGGTCCGTCTAGACTGGTGACAGTGTTCTTGGGGACTGTCTCGAGATCCATTAAGCAAGTCGAAGCTCCTGACTTGTTTGAATGGGATCACGGAATAGCTCTGCATGCACTGCAGGGGAATGGGGCCTCATCTCGCCTCTAGGGGGAAGTCTCATGGTTTTTCTCGAGTTGCGGCGGGGACCTGGGGTATGTTCTCGACTTACGGCGGGGATGGCCCTTCAAAACACGAGTTTCTTCAGTGACGTCAGGACTCCTGTCTAGTAACGAGGGACACCTCAGGAATCTCTTCGAGGCTTGGCAGGGCAAAAGGGACGCTTCTCGAGGTGAGGCAGGGCACCCAAGGACCCTTTCCAGTAGCCACAGGGATTTTGGGATTCCTATCAGTATTCAAGAGGAGTCAGGCATCGTCACCTTTTGAAGCAATGAACTCCGCGTGCCTCTCGAGGTGTCAGCGCGATGTGAGGCATTCCGTCAAAATGAGGCAGGGACCTAGGGCTTTCTCTAAGGTCTCCACAGGGGATTCAGACATCCCTTCATGTTGTGAGATGAAAGACGAGCCTGTATTCAAGCCACTGCAAGGAAATCCGGCCTCCTTTCAAGTTAGGGCTTCTCGCTGTATATTCCCCTTGAGGCAGCAAACTCGGGGTCCCTCCCACATACCTATTGCTGAGAGAAGCCTCCTCCTGAGGTGCTTCTGGGAAGTTGGCATACGTCTTGAGCCTAAGCCAGGGATTCAGCTCTCATCTCGAGACGATTTGGGGTACACGGAGCATTCCTCGAGTTGCTGTGCTGAAGTTGGTGTTCCTCTAGACTTGGGACAGTGTTCTCGGGGCATCTCTGGAGTTGCCTGAAGGAAGTCGAGCCACCGGTCGTGTTGAATGGGGAACGGGGAATGGCTCTGGAGTCAATGCAGGGGAATCGGGCCTCATCTCGAGTTGATTTGGGGCACATGGAGCTGCTTTGCGTTGCTGGGGTGACCTCAGGGTCCGTCTAGACTGGTGACAGTGTTCTTGGGGACTGTCTCGAGATCCATTAAGCAAGTCGAAGCTCCTGACTTGTTTGAATGGGATCACGGAATAGCTCTGCATGCACTGCAGGGGAATGGGGCCTCATCTCGCCTCTAGGGGGAAGTCTCATGGTTTTTCTCGAGTTGCGGCGGGGACCTGGGGTATGTTCTCGACTTACGGCGGGGATGGCCCTTCAAAACACGAGTTTCTTCAGTGACGTCAGGACTCCTGTCTAGTAACGAGGGACACCTCAGGAATCTCTTCGAGGCTTGGCAGGGCAAAAGGGACGCTTCTCGAGGTGAGGCAGGGCACCCAAGGACCCTTTCCAGTAGCCACAGGGATTTTGGGATTCCTATCAGTATTCAAGAGGAGTCAGGCATCGTCACCTTTTGAAGCAATGAACTCCGCGTGCCTCTCGAGGTGTCAGCGCGATGTGAGGCATTCCGTCAAAATGAGGCAGGGACCTAGGGCTTTCTCTAAGGTCTCCACAGGGGATTCAGACATCCCTTCATGTTGTGAGATGAAAGACGAGCCTGTATTCAAGCCACTGCAAGGAAATCCGGCCTCCTTTCAAGTTAGGGCTTCTCACTGTATATTCCCCTTGAGGCAGCAAACTCGGGGTCCCTCCCACATACCTATTGCTGAGAGAAGCCTCCTCCTGAGGTGCTTCTGGGAAGTTGGCATACGTCTTGAGCCTAAGCCAGGGATTCAGCTCTCATCTCGAGACGATTTGGGGTACACGGAGCATTCCTCGAGTTGCTGTGCTGAAGTTGGTGTTCCTCTAGACTTGGGACAGTGTTCTCGGGGCATCTCTGGAGTTGCCTGAAGGAAGTTGAGCCACCGGTCGTGTTGAATGGGGAACGGGGAATGGCTCTGGAGTCAATGCAGGGGAATCGGGCCTCATCTCGAGTTGATTTGGGGCACATGGAGCTGCTTTGCGTTGCTGGGGTGACCTCAGGGTCCGTCTAGACTGGTGACAGTGTTCTTGGGGACTGTCTCGAGATCCATTAAGCAAGTCGAAGCTCCTGACTTGTTTGAATGGGATCACGGAATAGCTCTGCATGCACTGCAGGGGAATGGGGCCTCATCTCGCCTCTAGGGGGAAGTCTCATGGTTTTTCTCGAGTTGCGGCGGGGACCTGGGGTATGTTCTCGACTTACGGCGGGGATGGCCCTTCAAAACACGAGTTTCTTCAGTGACGTCAGGACTCCTGTCTAGTAACGAGGGACACCTCAGGAATCTCTTCGAGGCTTGGCAGGGCAAAAGGGATGCTTCTCGAGGTGAGGCAGGGCACCCAAGGACCCTTTCCAGTAGCCACAGGGATTTTGGGATTCCTATCAGTATTCAAGAGGAGTCAGGCATCGTCACCTTTTGAAGCAATGAACTCCGCGTGCCTCTCGAGGTGTCAGCGCGATGTGAGGCATTCCGTCAAAATGAGGCAGGGACCTAGGGCTTTCTCTAAGGTCTCCACAGGGGATTCAGACATCCCTTCATGTTGTGAGATGAAAGACGAGCCTGTATTCAAGCCACTGCAAGGAAATCCGGCCTCCTTTCAAGTTAGGGCTTCTCGCTGTATATTCCCCTTGAGGCAGCAAACTCGGGGTCCCTCCCACATACCTATTGCTGAGAGAAGCCTCCTCCTGAGGTGCTTCTGGGAAGTTGGCATACGTCTTGAGCCTAAGCCAGGGAATCAGCTCGCATCTCGAGACGATTTGGGGTACACGGAGCATTCCTCGAGTTGCTGTGCTGAAGTTGGTGTTCCTCTAGACTTGGGACAGTGTTCTCGGGGCATCTCTGGAGTTGCCTGAAGGAAGTCGAGCCACCGGTCGTGTTGAATGGGGAACGGGGAATGGCTCTGGAGTCAATGCAGGGGAATCGGGCCTCATCTCGAGTTGATTTGGGGCACATGGAGCTGCTTTGCGTTGCTGGGGTGACCTCAGGGTCCGTCTAGACTGGTGACAGTGTTCTTGGGGACTGTCTCGAGATCCATTAAGCAAGTCGAAGCTCCTGACTTGTTTGAATGGGATCACGGAATAGCTCTGCATGCACTGCAAGGGAATGGGGCCTCATCTCGCCTCTAGGGGGAAGTCTCATGGTTTTTCTCGAGTTGCGGCGGGGACCTGGGGTATGTTCTCGACTTACGGCGGGGATGGCCCTTCAAGACACGAGTTTCTTCAGTGACGTCAGGACTCCTGTCTAGTAACGAGGGACACCTCAGGAATCTCTTCGAGGCTTGGCAGGGCAAAAGGGACGCTTCTCGAGGTGAGGCAGGGCACCCAAGGACCCTTTCCAGTAGCCACAGGGATTTTGGGATTCCTATCAGTATTCAAGAGGAGTCAGGCATCGTCACCTTTTGAAGCAATGAACTCCGCGTGCCTCTCGAGGTGTCAGCGCGATGTGAGGCATTCCGTCAAAATGAGGCAGGGACCTAGGGCTTTCTCTAAGGTCTCCACAGGGGATTCAGACATCCCTTCATGTTGTGAGATGAAAGACGAGCCTGTATTCAAGCCACTGCAAGGAAATCCGGCCTCCTTTCAAGTTAGGGCTTCTCGCTGTATATTCCCCTTGAGGCAGCAAACTCGGGGTCCCTCCCACATACCTATTGCTGAGAGAAGCCTCCTCCTGAGGTGCTTCTGGGAAGTTGGCATACGTCTTGAGCCTAAGCCAGGGAATCAGCTCGCACCTCGAGACGATTTGGGGTACACGGAGCATTCCTCGAGTTGCTGTGCTGAAGTTGGTGTTCCTCTAGACTTGGGACAGTGTTCTCGGGGCATCTCTGGAGTTGCCTGAAGGAAGTCGAGCCACCGGTCGTGTTGAATGGGGAACGGGGAATGGCTCTGCAGTCAATGCAGGGGAATCGGGCCTCATCTCGAGTTGATTTGGGGCACATGGAGCTGCTTTGCGTTGCTGGGGTGACCTCAGGGTCCGTCTAGACTGGTGACAGTGTTCTTGGGGACTGTCTCGACATCCATTAAGCAAGTCGAAGCTCCTGACTTGTTTGAATGGGATCACGGAATAGCTCTGCATGCACTGCAGGGGAATGGGGCCTCATCTCGCCTCTAGGGGGAAGTCTCATGGTTTTTCTCGAGTTGCGGCGGGGACCTGGGGTATGTTCTCGACTTACGGCGGGGATGGCCCTTCAAGACACGAGTTTCTTCAGTGACGTCAGGACTCCTGTCTAGTAACGAGGGACACCTCAGGAATCTCTTCGAGGCTTGGCAGGGCAAAAGGGACTCTTCTCGAGGTGAGGCAGGGCACCCAAGGACCCTTTCCAGTAGCCACAGGGATTTTGGGATTCCTATCAGTATTCAAGAGGAGTCAGGCATCGTCACCTTTTGAAGCAATGAACTCCGCGTGCCTCTCGAGGTGTCAGCGCGATGTGAGGCATTCCGTCAAAATGAGGCAGGGACCTAGGGCTTTCTCTAAGGTCTCCACAGGGGATTCAGACATCCCTTCATGTTGTGAGATGAAAGACGAGCCTGTATTCAAGCCACTGCAAGGAAATCCGGCCTCCTTTCAAGTTAGGGCTTCTCACTGTATATTCCCCTTGAGGCAGCAAACTCGGGGTCCCTCCCACATACCTATTGCTGAGAGAAGCCTCCTCCTGAGGTGCTTCTGGGAAGTTGGCATACGTCTTGAGCCTAAGCCAGGGATTCAGCTCTCATCTCGAGACGATTTGGGGTACACGGAGCATTCCTCGAGTTGCTGTGCTGAAGTTGGTGTTCCTCTAGACTTGGGACAGTGTTCTCGGGGCATCTCTGGAGTTGCCTGAAGGAAGTTGAGCCACCGGTCGTGTTGAATGGGGAACGGGGAATGGCTCTGGAGTCAATGCAGGGGAATCGGGCCTCATCTCGAGTTGATTTGGGGCACATGGAGCTGCTTTGCGTTGCTGGGGTGACCTCAGGGTCCGTCTAGACTGGTGACAGTGTTCTTGGGGACTGTCTCGAGATCCATTAAGCAAGTCGAAGCTCCTGACTTGTTTGAATGGGATCACGGAATAGCTCTGCATGCACTGCAGGGGAATGGGGCCTCATCTCGCCTCTAGGGGGAAGTCTCATGGTTTTTCTCGAGTTGCGGCGGGGACCTGGGGTATGTTCTCGACTTACGGCGGGGATGGCCCTTCAAAACACGAGTTTCTTCAGTGACGTCAGGACTCCTGTCTAGTAACGAGGGACACCTCAGGAATCTCTTCGAGGCTTGGCAGGGCAAAAGGGATGCTTCTCGAGGTGAGGCAGGGCACCCAAGGACCCTTTCCAGTAGCCACAGGGATTTTGGGATTCCTATCAGTATTCAAGAGGAGTCAGGCATCGTCACCTTTTGAAGCAATGAACTCCGCGTGCCTCTCGAGGTGTCAGCGCGATGTGAGGCATTCCGTCAAAATGAGGCAGGGACCTAGGGCTTTCTCTAAGGTCTCCACAGGGGATTCAGACATCCCTTCATGTTGTGAGATGAAAGACGAGCCTGTATTCAAGCCACTGCAAGGAAATCCGGCCTCCTTTCAAGTTAGGGCTTCTCGCTGTATATTCCCCTTGAGGCAGCAAACTCGGGGTCCCTCCCACATACCTATTGCTGAGAGAAGCCTCCTCCTGAGGTGCTTCTGGGAAGTTGGCATACGTCTTGAGCCTAAGCCAGGGAATCAGCTCGCATCTCGAGACGATTTGGGGTACACGGAGCATTCCTCGAGTTGCTGTGCTGAAGTTGGTGTTCCTCTAGACTTGGGACAGTGTTCTCGGGGCATCTCTGGAGTTGCCTGAAGGAAGTCGAGCCACCGGTCGTGTTGAATGGGGAACGGGGAATGGCTCTGGAGTCAATGCAGGGGAATCGGGCCTCATCTCGAGTTGATTTGGGGCACATGGAGCTGCTTTGCGTTGCTGGGGTGACCTCAGGGTCCGTCTAGACTGGTGACAGTGTTCTTGGGGACTGTCTCGAGATCCATTAAGCAAGTCGAAGCTCCTGACTTGTTTGAATGGGATCACGGAATAGCTCTGCATGCACTGCAAGGGAATGGGGCCTCATCTCGCCTCTAGGGGGAAGTCTCATGGTTTTTCTCGAGTTGCGGCGGGGACCTGGGGTATGTTCTCGACTTACGGCGGGGATGGCCCTTCAAGACACGAGTTTCTTCAGTGACGTCAGGACTCCTGTCTAGTAACGAGGGACACCTCAGGAATCTCTTCGAGGCTTGGCAGGGCAAAAGGGACGCTTCTCGAGGTGAGGCAGGGCACCCAAGGACCCTTTCCAGTAGCCACAGGGATTTTGGGATTCCTATCAGTATTCAAGAGGAGTCAGGCATCGTCACCTTTTGAAGCAATGAACTCCGCGTGCCTCTCGAGGTGTCAGCGCGATGTGAGGCATTCCGTCAAAATGAGGCAGGGACCTAGGGCTTTCTCTAAGGTCTCCACAGGGGATTCAGACATCCCTTCATGTTGTGAGATGAAAGACGAGCCTGTATTCAAGCCACTGCAAGGAAATCCGGCCTCCTTTCAAGTTAGGGCTTCTCGCTGTATATTCCCCTTGAGGCAGCAAACTCGGGGTCCCTCCCACATACCTATTGCTGAGAGAAGCCTCCTCCTGAGGTGCTTCTGGGAAGTTGGCATACGTCTTGAGCCTAAGCCAGGGAATCAGCTCGCACCTCGAGACGATTTGGGGTACACGGAGCATTCCTCGAGTTGCTGTGCTGAAGTTGGTGTTCCTCTAGACTTGGGACAGTGTTCTCGGGGCATCTCTGGAGTTGCCTGAAGGAAGTCGAGCCACCGGTCGTGTTGAATGGGGAACGGGGAATGGCTCTGCAGTCAATGCAGGGGAATCGGGCCTCATCTCGAGTTGATTTGGGGCACATGGAGCTGCTTTGCGTTGCTGGGGTGACCTCAGGGTCCGTCTAGACTGGTGACAGTGTTCTTGGGGACTGTCTCGACATCCATTAAGCAAGTCGAAGCTCCTGACTTGTTTGAATGGGATCACGGAATAGCTCTGCATGCACTGCAGGGGAATGGGGCCTCATCTCGCCTCTAGGGGGAAGTCTCATGGTTTTTCTCGAGTTGCGGCGGGGACCTGGGGTATGTTCTCGACTTACGGCGGGGATGGCCCTTCAAGACACGAGTTTCTTCAGTGACGTCAGGACTCCTGTCTAGTAACGAGGGACACCTCAGGAATCTCTTCGAGGCTTGGCAGGGCAAAAGGGACTCTTCTCGAGGTGAGGCAGGGCACCCAAGGACCCTTTCCAGTAGCCACAGGGATTTTGGGATTCCTATCAGTATTCAAGAGGAGTCAGGTATCGTCACCTTTTGAAGCAATGAACTCCGCGTGCCTCTCGAGGTGTCAGCGGGATGTGAGGCATTCCGTCAAAATGAGGCAGGGACCTAGGGCTTTCTCTAAGGTCTCCACAGGGGATTGAGACATCCCTTCATGTTGTGAGATGAAAGACGAGCCTGTATTCAAGCCACTGCAAGGAAATCCGGCCTCCTTTCAAGTTAGGGCTTCTCGCTGTATATTCCCCTTGAGGCAGCAAACTCGGGGTCCCTCCCACATACCTATTGGTGAGAGAAGCCTCCTCCTGAGGTGCTTCTGGGAAGTTGGCATACGTCTTGAGCCTAAGCCAGGGAATCAGCTCGCATCTCGAGACGATTTGGGGTACACGGAGCATTCCTCGAGTTGCTGTGCTGAAGTTGGTGTTCCTCTAGACTTGGGACAGTGTTCTCGGGGCATCTCTGGAGTTGCCTGAAGGAAGTCGAGCCACCGGTCGTGTTGAATGGGGAACGGGGAATGGCTCTGGAGTCAATGCAGGGGAATCGGGCCTCATCTCGAGTTGATTTGGGGCACATGGAGCTGCTTTGCGTTGCTGGGGTGACCTCAGGGTCCGTCTAGACTGGTGACAGTGTTCTTGGGGACTGTCTCGAGATCCATTAAGCAAGTCGAAGCTCCTGACTTGTTTGAATGGGATCACGGAATAGCTCTGCATGCACTGCAGGGGAATGGGGCCTCATCTCGCCTCTAGGGGGAAGTCTCATGGTTTTTCTCGAGTTGCGGCGGGGACCTGGGGTATGTTCTCGACTTACGGCGGGGATGGCCCTTCAAAACACGAGTTTCTTCAGTGACGTCAGGACTCCTGTCTAGTAACGAGGGACACCTCAGGAATCTCTTCGAGGCTTGGCAGGGCAAAAGGGACGCTTCTCGAGGTGAGGCAGGGCACCCAAGGACCCTTTCCAGTAGCCACAGGGATTTTGGGATTCCTATCAGTATTCAAGAGGAGTCAGGCATCGTCACCTTTTGAAGCAATGAACTCCGCGTGCCTCTCGAGGTGTCAGCGCGATGTGAGGCATTCCGTCAAAATGAGGCAGGGACCTAGGGCTTTCTCTAAGGTCTCCACAGGGGATTCAGACATCCCTTCATGTTGTGAGATGAAAGACGAGCCTGTATTCAAGCCACTGCAAGGAAATCCGGCCTCCTTTCAATTTAGGGCTTCTCGCTGTATATTCCCCTTGAGGCAGCAAACTCGGGGTCCCTCCCACATACCTATTGCTGAGAGAAGCCTCCTCCTGAGGTGCTTCTGGGAAGTTGGCATACGTCTTGAGCCTAAGCCAGGGATTCAGCTCTCATCTCGAGACGATTTGGGGTACACGGAGCATTCCTCGAGTTGCTGTGCTGAAGTTGGTGTTCCTCTAGACTTGGGACAGTGTTCTCGGGGCATCTCTGGAGTTGCCTGAAGGAAGTCGAGCCACCGGTCGTGTTGAATGGGGAACGGGGAATGGCTCTGGAGTCAATGCAGGGGAATCGGGCCTCATCTCGAGTTGATTTGGGGCACATGGAGCTGCTTTGCGTTGCTGGGGTGACCTCAGGGTCCGTCTAGACTGGTGACAGTGTTCTTGGGGACTGTCTCGAGATCCATTAAGCAAGTCGAAGCTCCTGACTTGTTTGAAAGGGATCACGGAATAGCTCTGCATGCACTGCAGGGGAATGGGGCCTCATCTCGCCTCTAGGGGGAAGTCTCATGGTTTTTCTCGAGTTGCGGCGGGGACCTGGGGTATGTTCTCGACTTACGGCGGGGATGGCCCTTCAAAACACGAGTTTCTTCAGTGACGTCAGGACTCCTGTCTAGTAACGAGGGACACCTCAGGAATCTCTTCGAGGCTTGGCAGGGCAAAAGGGACGCTTCTCGAGGTGAGGCAGGGCACCCAAGGACCCTTTCCAGTAGCCACAGGGATTTTGGGATTCCTATCAGTATTCAAGAGGAGTCAGGCATCGTCACCTTTTGAAGCAATGAACTCCGCGTGCCTCTCGAGGTGTCAGCGGGATGTGAGGCATTCCGTCAAAATGAGGCAGGGACCTAGGGCTTTCTCTAAGGTCTCTACAGGGGATTCAGACATCCCTTCATGTTGTGAGATGAAAGACGAGCCTGTATTCAAGCCACTGCAAGGAAATCCGGCCTCCTTTCAAGTTAGGGCTTCTCGCTGTATATTCCCCTTGAGGCAGCAAACTCGGGGTCCCTCCCACATACCTATTGGTGAGAGAAGCCTCCTCCTGAGGTGCTTCTGGGAAGTTGGCATACGTCTTGAGCCTAAGCCAGGGAATCAGCTCGCATCTCGAGACGATTTGGGGTACACGGAGCATTCCTCGAGTTGCTGTGCTGAAGTTGGTGTTCCTCTAGACTTGGGACAGTGTTCTCGGGGCATCTCTGGAGTTGCCTGAAGGAAGTCGAGCCACCGGTCGTGTTGAATGGGGAACGGGGAATGGCTCTGGAGTCAATGCAGGGGAATCGGGCCTCATCTCGAGTTGATTTGGGGCACATGGAGCTGCTTTGCGTTGCTGGGGTGACCTCAGGGTCCGTCTAGACTGGTGACAGTGTTCTTGGGGACTGTCTCGAGATCCATTAAGCAAGTCGAAGCTCCTGACTTGTTTGAATGGGATCACGGAATAGCTCTGCATGCACTGCAGGGGAATGGGGCCTCATCTCGCCTCTAGGGGGAAGTCTCATGGTTTTTCTCGAGTTGCGGCGGGGACCTGGGGTATGTTCTCGACTTACGGCGGGGATGGCCCTTCAAAACACGAGTTTCTTCAGTGACGTCAGGACTCCTGTCTAGTAACGAGGGACACCTCAGGAATCTCTTCGAGGCTTGGCAGGGCAAAAGGGATGCTTCTCGAGGTGAGGCAGGGCACCCAAGGACCCTTTCCAGTAGCCACAGGGATTTTGGGATTCCTATCAGTATTCAAGAGGAGTCAGGCATCGTCACCTTTTGAAGCAATGAACTCCGCGTGCCTCTCGAGGTGTCAGCGCGATGTGAGGCATTCCGTCAAAATGAGGCAGGGACCTAGGGCTTTCTCTAAGGTCTCCACAGGGGATTCAGACATCCCTTCATGTTGTGAGATGAAAGACGAGCCTGTATTCAAGCCACTGCAAGGAAATCCGGCCTCCTTTCAAGTTAGGGCTTCTCGCTGTATATTCCCCTTGAGGCAGCAAACTCGGGGTCCCTCCCACATACCTATTGCTGAGAGAAGCCTCCTCCTGAGGTGCTTCTGGGAAGTTGGCATACGTCTTGAGCCTAAGCCAGGGAATCAGCTCGCACCTCGAGACGATTTGGGGTACACGGAGCATTCCTCGAGTTGCTGTGCTGAAGTTGGTGTTCCTCTAGACTTGGGACAGTGTTCTCGGGGCATCTCTGGAGTTGCCTGAAGGAAGTCGAGCCACCGGTCGTGTTGAATGGGGAACGGGGAATGGCTCTGCAGTCAATGCAGGGGAATCGGGCCTCATCTCGAGTTGATTTGGGGCACATGGAGCTGCTTTGCGTTGCTGGGGTGACCTCAGGGTCCGTCTAGACTGGTGACAGTGTTCTTGGGGACTGTCTCGAGATCCATTAAGCAAGTCGAAGCTCCTGACTTGTTTGAATGGGATCACGGAATAGCTCTGCATGCACTGCAGGGGAATGGGGCCTCATCTCGCCTCTAGGGGGAAGTCTCATGGTTTTTCTCGAGTTGCGGCGGGGACCTGGGGTATGTTCTCAACTTACGGCGGGGATGGCCCTTCAAGACACGAGTTTCTTCAGTGACGTCAGGACTCCTGTCTAGTAACGAGGGACACCTCAGGAATCTCTTCGAGGCTTGGCAGGGCAAAAGGGACGCTTCTCGAGGTGAGGCAGGGCACCCAAGGACCCTTTCCAGTAGCCACAGGGATTTTGGGATTCCTATCAGTATTCAAGAGGAGTCAGGTATCGTCACCTTTTGAAGCAATGAACTCCGCGTGCCTCTCGAGGTGTCAGCGGGATGTGAGGCATTCCGTCAAAATGAGGCAGGGACCTAGGGCTTTCTCTAAGGTCTCCACAGGGGATTCAGACATCCCTTCATGTTGTGAGATGAAAGACGAGCCTGTATTCAAGCCACTGCAAGGAAATCCGGCCTCCTTTCAAGTTAGGGCTTCTCGCTGTATATTCCCCTTGAGGCAGCAAACTCGGGGTCCCTCCCACATACCTATTGGTGAGAGAAGCCTCCTCCTGAGGTGCTTCTGGGAAGTTGGCATACGTCTTGAGCCTAAGCCAGGGAATCAGCTCGCATCTCGAGACGATTTGGGGTACACGGAGCATTCCTCGAGTTGCTGTGCTGAAGTTGGTGTTCCTCTAGACTTGGGACAGTGTTCTCGGGGCATCTCTGGAGTTGCCTGAAGGAAGTCGAGCCACCGGTCGTGTTGAATGGGGAACGGGGAATGGCTCTGGAGTCAATGCAGGGGAATCGGGCCTCATCTCGAGTTGATTTGGGGCACATGGAGCTGCTTTGCGTTGCTGGGGTGACCTCAGGGTCCGTCTAGACTGGTGACAGTGTTCTTGGGGACTGTCTCGAGATCCATTAAGCAAGTCGAAGCTCCTGACTTGTTTGAATGGGATCACGGAATAGCTCTGCATGCACTGCAGGGGAATGGGGCCTCATCTCGCCTCTAGGGGGAAGTCTCATGGTTTTTCTCGAGTTGCGGCGGGGACCTGGGGTATGTTCTCGACTTACGGCGGGGATGGCCCTTCAAAACACGAGTTTCTTCAGTGACGTCAGGACTCCTGTCTAGTAACGAGGGACACCTCAGGAATCTCTTCGAGGCTTGGCAGGGCAAAAGGGACGCTTCTCGAGGTGAGGCAGGGCACCCAAGGACCCTTTCCAGTAGCCACAGGGATTTTGGGATTCCTATCAGTATTCAAGAGGAGTCAGGCATCGTCACCTTTTGAAGCAATGAACTCCGCGTGCCTCTCGAGGTGTCAGCGCGATGTGAGGCATTCCGTCAAAATGAGGCAGGGACCTAGGGCTTTCTCTAAGGTCTCCACAGGGGATTCAGACATCCCTTCATGTTGTGAGATGAAAGACGAGCCTGTATTCAAGCCACTGCAAGGAAATCCGGCCTCCTTTCAAGTTAGGGCTTCTCGCTGTATATTCCCCTTGAGGCAGCAAACTCGGGGTCCCTCCCACATACCTATTGCTGAGAGAAGCCTCCTCCTGAGGTGCTTCTGGGAAGTTGGCATACGTCTTGAGCCTAAGCCAGGGAATCAGCTCGCACCTCGAGACGATTTGGGGTACACGGAGCATTCCTCGAGTTGCTGTGCTGAAGTTGGTGTTCCTCTAGACTTGGGACAGTGTTCTCGGGGCATCTCTGGAGTTGCCTGAAGGAAGTCGAGCCACCGGTCGTGTTGAATGGGGAACGGGGAATGGCTCTGCAGTCAATGCAGGGGAATCGGGCCTCATCTCGAGTTGATTTGGGGCACATGGAGCTGCTTTGCGTTGCTGGGGTGACCTCAGGGTCCGTCTAGACTGGTGACAGTGTTCTTGGGGACTGTCTCGAGATCCATTAAGCAAGTCGAAGCTCCTGACTTGTTTGAATGGGATCACGGAATAGCTCTGCATGCACTGCAGGGGAATGGGGCCTCATCTCGCCTCTAGGGGGAAGTCTCATGGTTTTTCTCGAGTTGCGGCGGGGACCTGGGGTATGTTCTCGACTTACGGCGGGGATGGCCCTTCAAGACACGAGTTTCTTCAGTGACGTCAGGACTCCTGTCTAGTAACGAGGGACACCTCAGGAATCTCTTCGAGGCTTGGCAGGGCAAAAGGGACGCTTCTCGAGGTGAGGCAGGGCACCCAAGGACCCTTTCCAGTAGCCACAGGGATTTTGGGATTCCTATCAGTATTCAAGAGGAGTCAGGCATCATCACCTTTTGAAGCAATGAACTCCGCGTGCCTCTCGAGGTGTCAGCGCGATGTGAGGCATTCCGTCAAAATGAGGCAGGGACCTAGGGCTTTCTCTAAGGTCTCCACAGGGGATTCAGACATCCCTTCATGTTGTGAGATGAAAGACGAGCCTGTATTCAAGCCACTGCAAGGAAATCCGGCCTCCTTTCAAGTTAGGGCTTCTCGCTGTATATTCCCCTTGAGGCAGCAAACTCGGGGTCCCTCCCACATACCTATTGCTGAGAGAAGCCTCCTCCTGAGGTGCTTCTGGGAAGTTGGCATACGTCTTGAGCCTAAGCCAGGGAATCAGCTCGCACCTCGAGACGATTTGGGGTACACGGAGCATTCCTCGAGTTGCTGTGCTGAAGTTGGTGTTCCTCTAGACTTGGGACAGTGTTCTCGGGGCATCTCTGGAGTTGCCTGAAGGAAGTCGAGCCACCGGTCGTGTTGAATGGGGAACGGGGAATGGCTCTGCAGTCAATGCAGGGGAATCGGGCCTCATCTCGAGTTGATTTGGGGCACATGGAGCTGCTTTGCGTTGCTGGGGTGACCTCAGGGTCCGTCTAGACTGGTGACAGTGTTCTTGGGGACTGTCTCGACATCCATTAAGCAAGTCGAAGCTCCTGACTTGTTTGAATGGGATCACGGAATAGCTCTGCATGCACTGCAGGGGAATGGGGCCTCATCTCGCCTCTAGGGGGAAGTCTCATGGTTTTTCTCGAGTTGCGGCGGGGACCTGGGGTATGTTCTCGACTTACGGCGGGGATGGCCCTTCAAGACACGAGTTTCTTCAGTGACGTCAGGACTCCTGTCTAGTAACGAGGGACACCTCAGGAATCTCTTCGAGGCTTGGCAGGGCAAAAGGGACGCTTCTCGAGGTGAGGCAGGGCACCCAAGGACCCTTTCCAGTAGCCACAGGGATTTTGGGATTCCTATCAGTATTCAAGAGGAGTCAGGCATCGTCACCTTTTGAAGCAATGAACTCCGCGTGCCTCTCGAGGTGTCAGCGGGATGTGAGGCATTCCGTCAAAATGAGGCAGGGACCTAGGGCTTTCTCTAAGGTCTCCACAGGGGATTCAGACATCCCTTCATGTTGTGAGATGAAAGACGAGCCTGTATTCAAGCCACTGCAAGGAAATCCGGCCTCCTTTCAAGTTAGGGCTTCTCGCTGTATATTCCCCTTGAGGCAGCAAACTCGGGGTCCCTCCCACATACCTATTGGTGAGAGAAGCCTCCTCCTGAGGTGCTTCTGGGAAGTTGGCATACGTCTTCAGCCTAAGCCAGGGAATCAGCTCGCACCTCGAGACGATTTGGGGTACACGGAGCATTCCTCGAGTTGCTGTGCTGAAGTTGGTGTTCCTCTAGACTTGGGACAGTGTTCTCGGGGCATCTCTGGAGTTGCCTGAAGGAAGTCGAGCCACCGGTCGTGTTGAATGGGGAACGGGGAATGGCTCTGGAGTCAATGCAGGGGAATCGGGCCTCATCTCGAGTTGATTTGGGGCACATGGAGCTGCTTTGCGTTGCTGGGGTGACCTCAGGGTCCGTCTAGACTGGTGACAGTGTTCTTGGGGACTGTCTCGAGATCCATTAAGCAAGTCGAAGCTCCTGACTTGTTTGAATGGGATCACGGAATAGCTCTGCATGCACTGCAGGGGAATGGGGCCTCATCTCGCCTCTAGGGGGAAGTCTCATGGTTTTTCTCGAGTTGCGGCGGGGACCTGGGGTATGTTCTCGACTTACGGCGGGGATGGCCCTTCAAAACACGAGTTTCTTCAGTGACGTCAGGACTCCTGTCTAGTAACGAGGGACACCTCAGGAATCTCTTCGAGGCTTGGCAGGGCAAAAGGGACGCTTCTCGAGGTGAGGCAGGGCACCCAAGGACCCTTTCCAGTAGCCACAGGGATTTTGGGATTCCTATCAGTATTCAAGAGGAGTCAGGCATCGTCACCTTTTGAAGCAATGAACTCCGCGTGCCTCTCGAGGTGTCAGCGCGATGTGAGGCATTCCGTCAAAATGAGGCAGGGACCTAGGGCTTTCTCTAAGGTCTCCACAGGGGATTCAGACATCCCTTCATGTTGTGAGATGAAAGACGAGCCTGTATTCAAGCCACTGCAAGGAAATCCGGCCTCCTTTCAAGTTAGGGCTTCTCGCTGTATATTCCCCTTGAGGCAGCAAACTCGGGGTCCCTCCCACATACCTATTGGTGAGAGAAGCCTCCTCCTGAGGTGCTTCTGGGAAGTTGGCATACGTCTTGAGCCTAAGCCAGGGAATCAGCTCGCATCTCGAGACGATTTGGGGTACACGGAGCATTCCTCGAGTTGCTGTGCTGAAGTTGGTGTTCCTCTAGACTTGGGACAGTGTTCTCGGGGCATCTCTGGAGTTGCCTGAAGGAAGTCGAGCCACCGGTCGTGTTGAATGGGGAACGGGGAATGGCTCTGGAGTCAATGCAGGGGAATCGGGCCTCATCTCGAGTTGATTTGGGGCACATGGAGCTGCTTTGCGTTGCTGGGGTGACCTCAGGGTCCGTCTAGACTGGTGACAGTGTTCTTGGGGACTGTCTCGAGATCCATTAAGCAAGTCGAAGCTCCTGACTTGTTTGAATGGGATCACGGAATAGCTCTGCATGCACTGCAGGGGAATGGGGCCTCATCTCGCCTCTAGGGGGAAGTCTCATGGTTTTTCTCGAGTTGCGGCGGGGACCTGGGGTATGTTCTCGACTTACGGCGGGGATGGCCCTTCAAGACACGAGTTTCTTCAGTGACGTCAGGACTCCTGTCTAGTAACGAGGGACACCTCAGGAATCTCTTCGAGGCTTGGCAGGGCAAAAGGGACGCTTCTCGAGGTGAGGCAGGGCACCCAAGGACCCTTTCCAGTAGCCACAGGGATTTTGGGATTCCTATCAGTATTCAAGAGGAGTCAGGCATCGTCACCTTTTGAAGCAATGAACTCCGCGTGCCTCTCGAGGTGTCAGCGCGATGTGAGGCATTCCGTCAAAATGAGGCAGGGACCTAGGGCTTTCTCTAAGGTCTCCACAGGGGATTCAGACATCCCTTCATGTTGTGAGATGAAAGACGAGCCTGTATTCAAGCCACTGCAAGGAAATCCGGCCTCCTTTCAAGTTAGGGCTTCTCGCTGTATATTCCCCTTGAGGCAGCAAACTCGGGGTCCCTCCCACATACCTATTGCTGAGAGAAGCCTCCTCCTGAGGTGCTTCTGGGAAGTTGGCATACGTCTTGAGCCTAAGCCAGGGAATCAGCTCGCACCTCGAGACGATTTGGGGTACACGGAGCATTCCTCGAGTTGCTGTGCTGAAGTTGGTGTTCCTCTAGACTTGGGACAGTGTTCTCGGGGCATCTCTGGAGTTGCCTGAAGGAAGTCGAGCCACCGGTCGTGTTGAATGGGGAACGGGGAATGGCTCTGCAGTCAATGCAGGGGAATCGGGCCTCATCTCGAGTTGATTTGGGGCACATGGAGCTGCTTTGCGTTGCTGGGGTGACCTCAGGGTCCGTCTAGACTGGTGACAGTGTTCTTGGGGACTGTCTCGACATCCATTAAGCAAGTCGAAGCTCCTGACTTGTTTGAATGGGATCACGGAATAGCTCTGCATGCACTGCAGGGGAATGGGGCCTCATCTCGCCTCTAGGGGGAAGTCTCATGGTTTTTCTCGAGTTGCGGCGGGGACCTGGGGTATGTTCTCGACTTACGGCGGGGATGGCCCTTCAAGACACGAGTTTCTTCAGTGACGTCAGGACTCCTGTCTAGTAACGAGGGACACCTCAGGAATCTCTTCGAGGCTTGGCAGGGCAAAAGGGACGCTTCTCGAGGTGAGGCAGGGCACCCAAGGACCCTTTCCAGTAGCCACAGGGATTTTGGGATTCCTATCAGTATTCAAGAGGAGTCAGGTATCGTCACCTTTTGAAGCAATGAACTCCGCATGCCGCTCGAGGTGTCAGCGGGATGTGAGGCATTCCGTCAAAATGAGGCAGGGACCTAGGGCTTTCTCTAAGGTCTCCACAGGGGATTCAGACATCCCTTCATGTTGTGAGATGAAAGACGAGCCTGTATTCAAGCCACTGCAAGGAAATCCGGCCTCCTTTCAAGTTAGGGCTTCTCGCTGTATATTCCCCTTGAGGCAGCAAACTCGGGGTCCCTCCCACATACCTATTGGTGAGAGAAGCCTCCTCCTGAGGTGCTTCTGGGAAGTTGGCATACGTCTTGAGCCTAAGCCAGGGAATCAGCTCGCATCTCGAGACGATTTGGGGTACACGGAGCATTCCTCGAGTTGCTGTGCTGAAGTTGGTGTTCCTCTAGACTTGGGACAGTGTTCTCGGGGCATCTCTGGAGTTGCCTGAAGGAAGTCGAGCCACCGGTCGTGTTGAATGGGGAACGGGGAATGGCTCTGGAGTCAATGCAGGGGAATCGGGCCTCATCTCGAGTTGATTTGGGGCACATGGAGCTGCTTTGCGTTGCTGGGGTGACCTCAGGGTCCGTCTAGACTGGTGACAGTGTTCTTGGGGACTGTCTCGAGATCCATTAAGCAAGTCGAAGCTCCTGACTTGTTTGAATGGGATCACGGAATAGCTCTGCATGCACTGCAGGGGAATGGGGCCTCATCTCGCCTCTAGGGGGAAGTCTCATGGTTTTTCTCGAATTGCGGCGGGGACCTGGGGTATGTTCTCGACTTACGGCGGGGATGGCCCTTCAAAACACGAGTTTCTTCAGTGACGTCAGGACTCCTGTCTAGTAACGAGGGACACCTCAGGAATCTCTTCGAGGCTTGGCAGGGCAAAAGGGACGCTTCTCGAGGTGAGGCAGGGCACCCAAGGACCCTTTCCAGTAGCCACAGGGATTTTGGGATTCCTATCAGTATTCAAGAGGAGTCAGGCATCGTCACCTTTTGAAGCAATGAACTCCGCGTGCCTCTCGAGGTGTCAGCGCGATGTGAGGCATTCCGTCAAAATGAGGCAGGGACCTAGGGCTTTCTCTAAGGTCTCCACAGGGGATTCAGACATCCCTTCATGTTGTGAGATGAAAGACGAGCCTGTATTCAAGCCACTGCAAGGAAATCCGGCCTCCTTTCAAGTTAGGGCTTCTCGCTGTATATTCCCCTTGAGGCAGCAAACTCGGGGTCCCTCCCACATACCTATTGCTGAGAGAAGCCTCCTCCTGAGGTGCTTCTGGGAAGTTGGCATACGTCTTGAGCCTAAGCCAGGGATTCAGCTCTCATCTCGAGACGATTTGGGGTACACGGAGCATTCCTCGAGTTGCTGTGCTGAAGTTGGTGTTCCTCTAGACTTGGGACAGTGTTCTCGGGGCATCTCTGGAGTTGCCTGAAGGAAGTCGAGCCACCGGTCGTGTTGAATGGGGAACGGGGAATGGCTCTGGAGTCAATGCAGGGGAATCGGGCCTCATCTCGAGTTGATTTGGGGCACATGGAGCTCCTTTGCGTTGCTGGGGTGACCTCAGGGTCCGTCTAGACTGGTGACAGTGTTCTTGGGGACTGTCTCGAGATCCATTAAGCAAGTCGAAGCTCCTGACTTGTTTGAATGGGATCACGGAATAGCTCTGCATGCACTGCAGGGGAATGGGGCCTCATCTCGCCTCTAGGGGGAAGTCTCATGGTTTTTCTCGAGTTGCGGCGGGGACCTGGGGTATGTTCTCGACTTACGGCGGGGATGGCCCTTCAAAACACGAGTTTCTTCAGTGACGTCAGGACTCCTGTCTAGTAACGAGGGACACCTCAGGAATCTCTTCGAGGCTTGGCAGGGCAAAAGGGACGCTTCTCGAGGTGAGGCAGGGCACCCAAGGACCCTTTCCAGTAGCCACAGGGATTTTGGGATTCCTATCAGTATTCAAGAGGAGTCAGGCATCGTCACCTTTTGAAGCAATGAACTCCGCGTGCCTCTCGAGGTGTCAGCGCGATGTGAGGCATTCCGTCAAAATGAGGCAGGGACCTAGGGCTTTCTCTAAGGTCTCCACAGGGGATTCAGACATCCCTTCATGTTGTGAGATGAAAGACGAGCCTGTATTCAAGCCACTGCAAGGAAATCCGGCCTCCTTTCAAGTTAGGGCTTCTCGCTGTATATTCCCCTTGAGGCAGCAAACTCGGGGTCCCTCCCACATACCTATTGGTGAGAGAAGCCTCCTCCTGAGGTGCTTCTGGGAAGTTGGCATACGTCTTGAGCCTAAGCCAGGGAATCAGCTCGCATCTCGAGACGATTTGGGGTACACGGAGCATTCCTCGAGTTGCTGTGCTGAAGTTGGTGTTCCTCTAGACTTGGGACAGTGTTCTCGGGGCATCTCTGGAGTTGCCTGAAGGAAGTCGAGCCACCGGTCGTGTTGAATGGGGAACGGGGAATGGCTCTGGAGTCAATGCAGGGGAATCGGGCCTCATCTCGAGTTGATTTGGGGCACATGGAGCTGCTTTGCGTTGCTGGGGTGACCTCAGGGTCCGTCTAGACTGGTGACAGTGTTCTTGGGGACTGTCTCGAGATCCATTAAGCAAGTCGAAGCTCCTGACTTGTTTGAATGGGATCACGGAATAGCTCTGCATGCACTGCAGGGGAATGGGGCCTCATCTCGCCTCTAGGGGGAAGTCTCATGGTTTTTCTCGAGTTGCGGCGGGGACCTGGGGTATGTTCTCGACTTACGGCGGGGATGGCCCTTCAAAACACGAGTTTCTTCAGTGACGTCAGGACTCCTGTCTAGTAACGAGGGACACCTCAGGAATCTCTTCGAGGCTTGGCAGGGCAAAAGGGACGCTTCTCGAGGTGAGGCAGGGCACCCAAGGACCCTTTCCAGTAGCCACAGGGATTTTGGGATTCCTATCAGTATTCAAGAGGAGTCAGGCATCGTCACCTTTTGAAGCAATGAACTCCGCGTGCCTCTCGAGGTGTCAGCGCGATGTGAGGCATTCCGTCAAAATGAGGCAGGGACCTAGGGCTTTCTCTAAGGTCTCCACAGGGGATTCAGACATCCCTTCATGTTGTGAGATGAAAGACGAGCCTGTATTCAAGCCACTGCAAGGAAATCCGGCCTCCTTTCAAGTTAGGGCTTCTCGCTGTATATTCCCCTTGAGGCAGCAAACTCGGGGTCCCTCCCACATACCTATTGCTGAGAGAAGCCTCCTCCTGAGGTGCTTCTGGGAAGTTGGCATACGTCTTGAGCCTAAGCCAGGGATTCAGCTCTCATCTCGAGACGATTTGGGGTACACGGAGCATTCCTCGAGTTGCTGTGCTGAAGTTGGTGTTCCTCTAGACTTGGGACAGTGTTCTCGGGGCATCTCTGGAGTTGCCTGAAGGAAGTCGAGCCACCGGTCGTGTTGAATGGGGAACGGGGAATGGCTCTGGAGTCAATGCAGGGGAATCGGGCCTCATCTCGAGTTGATTTGGGGCACATGGAGCTGCTTTGCGTTGCTGGGGTGACCTCAGGGTCCGTCTAGACTGGTGACAGTGTTCTTGGGGACTGTCTCGAGATCCATTAAGCAAGTCGAAGCTCCTGACTTGTTTGAATGGGATCACGGAATAGCTCTGCATGCACTGCAGGGGAATGGGGCCTCATCTCGCCTCTAGGGGGAAGTCTCATGGTTTTTCTCGAGTTGCGGCGGGGACCTGGGGTATGTTCTCGACTTACGGCGGGGATGGCCCTTCAAAACACGAGTTTCTTCAGTGACGTCAGGACTCCTGTCTAGTAACGAGGGACACCTCAGGAATCTCTTCGAGGCTTGGCAGGGCAAAAGGGACGCTTCTCGAGGTGAGGCAGGGCACCCAAGGACCCTTTCCAGTAGCCACAGGGATTTTGGGATTCCTATCAGTATTCAAGAGGAGTCAGGCATCGTCACCTTTTGAAGCAATGAACTCCGCGTGCCTCTCGAGGTGTCAGCGCGATGTGAGGCATTCCGTCAAAATGAGGCAGGGACCTAGGGCTTTCTCTAAGGTCTCCACAGGGGATTCAGACATCCCTTCATGTTGTGAGATGAAAGACGAGCCTGTATTCAAGCCACTGCAAGGAAATCCGGCCTCCTTTCAAGTTAGGGCTTCTCACTGTATATTCCCCTTGAGGCAGCAAACTCGGGGTCCCTCCCACATACCTATTGCTGAGAGAAGCCTCCTCCTGAGGTGCTTCTGGGAAGTTGGCATACGTCTTGAGCCTAAGCCAGGGATTCAGCTCTCATCTCGAGACGATTTGGGGTACACGGAGCATTCCTCGAGTTGCTGTGCTGAAGTTGGTGTTCCTCTAGACTTGGGACAGTGTTCTCGGGGCATCTCTGGAGTTGCCTGAAGGAAGTTGAGCCACCGGTCGTGTTGAATGGGGAACGGGGAATGGCTCTGGAGTCAATGCAGGGGAATCGGGCCTCATCTCGAGTTGATTTGGGGCACATGGAGCTGCTTTGCGTTGCTGGGGTGACCTCAGGGTCCGTCTAGACTGGTGACAGTGTTCTTGGGGACTGTCTCGAGATCCATTAAGCAAGTCGAAGCTCCTGACTTGTTTGAATGGGATCACGGAATAGCTCTGCATGCACTGCAGGGGAATGGGGCCTCATCTCGCCTCTAGGGGGAAGTCTCATGGTTTTTCTCGAGTTGCGGCGGGGACCTGGGGTATGTTCTCGACTTACGGCGGGGATGGCCCTTCAAAACACGAGTTTCTTCAGTGACGTCAGGACTCCTGTCTAGTAACGAGGGACACCTCAGGAATCTCTTCGAGGCTTGGCAGGGCAAAAGGGATGCTTCTCGAGGTGAGGCAGGGCACCCAAGGACCCTTTCCAGTAGCCACAGGGATTTTGGGATTCCTATCAGTATTCAAGAGGAGTCAGGCATCGTCACCTTTTGAAGCAATGAACTCCGCGTGCCTCTCGAGGTGTCAGCGCGATGTGAGGCATTCCGTCAAAATGAGGCAGGGACCTAGGGCTTTCTCTAAGGTCTCCACAGGGGATTCAGACATCCCTTCATGTTGTGAGATGAAAGACGAGCCTGTATTCAAGCCACTGCAAGGAAATCCGGCCTCCTTTCAAGTTAGGGCTTCTCGCTGTATATTCCCCTTGAGGCAGCAAACTCGGGGTCCCTCCCACATACCTATTGCTGAGAGAAGCCTCCTCCTGAGGTGCTTCTGGGAAGTTGGCATACGTCTTGAGCCTAAGCCAGGGAATCAGCTCGCACCTCGAGACGATTTGGGGTACACGGAGCATTCCTCGAGTTGCTGTGCTGAAGTTGGTGTTCCTCTAGACTTGGGACAGTGTTCTCGGGGCATCTCTGGAGTTGCCTGAAGGAAGTCGAGCCACCGGTCGTGTTGAATGGGGAACGGGGAATGGCTCTGCAGTCAATGCAGGGGAATCGGGCCTCATCTCGAGTTGATTTGGGGCACATGGAGCTGCTTTGCGTTGCTGGGGTGACCTCAGGGTCCGTCTAGACTGGTGACAGTGTTCTTGGGGACTGTCTCGAGATCCATTAAGCAAGTCGAAGCTCCTGACTTGTTTGAATGGGATCACGGAATAGCTCTGCATGCACTGCAGGGGAATGGGGCCTCATCTCGCCTCTAGGGGGAAGTCTCATGGTTTTTCTCGAGTTGCGGCGGGGACCTGGGGTATGTTCTCGACTTACGGCGGGGATGGCCCTTCAAGACACGAGTTTCTTCAGTGACGTCAGGACTCCTGTCTAGTAACGAGGGACACCTCAGGAATCTCTTCGAGGCTTGGCAGGGCAAAAGGGACGCTTCTCGTGGTGAGGCAGGGCACCCAAGGACCCTTTCCAGTAGCCACAGGGATTTTGGGATTCCTATCAGTATTCAAGAGGAGTCAGGTATCGTCACCTTTTGAAGCAATGAACTCCGCGTGCCTCTCGAGGTGTCAGCGGGATGTGAGGCATTCCGTCAAAATGAGGCAGGGACCTAGGGCTTTCTCTAAGGTCTCCACAGGGGATTCAGACATCCCTTCATGTTGTGAGATGAAAGACGAGCCTGTATTCAAGCCACTGCAAGGAAATCCGGCCTCCTTTCAAGTTAGGGCTTCTCGCTGTATATTCCCCTTGAGGCAGCAAACTCGGGGTCCCTCCCACATACCTATTGGTGAGAGAAGCCTCCTCCTGAGGTGCTTCTGGGAAGTTGGCATACGTCTTGAGCCTAAGCCAGGGAATCTGCTCGCATCTCGAGACGATTTGGGGTACACGGAGCATTCCTCGAGTTGCTGTGCTGAAGTTGGTGTTCCTCTAGACTTGGGACAGTGTTCTCGGGGCATCTCTGGAGTTGCCTGAAGGAAGTCGAGCCACCGGTCGTGTTGAATGGGGAACGGGGAATGGCTCTGGAGTCAATGCAGGGGAATCGGGCCTCATCTCGAGTTGATTTGGGGCACATGGAGCTGCTTTGCGTTGCTGGGGTGACCTCAGGGTCCGTCTAGACTGGTGACAGTGTTCTTGGGGACTGTCTCGAGATCCATTAAGCAAGTCGAAGCTCCTGACTTGTTTGAATGGGATCACGGAATAGCTCTGCATGCACTGCAGGGGAATGGGGCCTCATCTCGCCTCTAGGGGGAAGTCTCATGGTTTTTCTCGAGTTGCGGCGGGGACCTGGGGTATGTTCTCGACTTACGGCGGGGATGGCCCTTCAAAACACGAGTTTCTTCAGTGACGTCAGGACTCCTGTCTAGTAACGAGGGACACCTCAGGAATCTCTTCGAGGCTTGGCAGGGCAAAAGGGACGCTTCTCGAGGTGAGGCAGGGCACCCAAGGACCCTTTCCAGTAGCCACAGGGATTTTGGGATTCCTATCAGTATTCAAGAGGAGTCAGGCATCGTCACCTTTTGAAGCAATGAACTCCGCGTGCCTCTCGAGGTGTCAGCGCGATGTGAGGCATTCCGTCAAAATGAGGCAGGGATCTAGGGCTTTCTCTAAGGTCTCCACAGGGGATTCAGACATCCCTTCATGTTGTGAGATGAAAGACGAGCCTGTATTCAAGCCACTGCAAGGAAATCCGGCCTCCTTTCAAGTTAGGGCTTCTCGCTGTATATTCCCCTTGAGGCAGCAAACTCGGGGTCCCTCCCACATACCTATTGCTGAGAGAAGCCTCCTCCTGAGGTGCTTCTGGGAAGTTGGCATACGTCTTGAGCCTAAGCCAGGGATTCAGCTCTCATCTCGAGACGATTTGGGGTACACGGAGCATTCCTCGAGTTGCTGTGCTGAAGTTGGTGTTCCTCTAGACTTGGGACAGTGTTCTCGGGGCATCTCTGGAGTTGCCTGAAGGAAGTCGAGCCACCGGTCGTGTTGAATGGGGAACGGGGAATGGCTCTGGAGTCAATGCAGGGGAATCGGGCCTCATCTCGAGTTGATTTGGGGCACATGGAGCTGCTTTGCGTTGCTGGGGTGACCTCAGGGTCCGTCTAGACTGGTGACAGTGTTCTTGGGGACTGTCTCGAGATCCATTAAGCAAGTCGAAGCTCCTGACTTGTTTGAATGGGATCACGGAATAGCTCTGCATGCACTGCAGGGGAATGGGGCCTCATCTCGCCTCTAGGGGGAAGTCTCATGGTTTTTCTCGAGTTGCGGCGGGGACCTGGGGTATGTTCTCGACTTACGGCGGGGATGGCCCTTCAAAACACGAGTTTCTTCAGTGACGTCAGGACTCCTGTCTAGTAACGAGGGACACCTCAGGAATCTCTTCGAGGCTTGGCAGGGCAAAAGGGACGCTTCTCGAGGTGAGGCAGGGCACCCAAGGACCCTTTCCAGTAGCCACAGGGATTTTGGGATTCCTATCAGTATTCAAGAGGAGTCAGGCATCGTCACCTTTTGAAGCAATGAACTCCGCGTGCCTCTCGAGGTGTCAGCGCGATGTGAGGCATTCCGTCAAAATGAGGCAGGGACCTAGGGCTTTCTCTAAGGTCTCCACAGGGGATTCAGACATCCCTTCATGTTGTGAGATGAAAGACGAGCCTGTATTCAAGCCACTGCAAGGAAATCCGGCCTCCTTTCAAGTTAGGGCTTCTCACTGTATATTCCCCTTGAGGCAGCAAACTCGGGGTCCCTCCCACATACCTATTGCTGAGAGAAGCCTCCTCCTGAGGTGCTTCTGGGAAGTTGGCATACGTCTTGAGCCTAAGCCAGGGATTCAGCTCTCATCTCGAGACGATTTGGGGTACACGGAGCATTCCTCGAGTTGCTGTGCTGAAGTTGGTGTTCCTCTAGACTTGGGACAGTGTTCTCGGGGCATCTCTGGAGTTGCCTGAAGGAAGTTGAGCCACCGGTCGTGTTGAATGGGGAACGGGGAATGGCTCTGGAGTCAATGCAGGGGAATCGGGCCTCATCTCGAGTTGATTTGGGGCACATGGAGCTGCTTTGCGTTGCTGGGGTGACCTCAGGGTCCGTCTAGACTGGTGACAGTGTTCTTGGGGACTGTCTCGAGATCCATTAAGCAAGTCGAAGCTCCTGACTTGTTTGAATGGGATCACGGAATAGCTCTGCATGCACTGCAGGGGAATGGGGCCTCATCTCGCCTCTAGGGGGAAGTCTCATGGTTTTTCTCGAGTTGCGGCGGGGACCTGGGGTATGTTCTCGACTTACGGCGGGGATGGCCCTTCAAAACACGAGTTTCTTCAGTGACGTCAGGACTCCTGTCTAGTAACGAGGGACACCTCAGGAATCTCTTCGAGGCTTGGCAGGGCAAAAGGGATGCTTCTCGAGGTGAGGCAGGGCACCCAAGGACCCTTTCCAGTAGCCACAGGGATTTTGGGATTCCTATCAGTATTCAAGAGGAGTCAGGCATCGTCACCTTTTGAAGCAATGAACTCCGCGTGCCTCTCGAGGTGTCAGCGCGATGTGAGGCATTCCGTCAAAATGAGGCAGGGACCTAGGGCTTTCTCTAAGGTCTCCACAGGGGATTCAGACATCCCTTCATGTTGTGAGATGAAAGACGAGCCTGTATTCAAGCCACTGCAAGGAAATCCGGCCTCCTTTCAAGTTAGGGCTTCTCGCTGTATATTCCCCTTGAGGCAGCAAACTCGGGGTCCCTCCCACATACCTATTGCTGAGAGAAGCCTCCTCCTGAGGTGCTTCTGGGAAGTTGGCATACGTCTTGAGCCTAAGCCAGGGAATCAGCTCGCACCTCGAGACGATTTGGGGTACACGGAGCATTCCTCGAGTTGCTGTGCTGAAGTTGGTGTTCCTCTAGACTTGGGACAGTGTTCTCGGGGCATCTCTGGAGTTGCCTGAAGGAAGTCGAGCCACCGGTCGTGTTGAATGGGGAACGGGGAATGGCTCTGCAGTCAATGCAGGGGAATCGGGCCTCATCTCGAGTTGATTTGGGGCACATGGAGCTGCTTTGCGTTGCTGGGGTGACCTCAGGGTCCGTCTAGACTGGTGACAGTGTTCTTGGGGACTGTCTCGAGATCCATTAAGCAAGTCGAAGCTCCTGACTTGTTTGAATGGGATCACGGAATAGCTCTGCATGCACTGCAGGGGAATGGGGCCTCATCTCGCCTCTAGGGGGAAGTCTCATGGTTTTTCTCGAGTTGCGGCGGGGACCTGGGGTATGTTCTCGACTTACGGCGGGGATGGCCCTTCAAAACACGAGTTTCTTCAGTGACGTCAGGACTCCTGTCTAGTAACGAGGGACACCTCAGGAATCTCTTCGAGGCTTGGCAGGGCAAAAGGGACGCTTCTCGAGGTGAGGCAGGGCACCCAAGGACCCTTTCCAGTAGCCACAGGGATTTTGGGATTCCTATCAGTATTCAAGAGGAGTCAGGCATCGTCACCTTTTGAAGCAATGAACTCCGCGTGCCTCTCGAGGTGTCAGCGCGATGTGAGGCATTCCGTCAAAATGAGGCAGGGACCTAGGGCTTTCTCTAAGGTCTCCACAGGGGATTCAGACATCCCTTCATGTTGTGAGATGAAAGACGAGCCTGTATTCAAGCCACTGCAAGGAAATCCGGCCTCCTTTCAAGTTAGGGCTTCTCGCTGTATATTCCCCTTGAGGCAGCAAACTCGGGGTCCCTCCCACATACCTATTGCTGAGAGAAGCCTCCTCCTGAGGTGCTTCTGGGAAGTTGGCATACGTCTTGAGCCTAAGCCAGGGATTCAGCTCTCATCTCGAGACGATTTGGGGTACACGGAGCATTCCTCGAGTTGCTGTGCTGAAGTTGGTGTTCCTCTAGACTTGGGACAGTGTTCTCGGGGCATCTCTGGAGTTGCCTGAAGGAAGTCGAGCCACCGGTCGTGTTGAATGGGGAACGGGGAATGGCTCTGGAGTCAATGCAGGGGAATCGGGCCTCATCTCGAGTTGATTTGGGGCACATGGAGCTGCTTTGCGTTGCTGGGGTGACCTCAGGGTCCGTCTAGACTGGTGACAGTGTTCTTGGGGACTGTCTCGAGATCCATTAAGCAAGTCGAAGCTCCTGACTTGTTTGAATGGGATCACGGAATAGCTCTGCATGCACTGCAGGGGAATGGGGCCTCATCTCGCCTCTAGGGGGAAGTCTCATGGTTTTTCTCGAGTTGCGGCGGGGACCTGGGGTATGTTCTCGACTTACGGCGGGGATGGCCCTTCAAAACACGAGTTTCTTCAGTGACGTCAGGACTCCTGTCTAGTAACGAGGGACACCTCAGGAATCTCTTCGAGGCTTGGCAGGGCAAAAGGGACGCTTCTCGAGGTGAGGCAGGGCACCCAAGGACCCTTTCCAGTAGCCACAGGGATTTTGGGATTCCTATCAGTATTCAAGAGGAGTCAGGCATCGTCACCTTTTGAAGCAATGAACTCCGCGTGCCTCTCGAGGTGTCAGCGCGATGTGAGGCATTCCGTCAAAATGAGGCAGGGACCTAGGGCTTTCTCTAAGGTCTCCACAGGGGATTCAGACATCCCTTCATGTTGTGAGATGAAAGACGAGCCTGTATTCAAGCCACTGCAAGGAAATCCGGCCTCCTTTCAAGTTAGGGCTTCTCACTGTATATTCCCCTTGAGGCAGCAAACTCGGGGTCCCTCCCACATACCTATTGCTGAGAGAAGCCTCCTCCTGAGGTGCTTCTGGGAAGTTGGCATACGTCTTGAGCCTAAGCCAGGGATTCAGCTCTCATCTCGAGACGATTTGGGGTACACGGAGCATTCCTCGAGTTGCTGTGCTGAAGTTGGTGTTCCTCTAGACTTGGGACAGTGTTCTCGGGGCATCTCTGGAGTTGCCTGAAGGAAGTCGAGCCACCGGTCGTGTTGAATGGGGAACGGGGAATGGCTCTGGAGTCAATGCAGGGGAATCGGGCCTCATCTCGAGTTGATTTGGGGCACATGGAGCTGCTTTGCGTTGCTGGGGTGACCTCAGGGTCCGTCTAGACTGGTGACAGTGTTCTTGGGGACTGTCTCGAGATCCATTAAGCAAGTCGAAGCTCCTGACTTGTTTGAATGGGATCACGGAATAGCTCTGCATGCACTGCAGGGGAATGGGGCCTCATCTCGCCTCTAGGGGGAAGTCTCATGGTTTTTCTCGAGTTGCGGCGGGGACCTGGGGTATGTTCTCGACTTACGGCGGGGATGGCCCTTCAAGACACGAGTTTCTTCAGTGACGTCAGGACTCCTGTCTAGTAACGAGGGACACCTCAGGAATCTCTTCGAGGCTTGGCAGGGCAAAAGGGACGCTTCTCGAGGTGAGGCAGGGCACCCAAGGACCCTTTCCAGTAGCCACAGGGATTTTGGGATTCCTATCAGTATTCAAGAGGAGTCAGGCATCGTCACCTTTTGAAGCAATGAACTCCGCGTGCCTCTCGAGGTGTCAGCGGGATGTGAGGCATTCCGTCAAAATGAGGCAGGGACCTAGGGCTTTCTCTAAGGTCTCCACAGGGGATTCAGACATCCCTTCATGTTGTGAGATGAAAGACGAGCCTGTATTCAAGCCACTGCAAGGAAATCCGGCCTCCTTTCAAGTTAGGGCTTCTCGCTGTATATTCCCCTTGAGGCAGCAAACTCGGGGTCCCTCCCACATACCTATTGGTGAGAGAAGCCTCCTCCTGAGGTGCTTCTGGGAAGTTGGCATACGTCTTGAGCCTAAGCCAGGGAATCAGCTCGCATCTCGAGACGATTTGGGGTACACGGAGCATTCCTCGAGTTGCTGTGCTGAAGTTGGTGTTCCTCTAGACTTGGGACAGTGTTCTCGGGGCATCTCTGGAGTTGCCTGAAGGAAGTCGAGCCACCGGTCGTGTTGAATGGGGAACGGGGAATGGCTCTGGAGTCAATGCAGGGGAATCGGGCCTCATCTCGAGTTGATTTGGGGCACATGGAGCTGCTTTGCGTTGCTGGGGTGACCTCAGGGTCCGTCTAGACTGGTGACAGTGTTCTTGGGGACTGTCTCGAGATCCATTAAGCAAGTCGAAGCTCCTGACTTGTTTGAATGGGATCACGGAATAGCTCTGCATGCACTGCAGGGGAATGGGGCCTCATCTCGCCTCTAGGGGGAAGTCTCATGGTTTTTCTCGAGTTGCGGCGGGGACCTGGGGTATGTTCTCGACTTACGGCGGGGATGGCCCTTCAAAACACGAGTTTCTTCAGTGACGTCAGGACTCCTGTCTAGTAACGAGGGACACCTCAGGAATCTCTTCGAGGCTTGGCAGGGCAAAAGGGATGCTTCTCGAGGTGAGGCAGGGCACCCAAGGACCCTTTCCAGTAGCCACAGGGATTTTGGGATTCCTATCAGTATTCAAGAGGAGTCAGGCATCGTCACCTTTTGAAGCAATGAACTCCGCGTGCCTCTCGAGGTGTCAGCGCGATGTGAGGCATTCCGTCAAAATGAGGCAGGGACCTAGGGCTTTCTCTAAGGTCTCCACAGGGGATTCAGACATCCCTTCATGTTGTGAGATGAAAGACGAGCCTGTATTCAAGCCACTGCAAGGAAATCCGGCCTCCTTTCAAGTTAGGGCTTCTCGCTGTATATTCCCCTTGAGGCAGCAAACTCGGGGTCCCTCCCACATACCTATTGCTGAGAGAAGCCTCCTCCTGAGGTGCTTCTGGGAAGTTGGCATACGTCTTGAGCCTAAGCCAGGGATTCAGCTCTCATCTCGAGACGATTTGGGGTACACGGAGCATTCCTCGAGTTGCTGTGCTGAAGTTGGTGTTCCTCTAGACTTGGGACAGTGTTCTCGGGGCATCTCTGGAGTTGCCTGAAGGAAGTCGAGCCACCGGTCGTGTTGAATGGGGAACGGGGAATGGCTCTGGAGTCAATGCAGGGGAATCGGGCCTCATCTCGAGTTGATTTGGGGCACATGGAGCTGCTTTGCGTTGCTGGGGTGACCTCAGGGTCCGTCTAGACTGGTGACAGTGTTCTTGGGGACTGTCTCGAGATCCATTAAGCAAGTCGAAGCTCCTGACTTGTTTGAATGGGATCACGGAATAGCTCTGCATGCACTGCAGGGGAATGGGGCCTCATCTCGCCTCTAGGGGGAAGTCTCATGGTTTTTCTCGAGTTGCGGCGGGGACCTGGGGTATGTTCTCGACTTACGGCGGGGATGGCCCTTCAAAACACGAGTTTCTTCAGTGACGTCAGGACTCCTGTCTAGTAACGAGGGACACCTCAGGAATCTCTTCGAGGCTTGGCAGGGCAAAAGGGACGCTTCTCGAGGTGAGGCAGGGCACCCAAGGACCCTTTCCAGTAGCCACAGGGATTTTGGGATTCCTATCAGTATTCAAGAGGAGTCAGGCATCGTCACCTTTTGAAGCAATGAACTCCGCGTGCCTCTCGAGGTGTCAGCGCGATGTGAGGCATTCCGTCAAAATGAGGCAGGGACCTAGGGCTTTCTCTAAGGTCTCCACAGGGGATTCAGACATCCCTTCATGTTGTGAGATGAAAGACGAGCCTGTATTCAAGCCACTGCAAGGAAATCCGGCCTCCTTTCAAGTTAGGGCTTCTCGCTGTATATTCCCCTTGAGGCAGCAAACTCGGGGTCCCTCCCACATACCTATTGGTGAGAGAAGCCTCCTCCTGAGGTGCTTCTGGGAAGTTGGCATACGTCTTGAGCCTAAGCCAGGGAATCAGCTCGCATCTCGAGACGATTTGGGGTACACGGAGCATTCCTCGAGTTGCTGTGCTGAAGTTGGTGTTCCTCTAGACTTGGGACAGTGTTCTCGGGGCATCTCTGGAGTTGCCTGAAGGAAGTCGAGCCACCGGTCGTGTTGAATGGGGAACGGGGAATGGCTCTGGAGTCAATGCAGGGGAATCGGGCCTCATCTCGAGTTGATTTTGGGCACATGGAACTGATTTGCGTTGCTGGGGTGACCTCAGGGTCCGTCTAGACTGGTGACAGTGTTCTTGGGGACTGTCTCGAGATCCATTAAGCAAGTCGAAGCTCCTGACTTGTTTGAATGGGATCACGGAATAGCTCTGCATGCACTGCAGGGGAATGGGGCCTCATCTCGCCTCTAGGGGGAAGTCTCATGGTTTTTCTCGAGTTGCGGCGGGGACCTGGGGTATGTTCTCGACTTACAGCGGGGATGGCCCTTCAAGACACGAGTTTCTTCAGTGACGTCAGGACTCCTGTCTAGTAACGAGGGACACCTCAGGAATCTCTTCGAGGCTTGGCAGGGCAAAAGGGACGCTTCTCGAGGTGAGGCAGGGCACCCAAGGACCCTTTCCAGTAGCCACAGGGATTTTGGGATTCCTATCAGTATTCAAGAGGAGTCAGGTATCGTCACCTTTTGAAGCAATGAACTCCGCGTGCCTCTCGAGGTGTCAGCGGGATGTGAGGCATTCCGTCAAAATGAGGCAGGGACCTAGGGCTTTCTCTAAGGTCTCCACAGGGGATTCAGACATCCCTTCATGTTGTGAGATGAAAGACGAGCCTGTATTCAAGCCACTGCAAGGAAATCCGGCCTCCTTTCAAGTTAGGGCTTCTCGCTGTATATTCCCCTTGAGGCAGCAAACTCGGGGTCCCTCCCACATACCTATTGGTGAGAGAAGCCTCCTCCTGAGGTGCTTCTGGGAAGTTGGCATACGTCTTGAGCCTAAGCCAGGGAATCAGCTCGCATCTCGAGACGATTTGGGGTACACGGAGCATTCCTCGAGTTGCTGTGCTGAAGTTGGTGTTCCTCTAGACTTGGGACAGTGTTCTCGGGGCATCTCTGGAGTTGCCTGAAGGAAGTCGAGCCACCGGTCGTGTTGAATGGGGAACGGGGAATGGCTCTGGAGTCAATGCAGGGGAATCGGGCCTCATCTCGAGTTGATTTGGGGCACATGGAGCTGCTTTGCGTTGCTGGGGTGACCTCAGGGTCCGTCTAGACTGGTGACAGTGTTCTTGGGGACTGTCTCGAGATCCATTAAGCAAGTCGAAGCTCCTGACTTGTTTGAATGGGATCACGGAATAGCTCTGCATGCACTGCAGGGGAATGGGGCCTCATCTCGCCTCTAGGGGGAAGTCTCATGGTTTTTCTCGAGTTGCGGCGGGGACCTGGGGTATGTTCTCGACTTACGGCGGGGATGGCCCTTCAAAACACGAGTTTCTTCAGTGACGTCAGGACTCCTGTCTAGTAACGAGGGACACCTCAGGAATCTCTTCGAGGCTTGGCAGGGCAAAAGGGACGCTTCTCGAGGTGAGGCAGGGCACCCAAGGACCCTTTCCAGTAGCCACAGGGATTTTGGGATTCCTATCAGTATTCAAGAGGAGTCAGGCATCGTCACCTTTTGAAGCAATGAACTCCGCGTGCCTCTCGAGGTGTCAGCGCGATGTGAGGCATTCCGGCAAAATGAGGCAGGGACCTAGGCCTTTCTCTAAGGTCTCCACAGGGGATTCAGACATCCCTTCATGTTGTGAGATGAAAGACGAGCCTGTATTCAAGCCACTGCAAGGAAATCCGGCCTCCTTTCAAGTTAGGGCTTCTCGCTGTATATTCCCCTTGAGGCAGCAAACTCGGGGTCCCTCCCACATACCTATTGCTGAGAGAAGCCTCCTCCTGAGGTGCTTCTGGGAAGTTGGCATACGTCTTGAGCCTAAGCCAGGGATTCAGCTCTCATCTCGAGACGATTTGGGGTACACGGAGCATTCCTCGAGTTGCTGTGCTGAAGTTGGTGTTCCTCTAGACTTGGGACAGTGTTCTCGGGGCATCTCTGGAGTTGCCTGAAGGAAGTCGAGCCACCGGTCGTGTTGAATGGGGAACGGGGAATGGCTCTGGAGTCAATGCAGGGGAATCGGGCCTCATCTCGAGTTGATTTGGGGCACATGGAGCTGCTTTGCGTTGCTGGGGTGACCTCAGGGTCCGTCTAGACTGGTGACAGTGTTCTTGGGGACTGTCTCGAGATCCATTAAGCAAGTCGAAGCTCCTGACTTGTTTGAATGGGATCACGGAATAGCTCTGCATGCACTGCAGGGGAATGGGGCCTCATCTCGCCTCTAGGGGGAAGTCTCATGGTTTTTCTCGAGTTGCGGCGGGGACCTGGGGTATGTTCTCGACTTACGGCGGGGATGGCCCTTCAAAACACGAGTTTCTTCAGTGACGTCAGGACTCCTGTCTAGTAACGAGGGACACCTCAGGAATCTCTTCGAGGCTTGGCAGGGCAAAAGGGACGCTTCTCGAGGTGAGGCAGGGCACCCAAGGACCCTTTCCAGTAGCCACAGGGATTTTGGGATTCCTATCAGTATTCAAGAGGAGTCAGGCATCGTCACCTTTTGAAGCAATGAACTCCGCGTGCCTCTCGAGGTGTCAGCGCGATGTGAGGCATTCCGTCAAAATGAGGCAGGGACCTAGGGCTTTCTCTAAGGTCTCCACAGGGGATTCAGACATCCCTTCATGTTGTGAGATGAAAGACGAGCCTGTATTCAAGCCACTGCAAGGAAATCCGGCCTCCTTTCAAGTTAGGGCTTCTCGCTGTATATTCCCCTTGAGGCAGCAAACTCGGGGTCCCTCCCACATACCTATTGGTGAGAGAAGCCTCCTCCTGAGGTGCTTCTGGGAAGTTGGCATACGTCTTGAGCCTAAGCCAGGGAATCAGCTCGCATCTCGAGACGATTTGGGGTACACGGAGCATTCCTCGAGTTGCTGTGCTGAAGTTGGTGTTCCTCTAGACTTGGGACAGTGTTCTCGGGGCATCTCTGGAGTTGCCTGAAGGAAGTCGAGCCACCGGTCGTGTTGAATGGGGAACGGGGAATGGCTCTGGAGTCAATGCAGGGGAATCGGGCCTCATCTCGAGTTGATTTGGGGCACATGGAGCTGCTTTGCGTTGCTGGGGTGACCTCAGGGTCCGTCTAGACTGGTGACAGTGTTCTTGGGGACTGTCTCGAGATCCATTAAGCAAGTCGAAGCTCCTGACTTGTTTGAATGGGATCACGGAATAGCTCTGCATGCACTGCAGGGGAATGGGGCCTCATCTCGCCTCTACGGGGAAGTCTCATGGTTTTTCTCGAGTTGCGGCGGGGACCTGGGGTATGTTCTCGACTTACGGCGGGGATGGCCCTTCAAAACACGAGTTTCTTCAGTGACGTCAGGACTCCTGTCTAGTAACGAGGGACACCTCAGGAATCTCTTCGAGGCTTGGCAGGGCAAAAGGGATGCTTCTCGAGGTGAGGCAGGGCACCCAAGGACCCTTTCCAGTAGCCACAGGGATTTTGGGATTCCTATCAGTATTCAAGAGGAGTCAGGCATCGTCACCTTTTGAAGCAATGAACTCCGCGTGCCTCTCGAGGTGTCAGCGCGATGTGAGGCATTCCGTCAAAATGAGGCAGGGACCTAGGGCTTTCTCTAAGGTCTCCACAGGGGATTCAGACATCCCTTCATGTTGTGAGATGAAAGACGAGCCTGTATTCAAGCCACTGCAAGGAAATCCGGCCTCCTTTCAAGTTAGGGCTTCTCGCTGTATATTCCCCTTGAGGCAGCAAACTCGGGGTCCCTCCCACATACCTATTGCTGAGAGAAGCCTCCTCCTGAGGTGCTTCTGGGAAGTTGGCATACGTCTTGAGCCTAAGCCAGGGATTCAGCTCTCATCTCGAGACGATTTGGGGTACACGGAGCATTCCTCGAGTTGCTGTGCTGAAGTTGGTGTTCCTCTAGACTTGGGACAGTGTTCTCGGGGCATCTCTGGAGTTGCCTGAAGGAAGTCGAGCCACCGGTCGTGTTGAATGGGGAACGGGGAATGGCTCTGGAGTCAATGCAGGGGAATCGGGCCTCATCTCGAGTTGATTTGGGGCACATGGAGCTGCTTTGCGTTGCTGGGGTGACCTCAGGGTCCGTCTAGACTGGTGACAGTGTTCTTGGGGACTGTCTCGAGATCCATTAAGCAAGTCGAAGCTCCTGACTTGTTTGAATGGGATCACGGAATAGCTCTGCATGCACTGCAGGGGAATGGGGCCTCATCTCGCCTCTAGGGGGAAGTCTCATGGTTTTTCTCGAGTTGCGGCGGGGACCTGGGGTATGTTCTCGACTTACGGCGGGGATGGCCCTTCAAAACACGAGTTTCTTCAGTGACGTCAGGACTCCTGTCTAGTAATGAGGGACACCTCAGGAATCTCTTCGAGGCTTGGCAGGGCAAAAGGGACGCTTCTCGAGGTGAGGCAGGGCACCCAAGGACCCTTTCCAGTAGCCACAGGGATTTTGGGATTCCTATCAGTATTCAAGAGGAGTCAGGCATCGTCACCTTTTGAAGCAATGAACTCCGCGTGCCTCTCGAGGTGTCAGCGCGATGTGAGGCATTCCGTCAAAATGAGGCAGGGACCTAGGGCTTTCTCTAAGGTCTCCACAGGGGATTCAGACATCCCTTCATGTTGTGAGATGAAAGACGAGCCTGTATTCAAGCCACTGCAAGGAAATCCGGCCTCCTTTCAAGTTAGGGCTTCTCGCTGTATATTCCCCTTGAGGCAGCAAACTCGGGGTCCCTCCCACATACCTATTGCTGAGAGAAGCCTCCTCCTGAGGTGCTTCTGGGAAGTTGGCATACGTCTTGAGCCTAAGCCAGGGATTCAGCTCTCATCTCGAGACGATTTGGGGTACACGGAGCATTCCTCGAGTTGCTGTGCTGAAGTTGGTGTTCCTCTAGACTTGGGACAGTGTTCTCGGGGCATCTCTGGAGTTGCCTGAAGGAAGTCGAGCCACCGGTCGTGTTGAATGGGGAACGGGGAATGGCTCTGGAGTCAATGCAGGGGAATCGGGCCTCATCTCGAGTTGATTTGGGGCACATGGAGCTGCTTTGCGTTGCTGGGGTGACCTCAGGGTCCGTCTAGACTGGTGACAGTGTTCTTGGGGACTGTCTCGAGATCCATTAAGCAAGTCGAAGCTCCTGACTTGTTTGAATGGGATCACGGAATAGCTCTGCATGCACTGCAGGGGAATGGGGCCTCATCTCGCCTCTAGGGGGAAGTCTCATGGTTTTTCTCGAGTTGCGGCGGGGACCTGGGGTATGTTCTCGACTTACGGCGGGGATGGCCCTTCAAAACACGAGTTTCTTCAGTGACGTCAGGACTCCTGTCTAGTAACGAGGGACACCTCAGGAATCTCTTCGAGGCTTGGCAGGGCAAAAGGGACGCTTCTCGAGGTGAGGCAGGGCACCCAAGGACCCTTTCCAGTAGCCACAGGGATTTTGGGATTCCTATCAGTATTCAAGAGGAGTCAGGCATCGTCACCTTTTGAAGCAATGAACTCCGCGTGCCTCTCGAGGTGTCAGCGGGATGTGAGGCATTCCTTAAAAATGAGGCAGGGACCTAGGGCTTTCTCTAAGGTCTCCACAGGGGATTCAGACATCCCTTCATGTTGTGAGATGAAAGACGAGCCTGTATTCAAGCCACTGCAAGGAAATCCGGCCTCCTTTCAAGTTAGGGCTTCTCGCTGTATATTCCCCTTGAGGCAGCAAACTCGGGGTCCCTCCCACATACCTATTGCTGAGAGAAGCCTCCTCCTGAGGTGCTTCTGGGAAGTTGGCATACGTCTTGAGCCTAAGCCAGGGAATCAGCTCGCATCTCGAGACGATTTGGGGTACACGGAGCATTCCTCGAGTTGCTGTGCTGAAGTTGGTGTTCCTCTAGACTTGGGACAGTGTTCTCGGGGCATCTCTGGAGTTGCCTGAAGGAAGTCGAGCCACCGGTCGTGTTGAATGGGGAACGGGGAATGGCTCTGGAGTCAATGCAGGGGAATCGGGCCTCATCTCGAGTTGATTTGGGGCACATGGAGCTGCTTTGCGTTGCTGGGGTGACCTCAGGGTCCGTCTAGACTGGTGACAGTGTTCTTGGGGACTGTCTCGAGATCCATTAAGCAAGTCGAAGCTCCTGACTTGTTTGAATGGGATCACGGAATAGCTCTGCATGCACTGCAGGGGAATGGGGCCTCATCTCGCCTCTAGGGGGAAGTCTCATGGTTTTTCTCGAGTTGCGGCGGGGACCTGGGGTATGTTCTCGACTTACGGCGGGGATGGCCCTTCAAGACACGAGTTTCTTCAGTGACGTCAGGACTCCTGTCTAGTAACGAGGGACACCTCAGGAATCTCTTCGAGGCTTGGCAGGGCAAAAGGGACGCTTCTCGAGGTGAGGCAGGGCACCCAAGGACCCTTTCCAGTAGCCACAGGGATTTTGGGATTCCTATCAGTATTCAAGAGGAGTCAGGCATCGTCACCTTTTGAAGCAATGAACTCCGCGTGCCTCTCGAGGTGTCAGCGGGATGTGAGGCATTCCGTCAAAATGAGGCAGGGACCTAGGGCTTTCTCTAAGGTCTCCACAGGGGATTCAGACATCCCTTCATGTTGTGAGATGAAAGACGAGCCTGTATTCAAGCCACTGCAAGGAAATCCGGCCTCCTTTCAAGTTAGGGCTTCTCGCTGTATATTCCCCTTGAGGCAGCAAACTCGGGGTCCCTCCCACATACCTATTGGTGAGAGAAGCCTCCTCCTGAGGTGCTTCTGGGAAGTTGGCATACGTCTTGAGCCTAAGCCAGGGAATCAGCTCGCATCTCGAAACGATTTGGGGTACACGGAGCATTCCTCGAGTTGCTGTGCTGAAGTTGGTGTTCCTCTAGACTTGGGACAGTGTTCTCGGGGCATCTCTGGAGTTGCCTGAAGGAAGTCGAGCCACCGGTCGTGTTGAATGGGGAACGGGGAATGGCTCTGGAGTCAATGCAGGGGAATCGGGCCTCATCTCGAGTTGATTTGGGGCACATGGAGCTGCTTTGCGTTGCTGGGGTGACCTCAGGGTCCGTCTAGACTGGTGACAGTGTTCTTGGGGACTGTCTCGAGATCCATTAAGCAAGTCGAAGCTCCTGACTTGTTTGAATGGGATCACGGAATAGCTCTGCATGCACTGCAGGGGAATGGGGCCTCATCTCGCCTCTAGGGGGAAGTCTCATGGTTTTTCTCGAGTTGCGGCGGGGACCTGGGGTATGTTCTCGACTTACGGCGGGGATGGCCCTTCAAAACACGAGTTTCTTCAGTGACGTCAGGACTCCTGTCTAGTAACGAGGGACACCTCAGGAATCTCTTCGAGGCTTGGCAGGGCAAAAGGGATGCTTCTCGAGGTGAGGCAGGGCACCCAAGGACCCTTTCCAGTAGCCACAGGGATTTTGGGATTCCTATCAGTATTCAAGAGGAGTCAGGCATCGTCACCTTTTGAAGCAATGAACTCCGCGTGCCTCTCGAGGTGTCAGCGCGATGTGAGGCATTCCGTCAAAATGAGGCAGGGACCTAGGGCTTTCTCTAAGGTCTCCACAGGGGATTCAGACATCCCTTCATGTTGTGAGATGAAAGACGAGCCTGTATTCAAGCCACTGCAAGGAAATCCGGCCTCCTTTCAAGTTAGGGCTTCTCGCTGTATATTCCCCTTGAGGCAGCAAACTCGGGGTCCCTCCCACATACCTATTGCTGAGAGAAGCCTCCTCCTGAGGTGCTTCTGGGAAGTTGGCATACGTCTTGAGCCTAAGCCAGGGATTCAGCTCTCATCTCGAGACGATTTGGGGTACACGGAGCATTCCTCGAGTTGCTGTGCTGAAGTTGGTGTTCCTCTAGACTTGGGACAGTGTTCTCGGGGCATCTCTGGAGTTGCCTGAAGGAAGTCGAGCCACCGGTCGTGTTGAATGGGGAACGGGGAATGGCTCTGGAGTCAATGCAGGGGAATCGGGCCTCATCTCGAGTTGATTTGGGGCACATGGAGCTGCTTTGCGTTGCTGGGGTGACCTCAGGGTCCGTCTAGACTGGTGACAGTGTTCTTGGGGACTGTCTCGAGATCCATTAAGCAAGTCGAAGCTCCTGACTTGTTTGAATGGGATCACGGAATAGCTCTGCATGCACTGCAGGGGAATGGGGCCTCATCTCGCCTCTAGGGGGAAGTCTCATGGTTTTTCTCGAGTTGCGGCGGGGACCTGGGGTATGTTCTCGACTTACGGCGGGGATGGCCCTTCAAAACACGAGTTTCTTCAGTGACGTCAGGACTCCTGTCTAGTAATGAGGGACACCTCAGGAATCTCTTCGAGGCTTGGCAGGGCAAAAGGGACGCTTCTCGAGGTGAGGCAGGGCACCCAAGGACCCTTTCCAGTAGCCACAGGGATTTTGGGATTCCTATCAGTATTCAAGAGGAGTCAGGCATCGTCACCTTTTGAAGCAATGAACTCCGCGTGCCTCTCGAGGTGTCAGCGCGATGTGAGGCATTCCGTCAAAATGAGGCAGGGACCTAGGGCTTTCTCTAAGGTCTCCACAGGGGATTCAGACATCCCTTCATGTTGTGAGATGAAAGACGAGCCTGTATTCAAGCCACTGCAAGGAAATCCGGCCTCCTTTCAAGTTAGGGCTTCTCGCTGTATATTCCCCTTGAGGCAGCAAACTCGGGGTCCCTCCCACATACCTATTGCTGAGAGAAGCCTCCTCCTGAGGTGCTTCTGGGAAGTTGGCATACGTCTTGAGCCTAAGCCAGGGATTCAGCTCTCATCTCGAGACGATTTGGGGTACACGGAGCATTCCTCGAGTTGCTGTGCTGAAGTTGGTGTTCCTCTAGACTTGGGACAGTGTTCTCGGGGCATCTCTGGAGTTGCCTGAAGGAAGTCGAGCCACCGGTCGTGTTGAATGGGGAACGGGGAATGGCTCTGGAGTCAATGCAGGGGAATCGGGCCTCATCTCGAGTTGATTTGGGGCACATGGAGCTGCTTTGCGTTGCTGGGGTGACCTCAGGGTCCGTCTAGACTGGTGACAGTGTTCTTGGGGACTGTCTCGAGATCCATTAAGCAAGTCGAAGCTCCTGACTTGTTTGAATGGGATCACGGAATAGCTCTGCATGCACTGCAGGGGAATGGGGCCTCATCTCGCCTCTAGGGGGAAGTCTCATGGTTTTTCTCGAGTTGCGGCGGGGACCTGGGGTATGTTCTCGACTTACGGCGGAGATGGCCCTTCAAAACACGAGTTTCTTCAGTGACGTCAGGACTCCTGTCTAGTAACGAGGGACACCTCAGGAATCTCTTCGAGGCTTGGCAGGGCAAAAGGGACGCTTCTCGAGGTGAGGCAGGGCACCCAAGGACCCTTTCCAGTAGCCACAGGGATTTTGGGATTCCTATCAGTATTCAAGAGGAGTCAGGCATCGTCACCTTTTGAAGCAATGAACTCCGCGTGCCTCTCGAGGTGTCAGCGCGATGTGAGGCATTCCGTCAAAATGAGGCAGGGACCTAGGGCTTTCTCTAAGGTCTCCACAGGGGATTCAGACATCCCTTCATGTTGTGAGATGAAAGACGAGCCTGTATTCAAGCCACTGCAAGGAAATCCGGCCTCCTTTCAAGTTAGGGCTTCTCGCTGTATATTCCCCTTGAGGCAGCAAACTCGGGGTCCTTCCCACATACCTATTGCTGAGAGAAGCCTCCTCCTGAGGTGCTTCTGGGAAGTTGGCATACGTCTCGAGCCTAAGCCAGGGATTCAGCTCTCATCTCGAGACGATTTGGGGTACACGGAGCATTCCTCGAGTTGCTGTGCTGAAGTTGGTGTTCCTCTAGACTTGGGACAGTGTTCTCGGGGCATCTCTGGAGTTGCCTGAAGGAAGTCGAGCCACCGGTCGTGTTGAATGGGGAACGGGGAATGGCTCTGGAGTCAATGCAGGGGAATCGGGCCTCATCTCGAGTTGATTTGGGGCACATGGAGCTGCTTTGCGTTGCTGGGGTGACCTCAGGGTCCGTCTAGACTGGTGACAGTGTTCTTGGGGACTGTCTCGAGATCCATTAAGCAAGTCGAAGCTCCTGACTTGTTTGAATGGGATCACGGAATAGCTCTGCATGCACTGCAGGGGAATGGGGCCTCATCTCGCCTCTAGGGGGAAGTCTCATGGTTTTTCTCGAGTTGCGGCGGGGACCTGGGGTATGTTCTCGACTTACGGCGGGGATGGCCCTTCAAAACACGAGTTTCTTCAGTGACGTCAGGACTCCTGTCTAGTAACGAGGGACACCTCAGGAATCTCTTCGAGGCTTGGCAGGGCAAAAGGGACGCTTCTCGAGGTGAGGCAGGGCACCCAAGGACCCTTTCCAGTAGCCACAGGGATTTTGGGATTCCTATCAGTATTCAAGAGGAGTCAGGCATCGTCACCTTTTGAAGCAATGAACTCCGCGTGCCTCTCGAGGTGTCAGCGGGATGTGAGGCATTCCGTCAAAATGAGGCAGGGACCTAGGGCTTTCTCTAAGGTCTCCACAGGGGATTCAGACATCCCTTCATGTTGTGAGATGAAAGACGAGCCTGTATTCAAGCCACTGCAAGGAAATCCGGCCTCCTTTCAAGTTAGGGCTTCTCGCTGTATATTCCCCTTGAGGCAGCAAACTCGGGGTCCCTCCCACATACCTATTGCTGAGAGAAGCCTCCTCCTGAGGTGCTTCTGGGAAGTTGGCATACGTCTTGAGCCTAAGCCAGGGAATCAGCTCGCATCTCGAGACGATTTGGGGTACACGGAGCATTCCTCGAGTTGCTGTGCTGAAGTTGGTGTTCCTCTAGACTTGGGACAGTGTTCTCGGGGCATCTCTGGAGTTGCCTGAAGGAAGTCGAGCCACCGGTCGTGTTGAATGGGGAACGGGGAATGGCTCTGGAGTCAATGCAGGGGAATCGGGCCTCATCTCGAGTTGATTTGGGGCACATGGAGCTGCTTTGCGTTGCTGGGGTGACCTCAGGGTCCGTCTAGACTGGTGACAGTGTTCTTGGGGACTGTCTCGAGATCCATTAAGCAAGTCGAAGCTCCTGACTTGTTTGAATGGGATCACGGAATAGCTCTGCATGCACTGCAGGGGAATGGGGCCTCATCTCGCCTCTAGGGGGAAGTCTCATGGTTTTTCTCGAGTTGCGGCGGGGACCTGGGGTATGTTCTCGACTTACGGCGGGGATGGCCCTTCAAAACACGAGTTTCTTCAGTGACGTCAGGACTCCTGTCTAGTAACGAGGGACACCTCAGGAATCTCTTCGAGGCTTGGCAGGGCAAAAGGGACGCTTCTCGAGGTGAGGCAGGGCACCCAAGGACCCTTTCCAGTAGCCACAGGGATTTTGGGATTCCTATCAGTATTCAAGAGGAGTCAGGCATCGTCACCTTTTGAAGCAATGAACTCCGCGTGCCTCTCGAGGTGTCAGCGCGATGTGAGGCATTCCGTCAAAATGAGGCAGGGACCTAGGGCTTTCTCTAAGGTCTCCACAGGGGATTCAGACATCCCTTCATGTTGTGAGATGAAAGACGAGCCTGTATTCAAGCCACTGCAAGGAAATCCGGCCTCCTTTCAAGTTAGGGCTTCTCGCTGTATATTCCCCTTGAGGCAGCAAACTCGGGGTCCCTCCCACATACCTATTGCTGAGAGAAGCCTCCTCCTGAGGTGCTTCTGGGAAGTTGGCATACGTCTTGAGCCTAAGCCAGGGAATCAGCTCGCATCTCGAGACGATTTGGGGTACACGGAGCATTCCTCGAGTTGCTCTGCTGAAGTTGGTGTTCCTCTAGACTTGGGACAGTGTTCTCGGGGCATCTCTGGAGTTGCCTGAAGGAAGTCGAGCCACCGGTCGTGTTGAATGGGGAACGGGGAATGGCTCTGGAGTCAATGCAGGGGAATCGGGCCTCATCTCGAGTTGATTTGGGGCACATGGAGCTGCTTTGCGTTGCTGGGGTGACCTCAGGGTCCGTCTAGACTGGTGACAGTGTTCTTGGGGACTGTCTCGAGATCCATTAAGCAAGTCGAAGCTCCTGACTTGTTTGAATGGGATCACGGAATAGCTCTGCATGCACTGCAGGGGAATGGGGCCTCATCTCGCCTCTAGGGGGAAGTCTCATGGTTTTTCTCGAGTTGCGGCGGGGACCTGGGGTATGTTCTCGACTTACGGCGGGGATGGCCCTTCAAAACACGAGTTTCTTCAGTGACGTCAGGACTCCTGTCTAGTAACGAGGGACACCTCAGGAATCTCTTCGAGGCTTGGCAGGGCAAAAGGGACGCTTCTCGAGGTGAGGCAGGGCACCCAAGGACCCTTTCCAGTAGCCACAGGGATTTTGGGATTCCTATCAGTATTCAAGAGGAGTCAGGCATCGTCACCTTTTGAAGCAATGAACTCCGCGTGCCTCTCGAGGTGTCAGCGGGATGTGAGGCATTCCGTCAAAATGAGGCAGGGACCTAGGGCTTTCTCTAAGGTCTCCACAGGGGATTCAGACATCCCTTCATGTTGTGAGATGAAAGACGAGCCTGTATTCAAGCCACTGCAAGGAAATCCGGCCTCCTTTCAAGTTAGGGCTTCTCGCTGTATATTCCCCTTGAGGCAGCAAACTCGGGGTCCCTCCCACATACCTATTGCTGAGAGAAGCCTCCTCCTGAGGTGCTTCTGGGAAGTTGGCATACGTCTTGAGCCTAAGCCAGGGATTCAGCTCTCATCTCGAGACGATTTGGGGTACACGGAGCATTCCTCGAGTTGCTGTGCTGAAGTTGGTGTTCCTCTAGACTTGGGACAGTGTTCTCGGGGCATCTCTGGAGTTGCCTGAAGGAAGTCGAGCCACCGGTCGTGTTGAATGGGGAACGGGGAATGGCTCTGGAGTCAATGCAGGGGAATCGGGCCTCATCTCGAGTTGATTTGGGGCACATGGAGCTGCTTTGCGTTGCTGGGGTGACCTCAGGGTCCGTCTAGACTGGTGACAGTGTTCTTGGGGACTGTCTCGAGATCCATTAAGCAAGTCGAAGCTCCTGACTTGTTTGAATGGGATCACGGAATAGCTCTGCATGCACTGCAGGGGAATGGGGCCTCATCTCGCCTCTAGGGGGAAGTCTCATGGTTTTTCTCGAGTTGCGGCGGGGACCTGGGGTATGTTCTCGACTTACGGCGGGGATGGCCCTTCAAGACACGAGTTTCTTCAGTGACCTCAGGACTCCTGTCTAGTAACGAGGGACACCTCAGGAATCTCTTCGAGGCTTGGCAGGGCAAAAGGGACGCTTCTCGAGGTGAGGCAGGGCACCCAAGGACCCTTTCCAGTAGCCACAGGGATTTTGGGATTCCTATCAGTATTCAAGAGGAGTCAGGCATCGTCACCTTTTGAAGCAATGAACTCCGCGTGCCTCTCGAGGTGTCAGCGGGATGTGAGGCATTCCGTCAAAATGAGGCAGGGACCTAGGGCTTTCTCTAAGGTCTCCACAGGGGATTCAGACATCCCTTCATGTTGTGAGATGAAAGACGAGCCTGTATTCAAGCCACTGCAAGGAAATCCGGCCTCCTTTCAAGTTAGGGCTTCTCGCTGTATATTCCCCTTGAGGCAGCAAACTCGGGGTCCCTCCCACATACCTATTGCTGAGAGAAGCCTCCTCCTGAGGTGCTTCTGGGAAGTTGGCATACGTCTTGAGCCTAAGCCAGGGAATCAGCTCTCATCTCGAGACGATTTGGGGTACACGGAGCATTCCTCGAGTTGCTGTGCTGAAGTTGGTGTTCCTCTAGACTTGGGACAGTGTTCTCGGGGCATCTCTGGAGTTGCCTGAAGGAAGTCGAGCCACCGGTCGTGTTGAATGGGGAACGGGGAATGGCTCTGGAGTCAATGCAGGGGAATCGGGCCTCATCTCGAGTTGATTTGGGGCACATGGAGCTGCTTTGCGTTGCTGGGGTGACCTCAGGGTCCGTCTAGACTGGTGACAGTGTTCTTGGGGACTGTCTCGAGATCCATTAAGCAAGTCGAAGCTCCTGACTTGTTTGAATGGGATCACGGAATAGCTCTGCATGCACTGCAGGGGAATGGGGCCTCATCTCGCCTCTAGGGGGAAGTCTCATGGTTTTTCTCGAGTTGCGGCGGGGACCTGGGGTATGTTCTCGACTTACGGCGGGGATGGCCCTTCAAAACACGAGTTTCTTCAGTGACGTCAGGACTCCTGTCTAGTAACGAAGGACACCTCAGGAATCTCTTCGAGGCTTGGCAGGGCAAAAGGGACGCTTCTCGAGGTGAGGCAGGGCACCCAAGGACCCTTTCCAGTAGCCACAGGGATTTTGGGATTCCTATCAGTATTCAAGAGGAGTCAGGCATCGTCACCTTTTGAAGCAATGAACTCCGCGTGCCTCTCGAGGTGTCAGCGCGATGTGAGGCATTCCGTCAAAATGAGGCAGGGACCTAGGGCTTTCTCTAAGGTCTCCACAGGGGATTCAGACATCCCTTCATGTTGTGAGATGAAAGACGAGCCTGTATTCAAGCCACTGCAAGGAAATCCGGCCTCCTTTCAAGTTAGGGCTTCTCGCTGTATATTCCCCTTGAGGCAGCAAACTCGGGGTCCCTCCCACATACCTATTGCTGAGAGAAGCCTCCTCCTGAGGTGCTTCTGGGAAGTTGGCATACGTCTTGAGCCTAAGCCAGGGATTCAGCTCTCATCTCGAGACGATTTGGGGTACACGGAGCATTCCTCGAGTTGCTGTGCTGAAGTTGGTGTTCCTCTAGACTTGGGACAGTGTTCTCGGGGCATCTCTGGAGTTGCCTGAAGGAAGTCGAGCCACCGGTCGTGTTGAATGGGGAACGGGGAATGGCTCTGGAGTCAATGCAGGGGAATCGGGCCTCATCTCGAGTTGATTTGGGGCACATGGAGCTGCTTTGCGTTGCTGGGGTGACCTCAGGGTCCGTCTAGACTGGTGACAGTGTTCTTGGGGACTGTCTCGAGATCCATTAAGCAAGTCGAAGCTCCTGACTTGTTTGAATGGGATCACGGAATAGCTCTGCATGCACTGCAGGGGAATGGGGCCTCATCTCGCCTCTAGGGGGAAGTCTCATGGTTTTTCTCGAGTTGCGGCGGGGACCTGGGGTATGTTCTCGACTTACGGCGGGGATGGCCCTTCAAAACACGAGTTTCTTCAGTGACGTCAGGACTCCTGTCTAGTAACGAGGGACACCTCAGGAATCTCTTCGAGGCTTGGCAGGGCAAAAGGGACGCTTCTCGAGGTGAGGCAGGGCACCCAAGGACCCTTTCCAGTAGCCACAGGGATTTTGGGATTCCTATCAGTATTCAAGAGGAGTCAGGCATCGTCACCTTTTGAAGCAAAGAACTCCGCGTGCCTCTCGAGGTGTCAGCGCGATGTGAGGCATTCCGTCAAAATGAGGCAGGGACCTAGGGCTTTCTCTAAGGTCTCCACAGGGGATTCAGACATCCCTTCATGTTGTGAGATGAAAGACGAGCCTGTATTCAAGCCACTGCAAGGAAATCCGGCCTCCTTTCAAGTTAGGGCTTCTCGCTGTATATTCCCCTTGAGGCAGCAAACTCGGGGTCCCTCCCACATACCTATTGGTGAGAGAAGCCTCCTCCTGAGGTGCTTCTGGGAAGTTGGCATACGTCTTGAGCCTAAGCCAGGGAATCAGCTCGCATCTCGAGACGATTTGGGGTACACGGAGCATTCCTCGAGTTGCTGTGCTGAAGTTGGTGTTCCTCTAGACTTGGGACAGTGTTCTCGGGGCATCTCTGGAGTTGCCTGAAGGAAGTCGAGCCACCGGTCGTGTTGAATGGGGAACGGGGAATGGCTCTGGAGTCAATGCAGGGGAATCGGGCCTCATCTCGAGTTGATTTGGGGCACATGGAGCTGCTTTGCGTTGCTGGGGTGACCTCAGGGTCCGTCTAGACTGGTGACAGTGTTCTTGGGGACTGTCTCGAGATCCATTAAGCAAGTCGAAGCTCCTGACTTGTTTGAATGGGATCACGGAATAGCTCTGCATGCACTGCAGGGGAATGGGGCCTCATCTCGCCTCTAGGGGGAAGTCTCATGGTTTTTCTCGAGTTGCGGCGGGGACCTGGGGTATGTTCTCGACTTACAGCGGGGATGGCCCTTCAAGACACGAGTTTCTTCAGTGACGTCAGGACTCCTGTCTAGTAACGAGGGACACCTCAGGAATCTCTTCGAGGCTTGGCAGGGCAAAAGGGACGCTTCTCGAGGTGAGGCAGGGCACCCAAGGACCCTTTCCAGTAGCCACAGGGATTTTGGGATTCCTATCAGTATTCAAGAGGAGTCAGGCATCGTCACCTTTTGAAGCAATGAACTCCGCGTGCCTCTCGAGGTGTCAGCGCGATGTGAGGCATTCCGTCAAAATGAGGCAGGGACCTAGGGCTTTCTCTAAGGTCTCCACAGGGGATTCAGACATCCCTTCATGTTGTGAGATGAAAGACGAGCCTGTATTCAAGCCACTGCAAGGAAATCCGGCCTCCTTTCAAGTTAGGGCTTCTCGCTGTATATTCCCCTTGAGGCAGCAAACTCGGGGTCCCTCCCACATACCTATTGCTGAGAGAAGCCTCCTCCTGAGGTGCTTCTGGGAAGTTGGCATACGTCTTGAGCCTAAGCCAGGGATTCAGCTCGCATCTCGAGACGATTTGGGGTACACGGAGCATTCCTCGAGTTGCTGTGCTGAAGTTGGTGTTCCTCTAGACTTGGGACAGTGTTCTCGGGGCATCTCTGGAGTTGCCTGAAGGAAGTCGAGCCACCGGTCGTGTTGAATGGGGAACGGGGAATGGCTCTGGAGTCAATGCAGGGGAATCGGGCCTCATCTCGAGTTGATTTGGGGCACATGGAGCTGCTTTGCGTTGCTGGGGTGACCTCAGGGTCCGTCTAGACTGGTGACAGTGTTCTTGGGGACTGTCTCGAGATCCATTAAGCAAGTCGAAGCTCCTGACTTGTTTGAATGGGATCACGGAATAGCTCTGCATGCACTGCAGGGGAATGGGGCCTCATCTCGCCTCTAGGGGGAAGTCTCATGGTTTTTCTCGAGTTGCGGCGGGGACCTGGGGTATGTTCTCGACTTACGGCCGGGATGGCCCTTCAAAACACGAGTTTCTTCAGTGACGTCAGGACTCCTGTCTAGTAACGAGGGACACCTCAGGAATCTCTTCGAGGCTTGGCAGGGCAAAAGGGACGCTTCTCGAGGTGAGGCAGGGCACCCAAGGACCCTTTCCAGTAGCCACAGGGATTTTGGGATTCCTATCAGTATTCAAGAGGAGTCAGGAATCGTCACCTTTTGAAGCAATGAACTCCGCGTGCCTCTCGAGGTGACAGCGGGATGTGAGGCATTCCGTCAAAATGAGGCAGGGACCTAGGGCTTTGTCTAAGGTCTCCACAGGGGATTCAGACATCCCTTCATGTTGTGAGATGAAAGACGAGCCTGTATTCAAGCCACTGCAAGGAAATCCGGCCTCCTTTCAAGTTAGGGCTTCTCGCTGTATATTCCCCTTGAGGCAGCAAACTCGGGGTCCCTCCCACATACCTATTGCTGAGAGAAGCCTCCTCCTGAGGTGCTTCTGGGAAGTTGGCATACGTCTTGAGCCTAAGCCAGGGAATCAGCTCGCACCTCGACACGATTTGGGGTACACGGAGCATTCCTCGAGTTGCTGTGCTGAAGTTGGTGTTCCTCTAGACTTGGGACAGTGTTCTCGGGGCATCTCTGGAGTTGCCTGAAGGAAGTCGAGCCACCGGTCGTGTTGAATGGGGAACGGGGAATGGCTCTGCAGTAAATGCAGGGGAATCGGGCCTCATCTCGAGTTGATTTGGGGCACATGGAGCTGCTTTGCGTTGCTGGGGTGACCTCAGGGTCCGTCTAGACTGGTGACAGTGTTCTTGGGGACTGTCTCGAGATCCATTAAGCAAGTCGAAGCTCCTGACTTGTTTGAATGGGATCACGGAATAGCTCTGCATGCACTGCAGGGGAATGGGGCCTCATCTCGCCTCTAGGGGGAAGTCTCATGGTTTTTCTCGAGTTGCGGCGGGGACCTGGGGTATGTTCTCGACTTACGGCGGGGATGGCCCTTCAAGACACGAGTTTCTTCAGTGACGTCAGGACTCCTGTCTAGTAACGAGGGACACCTCAGGAATCTCTTCGAGGCTTGGCAGGGCAAAAGGGACGCTTCTCGAGGTGAGGCAGGGCACCCAAGGACCCTTTCCAGTAGCCACAGGGATTTTGGGATTCCTATCAGTATTCAAGAGGAGTCAGGCATCGTCACCTTTTGAAGCAATGAACTCCGCGTGCCTCTCGAGGTGTCAGCGGGATGTGAGGCATTCCGTCAAAATGAGGCAGGGACCTAGGGCTTTCTCTAAGGTCTCCACAGGGGATTCAGACATCCCTTCATGTTGTGAGATGAAAGACGAGCCTGTATTCAAGCCACTGCAAGGAAATCCGGCCTCCTTTCAAGTTAGGGCTTCTCGCTGTATATTCCCCTTGAGGCAGCAAACTCGGGGTCCCTCCCACATACCTATTGGTGAGAGAAGCCTCCTCCTGAGGTGCTTCTGGGAAGTTGGCATACGTCTTGAGCCTAAGCCAGGGAATCAGCTCGCATCTCGAGACGTTTTGGGGTACACGGAGCATTCCTCGAGTTGCTGTGCTGAAGTTGGTGTTCCTCTAGACTTGGGACAGTGTTCTCGGGGCATCTCTGGAGTTGCCTGAAGGAAGTCGAGCCACCGGTCGTGTTGAATGGGGAACGGGGAATGGCTCTGGAGTCAATGCAGGGGAATCGGGCCTCATCTCGAGTTGATTTGGGGCACATGGAGCTGCTTTGCGTTGCTGGGGTGACCTCAGGGTCCGTCTAGACTGGTGACAGTGTTCTTGGGGACTGTCTCGAGATCCATTAAGCAAGTCGAAGCTCCTGACTTGTTTGAATGGGATCACGGAATAGCTCTGCATGCACTGCAGGGGAATGGGGCCTCATCTCGCCTCTAGGGGGAAGTCTCATGGTTTTTCTCGAGTTGCGGCGGGGACCTGGGGTATGTTCTCGACTTACGGCGGGGATGGCCCTTCAAAACACGAGTTTCTTCAGTGACGTCAGGACTCCTGTCTAGTAACGAGGGACACCTCAGGAATCTCTTCGAGGCTTGGCAGGGCAAAAGGGACGCTTCTCAAGGTGAGGCAGGGCACCCAAGGACCCTTTCCAGTAGCCACAGGGATTTTGGGATTCCTATCAGTATTCAAGAGGAGTCAGGCATCGTCACCTTTTGAAGCAATGAACTCCGCGTGCCTCTCGAGGTGTCAGCGCGATGTGAGGCATTCCGTCAAAATGAGGCAGGGACCTAGGGCTTTCTCTAAGGTCTCCACAGGGGATTCAGACATCCCTTCATGTTGTGAGATGAAAGACGAGCCTGTATTCAAGCCACTGCAAGGAAATCCGGCCTCCTTTCAAGTTAGGGCTTCTCGCTGTATATTCCCCTTGAGGCAGCAAACTCGGGGTCCCTCCCACATACCTATTGCTGAGAGAAGCCTCCTCCTGAGGTGCTTCTGGGAAGTTGGCATACGTCTTGAGCCTAAGCCAGGGATTCAGCTCTCATCTCGAGACGATTTGGGGTACACGGAGCATTCCTCGAGTTGCTGTGCTGAAGTTGGTGTTCCTCTAGACTTGGGACAGTGTTCTCGGGGCATCTCTGGAGTTGCCTGAAGGAAGTCGAGCCACCGGTCGTGTTGAATGGGGAACGGGGAATGGCTCTGGAGTCAATGCAGGGGAATCGGGCCTCATCTCGAGTTGATTTGGGGCACATGGAGCTGCTTTGCGTTGCTGGGGTGACCTCAGGGTCCGTCTAGACTGGTGACAGTGTTCTTGGGGACTGTCTCGAGATCCATTAAGCAAGTCGAAGCTCCTGACTTGTTTGAATGGGATCACGGAATAGCTCTGCATGCACTGCAGGGGAATGGGGCCTCATCTCGCCTCTAGGGGGAAGTCTCATGGTTTTTCTCGAGTTGCGGCGGGGACCTGGGGTATGTTCTCGACTTACGGCGGGGATGGCCCTTCAAAACACGAGTTTCTTCAGTGACGTCAGGACTCCTGTCTAGTAACGAGGGACACCTCAGGAATCTCTTCGAGGCTTGGCAGGGCAAAAGGGACGCTTCTCGAGGTGAGGCAGGGCACCCAAGGACCCTTTCCAGTAGCCACAGGGATTTTGGGATTCCTATCAGTATTCAAGAGGAGTCAGGCATCGTCACCTTTTGAAGCAAAGAACTCCGCGTGCCTCTCGAGGTGTCAGCGGGATGTGAGGCATTCCGTCAAAATGAGGCAGGGACCTAGGGCTTTCTCTAAGGTCTCCACAGGGGATTCAGACATCCCTTCATGTTGTGAGATGAAAGACGAGCCTGTATTCAAGCCACTGCAAGGAAATCCGGCCTCCTTTCAAGTTAGGGCTTCTCGCTGTATATTCCCCTTGAGGCAGCAAACTCGGGGTCCCTCCCACATACCTATTGGTGAGAGAAGCCTCCTCCTGAGGTGCTTCTGGGAAGTTGGCATACGTCTTGAGCCTAAGCCAGGGAATCAGCTCGCATCTCGAGACGATTTGGGGTACACGGAGCATTCCTCGAGTTGCTGTGCTGAAGTTGGTGTTCCTCTAGACTTGGGACAGTGTTCTCGGGGCATCTCTGGAGTTGCCTGAAGGAAGTCGAGCCACCGGTCGTGTTGAATGGGGAACGGGGAATGGCTCTGGAGTCAATGCAGGGGAATCGGGCCTCATCTCGAGTTGATTTGGGGCACATGGAGCTGCTTTGCGTTGCTGGGGTGACCTCAGGGTCCGTCTAGACTGGTGACAGTGTTCTTGGGGACTGTCTCGAGATCCATTAAGCAAGTCGAAGCTCCTGACTTGTTTGAATGGGATCACGGAATAGCTCTGCATGCACTGCAGGGGAATGGGGCCTCATCTCGCCTCTAGGGGGAAGTCTCATGGTTTTTCTCGAGTTGCGGCGGGGACCTGGGGTATGTTCTCGACTTACAGCGGGGATGGCCCTTCAAGACACGAGTTTCTTCAGTGACGTCAGGACTCCTGTCTAGTAACGAGGGACACCTCAGGAATCTCTTCGAGGCTTGGCAGGGCAAAAGGGACGCTTCTCGAGGTGAGGCAGGGCACCCAAGGACCCTTTCCAGTAGCCACAGGGATTTTGGGATTCCTATCAGTATTCAAGAGGAGTCAGGCATCGTCACCTTTTGAAGCAATGAACTCCGCGTGCCTCTCGAGGTGTCAGCGCGATGTGAGGCATTCCGTCAAAATGAGGCAGGGACCTAGGGCTTTCTCTAAGGTCTCCACAGGGGATTCAGACATCCCTTCATGTTGTGAGATGAAAGACGAGCCTGTATTCAAGCCACTGCAAGGAAATCCGGCCTCCTTTCAAGTTAGGGCTTCTCGCTGTATATTCCCCTTGAGGCAGCAAACTCGGGGTCCCTCCCACATACCTATTGCTGAGAGAAGCCTCCTCCTGAGGTGCTTCTGGGAAGTTGGCATACGTCTTGAGCCTAAGCCAGGGATTCAGCTCTCATCTCGAGACGATTTGGGGTACACGGAGCATTCCTCGAGTTGCTGTGCTGAAGTTGGTGTTCCTCTAGACTTGGGACAGTGTTCTCGGGGCATCTCTGGAGTTGCCTGAAGGAAGTCGAGCCACCGGTCGTGTTGAATGGGGAACGGGGAATGGCTCTGGAGTCAATGCAGGGGAATCGGGCCTCATCTCGAGTTGATTTGGGGCACATGGAGCTGCTTTGCGTTGCTGGGGTGACCTCAGGGTCCGTCTAGACTGGTGACAGTGTTCTTGGGGACTGTCTCGAGATCCATTAAGCAAGTCGAAGCTCCTGACTTGTTTGAATGGGATCACGGAATAGCTCTGCATGCACTGCAGGGGAATGGGGCCTCATCTCGCCTCTAGGGGGAAGTCTCATGGTTTTTCTCGAGTTGCGGCGGGGACCTGGGGTATGTTCTCGACTTACGGCGGGGATGGCCCTTCAAAACACGAGTTTCTTCAGTGACGTCAGGACTCCTGTCTAGTAACGAGGGACACCTCAGGAATCTCTTCGAGGCTTGGCAGGGCAAAAGGGACGCTTCTCGAGGTGAGGCAGGGCACCCAAGGACCCTTTCCAGTAGCCACAGGGATTTTGGGATTCCTATCAGTATTCAAGAGGAGTCAGGCATCGTCACCTTTTGAAGCAAAGAACTCCGCGTGCCTCTCGAGGTGTCAGCGCGATGTGAGGCATTCCGTCAAAATGAGGCAGGGACCTAGGGCTTTCTCTAAGGTCTCCACAGGGGATTCAGACATCCCTTCATGTTGTGAGATGAAAGACGAGCCTGTATTCAAGCCACTGCAAGGAAATCCGGCCTCCTTTCAAGTTAGGGCTTCTCGCTGTATATTCCCCTTGAGGCAGCAAACTCGGGGTCCCTCCCACATACCTATTGGTGAGAGAAGCCTCCTCCTGAGGTGCTTCTGGGAAGTTGGCATACGTCTTGAGCCTAAGCCAGGGAATCAGCTCGCATCTCGAGACGATTTGGGGTACACGGAGCATTCCTCGAGTTGCTGTGCTGAAGTTGGTGTTCCTCTAGACTTGGGACAGTGTTCTCGGGGCATCTCTGGAGTTGCCTGAAGGAAGTCGAGCCACCGGTCGTGTTGAATGGGGAACGGGGAATGGCTCTGGAGTCAATGCAGGGGAATCGGGCCTCATCTCGAGTTGATTTGGGGCACATGGAGCTGCTTTGCGTTGCTGGGGTGACCTCAGGGTCCGTCTAGACTGGTGACAGTGTTCTTGGGGACTGTCTCGAGATCCATTAAGCAAGTCGAAGCTCCTGACTTGTTTGAATGGGATCACGGAATAGCTCTGCATGCACTGCAGGGGAATGGGGCCTCATCTCGCCTCTAGGGGGAAGTCTCATGGTTTTTCTCGAGTTGCGGCGGGGACCTGGGGTATGTTCTCGACTTACAGCGGGGATGGCCCTTCAAGACACGAGTTTCTTCAGTGACGTCAGGACTCCTGTCTAGTAACGAGGGACACCTCAGGAATCTCTTCGAGGCTTGGCAGGGCAAAAGGGACGCTTCTCGAGGTGAGGCAGGGCACCCAAGGACCCTTTCCAGTAGCCACAGGGATTTTGGGATTCCTATCAGTATTCAAGAGGAGTCAGGCATCGTCACCTTTTGAAGCAATGAACTCCGCGTGCCTCTCGAGGTGTCAGCGCGATGTGAGGCATTCCGTCAAAATGAGGCAGGGACCTAGGGCTTTCTCTAAGGTCTCCACAGGGGATTCAGACATCCCTTCATGTTGTGAGATGAAAGACGAGCCTGTATTCAAGCCACTGCAAGGAAATCCGGCCTCCTTTCAAGTTAGGGCTTCTCGCTGTATATTCCCCTTGAGGCAGCAAACTCGGGGTCCCTCCCACATACCTATTGCTGAGAGAAGCCTCCTCCTGAGGTGCTTCTGGGAAGTTGGCATACGTCTTGAGCCTAAGCCAGGGATTCAGCTCTCATCTCGAGACGATTTGGGGTACACGGAGCATTCCTCGAGTTGCTGTGCTGAAGTTGGTGTTCCTCTAGACTTGGGACAGTGTTCTCGGGGCATCTCTGGAGTTGCCTGAAGGAAGTCGAGCCACCGGTCGTGTTGAATGGGGAACGGGGAATGGCTCTGGAGTCAATGCAGGGGAATCGGGCCTCATCTCGAGTTGATTTGGGGCACATGGAGCTGCTTTGCGTTGCTGGGGTGACCTCAGGGTCCGTCTAGACTGGTGACAGTGTTCTTGGGGACTGTCTCGAGATCCATTAAGCAAGTCGAAGCTCCTGACTTGTTTGAATGGGATCACGGAATAGCTCTGCATGCACTGCAGGGGAATGGGGCCTCATCTCGCCTCTAGGGGGAAGTCTCATGGTTTTTCTCGAGTTGCGGCGGGGACCTGGGGTATGTTCTCGACTTACGGCCGGGATGGCCCTTCAAAACACGAGTTTCTTCAGTGACGTCAGGACTCCTGTCTAGTAACGAGGGACACCTCAGGAATCTCTTCGAGGCTTGGCAGGGCAAAAGGGACGCTTCTCGAGGTGAGGCAGGGCACCCAAGGACCCTTTCCAGTAGCCACAGGGATTTTGGGATTCCTATCAGTATTCAAGAGGAGTCAGGAATCGTCACCTTTTGAAGCAATGAACTCCGCGTGCCTCTCGAGGTGACAGCGGGATGTGAGGCATTCCGTCAAAATGAGGCAGGGACCTAGGGCTTTGTCTAAGGTCTCCACAGGGGATTCAGACATCCCTTCATGTTGTGAGATGAAAGACGAGCCTGTATTCAAGCCACTGCAAGGAAATCCGGCCTCCTTTCAAGTTAGGGCTTCTCGCTGTATATTCCCCTTGAGGCAGCAAACTCGGGGTCCCTCCCACATACCTATTGCTGAGAGAAGCCTCCTCCTGAGGTGCTTCTGGGAAGTTGGCATACGTCTTGAGCCTAAGCCAGGGAATCAGCTCGCACCTCGACACGATTTGGGGTACACGGAGCATTCCTCGAGTTGCTGTGCTGAAGTTGGTGTTCCTCTAGACTTGGGACAGTGTTCTCGGGGCATCTCTGGAGTTGCCTGAAGGAAGTCGAGCCACCGGTCGTGTTGAATGGGGAACGGGGAATGGCTCTGCAGTAAATGCAGGGGAATCGGGCCTCATCTCGAGTTGATTTGGGGCACATGGAGCTGCTTTGCGTTGCTGGGGTGACCTCAGGGTCCGTCTAGACTGGTGACAGTGTTCTTGGGGACTGTCTCGAGATCCATTAAGCAAGTCGAAGCTCCTGACTTGTTTGAATGGGATCACGGAATAGCTCTGCATGCACTGCAGGGGAATGGGGCCTCATCTCGCCTCTAGGGGGAAGTCTCATGGTTTTTCTCGAGTTGCGGCGGGGACCTGGGGTATGTTCTCGACTTACGGCGGGGATGGCCCTTCAAGACACGAGTTTCTTCAGTGACGTCAGGACTCCTGTCTAGTAACGAGGGACACCTCAGGAATCTCTTCGAGGCTTGGCAGGGCAAAAGGGACGCTTCTCGAGGTGAGGCAGGGCACCCAAGGACCCTTTCCAGTAGCCACAGGGATTTTGGGATTCCTATCAGTATTCAAGAGGAGTCAGGCATCGTCACCTTTTGAAGCAATGAACTCCGCGTGCCTCTCGAGGTGTCAGCGGGATGTGAGGCATTCCGTCAAAATGAGGCAGGGACCTAGGGCTTTCTCTAAGGTCTCCACAGGGGATTCAGACATCCCTTCATGTTGTGAGATGAAAGACGAGCCTGTATTCAAGCCACTGCAAGGAAATCCGGCCTCCTTTCAAGTTAGGGCTTCTCGCTGTATATTCCCCTTGAGGCAGCAAACTCGGGGTCCCTCCCACATACCTATTGGTGAGAGAAGCCTCCTCCTGAGGTGCTTCTGGGAAGTTGGCATACGTCTTGAGCCTAAGCCAGGGAATCAGCTCGCATCTCGAGACGTTTTGGGGTACACGGAGCATTCCTCGAGTTGCTGTGCTGAAGTTGGTGTTCCTCTAGACTTGGGACAGTGTTCTCGGGGCATCTCTGGAGTTGCCTGAAGGAAGTCGAGCCACCGGTCGTGTTGAATGGGGAACGGGGAATGGCTCTGGAGTCAATGCAGGGGAATCGGGCCTCATCTCGAGTTGATTTGGGGCACATGGAGCTGCTTTGCGTTGCTGGGGTGACCTCAGGGTCCGTCTAGACTGGTGACAGTGTTCTTGGGGACTGTCTCGAGATCCATTAAGCAAGTCGAAGCTCCTGACTTGTTTGAATGGGATCACGGAATAGCTCTGCATGCACTGCAGGGGAATGGGGCCTCATCTCGCCTCTAGGGGGAAGTCTCATGGTTTTTCTCGAGTTGCGGCGGGGACCTGGGGTATGTTCTCGACTTACGGCGGGGATGGCCCTTCAAAACACGAGTTTCTTCAGTGACGTCAGGACTCCTGTCTAGTAACGAGGGACACCTCAGGAATCTCTTCGAGGCTTGGCAGGGCAAAAGGGACGCTTCTCAAGGTGAGGCAGGGCACCCAAGGACCCTTTCCAGTAGCCACAGGGATTTTGGGATTCCTATCAGTATTCAAGAGGAGTCAGGCATCGTCACCTTTTGAAGCAATGAACTCCGCGTGCCTCTCGAGGTGTCAGCGCGATGTGAGGCATTCCGTCAAAATGAGGCAGGGACCTAGGGCTTTCTCTAAGGTCTCCACAGGGGATTCAGACATCCCTTCATGTTGTGAGATGAAAGACGAGCCTGTATTCAAGCCACTGCAAGGAAATCCGGCCTCCTTTCAAGTTAGGGCTTCTCGCTGTATATTCCCCTTGAGGCAGCAAACTCGGGGTCCCTCCCACATACCTATTGCTGAGAGAAGCCTCCTCCTGAGGTGCTTCTGGGAAGTTGGCATACGTCTTGAGCCTAAGCCAGGGATTCAGCTCTCATCTCGAGACGATTTGGGGTACACGGAGCATTCCTCGAGTTGCTGTGCTGAAGTTGGTGTTCCTCTAGACTTGGGACAGTGTTCTCGGGGCATCTCTGGAGTTGCCTGAAGGAAGTCGAGCCACCGGTCGTGTTGAATGGGGAACGGGGAATGGCTCTGGAGTCAATGCAGGGGAATCGGGCCTCATCTCGAGTTGATTTGGGGCACATGGAGCTGCTTTGCGTTGCTGGGGTGACCTCAGGGTCCGTCTAGACTGGTGACAGTGTTCTTGGGGACTGTCTCGAGATCCATTAAGCAAGTCGAAGCTCCTGACTTGTTTGAATGGGATCACGGAATAGCTCTGCATGCACTGCAGGGGAATGGGGCCTCATCTCGCCTCTAGGGGGAAGTCTCATGGTTTTTCTCGAGTTGCGGCGGGGACCTGGGGTATGTTCTCGACTTACGGCGGGGATGGCCCTTCAAAACACGAGTTTCTTCAGTGACGTCAGGACTCCTGTCTAGTAACGAGGGACACCTCAGGAATCTCTTCGAGGCTTGGCAGGGCAAAAGGGACGCTTCTCGAGGTGAGGCAGGGCACCCAAGGACCCTTTCCAGTAGCCACAGGGATTTTGGGATTCCTATCAGTATTCAAGAGGAGTCAGGCATCGTCACCTTTTGAAGCAAAGAACTCCGCGTGCCTCTCGAGGTGTCAGCGGGATGTGAGGCATTCCGTCAAAATGAGGCAGGGACCTAGGGCTTTCTCTAAGGTCTCCACAGGGGATTCAGACATCCCTTCATGTTGTGAGATGAAAGACGAGCCTGTATTCAAGCCACTGCAAGGAAATCCGGCCTCCTTTCAAGTTAGGGCTTCTCGCTGTATATTCCCCTTGAGGCAGCAAACTCGGGGTCCCTCCCACATACCTATTGGTGAGAGAAGCCTCCTCCTGAGGTGCTTCTGGGAAGTTGGCATACGTCTTGAGCCTAAGCCAGGGAATCAGCTCGCATCTCGAGACGATTTGGGGTACACGGAGCATTCCTCGAGTTGCTGTGCTGAAGTTGGTGTTCCTCTAGACTTGGGACAGTGTTCTCGGGGCATCTCTGGAGTTGCCTGAAGGAAGTCGAGCCACCGGTCGTGTTGAATGGGGAACGGGGAATGGCTCTGGAGTCAATGCAGGGGAATCGGGCCTCATCTCGAGTTGATTTGGGGCACATGGAGCTGCTTTGCGTTGCTGGGGTGACCTCAGGGTCCGTCTAGACTGGTGACAGTGTTCTTGGGGACTGTCTCGAGATCCATTAAGCAAGTCGAAGCTCCTGACTTGTTTGAATGGGATCACGGAATAGCTCTGCATGCACTGCAGGGGAATGGGGCCTCATCTCGCCTCTAGGGGGAAGTCTCATGGTTTTTCTCGAGTTGCGGCGGGGACCTGGGGTATGTTCTCGACTTACAGCGGGGATGGCCCTTCAAGACACGAGTTTCTTCAGTGACGTCAGGACTCCTGTCTAGTAACGAGGGACACCTCAGGAATCTCTTCGAGGCTTGGCAGGGCAAAAGGGACGCTTCTCGAGGTGAGGCAGGGCACCCAAGGACCCTTTCCAGTAGCCACAGGGATTTTGGGATTCCTATCAGTATTCAAGAGGAGTCAGGCATCGTCACCTTTTGAAGCAATGAACTCCGCGTGCCTCTCGAGGTGTCAGCGCGATGTGAGGCATTCCGTCAAAATGAGGCAGGGACCTAGGGCTTTCTCTAAGGTCTCCACAGGGGATTCAGACATCCCTTCATGTTGTGAGATGAAAGACGAGCCTGTATTCAAGCCACTGCAAGGAAATCCGGCCTCCTTTCAAGTTAGGGCTTCTCGCTGTATATTCCCCTTGAGGCAGCAAACTCGGGGTCCCTCCCACATACCTATTGCTGAGAGAAGCCTCCTCCTGAGGTGCTTCTGGGAAGTTGGCATACGTCTTGAGCCTAAGCCAGGGATTCAGCTCTCATCTCGAGACGATTTGGGGTACACGGAGCATTCCTCGAGTTGCTGTGCTGAAGTTGGTGTTCCTCTAGACTTGGGACAGTGTTCTCGGGGCATCTCTGGAGTTGCCTGAAGGAAGTCGAGCCACCGGTCGTGTTGAATGGGGAACGGGGAATGGCTCTGGAGTCAATGCAGGGGAATCGGGCCTCATCTCGAGTTGATTTGGGGCACATGGAGCTGCTTTGCGTTGCTGGGGTGACCTCAGGGTCCGTCTAGACTGGTGACAGTGTTCTTGGGGACTGTCTCGAGATCCATTAAGCAAGTCGAAGCTCCTGACTTGTTTGAATGGGATCACGGAATAGCTCTGCATGCACTGCAGGGGAATGGGGCCTCATCTCGCCTCTAGGGGGAAGTCTCATGGTTTTTCTCGAGTTGCGGCGGGGACCTGGGGTATGTTCTCGACTTACGGCGGGGATGGCCCTTCAAAACACGAGTTTCTTCAGTGACGTCAGGACTCCTGTCTAGTAACGAGGGACACCTCAGGAATCTCTTCGAGGCTTGGCAGGGCAAAAGGGACGCTTCTCGAGGTGAGGCAGGGCACCCAAGGACCCTTTCCAGTAGCCACAGGGATTTTGGGATTCCTATCAGTATTCAAGAGGAGTCAGGAATCGTCACCTTTTGAAGCAATGAACTCCGCGTGCCTCTCGAGGTGACAGCGGGATGTGAGGCATTCCGTCAAAATGAGGCAGGGACCTAGGGCTTTGTCTAAGGTCTCCACAGGGGATTCAGACATCCCTTCATGTTGTGAGATGAAAGACGAGCCTGTATTCAAGCCACTGCAAGGAAATCCGGCCTCCTTTCAAGTTAGGGCTTCTCGCTGTATATTCCCCTTGAGGCAGCAAACTCGGGGTCCCTCCCACATACCTATTGCTGAGAGAAGCCTCCTCCTGAGGTGCTTCTGGGAAGTTGGCATACGTCTTGAGCCTAAGCCAGGGAATCAGCTCGCACCTCGAGACGATTTGGGGTACACGGAGCATTCCTCGAGTTGCTGTGCTGAAGTTGGTGTTCCTCTAGACTTGGGACAGTGTTCTCGGGGCATCTCTGGAGTTGCCTGAAGGAAGTCGAGCCACCGGTCGTGTTGAATGGGGAACGGGGAATGGCTCTGCAGTAAATGCAGGGGAATCGGGCCTCATCTCGAGTTGATTTGGGGCACATGGAGCTGCTTTGCGTTGCTGGGGTGACCTCAGGGTCCGTCTAGACTGGTGACAGTGTTCTTGGGGACTGTCTCGAGATCCATTAAGCAAGTCGAAGCTCCTGACTTGTTTGAATGGGATCACGGAATAGCTCTGCATGCACTGCAGGGGAATGGGGCCTCATCTCGCCTCTAGGGGGAAGTCTCATGGTTTTTCTCGAGTTGCGGCGGGGACCTGGGGTATGTTCTCGACTTACGGCGGGGATGGCCCTTCAAGACACGAGTTTCTTCAGTGACGTCAGGACTCCTGTCTAGTAACGAGGGACACCTCAGGAATCTCTTCGAGGCTTGGCAGGGCAAAAGGGACGCTTCTCGAGGTGAGGCAGGGCACCCAAGGACCCTTTCCAGTAGCCACAGGGATTTTGAGATTCCTATCAGTATTCAAGAGGAGTCAGGCATCGTCACCTTTTGAAGCAATGAACTCCGCGTGCCTCTCGAGGTGTCAGCGCGATGTGAGGCATTCCGTCAAAATGAGGCAGGGACCTAGGGCTTTCTCTAAGGTCTCCACAGGGGATTCAGACATCCCTTCATGTTGTGAGATGAAAGACGAGCCTGTATTCAAGCCACTGCAAGGAAATCCGGCCTCCTTTCAAGTTAGGGCTTCTCGCTGTATATTCCCCTTGAGGCAGCAAACTCGGGGTCCCTCCCACATACCTATTGCTGAGAGAAGCCTCCTCCTGAGGTGCTTCTGGGAAGTTGGCATACGTCTTGAGCCTAAGCCAGGGATTCAGCTCTCATCTCGAGACGATTTGGGGTACACGGAGCATTCCTCGAGTTGCTGTGCTGAAGTTGGTGTTCCTCTAGACTTGGGACAGTGTTCTCGGGGCATCTCTGGAGTTGCCTGAAGGAAGTCGAGCCACCGGTCGTGTTGAATGGGGAACGGGGAATGGCTCTGGAGTCAATGCAGGGGAATCGGGCCTCATCTCGAGTTGATTTGGGGCACATGGAGCTGCTTTGCGTTGCTGGGGTGACCTCAGGGTCCGTCTAGACTGGTGACAGTGTTCTTGGGGACTGTCTCGAGATCCATTAAGCAAGTCGAAGCTCCTGACTTGTTTGAATGGGATCACGGAATAGCTCTGCATGCACTGCAGGGGAATGGGGCCTCATCTCGCCTCTAGGGGGAAGTCTCATGGTTTTTCTCGAGTTGCGGCGGGGACCTGGGGTATGTTCTCGACTTACGGCGGGGATGGCCCTTCAAAACACGAGTTTCTTCAGTGACGTCAGGACTCCTGTCTAGTAACGAGGGACACCTCAGGAATCTCTTCGAGGCTTGGCAGGGCAAAAGGGACGCTTCTCGAGGTGAGGCAGGGCACCCAAGGACCCTTTCCAGTAGCCACAGGGATTTTGGGATTCCTATCAGTATTCAAGAGGAGTCAGGAATCGTCACCTTTTGAAGCAATGAACTCCGCGTGCCTCTCGAGGTGACAGCGGGATGTGAGGCATTCCGTCAAAATGAGGCAGGGACCTAGGGCTTTGTCTAAGGTCTCCACAGGGGATTCAGACATCCCTTCATGTTGTGAGATGAAAGACGAGCCTGTATTCAAGCCACTGCAAGGAAATCCGGCCTCCTTTCAAGTTAGGGCTTCTCGCTGTATATTCCCCTTGAGGCAGCAAACTCGGGGTCCCTCCCACATACCTATTGCTGAGAGAAGCCTCCTCCTGAGGTGCTTCTGGGAAGTTGGCATACGTCTTGAGCCTAAGCCAGGGAATCAGCTCGCACCTCGAGACGATTTGGGGTACACGGAGCATTCCTCGAGTTGCTGTGCTGAAGTTGGTGTTCCTCTAGACTTGGGACAGTGTTCTCGGGGCATCTCTGGAGTTGCCTGAAGGAAGTCGAGCCACCGGTCGTGTTGAATGGGGAACGGGGAATGGCTCTGCAGTAAATGCAGGGGAATCGGGCCTCATCTCGAGTTGATTTGGGGCACATGGAGCTGCTTTGCGTTGCTGGGGTGACCTCAGGGTCCGTCTAGACTGGTGACAGTGTTCTTGGGGACTGTCTCGAGATCCATTAAGCAAGTCGAAGCTCCTGACTTGTTTGAATGGGATCACGGAATAGCTCTGCATGCACTGCAGGGGAATGGGGCCTCATCTCGCCTCTAGGGGGAAGTCTCATGGTTTTTCTCGAGTTGCGGCGGGGACCTGGGGTATGTTCTCGACTTACGGCGGGGATGGCCCTTCAAGACACGAGTTTCTTCAGTGACGTCAGGACTCCTGTCTAGTAACGAGGGACACCTCAGGAATCTCTTCGAGGCTTGGCAGGGCAAAAGGGACGCTTCTCGAGGTGAGGCAGGGCACCCAAGGACCCTTTCCAGTAGCCACAGGGATTTTGGGATTCCTATCAGTATTCAAGAGGAGTCAGGCATCGTCACCTTTTGAAGCAATGAACTCCGCGTGCCTCTCGAGGTGTCAGCGGGATGTGAGGCATTCCGTAAAAATGAGGCAGGGACCTAGGGCTTTCTCTAAGGTCTCCACAGGGATTCAGACATCCCTTCATGTTGTGAGATGAAAGACGAGCCTGTATTCAAGCCACTGCAAGGAAATCCGGCCTCCTTTCAAGTTAGGGCTTCTCGCTGTATATTCCCCTTGAGGCAGCAAACTCGGGGTCCCTCCCACATACCTATTGGTGAGAGAAGCCTCCTCCTGAGGTGCTTCTGGGAAGTTGGCATACGTCTTGAGCCTAAGCCAGGGAATCAGCTCGCATCTCGAGACGTTTTGGGGTACACGGAGCATTCCTCGAGTTGCTGTGCTGAAGTTGGTGTTCCTCTAGACTTGGGACAGTGTTCTCGGGGCATCTCTGGAGTTGCCTGAAGGAAGTCGAGCCACCGGTCGTGTTGAATGGGGAACGGGGAATGGCTCTGGAGTCAATGCAGGGGAATCGGGCCTCATCTCGAGTTGATTTGGGGCACATGGAGCTGCTTTGCGTTGCTGGGGTGACCTCAGGGTCCGTCTAGACTGGTGACAGTGTTCTTGGGGACTGTCTCGAGATCCATTAAGCAAGTCGAAGCTCCTGACTTGTTTGAATGGGATCACGGAATAGCTCTGCATGCACTGCAGGGGAATGGGGCCTCATCTCGCCTCTAGGGGGAAGTCTCATGGTTTTTCTCGAGTTGCGGCGGGGACCTGGGGTATGTTCTCGACTTACGGCGGGGATGACCCTTCAAAACACGAGTTTCTTCAGTGACGTCAGGACTCCTGTCTAGTAACGAGGGACACCTCAGGAATCTCTTCGAGGCTTGGCAGGGCAAAAGGGACGCTTCTCGAGGTGAGGCAGGGCACCCAAGGACCCTTTCCAGTAGCCACAGGGATTTTGGGATTCCTATCAGTATTCAAGAGGAGTCAGGCATCGTCACCTTTTGAAGCAATGAACTCCGCGTGCCTCTCGAGGTGTCAGCGCGATGTGAGGCATTCCGTCAAAATGAGGCAGGGACCTAGGGCTTTCTCTAAGGTCTCCACAGGGGATTCAGACATCCCTTCATGTTGTGAGATGAAAGACGAGCCTGTATTCAAGCCACTGCAAGGAAATCCGGCCTCCTTTCAAGTTAGGGCTTCTCGCTGTATATTCCCCTTGAGGCAGCAAACTCGGGGTCCCTCCCACATACCTATTGCTGAGAGAAGCCTCCTCCTGAGGTGCTTCTGGGAAGTTGGCATACGTCTTGAGCCTAAGCCAGGGATTCAGCTCTCATCTCGAGACGATTTGGGGTACACGGAGCATTCCTCGAGTTGCTGTGCTGAAGTTGGTGTTCCTCTAGACTTGGGACAGTGTTCTCGGGGCATCTCTGGAGTTGCCTGAAGGAAGTCGAGCCACCGGTCGTGTTGAATGGGGAACGGGGAATGGCTCTGGAGTCAATGCAGGGGAATCGGGCCTCATCTCGAGTTGATTTGGGGCACATGGAGCTGCTTTGCGTTGCTGGGGTGACCTCAGGGTCCGTCTAGACTGGTGACAGTGTTCTTGGGGACTGTCTCGAGATCCATTAAGCAAGTCGAAGCTCCTGACTTGTTTGAATGGGATCACGGAATAGCTCTGCATGCACTGCAGGGGAATGGGGCCTCATCTCGCCTCTAGGGGGAAGTCTCATGGTTTTTCTCGAGTTGCGGCGGGGACCTGGGGTATGTTCTCGACTTACGGCGGGGATGGCCCTTCAAAACACGAGTTTCTTCAGTGACGTCAGGACTCCTGTCTAGTAACGAGGGACACCTCAGGAATCTCTTCGAGGCTTGGCAGGGCAAAAGGGACGCTTCTCGAGGTGAGGCAGGGCACCCAAGGACCCTTTCCAGTAGCCACAGGGATTTTGGGATTCCTATCAGTATTCAAGAGGAGTCAGGAATCGTCACCTTTTGAAGCAATGAACTCCGCGTGCCTCTCGAGGTGACAGCGGGATGTGAGGCATTCCGTCAAAATGAGGCAGGGACCTAGGGCTTTCTCTAAGGTCTCCACAGGGGATTCAGACATCCCTTCATGTTGTGAGATGAAAGACGAGCCTGTATTCAAGCCACTGCAAGGAAATCCGGCCTCCTTTCAAGTTAGGGCTTCTCGCTGTATATTCCCCTTGAGGCAGCAAACTCGGGGTCCCTCCCACATACCTATTGCTGAGAGAAGCCTCCTCCTGAGGTGCTTCTGGGAAGTTGGCATACGTCTTGAGCCTAAGCCAGGGAATCAGCTCGCACCTCGAGACGATTTGGGGTACACGGAGCATTCCTCGAGTTGCTGTGCTGAAGTTGGTGTTCCTCTAGACTTGGGACAGTGTTCTCGGGGCATCTCTGGAGTTGCCTGAAGGAAGTCGAGCCACCGGTCGTGTTGAATGGGGAACGGGGAATGGCTCTGCAGTAAATGCAGGGGAATCGGGCCTCATCTCGAGTTGATTTGGGGCACATGGAGCTGCTTTGCGTTGCTGGGGTGACCTCAGGGTCCGTCTAGACTGGTGACAGTGTTCTTGGGGACTGTCTCGAGATCCATTAAGCAAGTCGAAGCTCCTGACTTGTTTGAATGGGATCACGGAATAGCTCTGCATGCACTGCAGGGGAATGGGGCCTCATCTCGCCTCTAGGGGGAAGTCTCATGGTTTTTCTCGAGTTGCGGCGGGGACCTGGGGTATGTTCTCGACTTACGGCGGGGATGGCCCTTCAAGACACGAGTTTCTTCAGTGACGTCAGGACTCCTGTCTAGTAACGAGGGACACCTCAGGAATCTCTTCGAGGCTTGGCAGGGCAAAAGGGACGCTTCTCGAGGTGAGGCAGGGCACCCAAGGACCCTTTCCAGTAGCCACAGGGATTTTGGGATTCCTATCAGTATTCAAGAGGAGTCAGGCATCGTCACCTTTTGAAGCAATGAACTCCGCGTGCCTCTCGAGGTGTCAGCGGGATGTGAGGCATTCCGTCAAAATGAGGCAGGGACCTACGGCTTTCTCTAAGGTCTCCACAGGGGATTCAGACATCCCTTCATGTTGTGAGATGAAAGACGAGCCTGTATTCAAGCCACTGCAAGGAAATCCGGCCTCCTTTCAAGTTAGGGCTTCTCGCTGTATATTCCCCTTGAGGCAGCAAACTCGGGGTCCCTCCCACATACCTATTGGTGAGAGAAGCCTCCTCCTGAGGTGCTTCTGGGAAGTTGGCATACGTCTTGAGCCTAAGCCAGGGAATCAGCTCTCATCTCGAGACGATTTGGGGTACACGGAGCATTCCTCGAGTTGCTGTGCTGAAGTTGGTGTTCCTCTAGACATGGGACAGTGTTCTCGGGTCATCTCTGGAGTTGCCTGAAGGAAGTCGAGCCACCGGTCGTGTTGAATGGGGAACGGGGAATGGCTCTGGAGTCAATGCAGGGGAATCGGGCCTCATCTCGAGTTGATTTGGGGCACATGGAGCTGCTTTGCGTTGCTGGGGTAACCTCAGGGTCCGTCTAGACTGGTGACAGTGTTCTTGGGGACTGTCTCGAGATCCATTAAGCAAGTCGAAGCTCCTGACTTGTTTGAATGGGATCACGGAATAGCTCTGCATGCACTGCAGGGGAATGGGGCCTCATCTCGCCTCTAGGGGGAAGTCTCATGGTTTTTCTCGAGTTGCGGCGGGGACCTGGGGTATGTTCTCGACTTACGGCGGGGATGGCCCTTCAAGACACGAGTTTCTTCAGTGACGTCAGGACTCCTGTCTAGTAACGAGGGACACCTCAGGAATCTCTTCGAGGCTTGGCAGGGCGAAAGGGACGCTTCTCGAGGTGAGGCAGGGCACCCAAGGACCCTTTCCAGTAGCCACAGGGATTTTGGGATTCCTATCAGTATTCAAGAGGAGTCAGGCATCGTCACCTTTTGAAGCAATGAACTCCGCGTGCCTCTCGAGGTGTCAGCGGGATGTGAGGCATTCCGTCAAAATGAGGCAGGGACCTAGGGCTTTCTCTAAGGTCTCCACAGGGGATTCAGACATCCCTTCATGTTGTGAGATGAAAGACGAGCCTGTATTCAAGCCACTGCAAGGAAATCCGGCCTCCTTTCAAGTTAGGGCTTCTCGCTGTATATTCCCCTTGAGGCAGCAAACTCGGGGTCCCTCCCACATACCTATTGGTGAGAGAAGCCTCCTCCTGAGGTGCTTCTGGGAAGTTGGCATACGTCTTGAGCCTAAGCCAGGGAATCAGCTCTCATCTCGAGACGATTTGGGGTACACGGAGCATTCCTCGAGTTGCTGTGCTGAAGTTGGTGTTCCTCTAGACTTGGGACAGTGTTCTCGGGGCATCTCTGGAGTTGCCTGAAGGAAGTCGAGCCACCGGTCGTGTTGAATGGGGAACGGGGAATGGCTCTGGAGTCAATGCATGGAAATCGTTCCTCATCTCGAGTTGATTTGGGGCACATGGAGCTGCTTTGCGTTGCTGGGGTGACCTCAGGGTCCGTCTAGACTGGTGTCAGTGTTCTTGGGGACTGTCTCGAGATCCATTAAGCAAGTCGAAGCTCCTGACTTGTTTGAATGGGATCACGGAATAGCTCTGCATGCACTGCAGGGGAATGGGGCCTCATCTCGCCTCTAGGGGGAAGTCTCATGGTTTTTCTCGAGTTGCGGCGGGGACCTGGGGTATGTTCTCGACTTACGGCGGGGATGGCCCTTCAAAACACGAGTTTCTTCAGTGACGTCAGGACTCCTGTCTAGTAACGAGGGACACCTCAGGAATCTCTTCGAGGCTTGGCAGGGCAAAAGGGACGCTTCTCGAGGTGAGGCAGGGCACCCAAGGACCCTTTCCAGTAGCCACAGGGATTTGGGGATTCCTATCAGTATTCAAGAGGAGTCAGGCATCGTCACCTTTTGAAGCAATGAACTCCGCGTGCCTCTCGAGGTGTCAGCGGGATGTGAGGCATTCCTTAAAAATGAGGCAGGGACCTAGGGCTTTCTCTAAGGTCTCCACAGGGGATTCAGACATCCCTTCATGTTGTGAGATGAAAGACGAGCCTGTATTCAAGCCACTGCAAGGAAATCCGGCCTCCTTTCAAGTTAGGGCTTCTCGCTGTATATTCCCCTTGAGGCAGCAAACTCGGGGTCCCTCCCACATACCTATTGCTGAGAGAAGCCTCCTCCTGAGGTGCTTCTGGGAAGTTGGCATACGTCTTGAGCCTAAGCCAGGGAATCACCGCTCATCTCGAGACAATTTGGGGTACACGGAGCATTCCTCGAGTTGCTGTGCTGAAGTTGGTGTTCCTCTAGACTTGGACAGTGTTCTCGGGGCATCTCTGCAGTTGCCTGAAGGAAGTCGAGCCACCTGTCGTGTTGAATGGGGAACGGGGAATGGCTCTGGAGTCAATGCAGGGGAATCGGGCCTCATCTCGAGTTGATTTGGGGCACATGGAGCTGCTTTGCGTTGCTGGGGTGACCTCAGGGTCCGTCTAGACTGGTGACAGTGTTCTTGGGGACTGTCTCGAGATCCATTAAGCAAGTCGAAGCTCCTGACTTGTTTGAATGGGATCACGGAATAGCTCTGCATGCACTGCAGGGGAATGGGGCCTCATCTCGCCTCTTGGGGGAAGTCTCATGGATTTTCTCGAGTTGCGGCGGGGACCTGGGGTATGTTCTCGACTTACGGCGGGGATGGCCCTTCAAAACACGAGTTTCTTCAGTGACGTCAGGACTCCTGTCTAGTAACGAGGGACACCTCAGGAATCTCTTCGAGGTTTGGCAGGGCAAAAAGGACGCGTCTCGAGGTGAGGCAGGGCACCCAAGGACCCTTTCCAGTAGCCACAGGGATTTTGGGATTCCTATCAGTATTCAAGAGGAGTCAGGCATCGTCACCTTTTGAAGCAATGAACTCCGCGTGCCTCTCGAGGTGTCAGCGGGATGTGAGGCATTCCGTCAAAATGAGGCAGGGACCTAGGGCTTTCTCTAAGGTCTCCACAGGGGATTCAGACATCCCTTCATGTTGTGAGATGAAAGACGAGCCTGTATTCAAGCCACTGCAAGGAAATCCGGCCTCCTTTCAAGTTAGGGCTTCTCGCTGTATATTCCCCTTGAGGCAGCAAACTCGGGGTCCCTCCCACATACCTATTGCTGAGAGAAGCCTCCTCCTGAGGTGCTTCTGGGAAGTTGGCATACGTCTTGAGCCTAAGCCAGGGAATCAGCTCTCATCTCGAGACGATTTGGGGTACACGGAGCATTCCTCGAGTTGCTGTGCTGAAGTTGGTGTTCCTCTAGACTTGGGACAGTGTTCTCGGGGCATCTCTGGAGTTGCCTGAAGGAAGTCGAGCCACCGGTCGTGTTGAATGGGGAACGGGGAATGGCTCTGGAGTCAATGCATGGGAATCGTTCCTCATCTCGAGTTGATTTGGGGCACATGGAGCTGCTTTGCGTTGCTGGGGTGACCTCAGGGTCCGTCTAGACTGGTGACAGTGTTCTTGGGGACTGTCTCGAGATCCATTAAGCAAGTCGAAGCTCCTGACTTGTTTGAATGGGATCACGGAATAGCTCTGCATGCACTGCAGGGGAATGGGGCCTCATCTCGCCTCTAGGGGGAAGTCTCATGGTTTTTCTCGAGTTGCGGCGGGGACCTGGGGTATGTTCTCGACTTATGGCGGGGATGGCCCTTCAAAACACGAGTTTCTTCAGTGACGTCAGGACTCCTGTCTAGTAACGAGGGACACCTCAGGAATCTCTTCGAGGCTTGGCAGGGCAAAAGGGACGCTTCTCGAGGTGAGGCAGGGCACCCAAGGACCCTTTCCAGTAGCCACAGGGATTTTGGGATTCCTATCAGTATTCAAGAGGAGTCAGGCATCGTCACCTTTTGAAGCAATGAACTCCGCGTGCCTCTCGAGGTGTCAGCGGGATGTGAGGCATTCCGTCAAAATGAGGCAGGGACCTAGGGCTTTCTCTAAGGTCTCCACAGGGGATTCAGACATCCCTTCATGTTGTGAGATGAAAGACGAGCCTGTATTCAAGCCACTGCAAGGAAATCCGGCCTCCTTTCAAGTTAGGGCTTCTCGCTGTATATTCCCCTTGAGGCAGCAAACTCGGGGTCCCTCCCACATACCTATTGCTGAGAGAAGCCTCCTCCTGAGGTGCTTCTGGGAAGTTGGCATACGTCTTCAGCCTAAGCCAGGGAATCAGCTCGCATCTCGAGACGATTTGGGGTACACGGAGCATTCCTCGAGTTGCTGTGCTGAAGTTGGTGTTCCTCTAGACATGGACAGTGTTCTCGGGGCATCTCTGCAGTTGCCTGAAGGAAGTCGAGCCACCGGTCGTGTTGAATGGGGAACGGGGAATGGCTCTGAAGTCAATGCAGGGGAATCGGGCCTCATCTCGAGTTGATTTGGGGCACATGGAGCTTCTTTGCTTTGCTGGGGTGTCCTCAGGGTCCGTCTAGACTGGTGACATTGTTCCTGGGGACTGTCTCGAGATCCATTAAGCAAGTCGAAGCTCCTGACTTGTTTGAATGGGATCACGGAATAGCTCTGCATGCACTGCAGGGGAATGGGGCCTCATCTCGCCTCTAGGGGGAAGTCTCATGGTTTTTCTCGAGTTGCGGCGGGGACCTGGGGTATGTTCTCGACTTACGGCGGGGATGGCCCTTCAAAACACGAGTTTCTTCAGTGACGTCAGGACTCCTGTCTAGTAACGAGGGACACCTCAGGAATCTCTTTGAGGCTTGGCAGGGCAAAAGGGACGCTTCTCGAGGTGAGGCAGGGCACCCAAGGACCCTTTCCAGTAGCCACAGGGATTTTGGGATTCCTATCAGTATTCAAGAGGAGTCAGGCATCGTCACCTTTTGAAGCAATGAACTCCGCGTGCCTCTCGAGGTGTCAGCGGGATGTGAGGCATTCCTTCAAAATGAGGCAGGGACCTAGGGCTTTCTCTAAGGTCTCCACAGGGGATTCAGACATCCCTTCATGTTGTGAGATGAAAGACGAGCCTGTATTCAAGCCACTGCAAGGAAATCCGGCCTCCTTTCAAGTTAGGGCTTCTCGCTGTATATTCCCCTTGAGGCAGCAAACTCGGGGTCCCTCCCACATACCTATTGCTGAGAGAAGCCTCCTCCTGAGGTGCTTCTGGGAAGTTGGCATACGTCTTGAGCCTAAGCCAGGGAATCACCGCTCATCTCGAGACAATTTGGAGTACACGGAGCATTCCTCGAGTTGCTGTGCTGAAGTTGGTGTTCCTCTAGACATGGACAGTGTTCTCGGGGCATCTCTGCAGTTGCCTGAAGGAAGTCGAGCCACCGGTCGTGTTGAATGGGGAACGGGGAATGGCTCTGGAGTCAATGCAGGGGAATCGGGCCTCATCTCGAGTTGATTTGGGGCACATGGAGCTGCTTTGCGTTGCTGGGGTGACCTCAGGGTCCGTCTAGACTGGTGACAGTGTTCTTGGGGACTGTCTCGAGATCCATTAAGCAAGTCGAAGCTCCTGACTTGTTTGAATGGGATCACGGAATAGCTCTGCATGCACTGCAGGGGAATGGGGCCTCATCTCGCCTCTTGGGGGAAGTCTCATGGATTTTCTCGAGTTGCGGCGGGGACCTGGGGTATGTTCTCGACTTACGGCGGGGATGGCCCTTCAAAACACGAGTTTCTTCAGTGACGTCAGGACTCCTGTCTAGTAACGAGGGACACCTCAGGAATCTCTTCGAGGCTTGGCAGGGCAAAAGGGACGCTTCTCGAGGTGAGGCAGGGCACCCAAGGACCCTTTCCAGTAGCCACAGGGATTTTGGGATTCCTATCAGTATTCAAGAGGAGTCAGGCATCGTCACCTTTTGAAGCAATGAACTCCGCGTGCCTCTCGAGGTGTCAGCGGGATGTGAGGCATTCCGTCAAAATGAGGCAGGGACCTAGGGCTTTCTCTAAGGTCTCCACAGGGGATTCAGACATCCCTTCATGTTGTGAGATGAAAGACGAGCCTGTATTCAAGCCACTGCAAGGAAATCCGGCCTCCTTTCAAGTTAGGGCTTCTCGCTGTATATTCCCCTTGAGGCAGCAAACTCGGGGTCCCTCCCACATACCTATTGCTGAGAGAAGCCTCCTCCTGAGGTGCTTCTGGGAAGTTGGCATACGTCTTCAGCCTAAGCCAGGGAATCAGCTCTCATCTCGAGACGATTTGGGGTACACGGAGCATTCCTCGAGTTGCTGTGCTGAAGTTGGTGTTCCTCTAGACTTGGGACAGTGTTCTCGGGGCATCTCTGGAGTTGCCTGAAGGAAGTCGAGCCACCGGTCGTGTTGAATGGGGAACGGGGAATGGCTCTGGAGTCAATGCAGGGGAATCGGGCCTCATCTCGAGTTGATTTGGGGCACATGGAGCTGCTCTGCGTTGATGGAGTGACCTCAGGGTCCGTCTAGACTGGTGACAGTGTTCTTGGGGACTGTCTCGAGATCCATTAAGCAAGTCGAAGCTCCTGACTTGTTTGAATGGGATCACGGAATAGCTCTGCATGCACTGCAGGGGAATGGGGCCTCATCTCGCCTCTAGGGGGAAGTCTCATGGTTTTTCTCGAGTTGCGGCGGGGACCTGGGGTATGTTCTCGACTTACGGCGGGGATGGCCCTTCAAAACACGAGTTTCTTCAGTGACGTCAGGACTCCTGTCTAGTAACGAGGGACACCTCAGGAATCTCTTCGAGGTTTGGCAGGGCAAAAGGGACGCTTCTCGAGGTGAGGCAGGGCACCCAAGGACCCTTTCCAGTAGCCACAGGGATTTTGGGATTCCTATCAGTATTCAAGAGGAGTCAGGCATCGTCACCTTTTGAAGCAATGAACTCCGCATGCCTCTCCAGGTGTCAGCGGGATGTGAGGCATTCCGTCAAAATGAGGCAGGGACCTAGGGCTTTCTCTAAGGTCTCCACAGGGTATTCAGACATCCCTTCATGTTGTGAGATGAAAGACGAGCCTGTATTCAAGCCACTGCAAGGAAATCCGGGCTCCTTTCAAGTTAGGGCTTCTCGCTGTATATTCCCCTTGAGGCAGCAAACTCGGGGTCCCTCCCACATACCTATTGCTGAGAGAAGCCTCCTCCTGAGGTGCTTCTGGGAAGTTGGCATACGTCTTCAGCCTAAGCCAGGGAATCAGCTCTCATCTCGAGACGATTTGGGGTACACGGAGCATTCCTCGAGTTGCTGTGCTGAAGTTGGTGTTCCTCTAGACTTGGGACAGTGTTCTCGGGGCATCTCTGGAGTTGCCTGAAGGAAGTCGAGCCACCGGTCGTGTTGAATGGGGAATGGGGAATGGGTCTGGAGTCAATGCAGGGGAATCGGGCCTCATCTCGAGTTGATTTGTGGCACATGGAGCTGCTTTGTGTTGCTGGGTTGACCTCAGGGTCCGTCTAGACTGGTGACAGTGTTCTTGGGGACTGTCTCGAAATCCATTAAGCAAGTCGAAGCTCCTGACTTGTTTGAATGGGATCACGGAATAGCTCTGCATGCACTGCAGGGGAATGGGGCCTCATCTCGCCTCTAGGGGGAAGTCTCATGGTTTTTCTCGAGTTGCGGCGGGGACCTCGGGTATGTTCTCGACTTACGGCGGGGATGGCCCTTCAAAACACGAGTTTCTTCAGTGACGTCAGGACTCCTGTCTAGTAACGAGGGACACCTCAGGAATCTCTTCGAGGCTTGGCAGGGCAAAAGGGACGCTTCTCGAGGTGAGGCAGGGCACCCAAGGACCCTTTCCAGTAGCCACAGGGATTTTGGGATTCCCATCAGTATTCAAGAGGAGTCAGGCATCGTCACCTTTTGAAGCAATGAACTCCGCGTGCCTCTCGAGGTGTCAGCGCGATGTGAGGCATTCCGTCAAAATGAGGCAGGGACCTAGGGCTTTCTCTAAGGTCTCCACAGGGGATTCAGACATCCCTTCATGTTGTGAGATGAAAGACGAGCCTGTATTCAAGCCACTGCAAGGAAATCCGGCCTCCTTTCAAGTTAGGGCTTCTCGCTGTATATTCCCCTTGAGGCAGCAAAATCGGGGTCCCTCCCACATACCTATTGCTGAGAGAAGCCTCCTCCTGAGGTGCTTCTGGGAAGTTGGCATACGTCTTGAGCCTAAGCCAGGGAATCAGCTCGCATCTCGAGACGATTTGGGGTACACGGAGCATTCCTCGAGTTGCTGTGCTGAAGTTGGTGTTCCTCTAGACTTGGGACAGTGTTCTCGGGGCATCTCTGGAGTTGCCTGAAGGAAGTCGAGCCACCGGTCGTGTTGAATGGGGAACGGGGAATGTCTCTGAAGTCAATGCAGGGGAATCGGGCCTCATCTCGAGTTGATTTGGGGCACATGGAGCTTCTTTGCTTTGCTGGGGTGTCCTCAGGGTCCGTCTAGACTGGTGACATTGTTCCTGGGGACTGTCTCGAGATCCATTAAGCAAGTCGAAGCTCCTGACTTGTTTGAATGGGATCACGGAATAGCTCTGCATGCACTGCAGGGGAATGGGGCCTCATCTCGCCTCTAGGGGGAAGTCTCATGGTTTTTCTCGAGTTGCGGCGGGGACCTGGGGTATGTTCTCGACTTACGGCGGGGATGGCCCTTCAAAACACGAGTTTCTTCAGTGACGTCAGGACTCCTGTCTAGTAACGAGGGACACCTCAGGAATCTCTTCGAGGCTTGGCAGGGCAAAAGGGACGCTTCTCGAGGTGAGGCAGGGCACCCAAGGACCCTTTCCAGTAGCCACAGGGATTTTGGGATTCCTATCAGTATTCAAGAGGAGTCAGGCATCGTCACCTTTTGAAGCAATGAACTCCGCGTGCCTCTCGAGGTGTCAGCGGGATGTGAGGCATTCCGTCAAAATGAGGCAGGGACCTAGGGCTTTCTCTAAGGTCTCCACAGGGGATTCAGACATCCCTTCATGTTGTGAGATGAAAGACGAGCCTGTATTCAAGCCACTGCAAGGAAATCCGGCCTCCTTTCAAGTTAGGGCTTCTCGCTGTATATTCCCCTTGAGGCAGCAAACTCGGGGTCCCTCCCACATACCTATTGCTGAGAGAAGCCTCCTCCTGAGGTGCTTCTGGGAAGTTGGCATACGTCTTGAGCCTAAGCCAGGGAATCACCGCTCATCTCGAGACAATTTGGAGTACACGGAGCATTCCTCGAGTTGCTGTGCTGAAGTTGGTGTTCCTCTAGACTTGGACAGTGTTCTCGGGGCATCTCTGCAGTTGCCTGAAGGAAGTCGAGCCACCGGTCGTGTTGAATGGGGAACGGGGAATGGCTCTGGAGTCAATGCAGGGGAATCGGGCCTCATCTCGAGTTGATTTGGGGCACATGGAGCTGCTTTGCGTTGCTGGGGTGACCTCAGGGTCCGTCTAGACTGGTGACAGTGTTCTTGGGGACTGTCTCGAGATCCATTAAGCAAGTCGAAGCTCCTGACTTGTTTGAATGGGATCACGGAATAGCTCTGCATGCACTGCAGGGGAATGGGGCCTCATCTCGCCTCTTGGGGGAAGTCTCATGGATTTTCTCGAGTTGCGGCGGGGACCTGGGGTATGTTCTCGACTTACGGCGGGGATGGCCCTTCAAAACACGAGTTTCTTCAGTGACGTCAGGACTCCTGTCTAGTAACGAGGGACACCTCAGGAATCTCTTCGAGGCTTGGCAGGGCAAAAGGGACGCTTCTCGAGGTGAGGCAGGGCACCCAAGGACCCTTTCCAGTAGCCACAGGGATTTTGGGATTCCTATCAGTATTCAAGAGGAGTCAGGCATCGTCACCTTTTGAAGCAATGAACTCCGCGTGCCTCTCGAGGTGTCAGCGGGATGTGAGGCATTCCGTCAAAATGAGGCAGGGACCTAGGGCTTTCTCTAAGATCTCCACAGGGGATTCAGACATCCCTTCATGTTGTGAGATGAAAGACGAGCCTGTATTCAAGCCACTGCAAGGAAATCCGGCCTCCTTTCAAGTTAGGGCTTCTCGCTGTATATTCCCCTTGAGGCAGCAAACTCGGGGTCCCTCCCACATACCTATTGCTGAGAGAAGCCTCCTCCTGAGGTGCTTCTGGGAAGTTGGCATACGTCTTCAGCCTAAGCCAGGGAATCAGCTCTCATCTCGAGACGATTTGGGGTACACGGAGCATTCCTCGAGTTGCTGTGCTGAAGTTGGTGTTCCTCTAGACTTGGGACAGTGTTCTCGGGGCATCTCTGGAGTTGCCTGAAGGAAGTCGAGCCACCGGTCGTGTTGAATGGGGAACAAGGAATGGCTCTGGAGTCAATGCAGGGGAATCGGGCCACATCTCGAGTTGATTTGGGGCACATGGAGCTGCTTTGCGTTGCTGGGGTGACCTCAGGGTCCGTCTAGACTGGTGACAGTGTTCTTGGGGACTGTCTCGAGATCCATTACGCAAGTCGAAGCTCCTGACTTGTTTGAATGGGATCACGGAATAGCTCTGCATGCACTGCAGGGGAATGGGGCCTCATCTCGCCTCTAGGGGGAAGTCTCATGGTTTTTCTCGAGTTGCGGCGGGGACCTGGGGTATGTTCTCGACTTACGGCGGGGATGGCCCTTCAAAACACGAGTTTCTTCGGTGACGTCAGGACTCCTGTCTAGTAACGAGGGACACCTCAGGAATCTCTTCGAGGCTTGGCAGGGCAAAAAGGACGCGTCTCGAGGTGAGGCAGGGCACCCAAGGACCCTTTCCAGTAGCCACAGGGATTTTGGGATTCCTATCAGTATTCAAGAGGAGTCAGGCATCGTCACCTTTTGAAGCAATGAACTCCGCGTGCCTCTCGAGGTGTCAGCGGGATGTGAGGCATTCCGTCAAAATGAGGCAGGGACCTAGGGCTTTCTCTAAGGTCTCCACAGGGGATTCAGACATCCCTTCATGTTGTGAGATGAAAGACGAGCCTGTATTCAAGCCACTGCAAGGAAATCCGGCCTCCTTTCAAGTTAGGGCTTCTCGCTGTATATTCCCCTTGAGGCAGCAAACTCGGGGTCCCTCCCACATACCTATTGCTGAGAGAAGCCTCCTCCTGAGGTGCTTCTGGGAAGTTGGCATACGTCTTGAGCCTAAGCCAGGGAATCAGCTCTCATCTCGAGACGATTTGGGGTACACGGAGCATTCCTCGAGTTGCTGTGCTGAAGTTGGTGTTCCTCTAGACTTGGGACAGTGTTCTCGGGGCATCTCTGGAGTTGCCTGAAGGAAGTCGAGCCACCGGTCGTGTTGAATGGGGAACGGGGAATGGCTCTGGAGTCAATGCAGGGGAATCGGGCCTCATCTCGAGTTGATTTGGGGCACATGGAGCTGCTCTGCGTTGATGGAGAAACCTCAGGGTCCTTCTAGACTGGTGACAGTGTTCTTGGGGACTGTCTCGAGATCCATTAAGCAAGTCGAAGCTCCTGACTTGTTTGAATGGGATCACGGAATAGCTCTGCATGCACTGCAGGGGAATGGGGCCTCATCTCGCCTCTAGGGGGAAGTCTCATGGTTTTTCTCGAGTTGCGGCGGGGACCTGGGGTATGTTCTCGACTTACGGCGGGGATGGCCCTTCAATACACGAGTTTCTTCAGTGACGTCAGGACTCCTGTCTAGTAACGAGGGACACCTCAGGAATCTCTTCGAGGTTTGGCAGGGCAAAAGGGACGCTTCTCGAGGTGAGGCAGGGCACCCAAGGACCCTTTCCAGTAGCCACAGGGATTTTGGGATTCCTATCAGTATTCAAGAGGAGTCAGGCATCGTCACCTTTTGAAGCAATGAACTCCGCGTGCCTCTCGAGGTGTCAGCGGGATGTGAGGCATTCCGTCAAAATGAGGCAGGGACCTAGGGCTTTCTCTAAGGTCTCCACAGGGGATTCAGACATCCCTTCATGTTGTGAGATGAAAGACGAGCCTGTATTCAAGCCACTGCAAGGAAATCCGGCCTCCTTTCAAGTTAGGGCTTCTCGCTGTATATTCCCCTTGAGGCAGCAAAGTCGGGGTCCCTCCCACATACCTATTGCTGAGAGAAGCCTCCTCCTGTCGTGCTTCTGGGAAGTTGGCATACGTCTTCAGCCTAAGCCAGGGAATCAGCTCTCATCTCGAGACGATTTGGGGTACACGGAGCATTCCTCGAGTTGCTGTGCTGAAGTTGGTGTTCCTCTAGACTTGGGACAATGTTCTCGGGGCATCTCTGGAGTTGCCTGAAGGAAGTCGAGCCACCGGTCGTGTTGAATGGGGAAAGGGGAATGGGTCTGGAGTCAATGCAGGGGAATCGGGCCTCATCTCGAGTTGATTTGGGGCACATGGAGCTGCTTTGCGTTGCTGGGGTGACCTCAGGGTCCGTCTAGACTGGTGACAGTGTTCTTGGGGACTGTCTCGAAATCCATTAAGCAAGTCGAAGCTCCTGACTTGTTTGAATGGGATCACGGAATAGCTCTGCATGCACTGCAGGGGAATGGGGCCTCATCTCGCCTCTAGGGGGAAGTCTCATGGTTTTTCTCGAGTTGCGGCGGGGACCTGGGGTATGTTCTCGACTTACGGCGGGGATGGCCCTTCAAAACACGAGTTTCTTCAGTGACGTCAGGACTCCTGTCTAGTAACGAGGGACACCTCAGGAATCTCTTCGAGGCTTGGCAGGGCAAAAGGGACGCTTCTCGAGGTGAGGCAGGGCACCCAAGGACCCTTTCCAGTAGCCACAGGGATTTTGGGATTCCTATCAGTATTCAAGAGGAGTCAGGCATCGTCACCTTTTGAAGCAATGAACTCCGCGTGCCTCTCGAGGTGTCAGCGGGATGTGAGGCATTCCGTCAAAATGAGGCAGGGACCTAGGGCTTTCTCTAAGGTCTCCACAGGGGATTCAGACATCCCTTCATGTTGTGAGATGAAAGACGAGCCTGTATTCAAGCCACTGCAAGGAAATCCGGCCTCCTTTCAAGTTAGGGCTTCTCGCTCTATATTCCCCTTGAGGCAGCAAACTCGGGGTCCCTCCCACATACCTATTGCTGAGAGAAGCCTCCTCCTGAGGTGCTTCTGGGAAGTTGGCATACGTCTTGAGCCTAAGCCAGGAAATCAGCTCGCATCTCGAGACGATTTGGGGTACACGGAGCATTCCTCGAGTTGCTGTGCTGAAGTTGGTGTTCCTCTAGACTTGGGACAGTGTTCTCGGGGCATCTCTGGAGTTGCCTGAAGGAAGTCGAGCCACCGGTCGTGTTGAATGGGGAACGGGGAATGTCTCTGAAGTCAATGCAGGGGAATCGGGCCTCATCTCGAGTTGATTTGGGGCACATGGAGCTTCTTTGCTTTGCTGGGGTGACCTCAGGGTCCGTCTAGACTGGTGATATTGTTCCTGGGGACTGTCTCGAGATCCATTAAGCAAGTCGAAGCTCCTGACTTGTTTGAATGGGATCACGGAATAGCTCTGCATGCACTGCAGGGGAATGGGGCCGCATCTCGCCTCTAGGGGGAAGTCTCATGGTTTTTCTCGAGTTGCGGCGGGGACCTGGGGTATGTTCTCGACTTACGGCGAGGATGGCCCTTCAAGACACGAGTTTCTTCAGTGACGTCAGGACTCCTGTCTAGTAACGAGGGACACCTCAGGAATCTCTTTGAGGCTTGGCAGGGCAAAAGGGACGCTTCTCGAGGTGAGGCAGGGCACCCAAGGACCCTTTCCAGTAGCCACAGGGATTTTGGGATTCCTATCAGTATTCAAGAGGAGTCAGGCATCGTCACCTTTTGAAGCAATGAACTCCGCGTGCCTCTCGAGGTGTCAGCGGGATATGAGGCATTCCGTCAAAATGAGGCAGGGACCTAGGGCTTTCTCTAAGGTCTCCACAGGGGATTCAGACATCCCTTCATGTTGTGAGATGAAAGACGAGCCTGTATTCAAGCCACTGCAAGGAAATCCGGCCTCCTTTCAAGTTAGGGCTTCTCGCTGTATATTCCCCTTGAGGCAGCAAACTCGGGGTCCCTCCCACATACCTATTGCTGAGAGAAGCCTCCTCCTGAGGTGCTTCTGGGAAGTTGGCATACGTCTTGAGCCTAAGCCAGGGAATCAGCTCTCATCTCGAGACGATTTGGGGTACACGGAGCATTCCTCGAGTTGCTGTGCTGAAGTTGGTGTTCCTCTAGACTTGGGACAGTGTTCTCGGGGCACCTCTGGAGTTGCCTGAAGGAATTCGAAGCACCGGTCGTGTTGAATGGGGAACGGGGAATGGCTCTGGAGTCAATGCAGGGGAATCGGGCCTCATCTCGAGTTGATTTGGGGCACATGGAGCTTCTTTGCGTTGCTGGGGTGACCTCAGGGTCCGTCTAGACTGGTGACAGTGTTCTTGGGGACTGTCTCGAGATCCATTAAGCAAGTCGAAGCTCCTGACTTGTTTGAATGGGATCATGGAATAGCTCTGCATGCACTGCAGGGGAATGGGGCCTCATCTCGCCTCTAGGGGGAAGTCTCATGGTTTTTCTCGAGTTGCGGTGGGGACCTGGGGTATGTTCTCGACTTACGGCGGGGATGGCCCTTCAAAACACGAGTTTCTTCAGGGACGTCAGGACTCCTGTCTAGTAACGAGGGACACCTCAGGAATCTCTTCGAGGCTTGGCAGGGCAAAAGGGACGCTTCTCGAGGTGAGGCAGGGCACCCAAGGACCCTTTCCAGTAGCCACAGGGATTTTGGGATTCCTATCAGTATTCAAGAGGAGTCAGGCATCGTCACCTTTTGAAGCAATGAACTCCGCGTGCCTCTCGAGGTGTCAGCGGGATGTGAGGCATTCCGTCAAAATGAGGCAGGGACCTAGGGCTTTCTCTAAGGTCTCCACAGGGGATTCAGACATCCCTTCATGTTGTGAGATGAAAGACGAGCCTGTATTCAAGCCACTGCAAGGAAATCCGGCCTCCTTTCAAGTTAGGGCTTCTCGCTGTATATTCCCCTTGAGGCAGCAAACTCGGGGTCCCTCCCACATACCTATTGCTGAGAGAAGCCTCCTCCTGAGGTGCTTCTGGGAAGTTGGCATACGTCTTCAGCCTAAGCCAGGGAATCAGCTCTCATCTCGAGACGATTTGGGGTACACGGAGCATTCCTCGAGTTGCTGTGCTGAAGTTGGTGTTCCTCTAGACTTGGGACAGTGTTCTCGGGGCATCTCTGGAGTTGCCTGAAGGAAGTCGAGCCACCGGTCGTGTTGAATGGGGAACGGGGAATGGCTCTGGAGTCAATGCAGGGGAATCGGGCCTCATCTCGAGTTGATTTGGGGCACATGGAGCTGCTCTGCGTTGATGGAGTGACCTCAGGGTCCGTCTAGACTGGTGACAGTGTTCTTGGGGACTGTCTCGAGATCCATTAAGCAAGTCGAAGCTCCTGACTTGTTTGAATGGGATCACGGAATAGCTCTGCATGCACTGCAGGGGAATGGGGCCTCATCTCGCCTCTAGGGGGAAGTCTCATGGTTTTTCTCGAGTTGCGGCGGGGACCTGGGGTATGTTCTCGACTTACGGCGGGGATGGCCCTTCAAAACACGAGTTTCTTCAGTGACGTCAGGACTCCTGTCTAGTAACGAGGGACACCTCAGGAATCTCTTCGAGGTTTGGCAGGGCAAAAGGGACGCTTCTCGAGGTGAGGCAGGGCACCCAAGGACCCTTTCCAGTAGCCACAGGGATTTTGGGATTCCTATCAGTATTCAAGAGGAGTCAGGCATCGTCACCTTTTGAAGCAATGAACTCCGCATGCCTCTCCAGGTGTCAGCGGGATGTGAGGCATTCCGTCAAAATGAGGCAGGGACCTAGGGCTTTCTCTAAGGTCTCCACAGGGTATTCAGACATCCCTTCATGTTGTGAGATGAAAGACGAGCCTGTATTCAAGCCACTGCAAGGAAATCCGGGCTCCTTTCAAGTTAGGGCTTCTCGCTGTATATTCCCCTTGAGGCAGCAAACTCGGGGTCCCTCCCACATACCTATTGCTGAGAGAAGCCTCCTCCTGAGGTGCTTCTGGGAAGTTGGCATACGTCTTCAGCCTAAGCCAGGGAATCAGCTCTCATCTCGAGACGATTTGGGGTACACGGAGCATTCCTCGAGTTGCTGTGCTGAAGTTGGTGTTCCTCTAGACTTGGGACAGTGTTCTCGGGGCATCTCTGGAGTTGCCTGAAGGAAGTCGAGCCACCGGTCGTGTTGAATGGGGAATGGGGAATGGGTCTGGAGTCAATGCAGGGGAATCGGGCCTCATCTCGAGTTGATTTGTGGCACATGGAGCTGCTTTGTGTTGCTGGGTTGACCTCAGGGTCCGTCTAGACTGGTGACAGTGTTCTTGGGGACTGTCTCGAAATCCATTAAGCAAGTCGAAGCTCCTGACTTGTTTGAATGGGATCACGGAATAGCTCTGCATGCACTGCAGGGGAATGGGGCCTCATCTCGCCTCTAGGGGGAAGTCTCATGGTTTTTCTCGAGTTGCGGCGGGGACCTCGGGTATGTTCTCGACTTACGGCGGGGATGGCCCTTCAAAACACGAGTTTCTTCAGTGACGTCAGGACTCCTGTCTAGTAACGAGGGACACCTCAGGAATCTCTTCGAGGCTTGGCAGGGCAAAAGGGACGCTTCTCGAGGTGAGGCAGGGCACCCAAGGACCCTTTCCAGTAGCCACAGGGATTTTGGGATTCCTATCAGTATTCAAGAGGAGTCAGGCATCGTCACCTTTTGAAGCAATGAACTCCGCGTGCCTCTCGAGGTGTCAGCGCGATGTGAGGCATTCCGTCAAAATGAGGCAGGGACCTAGGGCTTTCTCTAAGGTCTCCACAGGGGATTCAGACATCCCTTCATGTTGTGAGATGAAAGACGAGCCTGTATTCAAGCCACTGCAAGGAAATCCGGCCTCCTTTCAAGTTAGGGCTTCTCGCTGTATATTCCCCTTGAGGCAGCAAAATCGGGGTCCCTCCCACATACCTATTGCTGAGAGAAGCCTCCTCCTGAGGTGCTTCTGGGAAGTTGGCATACGTCTTGAGCCTAAGCCAGGGAATCAGCTCGCATCTCGAGACGATTTGGGGTACACGGAGCATTCCTCGAGTTGCTGTGCTGAAGTTGGTGTTCCTCTAGACTTGGGACAGTGTTCTCGGGGCATCTCTGGAGTTGCCTGAAGGAAGTCGAGCCACCGGTCGTGTTGAATGGGGAACGGGGAATGTCTCTGAAGTCAATGCAGGGGAATCGGGCCTCATCTCGAGTTGATTTGGGGCACATGGAGCTTCTTTGCTTTGCTGGGGTGTCCTCAGGGTCCGTCTAGACTGGTGACATTGTTCCTGGGGACTGTCTCGAGATCCATTAAGCAAGTCGAAGCTCCTGACTTGTTTGAATGGGATCACGGAATAGCTCTGCATGCACTGCAGGGGAATGGGGCCTCATCTCGCCTCTAGGGGGAAGTCTCATGGTTTTTCTCGAGTTGCGGCGGGGACCTGGGGTATGTTCTCGACTTACGGCGGGGATGGCCCTTCAAAACACGAGTTTCTTCAGTGACGTCAGGACTCCTGTCTAGTAACGAGGGACACCTCAGGAATCTCTTCGAGGCTTGGCAGGGCAAAAGGGACGCTTCTCGAGGTGAGGCAGGGCACCCAAGGACCCTTTCCAGTAGCCACAGGGATTTTGGGATTCCTATCAGTATTCAAGAGGAGTCAGGCATCGTCACCTTTTGAAGCAATGAACTCCGCGTGCCTCTCGAGGTGTCAGCGGGATGTGAGGCATTCCGTCAAAATGAGGCAGGGACCTAGGGCTTTCTCTAAGGTCTCCACAGGGGATTCAGACATCCCTTCATGTTGTGAGATGAAAGACGAGCCTGTATTCAAGCCACTGCAAGGAAATCCGGCCTCCTTTCAAGTTAGGGCTTCTCGCTGTATATTCCCCTTGAGGCAGCAAACTCGGGGTCCCTCCCACATACCTATTGCTGAGAGAAGCCTCCTCCTGAGGTGCTTCTGGGAAGTTGGCATACGTCTTGAGCCTAAGCCAGGGAATCACCGCTCATCTCGAGACAATTTGGAGTACACGGAGCATTCCTCGAGTTGCTGTGCTGAAGTTGGTGTTCCTCTAGACTTGGACAGTGTTCTCGGGGCATCTCTGCAGTTGCCTGAAGGAAGTCGAGCCACCGGTCGTGTTGAATGGGGAACGGGGAATGGCTCTGGAGTCAATGCAGGGGAATCGGGCCTCATCTCGAGTTGATTTGGGGCACATGGAGCTGCTTTGCGTTGCTGGGGTGACCTCAGGGTCCGTCTAGACTGGTGACAGTGTTCTTGGGGACTGTCTCGAGATCCATTAAGCAAGTCGAAGCTCCTGACTTGTTTGAATGGGATCACGGAATAGCTCTGCATGCACTGCAGGGGAATGGGGCCTCATCTCGCCTCTTGGGGGAAGTCTCATGGATTTTCTCGAGTTGCGGCGGGGACCTGGGGTATGTTCTCGACTTACGGCGGGGATGGCCCTTCAAAACACGAGTTTCTTCAGTGACGTCAGGACTCCTGTCTAGTAACGAGGGACACCTCAGGAATCTCTTCGAGGCTTGGCAGGGCAAAAGGGACGCTTCTCGAGGTGAGGCAGGGCACCCAAGGACCCTTTCCAGTAGCCACAGGGATTTTGGGATTCCTATCAGTATTCAAGAGGAGTCAGGCATCGTCACCTTTTGAAGCAATGAACTCCGCGTGCCTCTCGAGGTGTCAGCGGGATGTGAGGCATTCCGTCAAAATGAGGCAGGGACCTAGGGCTTTCTCTAAGATCTCCACAGGGGATTCAGACATCCCTTCATGTTGTGAGATGAAAGACGAGCCTGTATTCAAGCCACTGCAAGGAAATCCGGCCTCCTTTCAAGTTAGGGCTTCTCGCTGTATATTCCCCTTGAGGCAGCAAACTCGGGGTCCCTCCCACATACCTATTGCTGAGAGAAGCCTCCTCCTGAGGTGCTTCTGGGAAGTTGGCATACGTCTTGAGCCTAAGCCAGGGAATCAGCTCTCATCTCGAGACGATTTGGGGTACACGGAGCATTCCTCGAGTTGCTGTGCTGAAGTTGGTGTTCCTCTAGACTTGGGACAGTGTTCTCGGGGCATCTCTGGAGTTGCCTGAAGGAAGTCGAGCCACCGGTCGTGTTGAATGGGGAACAAGGAATGGCTCTGGAGTCAATGCAGGGGAATCGGGCCACATCTCGAGTTGATTTGGGGCACATGGAGCTGCTTTGCGTTGCTGGGGTGACCTCAGGGTCCGTCTAGACTGGTGACAGTGTTCTTGGGGACTGTCTCGAGATCCATTACGCAAGTCGAAGCTCCTGACTTGTTTGAATGGGATCACGGAATAGCTCTGCATGCACTGCAGGGGAATGGGGCCTCATCTCGCCTCTAGGGGGAAGTCTCATGGTTTTTCTCGAGTTGCGGCGGGGACCTGGGGTATGTTCTCGACTTACGGCGGGGATGGCCCTTCAAAACACGAGTTTCTTCGGTGACGTCAGGACTCCTGTCTAGTAACGAGGGACACCTCAGGAATCTCTTCGAGGCTTGGCAGGGCAAAAAGGACGCGTCTCGAGGTGAGGCAGGGCACCCAAGGACCCTTTCCAGTAGCCACAGGGATTTTGGGATTCCTATCAGTATTCAAGAGGAGTCAGGCATCGTCACCTTTTGAAGCAATGAACTCCGCGTGCCTCTCGAGGTGTCAGCGGGATGTGAGGCATTCCGTCAAAATGAGGCAGGGACCTAGGGCTTTCTCTAAGGTCTCCACAGGGGATTCAGACATCCCTTCATGTTGTGAGATGAAAGACGAGCCTGTATTCAAGCCACTGCAAGGAAATCCGGCCTCCTTTCAAGTTAGGGCTTCTCGCTGTATATTCCCCTTGAGGCAGCAAACTCGGGGTCCCTCCCACATACCTATTGCTGAGAGAAGCCTCCTCCTGAGGTGCTTCTGGGAAGTTGGCATACGTCTTGAGCCTAAGCCAGGGAATCAGCTCTCATCTCGAGACGATTTGGGGTACACGGAGCATTCCTCGAGTTGCTGTGCTGAAGTTGGTGTTCCTCTAGACTTGGGACAGTGTTCTCGGGGCATCTCTGGAGTTGCCTGAAGGAAGTCGAGCCACCGGTCGTGTTGAATGGGGAACGGGGAATGGCTCTGGAGTCAATGCAGGGGAATCGGGCCTCATCTCGAGTTGATTTGGGGCACATGGAGCTGCTCTGCGTTGATGGAGAAACCTCAGGGTCCTTCTAGACTGGTGACAGTGTTCTTGGGGACTGTCTCGAGATCCATTAAGCAAGTCGAAGCTCCTGACTTGTTTGAATGGGATCACGGAATAGCTCTGCATGCACTGCAGGGGAATGGGGCCTCATCTCGCCTCTAGGGGGAAGTCTCATGGTTTTTCTCGAGTTGCGGCGGGGACCTGGGGTATGTTCTCGACTTACGGCGGGGATGGCCCTTCAAGACACGAGTTTCTTCAGTGACGTCAGGACTCCTGTCTAGTAACGAGGGACACCTCAGGAATCTCTTCGAGGTTTGGCAGGGCAAAAGGGACGCTTCTCGAGGTGAGGCAGGGCACCCAAGGACCCTTTCCAGTAGCCACAGGGATTTTGGGATTCCTATCAGTATTCAAGAGGAGTCAGGCATCGTCACCTTTTGAAGCAATGAACTCCGCGTGCCTCTCGAGGTGTCAGCGGGATGTGAGGCATTCCGTCAAAATGAGGCAGGGACCTAGGGCTTTCTCTAAGGTCTCCACAGGGGATTCAGACATCCCTTCATGTTGTGAGATGAAAGACGAGCCTGTATTCAAGCCACTGCAAGGAAATCCGGCCTCCTTTCAAGTTAGGGCTTCTCGCTGTATATTCCCCTTGAGGCAGCAAAGTCGGGGTCCCTCCCACATACCTATTGCTGAGAGAAGCCTCCTCCTGTCGTGCTTCTGGGAAGTTGGCATACGTCTTCAGCCTAAGCCAGGGAATCAGCTCTCATCTCGAGACGATTTGGGGTACACGGAGCATTCCTCGAGTTGCTGTGCTGAAGTTGGTGTTCCTCTAGACTTGGGACAGTGTTCTCGGGGCATCTCTGGAGTTGCCTGAAGGAAGTCGAGCCACCGGTCGTGTTGAATGGGGAAAGGGGAATGGGTCTGGAGTCAATGCAGGGGAATCGGGCCTCATCTCGAGTTGATTTGGGGCACATGGAGCTGCTTTGCGTTGCTGGGGTGACCTCAGGGTCCGTCTAGACTGGTGACAGTGTTCTTGGGGACTGTCTCGAAATCCATTAAGCAAGTCGAAGCTCCTGACTTGTTTGAATGGGATCACGGAATAGCTCTGCATGCACTGCAGGGGAATGGGGCCTCATCTCGCCTCTAGGGGGAAGTCTCATGGTTTTTCTCGAGTTGCGGCGGGGACCTGGGGTATGTTCTCGACTTACGGCGGGGATGGCCCTTCAAAACACGAGTTTCTTCAGTGACGTCAGGACTCCTGTCTAGTAACGAGGGACACCTCAGGAATCTCTTCGAGGCTTGGCAGGGCAAAAGGGACGCTTCTCGAGGTGAGGCAGGGCACCCAAGGACCCTTTCCAGTAGCCACAGGGATTTTGGGATTCCTATCAGTATTCAAGAGGAGTCAGGCATCGTCACCTTTTGAAGCAATGAACTCCGCGTGCCTCTCGAGGTGTCAGCGGGATGTGAGGCATTCCGTCAAAATGAGGCAGGGACCTAGGGCTTTCTCTAAGGTCTCCACAGGGGATTCAGACATCCCTTCATGTTGTGAGATGAAAGACGAGCCTGTATTCAAGCCACTGCAAGGAAATCCGGCCTCCTTTCAAGTTAGGGCTTCTCGCTCTATATTCCCCTTGAGGCAGCAAACTCGGGGTCCCTCCCACATACCTATTGCTGAGAGAAGCCTCCTCCTGAGGTGCTTCTGGGAAGTTGGCATACGTCTTGAGCCTAAGCCAGGAAATCAGCTCGCATCTCGAGACGATTTGGGGTACACGGAGCATTCCTCGAGTTGCTGTGCTGAAGTTGGTGTTCCTCTAGACTTGGGACAGTGTTCTCGGGGCATCTCTGGAGTTGCCTGAAGGAAGTCGAGCCACCGGTCGTGTTGAATGGGGAACGGGGAATGTCTCTGAAGTCAATGCAGGGGAATCGGGCCTCATCTCGAGTTGATTTGGGGCACATGGAGCTTCTTTGCTTTGCTGGGGTGACCTCAGGGTCCGTCTAGACTGGTGATATTGTTCCTGGGGACTGTCTCGAGATCCATTAAGCAAGTCGAAGCTCCTGACTTGTTTGAATGGGATCACGGAATAGCTCTGCATGCACTGCAGGGGAATGGGGCCGCATCTCGCCTCTAGGGGGAAGTCTCATGGTTTTTCTCGAGTTGCGGCGGGGACCTGGGGTATGTTCTCGACTTACGGCGAGGATGGCCCTTCAAGACACGAGTTTCTTCAGTGACGTCAGGACTCCTGTCTAGTAACGAGGGACACCTCAGGAATCTCTTTGAGGCTTGGCAGGGCAAAAGGGACGCTTCTCGAGGTGAGGCAGGGCACCCAAGGACCCTTTCCAGTAGCCACAGGGATTTTGGGATTCCTATCAGTATTCAAGAGGAGTCAGGCATCGTCACCTTTTGAAGCAATGAACTCCGCGTGCCTCTCGAGGTGTCAGCGGGATATGAGGCATTCCGTCAAAATGAGGCAGGGACCTAGGGCTTTCTCTAAGGTCTCCACAGGGGATTCAGACATCCCTTCATGTTGTGAGATGAAAGACGAGCCTGTATTCAAGCCACTGCAAGGAAATCCGGCCTCCTTTCAAGTTAGGGCTTCTCGCTGTATATTCCCCTTGAGGCAGCAAACTCGGGGTCCCTCCCACATACCTATTGCTGAGAGAAGCCTCCTCCTGAGGTGCTTCTGGGAAGTTGGCATACGTCTTGAGCCTAAGCCAGGGAATCAGCTCTCATCTCGAGACGATTTGGGGTACACGGAGCATTCCTCGAGTTGCTGTGCTGAAGTTGGTGTTCCTCTAGACTTGGGACAGTGTTCTCGGGGCACCTCTGGAGTTGCCTGAAGGAATTCGAAGCACCGGTCGTGTTGAATGGGGAACGGGGAATGGCTCTGGAGTCAATGCAGGGGAATCGGGCCTCATCTCGAGTTGATTTGGGGCACATGGAGCTTCTTTGCGTTGCTGGGGTGACCTCAGGGTCCGTCTAGACTGGTGACAGTGTTCTTGGGGACTGTCTCGAGATCCATTAAGCAAGTCGAAGCTCCTGACTTGTTTGAATGGGATCATGGAATAGCTCTGCATGCACTGCAGGGGAATGGGGCCTCATCTCGCCTCTAGGGGGAAGTCTCATGGTTTTTCTCGAGTTGCGGTGGGGACCTGGGGTATGTTCTCGACTTACGGCGGGGATGGCCCTTCAAAACACGAGTTTCTTCAGGGACGTCAGGACTCCTGTCTAGTAACGAGGGACACCTCAGGAATCTCTTCGAGGCTTGGCAGGGCAAAAGGGACGCTTCTCGAGGTGAGGCAGGGCACCCAAGGACCCTTTCCAGTAGCCACAGGGATTTTGGGATTCCTATCAGTATTCAAGAGGAGTCAGGCATCGTCACCTTTTGAAGCAATGAACTCCGCGTGCCTCTAGAGGTGTCAGCGGGATGTGAGGCATTCCGTCAAAATGAGGCAGGGACCTAGGGCTTTCTCTAAGATCTCCACAGGGGATTCAGACATCCCTTCATGTTGTGAGATGAAAGACGAGCCTGTATTCAAGCCACTGCAAGGAAATCCGGCCTCCTTTCAAGTTAGGGCTTCTCGCTGTATATTCCCCTTGAGGCAGCAAACTCGGGGTCCCTCCCACATACCTATTGCTGAGAGAAGCCTCCTCCTGAGGTGCTTCTGGGAAGTTGGCATACGTCTTCAGCCTAAGCCAGGGAATCAGCTCTCATCTCGAGACGATTTGGGGTACACGGAGCATTCCTCGAGTTGCTGTGCTGAAGTTGGTGTTCCTCTAGACTTGGGACAGTGTTCTCGGGGCATCTCTGGAGTTGCCTGAAGGAAGTCGAGCCACCGGTCGTGTTGAATGGGGAACGGGGAATGGCTCTGGAGTCAATGCAGGGGAATCGGGCCACATCTCGAGTTGATTTGGGGCACATGGAGCTGCTTTGCGTTGCTGGGGTGACCTCAGGGTCCGTCTAGACTGGTGACAGTGTTCTTGGGGACTGTCTCGAGATCCATTACGCAAGTCGAAGCTCCTGACTTGTTTGAATGGGATCACGGAATAGCTCTGCATGCACTGCAGGGGAATGGGGCCTCATCTCGCCTCTAGGGGGAAGTCTCATGGTTTTTCTCGAGTTGCGGCGGGGACCTGGGGTATGTTCTCGACTTACGGCGGGGATGGCCCTTCAAAACACGAGTTTCTTCAGTGACGTCAGGACTCCTGTCTAGTAACGAGGGACACCTCAGGAATCTCTTCGAGGTTTGGCAGGGCAAAAAGGACGCGTCTCGAGGTGAGGCAGGGCACCCAAGGACCCTTTCCAGTAGCCACAGGGATTTTGGGATTCCTATCAGTATTCAAGAGGAGTCAGGCATCGTCACCTTTTGAAGCAATGAACTCCGCGTGCCTCTCGAGGTGTCAGCGGGATGTGAGGCATTCCGTCAAAATGAGGCAGGGACCTAGGGCTTTCTCTAAGGTCTCCACAGGGGATTCAGACATCCCTTCATGTTGTGAGATGAAAGACGAGCCTGTATTCAAGCCACTGCAAGGAAATCCGGCCTCCTTTCAAGTTAGGGCTTCTCGCTGTATATTCCCCTTGAGGCAGCAAACTCGGGGTCCCTCCCACATACCTATTGCTGAGAGAAGCCTCCTCCTGAGGTGCTTCTGGGAAGTTGGCATACGTCTTGAGCCTAAGCCAGGGAATCAGCTCTCATCTCGAGACGATTTGGGGTACACGGAGCATTCCTCGAGTTGCTGTGCTGAAGTTGGTGTTCCTCTAGACTTGGGACAGTGTTCTCGGGGCATCTCTGGAGTTGCCTGAAGGAAGTCGAGCCACCGGTCGTGTTGAATGGGGAACGGGGAATGGCTCTGGAGTCAATGCAGGGGAATCGGGCCTCATCTCGAGTTGATTTGGGGCACATGGAGCTGCTCTGCGTTGATGGAGTGACCTCAGGGTCCTTCTAGACTGGTGACAGTGTTCTTGGGGACTGTCTCGAGATCCATTAAGCAAGTCGAAGCTCCTGACTTGTTTGAATGGGATCACGGAATAGCTCTGCATGCACTGCAGGGGAATGGGGCCTCATCTCGCCTCTAGGGGGAAGTCTCATGGTTTTTCTCGAGTTGCGGCGGGGACCTGGGGTATGTTCTCGACTTACGGCGGGGATGGCCCTTCAAAACACGAGTTTCTTCAGTGACGTCAGGACTCCTGTCTAGTAACGAGGGACACCTCAGGAATCTCTTCGAGGCTTGGCAGGGCAAAAGGGACGCTTCTCGAGGTGAGGCAGGGCACCCAAGGACCCTTTCCAGTAGCCACAGGGATTTTGGGATTCCTATCAGTATTCAAGAGGAGTCAGGCATCGTCACCTTTTGAAGCAATGAACTCCGCGTGCCTCTCGAGGTGTCAGCGGGATGTGAGGCATTCCGTCAAAATGAGGCAGGGACCTAGGGCTTTCTCTAAGGTCTCCACAGGGGATTCAGACATCCCTTCATGTTGTGAGATGAAAGACGAGCCTGTATTCAAGCCACTGCAAGGAAATCCGGCCTCCTTTCAAGTTAGGGCTTCTCGCTGTATATTCCCCTTGAGGCAGCAAACTCGGGGTCCCTCCCACATACCTATTGCTGAGAGAAGCCTCCTCCTGAGGTGCTTCTGGGAAGTTGGCATACGTCTTGAGCCTAAGCCAGGGAATCACCGCTCATCTCGAGACAATTTGGAGTACACGGAGCATTCCTCGAGTTGCTGTGCTGAAGTTGGTGTTCCTCTAGACTTGGACAGTGTTCTCGGGGCATCTCTGCAGTTGCCTGAAGGAAGTCGAGCCACCGGTCGTGTTGAATGGGGAACGGGGAATGGCTCTGGAGTCAATGCAGGGGAATCGGGCCTCATCTCGAGTTGATTTGGGGCACATGGAGCTGCTTTGCGTTGCTGGGGTGACCTCAGGGTCCGTCTAGACTGGTGACAGTGTTCTTGGGGACTGTCTCGAGATCCATTAAGCAAGTCGAAGCTCCTGACTTGTTTGAATGGGATCACGGAATAGCTCTGCATGCACTGCAGGGGAATGGGGCCTCATCTCGCCTCTTGGGGGAAGTCTCATGGATTTTCTCGAGTTGCGGCGGGGACCTGGGGTATGTTCTCGACTTACGGCGGGGATGGCCCTTCAAAACACGAGTTTCTTCAGTGACGTCAGGACTCCTGTCTAGTAACGAGGGACACCTCAGGAATCTCTTCGAGGCTTGGCAGGGCAAAAGGGACGCTTCTCGAGGTGAGGCAGGGCACCCAAGGACCCTTTCCAGTAGCCACAGGGATTTTGGGATTCCTATCAGTATTCAAGAGGAGTCAGGCATCGTCACCTTTTGAAGCAATGAACTCCGCGTGCCTCTCGAGGTGTCAGCGGGATGTGAGGCATTCCGTCAAAATGAGGCAGGGACCTAGGGCTTTCTCTAAGATCTCCACAGGGGATTCAGACATCCCTTCATGTTGTGAGATGAAAGACGAGCCTGTATTCAAGCCACTGCAAGGAAATCCGGCCTCCTTTCAAGTTAGGGCTTCTCGCTGTATATTCCCCTTGAGGCAGCAAACTCGGGGTCCCTCCCACATACCTATTGCTGAGAGAAGCCTCCTCCTGAGGTGCTTCTGGGAAGTTGGCATACGTCTTCAGCCTAAGCCAGGGAATCAGCTCTCATCTCGAGACGATTTGGGGTACACGGAGCATTCCTCGAGTTGCTGTGCTGAAGTTGGTGTTCCTCTAGACTTGGGACAGTGTTCTCGGGGCATCTCTGGAGTTGCCTGAAGGAAGTCGAGCCACCGGTCGTGTTGAATGGGGAACAAGGAATGGCTCTGGAGTCAATGCAGGGGAATCGGGCCACATCTCGAGTTGATTTGGGGCACATGGAGCTGCTTTGCGTTGCTGGGGTGACCTCAGGGTCCGTCTAGACTGGTGACAGTGTTCTTGGGGACTGTCTCGAGATCCATTACGCAAGTCGAAGCTCCTGACTTGTTTGAATGGGATCACGGAATAGCTCTGCATGCACTGCAGGGGAATGGGGCCTCATCTCGCCTCTAGGGGGAAGTCTCATGGTTTTTCTCGAGTTGCGGCGGGGACCTGGGGTATGTTCTCGACTTACGGCGGGGATGGCCCTTCAAAACACGAGTTTCTTCGGTGACGTCAGGACTCCTGTCTAGTAACGAGGGACACCTCAGGAATCTCTTCGAGGCTTGGCAGGGCAAAAAGGACGCGTCTCGAGGTGAGGCAGGGCACCCAAGGACCCTTTCCAGTAGCCACAGGGATTTTGGGATTCCTATCAGTATTCAAGAGGAGTCAGGCATCGTCACCTTTTGAAGCAATGAACTCCGCGTGCCTCTCGAGGTGTCAGCGGGATGTGAGGCATTCCGTCAAAATGAGGCAGGGACCTAGGGCTTTCTCTAAGGTCTCCACAGGGGATTCAGACATCCCTTCATGTTGTGAGATGAAAGACGAGCCTGTATTCAAGCCACTGCAAGGAAATCCGGCCTCCTTTCAAGTTAGGGCTTCTCGCTGTATATTCCCCTTGAGGCAGCAAACTCGGGGTCCCTCCCACATACCTATTGCTGAGAGAAGCCTCCTCCTGAGGTGCTTCTGGGAAGTTGGCATACGTCTTGAGCCTAAGCCAGGGAATCAGCTCTCATCTCGAGACGATTTGGGGTACACGGAGCATTCCTCGAGTTGCTGTGCTGAAGTTGGTGTTCCTCTAGACTTGGGACAGTGTTCTCGGGGCATCTCTGGAGTTGCCTGAAGGAAGTCGAGCCACCGGTCGTGTTGAATGGGGAACGGGGAATGGCTCTGGAGTCAATGCAGGGGAATCGGGCCTCATCTCGAGTTGATTTGGGGCACATGGAGCTGCTCTGCGTTGATGGAGAAACCTCAGGGTCCTTCTAGACTGGTGACAGTGTTCTTGGGGACTGTCTCGAGATCCATTAAGCAAGTCGAAGCTCCTGACTTGTTTGAATGGGATCACGGAATAGCTCTGCATGCACTGCAGGGGAATGGGGCCTCATCTCGCCTCTAGGGGGAAGTCTCATGGTTTTTCTCGAGTTGCGGCGGGGACCTGGGGTATGTTCTCGACTTACGGCGGGGATGGCCCTTCAAGACACGAGTTTCTTCAGTGACGTCAGGACTCCTGTCTAGTAACGAGGGACACCTCAGGAATCTCTTCGAGGTTTGGCAGGGCAAAAGGGACGCTTCTCGAGGTGAGGCAGGGCACCCAAGGACCCTTTCCAGTAGCCACAGGGATTTTGGGATTCCTATCAGTATTCAAGAGGAGTCAGGCATCGTCACCTTTTGAAGCAATGAACTCCGCGTGCCTCTCGAGGTGTCAGCGGGATGTGAGGCATTCCGTCAAAATGAGGCAGGGACCTAGGGCTTTCTCTAAGGTCTCCACAGGGGATTCAGACATCCCTTCATGTTGTGAGATGAAAGACGAGCCTGTATTCAAGCCACTGCAAGGAAATCCGGCCTCCTTTCAAGTTAGGGCTTCTCGCTGTATATTCCCCTTGAGGCAGCAAAGTCGGGGTCCCTCCCACATACCTATTGCTGAGAGAAGCCTCCTCCTGTCGTGCTTCTGGGAAGTTGGCATACGTCTTCAGCCTAAGCCAGGGAATCAGCTCTCATCTCGAGACGATTTGGGGTACACGGAGCATTCCTCGAGTTGCTGTGCTGAAGTTGGTGTTCCTCTAGACTTGGGACAGTGTTCTCGGGGCATCTCTGGAGTTGCCTGAAGGAAGTCGAGCCACCGGTCGTGTTGAATGGGGAAAGGGGAATGGGTCTGGAGTCAATGCAGGGGAATCGGGCCTCATCTCGAGTTGATTTGGGGCACATGGAGCTGCTTTGCGTTGCTGGGGTGACCTCAGGGTCCGTCTAGACTGGTGACAGTGTTCTTGGGGACTGTCTCGAAATCCATTAAGCAAGTCGAAGCTCCTGACTTGTTTGAATGGGATCACGGAATAGCTCTGCATGCACTGCAGGGGAATGGGGCCTCATCTCGCCTCTAGGGGGAAGTCTCATGGTTTTTCTCGAGTTGCGGCGGGGACCTGGGGTATGTTCTCGACTTACGGCGGGGATGGCCCTTCAAAACACGAGTTTCTTCAGTGACGTCAGGACTCCTGTCTAGTAACGAGGGACACCTCAGGAATCTCTTCGAGGCTTGGCAGGGCAAAAGGGACGCTTCTCGAGGTGAGGCAGGGCACCCAAGGACCCTTTCCAGTAGCCACAGGGATTTTGGGATTCCTATCAGTATTCAAGAGGAGTCAGGCATCGTCACCTTTTGAAGCAATGAACTCCGCGTGCCTCTCGAGGTGTCAGCGGGATGTGAGGCATTCCGTCAAAATGAGGCAGGGACCTAGGGCTTTCTCTAAGGTCTCCACAGGGGATTCAGACATCCCTTCATGTTGTGAGATGAAAGACGAGCCTGTATTCAAGCCACTGCAAGGAAATCCGGCCTCCTTTCAAGTTAGGGCTTCTCGCTCTATATTCCCCTTGAGGCAGCAAACTTGGGGTCCCTCCCACATACCTATTGCTGAGAGAAGCCTCCTCCTGAGGTGCTTCTGGGAAGTTGGCATACGTCTTGAGCCTAAGCCAGGAAATCAGCTCGCATCTCGAGACGATTTGGGGTACACGGAGCATTCCTCGAGTTGCTGTGCTGAAGTTGGTGTTCCTCTAGACTTGGGACAGTGTTCTCGGGGCATCTCTGGAGTTGCCTGAAGGAAGTCGAGCCACCGGTCGTGTTGAATGGGGAACGGGGAATGTCTCTGAAGTCAATGCAGGGGAATCGGGCCTCATCTCGAGTTGATTTGGGGCACATGGAGCTTCTTTGCTTTGCTGGGGTGACCTCAGGGTCCGTCTAGACTGGTGATATTGTTCCTGGGGACTGTCTCGAGATCCATTAAGCAAGTCGAAGCTCCTGACTTGTTTGAATGGGATCACGGAATAGCTCTGCATGCACTGCAGGGGAATGGGGCCGCATCTCGCCTCTAGGGGGAAGTCTCATGGTTTTTCTCGAGTTGCGGCGGGGACCTGGGGTATGTTCTCGACTTACGGCGAGGATGGCCCTTCAAGACACGAGTTTCTTCAGTGACGTCAGGACTCCTGTCTAGTAACGAGGGACACCTCAGGAATCTCTTCGAGGCTTGGCAGGGCAAAAGGGACGCTTCTCGAGGTGAGGCAGGGCACCCAAGGACCCTTTCCAGTAGCCACAGGGATTTTGGGATTCCTATCAGTATTCAAGAGGAGTCAGGCATCGTCACCTTTTGAAGCAATGAACTCCGCGTGCCTCTCGAGGTGTCAGCGGGATATGAGGCATTCCGTCAAAATGAGGCAGGGACCTAGGGCTTTCTCTAAGGTCTCCACAGGGGATTCAGACATCCCTTCATGTTGTGAGATGAAAGACGAGCCTGTATTCAAGCCACTGCAAGGAAATCCGGCCTCCTTTCAAGTTAGGGCTTCTCGCTGTATATTCCCCTTGAGGCAGCAAACTCGGGGTCCCTCCCACATACCTATTGCTGAGAGAAGCCTCCTCCTGAGGTGCTTCTGGGAAGTTGGCATACGTCTTGAGCCTAAGCCAGGGAATCAGCTCTCATCTCGAGACGATTTGGGGTACACGGAGCATTCCTCGAGTTGCTGTGCTGAAGTTGGTGTTCCTCTAGACTTGGGACAGTGTTCTCGGGGCACCTCTGGAGTTGCCTGAAGGAATTCGAAGCACCGGTCGTGTTGAATGGGGAACGGGGAATGGCTCTGGAGTCAATGCAGGGGAATCGGGCCTCATCTCGAGTTGATTTGGGGCACATGGAGCTTCTTTGCGTTGCTGGGGTGACCTCAGGGTCCGTCTAGACTGGTGACAGTGTTCTTGGGGACTGTCTCGAGATCCATTAAGCAAGTCGAAGCTCCTGACTTGTTTGAATGGGATCATGGAATAGCTCTGCATGCACTGCAGGGGAATGGGGCCTCATCTCGCCTCTAGGGGGAAGTCTCATGGTTTTTCTCGAGTTGCGGTGGGGACCTGGGGTATGTTCTCGACTTACGGCGAGGATGGCCCTTCAAAACACGAGTTTCTTCAGGGACGTCAGGACTCCTGTCTAGTAACGAGGGACACCTCAGGAATCTCTTCGAGGCTTGGCAGGGCAAAAGGGACGCTTCTCGAGGTGAGGCAGGGCACCCAAGGACCCTTTCCAGTAGCCACAGGGATTTTGGGATTCCTATCAGTATTCAAGAGGAGTCAGGCATCGTCACCTTTTGAAGCAATGAACTCCGCGTGCCTCTAGAGGTGTCAGCGGGATGTGAGGCATTCCGTCAAAATGAGGCAGGGACCTAGGGCTTTCTCTAAGATCTCCACAGGGGATTCAGACATCCCTTCATGTTGTGAGATGAAAGACGAGCCTGTATTCAAGCCACTGCAAGGAAATCCGGCCTCCTTTCAAGTTAGGGCTTCTCGCTGTATATTCCCCTTGAGGCAGCAAACTCGGGGTCCCTCCCACATACCTATTGCTGAGAGAAGCCTCCTCCTGAGGTGCTTCTGGGAAGTTGGCATACGTCTTCAGCCTAAGCCAGGGAATCAGCTCTCATCTCGAGACGATTTGGGGTACACGGAGCATTCCTCGAGTTGCTGTGCTGAAGTTGGTGTTCCTCTAGACTTGGGACAGTGTTCTCGGGGCATCTCTGGAGTTGCCTGAAGGAAGTCGAGCCACCGGTCGTGTTGAATGGGGAACGGGGAATGGCTCTGGAGTCAATGCAGGGGAATCGGGCCACATCTCGAGTTGATTTGGGGCACATGGAGCTGCTTTGCGTTGCTGGGGTGACCTCAGGGTCCGTCTAGACTGGTGACAGTGTTCTTGGGGACTGTCTCGAGATCCATTACGCAAGTCGAAGCTCCTGACTTGTTTGAATGGGATCACGGAATAGCTCTGCATGCACTGCAGGGGAATGGGGCCTCATCTCGCCTCTAGGGGGAAGTCTCATGGTTTTTCTCGAGTTGCGGCGGGGACCTGGGGTATGTTCTCGACTTACGGCGGGGATGGCCCTTCAAAACACGAGTTTCTTCAGTGACGTCAGGACTCCTGTCTAGTAACGAGGGACACCTCAGGAATCTCTTCGAGGTTTGGCAGGGCAAAAAGGACGCGTCTCGAGGTGAGGCAGGGCACCCAAGGACCCTTTCCAGTAGCCACAGGGATTTTGGGATTCCTATCAGTATTCAAGAGGAGTCAGGCATCGTCACCTTTTGAAGCAATGAACTCCGCGTGCCTCTCGAGGTGTCAGCGGGATGTGAGGCATTCCGTCAAAATGAGGCAGGGACCTAGGGCTTTCTCTAAGGTCTCCACAGGGGATTCAGACATCCCTTCATGTTGTGAGATGAAAGACGAGCCTGTATTCAAGCCACTGCAAGGAAATCCGGCCTCCTTTCAAGTTAGGGCTTCTCGCTGTATATTCCCCTTGAGGCAGCAAACTCGGGGTCCCTCCCACATACCTATTGCTGAGAGAAGCCTCCTCCTGAGGTGCTTCTGGGAAGTTGGCATACGTCTTGAGCCTAAGCCAGGGAATCAGCTCTCATCTCGAGACGATTTGGGGTACACGGAGCATTCCTCGAGTTGCTGTGCTGAAGTTGGTGTTCCTCTAGACTTGGGACAGTGTTCTCGGGGCATCTCTGGAGTTGCCTGAAGGAAGTCGAGCCACCGGTCGTGTTGAATGGGGAACGGGGAATGGCTCTGGAGTCAATGCAGGGGAATCGGGCCTCATCTCGAGTTGATTTGGGGCACATGGAGCTGCTCTGCGTTGATGGAGTGACCTCAGGGTCCTTCTAGACTGGTGACAGTGTTCTTGGGGACTGTCTCGAGATCCATTAAGCAAGTCGAAGCTCCTGACTTGTTTGAATGGGATCACGGAATAGCTCTGCATGCACTGCAGGGGAATGGGGCCTCATCTCGCCTCTAGGGGGAAGTCTCATGGTTTTTCTCGAGTTGCGGCGGGGACCTGGGGTATGTTCTCGACTTACGGCGGGGATGGCCCTTCAAAACACGAGTTTCTTCAGTGACGTCAGGACTCCTGTCTAGTAACGAGGGACACCTCAGGAATCTCTTCGAGGTTTGGCAGGGCAAAAGGGACGCTTCTCGAGGTGAGGCAGGGCACCCAAGGACCCTTTCCAGTAGCCACAGGGATTTTGGGATTCCTATCAGTATTCAAGAGGAGTCAGGCATCGTCACCTTTTGAAGCAATGAACTCCGCGTGCCTCTCGAGGTGTCAGCGGGATGTGAGGCATTCCGTCAAAATGAGGCAGGGACCTAGGGCTTTCTCTAAGGTCTCCACAGGGGATTCAGACATCCCTTCATGTTGTGAGATGAAAGACGAGCCTGTATTCAAGCCACTGCAAGGAAATCCGGCCTCCTTTCAAGTTAGGGCTTCTCGCTGTATATTCCCCTTGAGGCAGCAAACTCGGGGTCCCTCCCACATACCTATTGCTGAGAGAAGCCTCCTCCTGTGGTGCTTCTGGGAAGTTGGCATACGTCTTCAGCCTAAGCCAGGGAATCAGCTCTCATCTCGAGACGATTTGGGGTACACGGAGCATTCCTCGAGTTGCTGTGCTGAAGTTGGTGTTCCTCTAGACTTGGGACAGTGTTCTCGGGGCATCTCTGGAGTTGCCTGAAGGAAGTCGAGCCACCGGTCGTGTTGAATGGGGAAAGGGGAATGGGTCTGGAGTCAATGCAGGGGAATCGGGCCTCATCTCGAGTTGATTTGGGGCACATGGAGCTGCTTTGCGTTGCTGGGGTGACCTCAGGGTCCGTCTAGACTGGTGACAGTGTTCTTGGGGACTGTCTCGAAATCCATTAAGCAAGTCGAAGCTCCTGACTTGTTTGAATGGGATCACGGAATAGCTCTGCATGCACTGCAGGGGAATGGGGCCTCATCTCGCCTCTAGGGGGAAGTCTCATGGTTTTTCTCGAGTTGCGGCGGGGACCTGGCGTATGTTCTCGACTTACGGCGGGGATGGCCCTTCAAAACACGAGTTTCTTCAGTGACGTCAGGACTCCTGTCTAGTAACGAGGGACACCTCAGGAATCTCTTCGAGGCTTGGCAGGGCAAAAGGGACGCTTCTCGAGGTGAGGCAGGGCACCCAAGGACCCTTTCCAGTAGCCACAGGGATTTTGGGATTCCTATCAGTATTCAAGAGGAGTCAGGCATCGTCACCTTTTGAAGCAATGAACTCCGCGTGCCTCTCGAGGTGTCAGCGGGATGTGAGGCATTCCGTCAAAATGAGGCAGGGACCTAGGGCTTTCTCTAAGGTCTCCACAGGGGATTCAGACATCCCTTCATGTTGTGAGATGAAAGACGAGCCTGTATTCAAGCCACTGCAAGGAAATCCGGCCTCCTTTCAAGTTAGGGCTTCTCGCTCTATATTCCCCTTGAGGCAGCAAAATCGGGGTCCCTCCCACATACCTATTGCTGAGAGAAGCCTCCTCCTGAGGTGCTTCTGGGAAGTTGGCATACGTCTTGACCCTAAGCCAGGAAATCAGCTCGCATCTCGAGACGATTTGGGGTACACGGAGCATTCCTCGAGTTGCTGTGCTGAAGTTGGTGTTCCTCTAGACTTGGGACAGTGTTCTCGGGGCATCTCTGGAGTTGCCTGAAGGAAGTCGAGCCACCGGTCGTGTTGAATGGGGAACGGGGAATGTCTCTGAAGTCAATGCAGGGGAATCGGGCCTCATCTCGAGTTGATTTGGGGCACATGGAGCTTCTTTGCTTTGCTGGGGTGACCTCAGGGTCCGTCTAGACTGGTGATATTGTTCCTGGGGACTGTCTCGAGATCCATTAAGCAGTCGAAGCTCCTGACTTGTTTGAATGGGATCACGGAATAGCTCTGCATGCACTGCAGGGGAATGGGGCCGCATCTCGCCTCTAGGGGGAAGTCTCATGGTTTTTCTCGAGTTGCGGCGGGGACCTGGGGTATGTTCTCGACTTACGGCGAGGATGGCCCTTCAAGACACGAGTTTCTTCAGTGACGTCAGGACTCCTGTCTAGTAACGAGGGACACCTCAGGAATCTCTTCGAGGCTTGGCAGGGCAAAAGGGACGCTTCTCGAGGTGAGGCAGGGCACCCAAGGACCCTTTCCAGTAGCCACAGGGATTTTGGGATTCCTATCAGTATTCAAGAGGAGTCAGGCATCGTCACCTTTTGAAGCAATGAACTCCGCGTGCCTCTCGAGGTGTCAGCGGGATGTGAGGCATTCCGTCAAAATGAGGCAGGGACCTAGGGCTTTCTCTAAGGTCTCCACAGGGGATTCAGACATCCCTTCATGTTGTGAGATGAAAGACGAGCCTGTATTCAAGCCACTGCAAGGAAATCCGGCCTCCTTTCAAGTTAGGGCTTCTCGCTGTATATTCCCCTTGAGGCAGCAAACTCGGGGTCCCTCCCACATACCTATTGCTGAGAGAAGCCTCCTCCTGAGGTGCTTCTGGGAAGTTGGCATACGTCTTGAGCCTAAGCCAGGGAATCAGCTCTCATCTCGAGACGATTTGGGGTACACGGAGCATTCCTCGGGTTGCTGTGCTGAAGTTGGTGTTCCTCTAGACTTGGGACAGTGTTCTCGGGGCACCTCTGGAGTTGCCTGAAGGAATTCGAAGCACCGGTCGTGTTGAATGGGGAACGGGGAATGGCTCTGGAGTCAATGCAGGGGAATCGGGCCTCATCTCGAGTTGATTTGGGGCACATGGAGCTTCTTTGCGTTGCTGGGGTGACCTCAGGGTCCGTCTAGACTGGTGACAGTGTTCTTGGGGACTGTCTCGAGATCCATTAAGCAAGTCGAAGCTCCTGACTTGTTTGAATGGGATCATGGAATAGCTCTGCATGCACTGCAGGGGAATGGGGCCTCATCTCGCCTCTAGGGGGAAGTCTCATGGTTTTTCTCGAGTTGCGGTGGGGACCTGGGGTATGTTCTCGACTTACGGCGGGGATGGCCCTTCAAAACACGAGTTTCTTCAGGGACGTCAGGACTCCTGTCTAGTAACGAGGGACACCTCAGGAATCTCTTCGAGGCTTGGCAGGGCAAAAGGGACGCTTCTCGAGGTGAGGCAGGGCACCCAAGGACCCTTTCCAGTAGCCACAGGGATTTTGGGATTCCTATCAGTATTCAAGAGGAGTCAGGCATCGTCACCTTTTGAAGCAATGAACTCCGCGTGCCTCTCGAGGTGTCAGCGGGATGTGAGGCATTCCGTCAAAATGAGGCAGGGACCTAGGGCTTTCTCTAAGGTCTCCACAGGGGATTCAGACATCCCTTCATGTTGTGAGATGAAAGACGAGCCTGTATTCAAGCCACTGCAAGGAAATCCGGCCTCCTTTCAAGTTAGGGCTTCTCGCTGTATATTCCCCTTGAGGCAGCAAACTCGGGGTCCCTCCCACATACCTATTGCTGAGAGAAGCCTCCTCCTGAGGTGCTTCTGGGAAGTTGGCATACGTCTTGAGCCTAAGCCAGGGAATCAGCTCTCATCTCGAGACGATTTGGGGTACACGGAGCATTCCTCGAGTTGCTGTGCTGAAGTTGGTGTTCCTCTAGACTTGGGACAGTGTTGTCGGGGCATCTCTGGAGTTGCCTGAAGGAAGTCGAGCCACCGGTCGTGTTGAATGGGGAACGGGGAATGGCTCTGGAGTCAATGCAGGGGAATCGGGCCTCATCTCGAGTTGATTTGGGACACATGGAGCTGCTCTGCGTTGATGGAGTGACCTCAGGGTCGGTCTAGACTGGTGACAGTGTTCTTGGGGACTGTCTCGAGATCCATTAAGCAAGTCGAAGCTCCTGACTTGTTTGAATGGGATCACGGAATAGCTCTGCATGCACTGCAGGGGAATGGGGCCTCATCTCGCCTCTAGGGGGAAGTCTCATGGTTTTTCTCGAGTTGCGGCGGGGACCTGGGGTATGTTCTCGACTTACGGCGGGGATGGCCCTTCAAAACACGAGTTTCTTCAGTGACGTCAGGACTCCTGTCTAGTAACGAGGGACACCTCAGGAATCTCTTCGAGGCTTGGCAGGGCAAAAGGGACGCTTCTCGAGGTGAGGCAGGGCACCCAAGGACCCTTTCCAGTAGCCACAGGGATTTTGGGATTCCTATCAGTATTCAAGAGGAGTCAGGCATCGTCACCTTTTGAAGCAATGAACTCCGCGTGCCTCTCGAGGTGTCAGCGGGATGTGAGGCATTCCGTCAAAATGAGGCAGGGACCTAGGGCTTTCTCTAAGGTCTCCACAGGGGATTCAGACATCCCTTCATGTTGTGAGATGAAAGACGAGCCTGTATTCAAGCCACTGCAAGGAAATCCGGCCTCCTTTCAAGTTAGGGCTTCTCGCTGTATATTCCCCTTGAGGCAGCAAACTCGGGGTCCCTCCCACATACCTATTGCTGAGAGAAGCCTCCTCCTGAGGTGCTTCTGGGAAGTTGGCATACGTCTTCAGCCTAAGCCAGGGAATCAGCTCTCATCTCGAGATGATTTGGGGTACACGGAGCATTCCTCGAGTTGCTGTGCTGAAGTTGGTGTTCCTCTAGACTTGGGACAGTGTTCTCGGGGCATCTCTGGAGTTGCCTGAAGGAAGTCGAGCCACCGGTCGTGTTGAATGGGGAACGGGGAATGGCTCTGGAGTCAATGCAGGGGAATCGGGCCTCATCTCGAGTTGATTTGGGGCACATGGAGCTGCTTTGCGTTGCTGGGGTGACCTCAGGGTCTGTCTAGACTGGTGACAGTGTTCTTGGGGACTGTCTCGAGATCCATTAAGCAAGTCGAAGCTCCTGACTTGTTTGAATGGGATCACGGAATAGCTCTGCATGCACTGCAGGGGAATGGGGCCTCATCTCGCCTCTAGGGGGAAGTCTCATGGTTTTTCTCGAGTTGCGGCGGGGACCTGGGGTATGTTCTCGACTTACGGCGGGGATGGCCCTTCAAAACACGAGTTTCTTCAGTGACGTCAGGACTCCTGTCTATTAACGAGGGACACCTCAGGAATCTCTTCGAGGCTTGGCAGGGCAAAAGGGACGCTTCTCGAGGTGAGGCAGGGCACCCAAGGACCCTTTCCAGTAGCCACAGGGATTTTGGTATTCCTATCAGTATTCAAGAGGAGTCAGGCATCGTCACCTTTTGAAGCAATGAACTCCGCGTGCCTCTCGAGGTGTCAGCGGGATGTGAGGCATTCCGTCAAAATGAGGCAGGGACCTAGGGCTTTCTCTAAGGTCTCCACAGGGGATTCAGACATCCCTTCATGTTGTGAGATGAAAGACGAGCCTGTATTCAAGCCACTGCAAGGAAATCCGGCGTCTTTTCAAGTTAGGGCTTCTCGCTGTATATTCCCCTTGAGGCAGCAAAATCGGGGTCCCTCCCACATACCTATTGCTGAGAGAAGCCTTCTCCTGAGGTGCTTCTGGGAAGTTGGCATACGTCTTGAGCCTAAGCCAGGAAATCAGCTCGCATCTCGAGACGATTTGGGGTACACGGAGCATTCCTCGAGTTGCTGTGCTGAAGTTGGTGTTCCTCTAGACTTGGGACAGTGTTCTCGGGGCATCTCTGGAGTTGCCTGAAGGAAGTCGAGCCACCGATCGTGTTGAATGGGGAACGGGGAATGTCTCTGGAGTCAATGCAGGGGAATCGGGCCTCATCTCGAGTTGATTTGGGGCACATGGAGCTTCTTTGCTTTGCTGGGGTGACCTCAGGGTCCGTCTAGACTGGTGACATTGTTCCTGGGGACTGTCTCGAGATCCATTAAGCAAGTCGAAGCTCCTGACTTGTTTGAATGGGATCACGGAATAGCTCTGCATGCACTGCAGGGGAATGGGGCCGCATCTCGCCTCTAGGGGGAAGTCTCATGGTTTTTCTCGAGTTGCGGCGGGGACCTGGGGTATGTTCTCGACTTACGGCGAGGATGGCCCTTCAAGACACGAGTTTCTTCAGTGACGTCAGGACTCCTGTCTAGTAACGAGGGACACCTCAGGAATCTCTTCGAGGCTTGGCAGGGCAAAAGGGACGCTTCTCGAGGTGAGGAAGGGCACCCAAGGACCCTTTCCAGTAGCCACAGGGATTTTGGAATTCCTATCAGTATTCAAGAGGAGTCAGGCATCGTCACCTTTTGAAGCAATGAACTCCGCGTGCCTCTCGAGGTGTCAGCGGGATGTGAGGCATTCCGTCAAAATGAGGCATGGACCTAGGGCTTTCTCTAAGGTCTCCATAGGGGATTCAGACATCCCTTCATGTTGTGAGATGAAAGACGAGCCTGTATTCAAGCCACTGCAAGGAAATCCGGCCTCCTTTCAAGTTAGGGCTTCTCGCTGTATATTCCCCTTGAGGCAGCAAACTCGGGGTCCCTCCCACATACCTATTGCTGAGAGAAGCCTCCTCCTGAGGTGCTTCTGGGAAGTTGGCATACGTCTTGAGCCTAAGCCAGGGAATCAGCTCTCATCTCGAGACGATTTGGGGTACACGGAGCATTCCTCGAGTTGCTGGGCTGAAGTTTGTGTTCCTCTAGACTTGGGACAGTGTTCTCGGGGCATCCCTGGAGTTGCCTGAAGGAATTCGAAGCACCGGTCGTGTTGAATGGGGAACGGGGAATGGCTCTGGAGTCAATGCAGGGGAATCGGGCCTCATCTCGAGTTGATTTGGGGCACATGGAGCTTCTTTGCGTTGCTGGGGTGACCTCAGGGTCCGTCTAGACTGGTGACAGTGTTCTTGGGGACTGTCTCGAGATCCATTAAGCAAGTCGAAGCTCCTGACTTGTTTGAATGGGATCACGGAATAGCTCTGCATGCACTGCAGGGGAATGGGGCCTCATCTCGCCTCTAGGGGGAAGTCTCATGGTTTTTCTCGAGTTGCGGCGGGGACCTGGGGTATGTTCTCGACTTACGGCGGGGATGGCCCTTCAAAACACGAGTTTCTTCAGGGACGTCAGGACTCCTGTCTAGTAACGAGGGACACCTCAGGAATCTCTTCGAGGCTTGGCAGGGCAAAAGGGACGCTTCTCGAGGTGAGGCAGGGCACCCAAGGACCCTTTCCAGTAGCCACAGGGATTTTGGGATTCCTATCAGTATTCAAGAGGAGTCAGGCATCGTCACCTTTTGAAGCAATGAACTCTGCGTGCCTCTCGAGGTGTCAGCGGGATGTGAGGCATTCCTTAAAAATGATGCTTGGACCTAGGGCTTTCTCTAAGATCTCCACAGGGGATTCAGACATCCCTTCATGTTGTGAGATGAAAGACGAGCCTGTATTTAAGCCACTGCAAGGAAATCTGGCCTCCTTTCAAGTTAGGGCTTCTCGCTGTATATTCCCCTTGAGGCAGCAAACTCGGGGTCCCTCCCACATACCTATTGCTGAGAGAAGCCTCCTCCTGAGGTGCTTCTGGGAAGTTGGCATACGTCTTCAGCCTAAGCCAGGGAATCAGCTCTCATCTCGAGACGATTTGGGGTACACGGAGCATTCCTCGAGTTGCTGTGCTGAAGTTGGTGTTCCTCTAGACTTGGGACAGTGTTCTCGGGGCATCTCTGGAGTTGCCTGAAGGAAGTCGAGCCACCGGTCGTGTTGAATGGGGACCGGGGAATGTCTCTGGAGTCAATGCAGGGGAATCGGGCCTCATCTCGAGTTGATTTGGGGCACATGGAGCTGCTTTGCGTTGCTGGGGTGACCTCAGGGTCCGTCTAGACTGGTGACAGTGTTCTTGGGGACTGTCTCGAGATCCATTAAGCAAGTCGAAGCTCCTGACTTGTTTGAATGGGATCACGGAATAGCTCTGCATGCACTGCAGGGGAATGGGGCCTCATCTCGCCTCTAGGGGGAAGTCTCATGGTTTTTCTCGAGTTGCGGCGGGGACCTGGGGTATGTTCTCGACTTACGGCGGGGATGGCCCTTCAAAACACGAGTTTCTTCAGGGACGTCAGGACTCCTGTCTAGTAACGAGGGACACCTCAGGAATCTCTTCGAGGCTTGGCAGGGCAAAAGGGACGCTTCTCGAGGTGAGGCAGGGCACCCAAGGACCCTTTCCAGTAGCCACAGGGATTTTGGGATTCCTATCAGTATTCAAGAGGAGTCAGGCATCGTCACCTTTTGAAGCAATGAACTCCGCGTGCCTCTCGAGGTGTCAGCGGGATGTGAGGCATTCCGTCAAAATGAGGCAAGGACCTAGGGCTTTCTCTAAGGTCTCCACAGGGGATTCAGACATCCCTTCATGTTGTGAGATGAAAGACGAGCCTGTATTCAAGCCACTGCAAGGAAATCCGGCCTCCTTTCAAGTTAGGGCTTCTCGCTGTATATTCCCCTTGAGGCAGCAAACTCGGGGTCCCTCCCACATACCTATTGCTGAGAGAAGCCTCCTCCTGAGGTGCTTCTGGGAAGTTGGCATACGTCTTGAGCCTAAGCCAGGGAATCAGCTCTCATCTCGAGACGATTTGGGGTACACGGAGCATTCCTCGAGTTGCTGTGCTGAAGTTGGTGTTCCTCTAGACTTGGGACAGTGTTCTCGGGGCATCTCTGGAGTTGCCTGAAGGAAGTCGAGCCACCGGTCGTGTTGAATGGGGAACGGGGAATGGCTCTGGAGTCAATGCAGGGGAATCGGGCCTCATCTCGAGTTGATTTGGGGCACATGGAGCTGCTTTGCGTTGCTGGGGTAACCTCAGGGTCCGTCTAGACTGGTGAAAGTGTTCTTGGGGACTGTCTCGAGATCCATTAAGCAAGTCGAAGCTCCTGACTTGTTTGAATGGGATCACGGAATAGCTCTGCATGCACTGCAGGGGAATGGGGCCTCATCTCGCCTCTAGGGGGAAGTCTCATGGTTTTTCTCGAGTTGCGGCGGGGACCTGGGGTATGTTCTCGACTTACGGCGGGGATGGCCCTTCAAAACACGAGTTTCTTCAGTGACGTCAGGACTCCTGTCTAGTAACGAGGGACACCTCAGGAATCTCTTCGAGGCTTGGCAGGGCAAAAGGGACGCTTCTCGAGGTGAGGCAGGGCACCCAAGGACCCTTTCCAGTAGCCACAGGGATTTTGGGATTCCTATCAGTATTCAAGAGGAGTCAGGCATCGTCACCTTTTGAAGCAATGAACTCCGCGTGCCTCTCGAGGTGTCAGCGGGATGTGAGGCATTCCGTCAAAATGAGGCAGGGACCTAGGGCTTTCTCTAACGTCTCCACAGGGGACTCAGACATCCCTTCATGTTGTGAGATGAAAGACGAGCCTGTATTCAAGCCACTGCAAGGAAATCCGGCCTCCTTTCAACTTAGGGCTTCTCGCTGTATATTCCCCTTGAGGCAGCAAACTCTTGGTCCCTCCCACATACCTATTGCTGAGAGAAGCCTCCTCCTGAGCTGCTTCTGGGAAGTTGGCATACGTCTTGAGCATAAGCCAGGGAATCAGCTCTCATCTCGAGACGATTTGGGGTACACGGAGCATTCCTCGAGTTGCTGTGCTGAAGTTGGTGTTCCTCTAGACTTGGGACAGTGTTCTCGGGGCATCTCTGGAGTTGCCTGAAGGAAGTCGAGCCACCGGTCGTGTTGAATGGGGAACGGGGAATGGCTCTGGAGTCAATGCAGGGGAATCGGGCCTCATCTCGAGTTGATTTGGGGCACATGGAGCTGCTTTGCGTTGCTGGGGTGACCTCAGGGTCCGTCTAGACTGGTGACAGTGTTCTTGGGGACTGTCTCGAGATCCATTAAGCAAGTCGAAGCTCCTGACTTGTTTGAATGGGATCACGGAATAGCTCTGCATGCACTGCAGGGGAATGGGGCCTCATCTCGCCTCTAGGGGGAAGTCTCATGGTTTTTCTCGAGTTGCGGCGGGGACCTGGGGTATGTTCTCGACTTACGGCGGGGATGGCCCTTCAAAACACGAGTTTCTTCAGGGACGTCAGGACTCCTGTCTAGTAACGAGGGACACCTCAGGAATCTCTTCGAGGCTTGGCAGGGCAAAAGGGACGCTTCTCGAGGTGAGGCAGGGCACCCAAGGACCCTTTCCAGTAGCCACAGGGATTTTGGGATTCCTATCAGTATTCAAGAGGAGTCAGGCATCGTCACCTTTTGAAGCAATGAACTCCGCGTGCCTCTCGAGGTGTCAGCGCGATGTGAGGCATTCCTTAAAAATGAGGCATGGACCTAGGGCTTTCTCTAAGATCTCCACAGGGGATTCAGACATCCCTTCATGTTGTGAGATGAAAGACGAGCCTGTATTCAAGCCACTGCAAGGAAATCCGGCCTCCTTTCAAGTTAGGGCTTCTCGCTGTATATTCCCCTTGAGGCAGCAAACTCGGGGTCCCTCCCACATACCTATTGCTGAGAGAAGCCTCCTCCTGTGGTGCTTCTGGGAAGTTGGCATACGTCTTCAGCCTAAGCCAGGGAATCAGCTCTCATCTCGAGACGATTTGGGGTACACGGAGCATTCCTCGAGTTGCTGTGCTGAAGTTGGTGTTCCTCTAGACTTGGGACAGTGTTCTCGGGGCATCTCTGGAGTTGCCTGAAGGAAGTCGAGCCACCGGTCGTGTTGAATGGGGAACGGGGAATGGCTCTGGAGTCAATGCAGGGGAATCGGGCCTCATCTCGAGTTGATTTGGGGCACATGGAGCTGCTCTGCGTTGCTGGGGTGACCTCAGGGTCTGTCTAGACTGGTGACAGTGTTCTTCGGGACTGTCTCGAGATCCATTAAGCAAGTCGAAGCTCCTGACTTGTTTGAATGGGATCACGGAATAGCTCTGCATGCACTGCAGGGGAATGGGGCCTCATCTCGCCTCTAGGGGGAAGTCTCATGGTTTTTCTCGAGTTGCGGCGGGGACCTGGGGTATGTTCTCGACTTACGGCGGGGATGGCCCTTCAAAACACGAGTTTCTTCAGGGACGTCAGGACTCCTGTCTAGTAACGAGGGACACCTCAGGAATCTCTTCGAGGCTTGGCAGGGCAAAAGGGACGCTTCTCGAGGTGAGGCAGGGCACCCAAGGACCCTTTCCAGTAGCCACAGGGATTTTGGGATTCCTATCAGTATTCAAGAGGAGTCAGGCATCGTCACCTTTTGAAGCAATGAACTCCGCGTGCCTCTCGAGGTGTCAGCGGGATGTGAGGCATTCCTTAAAAATGAGGCATGGACCTAGGGCTTTCTCTAAGATCTCCACAGGGGATTCAGACATCCCTTCATGGTGTGAGATGAAAGACGAGCCTGTATTCAAGCCACTGCAAGGAAATCCGGCCTCCTTTCAAGTTAGGGCTTCTCGCTGTATATTCCCCTTGAGGCAGCTAACTCGGGGTCCCTCCCACATACCTATTGCTGAGAGAAGCCTCCTCCTGTGGTGCTTCTGGGAAGTTGGCATACGTCTTCAGCCTAAGCCAGGGAATCAGCTCTCATCTCGAGACGATTTGGGGTACACGGAGCATTCCTCGAGTTGCTGTGCTGAAGTTGGTGTTCCTCTAGACTTGGGACAGTGTTCTCGGGGCATCTCTGGAGTTGCCTGAAGGAAGTCGAGCCACCGGTCGTGTTGAATGGGGAACGGGGAATGGCTCTGGAGGCAATGCAGGGGAATCGGGCCTCATCTCGAGTTGATTTGGGGCACATGGAGCTGCTCTGCGTTGCTGGGGTGACCTCAGGGTCCGTCTAGACTGGTGACAGTGTTCTTGGGGACTGTCTCGAGATCCATTAAGCAAGTCGAAGCTCCTGACTTGTTTGAATGGGATCACGGAATAGCTCTGCATGCACTGCAGGGGAATGGGGCCTCATCTCGCCTCTAGGGGGAAGTCTCATGGTTTTTCTCGAGTTGCGGCGGGGACCTGGGGTATGTTCTCGACTTACGGCGGGGATGGCCCTTCAAAACACGAGTTTCTTCAGTGACGTCAGGACTCCTGTCTAGTAACGAGGGACACCTCAGGAATCTCTTCGAGGCTTGGCAGGGCAAAAGGGACGCTTCTCGAGGTGAGGCAGGGCACCCAAGGACCCTTTCCAGTAGCCACAGGGATTTTGGGATTCCTATCAGTATTCAAGAGGAGTCAGGCATCGTCACTTTTTGAAGCAATGAACTCCGCGTGCCTCTCGAGGTGTCAGCGGGATGTGAGGCATTCCTTAAAAATGAGGCAGGGACCTAGGGCTTTCTCTAAGGTCTCCACAGGGGATTCAGACATCCCTTCATGTTGTGAGATGAAAGACGAGCCTGTATTCAAGCCACTGCAAGGAAATCCGGCCTCCTTTCAAGTTAGGGCTTCTCGCTGTATATTCCCCTTGAGGCAGCAAACTCTTGGTCCCTCCCACATACCTATTGCTGAGAGAAGCCTCCTCCTGAGCTGCTTCTGGGAAGTTGGCATACGTCTTGAGCCTAAGCCAGGGAATCAGCTCTCATCTCGAGACAATTTGGGGTACACGGAGCATTCCTCGAGTTGCTGTGCTGAAGTTGGTGTTCCTCTAGACTTGGGACAGTGTTCTCGGGGCATCTCTGGAGTTGCCTGAAGGAAGTCGAGCCACCGGTCGTGTTGAATGGGGAACGGGGAATGGCTCTGGAGTCAATGCAGGGGAATCGGGCCTCATCTCGAGTTGATTTGGGGCACATGGAGCTGCTTTGCGTTGCTGGGGTGACCTCAGGGTCCGTCTAGACTGGTGACAGTGTTCTTGGGGACTGTCTCGAGATCCATTAAGCAAGTCGCAGCTCCTGACTTGTTTGAATGGGATCACGGAATAGCTCTGCATGCACTGCAGGGGAATGGGGCCTCATCTCGCCTCTAGGGTGAAGTCTCATGGTTTTTCTCGAGTTGCGGCGGGGACCTGGGGTATGTTCTCGACTTACGGCGGGGATGGCCCTTCAAAACACGAGTTTCTTCAGGGACGTCAGGACTCCTGTCTAGTAACGAGGGACACCTCAGGAATCTCTTCGAGGCTTGGCAGGGCAAAAGGGACGCTTCTCGAGGTGAGGCAGGGCACCCAAGGACCCTTTCCAGTAGCCACAGGGATTTTGGGATTCCTATCAGTATTCAAGAGGAGTCAGGCATCGTCACCTTTTGAAGCAATGAACTCCGCGTGCCTCTCGAGGTGTCAGCGCGATGTGAGGCATTCCTTAAAAATGAGGCATGGACCTAGGGCTTTCTCTAAGATCTCCACAGGGGATTCAGACATCCCTTCATGTTGTGAGATGAAAGACGAGCCTGTATTCAAGCCACTGCAAGGAAATCCGGCCTCCTTTCAAGTTAGGGCTTCTCGCTGTATATTCCCCTTGAGGCAGCAAACTCGGGGTCCCTCCCACATACCTATTGCTGAGAGAAGCCTCCTCCTGTGGTGCTTCTGGGAAGTTGGCATAAGTCTTGAGCCTAAGCCAGGGAATCAGCTCTCATCTCGAGACGATTTGGGGTACACGGAGCATTCCTCGAGTTGCTGTGCTGAAGTTGGTGTTCCTCTAGACTTGGGACAGTGTTCTCGGGGCATCTCTGGAGTTGCCTGAAGGAAGTCGAGCCACCGGTCGTGTTGAATGGGGAACGGGGAATGGCTCTGGAGTCAATGCAGGGGAATCGGGCCTCATCTCGAGTTGATTTGGGGCACATGGAGCTGCTCTGCGTTGCTGGGGTGACCTCAGGGTCCGTCTAGACTGGTGACAGTGTTCTTGGGGACTGTCTCGAGATCCATTAAGCAAGTCGAAGCTCCTGACTTGTTTCAATGGGATCACGGAATAGCTCTGCATGCACTGCAGGGGAATGGGGCCTCATTTCGCCTCTAGGGGGAAGTCTCATGGTTTTTCTCGAGTTGCGGCGGGGACCTGGGGTATGTTCTCGACTTACGGCGGGGATGGCCCTTCAAAACACGAGTTTCTTCAGTGACGTCAGGACTCCTGTCTAGTAACGAGGGACACCTCAGGAATCTCTTCGAGGCTTGGCAGGGCAAAAGGGACGCTTCTCGAGGTGAGGCAGGGCACCCAAGGACCCTTTCCAGTAGCCACAGGGATTTTGGGATTCCTATCAGTATTCAAGAGGAGTCAGGCATCGTCACTTTTTGAAGCAATGAACTCCGCGTGCCTCTCGAGGTGTCAGCGGGATGTGAGGCATTCCTTAAAAATGAGGCAGGGACCTAGGGCTTTCTCTAAGGTCTCCACAGGGGATTCAGACAGCCCTTCATGTTGTGAGATGAAAGACGAGCCTGTATTCAAGCCACTGCAAGGAAATCCGGCCTCCTTTCAAGTTAGGGCTTCTCGCTGTATATTCCCCTTGAGGCAGCAAACTCGGGGTCCCTCCCACATACCTATTGCTGAGAGAAGCCTCCTCCTGAGGTGCTTCTGGGAAGTTGGCATACGTCTTGAGCCTAAGCCAGGGAATCAGCTCTCATCTCGAGACGATTTGGGGTACACGGAGCATTCCTCGAGTTGCTGTGCTGAAGTTGGTGTTCCTCTAGACTTGGGACAGTGTTCTCGGGGCATCTCTGGAGTTGCCTGAAGGAAGTCGAGCCACCGGTCGTGTTGAATGGGGAACGGGGAATGGCTCTGGAGTCAATGCAGGGGAATCGGGCCTCATCTCGAGTTGATTTGGGGCACATGGAGCTGCTTTGCGTTGCTGGGGTGACCTCAGGGTCCGTCTAGACTGGTGACAGTGTTCTTGGGGACTGTCTCGAGATCCATTAAGCAAGTCGAAGCTCCTGACTTGTTTGAATGGGATCACGGAATAGCTCTGCATGCACTGCAGGGGAATGGGGCCTCATCTCGCCTCTAGGGGGAAGTCTCATGGTTTTTCTCGAGTTGCGGCGGGGACCTGGTTTATGTTCTCGACTTACGGCGGGGATGGCCCTTCAAAACACGAGTTTCTTCAGTGACGTCAGGACTCCTGTCTAGTAACGAGGGACACCTCAGGAATCTCTTCGAGGCTTGGCAGGGCAAAAGGGACGCTTCTCGAGGTGAGGCAGGGCACCCAAGGACCCTTTCCAGTAGCCACAGGGATTTTGGGATTCCTATCAGTATTCAAGAGGAGTCAGGCATCGTCACCTTTTGAAGCAATGAACTCCGCGTGCCTCTCGAGGTGTCAGCGGGATGTGAGGCATTCCGTCAAAATGAGGCAAGGACCTAGGGCTTTCTCTAAGGTCTCCACAGGGGATTCAGACATCCCTTCATGTTGTGAGATGAAAGACGAGCCTGTATTCAAGCCACTGCAAGGAAATCCGGCCTCCTTTCAAGTTAGGGCTTCTCGCTGTATATTCCCCTTGAGGCAGCAAACTCGGGGTCCCTCCCACATACCTATTGCTGAGAGAAGCCTCCTCCTGAGGTGCTTCTGGGAAGTTGGCATACGTCTAGAGCCTAAGCCAGGGAATCAGCTCTCATCTCGAGACGATTTGGGGTACACGGAGCATTCCTCGAGTTGCTGTGCTGAAGGTGGTGTTCCTCTAGACTTGGGACAGTGTTCTCGGGGCATCCCTGGAGTTGCCTGAAGGAAGTCGAGCCACCGGTCGTGTTGAATGGGGAACGGGGAATGGCTCTGGAGTCAATGCAGGGGAATCGGGCCTCATCTCGAGTTGATTTGGGGCACATGGAGCTTCTTTGCGTTGCTGGGGTGACCTCAGGGTCCGTCTAGACTGGTGACAGTGTTCTTGGGGACTGTCTCGAGATCCATTAAGCAAGTCGAAGCTCCTGACTTGTTTGAATGGGATCACGGAATAGCTCTGCATGCACTGCAGGGGAATGGGGCCTCATCTCGCCTCTAGGGGGAAGTCTCATGGTTTTTCTCGAGTTGCGGCGGGGACCTGGGGTATGTTCTCGACTTACGGCGGGGATGGCCCTTCAATACACGAGTTTCTTCAGTGACGTCAGGACTCCTGTCTATTAACGAGGGACACCTCAGGAATCTCTTCGAGGCTTGGCAGGGCAAAAGGGACGCTTCTCGAGGTGAGGCAGGGCACCCAAGGACCCTTTCCAGTAGCCACAGGGATTTTGGGATTCCTATCAGTATTCAAGAGGAGTCAGGCATCGTCACCTTTTGAAGCAATGAACTAAGCGTGCCTCTCGAGGTGTCAGCGGGATGTGAGGCTTTCCGTCAAAATGAGGCAGGGACCTAGGGCTTTCTCTAAGATCTCCACAGGGGATTCAGACATCCCTTCATGTTGTGAGATGAAAGACCAGCCTGTATTCAAGCCACTGCAAGGAAATCCGGCCTCCTTTCAAGTTAGGGCTTCTCGCTGTATATTCCCCTTGAGGCAGCAAACTCGGGGTCCCTCCCACATACCTATTGCTGAGAGAAGCCTCCTCCTGAGGTGCTTCTGGGAAGTTGGCATACGTCTTGAGCCTAAGCCAGGGAATCAGCTCTCATCTCGAGACGATTTGGGGTACACGGAGCATTCCTCGAGTTGCTGTGCTGAAGTTGGTGTTCCTCTAGACTTGGGACAGTGTTCTCGGGGCATCTCTGGAGTTGCCTGAAGGAAGTCGAGCCACCGGTCGTGTTGAATGGGGAACGGGGAATGGCTCTGGAGTCAATGCAGGGGAATCGGGCCTCATCTCGAGTTGATTTGGGGCACATGGAGCTGCTTTGCGTTGCTGGGGTGACCTCAGGGTCCGTCTAGACTGGTGACAGTGTTCTTGGGGACTGTCTCGAGATCCATTAAGCAAGTCGAAGCTCCTGACTTGTTTGAATGGGATCACGGAATAGCTCTGCATGCACTGCAGGGGAATGGGGCCTCATCTCGCCTCTAGGGGGAAGTCTCATGGTTTTTCTCGAGTTGCGGCGGGGACCTGGTTTATGTTCTCGACTTACGGCGGGGATGGCCCTTCAAAACACGAGTTTCTTCAGTGACGTCAGGACTCCTGTCTAGTAACGAGGGACACCTCAGGAATCTCTTCGAGGCTTGGCAGGGCAAAAGGGACGCTTCTCGAGGTGAGGCAGGGCACCCAAGGACCCTTTCCAGTAGCCACAGGGATTTTGGGATTCCTATCAGTATTCAAGAGGAGTCAGGCATCGTCACCTTTTGAAGCAATGAACTCCGCGTGCCTCTCGAGGTGTCAGCGGGATGTGAGGCATTCCGTCAAAATGAGGCAAGGACCTAGGGCTTTCTCTAAGGTCTCCACAGGGGATTCAGACATCCCTTCATGTTGTGAGATGAAAGACGAGCCTGTATTCAAGCCACTGCAAGGAAATCCGGCCTCCTTTCAAGTTAGGGCTTCTCGCTGTATATTCCCCTTGAGGCAGCAAACTCGGGGTCCCTCCCACATACCTATTGCTGAGAGAAGCCTCCTCCTGAGGTGCTTCTGGGAAGTTGGCATACGTCTTGAGCCTAAGCCAGGGAATCAGCTCTCATCTCGAGACGATTTGGGGTACACGGAGCATTCCTCGAGTTGCTGTGCTGAAGTTGGTGTTCCTCTAGACTTCGGAGAGTGTTCTCGGGGCATCTCTGGAGTTGTCTGAAGGAAGTCGAGCCACCGGTCGTGTTGAATGGGGAACGGGGAATGGCTCTGGAGTCAATGCAGGGGAATCGGGCCTCATCTCGAGTTGATTTGGGGCACATGGAGCTGCTTTGCGTTGCTGGGGTGACCTCAGGGTCCGTCTAGACTGGTGACAGTGTTCTTGGGGACTGTCTCGAGATCCATTAAGCAAGTCGAAGCTCCTGACTTGTTTGAATGGGATCACGGAATAGCTCTGCATGCACTGCAGGGGAATGGGGCCTCATCTCGCCTCTAGGGGGAAGTCTCATGGTTTTTCTCGAGTTGCGGCGGGGACCTGGGGTATGTTCTCGACTTACGGCGGGGATGGCCCTTCAAAACACGAGTTTCTTCAGTGACGTCAGGACTCCTGTCTAGTAACGAGGGACACCTCAGGAATCTCTTCGAGGCTTGGCAGGGCAAAAGGGACGCTTCTCGAGGTGAGGCAGGGCACCCAAGGACCCTTTCCAGTAGCCACAGGGATTTTGGGATTCCTATCAGTATTCAAGAGGAGTCAGGCATCGTCACCTTTTGAAGCAATGAACTCCGCGTGCCTCTCGAGGTGTCAGCGGGATGTGAGGCATTCCGTCAAAATGAGGCAGGGACCTAGGGCTTTCTCTAAGGTCTCCACAGGGGATTCAGACATCCCTTCATGTTGTGAGATGAAAGACGAGCCTGTATTCAAGCCACTGCAAGGAAATCCGGCCTCCTTTCAAGTTAGGGCTTCTCGCTGTATATTCCCCTTGAGGCAGCAAACTCGGGGTCCCTCCCACATACCTATTGCTGAGAGAAGCCTCCTCCTGAGGTGCTTCTGGGAAGTTGGCATACGTCTAGAGCCTAAGCCAGGGAATCAGCTCTCATCTCGAGACGATTTGGGGTACACGGAGCATTCCTCGAGTTGCTGTGCTGAAGGTGGTGTTCCTCTAGACTTGGGACAGTGTTCTCGGGGCATCCCTGGAGTTGCCTGAAGGAAGTCGAGCCACCGGTCGTGTTGAATGGGGAACGGGGAATGGCTCTGGAGTCAATGCAGGGGAATCGGGCCTCATCTCGAGTTGATTTGGGGCACATGGAGCTTCTTTGCGTTGCTGGGGTGACCTCAGGGTCCGTCTAGACTGGTGACAGTGTTCTTGGGGACTGTCTCGAGATCCATTAAGCAAGTCGAAGCTCCTGACTTGTTTGAATGGGATCACGGAATAGCTCTGCATGCACTGCAGGGGAATGGGGCCTCATCTCGCCTCTAGGGGGAAGTCTCATGGTTTTTCTCGAGTTGCGGCGGGGACCTGGGGTATGTTCTCGACTTACGGCGGGGATGGCCCTTCAATACACGAGTTTCTTCAGTGACGTCAGGACTCCTGTCTATTAACGAGGGACACCTCAGGAATCTCTTCGAGGCTTGGCAGGGCAAAAGGGACGCTTCTCGAGGTGAGGCAGGGCACCCAAGGACCCTTTCCAGTAGCCACAGGGATTTTGGGATTCCTATCAGTATTCAAGAGGAGTCAGGCATCGTCACCTTTTGAAGCAATGAACTAAGCGTGCCTCTCGAGGTGTCAGCGGGATGTGAGGCTTTCCGTCAAAATGAGGCAGGGACCTAGGGCTTTCTCTAAGATCTCCACAGGGGATTCAGACATCCCTTCATGTTGTGAGATGAAAGACCAGCCTGTATTCAAGCCACTGCAAGGAAATCCGGCCTCCTTTCAAGTTAGGGCTTCTCGCTGTATATTCCCCTTGAGGCAGCAAACTCGGGGTCCCTCCCACATACCTATTGCTGAGAGAAGCCTCCTCCTGAGGTGCTTCTGGGAAGTTGGCATACGTCTTGAGCCTAAGCCAGGGAATCAGCTCTCATCTCGAGACGATTTGGGGTACACGGAGCATTCCTCGAGTTGCTGTGCTGAAGTTGGTGTTCCTCTAGACTTGGGACAGTGTTCTCGGGGCATCTCTGGAGTTGCCTGAAGGAAGTCGAGCCACCGGTCGTGTTGAATGGGGAACGGGGAATGGCTCTGGAGTCAATGCAGGGGAATCGGGCCTCATCTCGAGTTGATTTGGGGCACATGGAGCTGCTTTGCGTTGCTGGGGTGACCTCAGGGTCCGTCTAGACTGGTGACAGTGTTCTTGGGGACTGTCTCGAGATCCATTAAGCAAGTCGAAGCTCCTGACTTGTTTGAATGGGATCACGGAATAGCTCTGCATGCACTGCAGGGGAATGGGGCCTCATCTCGCCTCTAGGGGGAAGTCTCATGGTTTTTCTCGAGTTGCGGCGGGGACCTGGGGTATGTTCTCGACTTACGGCGGGGATGGCCCTTCAAAACACGAGTTTCTTCAGGGACGTCAGGACTCCTGTCTAGTAACGAGGGACACCTCAGGAATCTCTTCGAGGCTTGGCAGGGCAAAAGGGACGCTTCTCGAGGTGAGGCAGGGCACCCAAGGACCCTTTCCAGTAGCCACAGGGATTTTGGGATTCCTATCAGTATTCAAGAGGAGTCAGGCATCGTCACCTTTTGAAGCAATGAACTCCGCGTGCCTCTCGAGGTGTCAGCGGGATGTGAGGCATTCCTTAAAAATGAGGCATGGACCTAGGGCTTTCTCTAAGATCTCCACAGTGGATTCAGACATCCCTTCATGTTGTGAGATGAAAGACGAGCCTGTATTCAAGCCACTGCAAGGAAATCCGGCCTCCTTTCAAGTTAGGGCTTCTCGCTGTATATTCCCCTTGAGGCAGCAAACTCGGGGTCCCTCCCACATACCTATTGCTGAGAGAAGCCTCCTCCTGTGGTGCTTCTGGGAAGTTGGCATACGTCTTGAGCCTAAGCCAGGGAATCAGCTCTCATCTCGAGACGATTTGGGGTACACGGAGCATTCCTCGAGTTGCTGTGCTGAAGTTGGTGTTCCTCTAGACTTGGGACAGTGTTCTCGGGGCATCTCTGGAGTTGCCTGAAGGAAGTCGAGCCACCGGTCGTGTTGAATGGGGAACGGGGAATGGCTCTGGAGTCAATGCAGGGGAATCGGGCCTCATCTCGAGTTGATTTGGGGCACATGGAGCTGCTCTGCGTTGCTGGGGTGACCTCAGGGTCCGTCTAGACTGGTGACAGTGTTCTTGGGGACTGTCTCGAGATCCATTAAGCAAGTCGAAGCTCCTGACTTGTTTGAATGGGATCACGGAATAGCTCTGCATGCACTGCAGGGGAATGGGGCCTCATCTCGCCTCTAGGGGGAAGTCTCATGGTTTTTCTCGAGTTGCGGCGGGGACCTGGGGTATGTTCTCGACTTACGGCGGGGATGGCCCTTCAAAACACGAGTTTCTTCAGTGACGTCAGGACTCCTGTCTAGTAACGAGGGACACCTCAGGAATCTCTTCGAGGCTTGGCAGGGCAAAAGGGACGCTTCTCGAGGTGAGGCAGGGCACCCAAGGACCCTTTCCAGTAGCCACAGGGATTTTGGGATTCCTATCAGTATTCAAGAGGAGTCAGGCATCGTCACTTTTTGAAGCAATGAACTCCGCGTGCCTCTCGAGGTGTCAGCGGGATGTGAGGCATTCCTTAAAAATGAGGCAGGGACCGAGGGCTTTCTCTAAGGTCTCCACAGGGGATTCAGACATCCCTTCATGTTGTGAGATGAAAGACGAGCCTGTATTCAAGCCACTGCAAGGAAATCCGGCCTCCTTTCAAGTTAGGGCTTCTCGCTGTATATTCCCCTTGAGGCAGCAACCTCGGGGTCCCTCCCACATACCTATTGCTGAGAGAAGCCTCCTCCTGAGGTGCTTCTGGGAAGTTGGCATACGTCTTGAGCCTAAGCCAGGGAATCAGCTCTCATCTCGAGACGATTTGGGGTACACGGAGCATTCCTCGAGTTGCTGTGCTGAAGTTGGTGTTCCTCTAGACTTGGGACAGTGTTCTCGGGGCATCCCTGGAGTTGCCTGAAGGAAGTCGAGCCACCGGTCGTGTTGAATGGGGAACGGGGAATGGCTCTGGAGTCAATGCAGGGGAATCGGGCCTCATCTCAAGTTGATTTGGGGCACATGGAGCTTCTTTGCGTTGCTGGGGTGACCTCAGGGTCCGTCTAGACTGGTGACAGTGTTCTTGGGGACTGTCTCGAGATCCATTAAGCAAGTCGAAGCTCCTGACTTGTTTGAATGGGATCACGGAATAGCTCTGCATGCACTGCAGGGGAATGGGGCGTCATCTCGCCTCTAGGGGGAAGTCTCATGGTTTTTCTCGAGTTGCGGCGGGGACCTGGGGTATGTTCTCGACTTACGGCGGGGATGGCCCTTCAAAACACGAGTTTCTTCAGTGACGTCAGGACTCCTGTCTAGTAACGAGGGACACCTCAGGAATCTCTTCGAGGCTTGGCAGGGCAAAAGGGACGCTTCTCGAGGTGAGGCAGGGCACCCAAGGACCCTTTCCAGTAGCCACAGGGATTTTGGGATTCCTATCAGTATTCAAGAGGAGTCAGGCATCGTCACCTTTTGAAGCAATGAACTCCGCGTGCCTCTCGAGTTGTCAGCGGGATGTGAGGCATTCCGTCAAAATGAGGCAAGGACCTAGGGCTTTCTCTAAGGTCTCCACAGGGGATTCAGACATCCCTTCATGTTGTGAGATGAAAGACGAGCCTGTATTCAAGCCACTGCAAGGAATTCCGGCCTCCTTTCAAGTTAGGGCTTCTCGCTGTATATTCCCCTTGAGGCAGCAAACTCGGGGTCCCTCCCACATACCTATTGCTGAGAGAAGCCTCCTCCTGAGGTGCTTCTGGGAAGTTGGCATACGTCTTGAGCCTAAGCCAGGGAATCATCTCTCATCTCGAGACGATTTGGGGTACACGGAGCATTCCTCGAGTTGCTGTGCTGAAGTTGGTGTTCCTCTAGACTTCGGACAGTGTTCTCGGGGCATCTCTGGAGTTGTCTGAAGGAAGTCGAGCCACCGGTCGTGTTGAATGGGGAACGGGGAATGGCTCTGGAGTCAATGCAGGGGAATCGGGCCTCATCTCGAGTTGATTTGGGGCACATGGAGCTGCTTTGCGTTGCTGGGGTGACCTCAGGGTCCGTCTAGACTGGTGACAGTGTTCTTGGGGACTGTCTCGAGATCCATTAAGCAAGTCGAAGCTCCTGACTTGTTTGAATGGGATCACGGAATAACTCTGCATGCACTGCAGGGGAATGGGGCCTCATCTCGCCTCTAGGGGGAAGTCTCATGGTTTTTCTCGAGTTGCGGCGGGGACCTGGGGTATGTTCTCGACTTACGGCGGGGATGGCCCTTCAAAACACGAGTTTCTTCAGTGACGTCAGGACTCCTGTCTAGTAACGAGGGACACCTCAGGAATCTCTTCGAGGCTTGGCAGGGCAAAAGGGACGCTTCTCGAGGTGAGGCAGGGCACCCAAGGACCCTTTCCAGTAGCCACAGGGATTTTGGGATTCCTATCAGTATTCAAGAGGAGTCAGGCATCGTCACCTTTTGAAGCAATGAACTCCGCGTGCCTCTCGAGGTGTCAGCGGGATGTGCGGCATTCCGTCAAAATGAGGCAGGGACCTAGGGCTTTCTCTAACGTCTCCACAGGGGATTCAGACATCCCTTCATGTTGTGAGATGAAAGACGAGCCTGTATTCAAGCCACTGCAAGGAAATCCGGCCTCCTTTCAAGTTAGGGCTTCTCGCTGTATATTCCCCTTGAGGCAGCAAACTCGGGGTCCCTCCCACATACCTATTGCTGAGAGAAGCCTCCTCCTGAGGTGCTTCTGGGAAGTTGGCATACGTCTTGAGCCTAAGCCAGGGAATCAGCTCTCATCTCGAGACGATTTGGGGTACACGGAGCATTCCTCGAGTTGCTGTGCTGAAGGTGGTGTTCCTCTAGACTTGGGACAGTGTTCTCGGGGCATCCCTGGAGTTGCCTGAAGGAAGTCGAGCCACCGGTCGTGTTGAATGGGGAACGGGGAATGGCTCTGGAGTCAATGCAGGGGAATCGGGCCTCATCTCGAGTTGATTTGGGGCACATGGAGCTTCTTTGCGTTGCTGGGGTGACCTCAGGGTCCGTCTAGACTGGTGACAGTGTTCTTGGGGACTGTCTCGAGATCCATTAAGCAAGTCGAAGCTCCTGACTTGTTTGAATGGGATCACGGAATAGCTCTGCATGCACTGCAGGGGAATGGGGCCTCATCTCGCCTCTAGGGGGAAGTCTCATGGTTTTTCTCGAGTTGCGGCGGGGACCTGGGGTATGTTCTCGACTTACGGCGGGGATGGCCCTTCAATACACGAGTTTCTTCAGTGACGTCAGGACTCCTGTCTATTAACGAGGGACACCTCAGGAATCTCTTCGAGGCTTGGCAGGGCAAAAGGGACGCTTCTCGAGGTGAGGCAGGGCACCCAAGGACCCTTTCCAGTAGCCACAGGGATTTTGGGATTCCTATCAGTATTCAAGAGGAGTCAGGCATCGTCACCTTTTGAAGCAATGAACTAAGCGTGCCTCTCGAAGTGTCAGCGGGATGTGAGGCTTTCCGTCAAAATGAGGCAGGGACCTAGGGCTTTCTCTAAGATCTCCACAGGGGATTCAGACATCCCTTCATGTTGTGAGATGAAAGACGAGCCTGTATTCAAGCCACTGCAAGGAAATCCGGCCTCCTTTCAAGTTAGGGCTTCTCGCTGTATATTCCCCTTGAGGCAGCAAACTCGGGGTCCCTCCCACATACCTATTCCTGAGAGAAGCCTCCTCCTGAGGTGCTTCTGGGAAGTTGGCATACGTCTTGAGCCTAAGCCAGGGAATCAGCTCTCATCTCGAGACGATTTGGGGTACACGGAGCATTCCTCGAGTTGCTGTGCTGAAGTTGGTGTTCCTCTAGACTTGGGACAGTGTTCTCGGGGCATCTCTGGAGTTGCCTGAAGGAAGTCGAGCCACCGGTCGTGTTGAATGGGGAACGGGGAATGGCTCTGGAGTCAATGCAGGGGAATCGGGCCTCATCTCGAGTTGATTTGGGGCACATGGAGCTGCTTTGCGTTGCTGGGGTGACCTCAGGGTCCGTCTAGACTGGTGACAGTGTTCTTGGGGACTGTCTCGAGATCCATTAAGCAAGTCGAAGCTCCTGACTTGTTTGAATGGGATCACGGAATAGCTCTGCATGCACTGCAGGGGAATGGGGCCTCATCTCGCCTCTAGGGGGAAGTCTCATGGTTTTTCTCGAGTTGCGGCGGGGACCTGGGGTATGTTCTCGACTTACGGCGGGGATGGCCCTTCAAAACACGAGTTTCTTCAGGGACATCAGGACTCCTGTCTAGTAACGAGGGACACCTCAGGAATCTCTTCGAGGCTTGGCAGGGCAAAAGGGACGCTTCTCGAGGTGAGGCAGGGCACCCAAGGACCCTTTCCAGTAGCCACAGGGATTTTGGGATTCCTATCAGTATTCAAGAGGAGTCAGGCATCGTCACCTTTTGAAGCAATGAACTCCGCGTGCCTCTCGAGGTGTCAGCGGGATGTGAGGCATTCCTTAAAAATGAGGCATGGACCTAGGGCTTTCTCTAAGATCTCCACAGTGGATTCAGACATCCCTTCATGTTGTGAGATGAAAGACGAGCCTGTATTCAAGCCACTGCAAGGAAATCCGGCCTCCTTTCAAGTTAGGGCTTCTCGCTGTATATTCCCCTTGAGGCAGCAAACTCGGGGTCCCTCCCACATACCTATTGCTGAGAGAAGCCTCCTCCTGTGGTGCTTCTGGGAAGTTGGCATACATCTTGAGCCTAAGCCAGGGAATCAGCTCTCATCTCGAGACGATTTGGGGTACACGGAGCATTCCTCGAGTTGCTGTGCTGAAGTTGGTGTTCCTCTAGACTTGGGACAGTGTTCTCGGGGCCTCTCTGGAGTTGCCTGAAGGAAGTCGAGCCACCGGTCGTGTTGAATGGGGAACGGGGAATGGCTCTGGAGTCAATGCAGGGGAATCGGGCCTCATCTCGAGTTGATTTGGGGCACATGGAGCTGCTCTGCGTTGCTGGGGTGACCTCAGGGTCCGTCTAGACTGGTGACAGTGTTCTTGGGGACTGTCTCGAGATCCATTAAGCAAGTCGAAGCTCCTGACTTGTTTGAATGGGATCACGGAATAGCTCTGCATGCACTGCAGGGGAATGGGGCCTCATCTCGCCTCTAGGGGGAAGTCTCATGGTTTTTCTCGAGTTGCGGCGGGGACCTGGGGTATGTTCTCGACTTACGGCGGGGATGGCCCTTCAAAACACGAGTTTCTTCAGTGACGTCAGGACTCCTGTCTAGTAACGAGGGACACCTCAGGAATCTCTTCGAGGCTTGGCAGGGCAAAAGGGACGCTTCTCGAGGTGAGGCAGGGCACCCAAGGACCCTTTCCAGTAGCCACAGGGATTTTGGGATTCCTATCAGTATTCAAGAGGAGTCAGGCATCGTCACTTTTTGAAGCAATGAACTCCGCGTGCCTCTCGAGGTGTCAGCGGGATGTGAGGCATTCCTTAAAAATGAGGCAGGGACCTAGGGCTTTCTCTAAGGTCTCCACAGGGGATTCAGACATCCCTTCATGTTGTGAGATGAAAGACGAGCCTGTATTCAAGCCACTGCAAGGAAATCCGGCCTCCTTTCAAGTTAGGGCTTCTCGCTGTATATTCCCCTTGAGGCAGCAACCTCGGGGTCCCTCCCACATACCTATTGCTGAGAGAAGCCTCCTCCTGAGGTGCTTCTGGGAAGTTGGCATACGTCTTGAGCCTAAGCCAGGGAATCAGCTCTCATCTCGAGACGATTTGGGGTACACGGAGCATTCCTCGAGTTGCTGTGCTGAAGTTGGTGTTCCTCTAGACTTGGGACAGTGTTCTCGGGGCATCCCTGGAGTTGCCTGAAGGAAGTCGAGCCACCGGTCGTGTTGAATGGGGAACGGGGAATGGCTCTGGAGTCAATGCAGGGGAATCGGGCCTCATCTCAAGTTGATTTGGGGCACATGGAGCTTCTTTGCGTTGCTGGGGTGACCTCAGGGTCCGTCTAGACTGGTGACAGTGTTCTTGGGGACTGTCTCGAGATCCATTAAGCAAGTCGAAGCTCCTGACTTGTTTGAATGGGATCACGGAATAGCTCTGCATGCACTGCAGGGGAATGGGGCGTCATCTCGCCTCTAGGGGGAAGTCTCATGGTTTTTCTCGAGTTGTGGCGGGGACCTGGGGTATGTTCTCGACTTACGGCGGGGATGGCCCTTCAAAACACGAGTTTCTTCAGTGACGTCAGGACTCCTGTCTAGTAACGAGGGACACCTCAGGAATCTCTTCGAGGCTTGGCAGGGCAAAAGGGACGCTTCTCGAGGTGAGGCAGGGCACCCAAGGACCCTTTCCAGTAGCCACAGGGATTTTGGGATTCCTATCAGTATTCAAGAGGAGTCAGGCATCGTCACCTTTTGAAGCAATGAACTCCGCGTGCCTCTCGAGGTGTCAGCGGGATGTGAGGCATTCCATCAAAATGAGGCAGGGACCTAGGGCTTTCTCTAAGGTCTCCACAGGGGATTCAGACATCCCTTCATGTTGTGAGATGAAAGACGAGCCTGTATTCAAGCCACTGCAAGGAAATCCGGCCTCCTTTCAAGTTAGGGCTTCTCGCTGTATATTCCCCTTGAGGCAGCAACCTCGGGGTCCCTCCCACATACCTATTGCTGAGAGAAGCCTCCTCCTGAGGTGCTTCTGGGAAGTTGGCATACGTCTTGAGCCTAAGCCAGGGAATCAGCTCTCATCTCGAGACGATTTGGGGTACACGGAGCATTCCTCGAGTTGCTGTGCTGAAGTTGGTGTTCCTCTAGACTTGGGACAGTGTTCTCGGGGCATCCCTGGAGTTGCCTGAAGGAAGTCGAGCCACCGGTCGTGTTGAATGGGGAACGGGGAATGGCTCTGGAGTCAATGCAGGGGAATCGGGCCTCATCTCCAGTTGATTTGGGGCACATGGAGCTTCTTTGCTTTGCTGGGGTGACCTCAGGGTCCGTCTAGACTGGTGACAGTGTTCTTGGGGACTGTCTCGAGATCCATTAAGCAAGTCGAAGCTCCTGACTTGTTTGAATGGGATCACGGAATAGCTCTGCATGCACTGCAGGGGAATGGGGCGTCATCTCGCCTCTAGGGGGAAGTCTCATGGTTTTTCTCGAGTTGCGGCGGGGACCTGGGGTATGTTCTCGACTTACGGCGGGGATGGCCCTTCAAAACACGAGTTTCTTCAGTGACGTCAGGACTCCTGTCTAGTAACGAGGGACACCTCAGGAATCTCTTCGAGGCTTGGCAGGGCAAAAGGGACGCTTCTCGAGGTGAGGCAGGGCACCCAAGGACCCTTTCCAGTAGCCACAGGGATTTTGGGATTCCTATCAGTATTCAAGAGGAGTCAGGCATCGTCACCTTTTGAAGCAATGAACTCCGCGTGCCTCTCGAGGTGTCAGCGGGATGTGAGGCATTCCATCAAAATGAGGCAGGGACCTAGGGCTTTCTCTAAGGTCTCCACAGGGGATTCAGACATCCCTTCATGTTGTGAGATGAAAGACGAGCCTGTATTCAAGCCACTGCAAGGAAATCCGGCCTCCTTTCAAGTTAGGGATTCTCGCTGTATATTCCCCTTGAGGCAGCAACTTCGGGGTCCCTCCCACATACCTATTGCTGAGAGAAGCCTCCTCCTGAGGTGCTTCTGGGAAGTTGGCATACGTCTTGAGCCTAAGCCAGGGAATCAGCTCTCATCTCGAGACGATTTGGGGTACACGGAGCATTCCTCGAGTTGCTGTGCTGAAGTTGGTGTTCCTCTAGACTTGGGACAGTGTTCTCGGGGCATCCCTGGAGTTGCCTGAAGGAAGTCGAGCCACCGGTCGTGTTGAATGGGGAACGGGGAATGGCTCAGGGGTCAATGCAGGGGAATCGGGCCTCATCTCAAGTTGATTTGGGGCACATGGAGCTTCTTTGCGTTGCTGGGGTGACCTCAGGGTCCGTCTAGACTGGTGACAGTGTTCTTGGGGACTGTCTCGAGATCCATTAAGCAAGTCGAAGCTCCTGACTTGTTTGAATGGGATCACGGAATAGCTCTGCATGCACTGCAGGGGAATGGGGCCTCATCTCGCCTCTAGGGGGAAGTCTCATGGTTTTTCTCGAGTTGCGGCGGGGACCTGGGGTATGTTCTCGACTTACGGCGGGGATGGCCCTTCAAAACACGAGTTTCTTCAGTGACGTCAGGACTCCTGTCTAGTAACGAGGGACACCTCAGGAATCTCTTCGAGGCTTGGCAGGGCAAAAGGGACGCTTCTCGAGGTGAGGCAGGGCACCCAAGGACCCTTTCCAGTAGCCACAGGGATTTTGGGATTCCTATCAGTATTCAAGAGGAGTCAGGCATCGTCACCTTTTGAAGCAATGAACTCCGCGTGCCTCTCGAGGTGTCAGCGGGATGTGAGGCATTCCATCAAAATGAGGCAGGGACCTAGGGCTTTCTCTAAGGTCTCCACAGGGGATTCAGACATCCCTTCATGTTGTGAGATGAAAGACGAGCCTGTATTCAAGCCACTGCAAGGAAATCCGGCCTCCTTTCAAGTTAGGGCTTCTCGCTGTATATTCCCCTTGAGGCAGCAACCTCGGGGTCCCTCCCACATACCTATTGCTGAGAGAAGCCTCCTCCTGAGGTGCTTCTGGGAAGTTGACATACGTCTTGAGCCTAAGCCAGGGAATCAGCTCTCATCTCGAGACGATTTGGGGTACACGGAGCATTCCTCGAGTTGCTGTGCTGAAGTTGGTGTTCCTCTAGACTTGGGACAGTGTTCTCGGGGCATCTCTGGAGTTGCCTGAAGGAAGTCGAGCCACCGGTCGTGTTGAATGGGGAACGGGGAATGGCTCTGGAGTCAATGCAGGGGAATCGGGCCTCATTTCGAGTTGATTTTGGGCACATGGAGCTGCTCTGCGTTGATGGAGTGACCTCAGGGTCCGTCTAGACTGGTGACAGTGTTCTTGGGGACTGTCTCGAGATCCATTAAGCAAGTCGAAGCTCCTGACTTGTTTGAATGGGATCACGGAATAGCTCTGCATGCACTGCAGGGGAATGGGGCCTCATCTCGCCTCTAGGGGGAAGTCTCATGGTTTTTCTCGAGTTGCGGCGGGGACCTGGGGTATGTTCTCGACTTACGGCGGGGATGGCCCTTCAAAACACGAGTTTCTTCAGTGACGTCAGGACTCCTGTCTAGTAACGAGGGACACCTCAGGAATCTCTTCGAGGTTTGGCAGGGCAAAAGGGACGCTTCTCGAGGTGAGGCAGGGCACCCAAGGACCCTTTCCAGTAGCCACAGGGATTTTGGGATTCCTATCAGTATTCAAGAGGAGTCAGGCATCGTCACCTTTTGAAGCAATGAACTCCGCGTGCCTCTCGAGGTGTCAGCGGGATGTGAGGCATTCCGTCAAAATGAGGCAGGGACCTAGGGCTTTCTCTAAGGTCTCCACAGGGGATTCAGACATCCCTTCATGTTGTGAGATGAAAGACGAGCCTGTATTCAAGCCACTGCAAGGAAATCCGGCCTCCTTTCAAGTTAGGGCTTCTCGCTGTATATTCCCCTTGAGGCAGCAAACTCGGGGTCCCTCCCACATACCTATTGCTGAGAGAAGCCTCCTCCTGAGGTGCTTCTGGGAAGTTGGCATACGTCTTCAGCCTAAGCCAGGGAATCAGCTCTCATCTCGAGACGATTTGGGGTACACGGAGCATTCCTCGAGTTGCTGTGCTGAAGTTGGTGTTCCTCTAGACTTGGGACAGTGTTCTCGGGGCATCTCTGGAGTTGCCTGAAGGAAGTCGAGCCACCGGTCGTGTTGAATGGGGAACGGGGAATGGCTCTGGAGTCAATGCAGGGGAATCGGGCCTCATCTCGAGTTGATTTGGGGCACATGGAGCTGCTTTGCGTTGCTGGTTTGACCTCAGGGTCCGTCTAGACTGGTGACAGTGTTCTTGGGGACTGTCTCGAGATCCATTAAGCAAGTCGAAGCTCCTGACTTGTTTGAATGGGATCACGGAATAGCTCTGCATGCACTGCAGGGGAATGGGGCCTCATCTCGCCTCTAGGGGGAAGTCTCATGGTTTTTCTCGAGTTGCGGAGGGGACCTGGGATATGTTCTCGACATACGGCGGGGATGGCCCTTCAAAACACGAGTTTCTTCAGTGATGTCAGGACTCCTGTCTTTTAACGAGGGACACCTCAGGAATCTCTTCGAGGCTTGGCAGGGCAAAAGGGACGCTTCTCGAGGTGAGGCAGGGCACCCAAGGACCCTTTCCAGTAGCCACAGGGATTTTGGGATTCCTATCAGTATTCAAGAGGAGTCAGGCATCGTCACCTTTTGAAGCAATGAACTCCGCGTGCCTCTCGAGGTGTCAGCGGGATGTGAGGCATTCCGTCAAAATGAGGCAGGGACCTAGGGCTTTCTCTAACGTCTCCACAGGGGATTCAGACATCCCTTCATGTTGTGAGATGAAAGACGAGCCTGTATTCAAGCCACTGCAAGGAAATCCGGCCTCCTTTCAAGTTAGGGCTTCTCGCTGTATATTCCCCTTGAGGCAGCAAACTCGGGGTCCCTCCCACATACCTATTGCTGAGAGAAGCCTCCTCCTGAGGTGCTTCTGGGAAGTTGGCATACGTCTTCAGCCTAAGCCAGGGAATCAGCTCTCATCTCGAGACGATTTGGGGTACACGGAGCATTCCTCGAGTTGCTGTGCTGAAGGTGGTGTTCCTCTAGACTTGGGACAGTGTTCTCGGGGCATCCCTGGAGTTGCCTGAAGGAAGTCGAGCCACCGGTCGTGTTGAATGGGGAACGGGGAATGGCTCTGGAGTCAATGCAGGGGAATCGGGCCTCATCTCGAGTTGATTTGGGGCACATGGAGCTTCTTTGCGTTGCTGGGGTGACCTCAGGGTCCGTCTAGACTGGTGACAGTGTTCTTGGGGACTGTCTCGAGATCCATTAAGCAAGTCGAAGCTCCTGACTTGTTTGAATGGGATCACGGAATAGCTCTGCATGCACTGCAGGGGAATGGGGCCTCATCTCGCCTCTAGGGGGAAGTCTCATGGTTTTTCTCGAGTTGCGGCGGGGACCTGGGGTATGTTCTCGACTTACGGCGGGGATGGCCCTTCAATACACGAGTTTCTTCAGTGACGTCAGGACTCCTGTCTAGTAACGAGGGACACCTCAGGAATCTCTTCGAGGCTTGGCAGGGCAAAAGGGACGCTTCTCGAGGTGAGGCAGGGCACCCAAGGACCCTTTCCAGTAGCCACAGGGATTTTGGGATTCCTATCAGTATTCAAGAGGAGTCAGGCATCGTCACCTTTTGAAGCAATGAACTAAGCGTGCCTCTCGGGGTGTCAGCGGGATGTGAGGCTTTCCGTCAAAATGAGGCAGGGACCTAGGGCTTTCTCTAAGATCTCCACAGGGGATTCAGACATCCCTTCATGTTGTGAGATGAAAGACGAGCCTGTATTCAAGCCACTGCAAGGAAATCCGGCCTCCTTTCAAGTTAGGGCTTCTCGCTGTATATTCCCCTTGAGGCAGCAAACTCGGGGTCCCTCCCACATACCTATTGCTGAGAGAAGCCTCCTCCTGAGGTGCTTCTGGGAAGTTGGCATACGTCTTGAGCCTAAGCCAGGGAATCAGCTCTCATCTCGAGACGATTTGGGGTACACGGAGCATTCCTCGAGTTGCTGTGCTGAAGTTGGTGTTCCTCTAGACTTGGGACAGTGTTCTCGGGGCATCTCTGGAGTTGCCTGAAGGAAGTCGAGCCACCGGTCGTGTTGAATGGGGAACGGGGAATGGCTCTGGAGTCAATGCAGGGGAATCGGGCCTCATCTCGAGTTGATTTGGGGCACATGGAGCTGCTTTGCGTTGCTGGGGTGACCTCAGGGTCCGTCTAGACTGGTGACAGTGTTCTTGGGGACTGTCTCGAGATCCATTAAGCAAGTCGAAGCTCCTGACTTGTTTGAATGGGATCACGGAATAGCTCTGCATGCACTGCAGGGGAATGGGGCCTCATCTCGCCTCTAGGGGGAAGTCTCATGGTTTTTCTCGAGTTGCGGCGGGGACCTGGGGTATGTTCTCGACTTACGGCGGGGATGGCCCTTCAAAACACGAGTTTCTTCAGGGACATCAGGACTCCTGTCTAGTAACGAGGGACACCTCAGGAATCTCTTCGAGGCTTGGCAGGGCAAAAGGGACGCTTCTCGAGGTGAGGCAGGGCACCCAAGGACCCTTTCCAGTAGCCACAGGGATTTTGGGATTCCTATCAGTATTCAAGAGGAGTCAGGCATCGTCACCTTTTGAAGCAATGAACTCCGCGTGCCTCTCGAGGTGTCAGCGGGATGTGAGGCATTCCTTAAAAATGAGGCATGGACCTAGGGCTTTCTCTAAGATCTCCACAGTGGATTCAGACATCCCTTCATGTTGTGAGATGAAAGACGAGCCTGTATTCAAGCCACTGCAAGGAAATCCGGCCTCCTTTCAAGTTAGGGCTTCTCGCTGTATATTCCCCTTGAGGCAGCAAACTCGGGGTCCCTCCCACATACCTATTGCTGAGAGAAGCCTCCTCCTGTGGTGCTTCTGGGAAGTTGGCATACGTCTTGAGCCTAAGCCAGGGAATCAGCTCTCATCTCGAGACGATTTGGGGTACACGGAGCATTCCTCGAGTTGCTGTGCTGAAGTTGGTGTTCCTCTAGACTTGGGACAGTGTTCTCGGGGCATCTCTGGAGTTGCCTGAAGGAAGTCGAGCCACCGGTCGTGTTGAATGGGGAACGGGGAATGGCTCTGGAGTCAATGCAGGGGAATCGGGCCTCATCTCGAGTTGATTTGGGGCACATGGAGCTGCTCTGCGTTGCTGGGGTGACCTCAGGGTCCGTCTAGACTGGTGACAGTGTTCTTGGGGACTGTCTCGAGATCCATTAAGCAAGTCGAAGCTCCTGACTTGTTTGAATGGGATCACGGAATAGCTCTGCATACACTGCAGGGGAATGGGGCCTCATCTCGCCTCTAGGGGGAAGTCTCATGGTTTTTCTCGAGTTGCGGCGGGGACCTGGGGTATGTTCTCGACTTACGGCGGGGATGGCCCTTCAAAACACGAGTTTCTTCAGTGACGTCAGGACTCCTGTCTAGTAACGAGGGACACCTCAGGAATCTCTTCGAGGCTTGGCAGGGCAAAAGGGACGCTTCTCGAGGTGAGGCAGGGCACCCAAGGACCCTTTCCTGTAGCCACAGGGATTTTGGGATTCCTATCAGTATTCAAGAGGAGTCAGGCATCGTCACCTTTTGAAGCAATGAACTCCGCGTGCCTCTCGAGGTGTCAGCGGGATGTGAGGCATTCCATCAAAATGAGGCAGGGACCTAGGGCTTTCTCTAAGGTCTCCACAGGGGATTCAGACATCCCTTCATGTTGTGAGATGAAAGACGAGCCTGTATTCAAGCCACTGCAAGGAAATCCGGCCTCCTTTCAAGTTAGGGCTTCTCGCTGTATATTCCCCTTGAGGCAGCAACCTCGGGGTCCCTCCCACATACCTATTGCTGAGAGAAGCCTCCTCCTGAGGTGCTTCTGGGAAGTTGACATACGTCTTGAGCCTAAGCCAGGGAATCAGCTCTCATCTCGAGACGATTTGGGGTACACGGAGCATTCCTCGAGTTGCTGTGCTGAAGTTGGTGTTCCTCTAGACTTGGGACAGTGTTCTCGGGGCATCTCTGGAGTTGCCTGAAGGAAGTCGAGCCACCGGTCGTGTTGAATGGGGAACGGGGAATGGCTCTGGAGTCAATGCAGGGGAATCGGGCCTCATCTCGAGTTGATTTGGGGCACATGGAGCTGCTCTGCGTTGCTGGGGTGACCTCAGGGTCCGTCTAGACTGGTGACAGTGTTCTTGGGGACTGTCTCGAGATCCATTAAGCAAGTCGAAGCTCCTGACTTGTTTGAATGGGATCACGGAATAGCTCTGCATACACTGCAGGGGAATGGGGCCTCATCTCGCCTCTAGGGGGAAGTCTCATGGTTTTTCTCGAGTTGCGGCGGGGACCTGGGGTATGTTCTCGACTTACGGCGGGGATGGCCCTTCAAAACACGAGTTTCTTCAGTGACGTCAGGACTCCTGTCTAGTAACGAGGGACACCTCAGGAATCTCTTCGAGGCTTGGCAGGGCAAAAGGGACGCTTCTCGAGGTGAGGCAGGGCACCCAAGGACCCTTTCCTGTAGCCACAGGGATTTTGGGATTCCTATCAGTATTCAAGAGGAGTCAGGCATCGTCACCTTTTGAAGCAATGAACTCCGCGTGCCTCTCGAGGTGTCAGCGGGATGTGAGGCATTCCGTCAAAATGAGGCAGGGACCTAGGGCTTTCTCTAAGGTCTCCACAGGGGATTCAGACATCCCTTCATGTTGTGAGATGAAAGACGAGCCTGTATTCAAGCCACTGCAAGGAAATCCGGCCTCCTTTCAAGTTAGGGCTTCTCGCTGTATATTCCCCTTGAGGCAGCAACCTCGGGGTCCCTCCCACATACCTATTGCTGAGAGAAGCCTCCTCCTGAGGTGCTTCTGGGAAGTTGACATACGTCTTGAGCCTAAGCCAGGGAATCAGCTCTCATCTCGAGACGATTTGGGGTACACGGAGCATTCCTCGAGTTGCTGTGCTGAAGTTGGTGTTCCTCTAGACTTGGGACAGTGTTCTCGGGGCATCTCTGGAGTTGCCTGAAGGAAGTCGAGCCACCGGTCGTGTTGAATGGGGAACGGGGAATGGCTCTGGAGTCAATGCAGGGGAATCGGGCCTCATCTCGAGTTGATTTGGGGCACATGGAGCTGCTTTGCGTTCCTGGTTTGACCTCAGGGTCCGTCTAGACTGGTGACAGTGTTCTTGGGGACTGTCTCGAGATCCATTAAGCAAGTCGAAGCTCCTGACTTGTTTGAATGGGATCACGGAATAGCTCTGCATGCACTGCAGGGGAATGGGGCCTCATCTCGCCTCTAGGGGGAAGTCTCATGGTTTTTCTCGAGTTGCGGCGGGGACCTGGGATATGTTCTCGACATACGGCGGGGATGGCCCTTCAAAACACGAGTTTCTTCAGTGATGTCAGGACTCCTGTCTTTTAACGAGGGACACCTCAGGAATCTCTTCGAGGCTTGGCAGGGCAAAAGGGACGCTTCTCGAGGTGAGGCAGGGCACCCAAGGACCCTTTCCAGTAGCCACAGGGATTTTGGGATTCCTATCAGTATTCAAGAGGAGTCAGGCATCGTCACCTTTTGAAGCAATGAACTCCGCGTGCCTCTCGAGGTGTCAGCGGGATGTGAGGCATTCCGTCAAAATGAGGCAGGGACCTAGGGCTTTCTCTAACGTCTCCACAGGGGATTCAGACATCCCTTCATGTTGTGAGATGAAAGACGAGCCTGTATTCAAGCCACTGCAAGGAAATCCGGCCTCCTTTCAAGTTAGGGCTTCTCGCTGTATATTCCCCTTGAGGCAGCAAACTCGGGGTCCCTCCCACATACCTATTGCTGAGAGAAGCCTCCTCCTGAGGTGCTTCTGGGAAGTTGGCATACGTCTTGAGCCTAAGCCAGGGAATCAGCTCTCATCTCGAGACGATTTGGGGTACACGGAGCATTCCTCGAGTTGCTGTGCTGAAGGTGGTGTTCCTCTAGACTTGGGACAGTGTTCTCGGGGCATCCCTGGAGTTGCCTGAAGGAAGTCGAGCCACCGGTCGTGTTGAATGGGGAACGGGGAATGGCTCTGGAGTCAATGCAGGGGAATCGGGCCTCATCTCGAGTTGATTTGGGGCACATGGAGCTTCTTTGCGTTGCTGGGGTGACCTCAGGGTCCGTCTAGACTGGTGACAGTGTTCTTGGGGACTGTCTCGAGATCCATTAAGCAAGTCGAAGCTCCTGACTTGTTTGAATGGGATCACGGAATAGCTCTGCATGCACTGCAGGGGAATGGGGCCTCATCTCGCCTCTAGGGGGAAGTCTCATGGTTTTTCTCGAGTTGCGGCGGGGACCTGGGGTATGTTCTCGACTTACGGCGGGGATGGCCCTTCAATACACGAGTTTCTTCAGTGACGTCAGGACTCCTGTCTAGTAACGAGGGACACCTCAGGAATCTCTTCGAGGCTTGGCAGGGCAAAAGGGACGCTTCTCGAGGTGAGGCAGGGCACCCAAGGACCCTTTCCAGTAGCCACAGGGATTTTGGGATTCCTATCAGTATTCAAGAGGAGTCAGGCATCGTCACCTTTTGAAGCAATGAACTAAGCGTGCCTCTCGAGGTGTCAGCGGGATGTGAGGCTTTCCGTCAAAATGAGGCAGGGACCTAGGGCTTTCTCTAAGATCTCCACAGGGGATTCAGACATCCCTTCATGTTGTGAGATGAAAGACGAGCCTGTATTCAAGCCACTGCAAGGAAATCCGGCCTCCTTTCAAGTTAGGGCTTCTCGCTGTATATTCCCCTTGAGGCAGCAAACTCGGGGTCCCTCCCACATACCTATTGCTGAGAGAAGCCTCCTCCTGAGGTGCTTCTGGGAAGTTGGCATACGTCTTGAGCCTAAGCCAGGGAATCAGCTCTCATCTCGAGACGATTTGGGGTACACGGAGCATTCCTCGAGTTGCTGTGCTGAAGTTGGTGTTCCTCTAGACTTGGGACAGTGTTCTCGGGGCATCTCTGGAGTTGCCTGAAGGAAGTCGAGCCACCGGTCGTGTTGAATGGGGAACGGGGAATGGCTCTGGAGTCAATGCAGGGGAATCGGGCCTCATCTCGAGTTGATTTGGGGCACATGGAGCTGCTTTGCGTTGCTGGGGTGACCTCAGGGTCCGTCTAGACTGGTGACAGTGTTCTTGGGGACTGTCTCGAGATCCATTAAGCAAGTCGAAGCTCCTGACTTGTTTGAATGGGATCACGGAATAGCTCTGCATGCACTGCAGGGGAATGGGGCCTCATCTCGCCTCTAGGGGGAAGTCTCATGGTTTTTCTCGAGTTGCGGCGGGGACCTGGGGTATGTTCTCGACTTACGGCGGGGATGGCCCTTCAAAACACGAGTTTCTTCAGGGACATCAGGACTCCTGTCTAGTAACGAGGGACACCTCAGGAATCTCTTCGAGGCTTGGCAGGGCAAAAGGGACGCTTCTCGAGGTGAGGCAGGGCACCCAAGGACCCTTTCCAGTAGCCACAGGGATTTTGGGATTCCTATCAGTATTCAAGAGGAGTCAGGCATCGTCACCTTTTGAAGCAATGAACTCCGCGTGCCTCTCGAGGTGTCAGCGGGATGTGAGGCATTCCTTAAAAATGAGGCATGGACCTAGGGCTTTCTCTAAGATCTCCACAGTGGATTCAGACATCCCTTCATGTTGTGAGATGAAAGACGAGCCTGTATTCAAGCCACTGCAAGGAAATCCGGCCTCCTTTCAAGTTAGGGCTTCTCGCTGTATATTCCCCTTGAGGCAGCAAACTCGGGGTCCCTCCCACATACCTATTGCTGAGAGAAGCCTCCTCCTGTGGTGCTTCTGGGAAGTTGGCATACGTCTTGAGCCTAAGCCAGGGAATCAGCTCTCATCTCGAGACGATTTGGGGTACACGGAGCATTCCTCGAGTTGCTGTGCTGAAGTTGGTGTTCCTCTAGACTTGGGACAGTGTTCTCGGGGCATCTCTGGAGTTGCCTGAAGGAAGTCGAGCCACCGGTCGTGTTGAATGGGGAACGGGGAATGGCTCTGGAGTCAATGCAGGGGAATCGGGCCTCATCTCGAGTTGATTTGGGGCACATGGAGCTGCTCTGCGTTGCTGGGGTGACCTCAGGGTCCGTCTAGACTGGTGACAGTGTTCTTGGGGACTGTCTCGAGATCCATTAAGCAAGTCGAAGCTCCTGACTTGTTTGAATGGGATCACGGAATAGCTCTGCATACACTGCAGGGGAATGGGGCCTCATCTCGCCTCTAGGGGGAAGTCTCATGGTTTTTCTCGAGTTGCGGCGGGGACCTGGGGTATGTTCTCGACTTACGGCGGGGATGGCCCTTCAAAACACGAGTTTCTTCAGTGACGTCAGGACTCCTGTCTAGTAACGAGGGACACCTCAGGAATCTCTTCGAGGCTTGGCAGGGCAAAAGGGACGCTTCTCGAGGTGAGGCAGGGCACCCAAGGACCCTTTCCTGTAGCCACAGGGATTTTGGGATTCCTATCAGTATTCAAGAGGAGTCAGGCATCGTCACCTTTTGAAGCAATGAACTCCGCGTGCCTCTCGAGGTGTCAGCGGGATGTGAGGCATTCCATCAAAATGAGGCAGGGACCTAGGGCTTTCTCTAAGGTCTCCACAGGGGATTCAGACATCCCTTCATGTTGTGAGATGAAAGACGAGCCTGTATTCAAGCCACTGCAAGGAAATCCGGCCTCCTTTCAAGTTAGGGCTTCTCGCTGTATATTCCCCTTGAGGCAGCAACCTCGGGGTCCCTCCCACATACCTATTGCTGAGAGAAGCCTCCTCCTGAGGTGCTTCTGGGAAGTTGACATACGTCTTGAGCCTAAGCCAGGGAATCAGCTCTCATCTCGAGACGATTTGGGGTACACGGAGCATTCCTCGAGTTGCTGTGCTGAAGTTGGTGTTCCTCTAGACTTGGGACAGTGTTCTCGGGGCATCTCTGGAGTTGCCTGAAGGAAGTCGAGCCACCGGTCGTGTTGAATGGGGAACGGGGAATGGCTCTGGAGTCAATGCAGGGGAATCGGGCCTCATCTCGAGTTGATTTGGGGCACATGGAGCTGCTTTGCGTTGCTGGTTTGACCTCAGGGTCCGTCTAGACTGGTGACAGTGTTCTTGGGGACTGTCTCGAGATCCATTAAGCAAGTCGAAGCTCCTGACTTGTTTGAATGGGATCACGGAATAGCTCTGCATGCACTGCAGGGGAATGGGGCCTCATCTCGCCTCTAGGGGGAAGTCTCATGGTTTTTCTCGAGTTGCGGCGGGGACCTGGGATATGTTCTCGACATACGGCGGGGATGGCCCTTCAAAACACGAGTTTCTTCAGTGATGTCAGGACTCCTGTCTTTTAACGAGGGACACCTCAGGAATCTCTTCGAGGCTTGGCAGGGCAAAAGGGACGCTTCTCGAGGTGAGGCAGGGCACCCAAGGACCCTTTCCAGTAGCCACAGGGATTTTGGGATTCCTATCAGTATTCAAGAGGAGTCAGGCATCGTCACCTTTTGAAGCAATGAACTCCGCGTGCCTCTCGAGGTGTCAGCGGGATGTGAGGCATTCCGTCAAAATGAGGCAGGGACCTAGGGCTTTCTCTAACGTCTCCACAGGGGATTCAGACATCCCTTCATGTTGTGAGATGAAAGACGAGCCTGTATTCAAGCCACTGCAAGGAAATCCGGCCTCCTTTCAAGTTAGGGCTTCTCGCTGTATATTCCCCTTGAGGCAGCAAACTCGGGGTCCCTCCCACATACCTATTGCTGAGAGAAGCCTCCTCCTGAGGTGCTTCTGGGAAGTTGGCATACGTCTTGAGCCTAAGCCAGGGAATCAGCTCTCATCTCGAGACGATTTGGGGTACACGGAGCATTCCTCGAGTTGCTGTGCTGAAGGTGGTGTTCCTCTAGACTTGGGACAGTGTTCTCGGGGCATCCCTGGAGTTGCCTGAAGGAAGTCGAGCCACCGGTCGTGTTGAATGGGGAACGGGGAATGGCTCTGGAGTCAATGCAGGGGAATCGGGCCTCATCTCGAGTTGATTTGGGGCACATGGAGCTTCTTTGCGTTGCTGGGGTGACCTCAGGGTCCGTCTAGACTGGTGACAGTGTTCTTGGGGACTGTCTCGAGATCCATTAAGCAAGTCGAAGCTCCTGACTTGTTTGAATGGGATCACGGAATAGCTCTGCATGCACTGCAGGGGAATGGGGCCTCATCTCGCCTCTAGGGGGAAGTCTCATGGTTTTTCTCGAGTTGCGGCGGGGACCTGGGGTATGTTCTCGACTTACGGCGGGGATGGCCCTTCAATACACGAGTTTCTTCAGTGACGTCAGGACTCCTGTCTATTAACGAGGGACACCTCAGGAATCTCTTCGAGGCTTGGCAGGGCAAAAGGGACGCTTCTCGAGGTGAGGCAGGGCACCCAAGGACCCTTTCCAGTAGCCACAGGGATTTTGGGATTCCTATCAGTATTCAAGAGGAGTCAGGCATCGTCACCTTTTGAAGCAATGAACTAAGCGTGCCTCTCGAGGTGTCAGCGGGATGTGAGGCTTTCCGTCAAAATGAGGCAGGGACCTAGGGCTTTCTCTAAGATCTCCACAGGGGATTCAGACATCCCTTCATGTTGTGAGATGAAAGACGAGCCTGTATTCAAGCCACTGCAAGGAAATCCGGCCTCCTTTCAAGTTAGGGCTTCTCGCTGTATATTCCCCTTGAGGCAGCAAACTCGGGGTCCCTCCCACATACCTATTGCTGAGAGAAGCCTCCTCCTGAGGTGCTTCTGGGAAGTTGGCATACGTCTTGAGCCTAAGACAGGGAATCAGCTCTCATCTCGAGACGATTTGGGGTACACGGAGCATTCCTCGAGTTGCTGTGCTGAAGTTGGTGTTCCTCTAGACTTGGGACAGTGTTCTCGGGGCATCTCTGGAGTTGCCTGAAGGAAGTCGAGCCACCGGTCGTGTTGAATGGGGAACGGGGAATGGCTCTGGAGTCAATGCAGGGGAATCGGGCCTCATCTCGAGTTGATTTGGGGCACATGGAGCTGCTTTGCGTTGCTGGGGTGACCTCAGGGTCCGTCTAGACTGGTGACAGTGTTCTTGGGGACTGTCTCGAGATCCATTAAGCAAGTCGAAGCTCCTGACTTGTTTGAATGGGATCACGGAATAGCTCTGCATGCACTGCAGGGGAATGGGGCCTCATCTCGCCTCTAGGGGGAAGTCTCATGGTTTTTCTCGAGTTGCGGCGGGGACCTGGGGTATGTTCTCGACTTACGGCGGGGATGGCCCTTCAAAACACGAGTTTCTTCAGGGACATCAGGACTCCTGTCTAGTAACGAGGGACACCTCAGGAATCTCTTCGAGGCTTGGCAGGGCAAAAGGGACGCTTCTCGAGGTGAGGCAGGGCACCCAAGGACCCTTTCCAGTAGCCACAGGGATTTTGGGATTCCTATCAGTATTCAAGAGGAGTCAGGCATCGTCACCTTTTGAAGCAATGAACTCCGCGTGCCTCTCGAGGTGTCAGCGGGATGTGAGGCATTCCTTAAAAATGAGGCATGGACCTAGGGCTTTCTCTAAGATCTCCACAGTGGATTCAGACATCCCTTCATGTTGTGAGATGAAAGACGAGCCTGTATTCAAGCCACTGCAAGGAAATCCGGCCTCCTTTCAAGTTAGGGCTTCTCGCTGTATATTCCCCTTGAGGCAGCAAACTCGGGGTCCCTCCCACATACCTATTGCTGAGAGAAGCCTCCTCCTGTGGTGCTTCTGGGAAGTTGGCATACGTCTTGAGCCTAAGCCAGGGAATCAGCTCTCATCTCGAGACGATTTGGGGTACACGGAGCATTCCTCGAGTTGCTGTGCTGAAGTTGGTGTTCCTCTAGACTTGGGACAGTGTTCTCGGGGCATCTCTGGAGTTGCCTGAAGGAAGTCGAGCCACCGGTCGTGTTGAATGGGGAACGGGGAATGGCTCTGGAGTCAATGCAGGGGAATCGGGCCTCATCTCGAGTTGATTTGGGGCACATGGAGCTGCTCTGCGTTGCTGGGGTGACCTCAGGGTCCGTCTAGACTGGTGACAGTGTTCTTGGGGACTGTCTCGAGATCCATTAAGCAAGTCGAAGCTCCTGACTTGTTTGAATGGGATCACGGAATAGCTCTGCATGCACTGCAGGGGAATGGGGCCTCATCTCGCCTCTAGGGGGAAGTCTCATGGTTTTTCTCGAGTTGCGGCGGGGACCTGGGGTATGTTCTCGACTTACGGCGGGGATGGCCCTTCAAAACACGAGTTTCTTCAGTGACGTCAGGACTCCTGTCTAGTAACGAGGGACACCTCAGGAATCTCTTCGAGGCTTGGCAGGGCAAAAGGGACGCTTCTCGAGGTGAGGCAGGGCACCCAAGGACCCTTTCCTGTAGCCACAGGGATTTTGGGATTCCTATCAGTATTCAAGAGGAGTCAGGCATCGTCACTTTTTGAAGCAATGAACTCCGCGTGCCTCTCGAGGTGTCAGCGGGATGTGAGGCATTCCTTAAAAATGAGGCAGGGACCTAGGGCTTTCTCTAAGGTCTCCACAGGGGATTCAGACATCCCTTCATGTTGTGAGATGAAAGACGAGCCTGTATTCAAGCCACTGCAAGGAAATCCGGCCTCCTTTCAAGTTAGGGCTTCTCGCTGTATATTCCCCTTGAGGCAGCAACCTCGGGGTCCCTCCCACATACCTATTGCTGAGAGAAGCCTCCTCCTGAGGTGCTTCTGGGAAGTTGGCATACGTCTTGAGCCTAAGCCAGGGAATCAGCTCTCATCTCGAGACGATTTGGGGTACACGGAGCATTCCTCGAGTTGCTGTGCTGAAGTTGGTGTTCCTCTAGACTTGGGACAGTGTTCTCGGGGCATCCCTGGAGTTGCCTGAAGGAAGTCGAGCCACCGGTCGTGTTGAATGGGGAACGGGGAATGGCTCTGGAGTCAATGCAGGGGAATCAGGCCTCATCTCAAGTTGATTTGGGGCACATGGAGCTTCTTTGCGTTGCTGGGGTGACCTCAGGGTCCGTCTAGACTGGTGACAGTGTTCTTGGGGACTGTCTCGAGATCCATTAAGCAAGTCGAAGCTCCTGACTTGTTTGAATGGGATCACGGAATAGCTCTGCATGCACTGCAGGGGAATGGGGCGTCATCTCGCCTCTAGGGGGAAGTCTCATGGTTTTTCTCGAGTTGCGGCGGGGACCTGGGGTATGTTCTCGACTTACGGCGGGGATGGCCCTTCAAAACACGAGTTTCTTCAGTGACGTCAGGACTCCTGTCTAGTAACGAGGGACACCTCAGGAATCTCTTCGAGGCTTGGCAGGGCAAAAGGGACGCTTCTCGAGGTGAGGCAGGGCACCCAAGGACCCTTTCCAGTAGCCACAGGGATTTTGGGATTCCTATCAGTATTCAAGAGGAGTCAGGCATCGTCACCTTTTGAAGCAATGAACTCCGCGTGCCTCTCGAGGTGTCAGCGGGATGTGAGGCATTCCGTCAAAATGAGGCAGGGACCTAGGGCTTTCTCTAAGGTCTCCACAGGGGATTCAGACATCCCTTCATGTTGTGAGATGAAAGACGAGCCTGTATTCAAGCCACTGCAAGGAAATCCGGCCTCCTTTCAAGTTAGGGCTTCTCGCTGTATATTCCCCTTGAGGCAGCAACCTCGGGGTCCCTCCCACATACCTATTGCTGAGAGAAGCCTCCTCCTGAGGTGCTTCTGGGAAGTTGACATACGTCTTGAGCCTAAGCCAGGGAATCAGCTCTCATCTCGAGACGATTTGGGGTACACGGAGCATTCCTCGAGTTGCTGTGCTGAAGTTGGTGTTCCTCTAGACTTGGGACAGTGTTCTCGGGGCATCTCTGGAGTTGCCTGAAGGAAGTCGAGCCACCGGTCGTGTTGAATGGGGAACGGGGAATGGCTCTGGAGTCAATGCAGGGGAATCGGGCCTCATCTCGAGTTGATTTGGGGCACATGGAGCTGCTTTGCGTTGCTGGTTTGACCTCAGGGTCCGTCTAGACTGGTGACAGTGTTCTTGGGGACTGTCTCGAGATCCATTAAGCAAGTCGAAGCTCCTGACTTGTTTGAATGGGATCACGGAATAGCTCTGCATGCACTGCAGGGGAATGGGGCCTCATCTCGCCTCTAGGGGGAAGTCTCATGGTTTTTCTCGAGTTGCGGCGGGGACCTGGGATATGTTCTCGACATACGGCGGGGATGGCCCTTCAAAACACGAGTTTCTTCAGTGATGTCAGGACTCCTGTCTTTTAACGAGGGACACCTCAGGAATCTCTTCGAGGCTTGGCAGGGCAAAAGGGACGCTTCTCGAGGTGAGGCAGGGCACCCAAGGACCCTTTCCAGTAGCCACAGGGATTTTGGGATTCCTATCAGTATTCAAGAGGAGTCAGGCATCGTCACCTTTTGAAGCAATGAACTCCGCGTGCCTCTCGAGGTGTCAGCGGGATGTGAGGCATTCCGTCAAAATGAGGCAGGGACCTAGGGCTTTCTCTAACGTCTCCACAGGGGATTCAGACATCCCTTCATGTTGTGAGATGAAAGACGAGCCTGTATTCAAGCCACTGCAAGGAAATCCGGCCTCCTTTCAAGTTAGGGCTTCTCGCTGTATATTCCCCTTGAGGCAGCAAACTCGGGGTCCCTCCCACATACCTATTGCTGAGAGAAGCCTCCTCCTGAGGTGCTTCTGGGAAGTTGGCATACGTCTTGAGCCTAAGCCAGGGAATCAGCTCTCATCTCGAGACGATTTGGGGTACACGGAGCATTCCTCGAGTTGCTGTGCTGAAGGTGGTGTTCCTCTAGACTTGGGACAGTGTTCTCGGGGCATCCCTGGAGTTGCCTGAAGGAAGTCGAGCCACCGGTCGTGTTGAATGGGGAACGGGGAATGGCTCTGGAGTCAATGCAGGGGAATCGGGCCTCATCTCGAGTTGATTTGGGGCACATGGAGCTTCTTTGCGTTGCTGGGGTGACCTCAGGGTCCGTCTAGACTGGTGACAGTGTTCTTGGGGACTGTCTCGAGATCCATTAAGCAAGTCGAAGCTCCTGACTTGTTTGAATGGGATCACGGAATAGCTCTGCATGCACTGCAGGGGAATGGGGCCTCATCTCGCCTCTAGGGGGAAGTCTCATGGTTTTTCTCGAGTTGCGGCGGGGACCTGGGGTATGTTCTCGACTTACGGCGGGGATGGCCCTTCAATACACGAGTTTCTTCAGTGACGTCAGGACTCCTGTCTATTAACGAGGGACACCTCAGGAATCTCTTCGAGGCTTGGCAGGGCAAAAGGGACGCTTCTCGAGGTGAGGCAGGGCACCCAAGGACCCTTTCCAGTAGCCACAGGGATTTTGGGATTCCTATCAGTATTCAAGAGGAGTCAGGCATCGTCACCTTTTGAAGCAATGAACTAAGCGTGCCTCTCGAGGTGTCAGCGGGATGTGAGGCTTTCCGTCAAAATGAGGCAGGGACCTAGGGCTTTCTCTAAGATCTCCACAGGGGATTCAGACATCCCTTCATGTTGTGAGATGAAAGACGAGCCTGTATTCAAGCCACTGCAAGGAAATCCGGCCTCCTTTCAAGTTAGGGCTTCTCGCTGTATATTCCCCTTGAGGCAGCAAACTCGGGGTCCCTCCCACATACCTATTGCTGAGAGAAGCCTCCTCCTGAGGTGCTTCTGGGAAGTTGGCATACGTCTTCAGCCTAAGCCAGGGAATCAGCTCTCATCTCGAGACGATTTGGGGTACACGGAGCATTCCTCGAGTTGCTGTGCTGAAGTTGGTGTTCCTCTAGACTTGGGACAGTGTTCTCGGGGCATCTCTGGAGTTGCCTGAAGGAAGTCGAGCCACCGGTCGTGTTGAATGGGGAACGGGGAATGGCTCTGGAGTCAATGCAGGGGAATCGGGCCTCATCTCGAGTTGATTTGGGGCACATGGAGCTGCTTTGCGTTGCTGGGGTGACCTCAGGGTCCGTCTAGACTGGTGACAGTGTTCTTGGGGACTGTCTCGAGATCCATTAAGCAAGTCGAAGCTCCTGACTTGTTTGAATGGGATCACGGAATAGCTCTGCATGCACTGCAGGGGAATGGGGCCTCATCTCGCCTCTAGGGGGAAGTCTCATGGTTTTTCTCGAGTTGCGGCGGGGACCTGGGGTATGTTCTCGACTTACGGCGGGGATGGCCCTTCAAAACACGAGTTTCTTCAGGGACATCAGGACTCCTGTCTAGTAACGAGGGACACCTCAGGAATCTCTTCGAGGCTTGGCAGGGCAAAAGGGACGCTTCTCGAGGTGAGGCAGGGCACCCAAGGACCCTTTCCAGTAGCCACAGGGATTTTGGGATTCCTATCAGTATTCAAGAGGAGTCAGGCATCGTCACCTTTTGAAGCAATGAACTCCGCGTGCCTCTCGAGGTGTCAGCGGGATGTGAGGCATTCCTTAAAAATGAGGCATGGACCTAGGGCTTTCTCTAAGATCTCCACAGTGGATTCAGACATCCCTTCATGTTGTGAGATGAAAGACGAGCCTGTATTCAAGCCACTGCAAGGAAATCCGGCCTCCTTTCAAGTTAGGGCTTCTCGCTGTATATTCCCCTTGAGGCAGCAAACTCGGGGTCCCTCCCACATACCTATTGCTGAGAGAAGCCTCCTCCTGTGGTGCTTCTGGGAAGTTGGCATACGTCTTGAGCCTAAGCCAGGGAATCAGCTCTCATCTCGAGACGATTTGGGGTACACGGAGCATTCCTCGAGTTGCTGTGCTGAAGTTGGTGTTCCTCTAGACTTGGGACAGTGTTCTCGGGGCATCTCTGGAGTTGCCTGAAGGAAGTCGAGCCACCGGTCGTGTTGAATGGGGAACGGGGAATGGCTCTGGAGTCAATGCAGGGGAATCGGGCCTCATCTCGAGTTGATTTGGGGCACATGGAGCTGCTCTGCGTTGCTGGGGTGACCTCAGGGTCCGTCTAGACTGGTGACAGTGTTCTTGGGGACTGTCTCGAGATCCATTAAGCAAGTCGAAGATCCTGACTTGTTTGAATGGGATCACGGAATAGCTCTGCATGCACTGCAGGGGAATGGGGCCTCATCTCGCCTCTAGGGGGAAGTCTCATGGTTTTTCTCGAGTTGCGGCGGGGACCTGGGGTATGTTCTCGACTTACGGCGGGGATGGCCCTTCAAAACACGAGTTTCTTCAGTGACGTCAGGACTCCTGTCTAGTAACGAGGGACACCTCAGGAATCTCTTCGAGGCTTGGCAGGGCAAAAGGGACGCTTCTCGAGGTGAGGCAGGGCACCCAAGGACCCTTTCCTGTAGCCACAGGGATTTTGGGATTCCTATCAGTATTCAAGAGGAGTCAGGCATCGTCACTTTTTGAAGCAATGAACTCCGCGTGCCTCTCGAGGTGTCAGCGGGATGTGAGGCATTCCTTAAAAATGAGGCAGGGACCTAGGGCTTTCTCTAAGGTCTCCACAGGGGATTCAGACATCCCTTCATGTTGTGAGATGAAAGACGAGCCTGTATTCAAGCCACTGCAAGGAAATCCGGCCTCCTTTCAAGTTAGGGCTTCTCGCTGTATATTCCCCTTGAGGCAGCAACCTCGGGGTCCCTCCCACATACCTATTGCTGAGAGAAGCCTCCTCCTGAGGTGCTTCTGGGAAGTTGGCATACGTCTTGAGCCTAAGCCAGGGAATCAGCTCTCATCTCGAGACGATTTGGGGTACACGGAGCATTCCTCGAGTTGCTGTGCTGAAGTTGGTGTTCCTCTAGACTTGGGACAGTGTTCTCGGGGCATCCCTGGAGTTGCCTGAAGGAAGTCGAGCCACCGGTCGTGTTGAATGGGGAACGGGGAATGGCTCTGGAGTCAATGCAGGGGAATCGGGCCTCATCTCAAGTTGATTTGGGGCACATGGAGCTTCTTTGCGTTGCTGGGGTGACCTCAGGGTCCGTCTAGACTGGTGACAGTGTTCTTGGGGACTGTCTCGAGATCCATTAAGCAAGTCGAAGCTCCTGACTTGTTTGAATGGGATCACGGAATAGCTCTGCATGCACTGCAGGGGAATGGGGCCTCATCTCGCCTCTTGGGGGAAGTCTCATGGTTTTTCTCGAGTTGCGGCGGGGACCTGGGGTATGTTCTCGACTTACGGCGGGGATGGCCCTTCAAAACACGAGTTTCTTCAGTGACGTCAGGACTCCTGTCTAGTAACGAGGGACACCTCAGGAATCTCTTCGAGGCTTGGCAGGGCAAAAGGGACGCTTCTCGAGGTGAGGAAGGGCACCCAAGGACCCTTTCCAGTAGCCACAGGGATTTTGGTATTCCTATCAGTATTCAAGAGGAGTCAGGCATCGTCACCTTTTGAAGCAATGAACTCCGCGTGCCTCTCGAGGTGTCAGCGGGATGTGAGGCATTCCGTCAAAATGAGGCAGGGACCTAGGGCTTTCTCTAAGGTCTCCATAGGGGATTCAGACATCCCTTCATGTTGTGAGATGAAAGACGAGCCTGTATTCAAGCCACTGCAAGGAAATCCGGCCTCCTTTCAAGTTAGGGCTTCTCGCTGTATATTCCCCTTGAGGCAGCAAACTCGGGGTCCCTCCCACATACCTATTGCTGAGAGAAGCCTCCTCCTGAGGTGCTTCTGGGAAGTTGGCATACGTCTTCAGCCTAAGCGAGGGAATCAGCTCTCATCTCGAGACGATTTGGTGTACACGGAGCATTCCTCGAGTTGCTGTGCTGAAGTTGGTGTTCCTCTAGACTTGGGACAGTGTTCTCGGGGCATCCCTGGAGTTGCCTGAAGGAATTCGAAGCACCGGTCGTGTTGAATGGGGAATGGGGAATGGCTCTGGAGTCAATGCAGGGGAATCGGGCCTCATCTCGAGTTGATTCGGGGCACATGGAGCTCCTTTGCGTTGCTGGGGTGACCTCAGGGTCCGTCTAGACTGGTGACAGAGTTCTTGGGGACTGTCTCGAGATCCATTAAGCAAGTCGAAGCTCCTGACTTGTTTGAATGGGATCACGGAATAGCTCTGCATGCACTGCAGGGGAATGGGGCCTCATCTCGCCTCTAGGGGGAAGTCTCATGGTTTTTCTCGAGTTGCGGCGGGGACCTGGGGTATGTTCACGACTTACGGCGGGGATGGCCCTTCAAAACACGAGTTTCTTCAGGGACGTCAGGACTCCTGTCTAGTAACGAGGGACACCTCAGGAATCTCTTCGAGGCTTGGCAGGGCAAAAGGGACGCTTCTCGAGGTGAGGCAGGGCACCCAAGGTCCCTTTCCAGTAGCCACAGGGATTTTGGGATTCCTATCAGTATTCAAGAGGAGTCAGGCATCGTCACCTTTTGAAGCAATGAACTCCGCGTGCCTCTCGAGGTGTCAGCGGGATGTGAGGCATTCCTTAAAAATGAGGCTTGGGCCTAGGGCTTTCTCTAAGATCTCCACAGGGGATTCAGACATCCCTTCATGTTGTGAGATGAAAGACGAGCCTGTATTCAAGCCACTGCAAGGAAATCTGGCCTCCTTTCAAGTTAGGGCTTCTCGCTGTATATTCCCCTTGAGGCAGCAAACTCGGGGTCCCTCCCACATACCTATTGCTGAGAGAAGCCTCCACCTGAGGTGCTTCTGGGAAGTTGGCATACGACTTGAGCCTAAGCCAGGGAATCAGCTATCATCTTGAGACGATTTGGGGTACACGGAGCATTCCTCGAGTTGCTGTGCTGAAGTTGGTGTTCCTCTAGACTTGGGACAGTGTTCTCGGGGCATCTCTGGAGTTGCCTGAAGGAAGTCGAGCCACCGGTCGTGTTGAATGGGGAACGGGGAATGGCTCTGGAGTCAATGCAGGGGAATCGGGCCTCATCTCGAGTTGATTTGGGGCACATGGAGCTGCTTTGCGTTGCTGGGGTGACTTCAGGGTCCGTCTAGACTGGTGACAGTGTTCTTGGGGACTGTCTCGAGATCCATTAAGCAAGTCGAAGCTCCTGACTTGTTTGAATGGGATCACGGAATAGCTCTGCATGCACTGCAGGGGAATGGGGCCTCATCTCCCCTCTAGGGGGAAGTCTCATGGTTTTTCTCGAGTTGTGGCGGGGACCTGGGGTATGTTCTCGACTTACGGCGGGGATGGCCCTTCAAAACACGAGTTTCTTCAGTGACGTCAGCACTCCTGTCTAGTAACGAGGGACACCTCAGGAATCTCTTCGAGGCTTGGCAGGGCAAAAGGGACGCTTCTCGAGGTGAGGCAGGGCACCCAAGGACCCTTTCCAGTAGCCACAGGGATTTTGGGATTCCTATCAGTATTCAAGAGGAGTCAGGCATCGTCACCTTTTGAAGCAATGAACTCCGCGTGCCTCTCGAGGTGTCAGCGCGATGTGAGGCATTCCGTCAAAATGAGGCAGGGACCTAGGGCTTTCTCTAAGGTCTCCACAGGGGATTCAGACATCCCTTCATGTTGTGAGATGAAAGACGAGCCTGTATTCAAGCCACTGCAAGGAAATCCGGCCTCCTTTCAAGTTAGGGCTTCTCGCTGTATATTCCCCTTGAGGCAGCAAACTCGGGGTCCCTCCCACATACCTATTGCTGAGAGAAGCCTCCTCCTGAGGTGCTTCTGGGAAGTTGGCATACGTCTTGAGCCTAAGCCAGGGAATCAGCTCCCATCTCGAGACGATTTGGGGTACACGGAGCATTCCTCGAGTTGCTGTGCTGAAGTTGGTGTTCCTCTAGACTTCGGACAGTGTTCTCGGGGCATCCCTGGAGTTGCCTGAAGGAAGTCGAGCCACCGGTCGTGTTGAATGGGGAACGGGGAATGGCTCTGGAGTCAATGCAGGGGAATCGGGCCTCATCTCGAGTTGATTTGGGGCACATGGAGCTTCTTTGCGTTGCTGGGGTGACCTCAGGGTCCGTCTAGACTGGTGACAGTGTTCTTGGGGACTGTCTCGAGATCCATTAAGCAAGTCGAAGCTCCTGACTTGTTTGAATGGGATCACGGAATAGCTCTGCATGCACTGCAGGGGAATGGGGCCTCATCTCGCCTCTAGGGGGAAGTCTCATGGTTTTTCTCGAGTTGCGGCGGGGACCTGGGGTATGTTCTCGACTTACGGCGGGGATGGCCCTTCAAAACACGAGTTTCTTCAGTGACGTCAGGACTCCTGTCTAGTAACGAGGGACACCTCAGGAATCTCTTCGAGGCTTGGCAGGGCAAAGGGACGCTTCTCGAGGTGAGGCAGGGCACCCAAGGACCCTTTCCAGTAGCCACAGGGATTTTGGGATTCCTATCAGTATTCAAGAGGAGTCAGGCATCGTCACCTTTTGAAGCAATGAACTCCGCGTGCCTCTCGAGGTGTCAGCGGGATGTGAGGCATTCCTTAAAAATGAGGCATGGACCTAGGGCTTTCTCTAAGATCTCCACAGGGGATTCAGACATCCCTTCATGTTGTGAGATGAAAGACGAGCCTGTATTCAAGCCACTGCAAGGAAATCCGGCCTCCTTTCAAGTTAGGGCTTCTCGCTGTATATTCCCCTTGAGGCAGCAAACTCGGGGTCCCTCCCACATACCTATTGCTGAGAGAAGCCTCCTCCTGAGGTGCTTCTGGGAAGTTGGCATACGTCTTGAGCCTAAGCCAGGGAATCAGCTCGCATCTCGAGACGATTTGGGGTACACGGAGCATTCCTCGAGTTGCTGTGCTGAAGTTGGTGTTCCTCTAGACTTGGGACAGTGTTCTCGGGGCATCTCTGGAGTTGCCTGAAGGAAGTCGAGCCACCGGTCGTGTTGAATGGGGAACGGGGAATGGCTCTGGAGTCAATGCAGGGGAATCGGGCCTCATCTCGAGTTGATTTGGGGCACATGGAGCTGCTTTGCGTTGCTGGGGTGACCTCAGGGTCCGTCTAGACTGGTGACAGTGTTCTTGGGGACTGTCTCGAGATCCATTAAGCAAGTCGAAGCTCCTGACTTGTTTGAATGGGATCACGGAATAGCTCTGCATGCACTGCAGGGGAATGGGGCCTCATCTCGCCTCTAGGGGGAAGTCTCATGGTTTTTCTCGAGTTGCGGCGGGGACCTGGGGTATGTTCTCGACTTACGGCGGGGATGGCCCTTCAAAACACGAGTTTCTTCAGTGACGTCAGGACTCCTGTCTAGTAACGAGGGACACCTCAGGAATCTCTTCGAGGCTTGGCAGGGCAAAAGGGACGCTTCTCGAGGTGAGGCAGGGCACCCAAGGACCCTTTCCAGTAGCCACAGGGATTTTGGGATTCCTATCAGTATTCAAGAGGAGTCAGGCATCGTCACCTTTTGAAGCAATGAACTCCGCGTGCCTCTCGAGGTGTCAGCGGGATGTGAGGCATTCCTTAAAAATGAGGCATGGACCTAGGGCTTTCTCTAAGATCTCCACAGGGGATTCAGACATCCCTTCATGTTGTGAGATGAAAGACGAGCCTGTATTCAAGCCACTGCAAGGAAATCCGGCCTCCTTTCAAGTTAGGGCTTCTCGCTGTATATTCCCCTTGAGGCAGCAAACTCGGTGTCCCTCCCACATACCTATTGCTGAGAGAAGCCTCCTCCTGAGGTGCTTCTGGGAAGTTGGCATACGTCTTGAGCCTAAGCCAGGGAATCAGCTCTCATCTCGAGACGATTTGGGGTACACGGAGCATTCCTCGAGTTGCTGTGCTGAAGTTGGTGTTCCTCTAGACTTGGGACAGTGTTCTCGGGGCATCTCTGGAGTTGCCTGAAGGAAGTCGAGCCACCGGTCGTGTTGAATGGGGAACGGGGAATGGCTCTGGAGTCAATGCAGGGGAATCAGGCCTCATCTCGAGTTGATTTGGGGCTCATGGAGCTGCTTTGCGTTGCTGGGGTGACCTCAGGGTCCGTCTAGACTGGTGACAGTGTTCTTGGGGACTGTCTCGAGATCCATTAAGCAAGTCGAAGCTCCTGACTTGTTTGAATGGGATCACGGAATAGCTCTGCATGCACTGCAGGGGAATGGGGCCTCATCTCGCCTCTAGGGGGAAGTCTCATGGTTTTTCTCGAGTTGCGGCGGGGACCTGGGGTATGTTCTCGACTTACGGCGGGGATGGCCCTTCAAAACACGAGTTTCTTCAGTGACGTCAGGACTCCTGTCTAGTAACGAGGGACACCTCAGGAATCTCTTCGAGGCTTGGCAGGGCAAAAGGGACGCTTCTCGAGGTGAGGCAGGGCACCCAAGGACCCTTTCCAGTAGCCACAGGGATTTTGGGATTCCTATCAGTATTCAAGAGGAGTCAGGCATCGTCACCTTTTGAAGCAATGAACTCCGCGTGCCTCTCGAGGTGTCAGCGGGATGTGAGGCATTCCGTCAAAATGAGGCAAGGACCTAGGGCTTTCTTTAAGGTCTCCACAGGGGATTCAGACATCCCTTCATGTTGTGAGATGAAAGACGAGCCTGTATTCAAGCCACTGCAAGGAAATCCGGCCTCCTTTCAAGTTAGGGCTTCTCGCTGTATATTCCCCTTGAGGCAGCAAACTCGGGGTCCCTCCCACATACCTATTGCTGAGAGAAGCCTCCTCCTGAGGTGCTTCTGGGAAGTTGGCATACGTCTTGAGCCTAAGCCAGGGAATCAGCTCTCATCTCGAGACGATTTGGGGTACACGGAGCATTCCTCGAGTTGCTGTGCTGAAGGTGGTGTTCCTCTAGACTTGGGACAGTGTTCTCGGGGCATCTCTGGAGTTGCCTGAAGGAAGTCGAGCCACCGGTCGTGTTGAATGGGGAACGGGGAATGGCTCTGGAGTCAATGCAGGGGAATCGGGCCTCATATCGAGTTGATTTGGGGCACATGGAGCTGCTTTGCGTTGCTGGGGTGACCTCAGGGTCCGTCTAGACTGGTGACAGTGTTCTTGGGGACTGTCTCGAGATCCATTAAGCAAGTCGAAGCTCCTGACTTTTTTGAATGGGATCACGGAATAGCTCTGCATGCACTGCAGGGGAATGGGGCCTCATCTCCCCTCTAGGGGGAAGTCTCATGGTTTTTCTCGAGTTGCGGCGGGGACCTGGGGTATGTTCTCGACTTACGGCGGGGATGGCCCTTCAAAACACGAGTTTCTTCAGTGACGTCAGGACTCCTGTCTAGTAACGAGGGACACCTCAGGAATCTCTTCGAGGCTTGGCAGGGCAAAAGGGACGCTTCTCGAGGTGAGGCAGGGCACCCAAGGACCCTTTCCAGTAGCCACAGGGATTTTGGGATTCCTATCAGTATTCAAGAGGAGTCAGGCATCGTCACCTTTTGAAGCAATGAACTCCGCGTGCCTCTCGAGGTGTCAGCGCGATGTGAGGCATTCCGTCAAAATGAGGCAGGGACCTAGGGCTTTCTCTAAGGTCTCCACAGGGGATTCAGACATCCCTTCATGTTGTGAGATGAAAGACGAGCCTGTATTCAAGCCACTGCAAGGAAATCCGGCCTCCTTTCAAGTTAGGGCTTCTCGCTGTATATTCCCCTTGAGGCAGCAAACTCGGGGTCCCTCCCACATACCTATTGCTGAGAGAAGCCTCCTCCTGAGGTGCTTCTGGGAAGTTGGCATACGTCTTGAGCCTAAGCCAGGGAATCAGCTCTCATCTCGAGACGATTTGGGGTACACGGAGCATTCCTCGAGTTGCTGTGCTGAAGTTGGTGTTCCTCTAGACTTCGGACAGTGTTCTCGGGGCATCCCTGGAGTTGCCTGAAGGAAGTCGAGCCACCGGTCGTGTTGAATGGGGAACGGGGAATGGCTCTGGAGTCAATGCAGGGGAATCGGGCCTCATCTCGAGTTGATTTGGGGCACATGGAGCTTCTTTGCGTTGCTGGGGTGACCTCAGGGTCCGTCTAGACTGGTGACAGTGTTCTTGGGGACTGTCTCGAGATCCATTAAGCAAGTCGAAGCTCCTGACTTGTTTGAATGGGATCACGGAATAGCTCTGCATGCACTGCAGGGGAATGGGGCCTCATCTCGCCTCTAGGGGGAAGTCTCATGGTTTTTCTCGAGTTGCGGCGGGGACCTGGGGTATGTTCTCGACTTACGGCGGGGATGGCCCTTCAAAACACGAGTTTCTTCAGTGACGTCAGGACTCCTGTCTAGTAACGAGGGACACCTCAGGAATCTCTTCGAGGCTTGGCAGGGCAAAGGGACGCTTCTCGAGGTGAGGCAGGGCACCCAAGGACCCTTTCCAGTAGCCACAGGGATTTTGGGATTCCTATCAGTATTCAAGAGGAGTCAGGCATCGTCACCTTTTGAAGCAATGAACTCCGCGTGCCTCTCGAGGTGTCAGCGGGATGTGAGGCATTCCTTAAAAATGAGGCATGGACCTAGGGCTTTCTCTAAGATCTCCACAGGGGATTCAGACATCCCTTCATGTTGTGAGATGAAAGACGAGCCTGTATTCAAGCCACTGCAAGGAAATCCGGCCTCCTTTCAAGTTAGGGCTTCTCGCTGTATATTCCCCTTGAGGCAGCAAACTCGGGGTCCCTCCCACATACCTATTGCTGAGAGAAGCCTCCTCCTGAGGTGCTTCTGGGAAGTTGGCATACGTCTTGAGCCTAAGCCAGGGAATCAGCTCGCATCTCGAGACGATTTGGGGTACACGGAGCATTCCTCGAGTTGCTGGGCTGAAGTTGGTGTTCCTCTAGACTTGGGACAGTGTTCTCGGGGCATCTCTGGAGTTGCCTGAAGGAAGTCGAGCCACCGGTCGTGTTGAATGGGGAACGGGGAATGGCTCTGGAGTCAATGCAGGGGAATCGGGCCTCATCTCGAGTTGATTTGGGGCACATGGAGCTGCTTTGCGTTGCTGGGGTGACCTCAGGGTCCGTCTAGACTGGTGACAGTGTTCTTGGGGACTGTCTCGAGATCCATTAAGCAAGTCGAAGCTCCTGACTTGTTTGAATGGGATCACGGAATAGCTCTGCATGCACTGCAGGGGAATGGGGCCTCATCTCGCCTCTAGGGGGAAGTCTCATGGTTTTTCTCGAGTTGCGGCGGGGACCTGGGGTATGTTCTCGACTTACGGCGGGGATGGCCCTTCAAAACACGAGTTTCTTCAGTGACGTCAGGACTCCTGTCTAGTAACGAGGGACACCTCAGGAATCTCTTCGAGGCTTGGCAGGGCAAAAGGGACGCTTCTCGAGGTGAGGCAGGGCACCCAAGGACCCTTTCCAGTAGCCACAGGGATTTTGGGATTCCTATCAGTATTCAAGAGGAGTCAGGCATCGTCACCTTTTGAAGCAATGAACTCCGCGTGCCTCTCGAGGTGTCAGCGGGATGTGAGGCATTCCTTAAAAATGAGGCATGGACCTAGGGCTTTCTCTAAGATCTCCACAGGGGATTCAGACATCCCTTCATGTTGTGAGATGAAAGACGAGCCTGTATTCAAGCCACTGCAAGGAAATCCGGCCTCCTTTCAAGTTAGGGCTTCTCGCTGTATATTCCCCTTGAGGCAGCAAACTCGGTGTCCCTCCCACATACCTATTGCTGAGAGAAGCCTCCTCCTGAGGTGCTTCTGGGAAGTTGGCATACGTCTTGAGCCTAAGCCAGGGAATCAGCTCTCATCTCGAGACGATTTGGGGTACACGGAGCATTCCTCGAGTTGCTGTGCTGAAGTTGGTGTTCCTCTAGACTTGGGACAGTGTTCTCGGGGCATCTCTGGAGTTGCCTGAAGGAAGTCGAGCCACCGGTCGTGTTGAATGGGGAACGGGGAATGGCTCTGGAGTCAATGCAGGGGAATCAGGCCTCATCTCGAGTTGATTTCGGGCACATGGAGCTGCTTTGCGTTGCTGGGGTGACCTCAGGGTCCGTCTAGACTGGTGACAGTGTTCTTGGGGACTGTCTCGAGATCCATTAAGCAAGTCGAAGCTCCTGACTTGTTTGAATGGGATCACGGAATAGCTCTGCATGCACTGCAGGGGAATGGGGCCTCATCTCGCCTCTAGGGGGAAGTCTCATGGTTTTTCTCGAGTTGCGGCGGGGACCTGGGGTATGTTCTCGACTTACGGCGGGGATGGCCCTTCAAAACACGAGTTTCTTCAGTGACGTCAGGACTCCTGTCTAGTAACGAGGGACACCTCAGGAATCTCTTCGAGGCTTGGCAGGGCAAAAGGGACGCTTCTCGAGGTGAGGCAGGGCACCCAAGGACCCTTTCCAGTAGCCACAGGGATTTTGGGATTCCTATCAGTATTCAAGAGGAGTCAGGCATCGTCACCTTTTGAAGCAATGAACTCCGCGTGCCTCTCGAGGTGTCAGCGGGATGTGAGGCATTCCGTCAAAATGAGGCAAGGACCTAGGGCTTTCTTTAAGGTCTCCACAGGGGATTCAGACATCCCTTCATGTTGTGAGATGAAAGACGAGCCTGTATTCAAGCCACTGCAAGGAAATCCGGCCTCCTTTCAAGTTAGGGCTTCTCGCTGTATATTCCCCTTGAGGCAGCAAACTCGGGGTCCCTCCCACATACCTATTGCTGAGAGAAGCCTCCTCCTGAGGTGCTTCTGGGAAGTTGGCATACGTCTTGAGCCTAAGCCAGGGAATCAGCTCTCATCTCGAGACGATTTGGGGTACACGGAGCATTCCTCGAGTTGCTGTGCTGAAGGTGGTGTTCCTCTAGACTTGGGACAGTGTTCTCGGGGCATCCCTGGAGTTGCCTGAAGGAAGTCGAGCCTTCGGTCGTGTTGAATGGGGAACGGGGAATGGCTCTGGAGTCAATGCAGGGGAATCGGGCCTCATCTCGAGTTGATTTGGGGCACATGGAGCTTCTTTGCGTTGCTGGGGTGACCTCAGGGTCCGTCTAGACTGGTGACAGTGTTCTTGGGGACTGTCTCGAGATCCATTAAGCAAGTCGAAGCTCCTGACTTGTTTGAATGGGATCACGGAATAGCTCTGCATGCACTGCAGGGGAATGGGGCCTCATCTCGCCTCTAGGGGGAAGTCTCATGGTTTTTCTCGAGTTGCGGCGGGGACCTGGGGTATGTTCTCGACTTACGGCGGGGATGGCCCTTCAAAACACGAGTTTCTTCAGTGACGTCAGGACTCCTGTCTAGTAACGAGGGACACCTCAGGAATCTCTTCGAGGCTTGGCAGGGCAAAAGGGACGCTTCTCGAGGTGAGGCAGGGCACCCAAGGACCCTTTCCAGTAGCCACAGGGATTTTGGGATTCCTATCAGTATTCAAGAGGAGTCAGGCATCGTCACCTTTTGAAGCAATGAACTCCGCGTGCCTCTCGAGGTGTCAGCGGGATGTGAGGCATTCCTTAAAAATGAGGCAAGGACCTAGGGCTTTCTCTAAGGTCTCCACAGGGGATTCAGACATCCCTTCATGTTGTGAGTTGAAAGACGAGCCTGTATTCAAGCCACTGCAAGGAAATCCGGCCTCCTTTCAAGTTAGGGCTTCTCGCTGTATATTCCCCTTGAGGCAGCAAACTCGGGGTCCCTCCCACATACCTATTGCTGAGAGAAGCCTCCTCCTGAGGTGCTTCTGGGAAGTTGGCATACGTCTTGAGCCTAAGCCAGGGAATCAGCTCTCATCTCGAGACGATTTGGGGTACACGGAGCATTCCTCGAGTTGCTGTGCTGAAGTTGGTGTTCCTCTAGACTTGGGACAGTGTTCTCGGGGCATCTCTGGAGTTGCCTGAAGGAAGTCGAGCCACCGGTCGTGTTGAATGGGGAACGGGGAATGGCTCTGGAGTCAATGCAGGGGAATCAGGCCTCATCTCGAGTTGATTTGGGGCTCATGGAGCTGCTTTGCGTTGCTGGGGTGACCTCAGGGTCCGTCTAGACTGGTGACAGTGTTCTTGGGGACTGTCTCGAGATCCATTAAGCAAGTCGAAGCTCCTGACTTGTTTGAATGGGATCACGGAATAGCTCTGCATGCACTGCAGGGGAATGGGGCCTCATCTCGCCTCTAGGGGGAAGTCTCATGGTTTTTCTCGAGTTGCGGCGGGGACCTGGGGTATGTTCTCGACTTACGGCGGGGATGGCCCTTCAAAACACGAGTTTCTTCAGTGACGTCAGGACTCCTGTCTAGTAACGAGGGACACCTCAGGAATCTCTTCGAGGCTTGGCAGGGCAAAAGGGACGCTTCTCGAGGTGAGGCAGGGCACCCAAGGACCCTTTCCAGTAGCCACAGGGATTTTGGGATTCCTATCAGTATTCAAGAGGAGTCAGGCATCGTCACCTTTTGAAGCAATGAACTCCGCGTGCCTCTCGAGGTGTCAGCGCGATGTGAGGCATTCCGTCAAAATGAGGCAGGGACCTAGGGCTTTCTCTAAGGTCTCCACAGGGGATTCAGACATCCCTTCATGTTGTGAGATGAAAGACGAGCCTGTATTCAAGCCACTACAAGGAAATCCGGCCTCCTTTCAAGTTAGGGCTTCTCGCTGTATATTCCCCTTGAGGCAGCAAACTCGGGGTCCCTCCCACATACCTATTGCTGAGAGAAGCCTCCTCCTGAGGTGCTTCTGGGAAGTTGGCATACGTCTTGAGCCTAAGCCAGGGAATCAGCTCTCATCTCGAGACGATTTGGGGTACACGGAGCATTCCTCGAGTTGCTGTGCTGAAGTTGGTGTTCCTCTAGACTTCGGACAGTGTTCTCGGGGCATCCCTGGAGTTGCCTGAAGGAAGTCGAGCCACCGGTCGTGTTGAATGGGGAACGGGGAATGGCTCTGGAGTCAATGCAGGGGAATCGGGCCTCATCTCGAGTTGATTTGGGGCACATGGAGCTTCTTTGCGTTGCTGGGGTGACCTCAGGGTCCGTCTAGACTGGTGACAGTGTTCTTGGGGACTGTCTCGAGATCCATTAAGCAAGTCGAAGCTCCTGACTTGTTTGAATGGGATCACGGAATAGCTCTGCATGCACTGCAGGGGAATGGGGCCTCATCTCGCCTCTAGGGGGAAGTCTCATGGTTTTTCTCGAGTTGCGGCGGGGACCTGGGGTATGTTCTCGACTTACGGCGGGGATGGCCCTTCAAAACACGAGTTTCTTCAGTGACGTCAGGACTCCTGTCTAGTAACGAGGGACACCTCAGGAATCTCTTCGAGGCTTGGCAGGACAAAGGGACGCTTCTCGAGGTGAGGCAGGGCACCCAAGGACCCTTTCCAGTAGCCACAGGGATTTTGGGATTCCTATCAGTATTCAAGAGGAGTCAGGCATCGTCACCTTTTGAAGCAATGAACTCCACGTGCCTCTCGAGGTGTCAGCGGGATGTGAGGCATTCCTTAAAAATGAGGCATGGACCTAGGGCTTTCTCTAAGATCTCCACAGGGGATTCAGACATCCCTTCATGTTGTGAGATGAAAGACGAGCCTGTATTCAAGCCACTGCAAGGAAATCCGGCCTCCTTTCAAGTTAGGGCTTCTCGCTGTATATTCCCCTTGAGGCAGCAAACTCGGGGTCCCTCCCACATACCTATTGCTGAGAGAAGCCTCCTCCTGAGGTGCTTCTGGGAAGTTGGCATACGTCTTGAGCCTAAGCCAGGGAATCAGCTCGCATCTCGAGACGATTTGGGGTACACGGAGCATTCCTCGAGTTGCTGTGCTGAAGTTGGTGTTCCTCTAGACTTGGGACAGTGTTCTCGGGGCATCTCTGGAGTTGCCTGAAGGAAGTCGAGCCACCGGTCGTGTTGAATGGGGAACGGGGAATGGCTCTGGAGTCAATGCAGGGGAATCGGGCCTCATCTCGAGTTGATTTGGGGCACATGGAGCTGCTTTGCGTTGCTGGGGTGACCTCAGGGTCCGTCTAGACTGGTGACAGTGTTCTTGGGGACTGTCTCGAGATCCATTAAGCAAGTCGAAGCTCCTGACTTGTTTGAATGGGATCACGGAATAGCTCTGCATGCACTGCAGGGGAATGGGGCCTCATCTCGCCTCTAGGGGGAAGTCTCATGGTTTTTCTCGAGTTGCGGCGGGGACCTGGGGTATGTTCTCGACTTACGGCGGGGATGGCCCTTCAAAACACGAGTTTCTTCAGTGACGTCAGGACTCCTGTCTAGTAACGAGGGACACCTCAGGAATCTCTTCGAGGCTTGGCAGGGCAAAAGGGACGCTTCTCGAGGTGAGGCAGGGCACCCAAGGACCCTTTCCAGTAGCCACAGGGATTTTGGGATTCCTATCAGTATTCAAGAGGAGTCAGGCATCGTCACCTTTTGAAGCAATGAACTCCGCGTGCCTCTCGAGGTGTCAGCGGGATGTGAGGCATTCCTTAAAAATGAGGCATGGACCTAGGGCTTTCCTTAAGATCTCCACAGGGGATTCAGACATCCCTTCATGTTGTGAGATGAAAGACGAGCCTGTATTCAAGCCACTGCAAGGAAATCCGGCCTCCTTTCAAGTTAGGGCTTCTCGCTGTATATTCTCCTTGAGGCAGCAAACTCGGTGTCCCTCCCACATACCTATTGCTGAGAGAAGCCTCCTCCTGAGGTGCTTCTGGGAAGTTGGCATACGTCTTGAGCCTAAGCCAGGGAATCAGCTCTCATCTCGAGACGATTTGGGGTACACGGAGCATTCCTCGAGTTGCTGTGCTGAAGTTGGTGTTCCTCTAGACTTGGGACAGTGTTCTCGGGGCATCTCTGGAGTTGCCTGAAGGAAGTCGAGCCACCGGTCGTGTTGAATGGGGAACGGGGAATGGCTCTGGAGTCAATGCAGGGGAATCAGGCCTCATCTCGAGTTGATTTCGGGCACATGGAGCTGCTTTGCGTTGCTGGGGTGACCTCAGGGTCCGTCTAGACTGGTGACAGTGTTCTTGGGGACTGTCTCGAGATCCATTAAGCAAGTCGAAGCTCCTGACTTGTTTGAATGGGATCACGGAATAGCTCTGCATGCACTGCAGGGGAATGGGGCCTCATCTCGCCTCTAGGGGGAAGTCTCATGGTTTTTCTCGAGTTGCGGCGGGGACCTGGGGTATGTTCTCGACTTACGGCGGGGATGGCCCTTCAAAACACGAGTTTCTTCAGTGACGTCAGGACTCCTGTCTAGTAACGAGGGACACCTCAGGAATCTCTTCGAGGCTTGGCAGGGCAAAAGGGACGCTTCTCGAGGTGAGGCAGGGCACCCAAGGACCCTTTCCAGTAGCCACAGGGATTTTGGGATTCCTATCAGTATTCAAGAGGAGTCAGGCATCGTCACCTTTTGAAGCAATGAACTCCGCGTGCCTCTCGAGGTGTCAGCGGGATGTGAGGCATTCCGTCAAAATGAGGCAAGGACCTAGGGCTTTCTCTAAGGTCTCCACAGGGGATTCAGACATCCCTTCATGTTGTGAGATGAAAGACGAGCCTGTATTCAAGCCACTGCAAGGAAATCCGGCCTCCTTTCAAGTTAGGGCTTCTCGCTGTATATTCCCCTTGAGGCAGCAAACTCGGGGTCCCTCCCACATACCTATTGCTGAGAGAAGCCTCCTCCTGAGGTGCTTCTGGGAAGTTGGCATACGTCTTGAGCCTAAGCCAGGGAATCAGCTCTCATCTCGAGACGATTTGGGGTACACGGAGCATTCCTCGAGTTGCTGTGCTGAAGGTGGTGTTCCTCTAGACTTGGGACAGTGTTCTCGGGGCATCCCTGGAGTTGCCTGAAGGAAGTCGAGCCATCGGTCGTGTTGAATGGGGAACGGGGAATGGCTCTGGAGTCAATGCAGGGGAATCGGGCCTCATCTCGAGTTGATTTGGGGCACATGGAGCTTCTTTGCGTTGCTGGGGTGACCTCAGGGTCCGTCTAGACTGGTGACAGTGTTCTTGGGGACTGTCTCGAGATCCATTAAGCAAGTCGAAGCTCCTGACTTGTTTGAATGGGATCACGGAATAGCTCTGCATGCACTGCAGGGGAATGGGGCCTCATCTCGCCTCTAGGGGGAAGTCTCATGGTTTTTCTCGAGTTGCGGCGGGGACCTGGGGTATGTTCTCGACTTACGGCGGGGATGGCCCTTCAAAACACGAGTTTCTTCAGTGACGTCAGGACTCCTGTCTAGTAACGAGGGACACCTCAGGAATCTCTTCGAGGCTTGGCAGGGCAAAAGGGACGCTTCTCGAGGTGAGGCAGGGCACCCAAGGACCCTTTCCAGTAGCCACAGGGATTTTGGGATTCCTATCAGTATTCAAGAGGAGTCAGGCATCGTCACCTTTTGAAGCAATGAACTCCGCGTGCCTCTCGAGGTGTCAGCGGGATGTGAGGCATTCCTTAAAAATGAGGCATGGACCTAGGGCTTTCTCTAAGATCTCCACAGGGGATTCAGACATCCCTTCATGTTGTGAGATGAAAGACGAGCCTGTATTCAAGCCACTGCAAGGAAATCCGGCCTCCTTTCAAGTTAGGGCTTCTCGCTGTATATTCCCCTTGAGGCAGCAAACTCGGTGTCCCTCCCACATACCTATTGCTGAGAGAAGCCTCCTCCTGAGGTGCTTCTGGGAAGTTGGCATACGTCTTGAGCCTAAGCCAGGGAATCAGCTCTCATCTCGAGACGATTTGGGGTACACGGAGCATTCCTCGAGTTGCTGTGCTGAAGTTGGTGTTCCTCTAGACTTGGGACAGTGTTCTCGGGGCATCTCTGGAGTTGCCTGAAGGAAGTCGAGCCACCGGTCGTGTTGAATGGGGAACGGGGAATGGCTCTGGAGTCAATGCAGGGGAATCAGGCCTCATCTCGAGTTGATTTGGGGCACATGGAACTGCTTTGCGTTGCTGGGGTGACCTCAGGGTCCGTCTAGACTGGTGACAGTGTTCTTGGGGACTGTCTCGAGATCCATTAAGCAAGTCGAAGCTCCTGACTTGTTTGAATGGGATCACGGAATAGCTCTGCATGCACTGCAGGGGAATGGGGCCTCATCTCGCCTCTAGGGGGAAGTCTCATGGTTTTTCTCGAGTTGCGGCGGGGACCTGGGGTATGTTCTCGACTTACGGCGAGGATGGCCCTTCAAAACACGAGTTTCTTCAGTGACGTCAGGACTCCTGTCTAGTAACGAGGGACACCTCAGGAATCTCTTCGAGGCTTGGCAGGGCAAAAGGGACGCTTCTCGAGGTGAGGCAGGGCACCCAAGGACCCTTTCCAGTAGCCACAGGGATTTTGGGATTCCTATCAGTATTCAAGAGGAGTCAGGCATCGTCACCTTTTGAAGCAATGAACTCCGCGTGCCTCTCGAGGTGTCAGCGGGATGTGAGGCATTCCGTCAAAATGAGGTAAGGACCTAGGGCTTTCTCTAAGGTCTCCACAGGGGATTCAGACATCCCTTCATGTTGTGAGATGAAAGACGAGCCTGTATTCAAGCCACTGCATGGAAATCCGGCCTCCTTTCAAGTTAGGGCTTCTCGCTGTATATTCCCCTTGAGGCAGCAAACTCGGGGTCCCTCCCACATACCTATTGCTGAGAGAAGCCTCCTCCTGAGGTGCTTCTGGGAAGTTGGCATACGTCTTGAGCCTAAGCCAGGGAATCAGCTCTCATCTCGAGACGATTTGGGGTACACGGAGCATTCCTCGAGTTGCTGTGCTGAAGTTGGTGTTCCTCTAGACTTGGGACAGTGTTGTCGGGGCATCTCTGGAGTTGCCTGAAGGAAGTCGAGCCACCGGTCGTGTTGAATGGGGAACGGGGAATGGCTCTGGAGTCAATGCAGGGGAATCGGGCCTCATCTCGAGTTGATTTGGGGCACATGGAGCTGCTTTGCGTTGCTGGGGTGACCTCAGGGTCCGTCTAGACTGGTGACAGTGTTCTTGGGGACTGTCTCGAGATCCATTAAGCAAGTCGAAGCTCCTGACTTGTTTGAATGGGATCACGGAATAGCTCTGCATGCACTGCAGGGGAATGGGGCCTCATCTCGCCTCTAGGGGGAAGTCTCATGGTTTTTCTCGAGTTGCGGCGGGGACCTGGGGTATGTTCTCGACTTACGGCGGGGATGGCCCTTCAAAACACGAGTTTCTTCAGTGACGTCAGGACTCCTGTCTAGTAACGAGGGACACCTCAGGAATCTCTTCGAGGCTTGGCAGGGCAAAAGGGACGCTTCTCGAGGTGAGGCAGGGCACCCAAGGACCCTTTCCAGTAGCCACAGGGATTTTGGGATTCCTATCAGTATTCAAGAGGAGTCAGGCATCGTCACCTTTTGAAGCAATGAACTCTGCGTGCCTCTCGAGGTGTCAGCGGGATGTGAGGCATTCCGTCAAAATGAGGCAAGGACCTAGGGCTTTCTCTAAGGTCTCCACAGGGGATTCAGACATCCCTTCATGTTGTGAGATGAAAGACGAGCCTGTCTTCAAGCCACTGCAAGGAAATCCGGCCTCCTTTCAAATTAGGGCTTCTCGCTGTATATTCCCCTTGAGGCAGCAAACTCGGGGTCCCTCCCACATACCTATTGCTGAGAGAAGCCTCCTCCTGAGGTGCTTCTGGGAAGTTGGCATACGTCTTGAGCCTAAGCCAGGGAATCAGCTCTCATCTCGAGACGATTTGGGGTACACGGAGCATTCCTCGAGTTGCTGTGCTGAAGGTGGTGTTCCTCTAGACTTGGGACAGTGTTCTCGGGGCATCCCTGGAGTTGCCTGAAGGAAGTCGAGCCACCGGTCGTGTTGAATGGGGAACGGGGAATGGCTCTGGAGTCAATGCAGGGGAATCGGGCCTCATCTCGAGTTGATTTGGGTCACATGGAGCTTCTTTGCGTTGCTGGGGTGACCTCAGGGTCCGTCTAGACTGGTGACAGTGTTCTTGGGGACTGTCTCGAGATCCATTAAGAAGTCGAAGCTCCTGACTTGTTTGAATGGGATCACGGAATAGCTCTGCATGCACTGCAGGGGAATGGGGCCTCATCTCGCCTCTAGGGGGAAGTCTCATGGTTTTTCTCGAGTTGCGGCGGGGACCTGGGGTATGTTCTCGACTTACGGCGGGGATGGCCCTTCAAAACACGAGTTTCTTCAGGGACGTCAGGACTCCTGTCTAGTAACGAGGGACACCTCAGGAATCTCTTCGAGGCTTGGCAGGGCAAAAGGGACGCTTCTCGAGGTGAGGCAGGGCACCCAAGGACCCTTTCCAGTAGCCACAGGGATTTTGGGATTCCTATCAGTATTCAAGAGGAGTCAGGCATCGTCACCTTTTGAAGCAATGAACTCCGCGTGCCTCTCGAGGTGTCAGCGGGATGTGAGGCATTCCTTAAAAATGAGGCATGGACCTAGGGCTTTCTCTAAGATCTCCACAGGGGATTCAGACATCCCTTCATGTTGTGAGATGAAAGACGAGCCTGTATTCAAGCCACTGCAAGGAAATCCGGCCTCCTTTCAAGTTAGGGCTTCTCGCTGTATATTCCCATTGAGGCAGCAAACTCGGGGTCCCTCCCACATACCTATTGCTGAGAGAAGCCTCCTCCTGTGGTGCTTCTGGGAAGTTGGCATACGTCTTCAGCCTAAGCCAGGGAATCAGCTCTCATCTCGAGACGATTTGGGGTACACGGAGCATTCCTCGAGTTGCTGTGCTGGAGTTGGTGTTCCTCTAGACTTGGGACAGTGTTCTCGGGGCATCTCTGGAGCTGCCTGAAGGAAGTCGAGCCACCGGTCGTGTTGAATGGGGAACGGGGAATGGCTCTGGAGTCAATGCAGGGGAATCGGGCCTCATCTCGAGTTGATTTGGGGCACATGGAGCTGCTCTGCGTTGCTGGGGTGACCTCAGGGTCCGTCTAGACTGGTGACAGTGTTCTTGGGGACTGTCTCGAGATCCATTAAGCAAGTCGAAGCTCCTGACTTGTTTGAATGGGATCACGGAATAGCTCTGCATGCACTGCAGGGGAATGGGGCCTCATCTCGCCTCTAGGGGGAAGTCTCATGGTTTTTCTCGAGTTGCGGCGGGGACCTGGGGTATGTTCTCGACTTACGGCGGGGATGGCCCTTCAAAACACGAGTTTCTTCAGTGACGACAGGACTCCTGTCTAGTAACGAGGGACACCTCAGGAATCTCTTCGAGGCTTGGCAGGGCAAAAGGGACGCTTCTCGAGGTGAGGCAGGGCACCCAAGGACCCTTTCCAGTAGCCACAGGGATTTTGGGATTCCTATCAGTATTCAAGAGGAGTCAGGCATCGTCACTTTTTGAAGCAATGAACTCCGCGTGCCTCTCGAGGTGTCAGCGGGATGTGAGGCATTCCTTAAAAATGAGGCAGGGACCTAGGGCTTTCTCTAAGGTCTCCACAGGGGATTCAGACATCCCTTCATGTTGTGAGATGAAAGACGAGCCTGTATTCAAGCCACTGCAAGGAAATCCGGCCTCCTTTCAAGTTAGGGCTTCTTGCTGTATATTCCCCTTGAGGCAGCAAACTCGGGGTCCCTCCCACATACCTATTGCTGAGAGAAGCCTCCTCCTGAGGTGCTTCTGGGAAGTTGGCATACGTCTTGAGCCTAAGCCAGGGAATCAGCCCTCATCTCGAGACGATTTGGGGTACACGGAGCATTCCTCGAGTTGCTGTGGTGAAGTTGGTGTTCCTCTAGACTTGGGACAGTGTTCTCGGGGCATCCCTGGAGTTGCCAGAAGGAAGTCGAGCCACCGGTCGTGTTGAATGGGGAACGGGGAATGGCTCTGGAGTCAATGCAGGGGAATCGGGCCTCATCTCGAGTTGATTTGGGGCACATGGAGCTTCTTTGCGTTGCTGGGGTGACCTCAGGGTCCGTCTAGACTGGTGACAGTGTTCTTGGGGACTGTCTCGAGATCCATTAAGCAAGTCGAAGCTCCTGACTTGTTTGAATGGGATCACGGAATAGCTCTGCATGCACTGCAGGGGAATGGGGCCTCATCTCGCCTCTAGGGGGAAGTCTCATGGTTTTTCTCGAGTTGCGGCGGGGACCTGGGGTATGTTCTCGACTTACGGCGGGGATGGCCCTTCAAAACACGAGTTTCTTCAGTGACGTCAGGACTCCTGTCTAGTAACGAGGGACACCTCAGGAATCTCTTCGAGGCTTGGCAGGGCAAAAGGGACGCTTCTCGAGGTGAGGCAGGGCACCCAAGGACCCTTTCCAGTAGCCACAGGGATTTTGGGATTCCTATCAGTATTCAAGAGGAGTCAGGCATCGTCACCTTTTGAAGCAATGAACTCCGCGTGCCTCTCGAGGTGTCAGCGGGATGTGAGGCATTCCTTAAAAATGAAGCATGGACCTAGGGCTTTCTCTAAGATCTCCACAGGGGATTCAGACATCCCTTCATGTTGTGAGATGAAAGACGAGCCTGTATTCAAGCCACTGCAAGGAAATCCGGCCTCCTTTCAAGTTAGGGCTTCTCGCTGTATATTCCCCTTGAGGCAGCAAACTCGGGGTCCCTCCCACATACCTATTGCTGAGAGAAGCCTCCTCCTGAGGTGCTTCTGGGAAGTTGGCATACGTCTTGAGCCTAAGCCAGGGAATCAGCTCTCATCTCGAGACGATTTGGGGTACACGGAGCATTCCTCGAGTTGCTGTGCTGAAGTTGGTGTTCCTCTAGACTTGGGACAGTGTTCTCGGGGCATCTCTGGAGTTGCCTGAAGGAAGTCGAGCCACCGGTCGTGTTGAATGGGGAACGGGGAATGTCTCTGGAGTCAATGCAGGGGAATCGGGCCTCATCTCGAGTTGATTTGGGGCACATGGAGCTGCTTTGCGTTGCTGGGGTGACCTCAGGGTCCGTCTAGACTGGTGACAGTGTTCTTGGGGACTGTCTCGAGATCCATAAAGCAAGTCGAAGCTCCTGACTTGTTTGAATGGGATCACGGAATAGCTCTGCATGCACTGCAGGGGAATGGGGCCTCATCTCGCCTCTAGGGGGAAGTCTCATGGTTTTTCTCGAGTTGCGGCGGGGACCTGGGGTATGTTCTCGACTTACGGCGGGGATGGCCCTTCAAAACACGAGTTTCTTCAGTGACGTCAGGACTCCTGTCTAGTAACGAGGGACACCTCAGGAATCTCTTCGAGGCTTGGCAGGGCAAAAGGGACGCTTCTCGAGGTGAGGCAGGGCACCCAAGGACCCTTTCCAGTAGCCACAGGGATTTTGGGATTCCTATCAGTATTCAAGAGGAGTCAGGCATCGTCACCTTTTGAAGCAATGAACTCTGCGTGCCTCTCGAGGTGTCAGCGGGATGTGAGGCATTCCGTCAAAATGAGGCAGGGACCTAGGGCTTTCTCTAAGGTCTCCACAGGGGATTCAGACATCCCTTCATGTTGTGAGATGAAAGACGAGCCTGTATTCAAGCCACTGCAAGGAAATCCGGCCTCCTTTCAAGTTAGGGCTTCTCGCTGTATATTCCCCTTGAGGCAGCAAACTCGGGGTCCCTCCCACATACCTATTGCTGAGAGAAGCCTCCTCCTGAGGTGCTTCTGGGAAGTTGGCATACGTCTTCAGCCTAAGCCAGGGAATCAGCTCTCATCTCGAGACGATTTGGGGTACACGGAGCATTCCTCGAGTTGCTGTGCTGAAGTTGGTGTTCCTCTAGACTTGGGACAGTGTTCTCGGGGCATCCCTGGAGTTGCCTGAAGGAAGTCGAGCCACCGGTCGTGTTGAATGGGGAACGGGGAATGGCTCTGGAGTCAATGCAGGGGAATCGGGCCTCATCTCGAGTTGATTTGGGGCACATGGAGCTTCTTTGCGTTGCTGGGGTGACCTCAGGGTCCGTCTAGACTGGTGACAGTGTTCTTGGGGACTGTCTCGAGATCCATTAAGCAAGTCGAAGCTCCTGACTTGTTTGAATGGGATCACGGAATAGCTCTGCATGCACTGCAGGGGAATGGGGCCTCATCTCGCCTCTAGGGGGAAGTCTCATGGTTTTTCTCGAGTTGCGGCGGGGACCTGGGGTATGTTCTCGACTTACGGCGGGGATGGCCCTTCAAAACACGAGTTTCTTCAGTGACGTCAGGACTCCTGTCTAGTAACGAGGGACACCTCAGGAATCTCTTCGAGGCTTGGCAGGGCAAAAGGGACGCTTCTCGAGGTGAGGCAGGGCACCCAAGGACCCTTTCCAGTAGCCACAGGGATTTTGGGATTCCTATCAGTATTCAAGAGGAGGCAGGCATCGTCACTTTTTGAAGCAATGAACTCCGCGTGCCTCTCAAGGTGTCAGCGGGATGTGAGGCATTCCGTAAAAATGAGGCATGGACCTAGGGCTTTCTCTAAGATCTCCACAGGGGATTCAGACATCCCTTCATGTTTTGAGATGAAAGACGAGCCTGCATTCAAGCCACTGCAAGGAAATCCGGCCTCCTTTCAAGTTAGGGCTTCTCGCTGTATATTCCCCTTGAGGCAGCAAACTCGGGGTCCCTCCCACATACCTATTGCTGAGAGAAGCCTCCTCCTGAGGTGCTTCTGGGAAGTTGGCATACGTCTTGAGCCTAAGCCAGGGAATCAGCTCTCATCTCGAGACGATTTGGGGTACACGGAGCATTCCTCGAGTTGCTGTGCTGAAGTTGGTGTTCCTCTAGACTTGGGACAGTGTTCTCGGGGCATCTCTGGAGTTGCCTGAAGGAAGTCGAGCCACCGGTCGTGTTGAATGGGGAACGGGGAATGGCTCTGGAGTCAATGCAGGGGAATCGGGCCTCATCTCGAGTTGATTTGGGGCACATGGAGCTGCTTTGCGTTGCTGGGGTGACCTCAGGGTCCGTCTAGACTGGTGACAGTGTTCTTGGGGACTGTCTCGAGATCCATTAAGCAAGTCGAAGCTCCTGACTTGTTTGAATGGGATCACGGAATAGCTCTGCATGCACTGCAGGGGAATGGGGCCTCATCTCGCCTCTAGGGGGAAGTCTCATGGTTTTTCTCGAGTTGCGGCGGGGACCTGGGGTATGTTCTCGACTTACGGCGGGGATGGCCCTTCAATACACGAGTTTCTTCAGTGACGTCAGGACTCCTGTCTAGTAACGAGGGACACCTCAGGAATCTCTTCGAGGCTTGGCAGGGCAAAAGGGACGCTTCTCGAGGTGAGGCAGGGCACCCAAGGACCCTTTCCAGTAGCCACAGGGATTTTGGGATTCCTATCAGTATTCAAGAGGAGTCAGGCATCGTCACCTTTTGAAGCAATGAACTCCGCGTGCCTCTCGAGGTGTCAGCGGGATGTGAGGCATTCCGTCAAAATGAGGCAGGGACCTAGGGCTTTCTCTAAGGTCTCCACAGGGGATTCAGACATCCCTTCATGTTGTGAGATGAAAGACGAGCCTGTATTCAAGCCACTGCAAGGAAATCCGGCCTCCTTTCAAGTTAGGGCTTCTCGCTGTATATTCCCCTTGAGGCAGCAAACTCGGGGTCCCTCCCACATACCTATTGCTGAGAGAAGCCTCCTCCTGAGGTGCTTCTGGGAAGTTGGCATACGTCTTGAGCCTAAGCCAGGGAATCAGCTCTCATCTCGAGACGATTTGGGGTACACGGAGCATTCCTCGAGTTGCTGTGCTGAAGTTGGTGTTCCTCTAGACTTGGGACAGTGTTCTCGGGGCATCTCTGGAGTTGCCTGAAGGAAGTCGAGCCACCGGTCGTGTTGAATGGGGAACGGGGAATGGCTCTGGAGTCAATGCAGGGGAATCGGGCCTCATCTCGAGTTGATTTGGGGCACATGGAGCTGCTCTGCGTTGCTGGGGTGACCTCAGGGTCCGTCTAGACTGGTGACAGTGTTCTTGGGGACTGTCTCGAGATCCATTAAGCAAGTCGAAGCTCCTGACTTGTTTGAATGGGATCACGGAATAGCTCTGCATGCACTGCAGGGGAATGGGGCCTCATCTCGCCTCTAGGGGGAAGTCTCATGGTTTTTCTCGAGTTGCGGCGGGGACCTGGGGTATGTTCTCGACTTACGGCGGGGATGGCCCTTCAATACACGAGTTTCTTCAGTGACGTCAGGACTCCTGTCTATTAACGAGGGACACCTCAGGAATCTCTTCGAGGCTTGGCAGGGCAAAAGGGACGCTTCTCGAGGTGAGGCAGGGCACCCAAGGACCCTTTCCAGTAGCCACAGGGATTTTGGGATTCCTATCAGTATTCAAGAGGAGTCAGGCATCGTCACCTTTTGAAGCAATGAACTCCGCGTGCCTCTCGAGGTGTCAGCGGGATGTGAGGCTTTCCGTCAAAATGAGGCAGGGACCTAGGGCTTTCTCTAAGATCTCCACAGGGGATTCAGACATCCCTTCATGTTGTGAGATGAAAGACGAGCCTGTATTCAAGCCACTGCAAGGAAATCCGGCCTCCTTTCAAGTTAGGGCTTCTCGCTGTTTATTCCCCTTGAGGCAGCAAACTCGGGGTCCCTCCCACATACCTATTGCTGAGAGAAGCCTCCTCCTGAGGTGCTTCTGGGAAGTTGGCATACGTCTTGAGCCTAAGCCAGGGAATCAGCTCTCATCTCGAGACGATTTGGGGTACACGGAGCATTCCTCGAGTTGCTGTGCTGAAGTTGGTGTTCCTCTAGACTTGGGACAGTGTTCTCGGGGCATCTCTGGAGTTGCCTGAAGGAAGTCGAGCCACCGGTCGTGTTGAATGGGGAACGGGGAATGGCTCTGGAGTCAATGCAGGGGAATCGGGCCTCATCTCGAGTTGATTTGGGGCACATGGAGCTGCTCTGCGTTGCTGGGGTGACCTCAGGGTCCGTCTAGACTGGTGACAGTGTTCTTGGGGACTGTCTCGAGATCCATTAAGCAAGTCGAAGCTCCTGACTTGTTTGAATGGGATCACGGAATAGCTCTGCATGCACTGCAGGGGAATGGGGCCTCATCTCGCCTCTAGGGGGAAGTCTCATGGTTTTTCTCGAGTTGCGGCGGGGACCTGGGGTATGTTCTCGACTTACGGCGGGGATGGTCCTTCAAAACACGAGTTTCTTCAGTGACGTCAGGACTCCTGTCTAGTAACGAGGGACACCTCAGGAATCTCTTCGAGGCTTGGCAGGGCAAAAGGGACGCTTCTCGAGGTGAGGCAGGGCACCCAAGGACCCTTTCCAGTAGCCACAGGGATTTTGGGATTCCTATCAGTATTCAAGAGGAGTCAGGCATCGTCACTTTTTGAAGCAATGAACTCCGCGTGCCTCTCGAGGTGTCAGCGGGATGTGAGGCATTCCGTCAAAATGAGGCAGGGACCTAGGGCTTTCTCTAAGGTCTCCACAGGGGATTCAGACATCCCTTCATGTTGTGAGATGAAAGACGAGCCTGTATTCAAGCCACTGCAAGGAAATCCGGCCTCCTTTCAAGTTAGGGCTTCTCGCTGTATATTCCCCTTGAGGCAGCAAACTCGGGGTCCCTCCCACATACCTATTGCTGAGAGAAGCCTCCTCCTGAGGTGCTTCTGGGAAGTTGGCATACGTCTTGAGCCTAAGCCAGGGAATCAGCTCTCATCTCGAGACGATTTGGGGTACACGGAGCATTCCTCGAGTTGCTGTGCTGAAGTTGGTGTTCCTCTAGACTTGGGACAGTGTTCTCGGGGCATCCCTGGAGTTGCCTGAAGGAAGTCGAGCCACCGGTCGTGTTGAATGGGGAACGGGGAATGGCTCTGGAGTCAATGCAGGGGAATCGGGCCTCATCTCGAGTTGATTTGGGGCACATGGAGCTTCTTTGCATTGCTGGGGTGACCTCAGGGTCCGTCTAGACTGGTGACAGTGTTCTTGGGGACTGTCTCGAGATCCATTAAGCAAGTCGAAGCTCCTGACTTGTTTGAATGGGATCACGGAATAGCTCTGCATGCACTGCAGGGGAATGGGGCCTCATCTCGCCTCTAGGGGGAAGTCTCATGGTTTTTCTCGAGTTGCGGCAGGGACCTGGGGTATGTTCTCGACTTACGGCGGGGATGGCCCTTCAAAACACGAGTTTCTTCAGTGACGTCAGGACTCCTGTCTAGTAACGAGGGACACCTCAGGAATCTCTTCGAGGCTTGGCAGGGCAAAAGGGACGCTTCTCGAGGTGAGGCAGGGCACCCAAGGACCCTTTCCAGTAGCCACAGGGATTTTGGGATTCCTATCAGTATTCAAGAGGAGTCAGGCATCGTCACCTTTTGAAGCAATGAACTCCGCGTGCCTCTCGAGGTGTCAGCGGGATGTGAGGCATTCCGTCAAAATGAGGCAGGGACCTAGGGCTTTCTCTAAGGTCTCCACAGGGGATTCAGACATCCCTTCATGTTGTGAGATGAAAGACGAGCCTGTATTCAAGCCACTGCAAGGAAATCCGGCCTCCTTTCAAGTTAGGGCTTCTCGCTGTATATTCCCCTTGAGGCAGCAAACTCGGGGTCCCTCCCACATACCTATTGCTGAGAGAAGCCTCCTCCTGAGGTGCTTCTGGGAAGTTGGCATACGTCTTGAGCCTAAGCCAGGGAATCAGCTCGCATCTCGAGACGATTTGGGGTACACGGAGCATTCCTCGAGTTGCTGTGCTGAAGTTGGTGTTCCTCTAGACTTGGGACAGTGTTCTCGGGGCATCCCTGGAGTTGCCTGAAGGAAGTCGAGCCACCGGTCGTGTTGAATGGGGAACGGGGAATGGCTCTGGAGTCAATGCAGGGGAATCGGGCCTCATCTCGAGTTGATTTGGGGCACATGGAGCTTCTTTGCATTGCTGGGGTGACCTCAGGGTCCGTCTAGACTGGTGACAGTGTTCTTGGGGACTGTCTCGAGATCCATTAAGCAAGTCGAAGCTCCTGACTTGTTTGAATGGGATCACGGAATAGCTCTGCATGCACTGCAGGGGAATGGGGCCTCATCTCGCCTCTAGGGGGAAGTCTCATGGTTTTTCTCGAGTTGCGGCAGGGACCTGGGGTATGTTCTCGACTTACGGCGGGGATGGCCCTTCAAAACACGAGTTTCTTCAGTGACGTCAGGACTCCTGTCTAGTAATGAGGGACACCTCAGGAATCTCTTCGAGGCTTGGCAGGGCAAAAGGGACGCTTCTCGAGGTGAGGCAGGGCACCCAAGGACCCTTTCCAGTAGCCACAGGGATTTTGGGATTCCTATCAGTATTCAAGAGGAGTCAGGCATCGTCACCTTTTGAAGCAATGAACTCCGCGTGCCTCTCGAGGTGTCAGCGGGATGTGAGGCATTCCGTCAAAATGAGGCAGGGACCTAGGGCTTTCTCTAAGGTCTCCACAGGGGATTCAGACATCCCTTCATGTTGTGAGATGAAAGACGAGCCTGTATTCAAGCCACTGCAAGGAAATCCGGCCTCCTTTCAAGTTAGGGCTTCTCGCTGTATATTCCCCTTGAGGCAGCAAACTCGGGGTCCCTCCCACATACCTATTGCTGAGAGAAGCCTCCTCCTGAGGTGCTTCTGGGAAGTTGGCATACGTCTTGAGCCTAAGCCAGGGAATCAGCTCGCATCTCGAGACGATTTGGGGTACACGGAGCATTCCTCGAGTTGCTGTGCTGAAGTTGGTGTTCCTCTAGACTTGGGACAGTGTTCTCGGGGCATCTCTGGAGTTGTCTGAAGGAAGTCGAGCCACCGGTCGTGTTGAATGGGGAACGGGGAATGGCTCTGGAGTCAATGCAGGGGAATCGGGCCTCATCTCGAGTTGATTTGGGGCACATGGAGCTGCTTTGCGTTGCTGGGGTGACCTCAGGGTCCGTCTAGACTGGTGACAGTGTTCTTGGGGACTGTCTCGAGATCCATTAAGCAAGTCGAAGCTCCTGACTTGTTTGAATGGGATCACGGAATAGCTCTGCATGCACTGCAGGGGAATGGGGCCTCATCTCGCCTCTAGGGGGAAGTCTCATGGTTTTTCTCGAGTTGCGGCGGGGACCTGGGGTATGTTCTCGACTTCCGGCGGGGATGGCCCTTCAAAACACGAGTTTCTTCAGAGACGTCAGGACTCCTGTCTAGTAACGAGGGACACCTCAGGAATCTCTTCGAGGCTTGGCAGGGCAAAAGGGACGCTTCTCGAGGTGAGGCAGGGCACCCAAGGACCCTTTCCAGTAGCCACAGGGATTTTGGGATTCCTATCAGTATTCAAGAGGAGTCAGGCATCGTCACCTTTTGAAGCAATGAACTCCGCGTGCCTCTCGAGGTGTCAGCGGGATGTGAGGCATTCCGTCAAAATGAGGCAGGGACTTAGGGCTTTCTCTAACGTCTCCACAGGGGATTCAGACATCCCTTCATGTTGTGAGATGAAAGACGAGCCTGTATTCAAGCCACTGCAAGGAAATCCGGCCTCCTTTCAAGTTAGGGCTTCTCGCTGTATATTCCCCTTGAGGCAGCAAACTCGGGGTCCCTCCCACATACCTATTGCTGAGAGAAGCCTCCTCCTGAGGTGCTTCTGGGAAGTTGGCATACGTCTTGAGCCTAAGCCAGGGAATCAGCTCTCATCTCGAGACGATTTGGGGTACACGGAGCATTCCTCGAGTTGCTGTGCTGAAGGTGGTGTTCCTCTAGACTTGGGACAGTGTTCTCGGGGCATCCCTGGAGTTGCCTGAAGGAAGTCGAGCCACCGGTCGTGTTGAATGGGGAACGGGGAATGGCTCTGGAGTCAATGCAGGGGAATCGGGCCTCATCTCGAGTTGATTTGGGGCACATGGAGCTTCTTTGCGTTGCTGGGGTGACCTCAGGGTCCGTCTAGACTGGTGACAGTGTTCTTGGGGACTGTCTCGAGATCCATTAAGCAAGTCGAAGCTCCTGACTTGTTTGAATGGGATCACGGAATAGCTCTGCATGCACTGCAGGGGAATGGGGCCTCATCTCGCCTCTAGGGGGAAGTCTCATGGTTTTTCTCGAGTTGCGGCGGGGACCTGGGGTATGTTCTCGACTTACGGCGGGGATGGCCCTTCAATACACGAGTTTCTTCAGTGACGTCAGGACTCCTGTCTAGTAACGAGGGACACCTCAGGAATCTCTTCGAGGCTTGGCAGGGCAAAAGGGACGCTTCTCGAGGTGAGGCAGGGCACCCAAGGACCCTTTCCAGTAGCCACAGGGATTTTGGGATTCCTATCAGTATTCAAGAGGAGTCAGGCATCGTCACCTTTTGAAGCAATGAACTCCGCGTGCCTCTCGAGGTGTCAGCGGGATGTGAGGCTTTCCGTCAAAATGAGGCAGGGACCTAGGGCTTTCTCTAAGGTCTCCACAGGGGATTCAGACATCCCTTCATGTTGTGAGATGAAAGACGAGCCTGTATTCAAGCCACTGCAAGGAAATCCGGCCTCCTTTCAAGTTAGGGCTTCTCGCTGTATATTCCCCTTGAGGCAGCAAACTCGGGGTCCCTCCCACATACCTATTGCTGAGAGAAGCCTCCTCCTGAGGTGCTTCTGGGAAGTTGGCATACGTCTTGAGCCTAAGCCAGGGAATCAGCTCTCATCTCGAGACGATTTGGGGTACACGGAGCATTCCTCGAGTTGCTGTGCTGAAGTTGGTGTTCCTCTAGACTTGGGACAGTGTTCTCGGGGCATCTCTGGAGTTGCCTGAAGGAAGTCGAGCCACCGGTCGTGTTGAATGGGGAACGGGGAATGGCTCTGGAGTCAATGCAGGGGAATCGGGCCTCATCTCGAGTTGATTTGGGGCACATGGAGCTGCTTTGCGTTGCTGGGGTGACCTCAGGGTCCGTCTAGACTGGTGACAGTGTTCTTGGGGACTGTCTCGAGATCCATTAAGAAGTCGAAGCTCCTGACTTGTTTGAATGGGATCACGGAATAGCTCTGCATGCACTGCAGGGGAATGGGGCCTCATCTCGCCTCTAGGGGGAAGTCTCATGGTTTTTCTCGAGTTGCGGCGGGGACCTGGGGTATGTTCTCGACTTACGGCGGGGATGGCCCTTCAAAACACGAGTTTCTTCAGGGACGTCAGGACTCCTGTCTAGTAACGAGGGACACCTCAGGAATCTCTTCGAGGCTTGGCAGGGCAAAAGGGACGCTTCTCGAGGTGAGGCAGGGCACCCAAGGACCCTTTCCAGTAGCCACAGGGATTTTGGGATTCCTATCAGTATTCAAGAGGAGTCAGGCATCGTCACCTTTTGAAGCAATGAACTCCGCGTGCCTCTCGAGGTGTCAGCGGGATGTGAGGCATTCCTTAAAAATGAGGCATGGACCTAGGGCTTTCTCTAAGATCTCCACAGGGCATTCAGACATCCCTTCATGTTGTGAGATGAAAGACGAGCTTGTATTCAAGCCACTGCAAGGAAATCCGGCCTCCTTTCAAGTTAGGGCTTCTCGCTGTATATTCCCCTTGAGGCAGCAAACTCGGTGTCCCTCCCACATACCTATTGCTGAGAGAAGCCTCCTCCTGAGGTGCTTCTGGGAAGTTGGCATACGTCTTGAGCCTAAGCCAGGGAATCAGCTCTCATCTCGAGACGATTTGGGGTACACGGAGCATTCCTCGAGTTGCTGTGCTGAAGTTGGTGTTCCTCTAGACTTGGGACAGTGTTCTCGGGGCATCTCTGGAGTTGCCTGAAGGAAGTCGAGCCACCGGTCGTGTTGAATGGGGAACGGGGAATGGCTCTGGAGTCAATGCAGGGGAATCGGGCCTCATCTCGAGTTGATTTGGGGCACATGGAGCTGCTTTGCGTTGCTGGGGTGACCTCAGGGTCCGTCTAGACTGGTGACAGTGTTCTTGGGGACTGTCTCGAGATCCATTAAGCAAGTCGAAGCTCCTGACTTGTTTGAATGGGATCACGGAATAGCTCTGCATGCACTGCAGGGGAATGGGGCCTCATCTCGCCTCTAGGGGGAAGTCTCATGGTTTTTCTCGAGTTGCGGCGGGGACCTGGGGTATGTTCTCGACTTACGGCGGGGATGGCCCTTCAAAACACGAGTTTCTTCAGTGACGTCAGGACTCCTGTCTAGTAACGAGGGACACCTCAGGAATCTCTTCGAGGCTTGGCAGGGCAAAAGGGACGCTTCTCGAGGTGAGGCAGGGCACCCAAGGACCCTTTCCAGTAGCCACAGGGATTTTGGGATTCCTATCAGTATTCAAGAGGAGTCAGGCATCGTCACCTTTTGAAGCAATGAACTCTGCGTGCCTCTCGAGGTGTCAGGGGGATGTGAGGCATTCCGTCAAAATGAGGCAGGGACATAGGGCTTTCTCTAAGGTCTCCACAGGGGATTCAGACATCCCTTCATGTTGTGAGATGAAAGACGAGCCTGTATTCAAGCCACTGCAAGGAAATCCGGCCTCCTTTCAAGTTAGGGCTTCTCGCTGTATATTCCCCTTGAGGCAGCAAACTCGGGGTCCCTCCCACATACCTATTGCTGAGAGAAGCCTCCTCCTGAGGTGCTTCTGGGAAGTTGGCATACGTCTTGAGCCTAAGCCAGGGAATCAGCTCTCATCTCGAGACGATTTGGGGTACACGGAGCATTCCTCGAGTTGCTGTGCTGAAGTTGGTGTTCCTCTAGACTTGGGACAGTGTTCTCGGGGCATCTCTGGAGTTGCCTGAAGGAAGTCGAGCCACCGGTCGTGTTGAATGGGGAACGGGGAATGTCTCTGGAGTCAATGCAGGGGAATCGGGCCTCATCTCGAGTTGATTTGGGGCACATGGAGCTGCTTTGCGTTGCTGGGGTGACCTCAGGGTCCGTCTAGACTGGTGACAGTGTTCTTGGGGACTGTCTCGAGATCCATTAAGCAAGTCGAAGCTCCTGACTTGTTTGAATGGGATCACGGAATAGCTCTGCATGCACTGCAGGGGAATGGGGCCTCATCTCGCCTCTAGGGGGAAGTCTCATGGTTTTTCTCGAGTTGCGGCGGGGACCTGGGGTATGTTCTCGACTTACGGCGGGGATGGCCCTTCAAAACACGAGTTTCTTCAGTGACGTCAGGACTCCTGTCTAGTAACGAGGGACACCTCAGGAATCTCTTCGAGGCTTGGCAGGGCAAAAGGGACGCTTCTCGAGGTGCGGCAGGGCACCCAAGGACCCTTTCCAGTAGCCACAGGGATTTTGGGATTCCTATCAGTATTCAAGAGGAGTCAGGCATCGTCACCTTTTGAAGCAATGAACTCCGCGTGCCTCTCGAGGTGTCAGCGGGATGTGAGGCATTCCTTAAAAATGAAGCATGGACCTAGGGCTTTCTCTAAGATCTCCACAGGGGATTCAGACATCCCTTCATGTTGTGAGATGAAAGACGAGCTTGTATTCAAGCCACTGCAAGGAAATCCGGCCTCCTTTCAAGTTAGGGCTTCTCGCTGTATATTCCCCTTGAGGCAGCAAACTCGGGGTCCCTCCCACATACCTATTGCTGAGAGAAGCCTCCTCCTGAGGTGCTTCTGGGAAGTTGGCATACGTCTTGAGCCTAAGCCAGGGAATCAGCTCTCATCTCGAGACGATTTGGGGTACACGGAGCATTCCTCGAGTTGCTGTGCTGAAGTTGGTGTTCCTCTAGACTTGGGACAGTGTTCTCGGGGCATCTCTGGAGTTGCCTGAAGGAAGTCGAGCCACCGGTCGTGTTGAATGGGGAACGGGGAATGGCTCTGGAGTCAATGCAGGGGAATCGGGCCTCATCTCGAGTTGATTTGGGGCACATGGAGCTGCTTTGCGTTGCTGGGGTGACCTCAGGGTCCGTCTAGACTGGTGACAGTGTTCTTGGGGACTGTCTCGAGATCCATTAAGCAAGTCGAAGCTCCTGACTTGTTTGAATGGGATCACGGAATAGCTCTGCACGCACTGCAGGGGAATGGGGCCTCATCTCGCCTCTAGGGGGAAGTCTCATGGTTTTTCTCGAGTTGCGGCGGGGACCTGGGGTATGTTCTCGACTTACGGCGGGGATGGCCCTTCAAAACACGAGTTTCTTCAGTGACGTCAGGACTCCTGTCTAGTAACGAGGGACACCTCAGGAATCTCTTCGAGGCTTGGCAGGGCAAAAGGGACGCTTCTCGAGGTGAGGCAGGGCACCCAAGGACCCTTTCCAGTAGCCACAGGGATTTTGGGATTCCTATCAGTATTCAAGAGGAGTCAGGCATCGTCACCTTTTGAAGCAATGAACTCTGCGTGCCTCTCGAGGTGTCAGCGGGATGTGAGGCATTCCGTCAAAATGAGGCAGGGACATAGGGCTTTCTCTAAGGTCTCCACAGGGGATTCAGACATCCCTTCATGTTGTGAGATGAAAGACGAGCCTGTATTCAAGCCACTGCAAGGAAATCCGGCCTCCTTTCAAGTTAGGGCTTCTCGCTGTATATTCCCCTTGAGGCAGCAAACTCGGGGTCCCTCCCACATACCTATTGCTGAGAGAAGCCTCCTCCTGAGGTGCTTCTGGGAAGTTGGCATACGTCTTGAGCCTAAGCCAGGGAATCAGCTCTCATCTCGAGACGATTTGGGGTACACGGAGCATTCCTCGAGTTGCTGTGCTGAAGTTGGTGTTCCTCTAGACTTGGGACAGTGTTCTCGGGGCATCTCTGGAGTTGCCTGAAGGAAGTCGAGCCACCGGTCGTGTTGAATGGGGAACGGGGAATGTCTCTGGAGTCAATGCAGGGGAATCGGGCCTCATCTCGAGTTGATTTGGGGCACATGGAGCTGCTTTGCGTTGCTGGGGTGACCTCAGGGTCCGTCTAGACTGGTGACAGTGTTCTTGGGGACTGTCTCGAGATCCATTAAGCAAGTCGAAGCTCCTGACTTGTTTGAATGGGATCACGGAATAGCTCTGCATGCACTGCAGGGGAATGGGGCCTCATCTCGCCTCTAGGGGGAAGTCTCATGGTTTTTCTCGAGTTGCGGCGGGGACCTGGGGTATGTTCTCGACTTACGGCGGGGATGGCCCTTCAAAACACGAGTTTCTTCAGAGACGTCAGGACTCCTGTCTAGTAACGAGGGACACCTCAGGAATCTCTTCGAGGCTTGGCAGGGCAAAAGGGACGCTTCTCGAGGTGAGGCAGGGCACCCAAGGACCCTTTCCAGTAGCCACAGGGATTTTGGGATTCCTATCAGTATTCAAGAGGAGTCAGGCATCGTCACCTTTTGAAGCAATGAACTCCGCGTGCCTCTCGAGGTGTCAGCGGGATGTGAGGCATTCCGTCAAAATGAGGCAGGGACCTAGGGCTTTCTCTAAGGTCTCCACAGGGGATTCAGACATCCCTTCATGTTGTGAGATGAAAGACGAGCCTGTATTCAAGCCACTGCAAGGAAATCCGGCCTCCTTTCAAGTTAGGGCTTCTCGCTGTATATTCCCCTTGAGGCAGCAAACTCGGGGTCCCTCCCACATACCTATTGCTGAGAGAAGCCTCCTCCTGAGGTGCTTCTGGGAAGTTGGCATACGTCTTGAGCCTAAGCCAGGGAATCAGCTCTCATCTCGAGACGATTTGGGGTACACGGAGCATTCCTCGAGTTGCTGTGCTGAAGTTGGTGTTCCTCTAGACTTGGGACAGTGTTCTCGGGGCATCCCTGGAGTTGCCTGAAGGAAGTCGAGCCACCGGTCGTGTTGAATGGGGAACGGGGAATGGCTCTGGAGTCAATGCAGGGGAATCGGGCCTCATCTCGAGTTGATTTGGGGCACATGGAGCTTCTTTGCGTTGCTGGGGTGACCTCAGGGTCCGTCTAGACTGGTGACAGTGTTCTTGGGGACTGTCTCGAGATCCATTAAGCAAGTCGAAGCTCCTGACTTGTTTGAATGGGATCACGGAATAGCTCTGCATGCACTGCAGGGGAATGGGGCCTCATCTCGCCTCTAGGGGGAAGTCTCATGGTTTTTCTCGAGTTGCGGCGGGGACCTGGGGTATGTTCTCGACTTACGGCGGGGATGGCCCTTCAAAACACGAGTTTCTTCAGTGACGTCAGGACTCCTGTCTAGTAACTAGGGACACCTCAGGAATCTCTTCGAGGCTTGGCAGGGCAAAAGGGACGCTTCTCGAGGTGAGGCAGGGCACCCAAGGACCCTTTCCAGTAGCCACAGGGATTTTGGGATTCCTATCAGTATTCAAGAGGAGTCAGGCATCGTCACCTTTTGAAGCAATGAACTCCGCGTGCCTCTCGAGGTGTCAGCGGGATGTGAGGCATTCCGTCAAAATGAGGCAGGGACCTAGGGCTTTCTCTAAGGTCTCCACAGGGGATTCAGACATCCCTTCATGTTGTGAGATGAAAGACGAGCCTGTATTCAAGCCACTGCAAGGAAATCCGGCCTCCTTTCAAGTTAGGGCTTCTCGCTGTATATTCCCCTTGAGGCAGCAAACTCGGGGTCCCTCCCACATACCTATTGCTGAGAGAAGCCTCCTCCTGAGGTGCTTCTGGGAAGTTGGCATACGTCTTGAGCCTAAGCCAGGGAATCAGCTCGCATCTCGAGACGATTTGGGGTACACGGAGCATTCCTCGAGTTGCTGTGCTGAAGTTGGTGTTCCTCTAGACTTGGGACAGTGTTCTCGGGGCATCTCTGGAGTTGTCTGAAGGAAGTCGAGCCACCGGTCGTGTTGAATGGGGAACGGGGAATGGCTCTGGAGTCAATGCAGGGGAATCGGGCCTCATCTCGAGTTGATTTGGGGCACATGGAGCTGCTTTGCGTTGCTGGGGTGACCTCAGGGTCCGTCTAGACTGGTGACAGTGTTCTTGGGGACTGTCTCGAGATCCATTAAGCAAGTCGAAGCTCCTGACTTGTTTGAATGGGATCACGGAATAGCTCTGCATGCACTGCAGGGGAATGGGGCCTCATCTCGCCTCTAGGGGGAAGTCTCATGGTTTTTCTCGAGTTGCGGCGGGGACCTGGGGTATGTTCTCGACTTACGGCGGGGATGGCCCTTCAAAACACGAGTTTCTTCAGGGACGTCAGGACTCCTGTCTAGTAACGAGGGACACCTAAGGAATCTCTTCGAGGCTTGTCAGGGCAAAAGGGACGCTTCTCGAGGTGAGGCAGGGCACCCAAGGACCCTTTCCAGTAGCCACAGGGATTTTGTGATTCCTATCAGTATTCAAGAGGAGTCAGGCATCGTCACCTTTTGAAGCAATGAACTCCGCGTGCCTCTCGAGGTGTCAGCGGGATGTGAGGCATTCCGTCAAAATGAGGCATGGACCTAGGGCTTTCTCTAAGATCTCCACAGGGGATTCAGACATCCCTTCATGTTGTGAGATGAAAGACGAGCCTGTATTCAAGCCACTGCAAGGAAATCCGGCCTCCTTTCAAGTTAGGGCTTCTCGCTGTATATTCCCCTTGAGGCAGCACACTCGGGGTCCCTCCCACATACCTATTGCTGAGAGAAGCCTCCTCCTGAGGTGCTTCTGGGAAGTTGGCATACGTCTTCAGCCTAAGCCAGGGAATCAGCTCTCATCTCGAGACGATTTGGGGTACACGGAGCATTCCTCGAGTTGCTGTGCTGAAGTTGGTGTTGCTCTAGACTTGGGACAGTGTTCTCGGGGCATCCCTGGAGTTGCCTGAAGGAAGTCGAGCCACCGGTCGTGTTGAATGGGGAACGGGGAATGGCTCTGGAGTCAATGCAGGGGAATCGGGCCTCATCTCGAGTTGATTTGGGGCACATGGAGCTTCTTTGCGTTGCTGGGGTGACCTCAGGGTCCGTCTAGACTGGTGACAGTGTTCTTGGGGACTGTCTCGAGATCCATTAAGCAAGTCGAAGCTCCTGACTTGTTTGAATGGGATCACGGAATAGCTCTGCATGCACTGCAGGGGAATGGGGCCTCATCTCGCCTCTAGGGGGAAGTCTCATGGTTTTTCTCGAGTTGCGGCGGGGACCTGGGGTATGTTCTCGACTTACGGCGGGGATGGCCCTTCAAAACACGAGTTTCTTCAGGGACGTCAGGACTCATGTCTAGTAACGAGGGACACCTCAGGAATCTCTTCGAGGCTTGGCAGGGCAAAAGGGACGCTTCTCGAGGTGAGGCAGGGTACCCAAGGACCCTTTCCAGTAGCCACAGGGATTTTGGGATTCCTATCAGTATTCAAGAGGAGTCAGGCATCGTCACCTTTTGAAGCAATGAACTCCGCGTGCCTCTCGAGGTGTCAGCGGGATGTGAGGCATTCCGTCAAAATGAGGCAGGGACCTAGGGCTTTCTCTAAGGTCTCCACAGGGGATTCAGACATCCCTTCATGTTGTGAGATGAAAGACGAGCCTGTATTCAAGCCACTGCAAGGAAATCCGGCCTCCTTTCAAGTTAGGGCTTCTCGCTGTATATTCCCCTTGAGGCAGCAAACTCGGGGTCCCTCCCACATACCTATTGCTGAGAGAAGCTTCCTCCTGAGGTGCTTCTGGGAAGTTGGCATACGTCTTGAGCCTAAGCCAGGGAATCAGCTCTCATCTCGAGACGATTTGGGGTACACGGAGCATTCCTCGAGTTGCTGTGCTGAAGTTGGTGTTGCTCTAGACTTGGGACAGTGTTCTCGGGGCATCCCTGGAGTTGCCTGAAGGAAGTCGAGCCACCGGTCGTGTTGAATGGGGAACGGGGAATGGCTCTGGAGTCAATGCAGGGGAATCGGGCCTCATCTCGAGTTGATTTGGGGCACATGGAGCTTCTTTGCGTTGCTGGGGTGACCTCAGGGTCCGTCTAGACTGGTGACAGTGTTCTTGGGGACTGTCTCGAGATCCATTAAGCAAGTCGAAGCTCCTGACTTGTTTGAATGGGATCACGGAATAGCTCTGCATGCACTGCAGGGGAATGGGGCCTCATCTCGCCTCTAGGGGGAAGTCTCATGGTTTTTCTCGAGTTGCGGCGGGGACCTGGGGTATGTTTTCGACTTACGGCGGGGATGGCCCTTCAAAACACGAGTTTCTTCAGTGACGTCAGGACTCCTGTCTAGTAACGAGGGACACCTCAGGAAACTCTTCAAGGCTTGGCAGGGCAAAAGGGACGCTTCTCGAGGTGAGGCAGGGCACCCAAGGACCCTTTCCAGTAGCCACAGGGATTTTGGGATTCCTATCAGTATTCAAGAGGAGTCAGGCATCGTCACCTTTTGAAGCAATGAACTCCGCGTGCCTCTCGAGGTGTCAGCGGGATGTGAGGCATTCCGTCAAAATGAGGCAGGGACCTAGGGCTTTCTCTAAGGTCTCCACAGGGGATTCAGACATCCCTTCATGTTGTGAGATGAAAGACGAGCCTGTATTCAAGCCACTGCAAGGAAATCCGGCCTCCTTTCAAGTTAGGGCTTCTCGCTGTATATTCCCCTTGAGGCAGCAAACTCGGGGTCCCTCCCACATACCTATTGCTGAGAGAAGCCTCCTCCTGAGGTGCTTCTGGGAAGTTGGCATACGTCTTGAGCCTAAACCAGGGAATCAGCTCGCATCTCGAGACGATTTGGGGTACACGGAGCATTCCTCGAGTTGCTGTGCTGAAGTTGGTATTCCTCTAGACTTGGGACAGTGTTCTCGGGGCATCTCTGGAGTTGTCTGAAGGAAGTCGAGCCACCGGTCGTGTTGAATGGGGAACGGGGAATGGCTCTGGAGTCAATGCAGGGGAATCGGGCCTCATCTCGAGTTGATTTGGGGCACATGGAGCTGCTTTGCGTTGCTGGGGTGACCTCAGGGTCCGTCTAGACTGGTGACAGTGTTCTTGGGGACTGTCTCGAGATCCATTAAGCAAGTCGAAGCTCCTGACTTGTTTGAATGGGATCACGGAATAGCTCTGCATGCACTGCAGGGGAATGGGGCCTCATCTCGCCTCTAGGGGGAAGTCTCATGGTTTTTCTCGAGTTGCGGCGGGGACCTGGGGTATGTTCTCGACTTACGGCGGGGATGGCCCTTCAAAACACGAGTTTCTTCAGTGACGTCAGGACTCCTGTCTAGTAATGAGGGACACCTCAGGAATCTCTTCGAGGCTTGGCAGGGCAAAAGGGACGCTTCTCGAGGTGAGGCAGGGCACCCAAGGACCCTTTCCAGTAGCCACAGGGATTTTGGGATTCCTATCAGTATTCAAGAGGAGTCAGGCATCGTCACCTTTTGAAGCAATGAACTCCGCGTGCCTCTCGAGGTGTCACCGGGATGTGAGGCATTCCGTCAAAATGAGGCAGGGACTTAGGGCTTTCTCTAACGTCTCCAAAGGGGATTCAGACATCCCTTCATGTTGTGAGATGAAAGACGAGCCTGTATTCAAGCCACTGCAAGGAAATCCGGCCTCCTTTCAAGTTAGGGCTTCTCGCTGTATATTCCCCTTGAGGCAGCAAACTCGGGGTCCCTCCCACATACCTATTGCTGAGAGAAGCCTCCTCCTGAGGTGCTTCTGGAAAGTTGGCATACGTCTTGAGCCTAAGCCAGGGAATCAGCTCTCATCTCGAGACGATTTGGGGTACACGGAGCATTCCTCGAGTTGCTGTGCTGAAGTTGGTGTTCCTCTAGACTTGGGACAGTGTTCTCGGGGCATCCCTGGAGTTGCCTGAAGGAAGTCGAGCCACCGGTCGTGTTGAATGGGGAACGGGGAATGGCTCTGGAGTCAATGCAGGGGAATCGGGCCTCATCTCGAGTTGATTTGGGGCACATGGAGCTTCTTTGCGTTGCTGGGGTGACCTCAGGGTCCGTCTAGACTGGTGACAGTGTTCTTGGGGACTGTCTCGAGATCCATTAAGCAAGTCGAAGCTCCTGACTTGTTTGAATGGGATCACGGAATAGCTCTGCATGCACTGCAGGGGAATGGGGCCTCATCTCGCCTCTAGGGGGAAGTCTCATGGTTTTTCTCGAGTTGCGGCGGGGACCTGGGGTATGTTCTCGACTTACGGCGGGGATGGCCCTTCAAAACACGAGTTTCTTCAGTGACGTCAGGACTCCTGTCTAGTAACTAGGGACACCTCAGGAATCACTTCGAGGCTTGGCAGGGCAAAAGGGACGCTTCTCGAGGTGAGGCAGGGCACCCAAGGACCCTTTCCAGTAGCCACAGGGATTTTGGGATTCCTATCAGTATTCAAGAGGAGTCAGGCATCGTCACCTTTTGAAGCAATGAACTCCGCGTGCCTCTCGAGGTGTCAGCGGGATGTGAGGCATTCCGTCAAAATGAGGCAGGGACCTAGGGCTTTCTCTAACGTCTCCACAGGGGATTCAGACATCCCTTCATGTTGTGAGATGAAAGACGAGCCTGTATTCAAGCCACTGCAAGGAAATCCGGCCTCCTTTCAAGTTAGGGCTTCTCGCTGTATATTCCCCTTGAGGAAGCAAACTCGGGGTCCCTCCCACATACCTATTGCTGAGAGAAGCCTCCTCCTGAGGTGCTTCTGGGAAGTTGGCATACGTCTTGAGCCTAAGCCAGGGAATCAGCTCTCATCTCGAGACGATTTGGGGTACACGGAGCATTCCTCGAGTTGCTGTGCTGAAGTTGGTGTTCCTCTAGACTTGGGACAGTGTTCTCGGGGCATCCCTGGAGTTGCCTGAAGGAAGTCGAGCCACCGGTCGTGTTGAATGGGGAACGGGGAATGGCTCTGGAGTCAATGCAGGGGAATCGGGCCTCATCTCGAGTTGATTTGGGGCACATGGAGCTTCTTTGCATTGCTGGGGTGACCTCAGGGTCCGTCTAGACTGGTGACAGTGTTCTTGGGGACTGTCTCGAGATCCATTAAGCAAGTCGAAGCTCCTGACTTGTTTGAATGGGATCACGGAATAGCTCTGCATGCACTGCAGGGGAATGGGGCCTCATCTCGCATCTAGGGGGAAGTCTCATGGTTTTTCTCGAGTTGCGGCGGGGACCTGGGGTATGTTCTCGACTTACGGCGGGGATGGCCCTTCAAAACACGAGTTTCTTCAGTGACGTCAGGACTCCTGTCTAGTAACGAGGGACACCTCAGGAATCTCTTCGAGGCTTGGCAGGGCAAAAGGGACGCTTCTCAAGGTGAGGCAGGGCACCCAAGGACCCTTTCCAGTAGCCACAGGGATTTTGGGATTCCTATCAGTATTCAAGAGGAGTCAGGCATCGTCACCTTTTGAAGCAATGAACTCCGCGTGCCTCTCGAGGTGTCAGCGGGATGTGAGGCATTCCTTAAAAATGAGGCATGGACCTAGGGCTTTCTCTAAGATCTGCACAGGGGATTCAGACATCCCTTCATGTTGTGAGATGAAAGACGAGCCTGTATTCAAGCCACTGCAAGGAAATCCGGCCTCCTTTCAAGTTAGGGCTTCTCGCTGTATATTCCCCTTGAGGCAGCAAACTCGGGGTCCCTCCCACATACCTATTGCTGAGAGAAGCTTCCTCCTGAGGTGCTTCTGGGAAGTTGGCATACGTCTTGAGCCTAAGCCAGGGAATCAGCTCTCATCTCGAGACGATTTGGGGTACACGGAGCATTCCTCGAGTTGCTGTGCTGAAGTTGGTGTTCCTCTAGACTTGGGACAGTGTTCTCGGGGCATCTCTGGAGTTGCCTGAAGGAAGTCGAGCCACCGGTCGTGTTGAATGGGGAACGAGGAATGGCTCTGGAGTCAATGCAGGGGAATCGGGCCTCATCTCGAGTTGATTTGGGGCACATGGAGCTGCTTTGCGTTGCTGGGGTGACCTCAGGGTCCGTCTAGACTGGTGACAGTGTTCTTGGGGACTGTCTCGAGATCCATTAAGCAAGTCGAAGCTCCTGACTTGTTTGAATGGGATCACGGAATAGCTGTGCATGCACTGCAGGGGAATGGGGCCTCATCTCGCCTCTAGGGGGAAGTCTCATGGTTTTTCTCGAGTTGCGGCGGGGACCTGGGGTATTTTCTCGACTTACGGCGGGGATGGCCCTTCAAAACACGAGTTTCTTCAGTGACGTCAGGACTCCTGTCTAGTAACGAGGGACACCTCAGGAATCTCTTCGAGGCTTGGCAGGGCAAAAGGGACGCTTCTCGAGGTGAGGCAGGGCACCCAAGGACCCTTTCCAGTAGCCACAGGGATTTTGGGATTCCTATCAGTATTCAAGAGGAGTCAGGCATCGTCACTTTTTGAAGCAATGAACTCCGCGTGCCTCTCGAGGTGTCAGCGGGATGTGAGGCATTCCGTCAAAATGAGGCAGGGAACTAGGGCTTTCTCTAACGTCTCCACAGGGGATTCAGACATCCCTTCATGTTGTGAGATGAAAGACGAGCCTGTATTCAAGCCACTGCAAGGAAATCCGGCCTCCTTTCAAGTTAGGGCTTCTCGCTGTATATTCCCCTTGAGGCAGCAAACTCGGGGTCCCTCCCACATACCTATTGCTGAGAGAAGCCTCCTCCTGAGGTGCTTCTGGGAAGTTGGCATACGTCTTGAGCCTAAACCAGGGAATCAGCTCTCATCTCGAGACGATTTGGGGTACACGGAGCATTCCTCGAGTTGCTGTGCTGAAGTTGGTGTTCCTCTAGACATGGGACAGTGTTCTCGGGGCATCTCTGGAGTTGCCTGAAGGAAGTCGAGCCACCGGTCGTGTTGAATGGGGAACGGGGAATGGCTCTGGAGTCAATGCAGGGGAATCGGGCCTCATCTCGAGTTGATTTGGGGCACATGGAACTGCTTTGCGTTGCTGGGGTGACCTCAGGGTCCGTCTAGACTGGTGACAGTGTTCTTGGGGACTGTCTCGAGATCCATTAAGCAAGTCGAAGCTCCTGACTTGTTTGAATGGGATCACGGAATAGCTCTGCATGCACTGCAGGGGAATGGGGCCTCATCTCGCCTCTAGGGGGAAGTCTCATGGTTTTTCTCGAGTTGCGGCGGGGACCTGGGGTATGTTTTCGACTTACGGCGGGGATGGCCCTTCAAATCACGAGTTTCTTCAGTGACGTCAGGACTAGTGTCTAGTAACGAGGGACACCTCAGGAATCTCTTCGAGGCTTGGCAGGGCAAAAGGGACGCTTCTCGAGGTGAGGCAGGGCACCCAAGGACCCTTTCCAGTAGCCACAGGGATTTTGGGATTCCTATCAGTATTCAAGAGGAGTCAGGCATCGTCACCTTTTGAAGCAATGAACTCCGCGTGCCTCTCGAGGTGTCAGCGGGATGTGAGGCATTCCGTCAAAATGAGGCAGGGACCTAGGGCTTTCTCTAAGGTCTCCACAGGGGATTCAGACATCCCTTCATGTTGTGAGATGAAAGACGAGCCTGTATTCAAGCCACTGCAAGGAAATCCGGCCTCCTTTCAAGTTAGGGCTTCTCGCTGTATATTCCCCTTGAGGCAGCAAACTCGGGGTCCCTCCCACATACCTATTGCTGAGAGAAGCCTCCTCCTGAGGTGCTTCTGGGAAGTTGGCATACGTCTTGAGCCTAAGCCAGGGAATCAGCTCTCATCTCGAGACGATTTGGGGTACACGGAGCATTCCTCGAGTTGCTGTGCTGAATTTGGTGTTCCTCTAGACTTGGGACAGTGTTCTCGGGGCATCCCTGGAGTTGCCTGAAGGAAGTCGAGCCACCGGTCGTGTTGAATGGGGAACGGGGAATGGCTCTGGAGTCAATGCAGGGGAATCGGGCCTCATCTCGAGTTGATTTGGGGCACATGGAGCTTCTTTGCGTTGCTGGGGTGACCTCAGGGTCCGTCTAGACTGGTGACAGTGTTCTTGGGGACTGTCTCGAGATCCATTAAGCAAGTCGAAGCTCCTGACTTGTTTGAATGGGATCACGGAATAGCTCTGCATGCACTGCAGGGGAATGGGGCCTCATCTCGCCTCTAGGGGGAAGTCTCATGGTTTTTCTCGAGTTGCGGCGGGGACCTGGGGTATGTTCTCGACTTACGGCGGGGATGGCCCTTCAAAACACGAGTTTCTTCAGTGACGTCAGGACTCCTGTCTAGTAACTAGGGACACCTCAGGAATCACTTCGAGGCTTGGCAGGGCAAAAGGGACGCTTCTCGAGGTGAGGCAGGGCACCCAAGGACCCTTTCCAGTAGCCACAGGGATTTTGGGATTCCTATCAGTATTCAAGAGGAGTCAGGCATCGTCACCTTTTGAAGCAATGAACTCCGCGTGCCTCTCGAGGTGTCAGCGGGATGTGAGGCATTCCGTCAAAATGAGGCAGGGACCTAGGGCTTTCTCTAACGTCTCCACAGGGGATTCAGACATCCCTTCATGTTGTGAGATGAAAGACGAGCCTGTATTCAAGCCACTGCAAGGAAATCCGGCCTCCTTTCAAGTTAGGGCTTCTCGCTGTATATTCCCCTTGAGGAAGCAAACTCGGGGTCCCTCCCACATACCTATTGCTGAGAGAAGCCTCCTCCTGAGGTGCTTCTGGGAAGTTGGCATACGTCTTGAGCCTAAGCCAGGGAATCAGCTCTCATCTCGAGACGATTTGGGGTACACGGAGCATTCCTCGAGTTGCTGTGCTGAAGTTGGTGTTCCTCTAGACTTGGGACAGTGTTCTCGGGGCATCCCTGGAGTTGCCTGAAGGAAGTCGAGCCACCGGTCGTGTTGAATGGGGAACGGGGAATGGCTCTGGAGTCAATGCAGGGGAATCGGGCCTCATCTCGAGTTGATTTGGGGCACATGGAGCTTCTTTGCATTGCTGGGGTGACCTCAGGGTCCGTCTAGACTGGTGACAGTGTTCTTGGGGACTGTCTCGAGATCCATTAAGCAAGTCGAAGCTCCTGACTTGTTTGAATGGGATCACGGAATAGCTCTGCATGCACTGCAGGGGAATGGGGCCTCATCTCGCATCTAGGGGGAAGTCTCATGGTTTTTCTCGAGTTGCGGCGGGGACCTGGGGTATGTTCTCGACTTACGGCGGGGATGGCCCTTCAAAACACGAGTTTCTTCAGTGACGTCAGGACTCCTGTCTAGTAACGAGGGACACCTCAGGAATCTCTTCGAGGCTTGGCAGGGCAAAAGGGACGCTTCTCAAGGTGAGGCAGGGCACCCAAGGACCCTTTCCAGTAGCCACAGGGATTTTGGGATTCCTATCAGTATTCAAGAGGAGTCAGGCATCGTCACCTTTTGAAGCAATGAACTCCGCGTGCCTCTCGAGGTGTCAGCGGGATGTGAGGCATTCCTTAAAAATGAGGCATGGACCTAGGGCTTTCTCTAAGATCTGCACAGGGGATTCAGACATCCCTTCATGTTGTGAGATGAAAGACGAGCCTGTATTCAAGCCACTGCAAGGAAATCCGGCCTCCTTTCAAGTTAGGGCTTCTCGCTGTATATTCCCCTTGAGGCAGCAAACTCGGGGTCCCTCCCACATACCTATTGCTGAGAGAAGCTTCCTCCTGAGGTGCTTCTGGGAAGTTGGCATACGTCTTGAGCCTAAGCCAGGGAATCAGCTCTCATCTCGAGACGATTTGGGGTACACGGAGCATTCCTCGAGTTGCTGTGCTGAAGTTGGTGTTCCTCTAGACTTGGGACAGTGTTCTCGGGGCATCTCTGGAGTTGCCTGAAGGAAGTCGAGCCACCGGTCGTGTTGAATGGGGAACGAGGAATGGCTCTGGAGTCAATGCAGGGGAATCGGGCCTCATCTCGAGTTGATTTGGGGCACATGGAGCTGCTTTGCGTTGCTGGGGTGACCTCAGGGTCCGTCTAGACTGGTGACAGTGTTCTTGGGGACTGTCTCGAGATCCATTAAGCAAGTCGAAGCTCCTGACTTGTTTGAATGGGATCACGGAATAGCTGTGCATGCACTGCAGGGGAATGGGGCCTCATCTCGCCTCTAGGGGGAAGTCTCATGGTTTTTCTCGAGTTGCGGCGGGGACCTGGGGTATTTTCTCGACTTACGGCGGGGATGGCCCTTCAAAACACGAGTTTCTTCAGTGACGTCAGGACTCCTGTCTAGTAACGAGGGACACCTCAGGAATCTCTTCGAGGCTTCGCAGGGCAAAAGGGACGCTTCTCGAGGTGAGGCAGGGCACCCAAGGACCCTTTCCAGTAGCCACAGGGATTTTGGGATTCCTATCAGTATTCAAGAGGAGTCAGGCATCGTCACTTTTTGAAGCAATGAACTCCGCGTGCCTCTCGAGGTGTCAGCGGGATGTGAGGCATTCCGTCAAAATGAGGCAGGGAACTAGGGCTTTCTCTAACGTCTCCACAGGGGATTCAGACATCCCTTCATGTTGTGAGATGAAAGACGAGCCTGTATTCAAGCCACTGCAAGGAAATCCGGCCTCCTTTCAAGTTAGGGCTTCTCGCTGTATATTCCCCTTGAGGCAGCAAACTCGGGGTCCCTCCCACATACCTATTGCTGAGAGAAGCCTCCTCCTGAGGTGCTTCTGGGAAGTTGGCATACGTCTTGAGCCTAAACCAGGGAATCAGCTCTCATCTCGAGACGATTTGGGGTACACGGAGCATTCCTCGAGTTGCTGTGCTGAAGTTGGTGTTCCTCTAGACATGGGACAGTGTTCTCGGGGCATCTCTGGAGTTGCCTGAAGGAAGTCGAGCCACCGGTCGTGTTGAATGGGGAACGGGGAATGGCTCTGGAGTCAATGCAGGGGAATCGGGCCTCATCTCGAGTTGATTTGGGGCACATGGAACTGCTTTGCGTTGCTGGGGTGACCTCAGGGTCCGTCTAGACTGGTGACAGTGTTCTTGGGGACTGTCTCGAGATCCATTAAGCAAGTCGAAGCTCCTGACTTGTTTGAATGGGATCACGGAATAGCTCTGCATGCACTGCAGGGGAATGGGGCCTCATCTCGCCTCTAGGGGGAAGTCTCATGGTTTTTCTCGAGTTGCGGCGGGGACCTGGGGTATGTTTTCGACTTACGGCGGGGATGGCCCTTCAAATCACGAGTTTCTTCAGTGACGTCAGGACTAGTGTCTAGTAACGAGGGACACCTCAGGAATCTCTTCGAGGCTTGGCAGGGCAAAAGGGACGCTTCTCGAGGTGAGGCAGGGCACCCAAGGACCCTTTCCAGTAGCCACAGGGATTTTGGGATTCCTATCAGTATTCAAGAGGAGTCAGGCATCGTCACCTTTTGAAGCAATGAACTCCGCGTGCCTCTCGAGGTGTCAGCGGGATGTGAGGCATTCCGTCAAAATGAGGCAGGGACCTAGGGCTTTCTCTAAGGTCTCCACAGGGGATTCAGACATCCCTTCATGTTGTGAGATGAAAGACGAGCCTGTATTCAAGCCACTGCAAGGAAATCCGGCCTCCTTTCAAGTTAGGGCTTCTCGCTGTATATTCCCCTTGAGGCAGCAAACTCGGGGTCCCTCCCACATACCTATTGCTGAGAGAAGCCTCCTCCTGAGGTGCTTCTGGGAAGTTGGCATACGTCTTGAGCCTAAGCCAGGGAATCAGCTCTCATCTCGAGACGATTTGGGGTACACGGAGCATTCCTCGAGTTGCTGTGCTGAATTTGGTGTTCCTCTAGACTTGGGACAGTGTTCTCGGGGCATCCCTGGAGTTGCCTGAAGGAAGTCGAGCCACCGGTCGTGTTGAATGGGGAACGGGGAATGGCTCTGGAGTCAATGCAGGGGAATCGGGCCTCATCTCGAGTTGATTTGGGGCACATGGAGCTTCTTTGCGTTGCTGGGGTGACCTCAGGGTCCGTCTAGACTGGTGACAGTGTTCTTGGGGACTGTCTCGAGATCCATTAAGCAAGTCGAAGCTCCTGACTTGTTTGAATGGGATCACGGAATAGCTCTGCATGCACTGCAGGGGAATGGGGCCTCATCTCGCCTCTAGGGGGAAGTCTCATGGTTTTTCTCGAGTTGCGGCGGGGACCTGGGGTATGTTCTCGACTTACGGCGGGGATGGCCCTTCAAAACACGAGTTTCTTCAGTGACGTCAGGACTCCTGTCTAGTAACGAGGGACACCTCAGGAATCTCTTCGAGGCTTGGCAGGGCAAAAGGGACGCTTCTCGAGGTGAGGCAGGGCACCCAAGGACCCTTTCCAGTAGCCACAGGGATTTTGGGATTCCTATCAGTATTCAAGAGGAGTCAGGCATCGTCACCTTTTGAAGCAATGAACTCCGCGTGCCTCTCGAGGTGTCAGCGGGATGTGAGGCATTCCTTAAAAATGAGGCATGGACCTAGGGCTTTCTCTAAGATCTCCACAGGGGATTCAGACATCCCTTCATGTTGTGAGATGAAAGACGAGCCTGTATTCAAGCCACTGCAAGGAAATCCGGCCTCCTTTCAAGTTAGGGCTTCTCGCTGTATATTCCCCTTGAGGCAGCAAACTCGGGGTCCCTCCCACATACCTATTGCTGAGAGAAGCCTCCTCCTGAGGTGCTTCTGGGAAGTTGGCATACGTCTTGAGCCTAAGCCAGGGAATCAGCTCTCATCTCGAGACGATTTGGGGTACACGGAGCATTCCTCGAGTTGCTGTGCTGAAGTTGGTGTTCCTCTAGACTTGGGACAGTGTTCTCGGGGCATCCCTGGAGTTGCCTGAAGGAAGTCGAGCCACCGGTCGTGTTGAATGGGGAAAGGGGAATGGCTCTGGAGTCAATGCAGGGGAATCGGGCCTCATCTCGAGTTGATTTGGGGCACATGGAGCTTCTTTGCGTTGCTGGGGTGACCTCAGGGTCCGTCTAGACTGGTGACAGTGTTCTTGGGGACTGTCTCGAGATCCATTAAGCAAGTCGAAGCTCCTGACTTGTTTGAATGGGATCACGGAATAGCTCTGCATGCACTGCAGGGGAATGAGGCCTCATCTCGCCTCTAGGGGGAAGTCTCATGGTTTTTCTCGAGTTGCGGCGGGGACCTGGGGTATGTTCTCGACTTACGGCGGGGATGGCCCTTCAAAACACGAGTTTCTTCAGTGACGTCAGGACTCCTGTCTAGTAATGAGGGACACCTCAGGAATCTCTTCGAGGCTTGGCAGGGCAAAAGGGACGCTTCTCGAGGTGAGGCAGGGCACCCAAGGACCCTTTCCAGTAGCCACAGGGATTTTGGGATTCCTATCAGTATTCAAGAGGAGTCAGGCATCGTCACCTTTTGAAGCAATGAACTCCGCGTGCCTCTCGAGGTGTCAGCGGGATGTGAGGCATTCCGTCAAAATGAGGCAGGGACTTAGGGCTTTCTCTAACGTCTCCACAGGGGATTCAGACATCCCTTCATGTTGTGAGATGAAAGACGAGCCTGTATTCAAGCCACTGCAAGGAAATCCGGCCTCCTTTCAAGTTAGGGCTTCTCGCTGTATATTCCCCTTGAGGCAGCAAACTCGGGGTCCCTCCCACATACCTATTGCTGAGAGAAGCCTCCTCCTGAGGTGCTTCTGGAAAGTTGGCATACGTCTTGAGCCTAAGCCAGGGAATCAGCTCTCATCTCGAGACGATTTGGGGTACACGGAGCATTCCTCGAGTTGCTGTGCTGAAGTTGGTGTTCCTCTAGACTTGGGACAGTGTTCTCGGGGCATCCCTGGAGTTGCCTGAAGGAAGTCGAGCCACCGGTCGTGTTGAATGGGGAACGGGGAATGGCTCTGGAGTCAATGCAGGGGAATCGGGCCTCATCTCGAGTTGATTTGGGGCACATGGAGCTTCTTTGCGTTGCTGGGGTGACCTCAGGGTCCGTCTAGACTGGTGACAGTGTTCTTGGGGACTGTCTCGAGATCCATTAAGCAAGTCGAAGCTCCTGACTTGTTTGAATGGGATCACGGAATAGCTCTGCATGCACTGCAGGGGAATGGGGCCTCATCTCGCCTCTAGGGGGAAGTCTCATGGTTTTTCTCGAGTTGCGGCGGGGACCTGGGGTATGTTCTCGACTTACGGCGGGGATGGCCCTTCAAAACACGAGTTTCTTCAGTGACGTCAGGACTCCTGTCTAGTAACTAGGGACACCTCAGGAATCTCTTCGAGGCTTGGCAGGGCAAAAGGGACGCTTCTCGAGGTGAGGCAGGGCACCCAAGGACCCTTTCCAGTAGCCACAGGGATTTTGGGATTCCTATCAGTATTCAAGAGGAGTCAGGCATCGTCACCTTTTGAAGCAATGAACTCCGCGTGCCTCTCGAGGTGTCAGCGGGATGTGAGGCATTCCGTCAAAATGAGGCAGGGACCTAAGGCTTTCTCTAAGGTCTCCACAGGGGATTCAGACATCCCTTCATGTTGTGAGATGAAAGACGAGCCTGTATTCAAGCCACTGCAAGGAAATCCGGCCTCCTTTCAAGTTAGGGCTTCTCGCTGTATATTCCCCTTGAGGCAGCAAACTCGGGGTCCCTCCCACATACCTATTGCTGAGAGAAGCCTCCTCCTGAGGTGCTTCTGGGAAGTTGGCATACGTCTTGAGCCTAAGCCAGGGAATCAGCTCGCATCTCGAGACGATTTGGGGTACACGGAGCATTCCTCGAGTTGCTGTGCTGAAGTTGGTGTTCCTCTAGACTTGGGACAGTGTTCTCGGGGCATCTCTGGAGTTGTCTGAAGGAAGTCGAGCCACCGGTCGTGTTGAATGGGGAACGGGGAATGGCTCTGGAGTCAATGCAGGGGAATCGGGCCTCATCTCGAGTTGATTTGGGGCACATGGAGCTGCTTTGCGTTGCTGGGGTGACCTCAGGGTCCGTCTAGACTGGTGACAGTGTTCTTGGGGACTGTCTCGAGATCCATTAAGCAAGTCGAAGCTCCTGACTTGTTTGAATGGGATCACGGAATAGCTCTGCATGCACTTCAGGGGAATGGGGCCTCATCTCGCCTCTAGGGGGAAGTCTCATGGTTTTTCTCGAGTTGCGGCGGGGACCTGGGGTATGTTCTCGACTTACGGCGGGGATGGCCCTTCAAAACACGAGTTTCTTCAGTGACGTCAGGACTCCTGTCTAGTAATGAGGGACACCTCAGGAATCTCTTCGAGGCTTGGCAGGGCAAAAGGGACGCTTCTCGAGGTGAGGCAGGGCACCCAAGGACCCTTTCCAGTAGCCACAGGGATTTTGGGATTCCTATCAGTATTCAAGAGGAGTCAGGCATCGTCACCTTTTGAAGAAATGAACTCCGCGAGCCTCTCGAGGTGTCAGCGGGATGTGAGGCATTCCGTCAAAATGAGGCAGGGACTTAGGGCTTTCTCTAACGTCTCCACAGGGGATTCAGACATCCCTTCATGTTGTGAGATGAAAGACGAGCCTGTATTCAAGCCACTGCAAGGAAATCCGCCCTCTTTCAAGTTAGGGCTTCTCGCTGTATATTCCCCTTGAGGCAGCAAACTCGGGGTCCCTCCCACATACCTATTGCTGAGAGAAGCCTCCTCCTGAGGTGCTTCTGGGAAGTTGGCATACGTCTTGAGCCTAAGCCAGGGAATCAGCTCTCATCTCGAGACGATTTGGGGTACATGGAGCATTCCTCGAGTTGCTGTGCTGAAGGTGGTGTTCCTCTAGACTTGGGACAGTGTTCTCGGGGCATCACTGGAGTTGCCTGAAGGAAGTCGAGCCACCGGTCGTGTTGAATGGGGAACGGGGAATGGCTCTGTAGTCAATGCAGGGGAATCGGGCCTCATCTCGAGTTGATTTGGGGCACATGGAGCTTCTTTGCGTTGCTGGGGTGACCTCAGGGTCCGTCTAGACTGGTGACAGTGTCCTTGGGGACTGTCTCGAGATCCATTAAGCAAGTCGAAGCTCCTGACTTGTTTGAATGGGATCACGGAATAGCTCTGCATGCACTGCAGGGGAATGGGGCCTCATCTCGCCTCTAGGGGGAAGTCTCATGGTTTTTCTCGAGTTGCGGCGGGGACCTGGGGTATGTTCTCGACTTACGGCGGGGATGGCCCTTCAATACACGAGTTTCTTCAGTGACGTCAGGACTCCTGTCTAGTAACGAGGGACACCTCAGGAATCTCTTCGAGGCTTGGCAGGGCAAAAGGGACGCTTCTCGAGGTGAGGCAGGGCACCCAAGGACCCTTTCCAGTAGCCACAGGGATTTTGGGATTCCTATCAGTATTCAAGAGGAGTCAGGCATCGTCACCTTTTGAAGCAATGAACTCCGCGTGCCTCTCGAGGTGTCAGCGGGATATGAGGCTTTCCGTCAAAATGAGGCAGGGACCTAGGGCTTTCTCTAAGATCTCCACAGGGGATTCAGACATCCCTTCATGTTGTGAGATGAAAGACGAGCCTGTATTCAAGCCACTGCAAGGAAATCCGGCCTCCTTTCAAGTTAGGGCTTCTCGCTGTATATTCCCCTTGAGGCAGCAAACTCGGGGTCCCTCCCACATACCTATTGCTGAGAGAAGCCTCCTCCTGAGGTGCTTCTGGGAAGTTGGCATACGTCTTGAGCCTAAGCCAGGGAATCAGCTCTCATCTCGAGACGATTTGGGGTACACGGAGCATTCCTCGAGTTGCTGTGCTGAAGTTGGTGTTCCTCTAGACTTGGGACAGTGTTCTCGGGGCATCTCTGGAGTTGCCTGAAGGAAGTCGAGCCACCGGTCGTGTTGAATGGGGAACGGGGAATGGCTCTGGAGTCAATGCAGGGGAATCGGGCCTCATCTCGAGTTGATTTGGGGCACATGGAGCTGCTCTGCGTTGCTGGGGTGACCTCAGGGTCCGTCTAGACTGGTGACAGTGTTCTTGGGGACTGTCTCGAGATCCATTAAGCAAGTCGAAGCTCCTGACTTGTTTGAATGGGATCACGGAATAGCTCTGCATGCACTGCAGGGGAATGGGGCCTCATCTCGCCTCTAGGGGGAAGTCTCATGGTTTTTCTCGAGTTGCGGCGGGGACCTAGGGTATGTTCTCGACTTACGGCGGGGATGGCCCTTCAAAACACGAGTTTCTTCAGTGACGTCAGGACTCCTGTCTAGTAACGAGGGACACCTCAGGAATCTCTTCGAGGCTTGGCAGGGCAAAAGGGACGCTTCTCGAGGTGAGGCAGGGCACCCAAGGACCCTTTCCAGTAGCCACAGGGATTTTGGGATTCCTATCAGTATTCAAGAGGAGTCAGGCATCGTCACTTTTTGAAGCAATGAACTCCGCGTGCCTCTCGAGGTGTCAGCGGGATGTGAGGCATTCCTTAAAAATGAGGCAGGGACCTAGGGCTTTCTCTAAGGTCTCCACAGGGGATTCAGACATCCCTTCATGTTGTGAGATGAAAGACGAGCCTGTATTCAAGCCACTGCAAGGAAATCCGGCCTCCTTTCAAGTTAGGGCTTCTCGCTGTATATTCCCCTTGAGACAGCAAACTCGGGGTCCCTCCCACATACCTATTGCTGAGAGAAGCTTCCTCCTGAGGTGCTTCTGGGAAGTTGGCATACGTCTTGAGCCTAAGCCAGGGAATCAGCTCTCATCTCGAGACGATTTGGGGTACACGGAGCATTCCTCGAGTTGCTGTGCTGAAGTTGGTGTTCCTCTAGACTTGGGACAGTGTTCTCGGGGCATCTCTGGAGTTGCCTGAAGGAAGTCGAGCCACCGGTCGTGTTGAATGGGGAACGGGGAATGTCTCTGGAGTCAATGCAGGGGAATCGGGCCTCATCTCGAGTTGATTTGGGGCACATGGAGCTGCTTTGCGTTGCTGGGGTGACCTCAGGGTCCGTCTAGACTGGTGACAGTGTTCTTGGGGACTGTCTCGAGATCCATTAAGCAAGTCGAAGATCCTGACTTGTTTGAATGGGATCACGGAATAGCTCTGCATGCACTGCAGGGAAATGGGGCCTCATCTCGCCTCTAGGGGGAAGTCTCATGGTTTTTCTCGAGTTGCGGCGGGGACCTGGGGTATGTTCTCGACTTACGGCGGGGATGGCCCTTCAAAACACGAGTTTCTTCAGTGACGTCAGGACTCCTGTCTAGTAACGAGGGACACCTCAGCAATCTCTTCGAGGCTTGGCAGGGCAAAAGGGAGGCTTCTCGAGGTGAGGCAGGGCACCCAAGGACCCTTTCCAGTAGCCACAGGGATTTTGGGATTCCTATCAGTATTCAAGAGGAGTCAGGCATCGTCACCTTTTGAAGCAATGAACTCCGCGTGCCTCTCGAGGTGTCAGCGGGATGTGAGGCATTCCGTCAAAATGAGGCAGGGACCTAGGGCTTTCTCTAAGGTCTCCACAGGGGATTCAGACATCCCTTCATGTTGTGAGATGAAAGACGAGCCTGTATTCAAGCCACTGCAAGGAAATCCGGCCTCCTTTCAAGTTAGGGCTTCTCGCTGTATATTCCCCTTGAGGCAGCACACTCGGGGTCCCTCCCACATACCTATTGCTGAGAGAAGCCTCCTCCTGAGGTGCTTCTGGGAAGTTGGCATACGTCTTGAGCCTAAGCCAGGGAATCAGCTCTCATCTCGAGACGATTTGGGGTACACGGAGCATTCCTCGAGTTGCTGTGCTGAAGTTGGTGTTCCTCTAGACTTGGGACAGTGTTCTCGGGGCATCTCTGGAGTTGCCTGAAGGAAGTCGAGCCACCGGTCGTGTTGAATGGGGAACGGGGAATGGCTCTGGAGTCAATGCAGGGGAATCGGGCCTCATCTCGAGTTGATTTGGGGCACATGGAACTGCTTTGCGTTGCTGGGGTGACCTCAGGGTCCGTCTAGACTGGTGACAGTGTTCTTGGGGACTGTCTCGAGATCCATTAAGCAAGTCGAAGCTCCTGACTTGTTTGAATGGGATCACGGAATAGCTCTGCATGCACTGCAGGGGAATGGGGCCTCATCTCGCCTCTAGGGGGAAGTCTCATGGTTTTTCTCGAGTTGCGGCGGGGACCTGGGGTATGTTCTCGACTTACGGCGGGGATGGCCCTTCAAAACACGAGTTTCTTCAGTGACGTCAGGACTCCTGTCTAGTAACGAGGGACACCTCAGGAATCTCTTCGAGGCTTGGCAGGGCAAAAGGGACGCTTCTCGAGGTGAGGCAGGGCACCCAAGGACCCTTTCCAGTAGCCACAGGGATTTTGGGATTCCTATCAGTATTCAAGAGGAGTCAGGCATCGTCACCTTTTGAAGCAATGAACTCCGCGTGCCTCTCGAGGTGTCAGCGGGATGTGAGGCATTCCGTCAAAATGAGGCAGGGACCTAGGGCTTTCTCTAACGTCTCCACAGGGGATTCAGACATCCCTTCATGTTGTGAGATGAAAGACGAGCCTGTATTCAAGCCACTGCAAGGAAATCCGGCCTCCTTTCAAGTTAGGGCTTCTCACTGTATATTCCCCTTGAGGCAGCAAACTCGTGGTCCCTCCCACATACCTATTGCTGAGAGAAGCCTCCTCCTGAGGTGCTTCTGGGAAGTTGGCATACGTCTTGAGCCTAAGCCAGGGAATCAGCTCTCATCTCGAGACGATTTGGGGTACACGGAGCATTCCTCGAGTTGCTGTGCTGAAGTTGGTGTTCCTCTAGACTTGGGACAGTGTTCTCGGGGCATCCCTGGAGTTGCCAGAAGGAAGTCGAGCCACCGGTCGTGTTGAATGGGGAACGGGGAATGGCTCTGGAGTCAATGCAGGGGAATCGGGCCTCATCTCGAGTTGATTTGGGGCACATGGAGCTTCTTTGCGTTGCTGGGGTGACCTCAGGGTCCGTCTAGACTGGTGACAGTGTTCTTGGGGACTGTCTCGAGATCCATTAAGCAAGTCGAAGCTCCTGACTTGTTTGAATGGGATCACGGAATAGCTCTGCATGCACTGCAGGGGAATGGGGCCTCATCTCGCCTCTAGGGGGAAGTCTCATGGTTTTTCTCGAGTTGCGGCGGGGACCTGGGGTATGTTCTCGACTTACGGCGGGGATGGCCCTTCAAAACACGAGTTTCTTCAGTGACGTCAGGACTCCTGTCTAGTAACGAGGGACACCTCAGGAATCTCTTCGAGGCTTGGCAGGGCAAAAGGGACGCTTCTCGAGGTGAGGCAGGGCACCCAAGGACCCTTTCCAGTAGCCACAGGGATTTTGGGATTCCTATCAGTATTCAAGAGGAGTCAGGCATCGTCACCTTTTGAAGCAATGAACTCCGCGTGCCTCTCGAGGTGTCAGCGGGATGTGAGGCATTCCGTCAAAATGAGGCATGGACCTAGGGCTTTCTCTAAGATCTCCACAGGGGATTCAGACAACCCTTCATGTTGTGAGATGAAAGACGAGCCTGTATTCAAGCCACTGCAAGGAAATCCGGCCTCCTTTCAAGTTAGGGCTTCTCGCTGTATATTCCCCTTGAGGCAGCAAACTCGGGGTCCCTCCCACATACCTATTGCTGAGAGAAGCCTCCTCCTGAGGTGCTTCTGGGAAGTTGGCATACGTCTTGAGCCTAAGCCAGGGAATCAGCTCTCATCTCGAGACGATTTGGGGTACACGGAGCATTCCTCGAGTTGCTGTGCTGAAGTTGGTGTTCCTCTAGACTTGGGACAGTGTTCTCGGGGCATCTCTGGAGTTGCCTGAAGGAAGTCGAGCCACCGGTCGTGTTGAATGGGGAACGGGGAATGGCTCTGGAGTCAATGCAGGGGAATCGGGCCTCATCTCGAGTTGATTTGGGGCACATGGAGCTGCTTTGCGTTGCTGGGGTGACCTCAGGGTCCGTCTAGACTGGTGACAGTGTTCTTGGGGACTGTCTCGAGATCCATTAAGCAAGTCGAAGCTCCTGACTTGTTTGAATGGGATCACGGAATAGCTCTGCATGCACTGCAGGGGAATGGGGCCTCATCTCGCCTCTAGGGGGAAGTCTCATGGTTTTTCTCGAGTTGCGGCGGGGACCTGGGGTATGTTCTCGACTTACGGCGGGGATGGCCCTTCAAAACACGAGTTTCTTCAGTGACGTCAGGACTCCTGTCTAGTAACGAGGGACACCTCAGGAATCTCTTCGAGGCTTGGCAGGGCAAAAGGGACGCTTCTCGAGGTGAGGCAGGGCACCCAAGGACCCTTTCCAGTAGCCACAGGGATTTTGGGATTCCTATCAGTATTCAAGAGGAGTCAGGCATCGTCACCTTTTGAAGCAATGAACTCCGCGTGCCTCTCGAGGTGTCAGCGGGATGTGAGGCATTCCGTCAAAATGAGGCAGGGACCTAGGGCTTTCTCTAAGGTCTCCACAGGGGATTCAGACATCCCTTCATGTTGTGAGATGAAAGACGAGCCTGTATTCAAGCCACTGCAAGGAAATCCGGCCTCCTTTCAAGTTAGGGCTTCTCGCTGTATATTCCCCTTGAGGCAGCAAACTCGGGGTCCCTCCCACATACCTATTGCTGAGAGAAGCCTCCTCCTGAGGTGCTTCTGGGAAGTTGGCATACGTCTTGAGCCTAAGCCAGGGAATCAGCTCTCATCTCGAGACGATTTGGGGTACACGGAGCATTCCTCGAGTTGCTGTGCTGAAGTTGGTGTTCCTCTAGACTTGGGACAGTGTTCTCGGGGCATCTCTGGAGTTGCCTGAAGGAAGTCGAGCCACCGGTCGTGTTGAATGGGGAACGGGGAATGGCTCTGGAGTCAATGCAGGGGAATCGGGCCTCATCTCGAGTTGATTTGGGGCACATGGAGCTGCTTTGCGTTGCTGGGGTGACCTCAGGGTCCGTCTAGACTGGTGACAGTGTTCTTGGGGACTGTCTCGAGATCCATTAAGCAAGTCGAAGCTCCTGACTTGTTTGAATGGGATCACGGAATAGCTCTGCATGCACTGCAGGGGAATGGGGCCTCATCTCGCCTCTAGGGGGAAGTCTCATGGTTTTTCTCGAGTTGCGGCGGGGACCTGGGGTATGTTCTCGACTTACGGCGGGGATGGCCCTTCAAAACACGAGTTTCTTCAGTGACGTCAGGACTCCTGTCTAGTAACGAGGGACACCTCAGGAATCTCTTCGAGGCTTGGCAGGGCAAAAGGGACGCTTCTCGAGGTGAGGCAGGGCACCCAAGGACCCTTTCCAGTAGCCACAGGGATTTTGGGATTCCTATCAGTATTCAAGAGGAGTCAGGCATCGTCACCTTTTGAAGCAATGAACTCCGCGTGCCTCTCGAGGTGTCAGCGGGATGTGAGGCATTCCGTCAAAATGAGGCAGGGACCTAGGGCTTTCTCTAACGTCTCCACAGGGGATTCAGACATCCCTTCATGTTGTGAGATGAAAGACGAGCCTGTATTCAAGCCACTGCAAGGAAATCCGGCCTCCTTTCAAGTTAGGGCTTCTCACTGTATATTCCCCTTGAGGCAGCAAACTCGTGGTCCCTCCCACATACCTATTGCTGAGAGAAGCCTCCTCCTGAGGTGCTTCTGGGAAGTTGGCATACGTCTTGAGCCTAAGCCAGGGAATCAGCTCTCATCTCGAGACGATTTGGGGTACACGGAGCATTCCTCGAGTTGCTGTGCTGAAGTTGGTGTTCCTCTAGACTTGGGACAGTGTTCTCGGGGCATCCCTGGAGTTGCCAGAAGGAAGTCGAGCCACCGGTCGTGTTGAATGGGGAACGGGGAATGGCTCTGGAGTCAATGCAGGGGAATCGGGCCTCATCTCGAGTTGATTTGGGGCACATGGAGCTTCTTTGCGTTGCTGGGGTGACCTCAGGGTCCGTCTAGACTGGTGACAGTGTTCTTGGGGACTGTCTCGAGATCCATTAAGCAAGTCGAAGCTCCTGACTTGTTTGAATGGGATCACGGAATAGCTCTGCATGCACTGCAGGGGAATGGGGCCTCATCTCGCCTCTAGGGGGAAGTCTCATGGTTTTTCTCGAGTTGCGGCGGGGACCTGGGGTATGTTCTCGACTTACGGCGGGGATGGCCCTTCAAAACACGAGTTTCTTCAGTGACGTCAGGACTCCTGTCTAGTAACGAGGGACACCTCAGGAATCTCTTCGAGGCTTGGCAGGGCAAAAGGGACGCTTCTCGAGGTGAGGCAGGGCACCCAAGGACCCTTTCCAGTAGCCACAGGGATTTTGGGATTCCTATCAGTATTCAAGAGGAGTCAGGCATCGTCACCTTTTGAAGCAATGAACTCCGCGTGCCTCTCGAGGTGTCAGCGGGATGTGAGGCATTCCGTCAAAATGAGGCATGGACCTAGGGCTTTCTCTAAGATCTCCACAGGGGATTCAGACAACCCTTCATGTTGTGAGATGAAAGACGAGCCTGTATTCAAGCCACTGCAAGGAAATCCGGCCTCCTTTCAAGTTAGGGCTTCTCGCTGTATATTCCCCTTGAGGCAGCAAACTCGGGGTCCCTCCCACATACCTATTGCTGAGAGAAGCCTCCTCCTGAGGTGCTTCTGGGAAGTTGGCATACGTCTTGAGCCTAAGCCAGGGAATCAGCTCTCATCTCGAGACGATTTGGGGTACACGGAGCATTCCTCGAGTTGCTGTGCTGAAGTTGGTGTTCCTCTAGACTTGGGACAGTGTTCTCGGGGCATCTCTGGAGTTGCCTGAAGGAAGTCGAGCCACCGGTCGTGTTGAATGGGGAACGGGGAATGGCTCTGGAGTCAATGCAGGGGAATCGGGCCTCATCTCGAGTTGATTTGGGGCACATGGAGCTGCTTTGCGTTGCTGGGGTGACCTCAGGGTCCGTCTAGACTGGTGACAGTGTTCTTGGGGACTGTCTCGAGATCCATTAAGCAAGTCGAAGCTCCTGACTTGTTTGAATGGGATCACGGAATAGCTCTGCATGCACTGCAGGGGAATGGGGCCTCATCTCGCCTCTAGGGGGAAGTCTCATGGTTTTTCTCGAGTTGCGGCGGGGACCTGGGGTATGTTCTCGACTTACGGCGGGGATGGCCCTTCAAAACACGAGTTTCTTCAGTGACGTCAGGACTCCTGTCTAGTAACGAGGGACACCTCAGGAATCTCTTCGAGGCTTGGCAGGGCAAAAGGGACGCTTCTCGAGGTGAGGCAGGGCACCCAAGGACCCTTTCCAGTAGCCACAGGGATTTTGGGATTCCTATCAGTATTCAAGAGGAGTCAGGCATCGTCACCTTTTGAAGCAATGAACTCCGCGTGCCTCTCGAGGTGTCAGCGGGATGTGAGGCATTCCGTCAAAATGAGGCAGGGACCTAGGGCTTTCTCTAAGGTCTCCACAGGGGATTCAGACATCCCTTCATGTTGTGAGATGAAAGACGAGCCTGTATTCAAGCCACTGCAAGGAAATCCGGCCTCCTTTCAAGTTAGGGCTTCTCGCTGTATATTCCCCTTGAGGCAGCAAACTCGGGGTCCCTCCCACATACCTATTGCTGAGAGAAGCCTCCTCCTGAGGTGCTTCTGGGAAGTTGGCATACGTCTTGAGCCTAAGCCAGGGAATCAGCTCTCATCTCGAGACGATTTGGGGTACACGGAGCATTCCTCGAGTTGCTGTGCTGAAGTTGGTGTTCCTCTAGACTTGGGACAGTGTTCTCGGGGCATCTCTGGAGTTGCCTGAAGGAAGTCGAGCCACCGGTCGTGTTGAATGGGGAACGGGGAATGGCTCTGGAGTCAATGCAGGGGAATCGGGCCTCATCTCGAGTTGATTTGGGGCACATGGAGCTGCTTTGCGTTGCTGGGGTGACCTCAGGGTCCGTCTAGACTGGTGACAGTGTTCTTGGGGACTGTCTCGAGATCCATTAAGCAAGTCGAAGCTCCGGACTTGTTTGAATGGGATCACGGAATAGCTCTGCATGCACTGCAGGGGAATGGGGCCTCATCTCGCCTCTAGGGGGAAGTCTCATGGTTTTTCTCGAGTTGCGGCGGGGACCTGGGGTATGTTCTCGACTTACGGCGGGGATGGCCCTTCAAAACACGAGTTTCTTCAGTGACGTCAGGACTCCTGTCTAGTAACGAGGGACACCTCAGGAATCTCTTCGAGGCTTGGCAGGGCAAAAGGGACGCTTCTCGAGGTGAGGCAGGGCACCCAAGGACCCTTTCCAGTAGCCACAGGGATTTTGGGATTCCTATCAGTATTCAAGAGGAGTCAGGCATCGTCACCTTTTGAAGCAATGAACTCCGCGTGCCTCTCGAGGTGTCAGCGGGATGTGAGGCATTCCGTCAAAATGAGGCAGGGACCTAGGGCTTTCTCTAACGTCTCCACAGGGGATTCAGACATCCCTTCATGTTGTGAGATGAAAGACGAGCCTGTATTCAAGCCACTGCAAGGAAATCCGGCCTCCTTTCAAGTTAGGGCTTCTCGCTGTATATTCCCCTTGAGGCAGCAAACTCGGGGTCCCTCCCACATACCTATTGCTGAGAGAAGCCTCCTCCTGAGGTGCTTCTGGGAAGTTGGCATACGTCTTGAGCCTAAGCCAGGGAATCAGCTCTCATCTCGAGACGATTTGGGGTACACGGAGCATTCCTCGAGTTGCTGTGCTGAAGTTGGTGTTCCTCTAGACTTGGGACAGTGTTCTCGGGGCATCCCTGGAGTTGCCTGAAGGAAGTCGAGCCACCGGTCGTGTTGAATGGGGAACGGGGAATGGCTCTGGAGTCAATGCAGGGGAATCGGGCCTCATCTCGAGTTGATTTGGGGCACATGGAGCTTCTTTGCGTTGCTGGGGTGACCTCAGGGTCCGTCTAGACTGGTGACAGTGTTCTTGGGGACTGTCTCGAGATCCATTAAGCAAGTCGAAGCTCCTGACTTGTTTGAATGGGATCACGGAATAGCTCTGCATGCACTGCAGGGGAATGGGGCCTCATCTCGCCTCTAGGGGGAAGTCTCATGGTTTTTCTCGAGTTGCGGCGGGGACCTGGGGTATGTTCTCGACTTACGGCGGGGATGGCCCTTCAAGACATGAGTTTCTTTAGTGACGTCAGGACTCCTGTCTAGTAACGAGGGACACCTCAGGAATCTCTTCGAGGCTTGGCAGGGCAAAAGGGACGCTTCTCGAGGTGAGGCAGCGCACCCAAGGACCCTTTCCAGTAGCCACAGGGATTTTGGGATTGCTATCAGTATTCAAGAGGAGTCAGGCATCTTCACCTTTTGAAGCAATGAACTCCGCGTGCCTCTCGAGGTGTCAGCGGGATGTGAGGCATTCCGTCAAAATGAGGCAGGGACCTAGGGCTTTCTCTAAGGTCTCCACAGGGGATTCAGACATCCCTTCATGTTGTGAGATGAAAGACGAGCCTGTATTCAAGCCACTGCAAGGAAATCCGGCCTCCTTTCAAGTTAGGGCTTCTCGCTGTATATTCCCCTTGAGGCAGCAAACTCGGGGTCTCTCCCACATAACTATTGCTGAGAGAAGCCTCCTCCTGAGGTGCTTCTGGGAAGTTGGCATACGTCTTCAGCCTAAGCCAGGGAATCAGCTCGCATCTCGAGACGATTTGGGGTACACGGAGCATTCCTCGAGTTGCTGTGCTGAAGTTGGTGTTCCTGTAGACTTGGGACAGTGTTCTCGGGGCATCTCTGGACTTGCCTGAAGGAAGTCGAGCCACCTGTCGTGTTGAATGGGGAACGGGGAATGGCTCTGGAGTCAATGCAGGGGAATCGGGCCTCATCTCGAGTTGATTTGGGGCACATGGAGCTTCTTTGCGTTGCTGGGGTAACCTCAGGGTCCGTCTAGACTGGTGACAGTGTTCTTGGGGACTGTCTCGTGATCCATTAAGCAAGTCGAATCTCCTGACTTGTTTGAATGGGATCACGGAATAGCTCTGCATGCACTGCAGGGGAATGGGGCCTCATCTCGCCTCTAGGGGGAAGTCTCATGGTTTTTCTCGTGTTGCGGCGGGGACCTGGGGTATGTTCTCGACTTACGGCGGGGATGGCCCTTCAAAACACGAGTTTTTCAGTGACGTCAGGACTCCTGTCTAGTAACGAGGGACACCTCAGGAATCTCTTCGAGGCTTGGCAGGGCAAAAGGGACGCTTCTCGAGGTGAGGCAGGGCACCCAAGGACCCTTTCCAGTAGCCACAGGGATTTTGGGATTCCTATCAGTATTCAAGAGGAGTCAGGCATCGTCACCTTTTGAAGCAATGAACTCCGCGTGCCTCTCGAGGTGTCAGCGGGATGTGAGGCATTCCGTCAAAATGAGGCATGGACCTAGGGCTTTCTCTAAGATCTCCACAGGGGATTCAGACATCCCTTCATGTTGTGAGATGAAAGACGAGCCTGTATTCAAGCCACTGCAAGGAAATCCGGCCTCCTTTCAAGTTAGGGCTTCTCGCTGTATATTCCCCTTGAGGCAGCAAACTCGGGGTCCCTCCCACATACCTATTGCTGAGAGAAGCCTCCTCCTGAGGTGCTTCTGGGAAGTTGGCATACGTCTTGAGCCTAAGCCAGGGAATCAGCTCTCATCTCGAGACGATTTGGGGTACACGGAGCATTCCTCGAGTTGCTGTGCTGAAGTTGGTGTTCCTCTAGACTTGGGACAGTGTTCTCGGGGCATCTCTGGAGTTGCCTGAAGGAAGTCGAGCCACCGGTCGTGTTGAATGGGGAACGGGGAATGGCTCTGGAGTCAATGCAGGGGAATCGGGCCTCATCTCGAGTTGATTTGGGGCACATGGAGCTGCTTTGCGTTGCTGGGGTGACCTCAGGGTCCGTCTAGACTGGTGACAGTGTTCTTGGGGACTGTCTCGAGATCCATTAAGCAAGTCGAAGCTCCTGACTTGTTTGAATGGGATCACGGAATAGCTCTGCATGCACTGCAGGGGAATGGGGCCTCATCTCGCCTCTAGGGGGAAGTCTCATGGTTTTTCTCGAGTTGCGGCGGGGACCTGGGGTATGTTCTCGACTTACGGCGGGGATGGCCCTTCAAGACACGAGTTTCTTCAGTGACGTCAGGACTCCTGTCTAGTAACGAGGGACACCTCAGGAATCTCTTCGAGGCTTGGCAGGGCAAAAGGGACGCTTCTCGAGGTGAGGCAGGGCACCCAAGGACCCTTTCCAGTAGCCACAGGGATTTTGGGATTCCTATCAGTATTCAAGAGGAGTCAGGCATCGTCACCTTTTGAAGCAATGAACTCCGCGTGCCTCTCGAGGTGTCAGCGGGATGTGAGGCATTCCGTCAAAATGAGGCAGGGACCTAGGGCTTTCTCTAAGGTCTCCACAGGGGATTCAGACATCCCTTCATGTTGTGAGATGAAAGACGAGCCTGTATTCAAGCCACTGCAAGGAAATCCGGCCTCCTTTCAAGTTAGGGCTTCTCGCTGTATATTCCCCTTGAGGCAGCAAACTCGGGGTCCCTCCCACATACCTATTGCTGAGAGAAGCCTCCTCCTGAGGTGCTTCTGGGAAGTTGGCATACGTCTTGAGCCTAAGCCAGGGAATCAGCTCTCATCTCGAGACGATTTGGGGTACACGGAGCATTCCTCGAGTTGCTGTGCTGAAGTTGGTGTTCCTCTAGACTTGGGACAGTGTTCTCGGGGCATCTCTGGAGTTGCCTGAAGGAAGTCGAGCCACCGGTCGTGTTGAATGGGGAACGGGGAATGGCTCTGGAGTCAATGCAGGGGAATCGGGCCTCATCTCGAGTTGATTTGGAGCACATGGAACTGCTTTGCGTTGCTGGGGTGACCTCAGGGTCCGTCTAGACTGGTGACAGTGTTCTTGGGGACTGTCTCGAGATCCATTAAGCAAGTCGAAGCTCCTGACTTGTTTGAATGGGATCACGGAATAGCTCTGCATGCACTGCAGGGGAATGGGGCCTCATCTCGCCTCTAGGGGGAAGTCTCATGGTTTTTCTCGAGTTGCGGCGGGGACCTGAGGTATGTTCTCGACTTACGGCGGGGATGGCCCTTCAAAACACGAGTTTCTTCAGTGACGTCAGGACTCCTGTCTAGTAACGAGGGACACCTCAGGAATCTCTTCGAGGCTTGGCAGGGCAAAAGGGACGCTTCTCGAGGTGAGGCAGGGCACCCAAGGACCCTTTCCAGTAGCCACAGAGATTTTGGGATTCCTATCAGTATTCAAGAGTAGTCAGGCATCGTCACCTTTTGAAGCAATGAACTCCGCGTGCCTCTCGAGTTGTCAGCGGGATGTGAGGCATTCCGTCAAAATGAGGCAGGGACCTATGGCTTTCTCTAACGTCTCCACAGGGGATTCCGACATCCCTTCATGTTGTGAGATGAAAGACGAGCCTGTATTCAAGCCACTGCAAGGAAATCCGGCCTCCTTTCAAGTTAGGGCTTCTCGCTGTATATTCCCCTTGAGGCAGCAAACTCGGGGTCCCTCCCACATACCTATTGCTGAGAGAAGCCTCCTCCTGAGGTGCTTCTGGGAAGTTGGCATACGTCTTGAGCCTAAGCCAGGGAATCAGCTCTCATCTCGAGACGATTTGGGGTACACGGAGCATTCCTCGAGTTGCTGTGCTGAAGTTGGTGTTCCTCTAGACTTGGGACAGTGATCTCGGGGCATCCCTGGAGTTGCCTGAAGGAAGTCGAGCCACCGGTCGTGTTGAATGGGGAACGGGGAATGGCTCTGGAGTCAATGCAGGGGAATCGGGCCTCATCTCGAGTTGATTTGGGGCACATGGAGCTTCTTTGCGTTGCTGGGGTGACCTCAGGGTCCGTCTAGACTGGTGACAGTGTTCTTGGGGACTGTCTCGAGATCCATTAAGCAAGTCGAAGCTCCTGACTTGTTTGAATGGGATCACGGAATAGCTCTGCATGCACTGCAGGGGAATGGGGCCTCATCTCGCCTCTAGGGGGAAGTCTCATGGTTTTTCTCGAGTTGCGGCGGGGACCTGGGGTATGTTCTCGACTTACGGCGGGGATGGCCCTTCAAAACACGAGTTTTTCAGTGACGTCAGGACTCCTGTCTAGTAACGAGGGACACCTCAGGAATCTCTTCGAGGCTTGGCAGGGCAAAAGGGACGCTTCTCGAGGTGAGGCAGGGCACCCAAGGACCCTTTCCAGTAGCCACAGGGATTTTGGGATTCCTATCAGTATTCAAGAGGAGTCAGGCATCGTCACCTTTTGAAGCAATGAACTCCGCGTGCCTCTCGAGGTGTCAGCGGGATGTGAGGCATTCCGTCAAAATGAGGCAGGGACCTAGGGCTTTCTCTAAGGTCTCCACAGGGGATTCAGACATCCCTTCATGTTGTGAGATGAAAGACGAGCCTGTATTCAAGCCACTGCAAGGAAATCCGGCCTCCTTTCAAGTTAGGGCTTCTCGCTGTATATTCCCCTTGAGGCAGCAAACTCGGGGTCCCTCGCACATACCTATTGCTGAGAGAAGCCTCCTCCTGAGGTGCTTCTGGGAAGTTGGCATACGTCTTGAGCCTAAGCCAGGGAATCAGCTCGCATCTGGAGACGATTTGGGGTACACGGAGCATTCCTCGAGTTGCTGTGCTGAAGTTGGTGTTCCTCTAGACTTGGGACAGTGTTCTCGGGGCATCTCTGGAGTTGCCTGAAGGAAGTCGAGCCACCGGTCGTGTTGAATGGGGAACGGGGAATGGCTCTGGAGTCAATGCAGGGGAATCGGGCCTCATCTCGAGTTGATTTGGGGCACATGGAGCTGCTTTGCGTTGCTGGGGTGACCTCAGGGTCCGTCTAGACTGGTGACAGTGTTCTTGGGGACTGTCTCGAGATCCATTAAGCAAGTCGAAGCTCCTGACTTGTTTGAATGGGATCACGGAATAGCTCTGCATGCACTGCAGGGGAATGGGGCCTCATCTCGCCTCTAGGGGGAAGTCTCATGGTTTTTCTCGAGTTGCGGCGGGGACCTGGGGTATGTTCTCGACTTACGGCGGGGATGGCCCTTCAAAACACGAGTTTCTTCAGTGATGTCAGGACTCCTGTCTAGTAACTAGGGACACCTCAGGAATCTCTTCGAGGCTTGGTAGGGCAAAAGGGACGCTTCTCGAGGTGAGGCAGGGCACCCAAGGACCCTTTCCAGTAGCCACAGGGATTTTGGGATTCCTATCAGTATTCAAGAGGAGTCAGGCATCGTCACCTTTTGAAGCAATGAACTCCGCGTGCCTCTCGAGGTGTCAGCGGGATGTGAGGCATTCCGTCAAAATGAGGCAGGGACCTAGGGCTTTCTCTAAGGTCTCCACAGGGGATTCAGACATCCCTTCATGTTGTGAGATGAAAGACGAGCCTGTATTCAAGCCACTGCAAGGAAATCCGGCCTCCTTTCAAGTTAGGGCTTCTCGCTGTATATTCCCCTTGAGGCAGCAAACTCGGGGTCCCTCGCACATACCTATTGCTGAGAGAAGCCTCCTCCTGAGGTGCTTCTGGGAAGTTGGCATACGTCTTGAGCCTAAGCCAGGGAATCAGCTCGCATCTCGAGACGATTTGGGGTACACGGAGCATTCCTCGAGTTGCTGTGCTGAAGTTGGTGTTCCTCTAGACTTGGGACAGTGTTCTCGGGGCATCTCTGGAGTTGCCTGAAGGAAGTCGAGCCACCGGTCGTGTTGAATGGGGAACGGGGAATGGCTCTGGAGTCAATGCAGGGGAATCGGGCCTCATCTCGAGTTGATTTGGGGCACATGGAGCTGCTTTGCGTTGCTGGGGTGACCTCAGGGTCCGTCTAGACTGGTGACAGTGTTCTTGGGGACTGTCTCGAGATCCATTAAGCAAGTCGAAGCTCCTGACTTGTTTGAATGGGATCACGGAATAGCTCTGCATGCACTGCAGGGGAATGGGGCCTCATCTCGCCTCTAGGGGGAAGTCTCATGGTTTTTCTCGAGTTGCGGCGGGGACCTGGGGTATGTTCTCGACTTACGGCGGGGATGGCCCTTCAAAACACGAGTTTCTTCAGTGACGTCAGGACTCCTGTCTAGTAACGAGGGACACCTCAGGAATCTCTTCGAGGCTTGGCAGGGCAAAAGGGACGCTTCTCGAGGTGAGGCAGGGCACCCAAGGACCCTTTCCAGTAGCCACAGGGATTTTGGGATTCCTATCAGTATTCAAGAGGAGTCAGGCATCGTCACCTTTTGAAGCAATGAACTCCGCGTGCCTCTCGAGGTGTCAGCGGGATGTGAGGCATTCCGTCAAAATGAGGCAGGGACCTAGGGCTCTCTCTAAGGTCTCCACAGGGGATTCAGACATCCCTTCATGTTGTGAGTTGAAAGACGAGCCTGTATTCAAGCCACTGCAAGGAAATCCGGCCTCCTTTCAAGTTAGGGCTTCTCGCTGTATATTCCCCTTGAGGCAGCAAACTCGGGGTCCCTCCCACATACCTATTGCTGAGAGAAGCCTCCTCCTGAGGTGCTTCTGGGAAGTTGGCATACGTCTTGAGCCTAAGCCAGGGAATCAGCTCTCATCTCGAGACGATTTGGGGTACACGGAGCATTCCTCGAGTTGCTGTGCTGAAGTTGGTGTTCCTCTAGACTTGGGACAGTGTTCTCGGGGCATCTCTGGAGTTGCCTGAAGGAAGTCGAGCCACCGGTCGTGTTGAATGGGGAACGGGGAATGGCTCTGGAGTCAATGCAGGGGAATCGGGCCTCATCTCGAGTTGATTTGGGGCACATGGAGCTGCTTTGCGTTGCTGGGGTAACCTCAGGGTCCGTCTAGACTGGTGACAGTGTTCTTGGGGACTGTCTCGAGATCCATTAAGAAGTCGAAGCTGCTGACTTGTTTGAATGGGATCACGGAATAGCTCTGCATGCACTGCAGGGGAATGGGGCCTCATCTCGCCTCTAGGGGGAAGTCTCATGGTTTTTCTCGAGTTGCGGCGGGGACCTGGGGTATGTTCTCGACTTACGGCGGGGATGGCCCTTCAAGACACGAGTTTCTTCAGTGACGTCAGGACTCCTGTCTAGTAACGAGGGACACCTCAGGAATCTCTTCGAGGCTTGGCAGGGCAAAAGGGACGCTTCTCGAGGTGAGGCAGGGCACCCAAGGACCCTTTCCAGTAGCCACAGGGATTTTGGGATTCCTATCAGTATTCAAGAGGAGTCAGGCATCGTCACCTTTTGAAGCAATGAACTCCGCGTGCCTCTCGAGGTGTCAGCGGGATGTGAGGCATTCCGTCAAAATGAGGCAGGGTCCTAGGGCTTTCTCTAAGGTCTCCACAGGGGATTCAGACATCCCTTCATGTTGTGAGATGAAAGACGAGCCTGTATTCAAGCCACTGCAAGGAAATCCGGCCTCCTTTCAAGTTAGGGCTTCTCGCTGTATATTCCCCTTGAGGCAGCAAACTCGGGGTCCCTCCCACATACCTATTGCTGAGAGAAGCCTCCTCCTGAGGTGCTTCTGGGAAGTTGGCATACGTCTTGAGCCTAAGCCAGGGAATCAGCTCGCATCTCGAGACGATTTGGGGTACACGGAGCATTCCTCGAGTTGCTGTGCTGAAGTTGGTGTTCCTCTAGACTTGGGACAGTGTTCTCGGGGCATCTCTGGAGTTGCCTGAAGGAAGTCGAGCCACCGGTCGTGTTGAATGGGGAACGGGGAATGGCTCTGGAGTCAATGCAGGGGAATCGGGCCTCATCTCGAGTTGATTTGGGGCACATGGAGCTGCTTTGCGTTGCTGGGGTGACCTCAGGGTCCGTCTAGACTGGTGACAGTGTTCTTGGGGACTGTCTCGAGATCCATTAAGCAAGTCGAAGCTCCTGACTTGTTTGAATGGGATCACGGAATAGCTCTGCATGCACTGCAGGGGAATGGGGCCTCATCTCGCCTCTAGGGGGAAGTCTCATGGTTTTTCTCGAGTTGCGGCGGGGACCTGGGGTATGTTCTCGACTTACGGCGGGGTCCACACTCCCAGGCAAGGGGAGAACCACATGCACACGTCTGTTCCTGCCCCCTGCCCCTTCAGAGAGCTCGGCTGAGCCGCAGTCTCTCAGGCAGTTCCCTGGCAGCCCCGGCAGCACTGCCTGTGCGGGAAGGGGGAGAGCCGACCTAGGGGCACTGTGGCCTCTTGCTCTCCCTGCTGCCCTGAGGCTGCTGGGCCAAAGAGGGCTTGGCTACCTACCCCCTTTCTCCCCTCTTCCCTCTGCCAGAAGGCTCTGCCCCCGGGGCTGTTGCAGTGTGGAGACAGCCCCTGCCAGCACCTCCACTCCCAGTAGGCCTCAGCAGAGGCCTAGGCCCAGGGAACGGCCCAGGCAGGGCTGCGTTGAGGGAGGCGCAAGGGCATGTCTGGACACACTCCCCACAGCCTGTTCCTTCATGGGGCAGTTACACTGGAGGCCAGGAAGGCCTGGGCAGGGCTGGCCAAGAGCAGGGGCATTGCTGGGTTCTGCCTCTGGCCTGTGGGGCCTCTGAGCAGGACCTGCCCTCTCCCTCTGGAAGACCTCCCCGCCTGCGTGCAAATCCCCGTTTGCAAGCACTCTGGCCGGGTGTTCCCGCAAGGCTCGCACTCTGGTCTCAAAGCCGGGAGAAAAGCGCTTTGGGGTGGGCCTCTCTCAGGGCCCATGGCCCTGAGCCTGGGGACCAGCTAGGGGGTCCACACTCCCAGGCCAGGGCAGAACCACATGCACACGTCTGTTCCTGCCCCCTGCCCCTTCAGAGAGCTCGGCTGAGCCGCAGTCTCTCAGGCAGTTCCCTGGCAGCCCCGGCAGCACTGCCTGTGCGGGAAGGGGGAGAGCCGACCTAGGGGCACTGTGGGCCTCTTGCTCTCCCTGCTGCCCTGAGGCTGCTGGGCCAAAGAGGGCTTGGCTACCTACCCCCTTTCTCCCCTCTTCCCTCTGCCAGAAGGCTCTGCCCCCGGGGCTGTTGCAGTGTGGAGACAGCCCCTGCCAGCACCTCCACTCCCAGTAGGCCTCAGCAGAGGCCTAGGCCCAGGGAACGGCCCAGGCAGGGCTGCGTAGAGGGAGGCGCAAGGGCATGTCTGGACACACTCCCCACAGCCTGTTCCTTCATGGGGCAGTTACACTGGAGGCCAGGAAGGCCTGGGCAGGGCTGGCCAAGAGCAGGGGCATTGCTGGGTTCTGCCTCTGGCCTGTGGGGCCTCTGAGCAGGACCTGCCCTCTCCCTCTGGAAGACCTCCCCGCCTGCGTGCAAATCCCCGTCTGCAAGCACTCTGGCCGGGTGTTCCCGCAAGGCTCGCACTCTGGTCTCAAAGCCGGGAGAAAAGCGCTTTGGGGTGGGCCTCTCTCAGGGCCCATGGCCCTGAGCCTGGGGACCAGCTAGGGGGTCCACACTCCCAGGCCAGGGCAGAACCACATGCACACGTCTGTTCCTGCCCCCTGCCCCTTCAGAGAGCTCGGCTGAGCCGCAGTCTCTCAGGCAGTTCCCTGGCAGCCCCGGCAGCACTGCCTGTGCGGGAAGGGGGAGAGCCGACCTAGGGGCACTGTGGGCCTCTTGCTCTCCCTGCTGCCCTGAGGCTGCTGGGCCAAAGAGGGCTTGGCTACCTACCCCCTTTCTCCCCTCTTCCCTCTGCCAGAAGGCTCTGCCCCCGGGGCTGTTGCAGTGTGGAGACAGCCCCTGCCAGCACCTCCACTCCCAGTAGGCCTCAGCAGAGGCCTAGGCCCAGGGAACGGCCCAGGCAGGGCTGCGTTGAGGGAGGCGCAAGGGCATGTCTGGACACACTCCCCACAGCCTGTTCCTTCATGGGGCAGTTACACTGGAGGCCAGGAAGGCCTGGGCAGGGCTGGCCAAGAGCAGGGGCATTGCTGGGTTCTGCCTCTGGCCTGTGGGGCCTCTGAGCAGGACCTGCCCTCTCCCTCTGGAAGACCTCCCCGCCTGCGTGCAAATCCCCGTTTGCAAGCACTCTGGCCGGGTGTTCCCGCAAGGCTCGCACTCTGGTCTCAAAGCCGGGAGAAAAGCGCTTTGGGGTGGGCCTCTCTCAGGGCCCATGGCCCTGAGCCTGGGGACCAGCTAGGGGGTCCACACTCCCAGGCCAGGGCAGAACCACATGCACACGTCTGTTCCTGCCCCCTGCCCCTTCAGAGAGCTCGGCTGAGCCGCAGTCTCTCAGGCAGTTCCCTGGCAGCCCCGGCAGCACTGCCTGGGTGGGAAGGGGGAGAGCCGACCTAGGGGCACTGTGGGCCTCTTGCTCTCCCTGCTGCCCTGAGGCTGCTGGGCCAAAGAGGGCTTGGCTACCTACCCCCTTTCTCCCCTCTTCCCTCTGCCAGAAGGCTCTGCCCCCGGGGTTGGTGCAGTGTGGAGACAGCCCCTGCCAGCACCTCCACTCCCAGTAGGCCTCAGCAGAGGCCTAGGCCCAGGGAACGGCCCAGGCAGGGCTGCGTTGAGGGAGGCGCAAGGGCATGTCTGGACACACTCCCCACAGCCTGTTCCTTCATGGGGCAGTTACACTGGTGGCCAGGAAGGCCTGGGCAGGGCTGGCCAAGAGCAGGGGCATTGCTGGGTTCTGCCTCTGGCCTGTGGGGCCTCTGAGCAGGACCTGCCCTCTCCCTCTGGAAGACCTCCCCGCCTGCGTGCAAATCCCCGTTTGCAAGCACTCTGGCCGGGTGTTCCCGCAAGGCTCGCACTCTGGTCTCAAAGCCGGGAGAAAAGCGCTTTGGGGTGGGCCTCTCTCAGGGCCCATGGCCCTGAGCCTGGGGACCAGCTAGGGGGTCCACACTCCCAGGCCAGGGCAGAACCACATGCACACGTCTGTTCCTGCCCCCTGCCCCTTCAGAGAGCTCGGCTGAGCCGCAGTCTCTCAGGCAGTTCCCTGGCAGCCCCGGCAGCACTGCCTGGGTGGGAAGGGGGAGAGCCGACCTAGGGGCACTGTGGGCCTCTTGCTCTCCCTGCTGCCCTGAGGCTGCTGGGCCAAAGAGGGCTTGGCTACCTACCCCCTTTCTCCCCTCTTCCCTCTGCCAGAAGGCTCTGCCCCCGGGGCTGTTGCAGTGTGGAGACAGCCCCTGCCAGCACCTCCACTCCCAGTAGGCCTCAGCAGAGGCCTAGGCCCAGGGAACGGCCCAGGCAGGGCTGCGTTGAGGGAGGCGCAAGGGCATGTCTGGACACACTCCCCACAGCCTGTTCCTTCATGGGGCAGTTACACTGGAGGCCAGGAAGGCCTGGGCAGGGCTGGCCAAGAGCAGGGGCATTGCTGGGTTCTGCCTCTGGCCTGTGGGGCCTCTGAGCAGGACCTGCCCTCTCCCTCTGGAAGACCTCCCCGCCTGCGTGCAAATCCCCGTTTGCAAGCACTCTGGCCGGGTGTTCCCGCAAGGCTCGCACTCTGGTCTCAAAGCCGGGAGAAAAGCGCTTTGGGGTGGGCCTCTCTCAGGGCCCATGGCCCTGAGCCTGGGGACCAGCTAGGGGGTCCACACTCCCAGGCCAGGGCAGAACCACATGCACACGTCTGTTCCTGCCCCCTGCCCCTTCAGAGAGCTCGGCTGAGCCGCAGTCTCTCAGGCAGTTCCCTGGCAGCCCCGGCAGCACTGCCTGTGCGGGAAGGGGGAGAGCCGACCTAGGGGCACTGTGGGCCTCTTGCTCTCCCTGCTGCCCTGAGGCTGCTGGGCCAAAGAGGGCTTGGCTACCTACCCCCTTTCTCCCCTCTTCCCTCTGCCAGAAGGCTCTGCCCCCGGGGCTGTTGCAGTGTGGAGACAGCCCCTGCCAGCACCTCCACTCCCAGTAGGCCTCAGCAGAGGCCTAGGCCCAGGGAACGGCCCAGGCAGGGCTGCGTTGAGGGAGGCGCAAGGGCATGTCTGGACACACTCCCCACAGCCTGTTCCTTCATGGGGCAGTTACACTGGAGGCCAGGAAGGCCTGGGCAGGGCTGGCCAAGAGCAGGGGCATTGCTGGGTTCTGCCTCTGGCCTGTGGGGCCTCTGAGCAGGACCTGCCCTCTCCCTCTGGAAGACCTCCCCGCCTGCGTGCAAATCCCCGTTTGCAAGCACTCTGGCCGGGTGTTCCCGCAAGGCTCGCACTCTGGTCTCAAAGCCGGGAGAAAAGCGCTTTGGGGTGGGCCTCTCTCAGGGCCCATGGCCCTGAGCCTGGGGACCAGCTAGGGGGTCCACACTCCCAGGCCAGGGCAGAACCACATGCACACGTCTGTTCCTGCCCCCTGCCCCTTCAGAGAGCTCGGCTGAGCCGCAGTCTCTCAGGCAGTTCCCTGGCAGCCCCGGCAGCACTGCCTGTGCGGGAAGGGGGAGAGCCGACCTAGGGGCACTGTGGCCTCTTGCTCTCCCTGCTGCCCTGAGGCTGCTGGGCCAAAGAGGGCTTGGCTACCTACCCCCTTTCTCCCCTCTTCCCTCTGCCAGAAGGCTCTGCCCCCGGGGCTGTTGCAGTGTGGAGACAGCCCCTGCCAGCACCTCCACTCCCAGTAGGCCTCAGCAGAGGCCTAGGCCCAGGGAACGGCCCAGGCAGGGCTGCGTTGAGGGAGGCGCAAGGGCATG